GAATGGGCGGCTCATATTTTAACCTGTGATATTGCTATGATTGCTGACCAACTTGACATCCCTCCATCGTATTCATCATATTAATCGTACAGGGCACCCATTTACAGATGTACAAGTGTTCAAATAAATTAAATGATGACCTCCAACCCGAATGATCCTGTCGGCAGATAGCAGAATCCGTGCCCATCAAGCCAGCTGTTCTCAACGTCTCACCGACTGACGCCTTAGATCGGAGTAGAAAATTTCTCCGACGTTGTCTCATCAAAGACCGCAAAGTGGCTTCCGAAAGGATCTCGGTTAATCCTGGTACCTGATCCAGGTTGCATTCTAGGCAAAGCCTACGCGTGGATCGTCCTTTCTATCCGGCTCCGGCTCCATACAATTTTTAACTTATAGTGGGCTCGCTAGACAAAACCCGCCCGTTGTAGCTCGTAACTTTGCATCTCACTTTCGCATGCGTGTTATTCGACGATCGCATCGTCACTAAGAATCCTCCGTACCTACATAAGGAACATAAAATAAATAAATAATAATAATAATAAATAAAATAAAACCAATCGAAACTCAAAAGACAAAGGGCGCGGCCCCGGGCACTCAATATCTAGCCCTGGTGTCATTCTACAGCAAGCCTCAAAAGTCAATTGTCAATTCTCCGGTAAAGTTGAGATCCCGGTCCGGCTATAGCATTTGGCAAGTCGACCCCAGCAGCAACCTTACTTTCCTTCCACAACACGCGGAAAGTCCGCGCCGCCCGAGAACTGACGTACATCAAGCTCCACTCCGGCCGAATCAGGCCCCTCCGTCCTGGGTACTATCACCCGTGGACCCTGACGGCTGTTCTTGGCGTCAATTTATGTTTGTGATCTTCGTCGCTTGGACACTGTTCGGTTCGAGTTTTCCGACTACCAGCGTTCGTCTGTGTCTGTGCCCTTATTTCAGAGGAGAACTTGTATCATTATGACTAATTGTAGTAGCATACATGAACCTCACCTCTTCATACAATTATGAGGACGCATTCATGCTTAGGAGTGCCCACGTGTCGAAATTCAAGAGATGAAGTGATATGTTGTCATATTAGATCATGGCGGGCCGGTATCATCTTGTAAGATCCTATAACCCGGTATTTGTTTAAGTTTTTCAAGGCTCCAGAGCTTTAAGTTTCAAGATATTGGGCCGTTTGCAAAGCTCTCGTAACTCTCGTATCCTAATGTACAAGTTAAAATATTGTATGGAAACCCCGGGTACATACATTTCTCAAATGATCTGCGCTATGCAACCCTGGGAATCGGCGCCTGCCGCCAAAAGTCAAATAAATTGAGCTTCTAGAAGCAAGAACATGTGAAGCTAAATCGAGTTAAGCGAAGCAAATAAGATTTTCAAGGCCTTCTGCTTTGCCCCGATTCACCCATAGCTCCATCGCTTAACGCAGGATATACCTTCTTCAGCCTCAAGGCTCCAATGTTTATTTGCGATCGCCGCTCTCCGTGTATAGCCCGTCCGGAACAGCATGCATACATCATGATATTCATAGTAAGGTCCACAGGTGACAGCTTCTAGGGTTGCAACTTGACCTGAAGATTCAATTTATTAGTGGATCAAGTCAACGGACTCCGCCTAGTTGAGCTTCTTTTTGAAGTTTTTATTATGCAGATTTTAGCTCAATCTAATTAGTACGACACAGCCCCTGACCATCCGTCTGAATTTGCATCTAAAATTTCGGTATTAATTGGCTTCATAATGCCTAGGCAGCGATCAGTGTCATGGTGCATGTGATCAGTATACGAGTTGCTTGTGTGAACGTGTCGTGTATACTCGGCATACTGATCATATGCGCATGGAAATGATTTGGTCGATCCGTAATTGCATGGGTATTTTCTTTGTCTAGGTTACGTGGTCTGAATGTATTTCATCGCTCATCTCTTGTTGGTGATAGTTAGTATATGCCACTCTACCTGTCAGAAATTCAGCGGACTACTCACACCTGGGCACCTAGCAGATTGGAGCTATCATCTTACCCCATATACCTACGCTATGCATGAATCCTCGAATCAGTTCCACATTGTTTCGCACATGAAATATAGAAAATACAATAGAGGACCGTTTCCTGGGCTACTTCAAATCTGAATTTTGCACCTCGAAGTGGAGTCTCGTGGCCTAAAGCTCAAAGTTCTTCTTCAAGCCATTACTTGGTTTACTCTACCACAGAGCTGATCCTTTCCACCTCCCAAATAGCATTTATTGGATTTTTATATAGCTTTAAGGAATGTCCGATGTCTTTTGAGTGAGAATAGGCTGAATTATGAAGAAAATTGCAAGTGTAAAGTGGAATTTGTCAACACCTGGGTTTAAGTTCCAGAGCAATATATAGTAGCACCTCACATCCGGGAGCTTTCAGACACGACGTTCACAAATATACCTATAAACTCCATTGCTTTTACATATCAAGAATAATGTCAATCTATACTATCTCATGACAGGGTATATGGCAGGCCGCGGTAGAAGTTTCCATCTTTTACCAAGTTGTCAACTCCAGTTTGCTGAAGGATCGAGCCAACTTGATCTCGGTTGACTTCCAAGGGTTGTAGAAGATACAGACTAAAGAATGTAAACCTTGGAAGCTCGATGAAGCAGAGCATATCAAGTAGCATTCAGAGTGAACTATGTCAAAATTCCAAAAAGAAGCTTTACTCGTCTCCTTAAGCAACTGACATGCGAAAAATGAAATAAGAGGAATAATAAGTGACAACTACAGTTCTACGCTACGGATTACCCACCATCTTAGCACTAGATTGCCGTAAGAACGCAACAAGATAAGAACGTAACCATCATATATTATACTCCGAATCGAGAGCCAGGGGTATTGCAAAAAGGCATTGATTCATTTTTGCTCTGAGACTACCATTTTTTCAAACATAAACAGGAAAAGACCAACGCTTATTCCTCAGTGAGAGTGTTGAGGAAAGTCTCGTTAGCGCGAGCGGGCTTGCCGCCCTCAACAGACTGCTGGCCAAGTTTCTGCTTGGAGTAAGCACCAGCGTAGGGGTTGAGGCGGAGCATGACCTGCTTGTTGCGGAGAGGGTTCTTCTTCTGGACGTTGACACGCTTGGTGCGGGCCTCACCCTTGGGGGCGCGGAGAACGGACTGGATTTCAGAAGAGTTGATGAGACGGGCAAGGTCAGCGTTGGCAACCTGGCCGGAAGGAAGGAGGTAGTCCTTCTTGAGGGCCGAGGGAGTGGTGGTGGTACCGTAGACCTGGTCGAGAGCCTCGAAAGCGGAGGAGGTCCAGACGACGAAGCGGCCGAGGTGACCACCGGGGGCGAGCTGGAGGAGGTTGAGGGCGAAGACGGGGGAGGTCTCAACACCGGGGATGTTGCGGAAAGCACGGACAAGCTCCTTGCCGTCAACCTCGGGGTTGTAGACAACGAGAGGACCGCGGCGCTGGCGGTGGCGACGGTTACGGAGCTTACCCTTACCGGCACGCAGCTTGCGGGACTTGGTGACCTTGACGAGCTCATCACCGGCACCGATGGCCTGGAGAAGGGCAATGGCGGCCTTGGTCTTGGTCAGGGCAGCGCCGGAGAAGGTCTTGGACTCAATGACGAGGGGAACCTCGGGGACGTTGGCGACACGGTGACCACGGGCGAAAAGGAGGGCAGGGACGGAAGAAGCAGCAACGGCGGAAGCAGTAGCGAAACGCTTCTGGTTCACGTTGATCTTCTGGTGCCACTTGCGCCAGACCTTGGTGGGAGCGAACATACGACCGGAACGGCACTGGTTACCGAAGGCAGCCTGACCGGCACGGTGAGTACCACCACCAGAGACACGGGGAATACGAGCAACAGCACGACCTATTCAATTGAAGATGATATCCGTTAGCAAATTGTCCCGTCGAAGCAATTGGGCCTCCTCCCGCAGTGAATGAAAATTCTTGCGTTCCACCCCCACTTTTCATGATCTCGAAAAGATCCCCAATTTGCATCTGAAATCAAAGGATTATTTTTGGTGAAAACGTACCGGTACCCCAGGACTCAGCAGAGGTCTGCTCGCCAGCCTTCTCGCTCACAGCGTAGGGCTGACGCTTGTTCTTGGCCATACCGGTGTGAACCTGCCTGTAGAGCCGTTAGCATTTCCACCTCGGACCTCAAACTTTTATTCATGGAGTCGTACTGGACGATATCCGGACGGATGGGCGCAGAGAAAACAGAGGGCAGGGTGTGGGTGGCCCCGGAGGGCTTGCCCTCAGCCGTGGCGATCGAGACGGTAGGGCGGGTGGCCATTGTTGTCGTTCGGTGTCGTTGGTGAGGTTGAAGATCAAAGGTTTCCCAGTATGGCCTGTCCTGTGGATTTTTTCGCTTACTGAGCTAAGCCCAGTCAGTGCGGGAATCAACCCTAAGCCCTGATTAACCATGTTCGGACTAGCGCCACCACTAAATATGACATAATCATGTAGCCCCACTTGCTCCTTCCTTTTTGGGTTTGTTGACATGCGCTTTCGTGGAGAAGGTGCGATCCACCTATCAATGGGTCATTGTTTCTCACTAAGAAGCCTGGAGCTCACCTTAATCTTGCAAGGTTGTTATGTTATTCCTCCATCTTGCTGATGATCACCGTCCACTATAGTCCACATGCTGTACATTTTAGTTTCTCTGCGTATGAAGCGCATGTCTGATTCTCCGTCCAAGGCTTTGACTACAGAAACACAATCTACTCGTACTCAGAGAACATATGAATAATTGAAATCTTATAATTGGTCACACTGAATTTCATCAAAGCTCATGAGGCCGATCTCCCATATCTAAATATTGTCTCTTAACATTTACAGGACGAAAACACAACATGATGTGCCAGAAAAAGAGAAAAGGGGTCCGCCCTAGGGCGTCTATCTAGGGCGGAAACGAAGTGAAAGAAAAAGAGGCAAGAACCAAAAAGCACATTTGAATGCGAAGAAAACCTGCCTAAAAGAGCAGGGCAGACAGTATCCGAGCCAGCAGATACTAAGTCTATGCGTGATGAGGGGCCCCAAGGGCACGCTTGCGGAAACGGAGCTCCGAAATAGCACGAGCGCGCTTGCTGGCAACCACCGTCAAATCTGAAGTCTTACCAGAGGTGCATTCGGTACCCGAGGCCATTTGCTGAGCAACAGACCAGACGCCCTCTGCGCAGCGCTGGAAGGAGGAACCGGCGATGCAATTCCATTCACCCTCGGGGCTGCATGAGCCGCTTAGAGTACCAGTGCTGGAAGAGGTGCTGCTTGATGGGGAAGCTGGGCTGACAGTCGAGGCAGAAGAAGCCGTGGGCTGAGGAGCAGGGTCACTTGTCGGGGCTGCAGTAGTAGTTGCAGCAGGCTCAGGGGCCTGGCTAGCGGTTGCGGTACTAGCCTGTGTTGCTGAAGTTGAGGTCGAACTGGAGTCTGAGCCTGAGCCCGAACTAGAGCTAGAATCGGAGCCCGAGGCAGTGTCACCTGAACCAGCAAATGTCGCAGTACCGGTACAAGCTGTTGAACCTTCCTTAGCCAGATTGGCAGCCTCGCCGAGGTACTCGATATCATCACCAGGCTGGGGGAAACGGATATCGACGCCCTCTGAGGTAGTGCAGCCGTTGACGTTTGCAACGAACATGGGTGGGTAGCTAGATGATCGCTTCTGGACCTTGTCGACGGGCTTGGCTTCAACTTCCTCAGATCTCTTAGAGGAAGAGCCGCTCTGGACAGTGACTGGAGCGCAGTTCATGTACATCTCGCGGTTGCCGATGCGGTTGAACCAGGTCCAGGCCAGAGTGTATTTTCCAGCCGCAATACCGTCGGGAATGGTGAAGTTGAAGGTGTATGGGTCAACCATGGTGGCACCGCCGGAGAGATTGCCGTCCACATTAGCTGGGCAGCCACCCTCGAAGGACTTGATCACCTGCCAATCAGTGTCCTTGGTAGGCGTCAGATCCGTGGTCAGACTGATCTGGCATGAACCACCACCGTGAGTGGCACTGCCTTCAAAGGTCAAAGGCTGACTTTCTCCGATAACCATCACATTCTGCTCGCTAACCGCGTAGGTATCCGAGCGAAGCTTGCAGGGGAAGTCACTGCCATCGGCGGCCAAAGGTGAGTTGTTGAGGGTGTCCTTGCCATAAGGAACGGGCTTGGTCATGATCATGTGGGCATTGGCGATAGAGGCGCTCAAGGCCGCAATGAGGATCGATTTGGCATACATGTTGGAAATATAAAGACAAACTTTTTCTGTGGTGTTTGGTCGACAAGAATTCTCAAATTTTGTTAGATCTGATTCGTACCAGACGAATTGGACCAGACTGAAAAGGATTGGTAGTACCCGTGGAAGTATAAAAATATCGTGCGAAGACTAATTCGGTGTTTTAGCAATAGAAGATATAAAATACATGGAAAGTCTAGGTCGTTTTTATAGCTGATCATTGATAGATCTTGACATATTGTCGACAAGGCAGAAACAGCTTGAGCGTACAGGCAACAATCGCCATGCACAAGCTCATTGAATGAGACCAAACGACGGGTATAGAGCGAATAAAGAGTGACCTACTGTTGTGGCAGACTGAATCAAGCTGATTCAAACGAGAACAGCCAAGTTCTTTGACTTTTTTACTTGTTTCAAACAGGCTGACTTTTTGCAGATGTATAGAGGCACCGTATTTTCCAAAGAAGAGCTTGAAGGAATGTAGAAGTGTCTTGCCACAGGCAACGACAACAGTGTTTAAGATGACAAGGAGAGAAATAAAGACAGGACTAGCCCGCTCGGTATCAAACCGTGAAAGGAAGGAGTGAAAATGTAAAAGAATGAAAAGAGAAGAGAAGATGTCGAGATGCACGAGAAGAAGAGAAAAAAAGGAATCATGCATAGGCGCTGAAAGATCTTATATACGCGCCGTTCAGTCTCTTCATCTGGCAGCAAGGTGTGACCCTTTTTTTCCGACAGACCCTGAATGACGACCCAGTCAAAGCACCCACTGCAATCAATCGGATACTCTGAAAGTTTGATCTCCTCCACAATTCACTAGCCGAGCAACATCTTGACGATCGCATTCCCATTTTGCCCAAGCCGCAAGACAGGTCAGGGGCTAGTGGAATTTCGAGAAAGCTGGGATGTTTCATCTCTGGCTTCGTCAATTGCATAGATCTGACGGAGGTGATGGGTGGATTCTGCCAGTTCAGCCAGTTAGAGAGCAGAACGCAGACACTCTATGGCTTGCGATCTACCTGTTCCAACCAGGCCGGGCGGCTGGTGAGGAAGCCAACCACCGCACAGACAGGCGGCAAGAGTGACCCCTCCGATCCGCCCCTTGGTAAACAGACCTCTTCCCCGTGTCGCACCATTCATTTTGAGGACCCAGGGATGCCATGTGCCCGGTCCTCCCGACTATAGGATTGGTTGCGGGGGTCAGCCCCTTGGCGCCTACAGCTTCTTGTCAGCGGGTCCGCCACCAATCAATTCACGGAAGAAGGAGAGATGCCACCGCATAATGGAAAAGGTTTGGACCAGGTTACTCTCGTTTCATCCCTCTTCTTGGTTTGACAGCTCCACTGTATACTACAACAAACAATGCCCAGGAAAATAGAATAATAAAGTGATCGGTCTTACAACCGTGATTGGCATGTCCATGCAACTATGTGATTGCATGGTTGCGACCTATAGAACCACATCGTTTGGCAATGACGCAGTTGCCTCCTGCATTTGAGACATACAGAGACACATGGCAGATGAAAGCGCTTTCGTGCCATTCCCAATGGAGAGCCTTAGAATAATAATAATAGCCTTGTTCTACAGAATACTATGCGTGTATATTATCTTCTGCATGGAAAATTATAGGAAGCTACCCACTGGGGCGATCGCATTGCCCCCATGGGCCAAAAATATTGCTAGTAGATCCACATTTATGGGTAATGTATAATCTCTTAGAGGCCATCGAGAGGAATCTCAAACAATGGTCGAATGAGCCGGTTCAAGGGCGGAGATCATGGTGGATTTCCGGGGAGAAGGGCAAGTGTCAACCGAACTCTGTTTCAGACTCCCCCACATGCTGTTGGACGTCATTTCTTCATCTCAAATTTTCAAATGCCTTTGAAAAATTATAGGAGCTATCATTTCCTTTTTACTCCACTATGAACTACCCACTATGAACTACCCACTATGAACTACCCTGAAAATGCCTTCATTTTCTTGTTTGGGTTATCAGCGGCTGAGTCTTCCGCAGTATCTCTACTTCTCCACACCCGAACCACTGATCAAGATGTCCCGAGGTTCCGCAAGGCCCAAAATTTGAAAGCAATGAGTAACTAAGGCTGTTTCAGGTTGACAGCAGATCCATCATACCTGTTAAACCTGTCTCTCGGGTATGGATCTATAGAGTCACAACTAGTTGTCTCAACTTTCAGATTGTCGCCCCTGCTAATTTCATCTGTTCTTGGCATCTTCTGACCCAGCTCGGCTAACAGCTTAGCTGTGGATAAAGTGGAGGCGCTTATAGCATGTTCCTTATAGATGAGATTCTCAGGAACTAGATCGCGAGCTTCTCCGAGCAATGTTAAACTTCTCGTACCATGGTACGGTTGTAGTTCGGCCCCTTCAGCTCATAATTAAAATTAAATTAAGGCGCAAACTGTTAATAAACAAGGAAGTTGTTCTTGGTTCTTGATCAGTTTGTAGATATTTGTCATTCTCGTGAGGTTGATCACAATCAAATGAGCATCAAGTGGCTGTCTGGATTTTCTGGACTCGCATGGGCTTAACTTCTTCGCACAAGTGCTGACAGTGGATGTCATTTCTCAAGAATGAGCAGTCATGAACCTTAGAAATGCGTTACGGAGATGCTCGGTGCGCAAGAAATGAATGGTGGATATCGTTGAGAAGACCTTATCTTGATGTTTTGTTAATATTTTGTTGAGCTTTGTCGAGGTCCATGTGGCCTGCAGGACCCATGCGAAAGATTGAAGCGAAATGGTCCACGAAGCCCCCGGGGAAGCTTTGAAAGGTAGCATGGGAGACAGAATCAAGGAAGTTGTCAACGAGGTATCTTCTATTCTTCACATTGCATTCTAACGATCTATCAAATAGAACTTTCTTACATGGAACAGTCTTCTGATGCTTGTCCCCCAAGCAGAGCAATTGGTCAACGTAAAGTGATGGTACAGTCATCGAAGTCAGGTTTCCTCTAGGGATCCCTATAGAAAAGCCATTCGCCCTTCTTACTGTCCCAGGCAAATAACAGTGGGGGTCTGAGCTCGTGGTAGGCCTGGAAAGCAACATGACGACGTCGACCTTGTTACCAACAGAGCCTTTCCTCATCCGAGCTCAAAACAGCGGATGATTTCTGAGACTGTAGAGTCCTCTGATATGATTCGGTCGCAGTTCCTTGGAACTTCCATTGGATAAGTTCACTGGCTCTGGCGCTCGTGGCACACTGATGCTGTGCACCGGCTCTCGCCATTGTTTTCTCATTTCTTTCCTTTCTTCTTGCCTTTTTCAGCATTAGCAGAGCTTTCGCTGCGCACAAATCCACCCTTGACCAACGCGTCGCGGCCAACATCGTTGATTAGTCGAAATCGTGCCGGTCCAAGGTGAATCCCACCATACCAGCGAGATACCACGACCAGAACATTCCACACATCCATCAACTGCATGACGTGTAGCAAGCGAGCACCAGCAGCCGTTTCGCCGTCGTCGTCGTAGTCTTGAATCTGTGTCTCAGCTCCATTTGAACTCGCCGAAGCCCCATCCTTCTTTTGTTTAATGCGCCACGCACTAATATTGTGGGACGCGACCGCAGCTTTCTTATCAGTAGCAGTGAGGTAGTCCAAATAAGACTGTGCCTCAGTGAGATCGGACACTTGCACTGCTCTGGCCAGAAACACAGATTTCTTCTCAGTTACCACATCGGAGAGAATCCAGTCCGGAGGCGCATCGAGTCCAAATGCATCTTTTATTGAAAGGGCCGCAAAACTCTCCACGACGTGCGAAGTGGCCGATGTAGATTTATCCGGTGTTACCGTCTGGTTTGCTAACTGTCCATTTTGTGCAGATGGTAATTCTCCGGCACCAGCATCCTTGACTCCACCGATATTCAATTCAGGAAATACCTCCACCGCTTCACTAATCACGTCGAACAAGCATACAGCGCCCGGCTGCCATGTTCGTTGCACAATGTCCTCCAGCACATCTACAGCGATTTTCCCTTCTCCACGTGCGGCCGTAGATGCCGTACCAAGAATATTAGGCCGAGTCCCGGGGTATTCAGTGCCGAATGAAATTATAAAGGAGAGATGAGGTTGACCGGGCAGCTGGAGCGTTATCGTGGTTTGCGCATTGTCGCTGGATGATGATGTGGCTGACGAGCCGTCTAATGTGATGGTGTCGGGTTCATATATGGCGTTTATGGCTTCGATTTCTTCGGCCAGATCTCGATTCTGTAGGTCATCCAATTGCGACATTGTTCTGCATGGCTTGCAAGGTTGTGAACAGGAAGATGTATAGGATTGGCCGACTGCGGAGAACTTTTGGGAAATTATTGATTTCCCCGCAGATGCTTCCTCAGGCATCAAGGCACCACTTTATGGATAATTGGATGTACTATATCATGCCACTGGGAACTTTTATGAGCATATTGTGAGTAGTACGCAGAGCTTACGTAGATCGATATTGAAGATGCAGTTACATTCAATTGCCGAGCAAGGAGCACTATACAATGAAACGCCACTTAAGCCTTGAAACACGCAATGCATCTACTCTCTGTTCCATCTAAATTACAACGTCAGATGGAACACTCGCTAGAACTTTGGAAATGACAACATGGCAAAACTGCCACGTCAATGAAACCTTGACGCTTGTCTCACAAAAGTCAAGATTTGACGGAAATCACGAGGTTCTTCCGTGGTATCGTTCTGTTCGGGTTTAAAATTCAAGGATATGCTTGGGTCACCTTTCGATGTACCACCCGAGCAGCTGCAGAAAGTTGATCAAACAGAAGACAAAATATCGGTAGACTTTGGAACGACTGGATACTGATATTGTGCAAGTTCTGCATTACCCACCAAGGTCTCCTGCATACAATTCCTAATCTTAGAATCATTTACATACACCACGGTATATGCAGGTGAAGATTAGCGTTCCTTGTCGTCATACAGTCAAACCTGTCAAAGTTCGCGAACCCGTAAGCCGAGCTCTTGTGAGATCCCCAGGTTTTTGTCTTACAAGCTATTGAAACTCAGCAGCAGCTACCCCTGCAGCGACTTACTCTTCACCACTCCAATCGGTCATCATCAAGGTACTTTCAAACTTAACAGGAGACACGATGGCAAATCTTGTCATACAATCCACGTATTCGCAAAATAAAGCCGAGATACATGGAATAATGTACCTAACTCGATGGAAGCAGATTAACAGACTTTCCACATGCTTCTTTGGTGGTACTGCTAAAAGAGCCTGTAATTGGCTACATATGAAAGACGTTTTTTCCCGAGAAGCTTCATCTAGGAGTTTTATCATTACTACTGGCTTGTCGCATTTGTGGACATGGAAATATATGGGGCATCTGAAGAGACGCACTTGTACTTCTACTGATGATCTGGGAATGACGATGAACCCTGGAAGTTGCAATTCTAGAAAAACAGCACTATAGGATGTGCTCTTATCCGTGAGAATGTTTCACGGTTGTACCGATTTCCTCTCAGCACATGAATGCTGAGCAAATAGGCCACCTCAAACAAGGTAATTCTTCCCCACATTTGACTTCGAGCATTGGAAGACAGGGAAACTTGGTCACTGGCGTTGATTACGGTGCCATCGGTGAATATTGAGATCCCAGCTTTGATACCGGTTCGGATGAGACCCTGAGATAAAAATGGTATCATAAGATTAGAATTGTCAATATTTAAAGAGGCTGCCATCACGACCTGAGACTACCACTTCCTGTTTATCTTGCAATTAGTCCATAACCTCAAGTTTTCATTGAACTACAGACTTCTAAATATTACTGTGAGATTCTCTCGCTGAGGCTTTTCCATACCACAATAATGATTTAACAGAAGTGAGGCATTGAAACATATTCACCATAATGAAGTTGACTTTGTTTTTGACTTTGCTTGGTCTGGCGAGCACGGTGGTTGCTGTCGTTGAGCAGCGTGATGATGTATACAATGATGAGGCCGCTAAAGGTAAACTTTCCTTCACTATGTAAGGGGTCCACTGAAATTGCTAATTACAAGTCTGTATAGAATGGAAAGTAGTCGCCCGCGCAGAAGAAGCGACGGAGGGTGCCCAGGTTGTTCAAGATACTGAGCAAGTTGGTGGCGATGACAGATGGGGACCGGGTCGTGGCGGTCAAGGCCGCGGTGGATGGGGAGAAGGCCGAGGAGGAGGTGGCGGAGGTCGAGGTGGTGGATGGGGAGGAGGTCGAGGTGGTGGATGGGGAGGAGGCCGAGGTGGTCGGGGTGGTGGAAGAGGAGGGGGATGGGAGTAGATTTACTAGTAGCTTGGTATATCGAGTGGGAGGGCTGTACGTTGAGCTGAGGGCTGCCGCATGCATGTTAAGTTGTGGGTATTCTGAAAAAAATCAAATGAAAATGGCCACTGTCAGGTAAAAAACTATATGCCATAGCTACGTATACAGTCTTTATAGTCTTGTGTATACTTCAAGTTTGACTTCAAGTTTGCCTTCAAGTGCTTGGAAGCCCGGGTGTATGTGTGTGAACATGGACATCCCATTCAACTTGACAGTGATTGAGACATCCTCGTATTGTGGTAGTCGTTCAAAAAGGGGGGAAAACGTCAGCCATAATTTTCTAAATATCAAGTCATTGACAATTTGCTATCTTCGTGTATCTACATCCCAAGTTGTGCTGCTCAATCATTATCCGAATTCGGTATTAATCAATAGCTCGTTGCTGAAAAATGGGCCCTGGAGCCTGCCCGTACCGCTAGCATATCTAAATTAGAAATATCATCTTCCAAGTCATCCAAATTCTTGCGTTTCCAAAACGATCGGAATCCATGCACAAGTCTGCTAGTGAATGGTGCAACTTCTTCAAGGTCCATCGGTGCGAAAGAAATGCGTATATACCTGTGAGCCCGCTCTAAAGATTTCGAAGTAGGAGCAAACATGCTGCCTGGGCCAACTAGGCATAGAGTCGGCTTTCGTGTCAAGTGAACCCAAAGAGCCTGAGAGATCTTTTCAGAGCTATATTGGGATCGAAGAGGATGAGTCTCAAAATACACCTCTATCCAGGCGAACATGCCAGCCTTTGGCCAAACGAAGTTAAACATCTGGATACGGTCAATTATTTCCCAACCGTCAGCCTGATTTGTGGTTGCAGAGGGGAAGCTCTCGAAGTCTTCTGAGAGAAAGAACTTGTTGTCTTCTAGAATGGTGCACATGGCCTGCATGCGCTTCTCATAACCGGCTCGCAACCCTTCAAGCCAGCGGACCCAGCCGGCCATCTGCCACCCTTTGCCTTCTCGTACCTTGGAGACTCGAGACTTTGAATCCCCACATTGGTTTCCCATAATAGTTTCAGCAATAATTGATTGCACAAATCCAGATGGTTGCTGCGTGGAGGATTCAGTGATACGAGTCAGACGTTCGATTATAGCGGGCTGAGCAGTAATCCAGCCAAGTCGACTACCCGGAGCAATGGTCTTCGAGAACGTGTCGAGTCTTACTACTCGGCCATCGGTATCAATTGATAGATATGAGGGAACCAATGAATCGAGAAATGAATAACCCGACGACTTTCCTTGCTTCTTATTGTATCGTGACGATGTACCTGATAAGCCACGTGCATGTGCCTCCATTTCGTATGCAGATGGGAACTGCAAGTTCCAGTATGGCTCGTCTTCAACAACAACCACGTCATATCTTTGACAGATGGCGTATATTTCCTTTTTCCGTTCGATTGGCAACACAGCACCCGACGGATTTTGACCAACCCTGTTGTTTTATTAGTTCAAATGCTCTTAGCCTTCCCGGAAATCAACAATGAGTTCAGGCTCTACTCACGTCACCGTATACATAACATGAGGCCGACGACCCTGTCGAAAATTCCAATTTTCTAACACGTCAGCGAGGCCTCCTTTGCCTGAAGCACGCATCCCCTCGCCATCCATCGCCACGCCCACTATATTCAAGCCCAAAGGTTGAGCAGTTTGAATAGCATTCATGTATGTAAACTCCTCACACAAAATTCCTTCTCGTTGATGAACCCAATCTCGGTGCGGATTCCAAGGATTGACAAAAAGATCAAGAGCCTTAGAAAAGCCGTCGGTATTACCACAGCTTAGAATGATATCTGCCCCTCCTTCATAGGGCACATTGGGATGGAGATGATTGCGGACAAATTGGCGTAGGAAAGCCAATAGGGCAGGATATCCTTCAGCAGTTCCATACTGAAGAGCAGTAGTCAAGTCTATCCGTGTTTGAATGTCGGCGGTTTGCGATAGTTTAGGTACATTAACTCGATCTGGTTTTGAGTCTGCGTCGGTGCTGGGCTTTAGGCGCTCTGGCTTGGCGACTGTGGCCTCGAGCGTGTCATAAGGGAAGTACGCCGGGTTTGGTAAACCTGTAGAGAATCATCATGAGTCGGACTTTGTTCATTTGTTTTGTTGATCTGTTTTGGTGAATTGTTTGGGGGACAAGATAATGTTACCTCCCGCGAGATTGGCAATGCCCGGAACAGAATAATACTTGTAGAAGCTTTTCACAGAACTGGGGATACGATTTTTGGCAGTATAGGAGTAGTGGTGCGACAAGTCTAACGGCTGTGGGGCTGTCACCGTCATGTTGATCGCTGTACCTCAACGGTCGTGCAGATGTCAACGGGATGATCAACTACGAAGTCCCAGGAGGTGAGGAAAGTGACAGATAAGGTCAATGGAGCCAAAACGGGTCTATACTTCTATTTCTAATCTCCGAGCACCCCGTATCCTACTAAATATCCCCGCACGAGCCTCGCTTGATAAGCAAAGCCGTTGAGACCCGGCCGTTCCACTATATTTGCTAAAAAGTTGTTTGATAGGACGGATAACAGGGACTAGACTGCCGAAAGGAGCTAGCCATGGAAATAGAAACCAGGAATAAATCCTGTCGGAGCCAAACCGTCTTAGTGCATTGATAGATGTTTCTTTGTGCGGGTGGGTATCAGTCCTCGTTCTGGTGCTGGAGCGACTTGACTCCAATAAGCATAGATAACATGTGCATATCCAAGCTTGGGGATGACAGGCAGGGGGGAAAGTATAATGCTTATTTTTTTGTTGCATTATCCTGCGTTAGGGCCCTGTCAGCGAAAGCATAGCTGTCATTTTCCAAATATTAAATGTTGAGATAGAATCAAATCCAGTAAACCTATCGATCATGCCTAAATATGGACCAGGAACCAGAACAAAGGGGACTTTGCACCTGAACAGTCATGTGACGACTGTGAACTGGTCAATGTCAACCTTACAGTAGTGCCCCAGGTCACCGCCCTCGAATCCGCCTTTTGGCCCCCGCGAATCCCCATCTCCATGATCGATCTCCTTTGTATCTCTCTCTTACAACATCCACTCTCTTATCTAAACCCGCTTTACTGAATTCGCCTTATATTAGTACTCACTGGTCCGATCTTTACAGTCATTCTGGGTGTTTTGGTGCTCTAGTGTCCCGGTTCCTGGTGATCCTCCGCCTTCTCAAGGAAACCCACTTTTTGGAGACGATCCCCACTGTTTTCGACCCTAGCGTGCCGACCGCTCCGACACCGACATCATAGCCTTCACATTCATTCACTTGCTTTATAGACCTTCTTTCTATTTTTCTAGAGTACCCTTCAACAGCCATGCTTGGAGAGGGCCGTGACGAGGCCGGTCGACTATATGTCCCCCCTTTGATCGAAGATGATGATCGGATGCTCAATCCCGATGCTTCCGAAGATTTCCCGCCACCTGATGTTGAATCGGGCAGCACCTTGCCCATCTGGTTACAAGAATCATCCAAGTCTTTTCGATGGGGCTGGGTTCCATTGCCATTAAGAAAGGCCGGACGTGCGACTGCAAATTGGGTTAAAGGACCGGATCCTCCCCATATGCTGCTGCTAAAGCCTCTATTTCCCCGCTTGCAGGAGCTGCCCGTTCAGTATCTCGAGCGCTTCTTTCCCAAGCGCAAGCACAAATTATTCCTACTTTTTCTGATATACCTATCTTGGTTCTTGCCATGGTTTTTGGTTCTTCTGGACTCACGTTCTTCTGGTTATATTGAGGGATATGGGCAGCTCCAGACACTCTCATGCGGTACCACTTTATGGTACGTCATAACACGATATTCAAAATGGGTTGAACTTGACTAATCCCTGCTGTTTTTTTTAACTATAAAGGAGGTCCGACAATGGTTGCGGCCTTAACGGTAACGATTGCCGACCCTTTTCAGAGTCGACCATCGCCTTTCGCTGCCCCGCAAATTGTGGCGATTTAAAATTGTTAGAGCCCCATGTTGTGGGCAACCATTCTTTTAACTACCAAAGTCTTGTGATTGGAGGCCCGCCACCGCACTCATCTGCCCCTGCAGTATACCGTGCCGACAGCTTTGTGTGTCAAGCGGCGATGCACTCCGGTGTCATTTCTAATGACGGCGGTTGTGGCGTTGTGAAACTCGAAGGTGCTGCGCACTCATTCCCGTCCGTGAAACAAAACGGGATTAAGTCAGAATCTTTCCCATCGACCTTCCCAAAGTCATTTAGCTTTCTTCAGCTACCTTCCTCGCAAGCCCATTGCCCGGCTGACCCCCGCTGGACCCTTCTTGGGGTCACGGCGGCTGCGATCGGAGTGCTTTGGCTTTTCTGCACATCGCCGCCAGTACTATTCTTCAGCACGTTTTTCATCGTGTTTTCTCATACCGGTCTTGTTGGCGATCCGCCTTCCTATCCAGGTCTTGCTGATCTTGTCTCCACTCTTTTGTCTCGACTACTCCCGGCATCATTTGTCGTTTTTGTTCTATACAAGTTCTGTGCCGCCCCTCTTCTCCAACCAATCACTTCGCCTATTTATCAACTTGAAAAGCTCATTCTGTACCTCCCGCCGCTTTTTATCGGCGCCCTGAACAACTATACCTTCGCGCGATTGATTCCCCTCCAGCGACTCACACCAATGGATATACAGCAACAACCCGGTGCAAAATTGGCACTAGCCTTGGTCATTCCAACCGTACTTACAATCATCCTTACCCAAGCGTGGCAAATTCGCCAAGGTGGTTTACTGCCGCGTTACCTGAAGATCTACTGCAGCATGGGTTTGATCATCCTCATTCTCTTACCACTTCCCGGCCTGCGACTCCGGATTCATCATTATATTCTGGCTATGTTACTGTTACCTGGGACTGCCTTCCCCACAAGGCCATCGTTGGTTTATCAGGGTTTGCTCCTTGGTCTTTTTATCAATGGCATTGCTCGGTGGGGGTTCGCTTCTATCATTGAGACACCTGCCGCTCTAGGGGAACTAGCTCCAGGTCGCGCTGGAGGTAATGCTTGGTGGGGCTCAACATATCCCAATATCACTGATGCATCCGTAAAGATTTTCTTACCGGGTACGGGATCCAATGAGACCTATCCTGGCAATGGCAATATCACATTTTCTTTGTGGGAACCCGAACGAATGGAAGGCCTTGGTGTGGATGGGATTTCGGTTTTGCTCAATGATGTAGAGCGTTTCCGAGGTTATCTGGATGAAGACAAGAGCGGAGAATTCACTTGGCATCGCCACGGTCATGATGGGTTGGAATTGCAACAGCCGCCCGTATTCGTGCGCCGAAGCCTTGATGCATCTGATTTCGAAACCCAGTCTGTCCTTATTACAGGGAGCGATCCATCTGACAAGCCTGACGATTTGTTCTTCCGGTTTGCATTCCTCCGGGGCGCCTCGGCTGGCAATTACGGACCCACCGGAGTTTGGCAAAGTGACGGGTCTTGGAGTTCCCCAGCTTCCCCTAAGGCCTAAAGCATCGAATGCATTTTCCTTGTCTTGCGTTTCATCATCTCTCATTTCTTTCTGCTGGATAGAAGAAGACGATATATTGGGGGGCACGTGTGTGCTGGACGCGCTCTGCCGCCCTGTTGAGTGGTAGAGCCTGAAGAGGCGATTTGCTCTACAACATGACGACCCGACACGCTAAATTAACATCATGGGTGTCGATAGCTTTGTCGGGATTCCATGTATTTACGAGTTTACAATAGAACATCCTTTACTGAAGATTATTAAATAAGTAAATATCCCAATTTCATAGAGATTATAGACACGAGGCACGTGATCATGGCGTCCAGGCAGCACCGCTTTTACCCGTTGACATCCATCCCCCTAGTAAATGCAGGTGCGCTTCCCCTTGTGTCATCTTCACCAAATCCTGCCATGGAACCCGAGGGCTCCGAGAACGACGAGCACCAGGTGCCAAGCAGCAACTTGGCCCGACGCGCAGTATGTACATGATTACTATCACTCCAATCCACTACGTATAAGTTACTAGTGTGGCAAATCCAGTTATTGTAGATTAATCAATACACTAACATTTATCTAGTGTGATCAATGCCGTGCTCGAAAAGTGAGTAAAAATATTCATGGGCGTTAGCCAATGCATGGCATGGAATATTGATGTAGCTTTTGCAGATCCGCTGTGATAAACGCTCTCCATGCGCAAATTGTCGCACTTCAAAAGTTATCTGTCGATCTACAGGCGAGGGCCAAAAGCCACATGAGCCTCGAAGGCGAGTCCTTATCTCTAGTCAATAGTAAGTCATCTGAATCCAGATGGTTGATGATTTGGGTAAACCCAAAACATTCGGTCGGCGCGTTGACAAGCAAGCGCAGTGAGCACAAGATAGATTTTATTGAAGAGCGACTAGGCGGCATCGAAAAAGCTCTGCAGGAGCTAGTCGCTGCATCTCGATCGCATGTGCATACACCCAATGGATCTTTTGGACCCCCTTATCGATCACCTATACCAAATGCTCGCGTTAATTCTCCTGCGGTGAAACTTGACCATGCGGGCCTCAAAGGCCCGGGGTATACGTCCAACTTCGCTATTGAGCAACATGATCTAAGCTCTAGCTTTGAGGGGAATTCATCTCTCGCAGCGCACTCGGTATACGCTCGGGAATTCTTGGAATCTGCCGTTTCGCATAGCACGCCCGAAGTCTTATCGAGCCCGAAAATAAATGAGGCACTGTCATCATTACGCCGAATTGTGGAATTGCAGAATAAACGCCGGGAAACCGATCCACAAAGGGCTCATTTTCCCAACCAGGAGAGTAAATTGGGCTCTCGTTGTGATATTCGTGAGCTGAAAATGCCACCGCAATCAGTCGTTTTGACAGTGTTGAGGGAGGTGAAAGGTGCGATCGACCGCATGGCGAAGTTTATGGGCTCTATCGCTGATGTACTTCTCAGATAATCCGCCGTCTACGTTCGGTGGCTTTATTCCCTTCTTTGACGTAGATTACTTCATCGAGACATGTCGACAAGTCTACTTCTGCACCGATGAATATTCTGACGCAACATTCATTTCTGCTAATTTTGGACTCTACTGCCTTTTCATCGAATTGACATATGTAGAGAAGGACCCAGCTATCCGTGACGAGTATCAACATTATGTACAGATGAGCAAGCATAATCTGGAGGCAGCAGTAGCCAGCTTGAATATTTTGATGCCGGTGACCAACGAATCCATTGTTGCCCTTATTCTTGGAGTAAGTCCTCCCGCTACAATTTGCCATGAGGGATCTAATTATAATAGGCAATGCACGGCCTTGAAATTTCCAAGCCATCTGTAGGTTGGACACTGGCTTCAACAGCTCTCCATATGTGTCAAACCTTGGGCTACCATCGTTTGTCCTCCATGGAGCATGATACCCCGGCAGTTAGAAAGCAAAAACAGCGTATATTTTGGTCACTATACACTTTACTAAATTTGATGGCTCTTCGGCTTGGTCGGGCGTCGCCCATGGAAGACTATGACATTGGACTGCCCCCTCCCTCGGAGACGTTCGATGATGGCACAATATGGGGTAAAGTATGCGCCTTGTGGACAACGCAGGCTACGCTCCAAAGCAAGGTATACACTCTTCTGTATAGTCCCGCTGCTCTGAATCAACCCGAAAGTCAAAGAGTTTCCCATGCTCGTCGTCTGGCTGCAGAGATGAATACAGAAATTATCGAGCCATTTGAAGTATGTGGACCCCATAGAATACAAGTTTCAAGCGAGATGCTGATCATAACAGTCCATCATGTCCACCAGGCTTGATTTGAATGATATGGATATTGTTTATCTTCAGACTGACAAGGTCAGTCGGCTCGCGATTCTGACGTTAATATACCGCGCGATACCTGCCGAATCAGGCTCCTCCGGCACATTCATACCAGAATGTATTGAAACAGCCCGAGCCTCACTGCAATGTCACCAAGGATGTGTTGGCTCCTTACAAGAAGCCAGCGAGGTTATTCGCTGTTCTTATATGCACTGGTAAGAACCACCGCAGCATACTATTTTCTCAGACGCGCGATAAAGAAACTGAAAGTTAACAGGGCCGTCCTACTCTCGCCATTCGTTCCGTTCATAGTAATGTTCTGCCACGTAATTGCAACATCCGACGAAGACGATCTCACTCGACTCGACGACTTCGTAGCCTCTCTTCACCCACTTTGCTCGTTTTCCCAGGCCGTTGATCGCCTCCACAATATTTGCTCCGTTCTCGCTACCGTCGCGAGACTGTACGTTGAGACTAAAACTCGAAGTAAAGCGGAAAAGGATCAGAACCTTGCTTCAGTCGGACAGGAGTTTGATGTCTATCTCAGTGCCCTGGGACTGGCACCTGGAAATACCATGACCAGTTCGGGGTACTTCCAACCCGATGTACCTGGCATGCAAGTCGAAGCTCCGGAGTCTACTGCACATATGCAGGACTTATCTATGCTGGCTGTTCGGTCACAGCGTTCGAATCATGAAGCACCATCTATTACCGAGATTTCACAAGCAGCACAGTTGGGAAATTGGTTCTCAGGGAATCAATACATGATGGGTCTTTTGGAGGAGGATCTGTTTCAGTTTAATCCCAACGGATGATCACAAAAAAACAGTTCCCCTTCGGGATTTGCTTTTGATCCTCAAACCGGCCTGGTTCCTATTTGTTTGATTATGTACTAATGAGGCAAATCTACCAGCAGTGGATTTTTGCCAACAAAACAACCTTCGATTATCACGCTTCTCACAGTTCCGAGTCTGTATATTATGAAGAAATTAATGACGATATGTCACACTTTGAGCGCAGGAAGCCTGATAACTATAGTGACCTCACCTGTCTAGTATAATCTGGGTGGAGATGAATAATCTTATTTAATAGGCTATTCGATTTCCCGATCAAAGTGAAAATAGCGTTGTTAATTTTTGAACACCCCTTTTCAAACGCGAGTCAAGTCTAGCTAGATTTTAGTTCTTGCTCCCTTATATCTGCCCGATACATCACATTTTTCATCAATGACGTCGATTATGAAAAATCTCGCATTCTGGTCGCACCAACCTATACTAAGTGGAGCTTTAAAAATTTTATCGGTCGGCCATGCATAAAACGAGTGTTTCGGAGACCAACGCTGCCCGAAATCGGTTCACTTCCGAGCAGAAAGGGGGCTCTTTTGCCCTGTGTGGTGGATCTCAATGGATATAGCGCCGGCAATTAGATGGGGCAGACCCGCCCAATGACGATACCCTCAACCGAACATCCGTTTGAACGTCGAACCGGTTTGGGACACACGTTTATCCACAGACTGAAGATGCTCGAGCTTCATAGGCTGATGTTTTGATTTCGGAGCAAAGCGAATCTTTTGGTGTTAAAGGGTGCTGTGTTCCCCGGAATACTTGGTTTCTTCATAACATTCGATTTTTTCGACATTCTAGCACTCGTTCTTGGGCTTCCTTTTCAAGTTCTCATACTTTATTTTTATACACTCGCCCTTCCTTTCGCTTCTTCGATTTGCTTGAAATACAGAAAGGCTTGAAGCTTTGAATTGACATGATTTTGTGTTGACATTATTTCCATAAAGAGACAAAGCTTCATTATATTCAAGTTTCACACCACTATCGCGTACGAATTCGCCCTGGACTACATTCATTGACTGCACTTCAATCCCTTTGCGACCTCGAAAGTCCCAATTGCAACATAGCAAACCAGCATATACCCGTTCATCGCGTCGATAATCCAACAGCACCAATACCCTAGCGAACTTTACCGAGCACGACTACCTATTCCCTCCACATGCAGCATTTGTCCTGAGTGATTAAATTATATTGTGACCTGCGCAACAAACTCAGCAACAGAAACCCGAGCACCAATAACCAATAATATTCGCCGTATATAGACTGATCGACATCTCAAAATGAATCGCTTCGATCTCGAAAAGACAGCAAACGCCAAACCCTGTTCAAGCGACAATGGTTCTACTAAGCTGACAGACTCCGATTCCGACGCGGCCAGACTGGCTGAAATGGGATATACCCAAGACTTGAACCGCAACTTTTCAATTCTCTCTCTCATTGGAATTGCGTTCTGTATGTCTAACTCATGGTTTGGTATTTCTGCGTCCATGATTACGGGTATCAGCTCTGGAGGTACAGTCCTTATTGTCTACGGATTACTCTGGATCACTTTTATATCGCTTGGTGTGGGAGCTTCGCTTGCTGAGCTTGCAAGTTCCATGCCAAATGCTGGTGGCCAGTATTTTTGGGCTTATGAGTTAGCTCCTCCAAAATATGCTCGCTTCGCCTCCTATCTGACTGGTTGGTTTGGATATGCGGGAGCTATCTTTGCATGCTCAAGCGTTGTCCTTGGCTTGGGCGAGGCTATTGTGGGCATGTGGCAATTAGGCCACCCAGACTTGTATGCTTTACTACTCATGTTGAATAATTCGAGAAATCTCAAGCTAATCAATTTTCCCTATTCAGCGTGGTCAAAGCATGGCACATCGTTGCAGCTTACCAAGTGATTAACTTCTTCTGCTTTCTTTTCAACTGCATTGGCAAGTTGCTTCCGGCCATTGCGAAAGCTACGTTGTACATCTCTTTGGTATCTTACTTGGTTATTCTTGTCACTGTTCCAGCATGTGCGCGTCCTCATGCAAGTGCAGAATTTGTCTTCGGTCACTTTTCCAACACTACAGGATGGAAGTCCGATGGTATGGCATTCATCGTTGGATTGATCAATCCAAACTGGATCTTCGCGTGTCTTGACTCGGCAACTCATCTTGCTGAGGAGGTTCCTGAGCCAGAGAAGAATATTCCGATCGCTATCATGGCCACTGTCGGAATTGGATTCGTGACCTCGTGGACGTACTGCGTATCAATGTTCTTCGGCATCAAGGACCTTGATGCTCTAGTCAACTCTACCACTGGTGTCCCTATCTTACAGCTCTACTACCAAGCCTTGGACAACAAGGCTGGTGCTATTGTTCTCGAGACTTTGCTGTTTGTCACTGGTATGGGATGTCTGATTGCATGCCATACATGGCAGTCTCGCCTTTGTTGGGCATTCGCGCGTGATCGTGGACTACCAGGCCACCAATGGCTAGCCAAGGTCAACCCGACTCTTGATGTTCCTCTTATCTCTCACTCCGTGAGCTGCTTTATCGTTGGTCTTCTCGGTCTATTATACCTCGGCTCTTCGACTGCATTCAACAGCATGATGACTGCGTGTATCTCGCTTTTGTATGTCTCTTATGCCATCCCGGTTCTCTTTTTGTGGTACCGTGGTCGTGATAACATCCATCACGGTCCATTCTGGCTTGGGAAACTTGGCATGGCTGCAAACGTTGTGACAATTTTGTGGACGATCTTTTGCATTGTCATGTACTCTTTCCCATCCACTATGCCAGCAGAGACAAGCAGTAAGTTCATATCAAAATTCTAGAATTGGAATCCTTGCTAATTCTTTCGCAGCTATGAATTACGTCTGTGTGGTGTATGCCGTGGTGGTTTTTATCATGGTCGTAGACTGGTTTGCGCGTGGAAGTCGTTCGTTCAAGTCGAACGAGTCTTCGGAAACGAAAGTCGAAATCATGGAATAAGTAGTTAAACCGTTGCAATTATTTCCGCAACATGCTTTCACTACTATTTGTATAAAGTTCTCTCATATATTTGAAGGTTGGCTTAGCATAGCTGGAGTTCAAATGGGCATATACAGCCCTGGAGCATTTTTGCATTCAAAATCAAATTTTGTTCAAAACAACATCATATGGACAATTCCCGGAGTTTATATAGTCGCAGCACTACTAGTATACCCACAGATCATTTGGTGATCCAATCTTGGATGACGATGAAAATGATTGAAATTATGTGATCATGAAGATCTCGGAAGCGACCGACTAAACGTGATCGAGAATTAAAACAAAGATTAGGCTCTATATCGTTTACCTAAAATGTTTATGTACAAACAATACATGATTTAAGCTAATTTGACATCAGAAAGAACTAAAACAAGCCAGTATTGCAAAATAGATGGTGTCAGATAAATGATCTCCGGGATAATCACGGAAGACACCTATACACAAGCGACAGCATGATGTGCTCACATGCCTTATTTCCCCATCCAAGGCAGTAAGCAAATAAAAAACAAGTCACATCATCGCAGTCGTACAAATGAACTCTCATAATGACCAAAAACAATCACGCCAGAAACCCGTCAAACCATTGGCTTTCCGAGGTTCCGTGTCCGCGGAGATCTGTGTTGAAGGTGGGGTTAGACCTATTGCTCATTGCTAGAGTCACCGCATTTTTTCCAGCCCTCGCGTCATAAATTCGTGGTATTAGGTATTCGTTTGAAATTTAGGTAAAATAAAGTGTACTATTGTTGTCTAGACTCTTCCCAAGGTAACGTCCTGCAGGATTATTGTTTCTAGAGCTTACATGTTTGGAGAAGCTAGTAGACAGATACTCGGGAGCGCATCCGAGTCTGCTGCAGCGAGGGAACCAGGACTAATCGGAGATAGAATTTGCGGGGGTTTGAGAACACTGACGTGATGCAGGTATTAGTTGCAAGTTTCATTTGACTATTTTTGGACTTTTGCACGATTATGCCATCCTGTATTTAAGAGAAGGTGTTCAATACGGTGTGGTGTTCTGGGTGGTGGGGCGTACCTTGATGAGACGACGCTGCTTTAATTTGGCTTTTTATGCAGGCTTTCAGGTCCGAGTATCCTCGGCGTAAATCTCAGTCTGGGTACGGTCTCGCGGGGAATGCCGCTATTGTTAATTACTATCAGTCATCATCATTGAAGAGCTCTCAGGTACTGATTGTGCAAGCATCTGGTTATCAAATTCCTCGCCAGAAGGAAAATTGGCAATGCATTCTATTGAAAATATATATATATATTAGCCTAGGTCATGAAAGACTGAAATTGTCCACTCACCTTGATATGCATCCCACGTCAACTGATCAAATGGCATGCCAGAGCCCGGCGAGGAGGTGAAACCAGGATCAGTGATCCAACTCTCAAGATTTTCCTCCCCACTCAGCGACAAACCGACTTCTTCTCGCTCTCTCGGCCCAAGAAGTAAACTCAAATGTCTTGCCGCCTTTTGAGCCTCGCGAGATGCAGTGCTAGATCGCAGCAAAATAGGGTATGTATCACGCAGCAAATCATAAACTTTTGCACGAGTCTCCGCACTCATGGAGATATCAGGTCGTGTCTTGGACAACTGCAAATAATAGCACAGTATGCTCATTCCGAGTAGAAAGACAAATTGGTTAAGCGATGTCAACATCCATCGCTCGGAATATAGTAGACCCCCTGGTCGGGTTTCGTCGTCGAATAATTGTTGAAACTCTAGTATCTGAATAGCGGCTTGGAGACAGGCATTTCGTGAATACTCGTATTCATCCTTATTATGGGACAAGGTGAGATATTTTCGATGTAGCCAGATTGTCATGCGTGGAATGGCGAGTTGGAGCAAGGCGCGATACAAAATTATGTGAGATGGCACTGTCAAAGATTGGCTCAGAGGCTGCCATCTAAAGATAGGAGGCAGCGAAGCTTGGGCCTCTTGGAGTTTGTTGTCCAGCATCATTATTTCTGTATACGAATGTTCTTGTGTGTCGGCGATCAGGTCACTGACTAAACCGCTTATATGATCAATTCTATTCCTAGCGAGGAGGTAAAGGACGGGAGAAAGTTCCGTTTCGGGTCTCGGTGGAGGTAACTTGATGGTAGTTTCATCAAAGTCGGAGTCTAGGAGATTAGAGGGCTCGGCGGTATCACAATGATGGAGCTTGAGGATACGTGGAAACCCCATTTGGCTCGATAGACGAAGGTCCATTTGGACTATAACAGCCCACACGCGTCGTCTCATTTCACCTGCGAACTGTGTTATATTTGGAAAGTTTGCAGTGTCCCGGTGATATCCAAGAGAGAGGGCAAGCTGCACAATGATCCCTGATGAAAGCCATACCCCAATATCCGCATCCTTACATAAAAGGACTTCAAGAGTTAGGCAGTGTAGGAGGGTCTCTAATACATATTCTTTGCCTTTGGTAAACTCGCCTAGAACGAGACAATGAACAGTTCTTTCGCGGAAAACCTGGATACAGGCTAAAGCTTCGGGGTCTTTCGGATCCTCGATTATCTGCTGTTGCTGCGTCGAGAAAGCTATGACACTGAACAAAAGACCTATCCATAAAAGCGGTGCAGAGGTGGGCTCCTCCCAGAACTCTTCATACTAAACAAACAATCAGCTAAGGCCCACAGGGATCCCACAAAGCAATAAGTAATGGGTTTTAGTATATTCTTCAGTACCTCTCTTAGAAAATGGCCACTGTGGAGTAAAGGCAGTGGTGTGACATTTTGAAGGTTGAAGTACCGCGCTATCATACGGTCCACTGTTGGCCGCGGTGGTATCGAGGCAAGAATTTCATCCTTAGTTGCCTGAACTGGTTGGTACAAAAGAAGTGGACCTGGCCCCCGGGTTGGGATATGGTCATCAGTAGCCAGAATCCTGGCCTCTTCTTCTTTCTCGTACTGGTTCTTGAGTTCGGATATGCTGTCAAGAACAGACGCCCAGTGGGTGCTTCCAACATAACTTGCGCCATGGGAGTGATTGCGCATACTTCCATACTCCGATGAGGCTGGAGAAGCAGACACGTCATCTTTAGTATGCGCTATGAATGCGTGCTGCCGTGGTGATAAAGTGTCATGATTGACCGAAGCCAATGGTGTTATGAGGCCTGGTAGTTGATAAGTATCCCGAGGCGATGCATCGGGGGCGCCTTGAAATATTTCCATTGAGACATCTGTAGCCTCTATGTCAACATTCGTTGCTGGCATGGGTGATGTGTGCTGTTGCTGAACTAAAGATCGCACCATGCTCTCAAGCTGTTCAATCCGATCGGCGACACTGGTCCTATCTTTTTGTCGAGAGCTAGGTGTATAGGTGCATGAATGACTGATTCCCTTCTGTATACATGTTTTGCATGGCAGCTGACGGTCACATCGTACTCTTTTCAATTGAAAATTAGAAATGATACAACAAAAGGTTCTGCAAGGGAAGAGTTAGAATAGGCGTGATATACTTGCGTGCTCTACAAAATGTACATGACAGTACTGACTTCTCCCTTCGGCGATCTCGTATCTTTTGTGACCCCTCTGTCGCAGGGCCTGTCGGAGTTGTCTTCATAGTCTCGTTTCTTGGTTCGCTGGCCAGTTGCTCCACTTTTGCTCAATCATAATAGAATGGCCATAGTACGGTATGAGCTTCTTTTGCGATATTTTTTGTTCTTGTGGGATGACTGGGTGATTGGCGGAGCAATAAATGAAGGAAGGACGGACTGACGGAGCAATCGACGGAGCTTGTTTCGACCACCCGCGAATGGGGGCCAAAAAGGAAATTCGCCTCTTCAGTATAGTCACAAATGCCATGTTTTTATGTTGATGTGAGGAATTTAGTATGATTTATTTAGCTCAGAATAATGACTTTTAATATTTCAAAATCGCACTTGCATTCAAGCCTGAGTTAGGTCTCATATTCATAGTAACAATTGGATTTACCGCGGTGCAGCGGCGCATAAGCGGAGCTATTTTGTAGTACTATCAAATTATCTATTCTTTATTTCCCTGGGCCGTAAGCCCAAATTTCGGCTCAAAACGATTTCTCCGTTGCTCGATTCTTCTATATATAATCCAGCACTGAACCTGCTCAAATTGATAACGCAGAGAACCATATCGGAGCTATCACAAACTCTACAACATTCGAAAGCGTTACCAGCCTCACAATGGCAGAGGGGGGCTCTCACAGTTTTGACTACGAAAATAATATAAAACTGACCGAAGATAGAATGTCTGCCATTGAGAGACTGCCTTGTGAGCCTACGGGTGTAAATACAATGAAGGACATAGAAAAAGGTGATACGGTTGGCGATGAGGCGACTGCCGATATCATGGACCCGAACATTGTGGACTGGGACGGACCGAACGATCCTCAAAATCCTCGAAACTGGTCTGAGAAGAACAAGATCATTAATGTGGCTCTGATCAGCGCTTCCGTACTGTATTGCAATCTTGCAACGACAATGTTTTCACCTGGTGCCAACATTATGGAAAAGGAATTTGGCTACGACAATCCCACCATCGAAATTCTAACAGTAACCATCTCTTCGATGGGCTTTGCTGTCGGTCCCATGTTCATTGCACCTTTATCTGAAGTCTTTGGTCGTGTGCCTATCTATCGTGTGGCTAGTATCTGCTATCTCGGCTTCACTGTTGGTTGCTCGCGCAGTACTAATGTCGGCGAGTTCCTTGTGTTCCGCTTATTGACTGGGCTTGCTGCTTCACCCTTTATGACGACTGGGGGTGGGACTATTGCAGATATATTGGAGAAGGAGGAGAGGGGTGTGGCAATGGCAGTTTTTACTGCTGGGCCACTTCTTGGACCAGTATGTTATCCATCTCAAAGTCAACATCCAAGGATCAAGAGTATTGACTTGGAGATTAGGTTTTGGGACCCATCGTTGGAGGATTTGTTACTCAGGACTTGGGCTGGAGATGGACGTTCTATCTGATTTTGATGCTAGTAAGAGCTTATCATCTAAAAACGAAAATTCATTTGAATATTGCGAAGGGGCTAACGGCAATATTTTCATTTCACAGGCTGGAGTCGTTTCTACCCTCTCTCTAATTTTCATGCGCGAAACATCTTCTCCAGTAATCCTCAAAGCCAAGACCGCTCGACTTCGAAACGAAACCGGTAATTTGAACCTACGCGCTGCCGGCGACAAACAAATCCCAATCACAAAACTCCTCGCACAAGCTCTGAAGCGCCCAATAAAGTTCCTCATCCTGTCACCCCTAGTCCTGCTCACGGCCATCTACCTCGCCTTCATCTTCAGCATAGTCATGCTCTTCTACTCGACATTTCCCGGAGTCTATGAAGACACTTACCACTGGAGTGTTGGTATTTCCGGCTTAGCATACGTCGGAATCGGAATTGGCTGTACCATTGCAATTTTTACCTTTGGTAAACTCAGCGATCGACTTGTTCAGGATAAATCCAATGAGGGAAAATACCGAGCAGAACGACGAATGATTTTGGTGATGTATTTTTGCCCGCTTGTACCTGTTGGCCTTTTCATTTATGGCTGGACAGCCTATTACAAGGTACACTGGATTGCACCTATTATTGGAACGGCAATTACTGGTATGGGGGTGTTGATGATTACATCCTCTTGTCAGATCTATGTTATTGATCTTTTTGGGCCTCAGGCGGCGGCATCGGCTCTTAGTGCTATTACGCTGTTGCGCAATCTTCTAGGAGCCTGCTTACCTCTTGCTGCTTCGGCTCTTTATGATAATCTAGGACTAGGCTGGGGAAATAGTGTCTTGGCGTTTATTGCTGTGGGGTTTATTGCTGTTCCATTTTTGTTCTATTGGCGTGGACAGTGGCTACGTGAAAAGTTTCCTGTGAAAGTGTAAAGCAATGTGATTGATCAGCATGATTCTGTTCTGATCATGATGCTTTTACTCTGTTTGGTTGCAACGCGCTCTGCAAAATTCAGCCGTGAAAACATGTGTACTTTATTCAAGTTCTCATGCGGTGGTGATTAGGTTGTTTGAAGATATTATCATAACGGTGTTCATTGAATCATTCGTGTACTAGAAAGCCCGGGAAATGGCTCTTGGTTACCTATGTATTAGGTAGTACCTAATGTACTATATTATTAAAGAAATTTAACTACTACATAGTACATTTTACACTTCCAACCTCAAGTTTGAAAAAGAAAGCTCATGTCTAATCGCTTCTACGAACAGCTGAAGCTCTAGGGCTGTGTAGCCAAATTTTCACAGTATACAGCTGAATGAGAGCGAAATAAAAATCTGCTAGGCCACGGTATTTCTGCAGGTGGATAGGCTTCGAGAAAAACCGAAATAAGGTCCAATTTCGAGTATCCCCGTAGTAGTTCCGAGACAAGTCTCCACTTTCAGGGTTTTTAGTGCGCAGTTATGGTTCGTAATTGGCTAATGAGCTAGCCCCACCAAGCTGAACCTGAGGACTTATTGCCTAGTATTTGTGCCAAGCGGAAACAGAAAAAAAAGGAGTGGCGCTGTTGAAAGAAACTTAAGACATGGGGAGGTTCAAAATTATAATTTCTAGAATCTACATACAACCTGTGCAGCCGGTGATCGAACATGTCTGCAACTAGAAGGACTAATGAATGGATATTCGGCGGGCTACTAGCCGTGCAAGCACTAGTAATCCTTATCATTGAAGTGTGAGTCTCGGCACCAACTTGAACACCTTCGAAGAAATTGAAATTGAACCATCATCTAAAAAATCCCAGCTATATCCTAGTAGAATGGCAAGGATGGGTAACCCCATTAGCCATTCAAATTACCCCATCATATATTGTCCCCACCGACGCGGCAATCATATGGTTTGCAACCATCTATGAATTCTCACTTTCACTAGATGCCATCCGACACAAGAATAACATCCTAGTATTCGCCATATGCATCAGTAATGTTTTTGGCGTCGCTTTCGCGGCAATGCAGTATCCATCTATGAAGGGGTTCTGTGAAACAATGCCATTACAGAGAGCCATGTATAATGACCCACTGGTTGATCTGAGCAGAAATATCTGGCCAAATATCCAAGGGCCTCAGCTCGCTGTTCCTATCTTTATGGGAGTTTGTACGCTCGCAATTTGGTGGTTTGCTTTTCAATTGCATACTCAGTATGCTTGGTCGATCTATCGAAGTGTACAGGGTGATTCACATGCGAAATCTCGATATCTGGCGTATGAAGTGAGTAGAGTCTATCAATCAACTGATTGTTTTGTTATTTTTTTCTATTTGGTTCCGCACTAAACTCGGTATAGATCTATGTGGTATTTGTCAAATTGGGTGCATTCTTCATCATCTGCTTTGTTTTGCAGTATGGGTTGATTGATGTCCATTTTGTCGAGCCGGAATTCGCATTGACCTTGTCAGTTATACCAGCACTAGCATTCGTCATGGTCGCAGGTGTTTATTTCATTCGGAAGGAGTACAAAATCTTGATGGGGTTTGTAATTGTACGTATTTCACTGTCTGAAGTATTAAGCCAGTCTCGTCTGCTAACACCTTGAACAGCTCTGCCACCTGGCTATGATCGCATATCTAGTGTCTCGAGTCGTGGTGCTCTTTGGACATAGTCTTCTAGCTCACACACCTACCAAGAACATGATGTTACTTTTTGCATTTGTGTCGCTCCTCCTGAGCATCTTGTCACTTCTATGTGGCATCCGATGCTTTATGAACTTCGGGCATGGGTTGAGGCCTATCTTAGAGGGGAAAACTCATTTTGTGCGCGACACGTATGATTTTCATACAATTTCTGGGAATACACCTATACCAGATATCCTGTCACATCGGAGGTTATCGCTTGCTTAGGGTTGAAATCGAATCTGGGCTTCGATTTAAAGTTGAATAGTATACCTGAGTTTATTTAATGTCTAATTAACGTCGTAACAAATTGTTGGTCAATTCAAGTCATATCAAGTAACTATATAAGATATGTCAATAGAGTACAATAGACACAGACTTTCCTTGATGTTATCTCTTCATAAAAACCTAGCGAACAATTATGGTGACTACAGGCGTGGGGTGGAGCTTCTGCCTGAGGCATGAATCTTCCAGGTGTGTAAGGCATTTCTACTATGTCGTGATCATCGTGCTCAGTTTTACACTCTTTCATCCTGTGAACCCCTAGAAGCCAAAAGCAGCGAGGGACAGGACACCAAAGGGGAAAGGGAACCCCGCCAGGGCTGAAAAGTCAAGTTAACAATGGTACTGTACACGAGCATACAGTGGCTCGTACCCCGTGTGTACAGCGTACATGGGCAACGGGCAACTACCTAGATATTGACTAGCCCGGGGGCTCCAGCAGATGCGTTGGCCCCTAGTCTCTAGCCTTTGATGTCCAGCTGATCGGGCAGAGATTATCCCCCGGATACATCTACCCAAAAAGCTCCAGCCACGGAGAACAGCGAACAGGGAAAAATGGAATACTCGTCAAAAAAAAAACACCAATTGGAGTGGAAGGAACCCACATCCCAGAACCACGTGAGAGCGCCCCTGACAGGTTGTTGGTGGAACGAAAAAGAAAATGAATCCATTACTTTCCCTTTCTACCATCCCCCCTTCTCCAATCTCCAATGTTGCGTTATTTACGTTATTTTGTCATCTGGAAACATCATAACTTGGGAATTTCCACGGCTTGGCGTTAGCTTAGCCTTTACCCGGGCTTGTTCCCGTTTTTTTTTTTTTTTAAACCCCTCCATGTCTAGCCAGGAAGAGCTTTGTATGGATGGGGCCGAGTCTGGGTCCCGATGCGTGGCCGGTACAGAATCTTCCCGTCCAAGTGATGCTGCCGACCAGCTGCCGATTTACGTAAAGAAAACTCGTGGGGAGAGAACCAGGCCCAGATGTGCGAAGCACGATGTTGTCATTGGTGTGAATGGTGAATGGAGAATGGAGAATGAGGGATATTATTATAATTTTCTCATGGAAAAAGAGGAACCTTGGAAGATCCTTTGGCTTCAAATTTTTATTTTCGAGGCTGAATGCGACTATAAAAGATGATTCTGGTGATATAGTATGTTAGTATATAGCTCATGGAACTATGAGTACAAAAAAAGCAGTTGACCTTCACTTTCCAGGAACTAATGACGGCGTTTATACTACTATGTATATAAGATGCCTATATTGCCTATACTCTGCTTATATTCCCATATATATAGCCTTATCACTTATCCTTGTTCTCCGCGTTTCTTCGTCTTCGGAACCAGAAAAAAAACCTAAATCTACCCTCTTTTCTCTCTTTTCTCTCTTTTATAAAACATACCTGGCCTTTTGAGAAAGAAAAATTCGTCTTTTTCTTCTTTCACCGCAGATCTTATAAACAAAAACTCCCCAGATGACTGTTTCTATCGCATAATCCGCCCGGTGGAGCTGGATCATCCCCGCCGTCTGATCGCGATTCTTGTTACATACAACTTTTTGCTCCCCTCCCAAGGTACCCCACTATCGCAAAGCCCTCACACTCCGTTTTTTCTCGCCAAGGCTCCTTACTCCAGATTTTCTCTTTTATCTTGCCCTGGCCCTCCTCTAAATCTCAAGATCCACTTCACTCCTTATCCTCTTCCCACCCCCCCCCCCCCCTCTAACCTATACAACCCCTCCCTCCCTCCTACCTATTACCTTTTACGCTCCCACCCAATTCTCTTTATCCGAAGCCACCGGCTGGCTGTCCCGAGACCCGAATGTCGCAACCACACAAGACCATTGCCGTCGTAAATGCGACTGGACGGCAAGCAGCATCTCTGATCCGTGTCGCGTCGGCCGTGGGATACAGTGTACGCGCGCAAATCCATTCTCTCAAAGGTCTCATCGCCGATGAGCTTCAGAGCTTGCCGAATGTCACCCTCCTCCAGGGCCCTTTACTCGGTAATGTCCAACTGATGGACGCCCTGTTCCAGGGCGCGTCGCTGGCATTTATCAATACCACTTCGCAGTCCGGCGATGAGGTCGCTATCGGTCGTGCGCTGGCCGATGCTGCAAAGCGCGCTGGCTCCATCACACATTATATCTACAGCAGTATGCCGGATCACTCCGTTCATGGCCCTTGGCCTGCCGTTCCACAATGGGCTCCTAAATTCACCGTCGAGAACTACATACGCCAGCTTGGTCTTCCGTCTACCTTCGTTTACGCCGGTATCTACAACAACAATTTCACTAGTTTGCCATACCCGCTTTTCCAGATGGAGGTTCTGCAAGACGGCTCCTTTGAGTGGCGCGCACCATTTGATCCCGAAACTCCTCTGCCCTGGTTAGACGCCGAGCATGATGTCGGCCCTACGCTTCTCCAAATCTTCAAAGATGGACCAAAGAAGTGGCACGGACATCGGTAAGTTCCACATATCCGATGAGAGAAGGCGAGCACAGTATGAAAGACAAAGCGAGATAGCAGGATCTAGAAAGCATACAAAGAAGAAGGGGAAATAAAGAAAAAGAAAAAAGCTAACCATATCTTTTTCCGGCCTCACAGGATCGCTCTCACATTTGAAACCCTTTCTCCCAATCAGGTGTGCGCAGCTTTCAATCGCGCGCTCGGTCGACCCTGCCGATATGTGCGTGTACCAAAGATCGAAATTAAAGTCAATATCCCCGCGGGATACCGGGAACAGCTCGAGGCATTGGAGACGCTGTTTGGCGAATTCAATGCCCCTTACTTCCCGCAGCCCGAGTTCTCGCAGCCGGCTGCAGGCTCACCGAAAGGTCTGGGTCCGGCTGGCGGGAAAGGTGCTGGTGCGGGCATGATGCAAGGGCCTGGCGGTGTCATTTCGCTCCGCGTGACAGACGAGGCTCGGTACCTGTGGCAGGGCTGGCGAGATATGGAGGAATATGCACGAGAGGTATTCCCCGTAGAAGAGGAAGCCAATGGACTGGATTGGATGCTGTGAGAATCTTTTGAGTCTTTGGTTCGCTGAAGGTTCCATTTTTCCCCTTCCCCTTTCCTTTCCTCTTCTCTTCTCTTCTTTCTTGGGGTAACGACATCGAACCCGAAATCCCGCCCAGAATACCTGTGGAATGCTGTTGCTGATGATAACGCAACACCATTTCTTGATTGGTTGAATTTCCCCCTTTGTTATTCATGTCTCTTTACGACTGTTCAATCCCCGGCAGACGTGCATTGTGATGATGCCTATGCATGTCGAGTTGCCATGCGATGTTTCCGTGTTCCTTTCCCTTATCTTTCCTCTCTTCTTTTCTTCTCTTTTCCTTTTTTTCACCCTTTTCCTTTTCTCTTCTTGCTTTAATTATTGCATTTATGGCGAATGGGCATGGGAATTATACGGGACGCGATATTTTTTTCTACCCATTGTTTTTAATCAGATGCCCTGGATGGGCATTGGGATCTATATCAGCTCCCACCAAAAAAAGTTTTCTACTTGCTGCTTTACAGTTGGGAGCCTTGTGTTGCCCGAGATGATATGAGTTACTCGACAGCAATCCAACACCCGACATTTTTTTTTCTTTAAAGAGAAGAAACGAATCGAAATGACAACTACCAGTTTTTCCCATCGACCACTACTATCCCAGATCAAAAAGCTCCGAAGTTAAGCCTGACATAGAACATTTCTTTCATTTCTGGATATAGATAAATAAAGAAAAGAACAAGACCGAACAAGAAAAACCCACTTCCCCAACTAACGCTTTGACACCCAACTCCAAATCATGCATGAACATCGGATCCCCTTTACCTCGGTTATATGCAATATGAAGTATGTACTCAAGTAGGGAAGCTTATCCCACCAATGCCCGTTTCTCACAGACCGCTTCTTTATCGCGGACAAAAATACGCAAAAATACGCGAGTGGCAAGATTGTCTGCTCTAGAAAAACGAAAAGAAGGCTCGCATGGGGCCTTTTTGTTGACTAGATGAGCTATTTTTATACCCAGAAGGGCAAAACAGTATGAGATGGTGTTGAAATAAAGTCATCTGATTGCCTTTGATAAGGGCCCTGGCTACTGTATAGTAAAGTTAAGTAAATGGGTCAGAAAAAGCAATGTTTCATTGATTATTCCTTATCTTGATCTTTTGCGATTAGCCCCTCCAAACATTTATTTCTAGCTTGGCGATTTACATTGCTTTCTGTAGCTGTGTGTTGAATGCGACTGAGAGAACTATTCACTGTGGAACTAAGATTAGGCTGATTAGCTGCTAATTAAGCTAGATAGCGTACTCACTAGATTCAGGAACAACAAATCCTAGATAGCTAAAGAAGCCCATAAGAGGACCTTGGAAAGCTATAAAGCTCCCCATCTTAAAAGCAGATACATGTACATATACCTCATACCCAACACCTACCGAAACAAAAATTTCTGTTAAAAATCAATAGCTCCAACCCCGTACCAATCACATCCACCATAATCCAGCGTGCCATTTCGTCATTCTGCAAACAGCAACTGAGTTTTTCCGACACCTAATTCTTCAGGCATAAAGCAAGCTCCACCGCCATCCAATCCGTCACCCGTTGCCCAGTGCACCCAAGCCGCTCTACCTATCATTACAAGGAAATACTTCTCGCCCCACGATAAACCCCACTAAATAGATGTATCCCGTAGTAACTAGAAGTATCCATAGCTCTCCGCCCGAAAGTTTTGATGCGCGCATCGAGAACATGTGCTGATCTGCCAGACTTTTCATTTTTTTTTCTTCGGTCCCCTCCTTCTTCCTTCTCTCTTCTTCTTTTCTTCTTTCCATCATCTCTTCTCTATCCGAGAATTTAATTCCTTCCTCCTTCATACCTCTTACCTCGATATATCAAGCTTGATTATTTATTTTTTTCTTTATCATTATACTATACCCTATACCCATACACATTATGTCTGGCGCCGCTGATAAGTCGCTCCTTGAGCGTGTTGAGTTCCCTACTATTCCTGCCGAGGCGCAGAGACAGATTGCTCATCTGCAGGAGGAGTTTATGCGTGCTGAGGTTGAGAAGCGTAAGTTGATCCTGCTCTTTTGCTGTTTTCTTGTGGCATTGTCTACAATTTTTTTTTTTTGGGTGATTGGAGCTTGGCGGGGCAAATATTTGCTGCTGTCTATGCTTTCCATCATTGGGATCTGATTATCATCAACTTGATGCAATGCTATGCAAGCTCTATTTCGTGATTCTATACGTGATGAAGAAATTGGAAAGAAGAAACAAAACAAAACAAAAGCTAACTCTTCCTCCCACAACAGTGCGTCAGTCAATCCCCCTCCAGAGCCCGCTCTTCAAGAAGCGTGAGGAGATCGTCTCCGGAAACCCCAAGGTTCAGGAGGAGTTCTGGGGTCGTGTCTTCGCCGCTGCTCCCCAAGAGATCGATGATTACATTCTTCCCGGCGACATTGCTGTGATCGGTGAGGCTCTGTCCGACTTCAAGGTTGAGCGTTTCGAGTGCAACGAGAAGGGCGAGGGTGAGCCCCGCAGCTTGCGTTTCACCTTCACCTTCAAGACTGGCGAGGAGAACCCTTACCTCGAGAATGAGAAGCTCGTCAAGGAGTTCTACTGGCGCAAACACATCGTTCGCACTTCCAGTGGTAAGCGCCGCACCTGGGAGGGTCTCGTTTCCGACCCTGTCCGCATCAACTGGAAGAAGGACCAGGATGTCACCAAGGGTCTGTTAGATGCTACTTGCGACCTGTTTGACGCTGAGAAGAAGAAGGGCGGTGAGCGCTCCAAGCTGCCTGAATACGAGGCTCTTGTCCACAAGTTGGAGGAGCTCGAGGCCGAGGCTATGGCTCACGACCACGACCATGGCGAGGATGAGGAGTGTGACGATGACGAGGAGTTCACCTCCCCATCTGGTAACAGCTTCTTCAACTGGTTCGGTTACCGCGGCCGTGATGTCACTGCTGCCCAGTCTAAGGAGGCCGAGAAGGAGGATGAGGAGCGCTGGGTCAAGATCTCCAAGGGTGAGAAGGTCGAGGAGGACGATGAGGAGGATGATGATGACGAGGACATTGATGAGCTTGTTGATGACCTTGAGGAGGCTGAGGCCTTCCCCGATGGTGATGAGCTCGCCTTCGCTTTTGCTGATGACCTTTGGACCGATGCCATGAAGTACTACAGTATGTGACACCTGATACAAGAAGTGACCCATGAGAGTTCCCCAAGCTAACAGGCCCTTGCAGTTCAATCCTTCGAACTCGGTGACGACCTCGATGAGCTCGATCTGGATGAGCTCAATGCCGACATGATGGAAGAGGATTCTGATGAAGATGAAGAGGAGGATGCCAAATCCCACCCCCGCAAGAAGGTTCGCACTTAATTCACTCGACGATACCCATCTTAAGAACGCCTTTGCTCCTGGTGATGCTGGTGGTTTGTTTTTTTGTTTTTTTTTTGGGCCCCCTTATTGATCATGTACTATCACAGGACAACAAGAAGAATTAATAAAAGGATGAGCGCAAATATGAGCGCCGCGATGCAAAAGGAGGACCATGTATCTAAGGGTTCAAAAAAGTGTTAGTTATGAAAAATTTGTGGTTCTCAACACCGTTACGATGACACCTCTGTTCCAATCTCGTAGACCTTCCACGTAAAGGGGATAGTAATAGGAATATTAATATCTTACCCTCATTTGACCTGACAATATGTCTAATTCGCGCCATTCCATTCGTCAACTTCCCCCCAACTCGATCCGCCAAGCTATCAACCTCATCCATCATAACAGCTTGGTCCTCCAATTCTCTCCCCATATCATTCGCCTGCTGTCTCAAGTTCCCAACAGTCCGAAAGACACCATCCAACTGTTCATCCTGTTCATGCATAAGCTCCGTTTGTCGCTGCTGTTCCATAGAAGCATAGTAATCATCTCCACCACGCTGTTGCCTCTCCTCATCTTCCAGCGCAGCATCAAACTCCGTCGGGTTAGGCAGTTCAGCGGGCGGAGCATGTGAAACCGTCTGCTGTAACTCCTGGCGCATCTTCTCAACTTCAGCACCGACATCGTCGACGAGTTTTCGGCGACGCTGCACCTCTTCTAGTTCTAGGCCGAAGCGGTAGGGGTCTTGTTCGATGGCGCGCACGCTCTCAACTAGGTCGTCGAGGTCGGCGCTGAGCTCTGTTAATGTTGTTTCTAGCTCTGATCGCGACTGTTTGAGCTCGGGGTTATTTGGGTTTTTCGCTAGTGAGCGGATGCGAATGTATGAGGAGAACAGCGGACGGCTGGTTTGTAGCGTTGACACGACGTCCCTGATGTCATGTATGTTAGTCGAGGGTCTTGTGGCTTCGTTCGATTGTTTTTGTAAGTGTTTAGGTAAATTGGAGGGAGCCTTACGATTGGACTTGGAGGAAGGGGTCGGAGTTCGCCATGGCTGTAGTTTGATGGGGTATGTTGGTTGGTGAGGAGGTGCTTGTTTAATGCGGAGCTGGCAGCTTTGAAGGGATCACGTGGTTTATTCCGAAGTATAAGAGAGCCGGCATGACAACGTCACAAATGGGGGAATATCACTATGATAGCAAGAATTTTACAAATGTTATAGCTTGAATGGAGTTTCTTTTGGAAATCAGTGTAATCTAATACGAATTTCGTGAATCAGAATAATTTGAACATTCCAAGTGTTTCATAGTATGAGATCTAAACTCTTCTGACTCAGCGGAAACGGAGCAGATCGACGATAAAAAAAAAGTAGATAACGATTCCCCACGATGAATATTGGCATCCTTTTGCACGAGAAAATCTACATCTAACTCGTCACAATGAGGACCAATCGCCCCCTCCCACTAGCGGAAGAGTGGGAGGATACAGAAACATACATTAAAGCGCTTCTACCCTTCGCAACATCCAATGTACTCTTCATAAACCTATGTGGTGGCGTGCACATCCTCGACTTTTTAACGCGCGAACCAGATCTATACGCGACTCTGCTCTCAGAGAACTGGAGAGTGTTCTTTGATAATCATGACGTACAAGACGTCATACGTTTACTCTTGCACGAGGATATCGGGCCTTTGCGAGAACCTGGTGAACCAAATCGTACCTGGAATGGAGGCGCATTCCCTCCTTCAGATCTCCTGGAGTATATTTACAATGTTCGACGACTGGTTCTTCAACGCGATTTCTTTTCACCTCATCTGGACAAAAAGAAGAGTAAACTTCCGCGACACATTTCTACGGGCATGAATAAGAAGAAAGTGCACGAAGTAGAGTGCTTCTCGCGATATGTCGGTGGCTTAGCCGATACCGTCGAGGAGCGTCGCGGTGAATCTGTGTCTCACATTGTGGATTTTGGGTCCGGACAGAACTATCTCGGAAGGACATTGGCTAGTGCCCCCTACCACAAACATATTATTGCCATTGAGCGGAAACATCAGTATATTAATGGGGCCAAGGGAATGGATATACATGCAAAATTGGCAGAGAAAGAAAAGACATACTGCATCAAAAATAAGAACAAGAAGGATTGCGACGCCTGCGAAGGAAACCAAGGCATTGAGGCCCCTGGAGACCAAGCAACTCCTGCACCAAAGGATTCCCAGGCCAAATTCGATGACGTTCCAGCAAGAGAAGCTGAAGAGAATATTGAAGATGTCACTATCTTCAAAATGTTGGGAGAAATCGACTTGGATCCCAGTGAGATGCAAGGGAAGCTCGAACAGAACGCGCCGCGCAAAAAGGCCAATGAGCCAGTAATTGACGCCCGGGGTACGCTCAGTTACATTGAACATGAAATTCAAGATGGATACTTAGAGCCTATTATCGATCACGTTGTGAACCCATCACCTAAGGCGACCCAGAACGATAACGAACCAGAAAAATCTTCCACTGTTGCCGCGGCTTCTACAGAAAAAGAAAACGACGCCCGAGTCATGGTGGTATCGCTACACTCATGTGGCAACTTAGTCCATCATGGTGTTCGTTCTTTGATTCTCAACCCGTCAGTTGTGGCTGTCGCCATGATAGGCTGCTGCTACAATCTGATAACCGAACGTCTTGGTCCCGCCACATACAAGCTTCCTATTCTTCGATCTCTTCACCCGCGCCTATACGAGACCGGCACTTCACACGATCCACACGGTTTCCCCATGTCCAAGCTGTACGAGAACTACGAAAGTGCCGACACAACAGGTGTAAAGCTTAACATCACTGCACGCGCAATGGCCGTTCAAGCCCCATACAACTGGGGTTATGCTGATAGCGAGGGATTTTTCACGCGTAACTTCTACCGCGCCCTTCTGCAACGCCTCCTTGTTGACCGAGGTGTCGTGCCTAAGCCCGGCGCCGTACAAGATTTGTACGAGGAGTCTAACCCCGAAGCTGGGGTGAAGCCTGTAATCATCGGATCACTAGGCAAGTCCGCTTTCAAGTCTTTCACTGCGTACATGCGTGCGGCCATAGTGAAATTGAGCCGTGATGAAACCCATGGCCCTAAGGTTCGGGAACGAGTGGAAACTATGTCTGATGAGGACTTCCAAGATTATGAGACAAAGTATCAGCAGGGAAGGAAGAAGTTGGCTCTGGTATGGAGCTTGATGGCTTTTAGTTCGCAGGTTGTTGAGACTCTCATTGTCGTTGATCGGTGGCAGTACCTTCGCGAACATGACTCTGTTAAGGAGTGCTGGGTTGAGACTGTATTCGACTATAGTGCGAGCCCAAGAAATCTGGCTGTGATCGGATTGAAAAAGTGATTGAAGGCGTCTTATGAGGCATGATTCTGAAAACGAAATGTATAGACCACGTCTCCTTTTCTTATGGCAGTTTCTATGTTTCCATGGGAAGAAAATAGATTTGATCGTTTTTTACAGCAACTCGGGCACGGATATGCATCTTATTGACTCCTATTTCTTGTCAATTCTCCCTTTTCGATTCCACAGAACCCCGAAGCGGCTCCATGGTCTATATTTAGCATTTTTAGTCATTGGGGCCGGTCCACTTATACTTAATCGGCGGCGGAGACACTGGCAGCCACCCTCTATCGTCTCCTCGGGTGGTATAAATCAATAAGTAATTGGAAATTAGGCATTGTCATGAGAGGTAACTTGTGTTTACGCAACAACGATCAACAAGATGAGCTTCGAAACCGCTCTATCAAAGAATCGACACACCGCAATTAAAATCCAAGCAATTTCATGCACAAACTAATGCATAGGAGGCAGTGATCCTGCGTATAAACTTTGCCCCACAAATGAACTGACGGGTGGCCTCAAAACACAAAACCCGGTATTTCGCGTGCGGCTCTTGTGGTTGATGCAATCTGACGACATTGGGGCCGACTTCTTAACTCAAGGACCAATCATCAAAATGTGTAACTGCAAGGCGGAGCCTGGACCCCTAAAACTGTTGGACTTGACTGGTCTATATTGGGACATGTTAACACGAGCGAAGGCGGGGAATTGCGAAAAGGGAGATCCAATATGTCGATCTGGAAGGCCTATTCTCAATCGAAGAAAACCCTGTCTGCCCCGGGGTTTGGTTTCGCTTTCAGATCCTAGTCTCCTAAATATTTTATTCCAAGTTAATTCTTTCTGTTCATGTGCTTCTTTCTACAGCGATGACGCTGCCACCTACTGAGTACGGTGCGTTGACGACGCAATTCATGCCGGCTGCAAATTGTTCGGCTCGATGGGTAAACTATGAAGAAACCAATGCACTTCTTCAATGGGGTGTGAAATGCACCCCGATGGGTACAGGCAAAAGTGCCTCGTGCAAGACGACGATGGACCCTGTGTGCTTTCCAGAGGCGATGCAGACTTCTCGTGCGAATCATGTTTTTTCTCCTGGAGTCTCATGCCCTAAAGGCTGGACGTCAGTGCATACCTCTACATATAAGGAGCGAGGCGAGATAGGCTTGGACGGTGTGACTGCGACCTTGGGTGTCGGTCAGGTTGCCACAGTTTGTTGTCCCATGTAAGTGCCATCTTGTCTATTTTTATACCGGCATTCATATAGATTGTCTTCAGCCACCACATGGGCAAGACTCCAAGCTGTTGAACAAATACCTCAAAATGTCATGGAGATTATCTGACTCATCTATGAAGTAATTATGGATTCGCATCACACGGCTGTAACATGAACACGACAACAGTTATGCCACGGGAACAAATTATTACGACTGGATCGACATGCGCCGTGACGACCGCGGGCGCGTTTTCCAACGGGATCAGCACAAACGCTACTGGCGCGACAGGGGGAATCGCGAAGACTGCTACATTCTCTGCCACTCCAATTATTTTGGTTGCAGAACTAAATAAAACGAGTGAGAGCTCAGGTTCCTCGGGTCTATCTAGTGGAGTCAAAATCGCGATTGGGGTGTGTGTCCCGGTTGGTATCCTGATTATTGCCGCTGCGGTTTTCATTTGGTGGCATAGGCGCAATAAGAGAAGAAGAGCAGAGAAATCTTCCGATCCTTCTACTGCGCGTAATGATTCTTCTGGGAAAGATGTGGATGAGGAAGGACCAATATTTCCTGGTCCTGAGTTGGCGGGAAATGAACCAATGTACCACAGGTCTGAATTGGAGACGCAGGAGCGACCCGTTGAACTTCCTAATGAGCGAAGCCCTTCTACACCGCAAGCTGAGCTACCTGGGGATTTTGGAGAGATTTTGGCAAAGAAAAATATAGAAGAGGAGCTCAAGGGGATTGTCGAAAATACTGTCTCTCTGTCAGCAAAAGAACCTGTTTAAAAGGCAGATGACCATGTTGAGGGGGACCCTGTGCATCATGATGTTTGAAATTTATTTGATACCCCGAGTGTTAATATGTATGTAATTTTGAGGGATGCTAAAATATGATAGTATCTATGCAATACCGATTCGAACAATGATACGACCCCCCCACCCCCCCATGATGCACACGTACATCGGTAGGTATCCAGTCTTACCCCGGATGACAAAGTGCAATATAAAAATCCTAGTTTGCTATGATGCACGAAAGTGGAGGAGTGAAGATCTCAACATGCATATATGTAATTGGTTCATCTAGCTAGTTGTGGGATCACCGCGTCTCACCTGGTGATACAGATGCATAGGACGAGAAAAAGATTAGAGCAAAATGAACTGTCACAGGCCATATTGGATCTCTCCACTCGTCCGGATTAGAAACTATCTGATTGGTGATGTACAACAGTCCGTTCTTATACTAGTTATACAGTACGCTTGCTTCGTACGATTTAATGCTATTTCCCCTCCTTCTGCGAGTCTCTCTGCATTTTTCTTCCCTATAACACTTGACTAAAGCCTTGATTGCGATCAAAAATGGCTACTAATTGTTTGAGATCTAATGGGTATATTGGGGATTTAAACCAGCTGTGCCAAGATGCAGATGTGCTCGGAGGGGAGCTGAGTGAATCTGATCGCCTTTCGTCTCTGAAACTCGCACAGGAACTCACTCGGTTACTTGAAAAACCGCGAGATGCAATGTTAAAGATGTCATTCTCGGTATGCATTGACAGTCGGATCTGTGGCAATATTCAAATAAAAAACAAAAAGATCCTCTACAAATGTTCCTAGGAGGTATAACTAACTACATATTATTTAGCCGGCCCAAATTGTTGCTGTGAGAGTTGCTATAGACATGAGGATTTTTATAGCATTAGCGGAGAAGGATACACCCCTGACCCTTGACGAGTTAGCAGCTGTCAAGAATGCTAATCCCATTCTGACTGGTAAGTTTGACCCGCCTCTGTACATTCCTAACAGGATGGCAACTGAAGAGAAGGGCAGAGCGAGTGCTACGCCTTCTAAGTGCAATTGGATATGTCATTGAAAATGACGTGAGATTATACTCTGCGAATGATATTACCCGAGAAATGAGTACTCGTCTGGGTTCCGCTACTATCAGATTAATGTGCGTTCGGTTAACTTCTTCTCGGATCTCTACTTTGACGGTGTTATTATTTCAAGTTGAGATAATAACGGCATATATATAAAGGTTTGATAGCATAATGATCACCTTAGCCAAAATTCCTGAATGGATTCGTCAGATGAAGTTCCAGAATCCCCCGGGAAGTAACGGCGCTTTCCAATATGCAGAAAACACAGGGGGGGGGGGGATATGGGACTATCTACTTATGAAGCCAGAGCTCAGTGACGATTTCAATACTTTTATGGAGGCTAGTTCTGCGGATCGTCCATACTGGGGAAATTGGTTCCCAGTACAGGAGCGATTACTTGATGAATACACAGGCGGTGCGGGAGATGCACTTCTAGTTGACATAGCAGGAGGAAAAGGTCACGACATCAAAAGATTTCATGCGAACTTCCCGGTGACGCCTGGGCGGCTTTTTCTCCAGGACCAGGATCATGTATTAGCAGAAGCCGAGATTGGGGATCATATTGAGAAGAATTCTATTGATCTATTTCAGCCTCAGCCAGTCAGAGGTAAAATATGACCAGTGTGGGGTGAGTGAGTGATTTCCGTCAGTTAACGTTGAACTAGGTGCAAAAATATACTACATGCACATGATTCTGCATGATTGGTCGGACTCTCGGTGTCAAGACATCCTGCATAATGTCCGAAACGCTATGACGAAAGGAATTCGAAGCTTATTATAGAGGAATTTGTTATGCCTGAGAGCGAGGCTCCGTTCCTAGCTTCTACATGGGACTGGCTAATGTTGGCTTTTTGTAATAGCATGGAGCGGAGCCAAAAGCACTGGGATAGGCTTTTAACCGCTTGTGGGTTCAAGGTAGTGCAATTTTGGCCTCCGCCGGGAGATGGACATTATATTATCGAAGCAGAGATGATATAAATCGTAAACACAAAATGGTCCTGCAGTTTGTCATAAGGCACACACTCAAATTTTCTTCACACTAGGAAGCTGGTACGAAATCTCAATCAACTATTTTGACGGCTGAACCTGAGTGTCCAATAAGACTTTTCTTCTCCAGACTACAAAAGGCGGGTATTTTATTCTTAAATATATTTGAATATCCGGAAATTTCGAAAGATTTTTCGTGCGCCGTGTAGAGTGGCAACCATACCGCCACCGGCAGTAGCCCAGGCGGCGCCCTGAACTCGTAGTGAACTAACCGGTATTCGGCGCTGTCTGCTGGAAGTATCCGGGCCTAATATTGTCAGTTCGTACCCGTTACGCATGCTCATTCACGAATGGCAATATAACACTTACTGCTTGTGGACAGGGTAGAGTACTTTCTACCCGAGTAGGGTGACCACGCTGAAGCCGAAGGGATTGTTCCGACCTGCTGGTCTAGAAGGGTTTGAAAATTGTTAAATGAAGACATAACCCACTTTGAAGATGTTCATGGTTTTTGAGATAATGGGTGAAATCGCAACTGAAATAAAAGTCGCCCAGAGAGGCGACCGTCTTATGACGATATTCATGATGAATAAAGGTCAGATGATGAGCGACGCAGATGGTCTTTCCTAATAAAGTCTATTGACTTCAAGTCGGTGCTTCATTCGATATCCAAGATTTCAACCTAGGTTGGGTGGGTTGTTCTGGTTGGTGGACCAGGAGCAATTGGAAGGTGGCAAAAGAACGGAGAAGCTCTTGGAACAGTTGATTTCAAGTTGATGATAGGGATAGGTGGTATCAATATCAAATTAATTTTACTACTAATAGATATACAGAACAATCATCATATATAAGATGCGTCACACAAATTAAATTAGAGCATCAAGTCTTTTCCTGTTGCAAAAAAAAAAAAAAAAAAAAAAAAAGAAAGGATCGATAAGCTTATGTGATCTTCAAAGAGAGACGTATGTCAGTGCTTGTTGCATATCATTGCATATTATTGCACGTCGTTGAATGTTCATTACGTATCCTCAAAAATCATGTTGCAAGTAGGCTTATCAAGTTCATTCAATCGTGCTAAACTCATACATACTAGTATATGATATAGCCACCTACTAGGCATGGCTAGTACGGCAGCCCTGAAGGATGGCGTAAACAAACAGCAAACAGCAAACAGCAACAGCCGAGCTTGGACCCACATCTACATACGGCAAACCCCCTCTTTCCCTTTTCGCAAAATGAAGGGCGAAGTGAGGGGGCGCTGTTATCGCGACAAATCGCAATTCGATTACCTAGCTCGTACCCGCTCCATTGTCTTACTCTCTTCATCAATCACACCCTCGCACAGCCAAGACGCGGGGGAAACTTCGTCTGAAGCTTAGAAAGGATAAGCTTCATGGACTAAACCCCCAACACCCCGGCGGACTCCGGAGTTTACCCAACCGAGCAGAATCCCCTGCCGATCGAGATGTTTGCCGATGGTAATTGCGGATCGTAGAGATTACTCCTTGTCAATAACATGTTTTGACAGCGATAAAGAAAGAGAGCAATGAGAAGAGAAGATACGCTCATTTTAGCCGAACAATAAAACGCCACGATATTGCTCAGAGCTTTGTCAGGGGCAGTAGCGTCGATTTGACCCCTGAAAAGTCCGGCGCCAACCCCATGCCCCGTTTGCTTAATTATGGGGGCCGGACTTAGTCTTGATAGCACCTTCGTTGAATGTAAGGTTTATGGCTAGTCCCTGGCCCAACCATGTGGAGATCCGTCGGCCTAATTACGATGAAGCCTATTATATCGTAGGAATGTCGGGTGATTCATAGCGGGGATTCGCTAATCAAACAATGCGCCCATGAGAAGATTGCAGCATGGCGAGATAAGAAGGGCTGTCGATCCCTGCCTTTGTATTCTTTCCCCCGTGTTTTTCTTCTCATTCCTGGGAGCTTCAAGGTTATCATTCTCTTGCAAGCCCATTCACAATGCACTCCTCTATTTACGCTGGACTGCTCTGTACCCTGGCCGCCCCTTCTATGGGCGCGGTCTGGGAGAGCCTATCTGGAGGTGTCCCTGATACTTGGTCGCTCGTTGACACACCCTCTGACTCAACAATGGCTCTGTCCATTGCTCTGAGTCGCAAGAATTTGGACCAATTGCAATCTACTTTGATCAAGGTTTCCACACCTGGCAACTCAGAGTACGGTAAATGGCTCGAGAAAGAGGACGTCGACTCGAAATTCCCCTTAGTAGATGATGCTCGCGTTGTGAGCTGGTTAAAGGCAAATGGCATCACGGACTATACCCGTGAAGGTTCTCTGATTAAGTTCAGCGGATCGGTTGAGAAGATCAACAAGCTGCTCGATACTACTTTCGCCAATTACGAGAAAGGTGGATCAGTGAAGCTGCGTACTAGCGAGTACTCTATTCCCGATGATCTCTCTGATTACATTGATGTCATCTCGCCAACTGTTTACTTTGGCAAGACCCGCGCCGCTCATCCTGTGCCTTCAAAGCCTCGCAACTTGCGCAGTCGCTCTGCACAAATTTCTTCAACATGTGAAGATAGAGTTTCCCCCGAGTGCATCAAGGAGATGTACAACGTGGGAGATTACACCCCGAAAGTCTCGTCTGGAAGCAAGATCGGATTCGGTAGCTTCTTGAACGAGTCTGCTTCTCAGTCTGATCTGGCAGCGTACCAAGCACTTTGGGGTCTTCCTCGCCAGTCGTTCACTGTTGAGACTCTCAACGGAGGCGTGGATAACCAGACAGCTCCAGAGGCTGATAGAGGCGAAGCTAATCTCGACGTGCAGCTTATCAATGCTGTGTCTCACCCTCTGCCCATTCATGAGTTTATCAGCGGTGGTGTCGCGTAAGTAATAATCTGCAATAGTTGATTGTTCATATTGCTAACCGATTTAGCCCATACATCCCTGATGCTGATGAGCCTGACCTGGATGAAAATGAGCCCTACCTCATCTATTACTCGTACCTTCTTTCTAAGGCCAATTCCGAGCTCCCTCAGGTGATCTCGAACTCATATGGTGACGACGAACAGGTACAATTGTATTTCAAATCAGACCAAGGCGTTCAATTATTGACAATAATCTAGACCGTCCCCGTGAAGTACGCCAAAAGTGTCTGCGACCTGATCGGCTTGAACGGCCTTCGTGGTCTGACTATTCTCCACTCATCTGGTGACGAGGGTAAGTAGCTCACCAATGCATTGGATATCACCCATCTGACAACTATAGGTGTTGGTTCCGCTTGCGCATCTGCCGATGGCAAGACTCCCGAGTTCAACCCAATCTTCCCAGCTACTTGCCCCTATGTGACAGCTGTTGGTGGTACTTCCGGCGTCAGCCCTGAGTACGCTTGGAACGCCTCATCCGGTGGTTTCTCTAGTGTCTTCGACCGCGCTTGGTTCCAGGAGTCAGCTGTCAAGACTTACCTCACCCACGTCAGCAAGGAGACCCAGGAGTACTACGGCAAGTATACCAACTTCGAGGGTCGTGGTTTCCCAGACGTCTCAGCCCACAGTCTGTATCCCGAGTAAGTTTTTATCCAATAAATTTCTCAAAGCATGTCTCTAATTCGACATGTGAACAGCTTCGAGATTATCATTACCGGCCTGAAGAGTCTCTCGGGCGGTACTTCTGCTGCTTCTCCCACGTTCGCTGGTATTATTGGTCTTCTGAATGACGCTCGTCTGCGCGCTGGCAAGCCTGCTCTCGGTTACTTGAACCCCTTCCTGTACTCAAAGGGCTTCAAGGCTCTCAACGACATTACTACCGGTAGCTCCTACGGATGCGGCGGCGTTGATCCTCAGTCTGAGCAGGAAGTCCCTGGTGCTCTCATTATTCCCGGCGCCCACTGGAATGCCACCACTGGGTGGGATCCAGTGACTGGTCTGGGTACACCTGACTTCCAGAAGTTGAAGGACCTGGTCCTCTCTCTTTAAGGGATTGGCTGGAAAGACTCGGACTCTCTGTCTATCAATGTCGCATAGCGATCAAACACGTGTAAAATAGATATTAATCACGTACATACATCAAGATGCATCAAGAGAATATATCAAGCAATTGGCATTTTTATCACAGTTACTCATCGAAATAATGTACATTTGCATCATGACTCGTGAAAATGCGAGGAAGATCCATGGATCCAATCTATAAATAAGCGCCATCAATGTTTTAGTCCCAGGCAGTTCCTCAAAACAAACCTTGGAAGAGGTCCAGCCGACTGTATCATTTCGACATAAACACCCTCAACCAAGCTCAACACTCCCCTCAGGAACGCCCTGTCTACTCCTCAACGTCCTCGCAAAGAACTGCATAACAGGCATCATCTCATCCCGATTAGATGGCATCCCATCCCCCCTCCGAACATACCGACTAACCTCCACAAACTCAAAAACCTCCTTCGTCCTATTAACCGCCGCACCAGAAACAGGCACCGAATCCCTCCCCGAAACCAACAGCACAGGTGTCCGATTCTTACTCCCAGCCCTCAACCCAGAAAGCGGATACGGCGCACCCACAGAAACAACACCAGCCAGCGGTTCCCGATCTACGCCCTCCTTCTCACCCGACACTCCAAGTTCCCTCGCAACACTTAACCCAGCCATGCCACCTTGTCCGAAGCCAAAGACTAGGATCTCACGAGGCCTGTAGCCGCATTTCTGGATCAAGACTCCACGGATGACATCCTTGACAATTGTGTCTGTGCTTCTTGTTAAGCCTGCGTCCATGTCTAGGCCACCTGTTGAGGAGTCGAAGGCGACGTCGTCGCCCCAGTGGAAACCTGGTAAGTCGAATGGGAGGGGGAGGGGTGCTTGGAGGGTTAGGACTGTTGTTTCGGGGAGGTGGAGGGCCCGGCCGAAGGATGAGAAGCCTGTGGCGGTGTCTCCGATTCCATGGAGGAGAAGGAGGATGTTTGGGGAGGGGTTGGAGGTGGGGTTTGGAGGAGGTGTGATTGTGATTGTGAGATTAGAGGGGAAGTCGGACTGGGTTGGATTTTTGATAGGCATGATGTATTGATTTTCTTCTTCTTTTTTCAGGCCTCGGATTCAAGTATGGACTTCAATTGGTGTTTCTGCAGCTGTGTAGCTGAGGCTGAGAGTTTGTTCCACTTAGTTTGTGGCGGGTGTTGGTGCTGGAGTTTCTTGAACTATCGGAGCTGAGCTCAAAAAGTCGAGCCAAGCTTGGGCGGGTTGGAGCTAGCTGGAGCTGTGACTGTGGCTGGTAGCTGATGTGGCTGTGTTTGAAATTGTGTAGTGTGGCTTGGGTCTGTGCTTCCTCTTTTTTCTAGTGATAACGACGGCAATAGAATGCCGAGGATCTTGCCTTGGTCGAGATAAATTGCGATTACAGAGGCCAAGAGCTGCGGGGCTGTAAGTTGCAGGACCGGGTAAAGGTATTATCGTTGCCTGGGAAGCGTACTTGAAGTGATCCCCGCTGCCAAGACGGGACCTTTTTGCCTTGAGGACGGAACTCGGAGTGCAATTCATGATATCACCTGGGTATAGCATTTGGAGGGGCAATGGTTCTCCGAGGAGGTGTTACTATTGCAATGTTGCAGAATTGTAAACTGTTCCTTTTCTACGATTTAGTTGACCGGGGACGACTAGGATCGAAAAGCCATACATATACACTGCGATTAAGTTCATTATAGATGCACAAACGCGGATCATCACATTGTTGGCGATCATAGGGCTGCAAGGCTGCATGCGCATACTAAACTGAATTTTCCATGCGGTGCCTATTATTTACTCTGTGATTCTCAATTCATTCAATGTTATTGACAACCGGATGTGGCGGATGTCGATGTCCCTGGGCGCCACAATGGGGCGGTGCCGCGTACGTAATGAGAACGGATTTCCGCATCCCAAAAAAGAAACGGAATCACCGAGTCTGTTTTGGTCTCTTTCTGTGATTGATATATCCATCATCGGATATTGCTACATACTACGCAATTCAGATCCGCTCACCGCCACTTGACTCCTCGTGGCCGGACATGCCAAGCCCCTCCTTGTAAGGCGTGAACAAGCCTCCGACAAGAGAAGCTTGGCCCGTGATACCGCTCACAGCCACCGCTCATCATAATACACATACCCGTCCCATCTGGTACCGTGTATTCCGGCGGGGGAGGTGGACATCGCACTACGATTGAAACAGTATAGTCTTTATTACTAAGATATTCTGATTCGCCCATAACCAAGCGGAGTAGGGCTGAAGGGATCCCAAGGAGACCCCTCCGATCGGCGATTGGGCTTGGTGGGACACGTACTCGTACCCTTCGTTGAACCACGTATCGCTTTGGTTTCAGTTCTGAAAGGACAAATGTCGCTCCGTTTCATCTGAAATAGCCCTGCATGCTGTCTCTGTTGTACCTGGCACTTTGTAGACTCTTTTATAGAAGGTAGATCGATGTATACTTAGTGTATACTGCATAACTAGTATATGTACATCGGCACGGGAAAGAGTGACGTACTCCCCTGTTCTGCCAGAGCCTATGAGATCAATTTTCCAAACAAACAGACACCCATAGACTCTTGGCCGGCATTAGATCGTATTTGATGCGCCATGCCGAGACTCTAGGCTGATGGGGTCCAATACAGCGGCTAGTTTTGGAGATCGTGATAGGCCTCCCACCAATGTTTACCAGAAGGTTCACTGCCTCCTTATGATTTCACTGGATCAGCTCCCCACTGCCCCTCTTCTAGTCCAACCCCCGGATGTACACAGAAAAGGCTGAGGATGGCAATTTGGTATCATTAGCTCCACCACAGAGGGGCAATCACTTTCTCGGTCAGCTCGGAATCCATGGTCCAGCCGTATTTGGGAGGGGGTCCCTACTCCATTTTCCCCTGTGACTATCCCAAGATAGTACACTTTGTAGGGAATCCGCCTCAGCCACGCTGTCCACAGATTGGTGGGGCAGCGCCAGCTGAGACAGGAAAGGCAGAGAGCTGCTCCTGAATCTCCTTGAGCGGTATACGTACGTACTCCGTAGACTTTCTCGATTATTCTCTCAGCTGTTTGCTCGGGTATAAGATGCCCCTCATCTCCCCTCCTAGGGGGCTCTTTTCTTTTTCTATCAACACACTCTTCTACAACTACCACATTTAAAACCCTTCTCTCTCATATTATATATTCACAATGGCTTGGGGCTGGGGTAAGTCTTTCTCTTTTTGACACGTCTTATCGTTTTTCTCCAATCTCCTTCCGCACCTGCATGTACCTCACGTGCATCTGGCTCGGATTACAACCTTATTCTATTGGCGCGATATGTTTTCGGGAATCATAAGCTGACAGCTCACATAGAACAATCCGACGACGCTCACCGTCAGGTCTACGGTGGTGAGCAGCAGCACCACGAGGCTAAGTTCTCTCACGAGCTTATCGCCGGTGCCGCTTCATTCGCTGGCATGAAGGCCTGGGAGGACCACCAGCGCAAGGAGGGTACGTAAAATGCCTCGCAAGCTGGTCGATATTGAAATATCATACTGACCTCTCTCTTCTCTTAATAGGCAAGACCGTCAAGCACGCATTCGCTAAGGAGGCCCTCGTTGGTCTCGTCGGTGCCGAGATTGACAAGCTCGCCGAGTCCAAGGGTATGGATGAGGCCGACAAGCTCCGCGCTCACCACCACGCTAAGAAGAACGCCGAGCAAATGTACGAGGAGCACTACGAGCGCCACGAGAGCCGCGGTGGTGAGGATTGGCAGCCCCACTACGAGCGCCATGAGCGCTTTGAGCAGCCTGGTCGCCGCTGGTAAATGCGATGATCCCTATAGGGCGCATCGGATGACGGTATGAATTTGTTTATACATTTAAGATATCCTGGGCTATTATCTTACCCAGTCTGTTTATAAGCATGCAATGATAAAATCAAGAATTGCTGGGATTTTCTAGTTGCTGGTCTTCTCGTTGATCGATCTGTTATCTTTTCGCTTTCCTTTCCAAGGTTCCTATAGTTCTACATCTATTTTGATTTAAGTGGTAGCCAAGCCGTAGCTTACGTAGATATTTGTCCAGCAACTATGTGCACAAGTCTCAGACCCGCAGATACGCCTTGTACAAGACTAAATGGCTCGGACTTTTTATTTTTATTTGTGTTAATCTTCTATATCCAGCCAGTCATCACCATGAGAACCCGCCGAGCAACATTCCAGTTCTCCACACTGCATTCTTCGCAAACTGTAGACCCTAGCATAAGTCGCCCGTTTGTTCTCCACCGGAATACCATCCTTGTTCGGTTTGTGGCCTGATGACGACGCAAGGTGAGCTGTTAGTAGTTGCTGGAGTTGTAATGATTGCGAATATCGGCAATAATGCATCTATTGAATGTATGGGCAGCATAGAATATCTAGAATATTTGAAATATTTGGACCCTTTTCAAAAGTGGAGATTGTAGAGTCAAACCAATGATAGTCGCGGGCTTGATAATCCTTACCCGGATGGGGGCCTTGACGCCTGAACCTCCAGGAATCCACACTGTTCAGTTACTGAACCACGGAAAACAAGTTGAATCATCGATGACCCCACTCAACCGGGACTCGCCTTGCACGTGCCCGAGAAGTTGACGATGATTGTTGCAATTTCGACTTGAAATGAATGTTGAACTACATGTAGCGTTCTTTAAATCGTGGAGATCAAGCATTTTGACCACCCTGTACCCTGGTTTTCGTCCGTGCTGGTGATCTTTGCCCAATTTTTTTCCCCTTACAAACTATTTTTTTCTTTATCATCTAAGTAAATCTTCAAATTATTTGCTCCGAGGTGACTACAATACTTGAGCAGCTCTTTCTTCCCACCTGGGTCACCTTCAGACCACATTCCGATTTCCTCTGGTTTTCCTAGTCTTTTCATCCCAACCACCAACAGGCATGCCATGACGCAGGCTCGTTGGTCAGGATGAAATTCGCCAAGTCCGTCTTCCGCTATCCCCCAGAGCCATGATATGCCATCTGCTAACACTGTTTACAGAGATTTGGAGAAGGAGCTCTTTCCTGAATGGCGGGCGAAGTATATCGATTATAAGGTAAGTGGATGGATGTGCCTTGCCCTTGCATATAGGCTTGAGACCGTCCACGTGCGAAAGCTAATATCATATGCGCCTTCAGACCGGAAAGAAGAAGATAAGAGCCATTGCCCGAGCCATCCAGAAAGGGAATCGCAGCGGTCGTACTCCTTCATTTCGAAGCCCTATTCTTCGAACGCCCTCGTTTAAGAGTCCCACGAAACTTCGCCATCGGTCGAATACACACAATGGCGATGGAGCGGCACCGGAAGATGCAACGGATGGTCGCGCCGTATCAACGGCCACACCAACTCGACAGGCGCTGCGCACACCGGGATCGAGGTTTTCTGATAACGTAGGGAACTATGGGAGTATAGTGGCTTCTCCGCCTCTGTCTCTGTCTCAGCGGGGAAGGGGGTCAGATATGGATTCGCTCCGGCTCCCGAAGGCTGCGATGGACGTCGACGAAGAACATGTGCCACCGGAGCGGGACTTGACTGAGCGTGGAGTATCGTCACCAGTAGAGCACTCCGATGACGAGCATACCGAAGAAGACATTTCCGAGGATGGATACTCCGACGAAGAACAAGAACAAGAACAAGTGCAAGTGCAGGAACGGCCTGGACCAAAACGCTCTCCAACATTTCTTCGTCGGGTTTTCTCTCAGACCAATGGGATCGCTGAGTTTGAGAAACGGGAGGCTGAGTATTTTGTATTCCTGGATGGCGAGCTGGACAAGATCGATTCGTTCTATCGCCAGAGACAGATGGAGGCACAAAGAAAACTAGATGTTATCAGTCGACAACTAGACATCATGAGACGGGCACGTGCACGGGAGTATAATGCACAGTATGGCGATGACCAGCAACAAGGACAAGGGCCTCGGAAGTTTTTCGGCTCTCGTATCAGAGACACGTTTACTGGGAGGACCCGGTTCGGAAAGAACACTCGGGCGCTGGTAGCGATGGAGACGCCGAGAATCCCAGAGCAAGAAAACGATGATGCCGCTCACAGACGAGACTATACGCGACGACCGGATTCCGATTCAGCGAACCCAGCCGTGCCATACCGAGAGGCGAAACACCAGCTCAAGCGTGCCTTACAGGAATACTATCGAGGATTGGAAGTGCTGAAGGATTACGCTCTTTTGAATATCGAGGGCTTTCGCAAGATCAACAAGAAGTACAACAAAACCATCAAAGGTTATCCTGGCAAGGCGCAAGGCCTCAAAGTCGAACCGTCAATGGGCTCGATGACTGATATCGTGAACAAGGCATCATTTGCAGACACGAAAACTGTCGAACTTCTCATGCGCGAGGCGGAAGAGTTATATGCAAGGTTCTTCGCGGGTAGGGATCGTAAGATTGCGGTATCCAAGCTTCGCCACAATGTCAACAAATCAACCGACTATTCCTTCACTGTGCTAATATCGGGTATGCTCCTTGGAATCGGCATGATATGCTCGGTTTGGGGTTTGGTGCTCGGTGCGCGGCGTTTAAAATCCAGTGGAAACGAGCATACTGAAACCAGCTATCTGTTACAGGTTTGTCTTCCCCTGTGGCACCTCTGGTGCAACATTCCGTTGCTGACTTAAGACAGATTTATGGAGGATATTTCTTAATCGTATTTCATTTCTTGCTATTTTGGGCAGATTGTATCATCTGGACTCGCTCAAAGGTCAATTATGGGTTTGTTTTTGAATATGATAGTATGAATATGCTGGACTGGCGCCAGTTTTTAGGGGTATGTATCGTTATCTCGATGGTGGATTGAGTTACTTATCTTGATATGGTCTAACACTTCTCCAGATCCCTGCCTTTTTCATGCTCATCCTCGGAATTTGCATGCTTGTGAATTTTCAATGGTTCAATGCCATGTATATATACTGGCCTGTCGTCTTGATAGGTGCTACTGTGGTTATCGTCTTTCTGCCAGCTCCTATATTGTATCATCGTAGTCGAAGATGGTGGGCCGCCACAAATGTAAGTCTCAGCCCCTCGACTGGTTCTATTCACCCGATCTGACAAACACAGTGGCGACTTTTACTTCCTTGCTTCTACCGTGTCGAGTTCCGAGATTTGTTTCTTGGTGACATGTACTGTTCTCAAAGTTACGCCATGGGGGTAAGTTGCTTGGGATTTTTTTTATTCGAGACTGTCGTACTAATTTTATCCTAGAATATTGAACTCTTTTTCTGTCTGTATGCCAATGGATGGAACAGCCCGACGCAATGTAACTCAAGCCATTCACGGCTTCTTGGGTTTTTCACATGCCTCCCATCAACAATGCGTGCCTTCCAGTGTATTCGTCGATACTGGGACTCGAAGAAAGCCTACCCTCATCTTCTGAACATGGTGAAGTATATCTGCGGTATTCTCTACTACGCTACTCTCAGTATGTATCGGATCGATAGGCAAACTTCATACAAGGCCGCATTCATTTTCTTCGCAGCAATGAACGCCTGCTTTACATCCTTCTGGGACGTGGTGTTCGACTGGAGTCTAGGAAACTTCTATAACAAAGAAAACTGGCTCTTGCGCGACACACTCACTTTCCGCAGAAAATGGGTATACTACGTCGCCGCTTTCTTGAACGTCACAATCCGATTCAACTGGATCTTCTACGCTATATATGCCAACGACATCCAACACTCAGCAATCCTCAGCTTCATGATATCCTTATCCGAGGTCTTTCGTCGAGGTATCTGGGTGATCTTTCGCGTTGAAAACGAACACTGTGAAAACGTGCGTTTGGTTCGCGCGTTTAGAGAGCCTCCTCTTCCTTACCCGATATCACCGCCCCTCGATGGTGCTGTGATCCAAGAAGTTACTCCCACAGATGTCGAGCGCGTGTCCGGTCCGCGTCACGCCTCCACTATTTTCCGTATTGGAAATAGGATTGCTGGGGCGCACGCGGAGGACTTTGAGAGAAGACGTCCTCCCGCTCACTTCGTCGATAACTTCCTTGATAACGCCATGGCGCATAATTTCGCACATGCCGGTGAAGACTGGTCCGATGATGAATCAGGTCCTGGTTGAGGGACTGATACCTATCGCCAGTGCACCAACTTGCTTAATAGCCGGCCATATATGGCTTGCTTGAACAAAATATACATATAATCTGATGACTAGCTAGACTTATTTCTTTATGACTGTATATACTTTCGGATTTAAAAATTTATTTCATTTTCCAAGTCTATTTCGCCAGCTTGCAAACAGTCCACGGATAAACAGACGTAGACAGTAATCTCTCGCTGGAAGTAAGGGTCTTTCAAGTTTCAGGAGTCTTGAAAATAGCCAGTCAAATCTCCACTAGGAGCCGCAAGGAGCTCGCACCGAGCCTCTAAGCCTCCACCCAGTGTAGCCATTTGCCTGCCTTATCGTGCCGATAAGATCACACGTGATCTCATTGAAACGTCACATGGTCTCCACCCCCCATTGTCATCTAGGCGTCAACACTTCTTTCTTAAATCTCATAACTCGTCTGTATTCCCACCAAGGCAGAATTTAACCAAGAACTGAGATAATCGAGTTTCAAAACTTGAACATCATGGCTGCGAACGCTCGATACGAGCCCGCCCCGCAGCGGGACTCCTTTGAAGATCAACAATACACCCAAGCACCTCCATCTTACCAGGCCACAGCTCAGCCTGCGGAGCCTCGATCGGAGGATGACAACTTGCCCGATGACTTTAAGGTATGCACTTTATCATTTCAGTATATCCTGGTATGTGGTAAGAACCGAAAGCGCTGACAGTGATCTCTTGCTATAGTTCGGTGGCATGGTGGCGGAAGGAACCATTGACATCCGTATGCAGTTCGTTCGCAAAGTGTACTCGATCCTGTAAGTCTACCAGTATCCGCTCTCAGTATTTACATCTCTACCACTCCACCGACAAGACAAGCGTATCCAAGTCCAAACTAACATAAACAACTAGGACCGCCCAAATTCTCCTCACAACTATCCTCAGTTCCATCTCATTCTTCAACGAATCCTACCGCATATGGATCCAGTCCAACTTCTGGCTGATGATCCTCTCTATCTTCGGCGCTCTCGGCTTCATGCTCGCGACATTCTGGAAGAGAAAGTCTTACCCGTCTAATCTCCTCTTCCTTTCCGCCTTCACCATCACAGAAGCCTACTCCATCAGCGTAGTGACATCATTCTACGACGCGCGAGTCGTCGTCCAAGCTCTCGTCCTTACACTAGGAATCTTCTTCGCCCTAACTCTCTTCGCCTGCCAAACGAAGTACGATTTTACGAACTGGATGCCATACCTCTTCGGTGCACTGTGGTTCCTGATTCTCTTCGGCTTCGTCGCGGTGTTCTTGCCCTTCAGCAGTGCCATCGAGACTGTCTACGGTGTTCTTGGCGCTTTGATCTTCTCCGGCTACATCCTTGTTGATACGCAGATGATTATGCGCCACTACCACGTTGAGGAGGAGATTGCGGCGTCCATCTCGCTGTATCTGGATGTGCTGAACTTGTTCATGTCTATTCTGCGTATCTTGAATGGTCAGCACAATAACTAGATGCTTGGGCTATTATCGAAGACTATGGTATCTGGTATTCTGATGAAGCTAAGGGACTGATTACTAGGGTTGGAAATGATGCGGCTCCTTGGAATAGGGAGCAGGGATATTGAACTTGGGGTGTCTCCTTTTTCATTTTTATTCTTTCGTTATCTCGTGAATTGCTGTCTATAACTAGGGCCAGTATTTTATTCGGCAGCTTTGCTCTCAAACTGATTACTGTTATCATATTTCATTTTTTGGCCTTTTCTCGGTTGGTCTACATAGTTACAATGATACCTTTATACAAATTGATCAACAATAGCAATTGTCATTAATCTCCGCCTGAAGATAGGTACAAATCTGGGATTTGAATAGTACGAATGAGCGAAAAGCTAACCAAACATTTTGGACGCACATAGGTAAATATGAGCAAAGCGAGCGTTAATCTTGGGCGCATGTTAAGTGGGAGAGGTTGTCAAAAGCCCTGTACTTTCAAGTTTCCCGAGAATTTTGAAGCAATACTGATCAATCAAAAGTTTGCTATCACCGAGGACAAAAATGCCAATTCGCCATTTGTAACAGGAGAGTGTTGGCTTTTGCACTGTCCCAACCGTCGTAAGGTGCCATATCTAGTCTAGTTCGGAAATCTTTTCTGATGTACTCCTTGTCTACAAATGTGAGCTCAGAACCACGAAATGCAGTACAGCACCAGCACTCGATAGTACAGTATCCTTTCCCTTTATTCCTTTCTACCAGGTGCCTCTTTTCACAACATCCACAGCCACCACTGCAGCATCCGCCTTGATCTGAGCAATTTGTATCATTTTCTGTCGCATGAACCATTTGACATCACACCTTAGACTGCGATAGGCGTTTTTGAACGGTAATGGCAGTAAGGACTCTGCTCTGTACAGATCGTGCTCCTTTCTTGCGTACTTTGCTTGAATATCTCCAATTTCCTTGTTTGCTTTCTCAAGTTGATGGACAAGGTGAGTTTCTCAGTGAGCCCAAGCCTGAACACCCTCAAAGAAGTATCGGCAAACATACAAGAATATACTCTCCTATAATCGTAATTGACATAACCAGCCCACCACTATTTACCATACGGCAGGCTCTTCGCCATAGCATAAAGGGCCAAATGCCAGTGTAGCATCAATTACGACGGGTAGCAGATGGAGATGAAATGCAAGATGACTCGGAACACTTCCATTTTTAGAAATTATCTTTCACAAGCTTTATTCTTTAACTTTACTTAGTTCGGCACATTTTTGGTAAGCAACATTACCGTGACAATAGACGGTACTACTTACTTATTGCCCTACTAGTAGTATATAGTATACGCTGTAATACATACTATTGTAGAGTGAAACAACACCTAGACCCATCCACATATCCTGAGGGTATTCCGTCTGCGAGCCAGGAGCGTCATCTGCCAGTGGGGGATAGTAGAAATACCGCGATAGAGACCGTAGGGTAGTCCGAAGGAGAAGATCTCTAAGTTGCTAGAATAATCTAATCGCATCTTAAATACAGAATCACACCGCTGTAGCAGGACATCACATTCACGGTGTATCGCATTCCCCATTACACACCTCCCTCCTAAACCATTGACCGTCCCTGGGCGATGTCTGAAACCCTCAAGACGAAAACAAAAGACAAGAGCCGCAAAGATCACTGTCTTTATTGAAGTCTTCAGACTTCTGTTGGGAACAAGTGAAGATTTCATTCAAAGTCGGAGAGATTGAAGTTGTTCAAGCCCAGTAAGTTGTTTTCCACTAGGTAAGCCGCACATAGCAAGAATAATAGCAACGCTTTCTGACAAGGCGTAAACATCTCCTACATAACCAAGCTTTCCGTCTGCAACATGGCCTAGCGCAACTGCTGATTCACCTAAAGGTCTCGCTTCCGACGGATCGACGGCGTATGGATGCGAGGTACAATCTGCAGTATACCACGCATCTGAAAAGGCGACGTTGTTGAGAAGCAATGCCCGTGTAGTATAACGTGCAGGTAAAGCTGCAGCTAACTTACTCCCAGTTGCCGCCTGGTTGACTGTCAATGTCGCCCCAACAACGTTGGTTGTGTTCCATGAGAGTCCCGCCTGGGAAAAGAGGACCTTCATATCGGCAGATTCGGCATATTCAGGGTACATTCCCATAATAATAGCTGAAGTGCCTTCGCGTACTCTATCGAGGACCTCCTGCAATACAGGGAAGTTCTCTTCGACAGCCAATGTCTCGGTTGTACTTATAACAATTGACGGCTGCTTCATTTGAAGGGACTTTATAGCATCAGATGGGGAGGAAACGGTCATAACTGATACCCTCAAAGTCAATTCGTCCAAAAGTTGTTGGTAATAGGGTTCATCATCCGTGGGCGGGGGAACCTCTTCATACGTGCTAGGGGGAGGCGTGATCCTTATTATAAGGACCGATGGTTTGGGGTCGTCAGTAGACATCATGATGGTCGATTTGTATGACTCCCAGAGGACCTCTTCTGGATAATTTTGTCTCAATGGGCCAAGTGTAGTTGGGTTGAACAGAGAATTGAGACTCAAATGATGGTAAGAGCCAACTTCGGGGCTAATGGTTATTTAAATCAAAGTCCAAGTAGTTCTTTGGGTCATAAGGAAAGCAGCTTACTACGTTTACCCTCCTTTGTTTCCATGTGTGGCGTGGACATTGAAAAGGGTTTGCTCAGTGAACCTGAGCATGAGTCTTGTGGGCGGGCGTCATTGGCTTTTGGTGGTATTTCAATACCGTCAAAGGTACTGAGGAGGCTTTGTTCCAAATTATATAATATACGATAAATTAGAATAGACAGTAGGCGGAGAGCGAAAGGAAGTAAGTGCACTGTCAGGGATTCCTGCGTTATACGTAGCGATAGATACAGAAATTCAGAGGAAAGAGTAACAAAGGGAAAAGAAAGAGAAGAGACAATCAATAATATGCTCCAAACGCCTAACATTGCAGCCGAAAAAGTTATATGCGATGATCCTCATGAGTTAAACTTTGTGTAAAGAAAGTACGCACACAGAGGAGGGAAAACGAGATCTAGAACGGTCATCATGGACACATTGACACGACTATGTAGTACAGTCGGCAAACAAGCAAGGCAGTAGATAGTGAAGATAACCCAGGTATTGAGTGTACACAATATATGGTAGAAGTAGCGACGACGAGCAAGTTCTTCAGTGCGACGCACCGAAGAATGTGTTTGTGATTAGACACACAACCATAACCACCAGGCCATACCCGGCTAGGCCCAAGCTTAGCCGGCGAAGTAAGGATTTACGCCAGTGGCGTGTGTTGAGACGTAGAATACCACTTTCAGTGAGAGATCGAGCTAGGGAACCTTCGCCCTCATCATCAGCGACATCGTCATCATCAGAGATGTCATCTGCAGCCTCGTCGTCTTCTTTCAGAAGGCCACGGTGGGCAGGTGAATCTGGTGCGGAAATTTTATAGTAAAACAGTCCTGGGAGGATAAAACTGATACTTGTGCTGCCAGTGCTGCCAACGTAGGCCAAGACAGCCTCGAGGGATGAGACGGTCATAGCCACCAAGTAACTCAGGATGAGAATGGTGGTGGTGATTATCGAGAAGCGAATATCACTCATTGGCTCTGGTGTTCGACTTCCACGAGGTCCCAACAGAGGATGTCGATGAGGAGAACCTTCCGTACGAGGAGATTGAGACTTAGGGCGCCATTTCAACACGGCATCGACCGAAGCTCGGCATGGGTGACACTGTAGTGGGTAAGAGAAGACGACTAGCATAACAATCGCTGCCCGACCAATGGTGGCATATACGCCTGGAGGATACATTCCGACGATATTGCCACCAACGTTGTTGCCAAAAGATAGGTAGCCTGTGACAGCGACAAGGATATAGGTTGCAGCCGAACTGCCTATGCTAGTCAAGACAACGCCCGTGGTTCGAAAATGGCTGTTGTTGGCGATTTCATTTAGAATCGAGAACATCTAGACAAATAATTAGTGCCGGCAATGTATAAAGTTGACATCAATCCTTACATTCTGATGGCATGTAAATGCGAAAACGATGACGGGAAAGCTGCTCAAAGTTGGAATTGGTCCTGCCCAGTGGCCAACTCGAATCGGGCCTCGATCAGCCATTGTATCTCCCTTAATGAAGTGGTAAAAAACCAGAACGACTAGGTATGCCATCGATACGAGAGCCGCAATACTGGTGTATTTCAAAGAGTCCAATCGGCGAAGATACGAGAGAGGGATAACAATCAACCTATTGAAGCAGACCTTGTTAGCACGATGATCGCAAACCAGAACACCACTGAAGCAAAACTCACATGAACGCAGTCACCCAGAAATGGCGATCGACCAAGAAGTCATAGGATGGATCGCCGCCCACGAATCCCTGAACCACCCCGGGCATGAGATCACCGATAATGATGAGATAGCTCACACCAACACCAAAACATTTGATCGCGATAGCAGCATCAAATACCACAGCCGCATTGGGGTATGTTAGTTGTGATAGTGCGAAGAACGAAGCACTCCCCCGGTCGAGATATTGCGCGCATCGGGACTGAAGGTAGAGACCGAATCCCGCGGTGACGCCCGACCACAAAATGACGAAGATACCTAGCACGATTCCAAAATGGGACATGGCGAGTGGCATCGCAAGCACACCGGCTCCAATAACTACATCAAATACCACGGTATCAGTAACTTGTCGTCTTCTCCGAGTAGGCGCCCAGATTCCACTCACTTGTATTCACCAGATTGATCACACTGCTAGCAAAGCCAGCCTGACCCGCGACATTACCAGCTCGTTTACCTCGACTTCCATGTCTAATTCAAAAATAAGCGTCAGTTCATCGGTCTTCATGACGTTCTTTGGGGGCCACCTTTCGGGCCAACTCACCGTCGAAGACCATTTAAAGACGGACCGGCAGGGCCAACCCCGACAGTCGCCTCCTCTTCTTCCATAGCGGTGAAATCGACTCTGGTCTATGTAGTGATCAAGTAGCAGGCACGAAGCCCAAAAGCGACCGCGACCAGCGGAGCCGCACTGGAAGATGTATTGCTGGAGAGAGATGTAAAGAGGAGAAGAAACGTCGTGGTGGCCGAACCTTATCAGCGCAGCCCCCGATTAGCTCCACACCTGACCTTCTCTGCCCGCCTTAGCACTTAGCACTTAGCACTTTGCGAACCTCCGCTTTACCATACATGTGCAGATATTGCATCATAATATTCATTTACCGATGGCGTGCTAATGGCTAATAAGTCTTACTGAATTATTTACAGTTTTGAGATTCCCCAACCCTCCTGAGCCAGGATGCCGAAACTCTCTTTCTCTACGGCTGCATGGTCTGAAGCCGTGTTACCTGGCCGGGTGCCAGGTCCCTCGTCATTAAATTGCAGAACCTCTCGCACAGTCTTTGACACCTCAAAAATCTTTCCACCTTGGACCGAGAACTGCTTTCCTTTACCAGATCGATCTCCGATGACTTCGCTCACTTGATCCTGCTGCACCAACGCCAACATTACCTCTCCTACTTCTTCGGGAGTAACCCAGGCGTCTGCGCTCTGGTCTACCATCTTTAACTTCTCGGGATGGTCTGTCCATAGAGGAGTCTTAATTACTCCGGGCGCTACCGCTGTAACACGGATGCCGAGCTCCTCAAGTTTACCTAACGAGCGCACCAGGCCATTGATGGCGTGTTTTGTAGCTGTGTAGATGGGAGCTGCGAACGCCGCGGTTTGTCCAGCAATGCTAGAAATATGCAAAAGATGCTTTGGGCGACCGTTCTTGCGGTACTTCAGGAAATGCGCAACCGCTAATTGACTTGTGCGGATGGGATGGGTGACATTGATGTCCAGTAGAGCGTATCGACCTCCTGCAGGCGAATCTTTGCTAGCAGCTGTTCCAGGCGGCCGCCAAAAGTTGCTCCAGTGCTATAAAACAGACAAGACGATGTTGTTAATAAGTTGTCTCTGTTGTTTCATGTCTTTTGTATTCTTTTCGGTCTGTCACATACCGGCTCATATACTCCCGCGCCCGGGCAAACAATGTCGATTTCACCAAATTCCTTCTCTGCCACTTCAAACATGCGTTCGAGCTGAACCCAGTCCGTGACATCCGTTTCCTGGAAAATAGCTCGCCCAGAGCCACTGGAATGCTTGTCGACTAGTACTTTAGCCTCGGGGCGTAAAGCCAAGTCTGCAATTAGGATATTACATCCATTCTCTACCAGTAACTGGGCGAAGGCTAGGTTGATCCCTAAGTGACCAGAGATATAAGTACAGGGTTTACAGAGAGCGGTCTCATGTCTCTAATTAATATTGGCGACATACCGGAGCCTGCGCCAGTAATAATGGCAGATTTGCCTTGGACTGAGAAAGCCATTAGGATACGTAGTAGACTTAGGGGTGGGAAGAAGCGTGGAAGATTTCAACGAAGCAAGTACGCTGGGGAACCCCATTTTTATAGCTACGACCCTGTGGAACGCCGTGTGATACACCGGCATATAGCCACATCATAGCCGTTTTACAGAAGAGGGGGTGATCGTGGGGGTTTAACCGTGTGGAGCTCAAGTAAGTTACAGGGTTGCTAACAAGTCCCAAAGCGCCGACACCGGTATTCTAGCCGAGATCCTTGTAGTTCTTTCAGCTTCAATTCTGGGTCTGCGTAGCCACTGACCCACCAGAAAATCTGGATCCTGAATAATCCCAGTGGAATTTCTCTGTTGTTCTTCCTAAATCCGTGGGATGGACTTTTGAATCGTCATACGCCCGTCTGACTTTGCCTTTGGTGTGTACGAAGTATAGAAAACGATTGGCGACACCGACACCTAAATATTCATCGTACGAGAGTTATTCTTTTCTAGCTCAAGGTTCAAGTTTAATTTTTAACATTGTGTAACGTTAATCCATACTACTATTGTATAAGCATTATTCCATCGAATCAACATAGTCGGCGCAACCCCGAGTGTAAAGATCGGCAAATGACTTCATAGACACCATCTAATGCGCAACATTTTCCAAATTTGTCAATTTAGCCGAATATTTATGCATTATGCAGTTGTTCAAGCCGTAGAAGGCCGTATTGAGCGTTTATAATCAACCAAAAGTATAGGTCTTCGGTATCTATAGTGAACTCGTAAGTAAAATTACACTTCCAAGGTTTTCATATGCGAACTTTGATATGGACCCCAAGAATGACGACGCCTGCCAGTGGTACGTACTAGTAGTACTAGTATGTGGATTGTTGACAAGGGTCTTGGGCAATAGTTCGCATTCTAGAGACTTGGGCCTCTATAAACTTGAATATTTTAGGTTCCTCCCCGCCTGTGTGACTAGGATACTATGCAGGATCTGCGATGGGGTCCAAGGACGTCTGGACTACCTTACTCCAGCGTCCCTACTATACTACTGATCTCTTTTGGGTTTAGCTCATTCAAGTTGGTCGCTCTCTTGAAATGGCCTTTATGCCGCTATATAAAGCACACCACTGACATAGCATCGGATAGTGATAAGAAAGCACAGGGACTTTCAATGTTGTAGTGATTCCCCAAGGACTCCGAGTCTCTAGCCCTGGGGATAGTGGCGATATCCTGATCCATTCTCCTTAACCTCAGACAAAACTGGCAGGGGGTTGTATATGTAGTATACGTGTCCCGGGAGGACAAAGCTAGTTTCCAACAGCCCTGGAGGCCAGTGGAACGCTAAAGTCTGGAAAATTCATTAGTAGACCTCTCTATCTCAAAAATAGCAAGAAATATGCCCCTGGTCTCGAGACATCTTTTGCTGATAACAAAGTGAATGGTACAGGAGTTGAACAAGTGCTAAGTAGTTATCCTGCCCATTTAATTGGGTCCGGGGAGAGATCACCGCCCGCGTTCCGCCCAAAGCTCGACAAACACACCTTCGTCCAAAGTGGACCTGTCAATGCTCGCTCAATAACAACATGCGGCTCCAAGCGGCCCTTTTCCTCGCCGCGTGCGTATCGCCCGTAGCGGCCATCTTCCGTGATGAAGTCAATCACATCGACTTCCATCATGCCCTCCTCGGTGCCCCCTCGCCCGATTCGACCTTCTTCGTCAAGCCATCCTCCGCCTCAAATGCATCCCTCCTCTACACGATTTCCGACAAATCAATCCTAGGTGCAATCAATCCTCGCGATGGTGCGCTGCTCTGGCGTCAGGACATTTCACCGTCGAGCGCTGCCACTGGGGGGGCCAGTCTCCTGCGCAGCTCTGATGGGAACAATGCTGTTGTCAGTGCGGCTGGACAACATATCTCGTCATGGACCGCCCAGGATGGCAAATTGATTTGGGAGAAACAGTTCAAAGATGGTGTGGTTGCGGACATTGAACTTTTGGAGCTAGAAGAGGCCAGCAAGACATCTGGCCCCCGGGATGCTTTGGCACTTGTTGATGGCGAAAGCGTTGACTTTGTGAGACGATTGGATGGAGCAACTGGAAATGTTAAGTGGGAGTACAAGGATGAGAGGTTAGTTCTATCTTCCTAAGATGCTTATTTGGGGACTCGATTATTGATATGTGGCGATAGCGGGGATGTTGCGTTCCAAGTGTCATCTTCCCCAACAGAGGTTTTCTACATTTCGCTTCAATCGGCATTACTGAAGGGTCACAAGGTTAAAGTCACTGTTTTGGACCCCGTGACTGGGCGGCAACTCCGTCAACATGTTCTGAATTCCGAGAATGATATTGCGACCCCAGAATCCGTCCTCTTTGTAGGCGCAAATATCGCTTCCCCCTTGATTGCTTGGGCGGATAAAGCGCACAAGGCCCTGAAAGTCAATATCATCGGTACAAAGCAAGTTCAGACGATCAACATCGAAAACGCTTCCGGCCATGAAATTCGCCAGATCACCATCCATGCCCCCCACAAACTCAACTCCCTTCCCCACTTCTTGGTCCATTACGTGACTGACAATGGCGCATGGGCGGAGGTTTATCACGTGGACTTGAAGTCTGCTGCTATCACAAAGGCCTACTCGCTTCCATACTTGCAGGGTCAGTCTGTAGTAGCTACTAGCAACATTGACGCCAATGTATACTTCACCCGCATTACCGAGTCGGAGGCTGTTGTGGTTTCTTCCGCATCCCATGGAATTCTGGGTCGCTGGAATATCGAGAACCCCCCCAAGGAGCTTGCCCTCTATGCAGTTTCCGAGGCGATAGCCAAGGGAAAGTCCGTGGTAGTCCGTGCGGCTATTCTGCGAGAAGCCGGAGCCTGGGATTTGATTCGCAATGGCCAGACTGAGTGGGTTAGACATGAAGGTCTGATCGATGCCGTGGCTGCTACATGGATCGAGGCTCAAATCCAGGAAAACCTGGCCCACGAGCTGGAGGTCGAGGGACATGAAAGCTTGGTCGGTGCATACACCCACCGGGTGAAGCGTCATATTCGTGATCTTGAACATCTTCCTCAATGGCTCAAGAACCTCCCTCAGCGAATTATCAGCAGTGTGCTGGCCGATGAAGTAACAAACCTTGATAGCTTTGGTCTGGCTAAGTCGGTCCTTATCGCTACTAAGGGTGGCCGTCTTTATGCATTGGACACTGCTGAACAAGGAGCTGTTGTGTGGAGTGTCCAGGTGGAAGAAACATCCCAGTGGGATGTGAAATCTATCGTAACTCGACCTGGAGAGGCTACGATTTATGTCGGTGATGGAAGCTCTGCCACTGTCAATATATCTACGGGCGAAGTCACTTCTCGCTCCGCACCTAAGAATGTCAAGCTCCAGTCAATTATCTCTCTTGATAGCGAGACAACCATCGGGGTTCAGGAAGACGGCTCATTGGCTACCGCGTTTGAGAAGTCTGAAGAGCTTCTGGTAACAACCAGCGCTGATGGCCGTGTTTTGGGATGGAGCGGAAAGGACAACAAGTCTCCCTTGTGGGAGTTTGTGCCCCCATCTGGCCAAAAGGTAATCCATGCCACCTCTCGCCCTGCTCATGATCCAGTTGCCTCGATCGGCAAGGTGCTTGGTGATAGGTCCGTCCTGTACAAGTATCTGAACTCAAACCTTGCCCTTATCACGGCAGTGAACGAAAAGGATCACACTGCTGGATTCTATCTTCTCGATGGTGTATCTGGCAATGTGCTTCATGCGACAACTCACGACAGCGTTGACACTACTCAGCCTATTGCGTCAGTCATGTCCGAGAACTGGTTCGCCTATTCTTTCTTCGGCGATGTTCTTGATGAATCTTCCGCTAAAGGTTACCAACTTGTGGTTTCTGAGCTGTATGAGTCGTCTATCCCCAATGACCGTGGTCCCCTTGATGCGGCAGGGAACTATTCAAGCATCCACGGCAACAGCGGCGACAGTCTCCCGCTTCCTCACGTTATCTCTCAATCCTTTGTTATTCCCGAGCCGATTTCCCACATGGCCGTCACCCAGACTCGTCAGGGCATCACCACTCGTCAACTTATCTGCACTTTGCCAGAGTCTAGCTCAATCATCGGAATTCCTCGACCAGTTTTGGATCCTCGCCGCCCTGTCGATAGGGATCCAACCTCTGCCGAGGCAGAAGAGGGGCTTTTCCGTTACGCCCCGCTCCTAGAATTCGATGGCAAGTGGTACATTACTCACGCACGAGACGTGTCCGGTATCAAGACTGTACTCTCCCAGCCTACTCTCCTGGAGAGTACCAGTCTGATATTCGCATTTGGAGGCGATGTCTTTGGAACACGCGCTACTCCCAGCCAAGCTTTTGATGTTCTTGGCAAAAGCTTCAACAAGTTGCAGCTTGTCCTCACTGTAGTAGCCCTGACAGTGGGTGTCGCATTCCTAGCCCCAATGGTAAGTCTTGGCTCCCTTTGATATACATGCATGAAAACCTTTACTAATAATTTGTTTTTTAGGTTCGGAAGAAGCAGGTCAACCTGCTGTGGAAGGCAAACTAGATGTTTGTTTCTTCAGTTCACGAATGCATATATTTTGACGTGATTTTTATCTAGGAATGTAATCTATAGTTTTTATTTGCCTTTAAAATTTCTTTTCATGCATAGATCTCAACTAAATAAGTTTCTGGAGTTCATTTTAGACTAGCTACGTACATGGGACACGGCCAGCGTGCTTGGTCCCGGTGCGCAACTAGAGCGCAGCTAGAGCGCAACGAGAACACATCGTTAGGTGTGGCGGCGTGTCGATCCCACCCTCATTTTACTTTTCTGGAACACGCTTAGCGTATGCGAGTGGCGTGTTATCTTATTGTTATAGGCTTATATCTTGGATGCCAGTCGTCATCGGAAACGGTTAAGACTACACATTTTGCATTGTTATGGACCCCTTCGAGAGCCTGACAAGAAATGATAAGTAGCGATGAATCCTTCGCTTCAATCTTTAACTTATCGCTCTTCCTCTCCACCTAACTATTTTTCTCACCTTGAGCGAAGCTAGCTCCAATTACCCTTTGAGCCGTCAATCAACATGTTGCTCAAAATGGGACTACCAAAAGTTCTTGGCTTTGGCTCAGAGGCTCTCCACGCCTACCGTGGCCGCTCCAAAGGCGTACCCAAACAACTTGAAGACGACACAGGGACCAGAATATTGCCCCCTGGGACCTATGCGCCTAGCTCTTATTACGGAGAGAATGGCTCAGAGCTTCCTAACGGATATACCGCGGAAGATGGCTCTTGGATCCCAAGCTATTTTTATACCCCCGATGGGTCCTGGATTCCGAATGACGCTTACCTTCCTGCTGATTTGGTGCCACGAACTCCAGAACTTGAAACATTCGGTACTGATAGCTCTAGTGGGAACTCAATAAATAGAAATATGCCGGTAGAGACTGGGCTTGATTCGAAAGGACAGGACCATGATGGTATTGATAACGACGAAGCCGTGTGGCAGCTCGATGATATAGCTGAGAGTCTACAGCCTCCAGGCTATGAAGAGGCCATGAATAAAGAGACCGCGAATGATGAAAATGAATGCGAGCAAACAGAAGATGCAAAGATCAAAAAGCGAGAAAAGCTCGTCCGCGACCTAATTAATATTGTTGAGCCAGCCCCCAGCCAGATACGCCGTCTCCCTTGTGCAGTCATCATTCCACAACGTCGTCCCGGAAAGAAAGATCGAGGTTTCTGCCGAGCATACGCACCTATACTAGCTGAGAGTGGCATTGACCAGGATACATTCTTACAATTTATCCAGAGCTTTGACGTGGCCAGCAAGGTATGTGTGGCCATTCTGCTCAACCCATGTAGACCCATCCGCTCACCTCTCGCCAGGCCAATCCATTGATTGAAGTTACTTTTATTGCCGGTGGGATTTTAGGGATGGTCCCAAATGCAACCGCCGCGATTGCCGGTGCGATTGTACAAGTCGTCGCGGGAACTGCCAAAGAGCTGCAGGCGCGCAACCGCGCGAACACTTTCCTCGACCGAGTCAATCAAGAAATATTCATGCCTCGAGGCTTGGTTGTAATGGTCATGGCATTCGAGGATGACAAAAAATTAGGATTTGCAAGCCTAGGCAAGCTGTTCCAAACTAAGAAAGTAGATATCAATGACCCTAATGCAGGGGATGTCAACCAAAATGAAATCAATCCCTATGATCACCTTACGGATGCAGCATTAGCCAATAACACGCCCCAGATGGGCGAAGGATGGTGGAAACGGAATATGAAAAAGATCAGAGAGACAGATGGCAAGACTACAGGAGATGTTCAATTGCCCGAGTCTGCTCCGCTGGTCTATCCCTATCTCGATGCAGTGTTGGGACGAAGTGGAGAGCCACCACAGGGATTTAAGAAGAAAATGGGCGCTGCTGGTGAATGGGTTCAAGATTATATGGATAGAAAGTCTCATGCTGATTTGGTACGAAAAAAAAGTCAAATATCGCTTTGTACAACTAACTGCTAACAGTTGAATAGGAGCAAGAGAAGCCAGGTACTGCTCTAGCGATGTCCGCTGATCAAAGAAAGCCATTCAAATCTCGTTTCAATGACCCCAGCCATCCTGCAAATAGTGGATCACTTATATCTCTTGTTACAGGTGGTGCCATAGCCATGCCCGATCGAAAACAAATGATGATGGATAAGGGCAAAAAAGGATTCCGCATGTTGAAAGGCGAACAAGAGCCAGCGGAGAACCAACAACAGCAAAATAGACGATGGAAGAAAGCCTCCAGTGGAGGATTGATCAAGACAGTGATGAAGATGAAACAAGACGACATCTTCTATTTGACCGTGATCAACATGCCCACGCCGGAGGAGATCGAAGCCGCAAAGGCTGAAATGAGAGAGATGATGGTCGATTTCCCTCCCGAAGCTCAGTCAGCTGTAGACACAAAGATGCCATACAGCCCTGACGATCTTTACCCAGCCCCTCTTAATATATCAAAGCTTCCATCGGAGAATATTGTTGCGAAAGCTCCTACTGAACTCCCTGCTGAGCTCACTGCTCCACCCGTGGCCATTTCACAAGCTTCATCGACTGTCGTCCATGAGCAGCATTAGCAAGCTGCAGGATCCCACTATCCTCCTGAATGGAGTCACAGCTCTTGTCCTAAGGTTCTTTCATCAGCGCAGCAGCAGACTTCTCCTCCATATCCCGGAGAGTATGCCCTCCCCAATCATTCTTCGTTCCAGCCCTCTTGTTAGATATACACAACTACCCCAGACACTATTATTTAGGCTCAAGGAATGGAAGAACATTTTACAACCCTTTACCAAAACGCCTTCATTACGGGTGGGCAGGTATTCTAGTTTTCCATCAGTCGAAAATATGTGAAATGGGGATTTTTTCCACTGGTGGCTGTATTCCTCCGTACCAGATCACCCCCACCAGTGTTACTATACCTTCCCTCATCCACCCCATCCTAATAATCTCACTCCAGCTGAAATATACATATATATCACCACCCACTGACCTCTCCTTTTCTATTTCCTATTTCTCGTTTCCCAACTTACCTTCCATGCATCTCCCATGATCTTTCCATACATTTTCCATTTTCCACCTTCCCTCTTATCTTCCCTTTCATCTTCCCTTCCATCTTCCCTTCCGTCTTCCATTTTTTAGACCACCTTCCAGACATATTCCAAGCAATATTCCAATCTTCAATCTTCTCATCCTTTTATGCACATTCAAATTTTGATTCTAATATCTTCGTCAACATTCTATCTTCAAGTTAACCACCCATATTTACTCCTTTGAGTATCTTCATTCTCCAAACCTTTACCGTTGAGGTTTTCATTGTGTTCACCCATCCCATTTCGACTTCTCCATCTTGCCTCGGTCTACACTTTCACCCACGGCAAAGTTTAGCTCATACTCGTCATCTGCATTTCTCCCCTTTATCTCTGAATATTTCATACTTCCAAAAGCTTCCACAACCAAAGGGCCCGAGCCGAATGAGGCGGCGGAGTTATACTAAAGTTCATAACCACATCTCCTATGTACTAGTACATAGTAGATTAATCTGGGCAAATTAGAATAACATTCATTCATCTGACCTCTCAAAATCAGTTTTCTTGTTGGCTATTCCCACTGATAGTTGACAGACCCTTGAGCCATTAGCAAGGACCAAAAGTTCATTTCAAACCTGGTAGTAAACCCATCATAAGATGCATACCTTCAAGTTGTAGTCTGGCCTTCTACTAGGCCAGAGCATTCACAGTAAACTATATACAGACTAGTAATATGCAGCCTCTCCAAACACGATTATCTCTATCATTTCAGTCGTCATTGAAGCCGCACTGCTTAACGTTGTTTTAGCCTGCCGCGGCCAGCTTAAATGGAGGTCATACCACAAATTAAGTTCCTCTCCCCTTGATTATATGCAAACAATCGATGAAGCAAGCCGTGGATCGTGGGGCTCGCTTAAAGTTCTTTCGAGAGTGGTGTCATCCAATATTTGGAGTCAACTCGGCAATTCAGCTCCAACTCTTGGGGTAGCGCTCAGATCTCCAACAGATGTAGCTATGGCACGAGACATGTAAATGAAAAGCCCATGCGCATTTTCTCGTAAAAGCGTTTTTTACATATTCTGTTTCTTGAGAACCTCCAGCTTTCTTGAAATCCACTCAAATCGTCAAAATGACGCGCATTGCTCGCGAAGTTCTCCAAAAGTCACTTAAAGTGGCCTGTATTCAAATAGCCAGTGGTAAGAGAACGGTCCTTTCTATCGCGTTGTGATGAGAACACTCTAACAAAAGTCAGGTCCTAACAAAGCCCACAATATCTCACAAGCAAGACAAAAAGTGTTAGAGGCAGCAGCGGCGGGCGCCTCCCTTGTTGTCCTTCCAGAATGCTTTAACTCCCCATATTCCACGGGAAAGTTTCGCGAATATGCCGAGCCATTATCGCCACATCCAGATCCTAACAAAGCTCCCAGCTTTGCTGCACTGTCGCAGATGGCTCAGGATACTGGTGTGTTCTTGATAGGAGGGAGTATTCCGGAGTATGACGAATCGGGCAAAATATACAACACAAGTGCAGTATATTCTCCACAAGGAAAACTGCTTGGATCCCATCGCAAGATGCATTTATTTGATATTGACGTTCCTGGGGGCATGTCGTTTCACGAATCGGATACTCTCTCGCCTGGAAACGACCTGACAGTCATCGAATTGGATGGATATGGGAGGATTGGTCTCGGAATATGTTATGATATGCGATTTGCTGAGCCGAGTACCATTGCAGCTCGACAGGGTGCTTTTGCATTGATTTACCCTTCAGCATTTAACACTACCACTGGTCCTCTTCATTGGGAACTTCTGGGTCGTTCTCGGGCTGTGGATAATCAAGTGTATAGTGTTTTGTGTTCACAGTCGAGGGTACCGGGTTCTTCATACCCTGCTTGGGGGTATAGTATGGTTAGCGATCCTATGGGTCGAGTTGTTGCTGGCACGAAAGAGAGTGATGATATTATCTATGCGACACTGGAGCCAGAAACGATCAAGGAAACTCGGCAAGCTATTCCCATTACCCACCAGAGGAGACATGATGTGTATCCAGATATCGCGCAACTTGTTTAAATTGCATGAATCGAAGTGATGGGCGCATTTCGTCTTTTGACTAGGTATTTCTAGTCATTTATAGGCTTACGTGTCTGCTTACCCCCAAGGTTTACTTATCGTTGTCGGGGTCAGCGGCGCGATACATTCCTTGAGCGCCCTCTGTGCACAGCACCATGACCCGGACACTGCTGGTAGTATAAGCCCATCTACACGGAGACTTATAAAACTGAAACTCTTTCACATAGTTAATGGAAGATTTATTTTTCAAATCCATCTGAGTTCATTCAATCATCGGTATAGACATAAAATATAGCATGGTATAAAACAGATTTGCATAAACAAATCAAAATCAAGGCGAGGGCTCAAATCCAAATAACAATCCACTCCATCCCACACTTTGTGCTGAGAAAGATAATCCTTTCAACTCATATATATACAGCAGCATACCCAAATATCCATCCATTCCCCGCGATTTTAAATCAACGGCATAGGAGATTGGTTCACATAGTCAACATTATGATTCATAGACTCGATGCGATCACAGCATGTCCCGAAGATACGATCCCAAAGCCGAGTCTGTTTGCCATAGTTGTAACTCTTCTTCCACCCCTTGCGGTGATGCAAGTCGTGATCCTCAATAACAAGCTCGGCATTGAAATAGCGAAGAAGCCAGCTAAGGGTGCAAGGTGGTGTAGCATGAACACGAAGACCACTGTGGCCCGCCAGCTCGGCGTACATAACGTACATGTGGCAAATCCACCACTCGTAGAAACCCATAGGCATGCCCATCAGCTTCATAGAGAAGTAAGTCATCAGAGGAATACCGGCAATGTCGAATAGTTCCTGTTCCAGATCCGCGTAGAGGGTGAGGAGCGGGTTCGGGTGCTTGGTCAGGTGGTGGGTGCGGTGGTACTTCCACATAGGCTCGAAATCGTGCATAATACGGTGGTACCAGTAGAACCAGAAGTCGAGGATGATTCCATATAAACTGATTTCGAGAAGCAACCAGGGAATGCTAACATCAGCGGGTGTTTCCTTAGTACGATAGGCGAGGAAGACGCTGAACATAGGGCGGAAGGTTGAGGTCGATAACAGGGAGCGAACGACCTTCGCGGCGCCGACGTCTGGAACGCCATCACGAGCGTGCTTATCTCCGTCGAAGAAGCCGTGGGTGTGACCAAGGCGGCGGAGAACGTGGAGTTCATGAATGGCGGTGGCCTTGAAGGCGAGACAGTAGAAGATGAATGCGACAATGGGCCCAAAGTTGTGGCCTGTATATCTAATATAGGCTTGTTGAAGCAGGAGTGGGATCACCGAGTGCACGATAACCCAGCGGTGCATAGACCAGTCTGGAACGTATGGAACACCATCTTCTTTGAGGTGGACGGGTACTTCTTGGTCGAGGTGTTCGGGGTGGACGTCGGTTAATTCGTAGAACCAATGGGCGAGTGTCCACTCTGAGCGAGCCTGCTGGCGCCAGGTGGACTTCATAGAGTCCTTAGGATTTCGGTCAACCATGGCATATGTTGTTGTTGCGCATATACTCAAAAGCACTTGTTGATCGTGTTAAAGCCGTTAATCCAAGTTTATGCTAAGGGTTGCAATGTCCACTTTTTCCCCGGTGGTAATCATGGGGAGTGGGTTTTATTTTAAAGGGTTTTACGGAAAAGGGGACTGGAGTCATTGTTGATCCACTAAACCAGTTAGAGGGCTTCGGCATCATGTGAATCTCCACTCTCCGCAAAAATGAGCCTCGGACTGCTTCTAAAATCAGTTGGACTGTGTCGATCCTATCTGATCCTGGAATCACATTTCCTCCCCAACATTTCCGGGCTGGGTTCAGGGCCCGGCTAGTTGGCTAAGGCGGTTCCAAGGTTTTATCAGTGGAGCCTTTGTTAGATCATGCACGGAGCTTTATAACCCTATTCGGCCTAGTAGGGGAAGCCTGGATCAATCATGTTCATGCGGGCTCAAGCCATGATGTTGCATGATGCCATCAGACACATGGAATTAGTCTGGCTGATTGATATCAAGTGATAATCCAGGTACTGTCGAACCTTTTCAATCATGTTGGAGAAAATGCCGTGATGTTAAAATAACACAATGATCGGAGGATACATATAGCGATGGAAGCAAAACGCTTAGTCAGGAGACAAGGAAACGTCTGAAGACTGTGATTGGTCCATATTAACTCCATCCTTTTCAATGTTGACTCGTTCATTTTTGTACGAAGTGCTAACCTTTATGGGCTTACAGAGGTGGCAAGATCATCAATATGGTGCCTATGTATCCATATCGATCAGATAAAACCCCGTATAGCATTGTACTCAAATTTGCGAAAGTGGGTCATATCGAATTTCAGGCAGAAAAGATGACAGGGGCCATGTGAAACTGGTAGTATCTAAAGAAGCCTTGGGTAGCAGATACCCTAATGTCATCATTGCATGTTAATTGTAATATAATGTAGATCTAATCGAATGACATACATTGTTTCAAACTTGAAGCTTGTCTCTGTATTTCCTACTCTCAAATGAGATTATATCAAGAAGTGAAAAAGAAGATAAGTATCTGAGTATATTCTATTTACCAGGGCGTTTCCGAGTCCATACCGGGGGATATTAACATAACAAAGTCCAAACACAGACCCAATGACCATATCGACATAATACTATCTCGTGGTTAGGCAGAAAGGTAAACTGATAACAAAAAAAGAAAAAGCAGTAGAAAGAAAGAGATCGGACTCGCCCGATCAAAGCCCACAATGATGGAGCCTAGAAAGAAACCGAAAAAGAAGTTTAATGATGAGAAATGTTGGGACCTGAGCGGTCCAATCTAATACGAAATGCACATGCAAAGTAGTGATCCAAAAAAATTAACAGGCAGACACAATCAATGCTAAGCGAACCTTCAAATGAAGCCTCGGTTTATGTGATCTGCAACTTGTGCGTTGAAGACTCTTCCCTCACCCCGCGCGGGTATTCTATGTGCGTCTATGCCACGGTAGTGGTCTGAGTCTCTTCGCTTGCGACCTGGTCAACGTTTACCGCCACCTTCTCGTTCTCTGTAGGAACAGGGGTTTCAACATCACTGCTCGAGGACTCGGTCGCCTTTTCGCTTTTCTCCTTGATCTCTGTAGATGCGGGCTGTTCTGTGCGGGAAACTGGCACGGGGACAGCGTTCCGTCGCTCCTTGCCGTCTTCGGTGCCCAACACTTCGATCTGATCGCCCTTGAATAGTATCGGACCTTTCAGAATTTCCGTCTTGTCGCCCGCTTCAACCTGTACATTCTTCAGCAGTTCGTTGGCAGCTCTGTCCGTGTTCGGCATGTCGCCCCATTGCCACTTCAGTTCGCCACCATACTGCTCAGGGAAGTTGGAGGTGTCCATGAAAGAGCTGAGTGTGGGCTTCACCTCCGAGGCGGACAAAATAAAGATTTTGGACGTGGTGCCAGGGTCGAACCAACGCTTGATCCATCCCCAGACAGTGGGGAAGAAAGCAGGCGCGCCGATAATCTATTGAATGGTTAGGACTCGGTATGGGTTGAGACTAAAGATGATAGGACGGAAACATACAAAGATTCGGTCCAAAGTTTCGGGGTAATGGGCGGTGGCCAATACACTAGCATCTTGCATATGGCTCTTCAAGTTCCAAAACTGCTTCAATCCAACACCGCTCACGTCGACGATGTTTGTGGAGGCTACAATAGGTGTTTCGGGATTGGGTCTGGGCAAAGAAGAGCAAAGCGGCATGACGAAACCGAGCAGATTCTCGTAAAGCGCAAAGAGGTTAAGCAATCTTGCGGGAACAGAAGAGGACTTGTGACTCTCGGGGGTCCCAGTGTTCATGGTTGAGTTGTAAGCGGCCATCTCCTTCGAGTTAAGGTGGCGGATCTCGAAGACGTAGATCGGGATACCACGGCGATCACGACGGCCAGTCCATTGAGGATACTATAGAGCCCGAGGAGAGTGATTAGAATAGAACTCTGCGTATATAGATATACGAGGGAGAGGAGGTCGATTTGGGTACACACCATTCGTCGCGACGCTTCATACGAGTCCACGCCAATATTCGCATACAATGACTCGATGGCATTCTCCTTGCGCCAATCCTCGGTTTCCTTGAATTGACCCCACGCACCCTCAACATCAAACTTACGGGCTCGCAAAAATCTCCTATAGACCCTATCAGTATATCCTTATCCCGCGCATCGCTTGTAGAGAATCACGCGTCTGTGGTGAAACATACAACAAGGTTGCATCATTGTGGCTAGCAGGCTTCTCCTCCGCACCCTCAGTTGGTTCCACAGCTGCAGTATAGTACCCATGCTCAGCACAGACCGTCTTAAATTCGGCCAGTTTCTCCTCTTGCTCCGGTGTAAGGTGGTTCAAGTGGCCGGCCAGCCATTCGGTGCCTGCGGCCGCAGTGGCGGAGGCGGCAGGGTCGTTCTTGGACGCGGACGCGGTTTTAGAAAGGGAGGCGTCCTGCTCGGAGGCCTGACTGTGATGGGATTTCGTCCGCCAGAGCATGGTGATCGGATCGCCGGGTTCTGGACTTAAATATGGGGTAAATGTTTAATTTTCTTTTTGGGATAGGATTGTCCTGATGAGATGTGGCGGAGGTGATCGGAGATCGGGGAGAAAAGGAGGCGGTCAACGCTGTACATTTGTTTCTTTTCTTAGTCCCCTCGCCGGGTTTCCGGTATCTTTGAGAATGCCCTAACTATATAACTACCAGAAACTATTCAAGTAAAAAACTCCAAAAAATGCGAAGATTAAACAACATCCCATCTATCAAGCTTGGATAAGATGTCGCTAGAAGATAGCTCCAAGCTTTGAAACTAATCTAGATTTCTAGGGGACAAAAGTACCAAGCCCAAAGAAGACTAGGATTTAAGATTCCAAGTTGATACCTAGCCCTTTCAATCTCTCGGATAGACGAATACTGATTATATAGACCAGGAACTGGAACGATCTGGATCCTCAAAATATCTTAAAGCCCGTGTGTGCTTCTAGTTTAATCTGCCTATCACTTTTTTGCAAATTAATTGAACGCTTTAGTATTTACAATAGGATACTTATAGGAAAATGCAGGCCATGGATAACAAAGCACTAGCATGGCATGTGGTGTTTAGTTTCTTTACTGTAGACATGGCGCTATTTGCAATGGGATCGAATCTCCCAAAACCGTCATCCACTTTGATTCAAAGAGGCTGTTAAGGATTACGCTTTCAAATCATTCAAAATCAATGGTGTATACAGAAGACAGACTGAGTGTCTCAGCGTGTCTGTGTAGGCTACTATTATGATGTAAATATAGGATTATTTCCACAGAGATTGGTCCAAACGTCCTGTGGTGAACTTTGAGCCTCACCGATGAAAGCCTGTGATGGTTCCACTGAAGACCACAAAAAAGCTGGGGTACTATATTGCCCCGGATTGGTAGTCATTCAAGAGCTTCACTCATAAGAATAAATAGAACTGCCGAGTCTGTTTCATTATTAAGTAAAGCACTGTGATACATTAGAAATAAGGCCTTATATAGGGACTATAATATTACCAATACACAGAGTTTTACCATTGGTATTTCCTACAAAGCTACAAGGTCAGAATTGAGATGAATAAAAACCAGCTAAAGCAAATTATACGACCATGCGTAATATATGGCACGGTATGTTTTCATCGTGCCACTCCCAACACTGATTTTTTGTACAGAATGCGTCCCCCGAAAAATAATTCTCATAGTTACAGGTATATTTAATCCTCGGTGAGGTCACCATACTCCCACATACCGCGGCGTTCTTGCTTAGCCTCGTCCTCGAGAGAGCGCAGCTTCTCCAGAGTATCGGCCGAAGCACGCTCCCACGCCTTCAGCTTACGGGGAACCATAGCCATACCCTCGTGGATAATATCAGCGTTGATGCTCTGGTCGAGGCTCTTTGACACGGCTGGGTCCAGAAGAGTGACGTGCAAAGTGCCATCGTTGTCAACGTGGTCGACGTTGGCAACGAGCTGACGGTCGAAGGCCTGGTCACCAACGAAGTTCACGGCATCTTCAAGGTAGTCAGCGGATGTGGGGAACTGGCACAGAGAAAGCACAGCATCGATAGCCTGGGGGCGGAGCTTTTGACCCGAGAACTGGGGCTGGGTGAGTGGGCGAAGGTCGGACCAGGGCAGAGTTTCGGAGTTTCCGAAGTCGACGTATACCACCTCGGCGGTCTGCTTCTCGCGGTCGTTGCGGCGGACCTTGCCGCGGTACCAGTTTCCATCCTCACTGAATTGAGCAGCGACCCAATCGCCAGCTTTAGGGGGACCAGGAAGGGGTGTGTCATTGGCCTTGCTAAGGTGGAAGGAACGGAAAGCAGACATCAGCTCGGTCAAAGCACTAGTTCCGTTGCCAATCTGCTGGATCTTGATACGAGCTGATTCAGGATCGATGTAAGTGACCATAACGTCACGGTAATCCTTCTGGCGTTGAGTGACCGCGACGTCGCTCTCGTTACTAGCGTTGTTGGCAGCCTCCAACTCTTCGGCCTCAGCGGCCTCCTTGCTGGGGTCCCAGTCATGCCAAAGACCCTTGCGGCCTTCCTTAGCACGCTCCTCGGCAGCGAAATATTCGTTGGCGTGGCCGGACTTCTCAGCAGAGTATGCGTGCACGGTAGCGAAGCCCTCCTCAAGCAGAATCTTGGTGAAGTTCTCCTTGTTTACGTACAAGGTACCGATGAAACCACCAACCTTGTCAATGGTCTCAACATCAATCTCAACATCACGCTGCATGCAGCGGCGGTTGGCCAAATCGTGAGCTTCCTGACCAAAAGGCTCACCGGCCTCGCTCGGCCCGCGAGCAGATCGGGGAGCACGGATGCCAGAAAGAACAAGGGTCAACTTGGCATTCTCGCGAGGCACGATGACGGTAAAGCGAGATCCTGACTTCACGAAGTCGACAACAGCGGGAATGCGCTTAGAGCGCTGCAATACACCAAGCTCAAGCTTGGCCTTCTGAACATTTTCGGAGTAGTCCACGATCTGCTTAGCCTTGGGTGGCTTGGGGGACCACATACCACGTGCTTCCTTCTGGGCATCAGCCTCCGCGGCAAGCAAGGAATCGTAGTCGGGAGATCGATCATCATCATCCATACGGTGACGGATAACAGAGGCATAGCCAGCCTCAACAAGGGCCAGACCAACATCAGTGTTGCCCTGTAAAACAGTAGCAACTTCACGCTCCTCATAACCCTCATTGGCAGGCTTCTTGCCATTAACTGTGACCTTGACATGCTTGGAAATGACCTGCTTACGCAGGAACTCCTTTGCATCGGCGGCGAATGGAGCCTGCTTAGGGTCAGATGGCTTGGGTTGACGAATGCTGGTAAGGCTAATCTTCTTCTCCGCACCAGCCTTGTTACGGACAAAGATGGTATCAGCGTTCAAAACACGGGTAACAGTGTAGTCGCCGGCGGCGGCACCGGTGGCCTTAGATCCAACGTGGCCAGTGAAAAGACCCTTGCGGGAATCCTTGGCAGTGTTCTCGGCCTGGCGGAGAAGAGCCATATCGGCACCAAGCATTGTAGAGTGGTGGTCCTGGCAACGAGCAAGACCAGCCTCAAGAACAAATCGAGCAATGTTTCCATTGGGGTGCAGCAGAGTAGCCACAAGCTGGCCCTGTGGGGTGACACCAACTAATGAAACCTTGACCTTACGTTGTAGGACTCGTGATTCCACGAACTGCTGTGCCTCGTCTCCAAAAGGCTCGGCTGCTTGTTCCTTGCCCTCGGCGGTGGTACGCTTCGCAGATGGCGCCCGGATACCGGCCACAGCAACCACAGCCTGAAGATGCTCATCAGGGGACAACAGCAGACGAAGCACCACGCGGTCACCGTTCAGGACCTTCTCAATGATACCTTCCAATTGCTCGCCCTTATATTGAGCCACCAATGCGGCGCCGTTTGACAGTTCATAGCTTGTATCGATCAGGCCCTTGCTGGAAGCAGCCCAGACACCCTTGCCCTCGTCCTGTGCCAGTGCCTCGAGCGCTCGCAGCCGACCCAGCAGCTCAAGTGTTTCTTCGGATTCATCACTGCGCTTTCCAGCCTCCTCGCGGACCCGGCTCCATCCCTCCTGCACACTGATTTCGGGCAACTGGGCGTCGAAGCCGGGCAGCTTGATGATACCGTATTCGCGCTTAGCGCCGGTGGGGATGGTGTAAACAACGTGGAACTGGATAACCTTGCCGACCAAGAGTTCTCGGAGGAATTCGCGGGATTGGAAGCCGTATGCCTATAGCAATTGAATCATCTGTTAGTTTCACGAGTCACTCCGGCTGAAGTGCGGACTGGGATCTGCATTTAAAGAAGCCCCTGGGGCATTGAGCCCCAAACGAATTGTTGCAGTCGCTTGACCGCACGGAGTAGTTAAGACCAATGGAAATCATACCTCATCACCCTCCCTCCTTAATCTGGGCGCAGAGACATAGGCAAGGCTCAGAATGCGCTCTTGTGTGGGATTGGAGACATGCGACAGCACGACAGTGTCGCCCGAAAGGACAGACTTCACGCGAGCTTCGAAAGGCATGCTGAAAAAATGACACCGCTACCCCACAGATTCAACACAGAATTATTAGAAACCGAAAAGAGAAGATAATTGAACAAATAAAAGGGAAGTTGATAAAGGGAGTAGCCAGCTTCGGAGGAGAAACGTGGCCCGTCTACCGGAAACCTATTTATGGTCTTTTAAGACCGGCAGAAAATAAGATTACCAGTAATACAGTGACAACCGCCCGATTACTTGCACAATGCCCAGGTGACATCTATGGCAAATGCCAACTACTTCCAGTTTACTATATACTTGTCTGTTCGTAACCTCAGGGCTGTATTGCGACCTGTTATTTCATTTATATCTTCTGCGATGTTGATCTTACCTGTGGGCTTTTAGGTTTCCTTCGTCTAGCCCTTTCTGATGACTTTGATCTCAGAAGGAAGGACTCGGAAGTAGATGCGATCTTCGATGTTATTCGTAGTTTCTTCGATAAGGTCCGAGTCCCGATAACTGAAATTTCCTTCTGGGGGCATATCGTGAACATCGCCTTTGAAGGCGCAGCTGTTACTATTCTAGAAAGAGCCTTTATTTTATCGATCGTCTGATGATATACTACAGATGCCTCAGTATATTGCACATTGCTGGTGCTTGTATCGATTCAAACCCGAAATGAACATACCTTGCTAACCTTCTGTGTCAAGTTTTTCGGAGCTTATATGGGGCAGTATGCGAATAGTACAGTTGCTGCGAATGTCTGTGGTACCCCGGTGTGGGATGAGGATCATCGGGTTGTTGGATTTGTATACTGGGTGCTCGGGGAGGGAAGGCTGCTGATTTTACTCACTTTGTCTCTGCTGAATATCTGGTAAATGGGGGCTACAAGTTGAGTGATGCAAGTCCTTCTAAGCTTAATTGTCCGATGGCTACGTCAAGATGAAAACCTGAATTTATCGACTGGGCTTTTTGCTTTGATATGTCGGTTTGCTGTAGACAAGTTTAACTGATATTTTGCTAATCCCTCTCGATAATGTCCATCTAATACCAATGATTGCAGTTGAGCAATGAGAATATCTACATCTAACTTGTAATTTTCCAACTTTGCATGCAATACTTGATTTAAGCTAAGAACTTTCAGAGCTCAAACCTATGTGTAGGAGATCATTATAGTGTAAAATAAGGCTAGGTATTCCAGTAAAGGCATCGACTTGAGCACCTTATACTGATACAACCGCACTGGCCCTCCAGGGTCTATAGAAAGTATACAAATTACGGAACATTGATTACAGAGACGGCGGTATGAGAGGCGGTGAGCACTATGGACATGATATGTTCCCGCGATTACACCATTGGCCCCGTACTGTGGGGGAAAGCGGTCTGAGCATTGACCAAGTATACAAGAGCTACAGCTTGTGAACAGGAAAGTCCCCACTACTATAGTCCTCAGATTCCTGATACGAACAAAAGATTATGATATAATGGCATTGAATTCATCTCGTCCTAGCCAGGAATTCTCCTGAACTTTTCATCTCAAAAGATGGAGGGATACCAAAGCCCAACTATCTGACTGGAGCTGGTTCAGCAAATTTAAGCGGCAATACCGATGACACCTAAATACTATCAGTATATGACTTCCACTGTTGAAGATATTGGGAGCAAAAACTTACCGCAAGCAGGGCGGGGACCAGCGTTACCAGTCTTCTTGGACTCCTCGTTACCACCCTTACCGAGGTCGTCGGTACCAGCGTGGACGACGAGAGTACGCTAAAAACAATATTAGTATTGGCCAATCACGCAATCCAATCATGATATGATCTGCTGGAATCGCAGATGCAAGGGGTAGAGTAGAGCAGAAACTTACGCCCAGAACGCTCTCGGCACCGATCAGCTTGACGAGCTTGTCCTGAACGGAACCGTTGGCGTTACCCTCAGCATCGGTCTTGAAGTTACCAAGGTCACCGACGTGACGGTCAGAGTCGGTGGGAGCACCGTGGGTCTTGCCGTGGGGGTTGACTAGGTTTTATGGTTAATTTTTCATAACGAATAGACTAGAGATCGGCATGGTGTGGTGTGGTAGGGTCTGGCGTGGCATGAAGCTTACAGTGGGGACCAGCGGAGGTGCAACCGTTGGTGTTGTCACCGAACTGGTGGATATGGAAACCACGCTCAGCGTTGGAATCGTGGCCGGAGATGTTCCAGGAGATGGTGGTGGGGGCGCTCTCCTCGGTCTGCTCGAAGGTAACAGTACCGGCGACCTTGGAGTCACCACGAATAACAGCAACTAGAAGTCATCATTAGTCTTGTTTTCAAAGCCAATGTCAAGCATGTGCATGTGCAAGTGTATGGATAATATAGGTAAGGTAGTAAGATTCAAATTCCAGAACCCAGATAGAACAAACTATCAACCAACTTCATCTGAACCTCCCGCTCCCGCTCCCGCTCCTGCATTCCAGACGGAAGCACCCAGTCCTCTAGCAAATAACGAGCGCCGAGGACCCTGAGCTTTCTACAAGAAGGTATTCTCAGTGGAGAGAGAGATTGCAGGGAGAGAAGCCGATAGGTTCGGGCAATTCCCCAAGGTGCTCAAATGTGCTCACCCCAAGGTCCTTTGCCACGAACCGTGGAGAAGCGAAGATCCAATAACAGACAATCACGAGAATGATTGCAGATCTATATATGCAAAAGGGGGAAAGATAGAATTCATAGATATCAATAACACTTACCAGCCTTGACCATTTTGACGGTTATGATTTCAAATTGAATTTGTTTTGGGAGAAAAATTGATGGGGAGAAGATTGAAGAGGAGGGAAGCGGGAGAATAATAAGCGGATCATGTTGACGTGACTGCGGCACCGGGAACCTTCCACAGCGGGAGAGGTACTGGTTACTTTCTGATTGGTGTAAACTAATATGCTAGATGAAGTACCCAGTACCTGATTACTGATCCTAGGTTACCCCCCACCTTCCTAGACGGGACGAGGGGAAATGACATAATGCCGGACACATCCTAATACCTATCAGTTCATAATTGACTGTAATCTCCACCTGAACATATAATTGTGTTATGAATCTATATTTAATCAAGCTACCTACTGATTGATCTGTATGGGAGAATTGATTGATCTGACAATTCGTCGTGGTACCGTGTCACGCCGGATCAAAAGCAGTGCGGGGTTCACTCATGGATGCTCAATAAGCAGACCTGGTCCAGACTCTCCTCCAACTGCCCTTATACCTGCCCCAGGTGCCCCTTTTCCGGTATAAGATTGGCAGAGCATTGGCCGAGGCTACCTATAGGATTTCTGCCTCTCGAAAACTGGATACATACGGCTATACATCATTCATACATTTACCGAGTGAGACCCGAAGGATTCGAAGCTTGGAAGGAATCACTATAGCTATAACCATGATTTCAATCTACCCCTGCATCCATGCAAATCTACATTCACTTCCATAAAGAAAAGAAATTTGTGAAAATAGATATAATTTTGATAAAAAAAAGTATGAACATAAAATTAAATTCATCAATTCGTTCGTATCTACCGATTCCAGCATTTTGAGGATCGCCAATTTACAAATCATAACTTAAAAGGTTATCGCAGCAAAGAAAAGAAAAGATCAAAATCCATCTAAGCCTGGATCTTAGCCTTAAGCAGATCCTTAAGGGTAATAGCATCAGCCGCAAACTTAGAGATACCCTCACGGAGCTTCTCAACACCCATAGCCTCCTCGTTGAAGTCGAAGCGGAAATCGGCCTCGTTGTGCAGGTACTCGCGCTTAGGGATGTTTAGACTAGCAGCGCCAGCAGAGTCGAGCTTCTTGGGCACAGCAGCGGTCGAGTTGTACAGGTCCTCCAGCAGGTTGGGGGAGATAGTGAGGTAGTCACAGCCAGCAAGCTCGGTGATCTCACCAGTGTTACGGAACGAGGCACCCATGACAATGGTCTTGTAGCCGTGCTTCTTGTAATAGTTGAAGATGTCCTGGACGGACTTGACACCGGGGTCCTCCTGGGCGGTGTAGTCGCGCTTGTTGGCGGCCTTGTACCAGTCGAGGATACGGCCAACGAAGGGGGAGATCAGGAAGGCACCGGCCTCGGCGGCAGCGATGGCCTGGACGAGGGAGAACATCAGGGTAAGGTTGCAGTTGATGCCGTGCTGGGACTGCAGAATGTGAGCGGCCTTGATACCCTCGTAGGTGGAGGCGATCTTGATCAGGACACGGTCCTTGGAGATACCGTTGTCGGCGTAGAGCTAAACAGGGATTGTTAGTTTTTTCTCTCTATTTTTCTTTTTTTCTTGTCATGCATGCATGCTCGACAATTAGTTAAAGGAAAATGTTGCATACCTTGATGATCTCAAGGGCCTTCTTGACTGAGGCATCGGTGTTGAAGGATAGCTTGGCGTCGACCTCAGTAGAGACCTTACCGGGGATGATCTCCAGGATCTGCTTGCCGAACTCAACCAGGAGACGGTCCAGGGTAGCCTCAACCTGCTCGTCGACGGTCTTGCCGTTCTGCTTACCGTAGGCGACGGCAGCATCGATCAGGGCAGCGTATTCAGCCTTCTTGGAAGCAGCCAGGATCAGGGAGGGGTTGGTGGTGGCATCCTGGGGCTTGTACTTGCCGATGGCTGTAACACGTTAGTTTCTTTTCTTCACAGGGAAAAAAAGGGTACGACACGATCGATCGATCAATCGATGGCGTCTGTAGAGAGGGAGGGAAGTACATACTGGCAAAGTCACCTATACAGAGCGAGTTAGTGGGGTGTTCAATGCATGCATCCTGGATGATCGGTGGAACTTACCAGAGTCGCAGACCACGACGGTGCCAGTGGCCTTCAGTTGCTCAAGAGAAGAAGACATAATGATTAATTGGTATGGGAGATAATACCAGATGGAATTGAAGTGGGATGTAAGAGGAATGAAGAGGAAGAGAAAAGTGGCGATGAGAAGGTATTTGAATGGCGGTCCATGGAATCCCAACCAGACCAGCTAGTCATAAGGCGGTACTTGCTTTAACTATGGGATTACCTTATGAAATGAAAGTACCACGGGCGTCCGAACCAGGTGGGATGGGAAGTGGGGCAAATATGACGCTGCACAATGAAATCACCAATTCGGGATTTTGTCTGGGCGTTAACAGAACTGTTACCCCTCTATCTCGCGACCTTAAACAATTACTGTTGGTCCCGACGCGTCAGGTACAATGAACATCATCCACTACACAGAAATCCGGTTCACATTGCCACTGATTTCGACAAGTTTTTTATTCCATTTTTCTTGTTAATTATCAATCATACCAAACACCATACAATACACTCTTACTCATCTGGGGAGCCGCTGCGGGACTTTGATTCGGCGCAGTGTGCTCCGGCAGTATTAAGCCCGGAGGATGGTCGACCGGCCAACGGCCCACTAGAACTAGATGCATTGGCCCTGCACTCTGTCACGGTCTCACCGGGATCCGGTTAAATCTCACGATCTAGTCCACGACTGAGGAGGATCCGTGCTGTGCCATGATTTCCATTCCCGCTATATATGCAAGCGCTAAACAACCCCGGATTCAGTGGACAGTAAAATATAGAAAACAGGAAATCGTCCGGGGGTCCGGGTTTGCAGAACTCAAAATAATCAAAAGAAAAACGCCATGTGCTTTAACGTCACCATCCCTTTTTAGATACAATAGAAAATGAGGCTTTTTTCCCCATCAAGGTCCATGTGTAGGGACCCGGAATCACAACTATGCCCACCCTGGAGGAAAAGGGAATTCAAAATCCGTACACTTTCAATAGCCGCTAGGCACGGGATCACTACGGGATCGATGCCCGAGGATCATCGGCGTTGAATACAGTTCCACTCATACTATAAACGTCGTTAGTTCACTGTCTCAAAAATCGGAATATGAAAAGGTTATTAAAAGATTGACTCACCACGCGCCCGGCTTCATCCCCAGTATAGACTACCTGAGGAAGAGCTAAAATACAACTGATGCCAGCAGATATGTTCGCTCCGTTATCACGATGATTATCTGTATGGTGCAGTTGACGGATCAATTCTAGTTCAAACTGCCCATTATGAATGCTTTTAGCCCAAATGTTGACCACGCCCCGACTATGACCAGTCAAGACGATTTCGCGTTCAAGCCATTCATTTTGAACGCCTTCGTAGAAGACACAGGATAGAACATGGTCATCCGCCGATTCGCAGATAGCTTGGTCTACCAGCACATCACCGTTCAACGTGTACATGGTGATGCGACGGCCTCGGCAAACAATAATGTCTCCTGTCACGTCGTTGATGCGTGCGCACTAAAAAGAAGACAGGTTAGAAACAGAGACCAATAGGCAAGGTATAAAGGGATATTCTTACATCGACTATTCCATCGGCGGGAAGAGCTCGTACAAAGCAGCGCCTATTCAAATCCCACAGCATGATCTGGCCATCATTGGAGGCTGACAACAAGGTGCTGAATGATCGGGAGACTGCAAGAACACCGACTGGGGCACGATGGCCAAATAGCGACCCAAGGGGTTGCAGATCAACAGATCGAGATGTTGGAGTCACGTTCCATAAGGAAATAGTACAGTCGGTGCCACACGTAATGAGCGTACGAGAATCTGCGAAGCTGGCAAAGGAGAGCTGACCAACATGGAGATGCTCAAAGTGCCCAAGAAGCTTGCGATTATCTGTCGAGTAGAAACGAACACTGCCATCAAAGAAGCCCCATTCCATATACTGGTCGTATACAGGTGGAACGTTAATTCTCAGCGCAGCCGTGCATAGCAGACGATCCTGCTTCATAGACAAAGTATTCACTCGCTCCTCGATATCTGTAGATGAAAAATGGTTAGTTATGACTGCAAAAGGTCTTCTAAGCAACGACTTACCAAGTAGTGAAAGCGGCATCTGAGTCAATGATTCGGCAAGAGTATCTAGTCGAGGGATACGGTGTCTCTGATCTTCTCTCTGGGGATGACATCTTTGGAAGATCTGATGAGGCGTCTGGCCAAAGTTGTGAATAATGCCAATTGTGGCCAAACGTTCCATCGGATCATCAATAGCATCCAAGTCCTTCGCACCCTTATAGGATAGATGATGGAAGACATTGACCGCCTCAATAGCCGCATCTCCCTTTTGCTTGCTGCCAAATACAAGGTCAATCCAATGGTGTAGATTTTCAGAAACATAAGGACTCTCCAGAGCCTCGCGATGCTTCTGAATAAAGATTTTGGGGTCACCTTTAGCCCATGGTGGAAGCTCAACAGAGTCAATGGCCGTAGTCATGTTCTGTAGGAGCCCAAAATCGTATTTGTTGGAGTTGACCAAGAACTCTGGGAGATAGAAGAACTCGGGACTCAATTCTCGGACATCGGTCATGTTACCCCGCGATGCGGATTCCCAGGCCTTGCGAATAGAGTAGAAAAGTCGGTCTGCGTGATCAAATGTACCGCCTTGTAGTAGAAGGTATGACTTGACGAAAGGCTGGAGGCGAATGAGATACGAGGTCACAATCATGGCAGAGGAGTAGTGGGTTCCGTAGTGGAATGGAGGTGAATTATCATCACCCATCTCTGCAAAGGCATTGTATCGTTCACGGAAGCCAGATTCCCGCTCTGGTGTTTGGCAGCCCATAGGCTTTGAAAGGTCACGGAATGACTTGGGGTTGGACAGATCCAGTTCCTCGCTCGTGTAGTCCGCCAGGACCCAGGGGAAAACAGGATATTGAGTTAAGTCATTGAAGGTACGACCCGCTAGCGTGTTTATTAACATAAGATAGTGGAAATTGGAAATTTCGCCGCGAACCCATTTTCGTGTTGCTGGGGTCGATGGAAGATGACCAAATACACTAGCAAACTTGGAGCCGAGAGATTGTGGTTCATCGTCTTGACTGCGTAAAGTCTCATACCGCCAAATATCTTCCGGTCGGGAATGGCCAACGCTTCCAGTGACTTGAGGAGCTTTGTTGCCGAGTTGAGTACACAACTCATCTCGAACGCGGGAGGACAAGAACGTTAACAAATAGCTCGTGCCATCGGTGAAGAATATCTCCAGGGCAACGTCACGGAAGAGGAAGCGCCGCTTAGAGACGCTGACCAAGTCAGACCATTTCCAGCTTCTCGTTTCATGCTCTTGGGAGCGACGGTCGTTGGATTCTCGGCCAGCAATCATTCGCACATAAGGGTCTCGCTCCTCGGGTGGCGCCTGCCAAACATTGACAATTTCGCCATCGGCTCGCTGGAAGAAATTATCTAAAATATAGATGCAGTCTTTCCCCAGGATTAAAAGACCTTCGATAGCCTCCAAACCAATGATTCGGGACTGGTTGCAAACATTTTGTACCTGGTCACCTCTCTGAAGGGATCTCATCACTCTTCTGTTCTTGTCTTCGTAATCTTCAATCTCAACTTTAGGGTCGTCAATCATTTCGAAATTCTCCTCCAGCATACTGGGGGTATCCGGGTCGCCGTCTTGTGCCTCTGACTCCGGTTCCTCGGTCACCGTCTCGGGCTCCTCTGTTAATACCGTGGGTGTTGCCGGCGTTGCCACCACTTCACCTGCTGATAACGCACGCACCCGTGTATTGATCTTTATCATTGGAGGCTCGGAAGCCTTACGCTTGGGCTGATAATCTTGGCGTTCACCTGAATCATCTGGAACGACTCGTAATCGCATGCGACTGCGACCTTCCGTCTGGTCAAGCCTCCATTTTCTTTCCTTATCTTCGGAGAAGAGGCCGCCTGGGCGTCGGAGAGCCATTAAGAGACTAGAGAACGCCGACCACATGAAGACAGAGTTATCTTGTAGATCTTGGAAGAATCGCTGGGACTTGAGTGTTTCCGAAGCCGAAATATTGGAGATCCAATGAGGCAAGGTCGCATTATGCTTGCGAATCACTTCTTCATCAAATTTCTCAACTTGAGCCCACACCTTAAGCTTATCTTTGCGCTTTGACATGCGAGACTTGGCCGACTCTTCGCTCTTGTTATTTTCTTCATTGACAAATGATTCCCAAGATCTAGCGAGAATACCGAAGAATAAAGCATCAAGATCCTCACGCTGATCATCAATCCAACGCAGGAATGTCTCATCTTCCATTCCTGCAAGAGCTTCGAACCCATCGGATAACCGGCGTTGAAGTGGCGGGGGGCCATTGGCTAGGAGGTCAATAACCTCGTCAGGCTTTTGAACCAACATGATTCGCCATAGGCTTGCGGCAAGCAGACGAACATCTTCTTGACTGCTGATTAACTTTGTATAAAGCAAGTAACAGAGTAGCTGGATGTATTGAGATTCAGTGTCTGCAGTAGCAAAAAGTACACCTTGCCAATAGTGCAGACGCTTCAAAACAGCCAGGGTTTTGCTATCATCTGCCTCTGACAGTTGTAGTAGAGCAATCCTGTATACAGTGGAGTGTATTGTAGCAACCGCCTGGCTGCACAGCCGAATGCTTTTCAAACTTGAGATCTCCGGTCGCTGGACATACTCCAAAATTGTACCAAGGCAGTCTAGACTCTTCGTAGCCCCATCAATAAACCACCCCTCATAAACTGCCTCCGAGAGATGCGTTGCAAAGCGAGAAATATTGGTGAGTGTGCGAGGTTCTTGAAGAAGGCGGGGCCTGGAGGTAGATAAGGACTTGAGGGTTGAAAGAAGGCGCTCGAAAATCCATGAATTGAAATATGCCTGATGATCGAGGAAGCCGGCGGGGGTCTTATTGTAAAGCCCCAGACCCGAAAAATCTTTACGATGTAGAAGTTGATCCTCGAAGATGGTGAGGGCCAAACCAAATACGGCATTAACAAGGGGGTGTTCCACGGCAGATCCGTGGCTGGAATAAGTCGGGTGCACAATGTGACGGATACGGGCAGATGATGGCTGGAATTTTGATTTGTCAGAGGAAACCAAGATGAAGGATGATCCTCGCCGCAAAGTGCCGGTGCTCTCTTCAGGAGCCTCGGGAAAGTCAACTGTGGTGGTCTGCAAGACAGTTGATGCGTTGGTCCCACTCGAATGTGGTCGTAGAACAAGGCTACTGTCGTCAAAAGATAGCCCGCCGTATCGAGTGCTCAGTTCTGCGTTGGGGCTTATTGCATCCGCACTGACAATGGTGGGATAAAGGATTGCCAGAATCTCCTGAGCATATGTAGACTGGAGGGTAAATTCTTGGAAGGCTCGTGATATGGTACGTGCCTCCTCTAGAAACTCCACTACCGATGATAATAAGGAAAATCCACGCGTGTTAAGACTGCTTAAAGATTCACCTATTACATCATCATATCAGAAAATGTACAAACGCAAAAATCTGTTGGAGTTAGACTTACCCGAAATTTTGACGGATGACATCTTTTGGGCAGGGCCCATATCCTCTGGTCGGCTCTGGGTACCTAGGTCACTCGCCAGAACGATACTTCTTAGGCCACTCTTCAACATCCCGGTTATTACGGGGAGCATTTCGGGATACACAATGCGGATATCCCCGTCACCGAGGAATAATTTCAGAAGACCAGGCACATCAAAAGGCCTGTCGAGGTCTAAAATGGCAACATCTCGCCCGAAGAGAATCGAGAAGCAAATAGGCCACAATGCAGGAATATGCCACCATCTTTTCAAATGGCGCTCCAAGACTATGTACCCCCCATTTCTTTCTGCAAATTTCTTGTTGTATGCACTGCCGTTGACCACCAACAGCCGAGCCAAGATCTTAGTTGCGAGAATAACCACCTCTGGGTCGTCCTCGCATGCAAGATAAAGAAGCCACTACATGATGTGTTAGCGACTATTCTGTCAATCCGTTTGAGTTTAACTTAGTTGACGAACCTTGCTAGTCACTGCTTTGGCGAATTTCTTAAGTGGGTTATGGTCATGTGGATTGCAAATCAGGGCTGTATACATCCGCAGCATTTCAATAGCCTGTGCAGTAGCCGACATATGTTTCTCGGACTGTCCCTTGGACGAACCAGGCCGTGAAGGAGCTGCCACAAATCGTAAACTTTTCGTCTTTTTCAAGCTTGCTGTGGGCTTTGGCATATGGAGTGTATATGTAATAGACAGCGCGAATGACCGTAGAAGGTCCGGTGACATGCTGCTTTCCATCAAAGACTGGAATGAACAAACACAGGGATTGAGCGTCTCGGGAATAAGCTCGCCACCCTTCAATGTCTCTAGCAACTTCTTACTGGCACGCATACGGCTGAGCCTCTTTGCGTTGAAGCGGCGGAAATTACTAACAGTTGCGAATGTTTGAAACTGAGTGTAATAGAGGTCGAGAGCGGGTGGATCTCCATGGCGCCAGATATCCATGTCTACTAATAAGACTCGATAGGCTAGCGGATTAGTGATTATGGAGAAGCTGGGGTTCTCAGAGTTGTATCCCACAAACTCAAGGGTTAGACGCAATAAGTCGAGTGTGAGACTATTTTGCGCGTCGGCGTTAGAGCTAGCCACAGCTGATTTGTTGAACGGGGTATTTCCAAAGTGAAATCCTAGTTTTTCGCGCAAGAGAGCTGCGAGAATCCCATAGCCGTTTTCTCTTTCCATTGCCTCGCTATTCCTCCAGTTGTCTTGGATTGCTTCGTAAAGGGCTTCTAGGGCCAGTCGAAGGCTCTCAGGAGAATCAGAGGCTTGTACCAAACTGAGATGAATAGCGACACAGCCACCCAGGCACCAGCTGGCATCATCCAATGACCAAGGCACTGACACTACAGGGTCACCCGTCAGTATACCTACTCCCTGTGGTTGGGTCAAGCCATCGTTGATGGCGGGAGTAGCTCCATTGACTGCAACGGCATTACCCCCAGCTTTGGTCAGCTGTTGTAAGCTCTTTGCTGCTTGCCGTGAAAGGCACTTTATCAATTGCGATTCGTCGACATTGTTGCTGTCATCATCATCGAGCACGGCAACAGGCGAAACATTAATCACAATTGAGCTTTCACGCACAAGAGTACTTGCTCGCCTCCTGATAGCAGTGACGATATCAGAAGACTCCTCTTTCCCAGGATGAAGATGCTCATTACGTAGATTCAATGTCGCTGACGCTTTGTATGTCTGGAACGAACCAAGGCAATCTTGAAAGTTTCCATAGTAGCGAGGGCCAAGGTTGTAGAAGACAGCTATCATGTCATCACTGAAGGCCTCATCGAGTAATATGCCATTCGCTAATGACCACCTAGATGTCGAGACGCCCTTTCCAAGGCGCATGGCTAAATCCTGGGGTGTGCCAAAAAATGCTTGGATACGAGGCATCTTATTCAAATGAGTGGGAGCGGGGGCCGTGGGATAATCGATCTTCAGTTGCTCCACGAATTCACCATCAACAAACAGAGAGGCTCGGGATGAGGATGTGGGTTTGGGGCGTCTATGAATCATTGCAATATGATACCAGCGACCAGGCTCAAATTTGACAGATTTAAATCGCACACTGGGGCGAGGACCACGGATGGAAGTTTGAAGGATAAAATGGCGAGTGTCTCTTTCGAGATATGCAAGTAAAAAACACGTTTGGGTGGCATCAAATGCTCCAAATAATGTGGTATGAGTATTCACGTCGAATTCGTCAAAGCGGACCCATGCCGCTAATGTATACCCAGCCGAAGCACTGGGTGGGAAGGAACGGCCTAAAGTCGCAAATTCCACGGAAGAATATCCATGCAAAGACATATCGAATTGTATTGAAGGGGGTTCCTTGGAAGCTTTGAGGGCAGAAACGAGGAATTTCAAGGCTTGTGGCTTCTCGTGTGCTCGACGATACAAAGCAACGGCGTCATCCAACGTCGTCATTCCCTGGACACTGAGTAACCCCGCTAAATTCCGATAAAGCTCCATTTCAGTATCTGTACAGCTGTCGCCAAACAGGCGTGGGAGTATGGAAGTTAGCATCCCAGTACTGTGCAACGCTACAACGTTTCTTGATGATTGAGAGGCCAACTGGCGGAGAGATGCTGGAATGCCAAGTCGTAGAGCATCGTTCTTCAATGAGGCAGAATGGGCGACCCAAACCCGAAGGAATGGTCCGAGAAGTTCGGCAACCTCCACTGTCTCAGCAGAACCCAGGCATTGATCTACAACACTCCGCACCTCTATCGAAGATCCGCAATTGCTGCCCTGTTGAAGTTTGGCGTTCAATGTTGTAAAAATACTGGCAATTGTCTCTTGGCACAGGGCTGCAGCAAGGACTGCGCCGTACACCTGCTGTGCGTCATTTTCCGTTTGCTGTATTTTCCGGCTAAAGACAGTCAAGGTTTGCTCCAAAGCTGCAGTTCCCCCTCCAGTAACCCGACGAGCAAAATATCTTCTATTTCCAAAATGATCCTTCAATGCCTCAGCTATCACTCCCAGGGTATCCTTGAAAACGGCGATGATATCTTTTCTCTCATTCTGGGCTAAAGCGTCGACGTCATACAGGTCCGCTAGCTGGTCGGCCAGCGCCAGCAACGTTTGGAAGCCTTGTAGGTTTCGAAATGCATCTTTTGCGGTTCGCCGGTGGGCATCGTCGATAAAGGTATGGCGGAGGCGGAGGAGGGGTTCGGTAGCTGTCAGTGCCTCGGGGGCAGTGATTGGGTTGGTCCCCGCAGTGAGAGACTTGAGTTGGTTTAGGGTAGGCGCCAGTTCATCGGCTAGCTGCTCAATCGACCCTGAAGGAGAGGGAGACAGGGACGATGGAGCCATGGCCAAATCTTATCTGCGACCGTTCCGATGACGGGAGACCATCAGAGACCGTGACTGGGCGATTGGCGGGACAATTCGAGGCGGTCTGCATCGGTATGGGGTGCGCAGGTGGTGGTGAGTGGGGAATCGGAGCAGAAACATTCACACGCCATCTAAAGCGGAGTTGCAACCACACCAAACTTGAGTCTTGGATGATCCGGACGAAACAGGCCCGGGACGAATTTGCCTTGCCCCAAAAAATGGATCGGCGAGCCAGCGAGAGGCTCTATCTAACAGCGGGGGTCCTGTATCAGGTGATTTTGGGGGCGGCTTTGGTGGGCGCAGTGCATATGCCAAGTTTCGTTTATGTGCACGGAACACTTGAGGTATCAGGAATATTATTTCCAGGCTATGGGAGCTATGGAGTACAATACAGGTGGCTTGAAACTCGGAGGTACACTGTATCAGTAGCTCAGTTCATTACGGGAATGATAAGCAGCGATAGTAAGAACGATAGAGGCGATAGAGGCGATAAGTACAGCTCAACTGTGGATTATAATTGCGGATTGTGGAGAAGGGAGCTTGTGATCAATATTTCCAATATTTCCAAGATTTCAAGGTTATGACTTTCATGCACATATTCAGATGTTCATGTCATTCTGGACCCCCTCTCCTGACGAATCCCTGCATCTCCTCCGTGCGAATCATGTTTCGCCTCGTCCGGATAACAGCACGCGACTTCGGAGATTCAGTTGCCTAGCTCTCGTCATGTATCAACCAAAGTCCGTGCGACCGGTGCCCAGGTGGCCAACCCTGCCAGGTACCCGAGTGCAACGGGACAGGAAAGGGGTGGCTTTTTTGGGCAAGGAGAGGTATTCTATTTTCTTTTTCTCATTTTCAGGGTAATTTGTTTGGCCATAACCTTGGAAGATAGAGGAAAGCAAACCGAATAGGTGCTCAAATAAGGTGGACATCGCATCTCGGATGTACTGTTCAGTAGATGATGTGATATGATGTGCGATAAGCCACATTCTTTCAGTGTAATTATCCGTATTGAGCGTATTATGTGTAATTATCCACCTTGGTAGAACAACGCTGTTCAGGCGACCAGCTGTATTGATTGACGTATGTATGGTTACAGATTACTGATAACTGGGGAAAGCTTAAGGTCCAGCAAACCAACTTGTGCCACTTCAGCTTTCACCTATGTGACAATACGTGACAGTACCGCCCACACCCCGGCTCTCCTCCCCACTTAAGATCCTACGGGATCGACAGCCAGCGCCAAATTGACAAGTCATCTGTCCCCGTATTCGTACTGTAATCGCCCGCTTGCATCATCTTTCCCGGTCCCCTTGATAAGGGGACCCACTGACTCTTACCTCCTCATTTCTCCTCACTCTGCTCCCCCCCCATCTCTCTTCCTCTTCCAACCCTCCTCTCCATCCTATATCTTCCCAACCCATCCCCCCTCTTCCAAACTCACATTATTGTATTATTTCTGCCTTCACTCTCTAGTATCCTTTCCCACATTACAGTCGTTTCAAGTCGATCTTGCCCATCATGAAAGGCTTCCTCGGCTTGACGCTGCTCCCAGCATTGGCAGTTGCGTCACCAACATGGGTGGAATCTATCCACAACGGGGCTGCCCCCGTCTTATCATCTATGACCTCGCAAGAGATCCCCGATAACTACATTGTCGTGTTTAAGAAGCATATCAGCCCGTCAGTGGCCTCTGCTCATCACAGCTGGGTGCAGGACATTCACAGCACCCATAGCCAGGAGCGTATGGAGCTGAAGAAGCGTGGTCTCTTTGACTTCGACTTCGAGACCTCCTTCCTGGGTATGAAGGACACCTTCCACGTCGCTGGCTCGCTCATGGGATACTCTGGTCACTTCCACGAGGATGTCATCGAACAGGTCCGCCGGCATCCGGATGTAAGTAGCTTCCTGCTTCCTAGTACGTCATAAGCTTCATTTGCTAACCCGATCGTGACTCAATAGGTCGAATATATTGAGAAGGACTCCGAAGTCCGCCACTATGAACAACCCGTTGTTGAGAACGGCGCCCCCTGGGGTCTAGCCCGTATTTCTCACCGTGACAGCCTTTCCTTCGGTAGCTTCAACAAGTACCTCTACGCCGAGGATGGCGGTGAGGGTGTTGATGCTTATGTGATTGACACTGGTACCAACGTTGACCACGCTGACTTTGAGGGTCGTGCCAACTGGGGCAAGACTATCCCTCAGGGCGATGAAGATGAAGATGGAAATGGTCACGGCACTCACTGCTCCGGTACCATCGCTGGTAAGAAGTACGGTGTCGCCAAGAAGGCCAACGTCTACGCCGTCAAGGTTCTGCGCTCTAGCGGCTCTGGCACCATGTCTGATGTTGTCAAGGGTGTAGAGTGGGCTGCTGAGGCTCACATCAAGAAGGCTAAGGACGCCAAGTCCAAGGGCAAGAAGGGCTGGAAGGGCAGTGTTGCCAACATGTCGCTGGGCGGCGGTAGCTCGCGTACCCTCGACCTTGCTGTCAACGCCGCTGTCGATGCTGGTATCCACTTCGCCGTCGCTGCTGGTAATGACAACGCCGATGCTTGCAACTACTCTCCTGCTGCTGCCGAGAAGGCCGTTACCGTCGGTGCCTCCACCCTGGCTGATGAGCGTGCCTACTTCTCCAACTACGGAAAGTGCACTGACATCTTCGCCCCTGGCCTGAACATCTTGTCCACCTGGATTGGCAGCGAGCACGCTGTTAACACCATCTCTGGAACCTCCATGGCCTCTCCTCACATTGCCGGTCTGCTGGCCTACTATGTCTCTCTGCAGCCCGCTTCCGACTCGGCTTTCGCCGTTGCTGAGATCACTCCTAAGAAGCTCAAGGAGGCTCTGATCACCGTCGCCACCTCCGGTGCTCTGACTGATATCCCCTCCGACACTCCTAACGTAAGTTACTTTCAGACTAAAGCCTCCTCAATGATCACAAGAATCCATACTGACTTGATAAATAGCTCCTCGCCTGGAACGGTGGTGGTTCATCCAACTACAGCGACATCGTTGCCGCTGGTGGCTACAAGGTCGACGCTGTCGACAATGTCAAGGATCTCAAGGATCTGGTTGACAGTGCTGAGAAGGCCGCTCACCAGGAGCTCAGCGCCATCTACAGCCACATCAAGGATGCTGTCTCAGCTTAGAGGTAGACAATTGAATCGAGCCCTGTCTGCGACGGGGCTCTTCATATGGGGCATATGGACGGATGGATTATCACACCGGCGCAGATCATATTATTTGGCTTTCTATCATCTCTTTTCCTATCTTTATTCTTTTCCGCTTTTACTCTTATCTCGGGTTGCTCTCGCCCCCTTGGTCGATATATCTCATTGGGGATCAATCTAACATCGTTGAACAGACTGTCACTTCCCCGTTTGCTTGGTTGTTACCGTAGTATACTTTGGCTATAACTATACATTTCCCACGCCATCTAGAATGTGTTTAGGGCTCATATATGGGTTTTTACAAAACTTGACAATCTAGTACTTGCATGACGTAACAGTATCGAGTATATGTACCACTCTTTAAACCCAATGTATATACAAAACGGCCAATTTCAGACCCATGATACGTATATATGGCTCTTTATATAGTACTTACAGAACTGTCTTGATCTGACGAATATCCTGCTGTTTCTCAAGATCCCAACACCATCGACTCGCCTCATCAGTCCTCTCCCGTCCCAGTACAGGTATACACTGATCGACAAACTTCTCAACCAACTGGGCATCAGTCATGGGTCGCTCCAAGCTCCCCACCGCATGATCCACATGCTTCTCAATCGTGACATGTTCCCCACCCTCCTTCTCAAGCAAAACAGTAACATGGCATTCATCAGCCCGAAATTCCGAATTAACCTTCGCACGTATCCGATCCCGGACACCCACAACTCTAGGATCAACAACAACCCCATCCCCATACTGCGCCGGCGTAGCCTTCCCAAACAACAACCCAATAGCACCCCCATGATAAACACTAAACTTCCCCTCCAACCCATCCCTCGGCGCAGTCTTCCCCGTCAACTCAAGGACCAACGGATGAACCTCCACATGCACCTCCACAATCCGATCAACCGACAATCCAGCCTTTTCCAGCTCCCCATGCAACAGCACGCATCCATCAATCACCGGGTGAACCACAATCCCGCATGGAAACGGCTTAAACGCATTCTGCACTATCTCCCACCGTCCACTTGGCGCAAGACTACCAATCTGTTCATCAAGTTTATTCGAAGTACTAACCACATTTGCCCAGCCACGCTTCGCTTCCAATGCATGGGTTGAACTAGTATAATCTTCTTCCGCTAGGATTGCAGCCAAAAGACCATTCTGCGCAGCTCGTCCCGGATGAAAGGATTTAGTATGTGAGCCAAACATCTCGCGTAGTCCTGTAACCTGTGTCGCGGCAAGACCAATAGCATGTGCGGTTTGCGTAGCGCTCAATCCTAGTAGCTTTGAAACAGCAACAGCAGCACCAATGGAACCAGTTGAACTTGTAATATGCCTAGCGAATCAATCAGAACTTGAACCATAGAAACGACAAAGAGAAGGTTGTTCGAGCATCGATCAGACATATTAAAAATAAAAAAATTCTCAATGAAATTGAACTTGAACTCACCATCCAACATCGTAATGATCAGGCCAAACCCCCAAACCAACCTTACACTCCGCTTCCACACCCGCAGTAAGCGCCGTGATAAACTCTTCCCCAGAAACAGGCCTCTCCAACGACTCAACCATAGCCAACAAAGCAGACGCTACAGGCCCAGTAGGATGAATAATCGTATCAAGATGCGTATCATCATAATCATGCACATGAGAAGCAATACCATTGAACAATGCCGCATGCATAGCATCCACATCCACACCATCTGAACCTAGTAATCTGGACGTTGGAGGCCCTGAGAACCGTGATAGTGCTTTGCGAGCTATGATTGTTGCGGGGTGAGCGCTGCCACCTACTGTGCAGCCGGCCCAGTTGTAAAAGCTGCGGGTTGCGGCGGATATCACTTCTGTGGGGAGAGAGGAGAAGGTTAGGTTTTTGGACCAGGTTGCTAGGGTTTGTGTTGCCATTGTGAGGTTCTTTGTGGATTGACTTGGTGCTTAGTTATGTTGAATACTAGTAGATGTTGAACTGAAGTATTTGTGATTATTTGAGAATAAGGGGGTTTGATACTTGTGTTCGGCGTTGACTCCGATTGTTGGCTCCGATATAGGAACGTAGGTCCACTTGGACGGCTAAAGATCCACCCGCGAAGCTTGACTATGTATACGGCTTTTATACTCATTATATGGATAGGGCAATCTATCTTAAGTGCTTGACTTGGAACGGATGATTGAGTTGTGGAATTAATACATCTAGAACTTGAAGATATGGATATTCGTCTTATATATCCATCTCCCTCCAAGCTTATTAGATAGTGGCTTCATTTTACATGTATAATACTAGTTAAAAGTCATCGAGAAGGATATTTCAATTTTCTTTTAAAAAAAACACCCTTTTACACCGTAACAGAACTGGCTGTCACAATCATTGTCCGATTCTCTTCTTATATGACGGACCATGGATCTATATCCACAACCACAGTTAGCAAAGCTTGTCGAGAAGCCAGTTCCATTCTGGAGCGGGCATATTATTGGGAGGAAAAGATCATTACTTTCTTTTCGCTCCTTGTAGATTCCTCCAGCACAGGCTAATGCGAGCTCTGCTCTAACGAAGTGCTCATTCTTAGATTTACGAGGCTCTTGGCAACTCCCTCCAGCCTGTTAGTCGTTTGGCTCGAGGGCCGGAATTCTTTCGTCCGACTGAGAACTTTGCTGCGGCTTTGTGGGAGGGAAAGAAAACTTGGGATGAAACGATCCTCGTCGTTGATTATTACGGGGGTTTATGGAGTTGGTGGCTAGATCTCATCGGCAGGATGGGAGTGACGATAGCCAGGACTAGGGTCAAGGCCAGAGCAATTCATGAGACTCGCTTGGGTCATTGGGACGAAAAGCCAGAGTTTATAGGATAAAATGGACAGTGCTTTGCAAATGAATGGCATGCCTTATGTTGCTCGCACTTCACAAGCCCCGGGGACTAGGGGTTTTATAAAACCATATACTTGATGAATACGACGGTCAGGGAGTCCGAGTTAGATCAAGATCTAAAAGATAGTATTGTTCCATAAAAATCATACACCATAAAATCCGATAAGCAGGCCTAACAAATGCCCCGTCTTTGCTCCATAAAATGCACATATCATGACTGCCCGAAAAACAATAAAACAAAAACAACCCGCCATGTTGACCGAAAGAAAAAGCTGGATAAATGGGTATGCCGTACACCCTATGCCGTAGAAATGAAACAAAAAAAAGGAGAGTTCCAGAAGGCGATCGTATCGTATCATATCACAGCTCATTTCCACATAGACAGAGAGCCAAAATACAAGTCAAAATCACTATTTCCAGTGTACAGTGACCTATGCGCGACCATCATCGTCCTCATCTTCATCTTCGTCATCATCAACGTCACTACCGCTTAAAGCATCCATGTCAAGGTCCCCATCTGAGTCACTGCCACCAAAGGGGTCACTGTCGACATCCGAGTCTGCCCAAAAGTCTAAATCCTCCTTCTCCACTTCGTGAGGTGTTGGTTCGGGAGCTGAGAATTTAAAGCCGGCTGGGGCTGTTGCCCGAGACGCCTCGACGTTCAGATTCACTTTCGCACGGTAGGCGGTTGGGTCATTGCGGAGCATGACGGCTGCATCGACGTTGGCGGGAGAGGATATTTCGGCATCGTCGAGAAGAGATAGGATTGATATGAGGACTGATTCAACACGTTGGGCTGGGGACCAGCGCTCTGCGGCGAGTTCGCCGGACATTTCATCATCGCCGGGTGGGTGGAGGATGGAGATGCACACTCTGCCATCTGTGTGGATATTTGGGTGATAGATGGGTAGGAGGAAGCGGAAGGCTATGGGTAGACAAGTTAGTTCGATGGGTTGTTCTCGCTGTGAATGCGGTCGCTGGTACTGGGGGATGGATAGGGGAACTGAACTCACCAGGTGGTGCATAGGGGTAGTTCTTAGGGAAGGTCATTCGGGCCTTGAAGTAGCCTCCATCGTACATAGAGCTCGGGTTCAGGACGACAAGGGCGACGTCCCACTCATAAATGTTTTCGTTGCGAAGCTAGAGAGGATGGTGTTAGCTGGTGTGTGTCTGTCTCAAGATCATGATCCTCCGGGCTCGTAGGGCTGGGCTGGGCTGAAGTGGGTGGGCACACGACTCACCTCAATATGTACCCATTTCTCGGAAGACAAAGACCGCAACTCGTTCAATAAGATGCGTTCCGACATGATCAATTCACAGTAGGAAAACAAATGCGTATGTTGATTTAGGCTCCTCTCCTCTCCTTTGAAAACAAGTCGAGGTTTTCTTTCTGTTGCACAAAAACCCCTCCCCGAATGATGAAAAGTGGACCGCAAGAACTAGAGGAGAGATGGGGGGGAAGAAAAGAAGTGGAGCAATGACGGAGGGTACTTGGGTAAAGGGGAAGAAAAATTAGAACGGAGATCGCGGACTTTATATTGGGTCTCGGGGCTCCAGCGTGGCAAGTCTGATGATTGGGTCAACCGACAAATAGATGGCAGAAAAGGGTTTACATGTAGTAGTAGGGTTTTTATTGTTTGATTTATGGCTCTGTATTCTTTGTGTGAATATTGAATATTGGGATAAATGCATACTTTGAACAGACTTTCCCCCTGTCAAAGCCTATGTATACTCTACACCACAAGGACCGGTATTGACTCTGCTATGTCGTAACTCGTATTGTTACTGAGCGATAACGCAGTGTGCAAAGCGGGGAATCGTGGATAGTATAATCTCCGATAAGGAACAGCCGATCGAGTCTGGGATCCCTGTTCTATGGGGCTTAATGCAGGACATGATTGTTCAATATATGGTATGCATTATATTATGACTATTAAATATCTGGTGAGTCAGAAAGAAAGAAAATTAGAAACAAAAAAAAGTTACTCCAAATGCTTCTTTTCGGGATCGGGGTACTATATAGGTTAATGCCAGTGTCGGCATGGAGCGACGCCGTCAACGGTGGCGCGGGTTAGCTTAGTACTACTTGTAGTAGCCAGCATGACTTGACCGTTATATGTGCTTATTTGAAAAGACCAAAGACAAAATAAATTATCCGAAGGCTGAAAGTCTGAAGAAAAGTACTATTCATTGTTCGCATTCCAACGATCATGCAGAAGCCTCGTGGTTAGCCAGTTTGTAGTATAAACTGGTTGCGGCGCTACCTACGACAGATGGTACCTGGCTCCACCATAGTGAAGTGGTGGTGGTCCATGTCACCCTCTCCACCTCTTTGCTCACTCAAAACTTCGTTTTCCACCGCTTAATAACTTCCCAAGCCCAGACCCTTCCCGAAGCTTTTAGTTTTTTTCTTTTTTCTTCACCTTCATCCGAATCCCTGCTCATATTCTTAAATTCGTTTACTTCGAGCTCATCACTGACTCGGGTCCTTGACTTCTTTGACTCTGGCCTTCACTAAGCCCCCGCTTGGTGTTTTAAACCCCCCCAACGGCCCTCGGTTCCGGACATTAATCGCTCCGACTTTGCCTTTCTGCATTCGCTCTTGCAATGCGAGCCTCGTTTGGCCTACGACTCGCGTTTCCCTTCTAACCCGCTAAGGGGAGGAGATTTCCTCTTCACTCATACCTATTTTTCCACTTGAATATCGAAAAAAAGGGAAATCGCATAAACCCCCGGTCGCAATCTTTATAATTAGACCTGTTGCCCCGTTGAAATTCGATCTTGGTCGATCACCGGCAACTAGGCTCCCGGAGCTTGTCCCTCTTTTCATTCCCTATCGCAAACCGCTTCACTCTCTAGATAATGCTCCCGCAATGTTCAGGCCCCGTCTGGGCAGTGGATGATCTGTCGCGGTGCTTCCAGCGCAAGTGAGTCTTCAACTTCCCCCCATAAAATCTCAAATGGTCACTGCAGGTGTCAGGTGTTACAAGCCGTTGAGCGACCGTTACAGTACTGATTGTCGGATTTCCGAGATAGCATTCTGCAAGTCACGCTCCCCCTCACAGCATGCAGCTTGTCGTTACTCTTCATCACGTTGCGCCTCGTCCACCGTTATATCCTTTCAAGCAAAGGTGTCGCTTACAAAGTCCTTGACAACGATGTCTCAGAAATTGAGCCTCCTAACGGCCCGGAATCGGAATCCGATCCAATGCTATTCCAAGCTACCCAGAGCGAACAATTGAAGCTAGAGGTCGATCGCCCACGAGGGGAATTGCTCGTCGTTGCATTGGAGATCGCCGCGCTTGTCGGTCAGGTGGCTTTATACGTCGTTATCTTGTCGACTGGTGGGTGGGGTCGTCATGGAACAATCCCTGCTATCGCCGGGTTGGTGTCTTGGGGCTATATACTGTTTTTGGTTTTAGTGCGCCTGCTTCTTTCCACGCTCGACCTTTTCTCGGCTCCCCGACTCTGGACTCATACGGCGATTCTCTACGGTTTACAATGGCTGTTCAATGTGATGGTGTTCCGATCCGCCATTATCCATCCCTTATCGCATAACGCCCTGGTTCTCAGCAGCATTGGTTTCGCCCTGAGCACCGTGTTAGTCACAATCTGTTTGACTACTCGTCGAGGCAACAAGCCCGTTCTTGTGGAGCATGAGGAGGGTCTGGAGCCTCCGCGTTACCCCATGGCCAGTCTTCTGTCTCTCGCTACATTTGCCTGGTTGGACCCGCTAGTCATGAAAGGTTATCGCCAACCGCTAAATTTGGAGGATGTCTGGAACTTGACTCCTCATCAGAAAGCCGCCAATGTTCTGAACGACTATAAAAGACGACAGATGAAGGGCTCCATGGCTTGGAAGCTGATTAGATACTTTTTTGGAACCATCATGAAGCAAGGTGCTTGGACCATTTTCGCCAATTTATTCGTTTTCGTCCCCAGTCTGCTCCTCAAGGCAATCTTGGAGTATGTGGAGGACCCGCGGTCCGCTAGCCCCAGCGCCGCATGGTTATACGCTATCCTGCTATTCTGTTCTGCAATTGTGCAGGGTGTTGCAGACGGTCAGGCTCTTTTCATCGGCCGAAAGATGGGTGTGCAGATCCGCGCAATCATCATCGGTGAAATCTACGCAAAGGCACTCCGGCGTAAAGCTGGTGCGTCAACGGACGCTGTTCGCAAGGCAGCAGAGGAGCAACCAGACTCCACTTTGAAGACCAGAAAGACCCTCAAGAATCGACTCCTTTCATTTGGCCGTAAGAAGAAAGCTACAAACGAAAATGACACCGAGACGTGTCCCAAGGCCGATGTCAAAGTGGAGGAGGCTGCTACCCAAGCTAATGTTGGTACCATTATCAACTTGATGGCCATTGATTCTTTCAAGGTCAGTGAGGTTGGAGCTTATCTGCATTTCCTATGGGCTAGTGTGCCTGTGCAGATCATTATGGCCGTCACTCTGCTTTACAAGATCATGGGTTTCAGCTCATTTGCTGGTATCGCAATCATGGTTCTCATGCTCCCAGTCAACCTTTTCATTGCTCGCCAGTTCAACAAGGTACAAAACCAGATTCTCAAGGGCACCGATGCTCGCATTCATGCCACAAATGAGGTCCTTCAGAATATCCGTATTATCAAGTATTTTGCCTGGGAGCAGCGCTTCCAGGATGTCGTCAACGAAAAGCGCAGGGCTGAGCTTAAATCCTTGCGCAGACGCTACATTTTATGGTCCTCTGCCGCCACCATCTGGTACGGCACACCTATTTTGATCACTTTCCTGTCCTTCTTCCTGTATACAGTTGTCGAGAAGAAGCAACTGACACCATCAATTGCCTTCCCTGCCTTGTCTATGTTCTCCCTCCTGCGGGTGCCATTGGATCAATTGGCCGATATGGTGGCCCACGTTCAGGAATCCAAGGTCTCTCTTGATCGTGTGGATAAGTATCTCAACGAGGAGGAGACCGAAAAGTACGAGCAGCTACGCCATACCTCCAGCTCAGATGGTCCAAGTCGGATCGGATTGCAGAAGGCGACCCTCACTTGGGGTACCTCCAAGCCCACACCCCAGCAGTCCTCATCCTCCGAAGGTGGCGCAGATGCTTTCCGCCTTATCAATGTGGATGTCGATTTCCCCGTCGGTCGCTTGAGCATTATCGCTGGAGCTACGGGCTCAGGAAAAACTTCTCTACTCATGGCTTTGCTGGGTGAAATGAGACTCGTTGAGGGTCGCGTCCACCTTCCTGGTGGTATGTTGAACCGTGCCGACCTTCCAGTTGATCCTGCAACCGGTCTGGTCGACAGCATTGCCTACTGCGCCCAAGAAGCTTGGTTAGTAAACGCCACTGTTAAGGAGAACATCACCTTCGCCTCCCCACATGATGAAAAGCGCTACAATGCAGTTCTCAAGGCCTGTGCCTTAGAGCGTGATCTTGAAATTCTGGATGCTGGTGACAAGACAATGGTTGGCGAGAAGGGAATTAGTCTTTCCGGTGGTCAGAAGCAGAGAATTTCTCTTGCTCGGGCCATTTACAGCAGTGCGCGACACTTGCTTCTGGATGACTGTCTCTCTGCTGTTGACTCGCACACTGCCAAGCACATTTTCCGCCAGGCCCTGACTGGTCCGCTCATGTTGAACCGAACCTGTATCCTAGTGACCCACAACGTTGCTCTGACTGTTCCCCAGGCGGATCACGTTGTCATGCTTGACAATGGTAAGATCACCGCTCAAGGTCGCCCTGATGACGTTGCGGCTACCGGTGCTCTTGGTGATGAGTTCTTCAAGTCTCGACCAGGGTCTCGGGCTAGCTCCCGTGGTTTGTCTCGTGCACCCTCGGATACTGAGGCAGAAGATGAAACGACTGGAGAGGGTACGATTGGAACAAATGGATCAGCCAATGGTACTCAAAAGAAGGATCAGAAGGAGGAAAAGACAGTTCTCCAAGAGTCTAAGTCTGTTGGAAGCGTCAAATGGTCCACCATTTCTATGTATTTGAGCTCCATGGGTAGCTGGTATTATTGGGTTGGTGCCGTTATGGTGTTCTGTACACAGCAGCTGGGCTCGGTTTCAACCAACCTTTGGATCCGACAGTGGGCGAACGCCTACCAAACTTCTTCTCTGGACACAACTGATAACGCCGGCCTATACGCTGCTGTGTCTCACCTAAAACCCCCCACGTTCAATATTGGTAGTGTTTCAAAAATGAGCACTTGGGGTCCTCCTCAATTGTCCACTCGCGCCGATCTCACCCACCCTACCACACCCGATGGCCAGGTAAACGTGGCTTACTACTTGGGTGTATATGCGCTGCTTGGTCTCGGATATATCTCAATCTCCTTGGTCCGGGAGGGTGTCCTGTTCTGGGGCTCTCTTCACGCGTCCTGGAAGATTCATGATCGTCTCTTGAAAACAATCCTGCATGCCAAATTTCGTTTCTTTGATTCCACACCACTCGGCCAGCTTATGAATCGATTCTCCAAGGATGTGGAGGCTGTCGATCAGGAAGTTGCGCCTGTAGCAATAGGAATGCTACACAGCCTGGCTTCCGTGATCATGATCGTTATCCTCATTTCGATCATCACCCCTGGTTTCTTAATTGCTGGTATCTTCATCACATTGGTGTACACTGCACTGGGTGCAGTGTACTTGAACTCGTCTCGTGATCTCAAGCGTCTTGAGTCTGTGCAGCGAAGCCCGCTGTACCAGCAATTCGGAGAGACTTTGAATGGTATTATCACAATTCGCGCGTATGGCGACGGTCCTCGGTTCATTGTCGACAACCACCGCCACATCAATGCTTATAACCGACCACACATCTATCTCTGGGCTAGCAACCGCTGGCTCGCGCTTCGAGTGGATTGGACTGGTGCACTTGTTTCATTCTTCTCTGCAACTTTTGTCTTGATCAATATCGGGAAAATCGATGCTGGTGCTGCTGGTCTTTCTCTGACTTACGCAGTAACTTTCACCGAGAACGTGCTTTGGCTCGTCCGACTTTACTCAGAGGTTCAGCAAAACATGAACTCCGTTGAGCGTGTCAGAGAGTACTTGGATGTCGACCAGGAGGCCCCTGGTATTCTTCCTGATGCCCGACCTGCCAAGGACTGGCCGACCGAAGGTGCCGTGGAATTCTCAGGCTACAGTACTCGCTACCGTCCTGACCTGGACCCTGTCCTCAAGGAAGTGTCCTTTTCCGTCAAGGCTGGCGAGAAGGTCGGTATTGTTGGCCGCACAGGTGCTGGGAAGAGTTCCCTCGCACTGGCTCTCTTCCGTGGGTTGGAAGCAGAGAAGGGTCAAATCGTGATTGACGGCGTTGACATCGGTTCAATTGGCCTGCGAGATCTTCGTGAGAACATCACCATTGTGCCTCAAGATCCCACATTATTCACCGGCACAATTCGTAGCAACCTGGATCCATTTGGTTTGTTCAGTGATGAAGAAATTTTCACTGCCCTCCGCCGAGTGCACCTGATCGGATCTACTGTCTCAGGTACTGCAACCCCCATGACTGAAAGTATTGTCATGTCGCCCGACGCAAATGGTGGTGTCAATGGCAGCGCCACGACAATTGCAGATAACAAGAACGTCTTCCACAATCTAGACAGTTTGGTCTCGGAATCCGGATCCAATTTGTCTCAAGGCCAAAGACAACTTCTGTGTCTTGCCCGTGCTCTGCTTAAGAAACCTCGTGTTCTCATGATGGACGAAGCCACCGCCTCTATCGATTACGCCACCGACGGCAAGATCCAGGAGACTCTCCGTGAGTTACACGACAGCACAATTATCACAATCGCTCACCGTCTCCAAACAATCATCGATTACGACAAGGTTCTGGTCCTGGATCACGGCCGCGTCATCGAATACGACCACCCCTGGACTCTGCTCAATCGCGAAGACGGCCTGTTCCGCAGCATGTGTGACAACAGCGGGAATATGGATGTGCTTCTCGACGGAGCCAAACGGGCATGGATTCAGAAGCGTCTGGTCGATGACTCCTAATCCTTCAATTGCATTCTGCATTCTGCATTTTTCATTATTTTTACTCTCATCGTCGCGTAAATATTTGCCGTTTTTCTATTCTGTCTATGGTTCCTCTCTTCTTTTCCCCTCTCTCTATGCCATTCCTCGGTGTCAGTCTCATTCTTGGAAGAGTATAACAAGGGAAAGAGATCATGTAAAATTTCCTTTCTACTATGGGCGGCTGCTTGTGCTAGTTCTTGAACATCTTTATCTGGTTATCATTACTACTTCTTCGAGCTTCATGGCGCAAGTGGATATTCTGGTTACTCACAATACATCATTGATCTTTCACTTATATTCGCTCTTGTGTCGACTAGTAACCTGTCCCTGAGGATCTAAACCTACGATCTAGCTCTTGAATAAAACACAGTAATTCAAGTTTTCAAGTATATTATACGATATCCCAATCCGAAGGTATCATCGTGGAGAAAATAAAAAATAAAAATCGAAATAAACCTTGGAACAAAACAGATTAACAACACCCAACTAACACAGCTAAAACAACAATTTTCAGTACTTAAAATTAAACAATAGACCCAAAGCTCACGCAAAAATTCACGCAGGTTCATATACTGGCAGTTCATACCTCCACGGTTCATAACTCGGCGGCGCACCCTGGGACTCAGGCTCAACAACTTGAACCTGAATCTGCTCAAACGGATCATCAACCTCAAGTGAATTAATCACAATCCCCAATAACATAACAAGTCCAACTCGAACCACCCTTCTCCCCCAATCGTTTTTAAATCCAAAATCATCCCGAAGACTCTCCTTATCACCAGCATGTAACTCAAACCCCCTCACTCGCTCACAGCAAAAACATTCAACTGTACAATGTCCCGCGGCGAACCTCTTCCCAAAAGAACTTAAATTTAACCGATGAGCACAACAACTACAATCTCTTCCACAACAGCCACCTCTCATAGCACACTCTTCTACAAGAAACTATGTATATCCCAATTTGAGGTTGAACGCCATAATGCTACTCCGCGAGACATTGGGCCTGCTTGGAATGAGGATTTGATTTCCCACCATTTGCGGGATTGGACCCAGTATATCTTTTTGAGGTTGGTTAGTTTGTTTGAATTTGTTGATGTTGGTGCTGGTTCTAATCTGAAGATTCTTTTTCTTCGAAGTTTGTCATTATCACATCTTGGTCTTGGTCTTGGTCTTGCTTTTGGTTTTGGTTTGTGGGGCTCAGGACTGTGAGTTTTATTTCAAGCGCTATTTCGCGTTGGGCTGTTTCTAGAAGTTCCATTTCGAGTTGGAGGGGATCGCGCCATCTCCAAGTGATTTGATCGTCGTATTGGAACCAGAATTTGAGTCTGTACCATTGCAAAGCACCTGTATCTCTGCAACGCTCGATTTCTTTTTCTTTCTCTTCCAGCATTAGGAATTCTTTGCTTAGTTTTTGGGGTTCGCGTGTCATTTTGGGTTATTATAGTTAAAAGGTTGTTATAAATTGTTGGAGTTATTGGGATTGAGAGGGTAAGGCCTGCATGCTAGAGTTATTTTCATGGGATATAGTAGACACTGGCATGGATCGGCTCCGTTCCTTTTTGGCTAACGGCTAAACCCGATGCATATATGCGCATTGGAACTTAATCTGCGCTTAGCTTTATCTATGGATATGACCAGGAACTTATGCATATGTTCTTGTATGAATGAGCCCTTGAAACGTAATGATACTTGGTATGAATCTTAGAACCTTTCAAGGTTAGAAGGCTAGAATGTGTGATTCTGAATCTATTCCGATCTCCGGGTGGCTATGTATAATCTACCAGGCGGAGAAGAAAGGTTTAGAACACGAATCATAACAAAGTTGAAGAGGATAGGGGAAGGGGTGAGCTGAGGTATCGTGTATATGCAAGCGAGGGAAGGTGCCTTCGCTGGCCTCCATGTGCGCGTGGTTATATGGTAAGTTCGCGAATACACCCGGACCATTGGAACGATTTTCTTCGTTCAGATGGATGCTGGAAATCATTTACTGGGTAATTCTTTCCTCCAGCCTTAGCAGTCACGTAGTAGTAACGATGTTGTCGTACTTTTTGGCCATAGACTCTACTTAGCTTCCTCACCTCACCTCACCTCACCCAAACTACCTGGCAACATACACCCCCACCACCTTAATCTCCCACACCATTGCTGCCGTGTGCAATTCATCTTTATCCGCCTCAGCAAACTCCGCCACTTCTCCCATCGAAATCATCACTGCTATGTCTGGCGCCGCCCCCGTCTTGCGCTTCATGTCCTTCATGGATGAATTTGGAGGTCCCTGGTGGTTCGTCTGGTGGCTTTTTTGCCTGGTCATGGCTTTGGCTCTTCCCCCAGCAATGTTATTATGGGCATCACGTGCCTTGAAGTTGTAAGTGATCAATTTCTTGTTCAAAACAGAAGGATCTGAGAGCTCTGTGCGGCATATGATGTGAATATGCATGTCCTCGATGCCATTGCTGCACCTTGATCTGTGGACACCTGCTTGATAGAACACATGGCTAATGTTGACTAGCCATTACAAAAACCCCGCTACCACTCGCACTACTCCACACAAGGTACAATTGGCACTCGTACCACCGAATGTGTGGCGTACACGATAGACATCTACTGCTGGTAATCAAAATGATCCTGGCGAGGTCTCGAATTCTGACCGGGTTACCAAACCAGCAACTCAGAGCGCGGATAAGGTGAAGGTGAAGTTTCGAGACTTTTGCAAGTATCCCAGTGAAAAAAGCCGTCAAGAGGTATCCCCTTTCGCTATTTCTCGATATGCTGACTGTTTCAAATGTTAGATGCAGTCAAAGACCAGGATCCTGAGCCCCGCCGGACTAAGAGGACCCGGCCAAGTTATTAATCGGAAAGAGCCTTCTTTTGCGAGTCGCTGATAGACTCGGTCCGCGTAGTCATTGTCTTTGGATTTAACGGCACTGTGGTGATTTTCATGGAATGGCTGGTGTGACTCCGGCCGGTGTCATCTTGAATATTGATCATCTCAAGTTCGTTCAATGCACGCGTCGCGGATGCTGTCGTGCAGAGTTGGGGAGTGTAAGAGGTCAAGCAGTTGTGGGACGTGAGTAAGTAGATGGATGCTCTTTCACGACTCTGGCCTGCTGAAGGCTTGTTTCCCTTAGAAGAGTCTCCTGGCGCAGCTCCTCGTCGGCACGGGAGCGAATAACCTCGATCTTCGGAGTGGAGACTGCAACATGGCCTGTGAGGTCCTCGTAGTCGAACTGGGCGGCCCAGGCGGCGTCAGCAGCGTCCTAGGCTTGTACATGGAGGAATAGAGGTAATCTCATCCAATCACAGTTCACCCGATAAGTAATCCTACTCCTTGTAAAAGAAACTACAGAATCACTTGTATTGCGCGTGTAAAACTACAAAAGAGCCATCATACACCTCAGAGCTGAGGTATAATATCATTTAGCCTCTAGAATTGCCTTAGTAAAGTCATTAGGAGAGACAATTAGACCGATGTTTTAGAAAAACGATTGGAAAGACGTATAGCGTAGCATGATGTGAGTAAACAAGTATCCAAACCCACCGCTTCTAGGTACTCAGTAGCAAGGAGTGAGATTATTTATCGGAGTGGCTGTAGTACTTGGCCGATGATTGTTGTTTCAATCCCTCTGCGCCACTTGATAGGTAACCCAGCCTCTTCTCTCGGTTTAAGGAGACCCTGGCGCTTGGTCTCACCATTTACAGGAGGGTTTGCGAACGAAATTTTCACTGGGCGCCGCTTGGGTGCGCCTTGCAGCTTTATGGATACCGCGTTAGGTAATAAGAGGCGTGATCAATCACTTTAAGCGCGATGTCTCAGGCCGACAGGATGACATATCCATCGCCCATACTACTCATGTCAGTATCTTAAATCAATAGATCTTAATCGCAGTGGCTTCTCGAAAGAGTATGGAGTGTATTGGGATTGAAGACTAGTTTTGATAAGTAACGGGCTCTAGATGTTGATCCATAGTAGTGGAGGATGACGTTTGAATGTCGCAAAATTTAACTTCAATAGCATCATTTTAATTGCCTGGGTAGCAAGGTGTTTTCTGCCTTTACGTAAATGCGCCTTGTAACTAACCTAGTTATTGACGATAAGTCGAGTTGTTTTTCCTGTCCAGCGCAGCTATTCGGTTTCACAGAAATAGTTATAAGAGAGAAAAGGGTTTTAGATTTTTTTACATCGTTCGTTGTTTCGATAATTTCCAATATTCGACATTGTTGAACTAAAGTCAAAGGGTAACTCCAAAAGGGCTTAGTTTAAGGTCCAGCCACATGCAGGGCAATTTTGTGCTTCTTCGTGTGGTTGCAATGACCCTTGGAAGGAATGAAAAGGATCAACCGGACCGAAGCTCACGTCAGAAGGACCCTCCGGTTTTGAAATAACAAATAAGAAGGCTGCAATTCAGTCATATCGATCGTCGCATCTTAAAAGGGTATATGATTCGTTAAATATTTGATAATCGCGGTCGCGCTGATGTGATCTGACCAAGCTGGAACCAACTGTGGATCAGGAGGCCCGATAGGATTTTGTACGGTGGACCACAAGGTGCGACAAGGATTTCTCATCGGACCAGTAGATTGCCACTAGACCGATTTCACCGGTGGGGGCAGCGCGGCGCATGAAAAGAACGGAAAGGGGGAAACCCGAACCTTGCTGTGTCGGGGGTCAGAGCATCCTATCAAAACCCCGTAGCTTTCTTTATTCTTCTTTTCGCGATATGTTCTCCCTTGGTGCCGCCCATAATTCAATGTCTGAAACAAGTTTCCCCCTGCACACGGGTTGAAATAAAGAGAGGGCGTGAGGGAATGGGCGGTCTTGGGGGCTGGCACAGTACAGGATGCATACGCGCCGACTAGTCGCAGGAAGTAAGGTAAGATGGTGGGAGAACTAGACCCGACCCATAACTTTCTTACTTTCTTAGCGGTGACCAGGACCGTAGGGCAGTCGCGAAACGTTGTGTTTGGTGGATTTCCAGCGGCGTGCGGGGAAAAGATATGCAAATGGTGCCACTAAAAAGGGCACCGGATAGGGACGGCATATTAGAGTGATTCTGTTATCACCGATCAAGGCGAAGCCAATAAGGCATTGTGCGGGCGTTAAATCGCGAATTGCGCTAAAGCCCAAATTGGATATTCTCCACTCCTTGTGGCGTTTTTGTCGCTCGCTTTCTCAATCAATGTCCATGGCGAATCCCACGGACCACGGTGAAAATGCAAATGATAGTGGCGATAATGAAAAGAAAGGCGAGGGACGGCACGATGGGAGGGGTCGAGATGATGATTGGGGATGATTCAAAAATGACCCAGTCGACGCGGATTGTCTCGGTTTCTGTGTCGGGTTGTGCTTGTGTTTGGAAATTTACCGGGTACGAGTACGATGCTTCCATTGACTGCGCCTGTCCGATATCCGAACCCGAATTCGAAGCCCGATCAGGAAGAATAAGCATCCGTGCACGAGGAATGTCGATCTCTGTATCCGGCGTGCTGATTGACTTTTGGGCTTGTGTCTGGCTCAGTTGGGCAGGCGAAATCTTCTCAGGTTGATTCGTGGTGATTTCAAATTCGGATGCCGTCGGCGTATTTGTCACGTCGCTTGCTTCATGAGAGTCGATTAAGTGGCTGGCGAGCTCTACCTTGTCTGGCACAGTTTCAGGGAAATAATAGGCGGATCGCTCGGCGAAATAGTTATTCTTGGATTCAGAGTTCTGGTTGGCTGCTTGGGCGGATAGCGGCCGAGCTAGGTCTGTGGATTCCCAGTTAGATTCTGGTGTTGTAGAGTCTCGGGTTTGAGAAATCGATGAAGGTGGAATGGCTGCTGAGGCGGCAAGGCTGCTGAAAGCCAGCAGGATAGGAAGAGGGACGAGCATTTTGATCCGAAAGGTTGGACGAATGGACGACTTTGGGTATGTTGAGAGTGAAAGCGACTCAATGTACTGATAACGGTGGAGCTGATAAGATGGGTGTGGATTACATCACTTGGAATGACAAAGAGGGGATGAAATCCGGTTCGAATCGTCGAGAATGCGTGGTTGTATATTTCTCAAAGATGCAGAAAAAGAGGATGTTTATAATAATAGAGCGAGGAAGAGTGAAAGGGAGAAGGTTAAGAGGGGGTGTGTATGTGAGCGAAATAATGGCCGCCGGATTCCACGGAGCTGCAGATGCCGGGTACCGGAGATAGCGGGTCAGACTAGTGCCCATTCAAATGTTAATGTCTTGCACTAAGAGATTTTTATGAAGAAAACCTTATGGAGCCAACTGCGGCTGAGATCAAATGCAATTGGACCCAAATTCCCTCTAGTGACGTTTACTTTGATTTTTTCCCTTTCTCTCTCTCTATTTAGCTCAACTTGATCCGCTATTGTCGGCACACGAAAAGGCCGACGAGATCTGCCCATCGCGATATGCCTCGTTGATCTGCACAATAACTCCATAGGTCCCGCCAACCGCCATAAACAGCCCTAAGAATAGCAGAGAAACATGAACCCCATACACTAGCTTTCGGAAAACATTTCCTTTCCAGTAATCCGCGTGGGTATGAAGCCACAGCCACCCAGGCAGAGTAATTGCCAATGGTGCAAAACACAATGCACCCACAAGCGCTAACACGTAGTTGAAGATAGGAATAGCACATGCAAGGATGAAAGAAATGGCAGCCATGCCGATCGTACAGCTTAGCCAGGTTCCCCAATGCACAAGCGTATTCGCTTGCAGATGACGTGAGGTACGCAGGATTCGTACAAATAAATACTTCGCCGCAACGTGGACATACAGACACCCACTTATAATAAGGCCAGGAAGCGCAATTCCATACGCAATTCGTTTCACTGTTGTACCCGCGCTGCCGAGTGAGGGCGACGCAATCCACTGTCCACACCAGGCATAGATCACCAGGCTAAATGTTAGGTAAGAGGCAGTCACAAGACTCATGCTGAAATAGACGGCCTTGGGGTAGTCCTTAGGCTTGCGCATCTCCGAAATGACTGGTAGGAATGCAGAAGTCGCTGCACTGGAGACGAATATAGTTGCGGCAGCTGTGATGCCGGTGGTGAAGCTAGGGTTTCCAATGACTCTGTATCCCAGTTCGAAGTCACCAGTCTGGGGTGCAGCAGCTGGACGATCTCTTACGGTTACACCAATACTGTTGATCATTAGAAACCCAAGTCAGTCAGTAGTACCTAGAAGAAATGAGGAGACATACACAATGATGAAGACGGCGACATATACGCTCGCGAAGCCAACCCAGGTGAGCCAGCCGATGTGTGAGAATTTTCGAACACTAGCACAGGCCGCGATTACCACTGTAGCGATAAAAGAAAACCAAACTGTGCAGATGGCGTGCAATGACAGCGCATTCAGCGCGGTCGAGACTCCGATTATACCAGACGCAGCGACAATCACGTAACTGACTGTGAACAAGAAGCCGACTACTTCTTTTAAAATGGGCCCTCCGACAACCTGTGCCATGTCGGCAATGGAGTGACAGCCGGGGTATTTATTGCGAAAATTTCCTTGCACGAGGGCACAGTACGTGTTGAGGAGAGTCCATCCGATCACATTGAGGGCACCAGGGAGAGCACCCAAATCGTACATTAAAGATGGGATAGAGAGTACACCGGTCGCGAATATGACTATTGAAAGGGGAAAAGATGTGTTAGTTTGATTTCGACATCTGGAGTGGAGAGAGTCTGTAAAAAAATAATAGAAAAGATACGTACTCTTCAAGAAGATCACACCAGCTCGAATCCAGCTCACGGTCCGGAAATCAACTTGACCATCGCCTCTCTTGAAGACTTCATGCTGCTCTTCCATGTCCGCCTTCTGTGTATCAATTGGATAGGAGTCACCTCCAAAGTTAGGGGCCTCCTTAATATCATCTGCCATTGTCGCTATGGCGAGGAGCGAGGCAGAAAGCTAGCTATTGGACTGCAAATTTTCCAGAAGTAGGGTTCTCCAAGAATTCCTCACACGAATATATAGGTCAACGACCTGGAAAGCGAGCGCTTATCTCTCAGCCCGGCTTCTCCCATGCATAACAGGATTGTCTTCGTGTTTCGCGGCCTGGAGAGTAAAGTTTCTGGGGGTGCCAATGCTCGGGCGCGACTGGAACGTGCCCCGGGGCTGGAAAGATTGGGTTGGCTCCACTACTTCCCCACGAATTCTAACTTCCAGATAACCAGCTTCGATTTTAGTTGACAGTTTGTCTTGCAGCTAAGGTTGATGTGTTGGGGAATATTTGTTGGAGTAGGGAGTCGGTCCATGTTGTGTGGCCGAAAGGGGTCAAGCGTTGGAGTCATCGGTAGTCATCATACCAGCAAATTGAGGCTGGGAGATAGTCTTGAGATAAGAGCAGGTTACTTTACACTGTAAATAGGATCAACCCTCATGACAATGACGTTCAATTCAGATAGAGAGTTGGAGACAGTTGAGCATGTTGGGGTAAGGGGGAATCTATCTCCTGCTTTGATGTGGAAGACTAACATAGCGCGGCAAGAGCTATTCGCCAAAAAGGGATTGGATTGACTAGGGGCTGGTGAACTGGAATTGGCAACTTGATTATTTTATTAAACTTCCAGCGTAAGGTATTGAAATCCTTTTGGGGTAGAAAGCTGAGGTTGTTGGGGAAGCTATACAGTACATATTTTTATATTTTCAGTCCGATACCGCTACTATTTTCTAAATACTACTACGTAGAAAATTCATGATGACTTGCTCGTGAAAACTTAGGATTCAATTGAAATTAACATCGCTTATATACATAGATTACTTCTTCAGCATAGCACCTGCTGGAGCTGGCAGCAGAGCCCCTTCAGGTGGCGCATTCTTCTTCTTGAACTCGTCGCAAACTTGTTCCATCGTTACAAACTCCACGCCATCATGCTTCTTGAAATGTTCAATAAGCCTGCATACTGTTAGTCCACACATTCTTCACTTCAAGGAATCTCAATATACACACCTCTCATGCATGAGAAGAACATGTGGTCGACCGGAAACATCCGGATGGATGGTGATAGGGAAGATAAACTCGTCATACTCCCGATAGAAATAATCGAAGTGATCACGCCAGATGTCCTCTACATCTCGCGGGTTCACGAATCCATGGCTGTTTGGCGCCTTTTTGATAAACATCATCGGTGGCAGATCATCGATGTACCAGTTGGAAGGAATCTCCACGAGACCTGTCTGAGGGCCATGTTCCAATGGCTTCATCCATGTCTCGGCCTTCTGCTTGTAATCGATATTAATCCAGCTGTCGCCAGTTCGCAAATAGTATGCTTGGCAATCTTCATGGCTCATACTATGGTCGTATTCGATTCCATAGTCTAGAAGCAACTGAGCACCCTCTCTGCTAGTTTCCCACCTGGTTCCGAATGTGGTCAGAAAAATGCATTGTGGGTACATATGGGTGTTTGTTCATATAATTCCACCTACCATGGCGCGACACTTCCACGCGGCGGCTTGCCCGCAAACTCCGTGAGCATTCTGTATGTCTTATCAAGAACATCTCGTTGTTGCTCAATGCTCATGTCAGTGGGGTTTTCGTGCGAGTACCCGTGCAGCCCAATTTCGTGTCCCGCATCTCGGACCGCAGCCATATCCTCAGGGAAGGTCTCCAAGGAATGGCCCGGAATAAACCAGGTTGTCTTAATATCGTACTTGTCGAACATTTTCAACAGGCGCCTCGTTCCAATGGTACCTGCCCACACTCCTGAAGTGCTTCGTTAGTGTAGTTCCCAAGGCTCTGCCATCGATCAACTCACCTCGGCTAATATCGTTGGTGGAATCTTCGCCTCCATACGAGCCGAGCCAACCGGCGACGGCGTCAACGTCTACTCCGTAGGTAATTAGAACGCGCTTAGGACCCATTGTTGTCTTTTTCGTGAATTGTTGTGATGTTGTAGTACGGCGGGATGAAAGCTAGTATTTTGTACATATCAGGATGCGGGGGAACTCGATAAGCGACCGACCCCCTTTCTGAGGGGTTGGGGTCACATCAATGTCTCCAACCGATCCACGGTGGCCAATAGCCCGCATTGGAGAATCAGCTTTAAAAGAATAATATGCTAAGCTGGAGATTTTATGATACCATTAAGAAGTATGTATGATGTATAGATAGATACACTTGGTCGTGGTGCTTGGTGTATGTTCAATTCTACCCACGTAAACTATACATGGAGTCGGCGCCTACGTGAGCTCACAAAATGTACTTAGGGTCATACATGATTGAAAGTAGTGCTAAACATAGAAAATGTGCATCAATCTTGGCTCTAGGAGCTCTGTGTTATACTATGAGAGCAAAATACCTAGGAGCATTGGCGGGGTTGAAGGCTGATTCGAAGGCACGTCCAACAAATAATACCATGACCAGTGACTAATAATCAGAAGTCATATCATGTTCTATGGCAATCTCCTCCACAATATTACACGCAGCAAATTACAGTATTTGATCTTATAACAATTCTCTACTACTAATATGTTCACATAAAAAAAGCCTTAATAAACAAAGTATGTTGTGGGCCCCACAGGGCCCAGTCTAACCTGTTCGGGACAGACTTTACCCACACCCTGCAAGGTCAACGAACAATTTGAACTATTCAAACGGTATCTACCATGTGGATCAGTGTTTTTTGCGGAGCCCTTTTGCATCTTATTATCATCCGGAGATCAGCCGACAGCTTCGTTGTGGGTCTTGACGTGTTGGAGTCGATTTGGAGTTGTTCAGCTTAGTCGGCAAACCAGCCCAGTCGGAAATCCGAGTACTCCGTCTGGTCGGCAAAATGGCTGTCGCGATGGATCCATCCAGATTAGGTAAGATATGTTTGGAGATTGAACTCCAAAGAATGATTCTCGGGGGTTGCCGATTGAGGGGAAAGAATTTTTTCTTTAGTGAGTATATCATACAATCTTCACAACACCAAAGGGAAGCACACTGGACATCAGAACATCTGCCCATTATGTCGGTTCTCTTCACCAGCATATCAGAGTAAGTATCCCCAATACTATATTGTCTATATCCATGTTTATTTGGAGAGAAAGCTAAATGTGCCGTCTAGAAACAACCCTGTAAAGTCAGGGGATGCTGAGGCACTTGTAAAACCTCTAGGTCTTACAATTGACCCATCCGAGTCTGATGATTTCCAAACGCTCCTGGCAGCAGTTCATGATTGCGCCGAGGGTGTTGCTGCTCTACCAGACTACCAACCACAGACTGACCAGGTCAAATATCCACGTGAGAATATACGTCGACCAAGTAAGGAAGAACAGGTATTGGGAGAAGCCTGGGCGCATCGATTTCTCATTCGTGGAAATGAAGATGGCCCATTGGCTGGCAAGTCAGTCAGTCTTAAAGACGTTATTACAGTAGCTGGAGTACCACAATTGATGGGCAGTGATATCATTCCATCATGGACACCCACAACAGACGCTACTGTTGTGACGAGGCTTCTGGAAGCCGGCGCCGATATCCATGGGACATCAACCTGTGAAAATCTTTGCCATTCAACCTCCTCATATACCAGTGCTCAGGGAGTGGTTGAAAATCCCCACGCTACTGGATACTCGGCTGGAGGGAGCACTTCTGGAGGCGCAGCCTTAGTTGCGGCTGGGTTAGTAGACATCACTATTGGAGGTGACCAAGGTGGAAGTATCCGTGTTCCTGCCTCACTATGTGGATGTAAGAAAGCCCTTCGTTTTGACTTTTTGTGAGACTGCTCTAACTTACCAATAGGTGTGGGATTAAAGCCAACTCATGGACGTGTTCCTTTTACAGGAGTCGCCAGTGGCGATGCCATGAACGATCATGTAGGCCCCTTGGCTCGTACAATTATGGATGTTGCCAGATGTCTCGATGCTATCAGTGGATATGACGGTATCGATGACAGATCATTGGGAAGCCCAAAGCACGGCTCAACCAAATTTGCAAACGCACTTCAAGAACTCCCACAAAGACTGGACGGTCTGCGGATTGGAGTCCTGAAAGAGGGCTTTGAGCACGATGCTGTAGCGTCTACTGTTCGGCATTCCGTGTCAATCGCCGTTAAGAAATTTGAGGATTTAGGTGCAACCGTGGAAGAAATATCCCTTCCTGATCATTTACATGGGCCGGCCATCTGGACCATCCAACAGCGAATAGCTGGTGCACAAACACTGCTTGGTCAAAATACTGGTCGCAGGGGTCTATATATGACTGAAATGGAGCGTGCGAGGTTACCTTGGAATGATGAAGGCTTTCAACGAGCATTCCCGTCAACTAAGAATGTGATCATCAACGGACTGTATCTTATGAATAGGTTCCCCGAACTATATGGCAAGACTGCCAATATTGGGCGACAGATCAGTGATAAGTACCAGTCTTTATTCGAAAAATATGATGCGATCGTGATGCCCACAACTCCAGTTGTTGCCCCCAAACATGGAAAACGAGGCCTTCCGGTGGAGTCGCTTCAGCCCAGTATGGGGTTGACGATCAATACTGCTATCTTCAACGTGACTGGCCATCCAGCACTCTCCATTCCAGTTGGATTGGCACCTGCCAAAGACGACGAAAATACCATGCTACCTGTGGGTATGCAGATTGTTGGTGGTTTATGGCAAGAAGAGAAGATTTTGCGCGTTGGACACGTGTGGGAGACGCATTATGAGTGGGAAAAGATGCATTTTACCACTGACAAGAACTAGAATATTCATAATTAAGCGTTAGACAATCCAGACTCCCAGGATACCCCATGGCGGTCTTTTGTTTCTACTATATGTCAAATTGCCTATCACCCACATACTAGTAGGCATTGATTGCATTATCCCGCTGTGGGAGAAAGTCTTAGTATGGGCAAAAAGCTCCATTTCATATGTATGTACGATAGTCATGTTTTCATGATAGATTACTACCCAATGGGCTTACACTGTGATATATCCTCCATCGACTACCATAGCATGTCCTTGCACAAAGGAGGCCTGAGTTGAGCAAAGGAAAAGAGCCGCATCTGCTACTTCAGCTGGCTTTCCCATCCGCTGCATAGGAGCGATTTGTGCCGCGGGGGTGATGGCTTCTCGAACTTCGGTTTTCTCCATGATAAGGGGAGTTTCAATTACTCCAGGGCAAACGCAGTTCACACGAATTCCGTCTTTTGAATAATCGATAGCATCCGCGCGGGTCATTCCAATGATTGCAGATTTTGACGCACAATATGCAGCTGTATTTCATCGACCAGTTAGGGGATTACCTCAAGGATATGTGGAGAGAGTAAACTTACGCGCATTAGGGCGACTGACAATGCCCAGTTGACTTGCAATATTAACCACAGCTCCACGCTGGGCAGGGCGATTGGGGTCGTGGCTAGGGAGCGGATCCTGTTCTAGCATCTGCCTGAGCTGTGCTCGTGATGACAGCCAGCATCCCCGGTAATTTATGTTGTTGACGCGGTCGAACTCCTCGAGGGTTGTTTCTCCAGATCGCATGGGCACCCCCAAGACACCGGCGCAATTTACGGCATAATCAACGCGCCCGAAAGCTCTCGCAACCTTGGAGATGAATGAATCGGCGAAATTGTCGTCTGCTATATTTCCAGGGTGTGCAAAAAGCTTTATATTAGAATGCGCTGCGGAGATTGCTTTCTCTGTCTGCTCTAGAGTGTGCGAGTTTACGTCTGTGATGGCAATTCTTTCACATCCCGCGGCAGCAAATGCCCGAGCGACAGCTGCTCCAATACCTGTCAAGTTACTGAGGTTAGCTAGATATCACGACGTGCAGCTTCCAGGGCTGTCAATGTTGAGGACCTCGGGAGCATTAGAATGTATTACCTGTTCCACCCGCGCCTGTGACCACAGCCACACCTGGGAAAAGATTCTTGACCAACATTGGAAGCCCTGATCCTTAAAGTTCCAAAATGACCTTTGAAAGAGACATCCAAGACGATGTCTACAAACTGCGGAGAAGCGACCAAAGCGGTAATTGATATGGGTGGAGTGGGGCAAGTTGGAGTCACCGCTTGGAGAAACATCCCGAAGAACTAAATCTCTCCGAAAAGGCCTGTCCCCTCCTGAGTCCACTTTCCCTCGTCCTGGCTTCTCCAAGTACTCCGACACACCAATGCCATCCACATCACCGTCACCCCAGATTAAGGGCCGCGGTGCTAAAGCAAGGATTTGTCCCCATTGCGGCCGCGGCTTCCGGCGAACAGAACATTTGGAGCGCCATGTGAGAACCCGTAAGCGGGCCCCCATTTGGAGTCTAGCATACCGTGATGATGGAGTCGCTAATCGCCCGTTTTAGATACTAAGGAAAAACCGTTCATCTGTTTCTGTGGGTCTGCCTTTACTAGGCGCGATCTTTTGAAGCGGCATAATCGCATCGCTCACCAAGATGGCCTCTCGTCGCCCGATTCCCAACCAGCCGCGCCCGTCGTTAAGCCCGTCCGCCAAGCACCCCGCAGCACGGCTCCTGCAGCCATCGCGCCGCAATATGATGCATCTACCCAACCAGTAGGATCGGTCCCAGGTCCTTCCACGATGCATCCATGGCCTGTACCCCAACCTGACAATACTTCCTATTTATCACAAACCCAGGCAACTGGTTTGCTGCCGCCCGGCCCTCCTAATCCTCACCCGGCGACAGATGGCCATCCAGCAATGCATGACCCGGCAATGATTCAAGCTGCTCAGTTACTTATTCCCGGCAACTATCAAGATTTGCATGCTCGTAAGTTTTAGTGATGGATACAATATAACATGCATTGCTGACTGTGTCGTAGCCCTGCCTTATTTACCAGAAGATCTTAATCACTTCCAAGAATTCACTCATTTTCTTGATTCCATCGGTCTTCCAGCTGAATGGCTTCCTAGCGAAGGCGAAGCTGCGCAAATTCAAGATATCGGCCTCGAAGACACCCAAAAACCCACTTCGTACCCACCGCAAGAACAATCGAGACCACAGAAGAGCCATCGAGAAGACTCGCGTGGCGATTCTCCTTTCCGATCGTGGTTACCGTCAGTGCCTAAGGGCGATCAAAGCTTGACATCTATTTCGGATACTGGTATGTTTTCATCTCAAAAATTCAATAGAAAACTATCGGACAAAGCTAACCGAACAAAATAGAACCTTCACATGTCACTAATGCTTGTAGGTTCAACGTTTCGGAGGATCAACGATTCCGCTTAGCTGCTTCTCTCGAAGATTTCCGCAATGTAATACCCGATTTCACTCTGCCATCCCGCCATACATTGACCCGGTATCTCACATCCTACTTTGAGGGATTTCACCCCCATATACCTTTCATACACGTTCCAACGTTCCGCTTCAATGAATGCTCCCCAGAACTAGTATTGGCCATAATGACAATCGGGGCCCAGTATCGGTTTGAGCATCGCAACGCCGAAAAGATCTTTCACGTTTCCAAAGCGGTCCTGTATGAACGGAAGTTGAGAGAGGACCGCATGGCAGCGCAGGGTTATCCTACTCCCATGGGAGGCTCTTCATACCCAGATGGGAGAGATGGCCAGCCCAGAAGTGCATTTGCGGCAAGTGTGTTTCGGCAAATGGAAGTGATTCGCTGTCTTCTGGTGTTAATGAGCTATGCGACTTGGGAACGAGCTGGTCTTGTTCAAGAAGCATTTCAGCTCCAATCGCAGCTGGTTCAAGTACTTCGCGATGCGGGCTTGTCGGAGCCACAATCCGATCCGCACGCTCCGTCAACAGATTGGTATGAATGGGCTGATCAAGAGTCAGTGCGCCGCACGAAGCTTATATCATTTTGCTTCATACATATACATAGCATCGCATACAATGTCTATCCATCTCTTCGGAGCAGTGAAATTCATATGCGACTCCCTTGTTCGACGAAAGAATGGACAGCTAAAAGTGCCACGGAATGGGAAGCGGCTCAACAAGAACGGGGGCCTCAGCAACTATTTTTCCAAGATGCCCTTACACTTCTGCTTCAGAAGTCGAGGTCAGCAGTACCGATAATTCCTATCCCATCACCACTGGGAAACTATATGCTTCTTCATGGTCTCCTTCAGCGGATCCATATTGTGAGCGAGTTATCATTGCCGAATGGAAACCATTCAACCTCTCTCCCCACTGAGGAGCTCAACAAGATCGAGTAGGTCTTTGAAACTAATGATATATGTTATGAAATTTCGTTTTAACTAAAGTTATTAGACGCGCTCTTCGCTCCTGGACATCTGTTTGGCAACAAGCTCCCGAATCAAGTCTTGATCCACACAACGCCAACGGACCCATCCCATTTACATCTAGTGCGTTATTGGGTCTGGCATACGTGCGTCTGTCTTTAAATCTTGGCCCGTACCGCCGGCTTGAAACACGAGACCCATTGACAATCGCATCTGCTCTATGCCGATCCCCTAATCCAGAGCGAAGTTATCGTCTTATTCCTGCATTAATTTACGCAGCTCATGCCTTGAGTATTCCAGTTCGTCTGGGTATCGATCACATTGCGCGAAGCCAGGCCTTCTTTTGGAGTGTGCGCCACTCACTTGCTAGTCTAGAATGCGCCGTTCTCCTGAGCAAATGGCTTTTCACTCTTGCTGAAGCCGCCCCTGACCAGGCGCTTAGTGGTATGTCTCTTCTGCTCTCATTTCCCGTGATCGAGATTTCGGATCACTAACTTTCTAAAAGAGAACGAAAGTCGTATACTTCGATGGACTCAATGTATTGTGGAGGAAGCGTATTCTTCTATCGACCTGGAAGATGCACCCGATGCCTCGCCTAACCTGGATCCTGCGTCCTTGGGATTGGCAGTTCTTAGGCTGTGGTCGAGACTATTCAAGGGCAATACCCAGTGGCCTTTCATCAATGCGCTTGGTGAGAGCTTGGAAAAGTATATGACGATGATCTGATTTTTAGCTGTACATTTTCCACCTAACACTTAACACCTTAACGGATACCCACGCATGTATATCTTATTTATTCTGATACAAAGAATGAAGCTAGCCTTTTCTCAAATCAATACAATCTGTGAACTGAACGACGATGCCTATCTAATATCCAATTTTGTTTGAGCAAACTCAACGCCATCATCTCCACAGCAGGCAAACTTTCGCAAAACTAGACAAACAAGTCGAATCACCCATGTCGACCATTCTTCTCAATTTCTTTCCTCGACCCACTGGCCCAAATTGCGTTTTCCATTCCTCTTCCTCTTCCCGTTCCTTTCCTCTCTCTTTTCTTTTTTTCTCTTTTTTCTCTTTTTTCTATTCCTTTGCTTTTCCAACCAGTCCTTAAACCCTAAAAAGTCAAGTCGATAAGCATCCCCACCGGGACGGAAGGCTCCGTATTAGAGACGTCCAAGAGTGGGTATTGATTGGCATTTCCACTTCCATTTTCATCATTAGCCTCACTATCCGTTTTCTGCTCCTCCTTCTTACTCTCGCTGGCCTTCTCCTCTCGCATTTGCGTCTTTTTCCCCAAACGCTCAACTAGATTCTTTGGAAGGAACTTCAGGTCAACGTGTTTGAGTGCACGCTTCACATCTTCCGATTCCAGGTTTTCGGCCCTTGACAGCACTTGAAGACTTTGATCCATCTCCTTCGCACCTCCAACAGAAAATGCAGTCCACCTTTGATGGCCTGTGGTGACAAGCTGTTTACTCCTGGAACTGAGTCCATTGGACTTTCCTTTTGGTGACACATTGTGAGGCCTGGTGGTTCTGGCCGAATTCAAGACCTTCGGTCTCTGAGGTAGACCGTTTACCCCCAGGGCAGGGCGTTTATGCGGCGGGCTAACTTGTTCGTCAGAGGAAAGAATGTGTACGTCTTCTATTAAATTGTTTACCACGTTTCTGTTCTCACTTTCAATTGCCCTAGCCTCTGAGATACAGTCACAGCCATGGACATGGACACTGCCACAAAGTGCAGTGCATGCAAGGTTACAACAAGGACGAACGTAGCTGCATGGCTTGTCGCAAGAAATTAGCTTATGGTTGTAGCTACATAGATTGTAAGTATAATTTTTCAAGCTAGATCTTCAATAGATGCTCACCCATGGCATTTGAGGTCACAGATATGTCCACATTTCAAGGTCTCTTTACATATGGCGTGGCATCCCCCATTGAGCGATCTCCAATCCCCAGGGACTATATCGTAAAACATCGCGTTAGAGATCAATCTAGGTCTTCAATATAGATCAACTTACCTTTTATGCCAGTATGATAGCCATGCTTTTGGCAGGTCAGTGGCAAGCTAGAGCCAATGCGTAACTTGTTTGCATCAGAAGCCATGGTCTTGAGGATTTGACTCCACAGCTGACTGACAGACGAGAGTAATTTTCCGTTGCCAAAGAGAAAAAAGCCATGTCTCGCTCGCGACAATGCCACACAAACGCGGTTATCGACAGCCAAAAATCCAATACCATTTTTGGAATTGCTGCGAACCAGCGAGAGGAGAATAATATCGTTCTCTTCTCCCTGGTACGAATCAACGGTCATGACCTTGGGAGAGAGATACGTCAGAGACTTGTGATCCTTTATCATCTTCCGTAAGAGCTTCCTCTGTCCATTGTAAAATGTCATTATGGTGATAGAACTCACGGGGTTACCATTCATGAGAAGGTAGACATAGAACTCGACAAGCATGAGCGCCTCCATCTCGTTGAGCTTGGAAGAAAGACTATCCCCGTTTTCTTGCCATTCATGGTTGAAAAAGAATACCTTGATGTTCCCCATTCCAGGAATGGAAGGGTAAGAATAGACGGAGGAGTTATTTTCAAGTTGGCCATAGATGGGCTTAAGAAGATCACTCACCTCGGGCGTCATGCGCCGTTGTTTTCTGAGCATAAAAAATGGCAGGTTGTTCCCCGTCAATCGCTCGAACATTGACACATCTAGGTAAAATGGATACCCGGTCAAATCAAGCAAAGAGCAAGTGCCTTTTAGTTGTTTATGGTCGCCAACGAGGATCAATTGTTGAATTGATTCAAAACAAGCCACTGCAACGGGAGCTTCAATCACCTCAGCAGCTTCTTCGATTAAAACAATTTTGGGATTTAGACTGGCTACAAGGCCGCGGTATTTGCTAAGACCCGTAGTCGTCATCGCGATCAATTTGGCTTTTCGGAGGATCTCATAGTTTTGTTCCCAGGTGCCAATAAATACTCCCTTAGAAGCATTGGCGTACTGCTTCCCAGCTGCCCGTACTTTTTTTTGTAGAATCTCGAGTAGTTTTGATCGGAGATAGTTATAGATCGAACCGCGCGCCTGGATTGGAATTTTCCATAAATCAGACTTCTGGAGGTAATGTTGTATCTTACATTCTGAAATGGAGTGACGTTGTTTTCCACAGAAGGACATATCAAAATCCACGGCTCTCCCCTTAAGGCCTTCAAAGTGGCCATCTTCAGGGCCCTGCTCAGCCTCAAGGTCCCTTAGCTGTTCAAATTCTTCGTCGATATCACTAAGGGTGACATGATTGCTCTCGCTCTCATAAACCTGGCGAAAAGGAAATATCTGATCTCCCAGCCATGCTTTGAAGGGATCTGTTGCTTGTACATGGCCAACATGTTCCCAGTTCTCGTCATCACGATTCAAGGATTCTACTTGCTCTTTAGTGAGTAGGCTATACTGTAAGAAATATGCAGCTTGCAGTGGTTCTTGACCAGTATTTGCGCATTCAAGTAGCTGTAACAAACTGATAACAGAAACCTCTGCATTTCGAAGCTCCTTTCGAGCGGGTCCTTTAAGACCACCAACCAAGACATGGGACCTATGAGTTATCTTCAGGTTGTACAATGTTCTTTGACGAATATTGACGTCGTTGCTTCTCCCGCCAAGTCGAACGTAGTTCTTCTCAAACGTGGCTATCTGTCGAATGAGCTGATCTAGGGCATGATTTGTATGAGCGGCCACGATGATAGGGGGAGCTCCTGTAGCCATATTCGATAAAAGGATTTTTAAAGCAACAACGGAAACGTGCGTCTTCCCTGTGCCCGGGGGTCCTTGGACAAGGACGAGCTGCTGTGTGATGATTGCCTTGAGGGCTTGCCACTGAAGCTGATTTAGATTTCCTAGGGGCTCTGCAGGCAGCTCATTGAGTACATTGTAGGAGGGGCCCTTATCTCGAAGGGTATGTGTGAGAGGCTGGAAGTTTAGAACTGGATTGGCTTCGATGTCAGAAGATACTTTGACATCTTTATCCAACTGACAGATATGACGACTGAGGGGGAATCTGCTGAGCATTAGAACCTTATCATATTTGAAAATAAATTAATAGAACCAACTTCTCTTTTGCTAGCTTTTTTAGAGCTGTCAATGTATGGCGAGTTGCTTCAAAGTAGCTTTGTGGAGATTCAGTCATTATCCATTCCTTTTGGGGGTCGATCTCGATGTCGTCCACGTTGGCAAAGTAGATATCGACTTCGGGAGGGTAGGCTATGACTCTTTCCAGTGGTCGTGCCGCGACAGTGGCAACCACACACTTGGTTTGAAAGCAGTCGTCAGCTGGAGACAAGGCAACTAAAGTGCCAGGAATTAGACGAGATGAGTACTTCCATAAGATCCTCTTGCCAGCGCGTCTAGTAGAGAACCGAATGCGAAATGCGATGCCTAGAGTAGTCATTGTCGCTCGGATGAAGTGGACCTGTAATTAGTGATCTTGGGGTTAGAACTAACGTTTTTTGAATACCATGACATGAGCTATCTAGGCTTACATTCTCATAAATGAAGACGTCCTTCTTGTCCAGCGTGCTTGAATTTGCACGGGTCCATGAAATCGCATCTCGGAGCGGCGCCACTGTATCCTCTCGAAGCAGCTTGTAGTGAACTTCCAGGTATTCTTCAGTAGATATCCACGGCTGCGATATCAAATTTGGCCGCAGAAATACTTTTCGCTCTTTGTAAATTCCAGTGAGACCCATGAGCTCCTTCTCCGTGGGTATTTCAGGGATGTCAGTCCACCTCGTGCTTTTGAGTCCATTTGGAGCGTCGTTTTCAGAAGATAAAAGGCCATTGTATTCAAAATACTGGCGGATGGCCTTATTGGCCTCCAGCTTGGTGGTATGGCCTTGTGATGCCGCCACCTCAGAAAATGAAGCAGATGCCTGCCGGAGCGGAAGTGAGCCAGCGGGTTGTTCCATGTTCAAGTTGGATTCAGTTCTATTATGAGATATCTGGAATATGAAGAAACAGGGCAGAGTTGAGAACCTGGGTCTCAAGCTAAAGGATTGTGACAGCTGTGTAACTGAGAGATCATAAGGTGGTTTCGGGGCAGTACGTGAGATGAGGAAAGGAACATTGAGTTTAGGAAGCTGTAGACCACGAGTGTTATTCTCAAGGTGATATCATCATCTCATGACCTCCAGCATTCAAATATCTTATCATTCATTGTGCTATGAGAAGTTCAATTCAATAGTGTATGTAGGCAATGCGAGGGGAGTCTAGTGAAATGTATACGAGATATTGCCTTTGACTGGCATCAGAAAAACAAAGCGGTAAATATATAAACTGATAGAAGAAACGAATCGATCTCCCTCAATGAAAGAAATGGAAATGTATGATGATATCAAACATACTGCTTAGAATATGTGGATAGCCGCGGCGATACTACAAAGGAAGCCGTTGATTGGCTGAGGCGGCTGTGACCCTGGCGGCAGATCAATTGACCGACTTCAAAGTGCCTTGCGCAATTCTCTACCACTGACATTCCGAATCAAGTCCACCTTTACCTAGCATGAGATTGAACACTGCCGACCGGTAGCGAAGACGAATTGCCCTATCTCCCGCCTCTACTACGAGTTCCGTCGCGCCCCGCGAAGTCAGCGGGTGCTTCAACTAGCTCCGCGCAAGATCATCACGAATCCCTTCCCCCCTCGACCACACTAAAACGCCCACCGACATATTCAGAATTTGGAATACTATATTATATACGAAATACGTTGGTTGAAACAATGGTGTCCCCGGAGGAGGAGGAAGACCGTGATTTGGGGGGTAGGTAACTCCTTCTTGGTCATAGCTTTCCCTGCAGCACATAGAGAAAGCGCATAGCTGACTGTTTCCGCTCTTGTTGCTATTTAGGTTCTCAAGATGGAAGCAGTGACAATGAGAACGATATGGATGATAACATGCGGGACATTGACGATGGCGACGGTGATAACGGCGATGGCGATGACAATGAACCAGATGGAGAGCAAGACCAGGACCAAGAACCCGACAGCCCTTCGAATGCGAGCCAAACATCAGAGGGCGCAGGAGGATTGTCGCATCAAAATCAAGATCCATCTATGCGAACTGAGGATCCTTCCATGGCCGACTCGTTTTCCATCTATCACCCAAGCGTGCGCGCAGAGTGCCTGACGGCTAGTACCTACGATATCGCTCCTACTACGGCCGCCCCCCATAGTACATCTATCAACGCGATTGCTGCGACGGCCGATATGCGCTGGGTTTTTAGTGGTGGATCCGATGGCTATACGCGAAAATTCAACTGGGCAGAGTCAACTAACAGCAAACTCATGTTGACTGTGGCGCAAAGACACCCATTCGTTGATAGTGTCGTGAAAGCTGGTCTATTGATGACATACTGGGAGAATATGGATGGTAATAGTCTGTCGCCAGTTTATTCCCTCGCATGTCAGAGCGAGGGCCTCTGGCTACTTTCGGGGTTAGAGTCGGGCGCTATTAGACTACAGACGTTGCGACACGATGAAGGCAAAGAGATTATTCAACTAAGACAGCATACCTCGGCTGTATCTTGTTTGAATCTCACCTCAGATGAGAAATCTCTTCTGTCAGGTAGCTGGGATAAGCGCGTCTTCGATTGGGATTTAAACACGGGACAAGCGCGCCGTGCGTTTGGTGGGAGCGCTAGACAGATATCATCGGTGCAAATCCGACCGGAATCTAGTCTGCCTGTTCCAACAGACACAATTGAAGCCTTGACGAATGGGACATATTCGTCAAATTATCAAGCCCGACCAACGGACAAGTTCAATTCCATGGATCATTCGCAAGATGCTGGAGACTCGGGGGCCGCTGAAAACCCGCAAGCGGGATCACCAACGGATTCACTATTTGGAGGAGCAGACTCATTATTTGGTGATGCAGACGGAGGGGCTGCAGATGGAGGAGAGCCCTCCGGTGGAGTATTTGGGGTAGATGAAGATGACGAGTTTGGCAAAGCTATGGCGAATGGTCTCGCTGAAGCAGATGCTCCTGGAGAGATTGATTCAGATATCCCACAACCAGATGCTCCCAATCAGCCAGAGCCGGCCGCTGTCCCTGAACCAGATACCGCTTTGGACAACCCAGAACAAAATCACGAACAACCCGACACCGAGATGTCAGGTACGGAGACACAATCACAAGTAAATGGTATTCCTAAAGCGGAAGATCTTGAAACACCTACAGATCAAGACCTACCCCAGACCATGCCAACAGAACAGCAAGGATCTGGGGCCGATACGACATTTTTAGCAGCATCTATTGATGGGACCATTCGGGTATGGGATAGACGTCAACCGGACCCAGTAGCTAGAATTAGTCCACGGAATGTGCCCCCGTGGTGTATGAACGCCTGTTGGTCTCCAGATGGAAATTATATTTATGCTGGACGTCGAAACGGCACCGTGGAGGAATTTAGCTTACACAAGGGCCTTCGGGAAGCCGAACGTACATTCAAGTTTCCGCAAGGGAGTGGCCCAGTGACGGCGCTTAAAGCGATGCCAAATGGCCGTCATTTGGTCTGGTAAGCTCATCTGTCGACAGATTATTCAGAATTTCTCTAACACGAATTAGTGCTTCTCATGATATTCTCCGCCTATACGACTTGCAACATGACCAGTCATCTCGACAATCTACCACACCCTTCCTCATTATACCAGGTCACCGTACCGGTACCATATCCCAATTATATTTGGATAATGCATGTCGATTTATGATATCTGCGAGTGGAAACCGTGGCTGGGAAGGAAACACCACAGAGGTTTTCCTGGGCTACGAAATAGGAGTCCCTCAATAATGTAGCTTGGCCTTGGAAACCGATATGGGAGTGCCTACGAATGTACCAGATACCTACGGAAACGATTATCTGTTCCGTCCATCTATTCTCGCCCCGCTAGAAAAGTTTTGCCATAAAAAGAAAATCTAACTCCTGGCTCACTTCGTCAGCTTAATGGGGGCTTTGAAGACCTAGACCTATACAAATGGCACCACAATTTCATGAAACCGTTGGTTATCGTGTATTCATTAGAAATCTCTCAAGTGTGGGTGATTAACTTCGTAACAGATAAAATCCAGACCATAACTCCAAGCCCAGGTTCAACACGCCGAAGTGGTATCATCCTAAGTAAACAGGCATAATCATTGCTCATCACCGGAGTTCAATCATCATCAAAATCGACTCCAGGGCAAACTTCATGCGTTTGCGATCGCCAGGTCTGTACGACCGGACTATCGTCATCCTTGGGAGAACCGCTTTTTCCTTTCCCCAAATAAATATATGCTGGATCCTCAAAAGTCTCCTCGTCATCATCTTGGGCGATGACAGTCCGGGGTTTGCGAACGAGAGCCCCGAACTCAGGTAAATCGGAATTAGGAACGTGTGTTCGAGCTTGCACATTTCCACCTCCAACATTGTTGACTGTGATAAGATACACAGGCGGTAAATCAGCGTCCCGGTCCGGACGAAGAGTCATTGGTTTCCATGCCGGGTTATCGTAGGAATCTGGTCGATTCTTGTCATATACGCGTGGCAATGGCTGAGACAGAAGAATGGTGTCCATTTTCTCCGTGTCAATGATCATGCCCGGTGATTGCAAGTATAATACACTATCATATTGCATGAACTGGACTTGTCCTAGTCTAAGCAGCTTAGTGTCTGTGGCTGAATAGCCTTTTGAGGTTGCAGCATGCATATCAATAGGAAGAAGCCATATCCCATACTTAATGCTGGCCACACGCAGTATTGACAAAGCTTTGGAAGCGGACTTGCCAAGTTGTTTTTCAGACATGCGGTCCCATTCTTCAGGGTACATGAACAGACGATCTTGGACGGAGCTTCCTTGTGTTGCAACTTGTTTAAAGAAGAGAATGACAGAGCAGATATCGGATGGATCTGGGTTTGATAAAAGCTGAAGATATGCATAATTCCCATTTGAAGCTGACCGGCGATCATGGCTGTCTCGTGGAGCATCAGGATCATCGCCAAAACTTAGATCTGAATCTGACAAGTCACGCTTCTTAGCGGTATTTTGGAATGTAGATCCTTTTGACCCTGCACCGCGATGGGATCCAGGTGGCGGATGCAGAGCATGCTGAATGTTCTTCACTGATTGTTGTTGTAACACGTATCCAGCCAAAAATAACATCAACGAGAATATGCAGACTACGCCCATCGACACGATAGTGGAGACCGTCGACGAAGTAAGCAGAACCATGGCTTCTGGACACGCGACATGGAAAGAATGTGGATGTGAGGAGCTGGACCGGATTCAAATTATCCGGACATACTTGTTCCTGAGACCCTTGATGGTTTTTGGGGTTCTGGGATCCACGAGTGTCAGCCCCGTGTTTCATGACATCAATTGTTTACTGGGTTGGCCGTGCGACTATCGATAAGAAAGATAAGGTAGATAAGGATACTAGGCGGTCTGCAGGAACTCTGACTTTCTGCCGCTTTTCACTTTCCTCGCAGCTCGATCACCGTAGATCCTTTCCAAGCTCTTTACTCCACATTTTCGTCCTTTACATCGAAATGGCGGAGTCTCATCGTGCCGATGCTAGCGCTTTCCTCGATAACCGCGGCTATACCGGTCCCTTGGTTCGCGGAGTCAATCCAGTCACCCTCTTTGAGAAGGCCGTGCGCGACCGCATTACGGACTCCTTTTATTGGAAGGAACAGTGCTTCGGTCTCAACGCAGCTACTCTTTGCGACCGTGCTGTGGATTTAACATTCCTTGGTGGTACATATGGTGTCTCAGAAAAACCCTCGCCGTTTCTCTGCCTCGCCTTTAAGCTTCTGCAGCTCAATCCCGAACGAGACGTCATTCTTGAATACCTAAATTTCAGCGACCCAGGCAGTGACAACGAAGGCGAAGATGGGGCGGACAACGGCATACTGAAGGATCGTGGTGACTTTAAATACTTGCGCGCACTGGCAGCGTTTTACGTACGACTTACATTCAACGCGGTCGATGTCTACAAGACATTAGAACCTCTGCTCCTTGACTACCGCAAACTAAAACGCCGAGTCCGCGATTCTTTCACCTTGACATATGTGGACCAATTCATCGATGATCTTCTCACTAAAGACCGTATATGTGGTACGAGTCTTTGGAAACTGCCACCCCGCTCACAATTGGAGGATCTAGAGATGCTTGATGAACGAATCAGCCCTCTGGCAGATGAATTAGAAGAGCTCGATCGAGATAGTGATGACGGAGACGGCAGTCACAGCGATGATGGATCTTCGAGCAAAAAGGACGAGGGTGACGACTGAAAGCTTTCTCTAGTCCCAAAGTCAAAACCCAGGCTACTCGGTGACCTACTACTGAATGGTCATATTAATCCACACTCGTCGCCTCATCGCCATTGGTGTTAATTCTCGAGTCAGAACATGCCACCAGCTTGCTGGTGATGTTGCGCATGGTTTATGGAAAGTCAGGCTCCACTCAGGATTCTTCCCAGGCGACACCCATTCAACAAATTGGCTGTATAGAATACCACCACTCGCGTTCAGCCGAAATGGTTGGTATTGCCTCCTGAATACCTATTTATCAGGGGTTCTTACTCAAAGATACGATACTATGATATTTTAAAAGTTGTGCTATGACCAGCAAATACCCTCTCTGCCTCTTGTCATCATGGGTAGAAATGCGTGTCTTCAATTGTATAATAGATCAACAAAATTCAAAAATTACCAGAATGCAACCTGGAAATCCCAGTTTAAAACCCCTGTTGACGATGCCATTTCTCCTCCCAACCTCTAAACCACGGACTATCCTCTAGGGTCGCAACTTCCCACCCCTTTGGAACTAACCCCTTATCCTCTTGTTCCTTTGCCCATTCCTCCAACTTCGGCAGTATGACATGTTGAACGTGCCAAACGCCCTTGTACTCCATCATGCTTCGCTTTGCCTCCTTCAACACCTTAGCTACCAAGGCTGGGACACCGGGTTCGTCCCTGAACTCAGGAATGGGTGTGAAAACTGCCTTGAAGTTGAAAATTACAGACGCTGACAGAGGAAGCCGACGCAGCGTTTGCCAGTCAACACGTAGAGTACAATCCTCTACACTAATATTGGGATCTTGTGATAGGCGAAGAGCCTCATGTGGATCACCTGGTGGCATATACAGCGGGGAGCCAGCTTCAAGGCCCCATGACCCCCGTTGGATTGCCTTCTCTGTTGGCATTTTGGTGAAAAAGCTACAATACAAACTACGTCAAATTCATTTGTTCGACGTGTTAGACGAGAGAGGACAAGACTTACCGATCCATTGAGAACTGCATCTTCTCCTTATAGTCTGGAATGGGCGAATGGATCTCATGCAGCTGTTTGCCGATCTTAGAAGCCACATTCCATCCTAGTGCTGAGCAGATGATGGCCGCACGCAAGAAATAATATCCTGTCTCGTTATCTCGCAACATGAGGCCAAAGTCTTCGGGGACATGGTCGAGAAGGACCTCGAGGGGAGGTTTGGCCCGGATATCCGCCTCCACGCCAAGGATTCGATTCTGCAGTATACGTTCGTCTATAAGAGTAAAGTATTGAGGATACCTGGCACAAATGAACTGCAATGCCATTTCCAAGAGCTCCTTGCAGGCAAGCTCAGATCCAGGCATTGCGTCAAGAACAGCTTTGCCATATTTGGCATAGAGTTGTTTGCGTTGGGCAATGCGGTCTTTATACGTGCTTTCAAGTTCAATCCACCAATCCGTCTCCATTTTGGTCAATGCTGTTATGGAGAAAGCACACGTTAATTTCTTTCCTCTTCTATCCCGTAGAGTATCCTATACATACACATCGTTTGGTGATATGCCCACCGAAATGGTCTATATGGGCGTGGCAGTGCCTTTTCAATGACATGTTCATGGTAGGCCTCAGGGAGAGGAATTCCACTTAGTTTTGCATAATCTGGGAAGTCACCAAGCGCTTTCACCTCGTCCACAGAGAATCCAGTTGGGGTGTACATGTCGCCTGGGCTATCCATGTAGTTGGCAGTCATGGGCATGATTTTCTGGTGCACTTCGGCTTCGTCTACCTCTCGCCATTGTATAGATGTCTCTTTTAACTGGAGAAGAGCATCCCTACGCTGGGGTGGCAAGGCATGGGTATAGCTTGAGGGAGATGAGGCGCTAATGGCATTTTTCTTTCCGGGGGAGATGGAACGTGGGGGTGTTCTAGCTGTTGAGTTCTTGCGGCCGCGTAGGACTAGTCTGCTCCAAAACGGTTTGTTTGATAGTCGATAAAGGAGAAGGTAGACTGCAGTGGCAGCTACTAGGACCAACCCGATCTGGGAGGAGCTCTTGGGTGGCTGCAGGAGATCCATGTCTGCTTACTCCATAAAGGCGCAAAGGGATGTTTTGGAGTCCTTGGGTATAGATGTATCAAATATATGCCGTTTATTCTGAGTTGCTATGGGTCAAAGAGAGAAAATCAGTGCTATGGGCAGTAGTTGTAAGTTTATCAGAAAGTCTTAATCTCACGGAGGAAGGAGAGTTCACATTAAGTACCTCAGTAATTGCCTGGAATAGGTAATCGGACGATATTCGTCGTACTCAGACCGAGATCTACGAAGCGGGGAAGCTTTCATCCATTGACATGTTCAAAATAGTAAACTTCAACCTCCAGTAGCTACTCTAATTGGCTTTCTTCGGCTGGTTTGTTTTTTCCATGTTTGGCTAGAAAATACAGGTCTGTGTTTATCATTCAAACGATGTGACGCAGCTTATTTTCCCCACAATCAGCCTGGGGATATTGATAGAGATGTACTTATCTTATCTGAAGCTTGTTATCCAACGGATATACTAGATTGCATGACACTTCCCATCACTAAAACTTGAACGGGACGATTTGGAGATCTCCCTGGTTATTCAGCCTGCAAAGATGTCTCACGCTTAACAGTCTCAAGTCTAATCACGAAATACATACTACAATACTAAATTTTGAAAAAATCAAAAAATGTGAAATAGACGACGTCAGGACAAAGATTTCTGGATAGCTTGTACAGAAATGGAGAAAGGGCTCCGCTATATTCCTAAAAGGGTTAAAATGTCCATAGATGCTTGGCGCACAAGATCAATTGATAAGGAGCAGGACCTCATCCGACTTCCTCAACGGACAAACCATAGAGCTTGGAATTGGAAGATCTTCTCAATGTTCACGTTTTGGAATGTAGCTAAAATCGAAGGCTCTGAAACTGGAACCCTGCTGCTCTCTCTCCATACCGCACGAGCTGAAATGAGTCCTGGGGTTAAACAGGCAAATCGAGCTCAGGGATCGCTATCGAAATGGCAATAACTTGAAATGGACCTGGGGGCTTGTGCTTCTTACTATGAACAGATAACAAATTTATCATCCGAGGTCTTGTAGAGGCTCTCGTGAGAGCAATCGCTCTATATAGTAGTTGGCCTGAGGCAGAGCCTTGGAAATTTAACATAAGATATTGCAATGCCCTCCGCCTAGCAGCCTCAGATTTACATACCAAGCTCCTCTAGGGAATACCGGGGACCAACTCAATTTTTAGGATATTACGAACTTTGTAGCGAGGAATACAACCTATACATGAGCCGTGATGAGCGATGGACTAACCAAGTTAGTTATTCGACTATGTTGACTGCCAGATAAACCAGGCGTCTATGACGTCGACAGCTCCATCAGCTGAGATTTGTCAGCAGGAGGGGGAGGGGCAGCATCAAAATACTTGAACAGGTTCCCACTGACAAAAGCACTTGAAGCATTGAATTAGACTGGATTGATCTTGCAATTTTCGAAGATGTCTGCCTCTCAATCTCAGAAGCTTGTTCTCGCCACCGGCGCGTCGTCCGGCCTAGTAAGACCATCATGCTTAGTATGATTATATTCTTGATCATCACTTAACACAACTACAGGGCTTTGAATCAATTAAGCAATTGCTGGAGCAATCAGAGCAAGCTTACCATTTCGTCCTGGGTGTTCGAAGTACCGAGAAGGTGCAGGCTGCTTATGATGATCTTAAATACGACTCCAAGCATACCGTCACTATCCTCCATCTTGATCTTTTGAGCTTGGAAAGCGTGCAGCTTTTCACAAAACAGGTGTTCGAGAAGCTTGGATCCTTCCGTATTGATATTCTTTACCTTGCCGCGGGAGTGCTGGACAAGGCTGAAGGCCCAGGGCCCCACGGCTCTCAGTGGTGCGCGGGCTACGTGGTGAACCATTTGGGTAAGTGGGGTGACATACCCGCCAGTCCATAGCCTCAGAAAACTGATCAATCAAAAAGCCCAGCATTATCTGGTCCATCTGCTGCAAAGCCAGCTTCGTAGCTCAAAGTCTCGCGTTGTCGTCGTTTCCTCGGGTGCAATCCGCAATGTCCGGGACCAAGATACCTGTAAGTGTCGGGAATCCTGAACACTACTTGAAGGCTTTGTCACTTATATTTTTGATTCAGCCACCCTTGATGTTGACCTAAAAGCCAACTCCGGTGCTGGTTACTCTACAGTGTACAGTGCCTCGAAATTCACGCAATTGCTGGCTGCGCACTACTGGCGTCGTCAGCTTCCCGAATGCCACATTGTTGCTGTGTCGCCAGGTCTGATCCCCAGCACTGGCCTTGCCACAAGCTTAGGCCTATCCATGAACATGCCAGACGCCAAGACTGTTCCCGAAGGTATGAGTTCTTTTAAAAACCCTCTTCGATTATGATTTCTGACAGGGTCATAGGTGCTCAAAACCTCCTCCGCGCTTTCACGGTTCAGGACTTCCCTGCTGATCCACAGCAAATCTTCCTGACTAGCTGGGGCGAGTGGTGGTCCTTAGATGCCATCGCTCTCAGCCTTGACACTGACCTGCAGGATAAATGGTGTCCTGGCAAGGAGGAGATTGAGAAGCAGGCCCGCTTGTCAAATTAACAGCTTGATCAATCAGTCCTTGGCCATCCACTAGGATAGGAACATAGATGTCCATAGCATTTGGATGAGTAAAAAGTTACCAAATTGAATAAAACACTACAAATATGCGCTTAGGGACAGTCAGGGGCATAAATAAATGGCCGCTCGTCATTATCAACAAAACATACACATGCACATGCACGTCACCTTTCCTTTTGCCCTTTTCTTTACTGGAGAGGTCTTGTTAGTTTGTTGGGGCTCCTCGCTATATGGCGGATAAGGTTAAATCCCCGCATAGTCTAATTTGACCGATAAAATCCGATTTCATGTACATGTAGGCTATGCTTGTGATAACACACCAGTAAAAAGAAAGCATCTCTCACATGTTACTAGACATCATAACATCGAGAGAAACTCTGCAATATTCATGAGAGCTGGTTGATTTGAGAATAGAGAAAGAGACTCCGTCTTTAGGGCTTGCAACACTCATTTACAGATCCACAATGATAATACCAGTAGATCCCATGAGTGAGAGTCAAATTGGATCACATAAAAGGAGTAAATTCTACTGTATTTAAGTAATGAGAATAAGCTTTTGTCTTGGAAAGAAATTTTCATTCCCAGCACTATTTATTAATCAATATACACTAGCTAGTGATCATAGGATTCCGTAACTTCAGTCCATAACTGCGTAACTGCAAACTTTGTGATCATAGCTTCCCAACTTTGGATTCAAATTACCATATCTAAATTAAGCCTTAGTCTCCTCGGTGACCTCGATCTGGTCGGCATGGACGGCAGTCTTCAAGTCCTCGACTCTATCGACACCAGCCAATCCGAGGGTCTCGTAAATACGCTCCATGCGCTGGCGGTCAGCGGCAGCAATAGTGGCATCAGTGCCACCGAAGAAGATGTCAAGCTCCTCAAGGGTCTTGTCCTTAGTCTCGGGGGCGAACCACCAAATGAAGAGACCACCGATACCACTGAAGATGGCGAAGAAGATGTAAGTGCCGTACTTCATGTTGTTGAGCATATCCTTGGTGGTCAAACCAATGATAAAGTTGAACATCCAGTTAGTCGAAGCGACGATGGCAACACCACGGGAACGTTGACTGTTGGGGAAGATTTCTTGAGCCAACACCCAAGTGACAGGACCTGTTGATGAAAATTAGCAACTTGCATTTCATATGAAATTTGAGATTGAGTACGTACCCCAAGAGTAAGCGAAGTTGACGGCGAAGAGCCAGATGAAAACAATAGCGACCCAACCTTGGCCCTTATCAAGCCCCTCGTTGAGATCCCACTTAGGCTTGAAGAGACCTTCGACAGTGGCAACCACGATGTGGCAGAGGAACATGCCAATAGCACCGACAATGAGGAAGGTCTTACGGCCGAATTTGTCAAGCCACAAGACAGAAGGAAGAGTGAAAACAATCTGCAGAATACCAGTGACACCAGTGGCGAGCAGAGTCTGCTTAGTGGAGTTGAAGCCGAAACTCTTGAAAATCTGAGGAGCATAGTAAAGGACAGCATTGATACCAGTAAATTGCTGGCAAACCATGGATCCACAGCCGAGGAAGAGTCGCTTAAGCATGTTAGGTGCAAAGAGAGCCTTCCAGGGACCCAATCGGCCGTCGCTGCCGACCATCTCACGCTCACTCTCCTCGTCAAACATAACAGCAGCCTTAATTTCGAGGAACTCGGCGCGGAGAAAAGCATCGTCCTTGGGGAGGCGGCGCAGCTTGGAAAGAGAATCCAAAGCTTCTTCCTCGCGGTGCTTCATCATCAACCAACGAGGGGAGAAGGGGAAATAGAACATTCCAAAGAACAGGATCCAAGCAGGAATAATCTGCAAAGCCAAAGGCAGACGCCAGGCAATAGTCTTCTGACCCAGGCAGGTGTGAGAGTGGGTGATAGCGACGTTCAAGGTTCCATCGGCGAGATAAGGGTTGGCGATGCCCTCCGGGTTGCACGTGTTTCCACCGACGAACTGCATGCCGTAGTCGAGCCAGAAAGAGATGCAGGTACCGATGGTGATGGAAAGCTGTTGCAGGGAAACGAGGGATCCGCGCAGCTCGGGAGGAGCAATCTCAGCCTGGTAAAGTGGAATGACCATACTGAACATACCAATGCCCACACCACCAATAATACGACCAGCAAAGAAGTAGTTGGGGTTTTGGGCACCAGCCTGCAGACCGGTACCGAGAGTGAAGATAACGACGGCGACCATCATGGCGTACTTTCGAGAAATGCGATCAGCGAGGACACCGTTGATCAGAGCACCAGCCCAAGCACCAAGCTCGAGGGCCGACACCAGCCAACCCTGGAGGTTAGCTCCCATGAGTGTGGGGAAGTGATTTTCGAAGTTCTCCATGACAAGGATAGGACCCATCACACCTTGATCGTAACCATACATGATACAACCAAGGGAGGCAAAGCAACAGGTCATGAAGACGTATGGGTTCTTGAGCATACCCGCGAGACCATGCGCCTTCTCCGCACTGTGGCGGCCGACCACCGATTGACTGACAGCCATCGTGGAAGCGTATAATCAGAGGACTGAAGCAATCAGAAAGTAAAGAAAGGTAGAAGAAGCCGTGCTCAATCGCAAGATCATCACTCAATCGGGTGGGACATGCTGGATTTATAGGCGTTTGAAACAGTTTTCACTTGCATTTTCCCTTCCTGCTCTTCCCCTTCTTTTTTTTCTCGCTCTAACCGTTTTCAAGTTAGTAGACAACCTAGGCCATCACCCCAGACCACAAACGACTTCGTGTCCATGGGCCCCGACCTCACGGCTGACAAGGCCCTATAGGAAACGCGGGTCACAGGGTACCATGTGCCATGCCGAGCTAATCAGAAACGAAGGATGAAGTTGGCTAGACTCGGGGAAGAAGCATATTTCGGAAATGTCATGTACCGCGTATAGAACATTTCGGGGGCTAGTGAGCGCCACCAAGCTTTTCTGGCAAAAAGGCGGACCGTGGTGTGTCAAGCCCGCAGTGTGGAAGAGGTGGCCAAGCGCCGAACTTCTCTAAGAACAAGCCTTTGGACAAGAGATACGCCACCATTGGCCATCACCACGGCCAGGTTTTCCTGCAAGTGTCAGCTTAGACACATTTGCCCCAGTAACATGTTAAGGGCTCTTCTGGGGTGCTTCGATCTAGTCTCTAGTGCTTACGGCGGGGCCTAGGACAGGGATTCCTTACAGACCTTAATACCCCGCTTGTGGCCGATATTTGACCGATGGTATTTTGTATTTTGAGAATCATACTGTGGGATAGCGTATCAGACTAACAGGATAACTCCGCTAGTGCCTGATCCGAGCGTGATTTCCCGGGTTTTCTTTATTGCATGCTGAATTTTTCTATGGGCTGACCCCATATTCGGGAGCCCCATGGATAGATCAGATTGGTCATGAATGGCTAAGCCGCGTCGTTGTCACGAGAAAAGAAAGATTTTTCTTGGCCACACAGTAATTAGAAGCGATTAGAAGCGAAATTATACACAGGCCACGCAAGAACGCGCAACTAAAACATGTATTGCCGGCGCACGCGACGAGAGAAAAGTATGGAGTATCGGCTACGACCCTGAATGGTTCCAAAGAATTAACTCCATCAGGAGTATAATATATTAAAAATAAAATGATTCTAGATCAAACAGGTCCAAGAGGATGTGTGTTCTAATGATTGACTCGAGTGAACTCGTTCGACATTTCGGGGCTATCAAAGAGGGTAGCATTCTGGAATCCATCCACACGCCACGAGATGCGTTCCTTCGAAAGGTTCCATGGACCAAGTGGGGCCCTGGCCTATAACATTAGCCGGAAGCTTCCTAGCCACAATGACTTGGCAGGACACATCCAGTAAGACTCGGCATCTATGGATGTCCTCGGTAAGGCCACTAAGCTTTTCGGGATGAGAGTCGCCAAGGGGACGCGTGGCCCCATAAAATGCTGCCCATGGGGCGAGACATCTGGAGATGCAACATTTCGTTTTCCAACTTTACCAGTTCCAGACGCCCGGTGAATATCCAGGTAGAAAATGCTGGGGAGGCAAATCTGGGGTTGGGACTTTTTCATTTTTCATAAGGGTTCAGGGGGCGGAGATGAGATGCAACTAGCGTCTTCTTTGTTTACGTTTGTGCTTTCTGTTTGGACGAAACGGAATTTTGCTTCGGGCAACCGAATCCGCTGATAAGCCGGTTCTTCCGACATTCGGCCAGACACCCCCTATGCGAGTTTCACACTGCACTGGTTTAGGGTCCGTTCTCTTGACTTGAGCCAATGGCACTTTTGAAATTTCTCCGTCCCCAGCTCGGGTCTAGCCGACTCCAAGCTGCGAGATTGAGTGGCTACCGGAAACTCCAGTCGTTGGATACTATAACCCCCCTCTCTGAAATTTGACCATGGCTTTGACCCCCTCTTTCCATCGAGCTCAATTCTAGTTGGACTATCTGGGGAAGCCCCTTCGCTTAATGTGAATCACAACAGGGATGCTGAATGCAGACCACAACCACTGGTCGCGCACGGGCTGACATATACTAGTGCCCGAATCGATATGAATCTCCAAGTAAAGAGAACGGGGCATTCATTGTACCTACTAGTGGAAAAGCGCCTAGGCTGGAGATCTCGTGGGACTTTGGGTGTCTTTGACTTCCCCCTTCTCCCTATGCCCTGTGTACTCCTTTCGTGTGGCGACGATCCGGGGATGCTTACAGTGGGTCATGATCTTCAAGTACGATTCAATATCTACTGCGTAGTTTATTATAAGGCCCACCCGGTCGATAATAAGTAGAGGCCCGGTAATCCGTTTGGCCGTGAAGCGACGTACTTTCCAAGCCGTCTCGCCATGGACTTCAATGCCCGAAACAATCTTTGTAGCAGACCGCACCCCCCTCTTTTCACCTTCCGACATGGTATCAGGTGTTATCTCATCTGACTTTATAGACACCTAGTACTACCATGACTCAGAAATACTAGGGCATAATATAGCAGAGAGCCCATGGAATAACTATGTAGTAGATATCCGCCTCAGGCTGTTCAGCCCAATTTCAGCCCCCAGATCTACTACATAACCCCGGCCATAGCATTATCCACAGGACTGGAGTTTCTTCGGCGCTCTTCATTCTTTGGGCACTCTAAATACACACAAAGAGCAACTGAGGTACGACTGAAATTTTGTTACCCATGATGCCACAGTGGACTATTATAGACACTTGCTCTGCTATTCTTGATTCTTGTAAACCTTAACGGCAATCTAAGATTCTAACCATATCAATGTCTGGCTGTAGCTGTAACTGTCAATAGCCCCCTTTGAGCCAAAAAGGCATTGCCACTTGTTCGACATATCGGACTTGATCATTTAGGTCCTCAAACAAATCAAAGGCATATAGAAAGCACCTCGCAACTAAGGGTTTCAAGTTCTATGAACTTTGACATATTTCCTTTTAAGACAAACAAAATCTGATACAAGAAATGATATACTCATCTCTATATCTGTTTCTTATACAAAGACTCGGTCCATCGAGTTCTTTGTGCTAAGAGCCCCTGGACAGCTATTTCGACAGTTAAACAAGCTCATATTTATACCCCGTGTTCTTTTTATATTTCATAATGGTCTTTCTTGACACATTGATGCTTTAAATAATACATTTTGCAATTTTATATGTACTAGTATATATATATCCTATTCACTCGAGAGAGAAAGACATTCTATCCATACTACAAACAAATTTGAACCATATCCCAGTCTGAAACTAATTAACTTTTGAAGCTTCAATATATCATGCCTTGAAAGCATTGTCCATCCAACTCATCTCAACTCATCATCCTCAGTAGTACATACCCCTTCAACTCAGTTATGGAATTGCCTCAAAATCCGAGAACAAGGTTCGTCACCAACCCCGATTTCCCATTCGGTACTTTACCCGCAGATATTTTCTACCTTATCACTCGAAACCTAGACTCAAGATCCCTTGGGCAACTCTCAGAAACATGCAAGAGTCTCCACAACCTCCTCGAGTTCGAAAGACGCGTGCGCGCTACAGATGAAATCCTCGCCCCAGCAGAGCTCTACCAAAACCGGTTCACCTATAAGCAGGGCCAGGCACCAGGCATCGACCTGCCAGTGAGCCAGCACAACATAAACCCGTTCGGTTACATGAGCGGGAGACCAAGAGGGCGCCTCTTCGACTGTATCCAATGGGACAGATTCCATGGACTGAATGTTCTATTTAATCTAGGTGCCGACGCAAATTCCTACAATCTCGGTGGAATACGAGCACTCCATTTTGCAATCTCCTACCAATCTCTTGAAGCTGTAAAAATGCTCATTGTGAAGGGTGCAGATGTGAATGCACGAGATATAGATGTCATACCAACAAGGGCTCCCCTCGATAACGCGACACAGCCTTACAGAGCTAGTAGCATCGTGCAGGTTCTCACCTCCGTCGGCGCGGAACTCACCGAAGAAATTATGAACCGCATCATAGCTGCTCGTGACACTGCAACATTGCAGTTCGCCGTGAACCAAGTTCCGGATAACGTAGCTTTTCAGTGGGGAGTTTCCATGTTATTCGCAATCGCTAGTACTAATGACTGCACGATGTTTGATATCCTGGAACCCCATATTGCTAGAGGTCAATTCATTAATTCTGTAAGATCAGATACGTATGGGTCGGCCCTGCATGTTGCAGTTCAGAGGAAAGACAAGTCAGTATTGGCCTGGCCGCTTATAAGGCTGGGTATTAATATGGATCAGATTGCGGTTAATGGACGGACGCCATTACATGAGGCTCTTGCTAATGGGCACTCTGATATAGCGCTTAGGATGATTCAGAGCGGTATTGCTGTAGATATTGCGGATCGAGATGGACATACGGAGCTAGGGCTTGCTATTATGATCGAGTCGCTAGAGGTTGTTCGTGCGTTGCTTGATAGGGGGGCAGATGTTAATTTCCGTAGTAATCCAGCTTTGGCTTTTTCTTGGTCGCCTCTGCATTCTGCTATCCGGACGAAGGATATAGAGATTGTCGATGCGATTCTTCATCGTGGGTCTGAACGCCCTGATTTCGATTTTAGGGAAAATGGATTGACAGCTCTTGAGTTTGCTAAATGGCTACAACTTCGGGACATTTGGACTTTAATGGCTATGTCACTAGCCGAGAGAATGGGGGTGCCATGGTCCAGGGATTTCACTTGGGACTCGGTCTTCGTATGAATAGAGCTTGGCTGGGATTTCAAATTTGTTCTTTGCTTAATTTGACTTTGTCACTAGACAGGAAAAGGCTGGGATCAAGAAGTCTGTGAGGAGTCACTTGAAGATAGGTAGTCTGATTTTCAAAAGCCTCCGTGCGACGAGCTCACTCGGCAAAACAGTCAATCAATCCCTTGGGACCTGTATACAAAGGTTGTTTCTAAATAGCATGGTGTATAGAATGCCGGAAAGAATATCTTTAAAGAAAGGCACTTAGTCACCTATAAAATCTGTTTGTACCGCACATGTGAATTAGATATATGACTTCAACAATCACGTAGCCCCAATAAGAAGGTATAACCTCAGTATTGGCCGTCTGGCCGGATTCGCCCGTCATACTGGGAGCATTATCCAGGTTTTGTATTCTCAAATGGCCTAGCATTGCATAACCAACTGATGTAAGTGACACAAAGACCGCGTTCTGGACCAAAGGACAGTCATACATGGCGTAGATGATGTTTTTCAGTTATCATGGTGATGATACTATGTCAAGGGGAAGGGTATAATCTTCTGCTGTACTCTATGTAGGTGTCTCCATTAGTGGAGCATCAAGTCTAGGTCAAGTTCAGTAAGATTCCAAGGTTGTAATATTTCACTCTCTAAACACCATTGAGTTAACGCCGTAGCAGAAAACCCGGACGAGCTAAGAACACGTGGATTAAAATAAAAAAGAAATAAAAGCTGGCTGGTTGGTACAATGGGTGAAAAAATCAAGATGAAAATTAGAAAAGAGAAAGTTCGAGGAGGTGAATGGATCTGTATCAAGTCGCGTGTATGTACTGGAATCATATGGGCTGGAATGTCCATCATCCACGGTATGTATGCAAGGTATGTAATGCTGATGCTCGTGAATTCATCCCAACGGCGAATCATCGCTTCACCCAGGGTCAGGCGAAGCAACTCAATAGATTTTCGTTTACTTCTGTGCCTCATGTCGATCTTTTTCTCCATCCAGTCGAACAATGTAAATGGCTGATGAAAAAGTTCAAGTTGGATCAACGATCTCTCCCACGTCGAGGTTCCTCACGACCACCACCTTAAAATAGAAAGAAAGAAGTCGGGTGACAATTGGATATCATAACAGAGCTGTTTTGGCAAATTCGTGCTGAATTAGGGTTGAAGGTAATCGCGGACGAAGTAAGGGTGTGAAAGTAGGAAATGTGTGGAAGGATTGGAGATTCGAGAACATATTTTAATCGGGGTTGGCAAGCTGTAGTTATGGTTAGCAAGGGTTTTGATAGGGATTTTGCACAGGTAAGACTTACACGAAGTACGGGGCGCGAATAGTCCTCGTTGTCCTGCAGCGAGACGCTGCTATCCCGACTGCCGTTAGGGTATACACCATTTCGCATACGGTTATCGGTGAAAGTGTTCTGGCGGTTCATACTTCCACCAGTACCTCCCGGGAATACACCACGAGACCAATTGGAGGCTTGGCTGTTGCGGTCCGTCATATCCCCGCTGGGTACCGGACTAGCCGAGCGAGCGCGCTTGCGGTAGAAGAAAATGAGGAAAACGAGAGCGCCGACGAGAGCAAGACCTCCGACAACACCGACGACGATTCCAGCAATTGATCCACCACCAAGTCCGGAAGACCCCTTGTCACTGGTGGAGGATGTGGTTGCATCCGAGCTAGATGTCGATTCAGAGGCAGCGACGGTAATAGTTTTGACGTCTCCGTTTGCAGATGTCGTCAAAGCAACATTGGCTGTTGTGGTAGTTCCGGCCTCGGTATGCTGAGGGCGAGAGTTAGCGGTGTTAAAAAAAAATCGGCTTCGGGAGTGGTTGATGAAGACAGTACAGTTGAGGATGATGAGCTTGACGAAGTACTCTTTGAAGTGGTAGAAGTCCCCTAATCCAGGTATTAAAATCGAGTCCTCGTGAAGAGAGCAGATTTGACCAGGAACAGCAAGGGGACTCATAGAGGGTGATGATGGTGGGCAAAAAGGGACTCTTCAAAAGAAACAGGGGGTAAACTTACCGATATGCTGGCAGCGGTCGCTGTGCTAGAGATGCTTTTTGAGTTGATCAAAATATAGGCGTACACACCCTTCGAGGCACTTCCACAGCTATCTGATGGGTAACCAGGGCATGCGGAATCACATTTGGTCGTTTCGACCGTACTCGAGTTGGCCGGTGCCACGTTGGAACACCAACAATCTTTGTATTGCAAAATTCCAAGACCATAACTGGCACAAGTATCCTCACAGGCACCGTTCGATTGGTAGTTATTGACGACTGAAGTACAATTAGCAATGTTGTTTACGTCTTGAGGTTATCTGGAGCTCAAATAGGGTATGACTTACCGGCGCCAGAGGTTCCCGTGTTTTCGGTCGCGCAATAGGCGAGATCGGAAGATGCCAACGCTCGTGGCAGCAAAGCCAGAGTTGAAAGGAAAATAGATGCGTGCATCATGGGAAAATCGTGGACCTTGTCCTCGAACACCACCCAAGAGTGATGGTTTTTTGTTTATTTTTCCCTTCTTCTTTCAATCCCTTCGTCCACTCTCAACCTCCAAGCGACAAGTCGCAACGGTAATTTTGTAAAGGTGTTCGCGATCGGGTATTGGAAAAGGATGGAGACTGGAAGTCAAGTTGATGTGTAGCGACCGATGTTTGTTGTTGATCACCCGTACCGAAGGGATCGAGTCGGGAGTCACGAATTTCCTGATGATCCCCCGCCCTCCGAAAAAGATATTTTAATACAAGGCCCCGAAAGAAGTCAAAGGGAAACGCGCATCGTCTCCCAGACCCGTTCAATCGAGATTCGGGGGGAGGAGAATGGGGTGGTCGGAGCGTAGAGGTGGATGGGGAGGGGGTAGAATGAGAGAAACAGGGGAAGAAGAGAAAGAGGAGTGTAAACGAAAGTCACGGGTGTAGACGTTTCTCACCCGGCAATGCCGCTACATTAGGTGGGTACAATCTTAGATACGTTGCGCACGTCCATTTCTGGGCTTTGTGTGTTTACTGTAGGGAGCAGGATGTGTGTGACCTTGTGGTTTGGTTTTGAAGATTCTCTATTTTGATTTGTATTTGATTATAAATATGTCCATATCTTTGAGTCTTTTTGATCCTCTTTGAAGTTCAAAGGACTCGTCTTAATTATGTATTGAAGCGAAACCCGACGCGGCTAGTAATTTTGAAGAAAATACTGTACTAGTATGAGGTAGCTCAGGTACTAGTAAGTGCGAGTAAACCGAATACCAATTTGAGTGTGGGATCCACTTCTGGTAACAAATTAAATGCTGGCGTTGGTGTTGGTTGGTGTTGGTTGGCATGGACGCCAAATTCCGTGCCCTTCATACCGCTTATCTGTGGTTCTTCGTCTTTTAGTCTCTTACCTCTTCTTTCTTTCCTTTTTTTGTTTCTTTAAATATCTCCTATAATGGTTAGATATTATTACAATTTACTCTGTTGATCTATCTCCTGATTCTGTTGGAAAAAACAATGTTGTGGAACTAACGCGAACCAGACCCAAGCATACGTAATGTGTGGATAACCAGTTGATCGTTGGTCTCAGATATTGCTACCATAATAAGCCACATGAAGTTAATGAAAATTACTTACATATAATATGTGTGAACTTTGACCTTGGGGGGAAAATAGAAATTGGTCTCTGTCTCTCATTCAAGTTGCCCTCTTATCTTCCCCCCGAGGCACAGAGCAGATCATAATATCACACCTGCGATTAAAAACATTAAAAACTTGGATAAATCCTCCACAGGAAATGAATTTCAATCTTTCTCCTGGCCCCCCTGCTCGATCTGGCAAGACTTGGAGCCTTTTTCCCCCCGATCTAGCAAGGTGGATTGGTCAATCTACCCGGTGACATCCAGGTTAGTCCTGATTGATCGGAAAACGAGCTGGTAGACGCCAAAACCGACGATCAATCCCGTGAAAGCCTAGGAATACCCTAGGCAAGCCATACCCGAATGTGACGGAACTTGCATATTTTGCCCCCAATGCCCCCTTGTGCCTGTCTGTCTCTGCCTATCCGTATACCCGTACTATGCCGTCCCTGCTTGCCCCTCAACATAAAACCTGATCAGCCACATTGATTGGCGGTGCTTTCATCTGTGAACTGGTTCCTATGTACGGAGAAGCTTTAATTTTGTATACTTGTAGTCCGTAGTCCGTACATATGTACTCTCACTGCCCCCGGGCGCATTTGATTGTGCTGTGGTTGGTTCTTTTCCCCTTAATCACCATGTTTGTTCTTATTCCCCCTGAACCTAAGCACTTGTATCCCTGCCCGTAGACAAACCTCTACCACCCATGTCATCCTCGGCTATTCTGATATCACATTGAGTGGGTATAATCAAATCTGCTTTACGGAGCACCAGACTCCGTATTGTACACATACTGTAGAGAGGAACTCCCTGCGTTTTTCAAGTGGCTTTGCTCGGTTTATTAATTTTCTAAATGGGGTCCAACGGAGCAATCCCTGGAAAAAGTGGACCAGACATGCTCCACTATGTAAATTACCCAGGACTTTGACTCCGTAAATGACATGATGCTGCAGCCACGATGATCGGCCAGTTTTTGATTATTGACGTGTATCGCCTCTTTCAAAGCTGCACCACATACCCATGTGAATGTATCCCTCAAGAAATGAACTAAAACTAGCCGGTTGTAACCTCTTCATCCCCTATCTACATCTACACATGTACATCTCTACCTTCGACATCCAAAACATGCGATCCTTGGAACTGAAAACCTTCTTGGGTTAGTCATGCTGGGTCTGTTCCTGATTATGTCAGCGGGAATGACCACTTTCGAAACTTCCCGAGACCCAATTTTCAATCTGCCAACTTGGCCATGATGATGTACTGTATGTACGGAACTCTCCGTACCTGTCTACTGTATACTCTTTACACTACATTATGCACTCCATGCATCCATTGAATCCTGCATGTAGCAAAAAGAAAAAAAAATTCCACAGGGGCACACCACTCAATTCCACACAGTACCTGACCACTCCACATCCTCCCCACAGTCTAGCAACCCTCCATTAATATTTCTGAGACAAAGCCCACACACATCACGGTTAATAGCAGGGGCATATGCAATCCTGCACACTACGTTGCACCAGGAGAAAGGGACACAGGATCGAGATGGCTAATGATCGGCCGCCAATTTTTATTTGGGAAGCATTTGCCTGGATATTATCATGCATTGATTTTCCGGGGCTCGCTGATGTTAAGACAGACCCGACCCGACCCGTTTTTTGTAGTTCTGGTATTTAGTGTCTGACGGAGTACGGAGTACAAGAACATAATAAAAATATCCGTACTGTACATAAATGTTGTGCCTGGCTGGGTATGGGTCTGTCTTGGCTATAAGGGTGCTTATTTGTGATTTGCCCATTCGTTGTTGTGGTTAAGGTTCCCGGGCCTAGACCATTGACAATCACCTTGACGTCGACGATACTTGTGTGGCGTAAGACAGGTTGCTAAGAATATCTAGAAAAACTTTTCATGGTGGATTGTAAGGTTTTCATTCTGGTTTATTGAGAACCTTGGAATGGCTTGCATATGAACTTTTGATATATATAGATCACCTTGAATATGGATAGTAGGTCGCCTCGATTCAAGTTGGCAACTTGAAATGGTACTCAATTGGCCAGGTGAGTTTCATTGTCAGAGTGTGGCATTTATGTATACATCATGATGTGCCGGTTTAAACCCCAACTTGAAGGCTTCGGTGTTGATCTTCAAGTTCAAGTTTCAGGCCTTGGAAGGTCCCAGAGGATCAGTACCAATTTTATCGATATGCCGGGAATACTGTCCTGTAAATAATAGTATATACTCTCAGGCTGCATTGGACTTTTGCATAGACACGGGCCAGATGATTTAAAACCCCCGTTCTACTCCCTGGCCTGCATCATGATTCTAAACTTCACATGAAAATCCGAGACATCCACTCATCCACTCACAAGTGCATCTGATAGTCTAGGAACTTATCTCACCTATATGAGTTTATTGGAGCTGGAGAGACTCTCGTACCTCGTATCTCTTGTTTATCCCTCAAGAAGAATGAAAAATCTGACCTCCATAAAATCAACTTGGGATAACTCGAAGCAAACGGGACAAGCTCAGTCACAAAGACTAGGTATATGTATACGCATTCTGCGGAAGCTGGCACCTAGCTTCTTTCGGAGTTAAGTCGTCATTAGCTGGGCAATTATTCATTCTCTTCGATCATGTACCAATGTAAATATTCCCTTTTCTTACTCCTATTCCGCCTCCTATCACCTAGTACTATTATACACGACTACTACTACGACTGCAATAGAAGCAAGAAACAGTGGAAGGCGTTGTTCATTCAAATCTCAAATTCTCAAACGGTCTACTCTTGAAAGCTAACCGGGAACTTATTGACAAACACTCTTCCAGTTGCTCCCGTTGAAGAAAAGAATTGAGGATCGAAGTCATCATCTTCTTCTTACAGATTACCCTCTCAGTCCGCTGGGCCACCTCTACTTCCTTCTCAGCGCAGACGCTCGACTGACCTCCATGGTCCATAATGCTGCACATCGCCACTATACGATTGATGCGCCTCTGCATATCAAGGATGTCAAAGTTTGGTAGAGGCCGACTGATTGGGTCATCAGTTTCTAGCACGAACCGATGGCCTGACACCAGACGGCGCGACTCATCTTCATCCGTCAGTGTCACAACCACGTCATCTGAGCTATCGAGGCTCTTCGTAAGGTGAGGGACATCAGTTAGGCGACATCGGGAAAATGGCGCATGATCTTCTCTGACCAGCCAGTGGAAATCAATTTCCCACTTGGTTTTAGACTTTGATACCCATACTGGCCGGAAAGCTAGAGAGCCCCGGACATATACTGTGCAGAGGTCGTTTCTGAGACACATCAAGTTGGAGCTGTTAGCGACAGGCTCCATTGGGATGTATGGGTCAATCAGAATATGATTATCTAGATCAAGGAAGAAGGCCTTGTGCCAACGATCAACGGTCTCACGGTCCCAAACAAAGTTAAAGAACCACCAGATACTAGGAGAATGAGCTGATTCTGTGGTCATATCGGAACCGACCAAGGCTGGAAATAGTTATTGGTATCACTTTGTAATCACGGGAGCCGATTAAGACACACTTTTAGCTGTCTCGTTCTTCTGCGGCACGCCGCGCTGATAACGAGGCGTTATCACTAGAATTGACTGGCTCGGAGCCGGTATTTGAACTGGAAACCACATGGTTGATATTATGTTGCTCAGGTTAGCGCTGCACCCACCCATTTCAATGCTACCCGATAAGGAGAGACACCCGATCCTATAGCCATTGGCCGACCCTGCATTGATGTACATAGAATGGGCATGTCATCTCCGTGATTTAATTGTTTCCACTGACGTTTCAAACGTCACATACCCTGCTCTTAAGGCTCCTGGAGCTCCTGGGACTCTTCCAGTGGCTACTGCTCCTCTTGTATCCACCTAGGCAACCCCCCCAGATTTAAAAAATCTCGGCGAGACCGTGTTTTAATAAGTATAACATTGAAGCTATACATATGTGTACGTATGGTATGTTTCATTGGCAGGGTTACATTTAGCATCCTCTAGTGAATGAATCGGATCAGCGATGGCTATCAATGATCCATTCACGCTCTCTGACCCGTCTTTCTCCTCCAATTCGAGGACGTGGAGGCATATGATCTACCAAGGAGACAGACCGAGCGGGAATAGTTGCCCGCTCACGGTGCATCTCTCGTATCCGCCTCCGTCTAGCTCGCCGTATGTCATCAGACATCTCAACAAGTTCATCAATACCATCCTGACATTTGTTCAGTTTATACTCAAGTATTTTCTCAGATTCAACAGACTTACCGGTTCAAGATGAGAGAAGATGTAATAGAACATTCTTGTCTCTTCAAACTCATAACCAAGTCTCTCGATGGCCTCACGGACCACCAGATCCTTGGTGATCTCAGTCCACCTCTCATCCCTTCGTTCTTTGGAAACTTCTGGCATGACTCGCCTGCTTCGGTCAATCTCAATGTCCTTTTCAGATTCAGATTCAGACTCTTGCGCGGATGATGCATCTTTGGGGGCTATTTCGACTACGTCTAGGCCGCCGGTCATTTCAATAGCTTCCTCCTTTGAGGGAGCATGAACAACAGACCATTCGTCTATACTGTCCCTTTTGATATCGTCGCCCTTAGGTCGAATCTTAGAGCGTCTTTCTCGAAATTCTGTGATATCTTCTTCCTCATTTTCTTCCACTTCTTCAACTTCTCGGGGTGGGCCTCTTCGCATGCGACCGCGAGACCCTTCTTCGATTACAGACTTACCTTCACGACCCAGCGAGTGCGCCTTTCTTGAACGACGCTCGTCAGTTCTCCAAGGGTTGCGGAATCCTGCTGATCCGCAACTAGTTGGTGAAACGGAGGCTTCATCGTCATACCTCTTATAGGCGATGTTTTCCTCAGATCGATGGCCGTGCCTTTGACTCCTGACCATAAAGTAAGAAATAGAAATGTTATAAAGCTAGAACGAAACTTACTTGTGATTTATTTGAATCTCATCAAAACCAGCGCGCGAAGATGCAGTTTCCGGACTCGGTGCACGAGGTGGTCGAATTTTATCATATTCTGGACATTTGTTAGCGCCAGCCCTTCGACGGACTTCAAACAATTGTAAACACACCTTTATCCATATCATGATGGCGCGTACTAGGTACCATTGTTGGCTCCGAAGGTAAATTTCGTTCTGGTACTGAAGGCCTGCGTCGACTTTCATGGGCCATAATCTCATCACTATTCGCGCTTCTGCGACGATCTCTTTCATGTCTTTCTCGTCGAATATCAATTTCCTCTTCGATTTCTGTCACCTCCTTCTCTGATTTAGAGGAGATACGAGATGCAACCTCTTCTACCTCGATCTTTTCGTCTTCCTCTCGCTCTTCTGGCCAAGCACCGGGTGGAGCCCGATCAAATTGTGATTCTCGTGGACTTCGACGGCTACGATGCCGCATTGCACGTACTCGAAGCTCCTCTTCCTGCTCTATTTCTCTAGGCGACAGCCTATCTTTCCAGCGCATAACTCGCTCGTCTTCCTTCGATATACTCCTCATGGAGGGTGGCTCGACTCCGCGCCTTGATCGACGAGGTCTTTCTTCTCTATCATCTATCAGATCTTCTTCAAATCCCACCTCCCGCCGACGAGGCTTCCGACGTGGATCAGAGGATCGAACAAAGACTTCATCGCGAACATCAGAGAAGCGTCTCTCCCGGGGCCTTGGCTCGCTGTCGCCATCGTAACCAAATGGCGGCACCCGTCCCCCACGTCTGATCACCATCTCATCCTCCTCAAGCTCCCGTTGCAGGCGGGGTTTCCGGCCTCCACGTCGATCCCGTTCATCAACTATATGCTCTTCATCCACCTCGCGTGGACGATAGCGTCTTCTGTCCCGTATCTCCCTCTCATCCACAATCATATCCTCTTCCTCAATTTCACGAACACGGCGACGCGATCGTCGGGGTCTGGGTGGATGGTATTCATCCTCTGGCTCAGGCAGTGCGACCTCTTCGACAGACCTCCTCATTCGCACGGGCGGCTTGGTCTTTCGTGGGGGATCGAAGAAGGTCTCGCGCACGAACTCTCTTGGAGGACGTTCCCGAATCTGCATGCGCTCCATCTCCTCGACGGGCGGCACCGATCTTCTCCCACGGTAATCCACTTCCTCCTCATATGAACGATCGGGCCGATGTGAGCGAGTGTATTTCTCGCGGTCCAGATCATAATCATCTTCGTCAAAATACCCAGGTGGTGCTGCTCGGCGAGACATGGTTGGTGTTGACGAGTAAGGCTTGGTTGATCTCTCGGGGTTTGCGCAATAGGTGATGAAGCTTTTTTATGTTCAAGGAGTATCAGACGAAATGCAGCTTTATATCTGTATTGGTTCGAGTGTTTATCGCTGAAAGCAAAAGTGATGGTCCGAAGGATGAGAAGTGGTCCTACAGGCATCATATGTCAGATCAATCGCATCCAAGCGTAGGTGAGGGGAAGCATATGGGTGAGCGCACTCCGACAGCCGTTTCATTCAATTACCCACAAGGAGACCTGGTAAAGATATGTTTTAAGGCAGAAACAGCAGAGCTAGCTGAAGATCATAGAGGAATTCAGCTCATAGGCAAAAGTGGTCCCGATCCACCACTGCGGGGGATTTCGACACTCTCGTCGCAGCTTCTGCAAGAACCAGGGCCAGCCTTTTGGCGATGATTATGTGACAAATAATTGATATTCAAGCTATGGTAGACCATCCAACTCAGACTCTGTCAATCGTAGATCTTGGTGTTCGGTCTCGTGGAGTTTACCGCACGAACAAACGTAGCGGGGCACTCTGCAATCGCCAGTCGCGGTACGTCCCGAATATTAAATTATTGCCAAGCGATGACGCAGAAGAGGAAGAAACAATAAGTCAGGAAGTAATAGCCTCCATAGAGTTGGGGTGGTCGAGGCGATTGAATGGACAGCATTCGGTTGAGGCGCAGCCAGAAGATGATCGCAGGTCCGATGACCCCGCTGTCCTCCCACTGATGTCACACCCACGCTCTATGACATGGCTGGCTACGAGTGCAGTCGTGAATGGATATGCCACAGCTATTTTGAATTCTATAGATTTTATGCAGATCAAACTATCTTTTCTTTCTCTATATAGCCGTTTATTTAAAATTGAGTATAGATCTAAGTGAAGAATCCGATCCATGGTTGAGGAGTGGCTCGACCATAGAGACTTGGACCAGGGTATAGAAAGGATGACGTTGAAAGGTCCCCTCAATATTAATCCCTGTCTGCTCTAGAGATATGCTTATTGAAGATCGCAAAACAGTATAGCACAAACACTACTTAATTTACAATTTCCTTTTCTAAGGAAGAAAAAGTGCGAAGTAATTGCTGGGAAATCCGCAAGAGAGAAGCTGTTGTTAGGAACAATGGTAACTTGATTTTTTCTTAATTACTTATACATGTAGCTACGGCTAAGTGAGACTGCATCGTACTCGATGAGTTATTGGAAGGCTAGTCGCATTTGCCCCTTTTCAGATTTGCCACGGCCACGGCTTCCTCGCCCACGATTAGTTGATATGTTTGTAGGTGTGCGAGAGTTGGCGTTCCCACTTTGCTGGTGAGGGCTTCGGGCTTCTACTCGATCCTGAATTTCCAGGTCTTTAGCAAAATGCCAGTCATCATGCTCTTCTTTGTCAAACTCGGGAATAAGCTTGGAGCATCGAGGACAAAGGGATTGTGGCATTTCGAAATCGTCTTGTGGTACTTCGCCGTTCACCAGGCTGTTGGACATTGGTGGTTCCTCTAATGAGAGCTGGGGACTTTCTTTGTTGGGGGCGATAGAATCAGTCGCCTGAGGCTGGTTGAAAAAGCTTTTTATGTTGCTTTCATCGGTCTTCCTCTTTTTTCCGACCGGGGATTGTTCACCGAAAATAGTGTCTGCATCGCGTGGTCTGGACGACGCATGACTGAGAGACTTGGCATGTTCACCACGGACCAAGAAGCTTTCGATGGCTTTATTCTTGCCCACGCCATCCTCGAAATTGCTCACACTGAGAGATAAGTTCGAACACGGCCATGCCTGTCCATCAGCAACGACTTGTCGCAGTAGAGTTTGAGCGAGTTCGTATAGCAAATTCTCATCGATAGCATTAGACCCGGGAATCGGAATTTGGCGAGACCGTGTCTGTACAACCCTGTGATGTAGAGTGATAACTCGGGGACGGCGTCTATTCTCAAGCACACCATCCTCCACAAGTCGGCCGTAAATATCAGCCGCAAAAATATGTAGCCATTTATCTGCTTGTTCGACTGAGTTGATACTAGGGCGAAACGACTTTGCAGATAACATGGACTTGATCTGCGTTCGGGGGTTGACCTCGCTGCGATCCTCTCCACGGATGATACCATATAGCCAAGTCGCTGTATGATCATCGAGCTTGGCACGCAGCTGATCAAGTGATACATTGAGAAGATCACTCACTTTCTCTGTTCCAAAAACTGAAGTAATCTGATCTCCTAGCTTGCCTCCCAACATGCGAATCTGCGTAAATTTATAACCATTTAGAAAGTTCTGAACGGCACGATTCCGCACCACTGTTTGTTTGTCGGGCTTGTTGCAAGCACTACCTAGCTTTGCGAGCATCTTATTGTGTGCAATTCCGGCAGAACAGGTGTATTGTAGCTTCTCCCACACGGCTTTTCTGACTGAACGTGTGATCTCCGCAGCCACCAGTATAACGATATCATCCCAATCAGGATCATCTTCCTCCCTTTCCTGTAGGTCTAGATCAAACAGGCAATCCTCTCCCCATTGCAATGCTGTGGTAGGAGGGCAAGGTAACTCTGCACCTTTCTTCTCCTCTTGCGAGAGCGCCCGGAGCTCAGGATATCTCCGTAGCAAAACAGAATATATGAGGGGAGACAAGTCAATGAAAACTTCATCAATGCTGGCCTTTTCTAGTCCCGCAGAGAGGCCTTGGGTGAGTGATTGAACTTCACTGTCTCCCAAATCATCCGTACACCAACGCTGCAATTCGTCTTTCATTGTTTGAAGAATCTTTCGCGACTCTGCTCGATAAGGATCCAAAGACACCTTATCGGTTTTGATATTCTGAAACGAGTCATCGCGATAAGCCCAACGGCCCCCTTCTCCCTCTCGGAAGGTCGCAACATGTTGTAGGATGATATTTGGGCATAACTTTCGAGCTTCCGCGGTGGTAACCATGCGATTGATACCGAATGGGCGTGCGGCGTAATTCACGGCGATCAATGAATCCCATTGGCGGACAGCAAGTGGGGTATCGCGCGGTGTGCCCAGTCGCACCATTTCGCACTGAGCGTAGAATGCATCGAGATCGATGTGCGCAATGGCGCGTAGAGGTGTTGCGGTAGAGCCCTGGCGTAGTAACTGGAACTGGCGATGGGTATAACGGGAACGTTTCACGGCGTCGGGAGGCGTGTTAGGCAGGTCTGCAGATGACATTCTTGGATATGCGTCATGGTCAGTGTGAGAACTATGATCAAACCCCAAATTGATACCAGGGGGCTTTGACTCCCGGGAGCTTGAAGTTTTGGTCGTGTTTGATGACCCTTTGATCTCTCGTCTAGATCGGGATTAGTGCGTGCACGTGCCGTGTATATGAGCCTCAGGCATTAAGGTATCCACGGTTCCATGGATTCCGCACAAACACAAACAAACACATCAAGATCTATACTCAGTAGCATGATTATAAGACCGCTATTAAGCATGATTTATTTGCAAGCCATCAATAATATGTCGCTGTTAAGAACTATTCAATTTGAGTGGCTTGAAGAGTGGCTGGCTAATAACATCTAGAACCCACTGGAATTGATGTTTGTTGTTCTTCTCTCGCACTTACTCCGTAGATATACGGTACTTAGATTCGGCGCTTCGCCATAGAAACATATCACAAAAAGCACAGAGTACAAATGTCATCACCAACTGACCCCCTGCCCCGTTGAAATCTAAATCACGTCAACTTCAAAAGAAGCCAGAGTTGCTTTTCCCTGCACCTTTCTCTTGCACCTACCACCTTGTGTAGGTCCAGGCCAAGAATCGTGCTGTGTGATCTCCGATTTAGCTCGTGTGTGCTGACATAGCCGAGCGCTGAGTGGCCCACGGACCTGCCCAACACGCATTCATGCCCAACGCGACTTTTCCTGCGGCTTGGTGGCAACGGTCTGTCGCTTTCCCACCGATCTGGACGCAGATTGGGTCCCTTGCTGCAACATCTGTTGCAGAGGAGGGTGAGGATCATCCTCCGTGGCCCTCCTAGGCCCCGATTTGTCCGACTTTGTCGCCCTGCTCACGAGTTCGGAATCCAAAAGTCCCCCAAAATCCTAGTCGCTTTTTCGCCACAAGTCTCTCCTTACCTACGTCTGTTATTCACTTTTCCATTCAGTTGACCGCTTTTTGGCCACCCCAACATGAGTCAAAACATGACATGCAGAGGAGGGGGACGAAGTTATGTTACCTTCTCCAAATACAAAAATTATGTAGTAGTAGCCCAACAAAGATGAGACAGGTCCAAGCAAACCACATGTTATGAGATCGGCCCTAAAAAGTAAAAATCTACATCAATGTGGACCAGGACCAGGATTAAAAGTTCTCTGGGTATATTATAAGCCAGGGTCTATGGAAAAAATGGGGCTTCTGCAAAGATATTCGGCTACGGACAGGGTGGTACAGAGACTAGAAGGCTAGAGACTAGAGTAGAGTAGCCTGTACATGCATTGACCGGCACAAAGACTTTTCTCGACTGAGCCGTGTTAGACCGTGCATGCTTGCTGGCCTTGGGACTTGATAGAGAAGTGGGGGGTGTCGTGGCACCAGCCCAAGAACGGCCCAACCGCCCTGCCCACTTTAGTTCGCCCCTTCTCCTCTTCCTCTTCTCTTCTCTTCTCTTCTCATCTTTCATCACCTTCATCTTCTCCCTCGCTACCTGGTCCAATTTCAAGGGACTCACAAAAAGAAAAGGAACAAAAAAAAAGATACCCGGATACCCTCATAAGCTGGAACAGTGTGGAAGTGTGGACCCAAATTCCCTAGTCCCGAAGGATCTCTTCAACCCCGCCTCAGTGTTTTCTTTCTCCCGAACTCCTGAACTCCTCTCAGCCTCGACTTAATTTCAGTCACCTCGGCCATAGTGTTTTCTTCCCGGTCTTCTTTCTCTCTCTACCCTAGGATTTGATTTGAATTTTTGCCCTGGACAACTACCTTGGAACCCCATAAGGATTTCCGGATATTTTCCCCTTGGAAAACCAGGACTGTTTTGCTCTTCCGACCATAGGATCCTCTTTGCTTTTCTTCTGTGACCGTGGACTATCTCGAAATCTCTACTCCCAAGGAACAATCGACCCCCCCGTCATTTAAAGTGGTGACGGTCGACCGTGGATATCTTTACGACGGTCGTTCTATAGAACAAGAAAAAGAACAAATTCTGTACATTTTCCCCAATATAACGGACACAACAATCTTCCAAAGGACTACTTATCTTCCTGGACTGTGATTTCTTTTTTTTGTTTTGGCCCGTCAGACCCGAGGAGCTTTGAACATTTCCGGATATATCTTATTGCCCCAGGACACACGATGACAGGCCGTCAAAATGAATACTTTATCCCGGGTGATGGAATCAGCCGAGAGGTGATTCAAGCAGATATTTGTCGCTACCTTGGAAATGATGCCCTTGTGCGACCTGGTAGTCATGGTGTCCGTCGTCCTTCTTTCCTTCCTGTCCTTTCGTGTTTATAACCTTACTCGAACTTTATGACTGACCCCACAATACAGGGCCGCCAGGGATTCTTCATCCGTGCCTATCGGAATTTGACATCAGTAAGTTGATATGCCGTGATACATCCAATATTAGCAAAGCCAAGCCACCGACGAGGAACACCATCTGACCAAGGACCATCTGGATAAACAGGAAATGATTGCTGATATCAAGGCTGACTCCGCTCGCTGGGAGGCGGATGTCTCTCGCCGGGCTGATCTAGGCTATCCGAGAGGTAGTTATATTCAAGACATGAATATGTCACATGCCCCTAACACTGGACCAGCGAACTATGCCAGTTCGACCGTACATGAGGTTCGTCAACAACAGCAACAGCAACAACAACAACAGGGGCCTTCCCCTACCACATTTAGTGCAGCCCCTGCTCAAACCTACATGGACCCGTATTCCCAAGGCTCTTATGCTGGATCCCAAAATGCTCCCTACAACCAACCTCCTTCATCTTACAGCTCCACACATTCGCCCTACAGCTCAGGACAAGCTCCCTACCCCCCGCCTCAGGTCTCCTATTCTGGCCCCTCCCAGCCTGTCGTGACAGCTGCTGACATGCACCCTTCCTCATACACCTATTCACCTGGCTATGGATACGAGGGTGGCCGAAATGCCCCCAGGTACCCAGGACCCGGTTATGATGACCAACCGGATTACTCTCCCCAAACCACCGGGATGGCATATCCTACCACTACTGCCCCAGATCCCCGGATAGGAATGGAGCCGAGGTACACCCCGGAATACGAGCGCAGTAGGCCGCAACCCACAAGAGAACGGGATCCGCACCGCCGGCGATAAGGCACAGAAATCAAAATGGCCTTAAGATTCCTCTTGTGCATTAAATAAATCATTTCTTCCCCTCCATTGTGGCCCACTGGATGGATGAATGGTTTTTATTTTTATTCCTTTGCCTCCTTGGACTGTGATAAAACCCTGGAACCTAATGATGCCGACGAATATCCACAAAAACCTCCAAAAAAACACTTCTCTTCCCTAGACCTCCAATCTCCACTCTCCACTCATTCGTCGGCTGTTTTCTTTTACTCTCTCGACAGGAGAACGCCCTCCTTTATTATGAAAGTCCAGGACACTCCAAGATAGGGTCAAGATCCGTTCCAGTCAGGCCCACTTTCCACGATTCGTCGGATATGAATGCCATTTCATTTTTGCCATGGATTGATTCCCAATGGATACCACCGGCCACACCTCAGGTCTGCGACTTGAGCACTGTCCACCGAAAGGATCGTCCATACCTAATTATTCTGCGCTATTGTGCAGTTGGCCAGTCAGGAGTAGGAGCATTATGCGTTGAATGAGGTTTTCATGAAAATGGTGGCTCTCTTGATTTTAAAGTCTTTTTTTATTGCTTTGGATTTTGTTTAATGACTCCCTGGATCTTTACCAGCCTGACTGAGGTTCCGTGGATCTTTTTTCTTCCTTTTTCTTCTTTGCTTTTTCTTCTGGGATGTTTCACTTTCGACGGTGTACAGGGGTTGTGTGGCTTTTGGCAATGTTTGCTACCTTTTCACTTTTGAATTATCCCGTCTTTGGTGTGACACGGCTGGTGCCCCGTATGATTACTATGCGCCTGGGACCTTCTGGCTGTTGGGAGAAATGCTTCGACAAAGCGATGATGATGACCGAACTACATGTAGATATGAGCATATACGGCGTTGTTCGCGTTTTATGATTGACGCTGAGATCCTGATCGGTTCTGTTTTATCAAATAATTGAACCTTTCACCAACATCTTCTTCCAAAGAAATCCTCTTCCAATAGAAAATACTTAAAAAATAGTCAATTCTCAACTGTCTATGTACTCTGCCTCTGTGCCTCTGGCCCTCAGCCAACCGGTTCAGATGTTGGAATTCCACTGTCGAAATTGAGGAATATCAGCTGTGGCAGTGTTAGTATTAGGGTAACTATTCAATGATAGCGTCCTTCCGAAGTAGGTATCCATCTGCACTAATGGGTGTAGCGCTGATTATATCATTCCAAGATTCACTCGACCAAGAGCGATTGAAACAAAGTAGAAGTAAGACCTACTCGTCCATCTACAGCGGCACACTCGAGATAACCTGCTATATAACCCCGGGGCTTTGACTATACAGGCAACTATTCACACGTGGTGGAACTTTTTACCTTTAACCCAAAAAAAATTGAAGAAATCGACTTGATGTCGGTTTATGATCACTATCAAAACATAGTACATACACTGCAGCGCAACAATCTCAAGATTCAATGATCTCGATATTATATACGCGAACGAGATTGGTATCAAAAACGCCTCTTAGCGGGGAGAAACGGCCAAATTGGGCTCAGTTTTTGCTGGCTCATAGAGGAGGTTGTCGTAGGACTCGACTATGAAGGCATATCGTTTGACTCCCAATATTTTGCTCAATTAATGCGCATCCCCTCCAAAACCTCAACATTGTTACACATGGACTCTTGTGTTATCCAGCGGCTTTATGCTGTCGGTCGTTCTTTACTCGTCTTCAAAGCCCTTGGGGATTGTTCGCGGACCCTTCGGGACTATACGTAGGAACATTATGGTTTAGTTTTGGCCAACTCAATCAAGACATGAAAGCCTGCTGAGGCTTTGGAGCAGTGTAGGGGCCTTACCGGGATATGAGAGGGGAATAGGCTCAGGGTCAACGTCGCCGAGGGCCCGACGGATTGGGGGAAGGCTAACCAGAGCGACGGGGCCCATGGAACCAATAATCAGGGAGAAGAAGATAGCAGGCTTCTCGTGAGCGGCCCAGCGGAAGTAGCGGAGGGGAGTCGACCAGAATTGAGGGGTAGACATGGTGAATATGAAGTTGGCCGACAAGAGTGTGGCGAGGAGTTTTCCGGACGAGAAGTGATGAAAATGACCGTACGTCTCAAAAGGACTCGTCTAGGCGAGGTGAATTGACAGTTATCAGAACCACCCGGCGGTATCTGAGGTGTGGTGAGGTTGACCGTTGGAGGAAATCAAAATTGGGAGGCCGTGGGGAAGAAGTGAGGTTCGACGGTCCGGAGATGCGCAGGTCCCAAGCCGAGTCTTGGCATCCGTCCGATTAACACGTCGCCCTTTCTATCTATACAACTCCGAACTTCTCCCCTCACACTCCCCACCCACCTTTCTCTTTTTCTTTATCTCTTCAAGGTAGCCCGCTCCGCTGTGCGGAATTATTTGTTAAAATGCGGTGGTGCCTTGCGTTGCTTATCTGTGCCTTTGTGGCTACAGTAAACGCACTGAGTAGCTCTGGTAGCCGCCTGCTGGTGGTTTTGGATGAGAGTACAGAGAAGAGCACTTATTCGACATTGTGGTCCGATTTGGAAGGTGATTGAGCATTTTTCCCATGATGGTATTCGTTGCTAACCTCAATTGTAGCTCGAGGATACGATTTGTCTTTTGAATCACCTAAGAGTGACAAGCTGTCCCTCTTCGAACATGGCGAGAGAGCTTACGACCACCTCCTTATCCTTCCTCCGAAGTCAAAGGGTAGGTTTCCCTTGCTCTGGAAATGTTTATAATGTTTGAAATGTATCAATTGACGCATTCTTATAGGTCTTGGCCCCTCCTTGACACCTAAGCACATCGTGGACTTCTTGAACAAAGATGGCAATATCGTGCTCGCCCTTTCCGGCAAGTCGTCCACCTCTAGTGCCGTTAGCTCCCTCCTCCTTGAGTTTGACATTCACCTCGCCAATGACCGTTCCGCCGTCGTCATCGATCACTTCAACTACGATACCATCTCGGCCGCCGAGAAGCATGATGTCCTACTCCTCCAGCGATCTACTCCCCTCCGCCCCGATGTCAAGGCCTTCTTTGATGGCGAGGGTGTTCTTGCTCTTCCTAGAGTAGCCCCTCAGACTCTCGGTAGCGACAGCCAGCTCCTCGCACCGATCCTTCAAGCTCCTGCCACCGCTTACGCGTACAACCCCAAGGAAGAGATCCCATCTCCCGATGACATCGAGGCAACTGGCTCCCAGCTGAATGTGGTTTCTGCACTTCAAGCCCGTAACTCCGCCCGCTTCACTGTTCTGGGCTCTGTCGAGGCTCTTGAGGACAAGTGGTTCTCTGCCTCAGTCAAGACTCCCAACGGCAAGAAGGTCCCCACCGTTAACCGGGAGTTTGCCCGCCAATTGACTGGATGGACATTCAAGGAGACTGGTGTTGTGAAGGTTGGAAAGATTGAGCATCACCTGGTTACTGATGGCGAGGTGGCTGCGGAAGATCTGAACCCTAAAATTTACCGCATCAAGAACGAGACTGTGCGTCATACCTACATGCCAAGCTGATCATTTGCCCACGAAGAAAAAACTAACCACATTTCTATTTGCAGGTTTTCCGCATTGAGGTCTCGGAATACTCTTTTGATAAGTGGGTACCCTTTGAGGTTCCCGCCGAGGATCAACTACAGCTCGAGTTCACTATGCTCTCGCCCTTCCACCGTCTGGCTCTTCAGCCCATCAGTCGCACTGAGACTAGCACTGTGTTCGGCACCCAGTTCGTCACTCCGGACCAGCATGGAATCTTCTCCTTCCGTGTAAACTACAAGCGTCCTTTCCTTACAAACATCGAGGAGAAGCATGAGGTGACTGTTCGTCACTTTGCACACGATGAATACGCTCGCAGCTGGGCTATCAGCGGTGGCTGGGTATGGATCGCCGGCCTCTGGGCTGTTGTTGGAGGCTTCCTGGCCTTCGTCATTGTCTGGCTGTACTCGGCTCCCACAGTCAACAAAGCCAAGAAGACCCAGTAGATTTTTTATTCGAATATACCGTCAACAATGATGTGAAATATTATCTCTTCCCCCTTTTGGCTAAATCTTCTCAGACTACAGAATGAGCCGAGCTTCCATGATGTATGGAATTGCCTCTACGTATGTTGTATTCCATATTCCTTGAAGAGATTGGTGATTGTTTTCATGTCCCCTCTATGCCGTAAGTAAGAACAGAACTCCAGACCATGCCAGCATGAATCAGAACATCTAGACACATGTAAAATACAGTGGGCGAGCAATCGGGGCCCGACAAAGTGTTTCCTCCTGGGAAGTTATCCAAAAATGTCCTCACAGTCCTCGAGTCTTCTCGGGGTCCATCTGCACCTCATTTCCACTAATTTCCTTGACGCTGGTGTATGCCGGTTTGCCGGCATAGAGTTGCTCGGATTGGGTAGACTTTCCATCCATCTCCTTCGCGCCGGACAAAGGATGGTTGCCACGGAACCGTTTGCGCATATCGATCATTCCGCGTCTACCAGGAATATAGATGTTAGCAACAATGATCGATGTCCATGCTCTTTCCTCTTGTGTAGTCCTTCCGACACGTTCAGATCCCCAATTGATCAACTCACTTGCACTCGCTAAACCCCTTCTTCAATTGTTGACATTTCGTAGGCAGCTCCTCAGCGAGTGGAGAGCTCAGGCACTCACGAGGCGTGTGCCGCTGGACCATGATACAGTCCGATTCCTGTAGGCATTGGGCCAAGGCCTCCCCTGCGAACATATGATTAGCATGCTGTGGTGGCAAGAGAACAATTTTGCATGCAATCAAAATTTCCGTTCTCCATTCCATGTTTTCACTCACTGATATCCGAGCATGAGCTAGGCATGGCGATATTTGAGGGTTTGTAACATTAACATGCAAGTCGGCGAGGATCACTCGGACAAATTCAGGCGGATCATTCTACTTGACTCTGATTGGTTGACCCCGGATGAGTAAGCATTTCGCTTTGGGCCCCAACTTTGAACGTTCACATGTCAAGGAATGACGTCGCCACGTTGAATTCAATTCGCAATCCTTTCTGTCACGACTTTGGACATTTGTCTCTGCATATCTGCACTACTGGGTATATCAAATGCACATGTAGAATTTCGGGCTGCCTTTCACTATGTCGCGGGTACCATTTATAGGGAGGTTGTTTTGGTAAGTTCCCATCCGAGAATGTCAGGTGCTACAGAGTCCTTTCCAAGACACAACAATCTTACTCATGTCGGAACTCCTTAGGTTTGAGTACCTAGCACTGCTAGGATCCTTGATCCTGGTCTTTCTAGAGACTGTTATTCATTTCATCACATTCTGCCTTCGTAAGTGATGTCATATTCGTCTGATGAAGTGCCACCGACTAATTGCGCACAGCATCACCAATCATTCGATTCTGCTATGACCAATCGAAAAAGATCTTTAATGTCTTTATGCCGAAAGAAGCACAGGATAAGCGTACAAAGGAGGAAATACTTGCTGCATCTATAGCTGAGGCATCGGATTTTACCGAGATCTGCTCCCTATTTGGATACGAGGCAGAAGAACACATTGTACAGACTAGCGACGGATACCTCCTGGGCTTACATCGTCTGGCCTATCGAAAGGGCGAGGAGGACAAAAGAGTCAACCAGGGTCCCAACTCAATCACTAAGAAGGTTGTCTATCTACATCATGGCCTGCTCATGTCTAGTGAGGTATGGGTTGCCTTGACCGACGAGCAGCGCTGCCTTCCCTTCCAGCTGGTTGAAAAGGGATACGATGTTTGGCTGGGGAATAACCGCGGAAACAAATATGCGAAGAAATCTGTCCGGTTTTCTCCTGGGTCCAATGAGTTCTGGGACTTCTCAATCGATCAGTTTGCCTTTCACGATATCCCGAATAGCATCGAGTACATCCTAGATGTGACAGCTCAACCATCCTTATCTTACATTGGTTTCTCCCAGGGAACAGCGCAAGCATTTGCGACTCTCGCAATTCATCCCTTGTTGAATCAGAAGGTTGATGTTTTTGTGGCTCTGGCTCCCGCAATGGCACCATCCGGTCTTCGTAATCGCATCGTCGATTCCCTTATGAAGGCCTCGCCAAACTTCTTGTTCTTGCTGTTCGGCCGACGCAGCATCCTCTCATCGACAACAATGTGGCAGACGATCATGTACCCGCCTATTTACATCCGCATTATCGACACTGCCTTGTCAATTCTTTTCAACTGGCAATGTCGCAATATCACTCGAGTCCAGAAGCTTGCAGCTTATATGCATCTCTACTCATTCACCAGCACCAAATCAGTTGTCCATTGGTTCCAGATCATTCGCAACAAAAACTTTCAATTCTACGATGACGAATTGCAAACGCCCTTCAGTATTGTCGGTAGTGAGCGTTTCTACAAGCCTGTCAAATATCCAACTCGCAACATTAAGACACCTATCGTGCTCCTGTACGGCGATAGCGATAGCCTTGTCGACATTAATGTCATGCTGCAGGGCTTGCCTCGTGGTACTGTTGCAAAACCTATTCGTTCATATGAGCACCTGGACTTTTTATGGGCTTCAGACGTGGATAAGCAAGTCTTTCATCATGTATTTGATGCACTTGAGGCCAATAGTCCGAAATCTGTTAATGGGGTCAATGGGGTCAGTGGCAACCATGAAGTGAATGGCATCAACGGGGTCAATGGAATCGATACACCTCAGGCCCAGCTTGAAGGCAGACCTCCCATTACAAGTCACACTTCAAATAGCTCTCTCCCAAGATCCCATCTCCATACTACTGAGTGATCTCATCCACGTATAGTACCACAGTTGAGATTGTATTGATACTTTTCATGCATGTTTTTTTTTTCTTGCCTTTTTGGTCATTTTCTTGGAATGATTAAAATCCCGAGGGATGTACACTGCATTGCCACTTGCACATACCCCATTTCATTTTTGTGATTCATGGTTTCATCCTTTCTGGCAATGACCCTCCAGGTCAGATGCCCCATACACGACCAGGTATCTACCAGTTACAAATAACCCTAACCTGAGAAACCAACAAATCCTTATATATTCAACTTGCAAGAATATCTTTGATATTTCAGAGTAGCATTTAGAAAAGTAACTACACCATAAACGCTCCTCCGCAAGCCTGAAAAGTTTGCCCAGTCAACCACTGGGATTCCGGACTTGCAATCAAAAGAGCAATGCCCGAGATGTCCTCGGGAAGTCCAACGCGACCCAACGGTGACCACTTAGACAGCATAACTTCAATCTGTTCCGGGGTCATTTTATCCCCACCAGGAATATACTCAGCCGAGTTTTCATCGTACATGTCCGTCTTAACACCTCCCGCCGCAATACAATTGACAGTAATGTTGCGTGAGCCAAAGTCAACGGCAAGACACTTTGTCATTCCTTGAACAGCAGACTTAGAAGCAGCATAGACAGCATGGCGGGGAACACCCTGAGAATTTGTTAGCCCAAAGCTAATTATGAAATATTTACAGGACTATTTGCATACCTTAACAGCTGAAATAGACGATGTGAGCATAACTCGCCCATGATCCGCCATATACTTGTATGCCTGTTGAGCAACAAAATACTGGCCCTTGACATTTACGCCAAAAATCCGATCGATATCTGCACCCGTTGTCTCGGCGTGAGTAGCAAAATACTCGATACCCGAATTACTCACGGCGATATCGAGGCGGCCAAGTTCCTGCATGAGTGTCTCGAACATGGCGCTTACTTCGTTCTCCTGCGAGACATCTGCTTTGATTGTGATCGCTTTGACGCCAAATGAGCGCACCTTTTGGGCTACCTCTTCTGCGGCGGTGGGGGAAGAAACATAGTTGATTGCGACGTTGGCACCATGTTCGGCGAATTTAATAGCTATGGCGGCTCCAATACCCCGGCTACCACCAGTAACTATATTAGGGAGTTAAATTACAATTTGAGCTTGTTAGGGTCAGGGTTAGTGGAGACATGCCAGTGGGGGCTTACCTATTGCTACCTTTCCGGCTAGATTTTTGCTCACGGTCATTATTATATTGAATTCGACGATAAAGTTCGATTTCACTCAGTATGGTAGGATCGGTGAGAGACTCGCCTTTTATTAACTTTCCTCCGCTGGTGGCTCTTCGATCGTCGCTTTAAATGCTCAGGTGTGGAAGAATCGGTGAGACCAACGCATGCATGCCGTATTCTAGGGTTGTGATTTGTATCAATTGCCGTGGGTATACGGACACCGCAAGTTGGATGCGGAGCACCCCTTACATTAATCTAGCTGCATGGGGTCTAGCACGAAGATTATTACTATCGCAATTTACAATATCCTTCGAATGTGCTTTTGCGCGCCATGCGTCATGATTTATTTTAGGGTAACACTCGGAAATGATCATGGCTGCTATATTCATAAGAATACTCGATTCTTATCGCCAGAAGTAGTAAGCAGGCCTATCGCTGAATCCAAGCTGGGGGCATATGCGCAACATTTGAATGCTCTAATCATATTACTAATTCCTGGGTTTCATGTAACTATGTCAAAGGTGTAAACATAAATCTCTGTATAGTATGGGTGTGGGCATTTTCATCTTCTTTAAATGCTTTTTAGGTATCATGACTGATCTTCTTCTTTCTCCTTATCCTTTTCTCCTCCCACCAGATAAAATGTAAGAGCCAGCGCTGCAGCTGCAGATACTAACTTAATATTAGATCTCATCCCGCTTATCAAACTCATAAGAGTCATTGCTTACATGGTACCACCAAAAAGCTATGTCGGAAAGCAGAATCAACGCGAACTTTGATCTCAACTGGGAGGGACGCGGCGTATCGACGGTATTTAAGAATCTTGTCCATGGTCTTCGACGTATACTTGATCAGTCATTTTATCTTGATAATGGATTGATAGGGACTCGGAAATGTTCAGTGTACCTTCATGCCTTGTGCACTCCCACCTAATATGTCTTTCAACCCACTGGCGAAAGTGCTTCTAACTAACCAAGCGGTAACAGAGACACCCACGACCGACCCAATCTGCTGCAACAGATAATATGTAGTGATCAGTCTTGCAGCGTAGCCTCCTGGTGATTCGGCAGACAATGCCACGAATTGAGTTGAGAATGATATACCCATTCCAATCCCAAATGGGAAGGGGTACATTAGTTCCCAGATGTATGGATCGGAGTAACACCATCGAATCATGATCAAAACTGCGCTCACGGTGGATATGTAAAGTCCGATTCTGGTCAACTTGTGATATTTACCAGTTCTGCGATAAAATTCAAAGTTAGTCTCCACAAATGAAGGAATCTGAACCTTTCTGCCAAACCTTTGAATATATTTCCCAGCTAAAATTCCACCCACTGCACCTCCAAGCCCTGCTGGCGCTAGACAGGCTGAAGCAGCTGCCATTGAAAATCCCTTGGTGCGAACGAAATACTCACTGACGGCCGAAGCAAACTATACAAATGCGACATTAGAAATCTCTTGGCAGTTATAACAGCAACGTTATGGTACACTCACGGACATGTCAGCGATCATGGTCAATATTTGCACTGCACATATCACGCCGGTTTTGCTTGATAGCATGAAGGATAGTGGGATCAAAGGTCTTCTCGCCGTACGCATCTCGTATGTGCAGAATAAGATCCCAAGCAATATACTGACAGACCCAAGAGCGACCGTAATGTAGAATTTGTTTCCTGGAATTTCATCGGCCTCGAGAACTTGCACCATCATCAACGCCGAGATAATCGCGCATACGAGTAGTACGATACCGATATAATCTAGCTTCTCTGTGTCGGAGTCCTCTTCTTTTTGGCCTTGGGCGTTTTCCGGAGTAGACTGTCTGTCTGTAGGTGTATCCTTCGGAAGCTGAAGGACAGTTATCAAAGCGCAGGCGAGAACGATTGGTACATGAAGAAGAAACGACCTAAATATTGGAGTGATCGTGGTGAGATATGGGCGATATCGTTGGAGCATAACTTATTCTCTCTTACCATCTCCATCCCACCCATGTATATAGGGTTCCTCCTATGGCTCCTCCACCACTGTATCCAACCATTGTGACAGTCATGAAATAGCTTCGGAGCACGGCGACTCCAGTTGGACCACCAATATCTAAGCCATGTTGACATCATTATAAGGATCATGGCCTATCTTTGTGAGACGCTTGACTTACCGTTAATAAGTATAGAGGACAAATCCAGCATACCCGAGCTTCCAAAACCTGTAATTATCCTTGCAAATATAGCAATGTAGATATTTAACGATGTTCCCCTAGGTATCTCATGTCAGTGGTTCAGCTTATGGGAAATGGCATTATAGCAGGTACATACATCGCTAAACAGCCCATTGAATAAACAATGTACGAGAAAAGATAGGTGTGCTTCCTTCCCCAAGCATCACAGAGTTGACCATACTATCATTCAATTAGTAACTAAACTCCATGTATCATCAATTTGAGTTAGACGAACAATTGGAAGCGATATCATATATCCCAGATTAAACCCAGTAATCAGCCAGGTACTGGCATTGGTCGCATTGAATTCCGCTGCGATATCGGAAGCCGTGGAAAGAACGAAAGAATCATCGGAAGACGCAAGGAAAGTCGCTACCGGCGGGCGTTATTAGACCACTGCGCACTCCTATCAACGGTAAAAATTTAAACGTACAAACTAGCATCACAGCTAGGAAGCTGCGAGCGATTTTAGGTCTCGGTGGTCCATTTTCCACATCGTGATCGAGGATATTTGGTGTCTGGAGGAGCCGCGACTCTTCGTCGATCATACTAGATGAATACCGGAGATTGACGTTGGCGACTTGAATTCAAAAATGACTTCGAACACAGTTGCAAGGATTTTGAAGAGAAGTCTTTCGAAGGTTCAACAATACTAGATTCTCGAAAAAAATAATTTGTTGACGGAGATTCTAGAGTTCAGTCCAGCTTATCGGGTCTTGACTACGAGAATTGTGTGGGAGGGGTCGAATATGCATTCCTTGCATAAAAGCTCGTGCGCTTGGTGGATCTTACGCCAAGAATCTTAGGATCCGTGCCCAATAGCTTGATAAGAAAAGCAAAAGGATCTCTCTCTTTTGATAAGGGCAAGAGATGGGATTTGCAAAGGGTGTATCAATAGGTTAAAAGCATGCCTGCCGTGAAAGAAATACGAAGCCGTGTCAAAATTCCGACGAATTATCTATGCACTCTCGACACCAAATGGCGACTTATAAGTTTATTAATTTTAGTCCCAAGCAAGCACATTGTGTTGAAATTCCATGTTGAAATTTCAAGATTGCAATTTATGAGATGTAGTGCAAATGAGATCGATTTGCAGTTTCAGCGGCGTTATATTAATATGTGGCCTCGGGCCATCAGGGTATTGCAGAGTGGGATGATTGACTTAGATCGGCTGATACCCACACGTTTTCTCTCGAAGATGGCATCGAGGCTTTCAAAACAGCTTCTAACCCTGAAAATAAATCGATCAAGGTCATTATCAGGTCGTGAACTCTGGCATTGGGTTAGCTGGATATTGTCGAATGTATCTACCAAACATCGGAATCTCCCATCTATAATGTGATAAAATTGATTGATTTTCTGATATGGGCCTCATTAATTCATTTTCTTCACCAAAGTACTCTCCAGAGTCTAAGTCTTTAATCATGGCCACGTCAAACATGCAGGGTATCGTTCAGGAATTAGAATGGGATGCTTTTGTCCAGTTCTTTGTCACACTGGCCGGCAAAAAGCGAAGCGCTGACATGGATCGCTCCAGACTATCAATCTCCATATCATCCGTGGCTTTAGGCTTGGGCTGTGTTTCCTGCACATCATTGGAAGCGGCAGGAGGATTTGCTTGCGATACCGAGCTGCGTCGACGAAGTCTCCCCTCGTTAACAGATGAGATTGACGTTCTGGAGATGCGCCTGCGGGTGCGGTCGCTATTCATTGATTTTAGCAATGAAGTCTGCTTATCAAGTCCGTCATTGATAATATAAAAATTGTAGCTCTAAACTCAGCTTGTTAGTCTGTGAGAAATATCGGGTCTTGTTCAGCACATACCCTCGGGAACATGTGCTTATCTATCAAGTGAAGTCTTCGTTTCTGTGGAGTCGAGCATTTTCGATCGCATGTCTCAACAAAACATCCGTACTAATTGCGCGTCAATAAGTATTCATTAATCAATCTCGAATATATAATGGTCTAATAAAAGACCATCCATCACGTACAGTTTTGTCACCGCGTTCCCTGCGAGCGGCCGCAAGAGGATCATGGTTCTCTTCAATATGAAGATTTAGGAAATGTGCAGTAGGAAAGTTCTTGCTGCACTGAGAACAACGATTGACATGCGCTTGAAGGTAATGGACCTCATAATCCTCGTAGGAAGCAAAAGCGAGAGTTTCTCGATGTGGCGGTAACGCACAATGCATGACCTCAGCGACGGGGTTGGAGTCACTCGCTACAGTTGTCCTTTGCAAGGGTGGCGCTGTGGTTTCTGGGTCGTCTGGAGAGTTTCCCTGTGATTCTAACTCTGATAAAGAGCAAGAGTGGCTCCGGGAGCGTTTCGCCATGCTTGCGAGATCACCTGTGAACTTGATGTGTCGTGTCGATGTGATCGATCCACTTTGCCTTTTTTGGCGGGGCGCTTTCACGCATAGGCGGAACACACTGCCATCCATCTACTTGCCTTCGATCTTCAGAGTGCTAATTTTTTTGGCTAAGATGAAACAGATGAATAAATCAGTTTTCTCAAGTTGAATTGTATACCATGATTTTTACTCCAAAAATTACCCTCATACAGCAATTGGTCTACAATTTCGGATCTAAGTGGGAATTACCCACGTCCTTCCTATTCATAGATAAAATTCAAAGCTTTATAAATACCGATTGAGCTCATTCCTAATATAAACCCATCAAAATACTAAACTGCCGTCTGTGATGGGACAATCGGATACCCTCCTCTCGTCTGGGCCTTCAATTCACCTGCAATAACCTGCTTCGAGCGCCACGCAGCCCACTCAGTAACTGAACGCGTCTCATCATCCTCTCCATCTCCAAGTAAAGGAATCACGCCACCCTTAAGTCGGTTCATCGTAGCATTATTCCGCGCTCGAATCAAATATGCCAAGCTCTGCCTGGGAACAGTTGCCTGCTCACCCGGTGCCGTAATAACACGATGCAGGGAGCTTCGTAACAGCCCACCAGTCCATTCAACAATTGTATCACCAAGATTAACAAGAGCAAATCCCGGCTCTGGCTTAACATAACTCCAGTTCTCCATTTTGTTTTGTTTTCCGGCAGGAAGAATTTGTAGGCCACCAACTACGTGGAAGAGAAGGGTGGCTGTCCCGATATCTGTGTGGCCGCCCAGTGTGATGGTGTCGTATTGTGGAGTTGATTGTGATTCGGTGAGAAGGAGTCGCACTGAAGTCTCTGATACTTGATCTAGAGGGCTGAGCGCATTTAGTGTGCCGGGTGGGAGGCCTAATTGTTCATCTAGGCGGGACATTATGACGCTGATGGCTGCGTGTGAATGCTGGATGAATTGCACAACGTTGGATCTGCTGTGCTCAATTGTTTCGACGTATTCGCGTGTAGGGCGGTTTCCCATCATGTCGTCTTGATTAATACTATACAGCTCCATGCAATCCATTTTCCCGTCATCGGTCTTCAATTTACCCTTCTGTTTATACCTAGAGGCAGTGTTAGTTTATTGGGACTCACAAACTGGGGGAGAAATATTAGGCTTAGTTAGGTACCCTGTTAGATCATAAGGAGGATTGTAGGCGTATTTATCAAGAATAGATTGGTCAAGACTGTAAGTCTCCCTCGTAAGATCGTACATCTTCTCTGCATCTTGTAGAAGCGTTTGTCCATCATCCGATTCTCTTAAGTCTAGTAAAAAGAATCCCCATGCACGACAGGCCTCATAAAGACGTTCGCTCTCTTTTATGTCGCCGGCTTTTAGTGCTTGAAATGACACCGTCGGCAGATCATGAATGGGCGTGTCTGCGGGGAAAGGAGGACATTCTTGAAAGTATTTGGGAGTCGGCATTTTGCGCCTGGCTTCCCCCGTGGAAAATTAATTGTAGATAATCTTGAAATGAACCGAAAGTATTGAAGGGATCAAATGTTTGAGAGAAATTTATGCCATATTATATATGCGGGCTGTCTTCTTTATTCTAAGGTTACACTCCAGGATCGATTCTTATTTTTAGTTTAGCCCCCATCCGCCTAGTATTGAAAGACACCCTATCACATCTCTTAGAAATGAGCCCGCCTTCATGGAACTCGGTTTTATGCGAGCGGGGGAAAGAAAGGATTAAATTAGGGAGTAAACAGTCGGACTATGTTTTTCTATTATACAAATGGGGCTAAGCCTCAAATGCTTGTCCCACACCCCGGGAGAATCAAGAGCGGCCATTCGCAGGGTTTACGAAGCATTATGCCAACTATCTTCTAAATTTTAGATTGGGCACATGGTTTCATCACCGGATGAAATGAGCCCCCGATATCTATGTAAAAATCCCGAGTTTGTACCCACACGCTTCGGCCGGAAAGCGTAGCAGTAACAATATCCTCGGATCAGTGCTATATTCCAAAAACATGCAAATAGCAATGCACTCTTTCCTAATCCTCCCCTCTACCCAAGGCTGCCACTCAGATAAGCAACACATAAGTCCCATCCAATGCGCTAGAATAATCAATGCAGGGGGATCTCTTTTCCTCAAGAGAGTCATAAAGTCGCACTCCAATCTCCCCATAAATGAAGCAACATGTGCCGCATTGGGGCCATTCGGTTCCAGCCCCACAAGTTTAGACAAATATCTTAGTGGCAGATCATAAACACTTGAAGCTGGTGTGCTTTCTTCCGTGATACCGCACAGATCCGCCAATTCCGGATCAAGACCTTCTCGGCCTGTTTTCTCCTCCTGTTTGAATATCTTATCTCCTTCCTTGTCGACTTCTTTGAAAGCTTCACCCCAAATACTTTTAGATAGAAGTGAGGATGCAAGTTGTAATATGCAGCTTAGTCCACTTTGAAGAGCCAGCCAATTCAGAGCTTCGGGTTTATTTGTTAGGACCCAGGAGTCTGTTACCTCGAATTTCTCAGGGCAGATTGTCATGACACCCATTAGCATGCATGTGGAAAGAAGGGCATCTATGTTTCCTTCATGGATCTTAGATGATAGCGCTTTCTGGTAGAGGCTTATGGCTTGTTGCCAGAAATAAGACTCGGCGACAGATCGCTCTTTGTTAGGGGCGTGGCGGTTGAAAGTCAGCATGCCGACCCCCAAAAGCGTATACATCAGATAAGGGTTCTATAAACAAGAGTCAGTGTCATTTTAAAACAGGATAATATACTCTGGTCCCATTGCAGAATCTACGATAGGGATACTCACAGCAAATGCAACACGTATCACGTCCGTCTTCATAACGTCGCGAATACAAGGAGTAGGTATGGTATCGGTTGAAAATCCGACAAAATACTTGAATGCGACTGTGCTAAGCGGGCCCTGAGAGGCATTTCTGGACAAAACATAAGGATTACATTCCACGCCAAGACTCAACGTCTCCTTAATGCTGTTCGTGATGCTGTCAAGACACATAGAGGATAACAAAACACTCGGTGATGGAGACGAAGCATCATCTCTGCGGTGAGTTGCCTCTGATTCAGAGGGATAGCCGCACTCAATTCCTCGTGTCTTGCATCTTTGACATATAGGTTTCCCTTCGTCACACTATAGAATTTAGTCGTGTGAATTTCCTAGAAAAAGGCATATTACGCACCTTGACTCTTCTTCTTTTACATGTTAGACATCCACTTCGGGATTTTTTATGTGCTCTTCTAGAATGGAATTCGGATTGTCGTGGTGTCCGTGGAGATACGCGAAACACAGTCTGAAGGGTATAAGCGGCGGGCCCTTCAGGTGAACTTTTGTCCTCTCCAGATGTGTGCTTCAGCCAGCGACGATTAGTAGTCATGGCTGGATGATATGGCTCCCCGTCTTCTGTCTGGACTGATTAAATTGGACATTGAAGGAGAAGATTTACTTCAGCTGAGAAGATAATGAAAGATAAGGTTAAGCATCGCCACGCTCATGGTAATCACGTGGCGGGGTTATACGAGGCAGCCGCATGAATCCAAAGGCGCCAAGGACAGAGATCTCCATGAGTTCAGAGGAATTCTAGAAAATAATACAAGTAGGAATGGTTTATAAAGTGATACAATGCAATGAGCTAAGGCCCCGGGTATTCAGCCTCATCGATCTTCTCCACTCGAGCAAATCAAAGTTGGACTTCTAGTTTGAGAAGCTCTACTACCCAAGGAACTAACCATCCATCCTTGAAATAAGATGCCAATATTAACCAATCAATTGTATAGCCCTTGTAGCTTGAATAACAATACACACTAAAAACATACAGAGAGGGGTTCCATCTGATCTAAAGATCGTTTACATGGCGAGAAAAACCACATCTCATAAAATAAATCATTCATCCAAGGCAAAGCACAAATCCATTCCAGGTTTACCCAAATCAACACACGGTAAACGCCTTTCCGAGGCTGCATCAGAAAATATGAAAAAGAAACATAGAATAAAGCTTTCGTGGTACATATGGCAAGAACACGGGAGAAACGAAAAGGGAGAAGGAATAATATATATGATGACTTGTTCTCTTGATAAGACATCAGAGACATTACTCCTCATCCAGACTAGGCTCGGTTCCATTCGCGGTACTGCCAATATCAAAGTTGGAGTTGTTGAATGTAAGCTTGAGCTTCGGTTGGGCTCCAGGAGTGCCGGCAGTCAAGGGGGTGTCAGTGCCCGAGGCGCCTCCAGTTGACACACCGTCGCCAGCGATGGAGCCAGGATCATCAAAGTTGGAAAATTCGGGGTGTCCCTCGGACTGTTTCTTCAACTCCATAACGCATTTGGCCTTTGGTAAATAGTTAGTATAACGGACAGAATAAAGTAATTTAATTTTAAGATAGGATTTCTTACCTCAATGTCATTAGCATCCTGGAACAAGATACTGCCATCCTCGTTATACGTTCTGGCGTTCTGACAAAGCAGATGTACGTCGTCCCGGAATTCTTTCAAGCTCTGGTAGTCATCGCGCTTCAACTTCTTTTCGATCTGCTCCATTGCGATTGGATTCTTGATGATCATGTAGTAGTCTGGATACTGGGAGCGAGGCGGAGGCTTCATGAACGGATCAATGATCGCACGCACAAGCGGCTCTTCTTCACTATCCGAGCCTTCGGTCGGTATTTCTTGCTCCATCTCCTTCAGCGACTGAATAGTGCTGGTGACTATACGAGTTAGGGTGGCGCGATCGGCACCGCTCAGAGTTTCGGGAATCTTGGGCTGGCGGCCTCTTTTGCGCTTGGGCTGAGGATTCTCTTCAATTGGCTCTTCCGCCTTTCGCTTAGGTGGAGGGCCACGGCGACGTCCTTGCTTCTTTTGAGGAGTTTCGGACTCTTCGTCAATAATTGATGGCTCTGGTTCCGGTGAGGAGTCTGGAAGGCCCGCCGCCCTCTTGTGCTTCTTATCCTTCCGGGCAGCACGTTCAGCAGCACGGCGTTCGTTCCTCTCAATGACTTGGTCCAGGGTGAGTCGGCCTTCTTCAAGACCCTCCATAGCGTCCAAGAATTGCTGTTCCGATAGACCATCATCATATCGAGTCACCTTGCGCTCACGAGCACCACGTCCATAAACTTCAGCCTCCACATCTTCAGTAATGGGGTTGTCTTCTTGAAGGTAGATATCTGGAAGTTCTTCCTCGCACATCAGGCGAGGGTAACGTTTCCCAGGGCCGTATGCACCGGTGAGTGCTCGCTGCCTGTCCATCTCTTGGAAGATTTTGACCTCCTCTTCTGAACGAGACATGATTTCATTCAGTTCATCATCGTCCATTTCTTCCTGCTCTCCAACTTGATCTGCAGCTTCTGCGGTGTCTAAGAGGGTTCGGAGAAGAGCATCACGTTCTTCGTTGGTCGACTTGTTATCGAACTTTCCTGCTTGGATAACCTTGCCATCCATGTCCAGCTTGAACTGTGCACGCTCCAGAATCTTCTCTTCGACGGAGTTGGAACTAATGAGTCGCAAAATTCGGACCTCGTTCTTCTGACCAATACGATGCGCACGATCTTGTGCCTGCAAATCTTGGTGAGGATTCCAATCTGAATCATAGATGATGACAGTATCAGCGGTCTGCAAGTTGAGACCCAAACCACCAGCACGAGTAGAAAGCAAGAAGCAGAAATACTCTGAGTTGGGGTCATTAAAGACCTTCAACAGATCCGATCGGTCGTCAGACTTGGTAGAACCATCCAGACGAAGGTACTTGAGGCCACGCATACGAAGGAAATCCTCCATAATGTTCATAATTTGAGTCATTTGGAAGAACATCAAGACACGGTGACCAGTGGCACGGAACTTGGGCAAAATACGGTCGAGCAGTTCGAATTTACCTGCGGTTCGCCAAAGAAGATCATTGGTCATGCGAGTAGGGTTCATTTGATCCTCAACGGGCTCAAAGACAAAGGGATGGTTGCAAAGTTTACGCAGCTGCATAAGCATGTTGCTCAATCCACGCATTCCAGTCTTACCACCCTTGCCATCGCCGACAGCAATCTTGTTGTGTGTGACAAGTTGCTTGTAAAGCTTGGCCTGCAAGGCGGAGAAACGACATTTGACGACACGTTCCTGCTTGTCGGGTAGATCCTTCTCCACGTCCTTCTTGAGACGACGAAGCAAGAACGGGCGAAGCACCTTGTGCAGACGACGAATGACTAGCAACTGCTCTTCTTCACTCAGGTCCATGCGGTCTTGGCCACCAGTATTGGCAAACGGGGTATTGAACCATTCATCGAACGACTTCACAGATTTGAAAATGTTGGGCAGAACGAAATTCAGTAGGGCCCAAAGTTCGGGAAGGTTGTTCTGCAACGGGGTACCAGTCAAAATCAGACGATATCGGCTGTTATAATAGGAAGACAGAGTGCTGCTCAACTTCGAGTTGGCGTTCTTCATACGATGACCCTCATCGACAATCATGTGGGTCCACTTGATTTTGCTCAAAATAGGTCGATCCTTAATAATATATTCATAAGTCGTGAGAAGAACCTGGAAATTGCCCCAGCGGATCTGCTGTTGCTGCTGCTTTCGGGCGTTGGGAGGACCCTTGTAAACAACCTTGGTGACAGAAGGTGCCCATTTGTCGAACTCGATATTCCAATTAGTCAATGTACTGAGGGGCACGATGACCAGGAAAGGACCGTTGTTCCTCTTCTTCTCAATGATGTGAGTGATCAAACTGATGGTTTGAATTGTTTTTCCAAGACCCATCTCATCTGCCAAGATACCGTTCAGGTTGTTGTTGTACAACGAAATCATCCATTGCAGACCCTTCAGCTGGTATTCTTTAAGCGAACCGCCAACAAGCATACTAGGCTGCTCTGTAACCTGTTCCCTAATACGATGAGCCACGGCGTAGTAATCGATCTTCTTTTTGTTGGGATCTTGCGTAGCTTCATCAATGTCACTGTCAGCAAGCTCCTCCTCTTCCTCTTCCTCCTCTTCATCATCTTCGCCATAACGCTCAGCTTGGTTACGCTGTTGCCTCCTAACTGAAGCTGCAAGCTCCTTCAAGAACTTGTCAGTCTGGTTGAGCAAGTGTGAAATACGAGAATCCTTGGCCTGGCCAAGCAGCTTCATGTAGGTCTCCTCATCGTTGGCTTTCAGAGCCTGGAGACGCTGCTTAGCAGTACGCTCCACGCGTCGTTGCTCTTCCTTCTCCATGTACTGGTGATGAGAAACCATCATGCGACCCAATTTCTGAGAGCGGGCGCGATTCTGGTTCGAAGCGTTCACGAGCTCTTGGCCGTGCTGGAGAATGGCCTGGAGTTGATCATACTGCTTCTTCTTCTCGCGCGTGTCGCGAGCTTCACGTTGCTGCTTCTCAAGAGACTCAGTAACACGAGCTTCACGCAAAGTGGGCTTCTTCAGACGCCGATGAATTGAACGATTTGCAGTCATTCCTTGGCTGTAGTGAAACATCTCACGAGAGATGGCATCACGAAGCTGTTGCTGTTTAGAATATTTGTCTAGAGCTGCGAGCTCATTGTACACTTGGATCTTCAAGGAATCGTCGCGAGTCGGTGCGTCGGACTTCCCTGTATCCCACACGCCGATTGAGGCAGATTGCTGAGCAAGTTCATCTCGGCGACGAGCCATTGCATGTATGACAACCTCCTGGCGGCGGGCACGGATCTCCTGCGAGTCCAGACCATAGGGCCAAGAACCAGGGACAGAAGGACGATTTTTGCGGATGCGGTATTTTTGATAGTTGATCTGGCCACTCAAGACGGATGGAAGCTCAAGGTTTTTATACCAGTCTTGCTTCGGGACAGCATCATCGTTGCTTGTAGCAGGTTCAACTGACCCCTTCTCCGCATTCTCGACAACCTTCTCCGCCTCCTTCACGGCCTTCACCCGAGATGGTGCAATTACTGAAGCGTACTCCTGCTGGCTTTGAAAATCGGCTGCCGTGAGCGGTTGGTTGTTCTTTGCTTTCTCGTACAACATCTGTTGGTGTCTAAACAGATCATATTGAGGCTTAGACCATGGTCCACCACTAACAGTTGGGGCCTTTTGACCGATATTCTGGGGTTGTCCTTGGTTCGCACCAGAAGCAGACGGGGCAGATGCATTTTGGCCTTTCATTAACTGTCAGTATAAGAAAATAGAGAATCGTAGGAATGAGACTAATATTGACCTTGGGCGCCATTGGCAGCAGCGTTTTTTTTCTGCTGATAAGCCATAACTTGCACATAGACCGAAAGGAAGTATTTATATCGTTCTTTCTTGTCGGAGGGCAAATCCTCGACACGAATGCCCTTGGCATCCATTGATGCCTTCATCTGTCGAAGTTTCTATATAAAATATTAGGGTGGGTCGGAGGGATAGGCGACAGTGAATGAATCGATGGAACATAGTGAATGAATGGAGAGGGTCAATATCAATGGGGAATGCCTAGTGGTACATACTTGAAGGATATCCTTCACTTGGTCGCCTGTCAAGTTCTGCAGAGGATTCACACCCTGACCCTGACCTGGGTTGGCGCCATTGGGTGGCGCCAGATTTGGCGCCGACTGTGTGGAAGCCATTATGTGCGTGTCTTTTTTAATTCATAAGTTGCGACAATGCGTTGGGGAATAGGACCAGATCGATGGAGATGAAGACGCGAAGCTAGTTAAAGTCGCGGGCTCCACTTGGTACCTCTGATATGGTAGGTCGCGACCGGAAACTAGGGGGTGGAAGCCTAACTATGGGAAGGGTGGCAAAGCAATAGGCAGGGCAAGTTTGGGAGTTATGGGTTGCCAAAAGGGGACCAAAAAATGATCTTGGCGAAGGAAGGCGCGATGGTAGGCGCGTGGTCGGGGATGCGATCGATGAGATTATGGGGAGGGGGCCGGGGTCCTGTGGACAAAAGGGGATAAAGCGAATTAATGGGGATCACCTGTTGGGTTTCGGGTGAGAGCCTCAAAAAATGGTGAATGTATCAAAGGCGGGGAGGTTGGCGCGTGGCCGTGGATGATAATGGAGATGGAGGGGACCGAGTTGCGCGACGCTCTCTCACTCGGGGAAACCTGGGTGCTCTCTGAGTTGGTAACAACAGGAAGGAGGAGATTTCAGTGGTTGTCACGTGTGGTTAGCTGACTCAGGCTGGTCTGTGCTGAACGCGGAAGCTCGGTCTCTCCACAGTAGTCTTCAGAACCAATCAGATGTGACCACAATCTCCAAATGGCAAGCACTTGAGGCAACAAGGCATCAATTTTCCCGACCATGGACAAAACATGGACAAACTTCTATCGACTCCAGATCATGAAGCTTCTACATACCTCGGCACTTCATAGGGTCTATCGTCTACGCACAGAGATGGAGAATTGTCACTGACAAAGCATGGAGCAATTTGAATTACCGCACACTCTAAATACTTTGGACTGGATCGTACGCATGCACGATTCACCTTGTTTGAAAAGACGCAAAGTCAGAGCCATAAAAAAAAGTCAAGCGAAGTTAGGAAAGAAAACCGCGATACCACGATTGGTAAGATCAACAGTGAAAGGAATGAAAAGGTATACTGCCAAGGCAGCAAACGCGTAAAGATCCAGCGCTAGAAGAAGAAGAAAAAGATAAGAATAATCAACCTGACGCTTGCCATAGCGGTCCGAAACGCCTCAATCCCACCAATTCAGAAATACAATACACCACATCTCATGCCTACGCAGTCGAGAGAGTTGTCAAGCTTCGCTTGACTGGAGGAGGGGGTGGTGGGGGCTTCTTCGCACGAGATGGTGGTGGAGGTGGAGGTGCTTTCTTCGTCAGTCCACTCGCGTTCAGGGCGGTATTACTAGGTCGTCGAGATGCCACACTACTGCCATGGGACGTAGCTGGCGAGCATGATCGATCACCGTACAAACGCTCTGGACTAGAGCGACCATAGGAGCCATAGGAGCTTACTTCGGAATCGGCGTAAGGATCAGCGTTGGTTCGCGTGTTTAGCAGGATGCTGTTACGACGGGCCGGAAGAGTATCGCTGGCAGTTCGTTGGATCCACTGAGAAGCAATCGGAGATTGTTCCTGACGAAGTTGCGCCGGTCCCTCGAAAGTCGGAGTTCTACTCAGAACTGGTCGAGAATAACCATGGCTCACAGGGGTGAGGTCTCTTTGGACATCTCTGGGGAAAGTATCTGCGACATTCGATGAAATGGTTCTAGTCGGCCTGATAGTGGCTCGGCTCTCTACGGCGCTGATCATTTCCTCCTGCACAGGTTCATACCGTTCCTGGTACGAATGCGCGGTGTTTGGATGGGGTCGTGTAGGACGGCGTGTAGGCGATGGGCCGCGACCAGTGCTATCGTTCAATGTTAGAATTTGGTAACTAGAGAGGCGCCAAAATGTGACAGGGTTGTGGGAAACTTACCCTCCAGGCCATTCATTCTTGAGTTGGAGAAGAGTCTCTCGGCACCGGTCATGGTATTCCAGCTGAGCATCCAGAAATTGGCCCAGATCCATGACGCTGTCGGCTTCTCCCTCCTTAATGTCCTGCATGCGGCGGAATACGTCCTCGTTGGCTTCTTCGTATTTGAATTTTTGCGTGCGGAGCTCTTCCTCTACACGGAAATCCTCTTTCTTAGCTTTTTCCATCTTAGAAAGAGACGTATCGTATCCCAAGCGTCGGCTATCTAGCTTCTTGCGAGCTTGCTGGTACTCTTTCATTTGAGTAAGAGATCTCTCTAGGGATTCAAGCCAGCTCGAAGTCGCCTGTGTAATATAGCCCTCTTGGATGCGAGCAATTCGCTCCTCGGTCCTGCCGAACACTAATTTCTCTGTCAGCCATATATTCTAGGATGTAGAGTGTCTCAGGGTCGACATACTGATCAGGCACTGCCCGTATTCTGAGTTTCCGTCAAAATCCTCTCCATGGCTGACCATGCTGGTTCCCAGATGGGCCACTGGTAGAGTCTTTTCCTTATCATCTCCCTCACTGCGCTTTGAGACGGCCTTGACGTAGCCAGTCATGGACTTATGAATGCGATCGACGCCTGAGGATTCACCAGACGTTAGTAACAGAGTTGAGAACCCATCACACGGGTCAGATTTATGTTTGTTTTACCTTCATGTCGTACATTCATCTCGGTTTCCATGGCCTTGAAATCATCTGTTTGGCAGGTCTTGGCCTCTCCACCCATTCTTTCTCCTGCCCATTGTTTAAATCGACCGATTCTCTTGTTCACATGCATACTGAAAGATGGCGATTTTCTAGGATGAGAGGTGGGTGATAAATAGCTGAACTAATCTCGAGATAAATTCCACCGGGACAAGCTGCCAGCGATTGGGTGGAATGCAAATGGTGACGATGGTCTTTTTGAGAAAAACGATTGTAAATCGGTCTGGACAAGCTGTTCAGACCAAAGAATGGTAGTAACTTTTGGGTGAGGTCAAGGGGGAGGGGTTGGGAGTGTAGGAGGGGAGGGAGAGAGAGGAAAGGGAGGTTGGGGAGGGAAGGCAACTCTCAAGGGGAGAGGGGAGAGCAGGCTGTAGATAATACAATAAGATTTAGCCTGCAAGCGCCAACTATAGTCTAGAATTCAAAAATTTGGATTAAAATCAATTAATCATTTTTAACGGACAAAAGGCAAAGAAAGAACCCCGTAATAGAACAATTATGAATAATGAATATTGTTTCTGGAATTTCTTTCCCCCCCCCCCAATGCGTTCCACTGCATGCAGTCTCTCTCCAATGTCGATCGGTGGGGAATGTACACAATACAATGTGCCTCAATTGAAAGCTTCTTGTCCATTCCCACTTTTCTCTCCAAATCTCAAACTTAGAATCCCAGCATCCCAATGTTCTAAATACCGAAAATCAACACTTTACAATCTGGTTAACCTCATCAATGCTCTCCACCCCTTTTTTCACTCTACCCAATGGCGACCCACTGGGAAATTGAAAGTGTTTCAAAAAAGGCTCGACCTCTCGATGGCGGCTAAAGGTGACACGCGTTAGTGGACCATCGGTGGGGAACCCACAATTCCAATTGGAAGACCAGGAACTCCATCCCGGGTGTCTGAGCTGTACTATAATTATCTTTTTGAGCAACAGAATTGACTCGCCACTGTGCAGGAAACAGGGTCTTCGGTGGATAGGTCACTTTGCAATCCAGGCGCCAATCGAATCAACCCCCGGCGCCTGTCGTGATAGTTGATAGTCCAACGGATGCGTGTCGCCTGCCGATCGCGACTCATGTCAATCACTTGGCTTTTTGGCTTCTTGGCTTTTGGCGTACGTACAATGCGGGTGCACGGTGCACCGTTTGAGTCGGTCTAGTCTTCCACGGGGTTTCGTCCATGTTTCAGTTCATCCTTGCCGATTTTGATGCCAAGCTTACTGGTGGTGGCGATGAAGATAGCCACGTCGAATCACCGTTGATGTTGGAATGCGACTTCATTTATTCACTCCGTTGCCTCCATCCTTCGGGGCATTGAATGCAGGGACGTCCTCGGTGCATTCACTCCACTCTACTCCGATGTACTCTGTACATCTGTGTGGAATAATGACTAAAGTTACTTAATGTATATATTGCTTTCAAAGTTTTGATCTGCTACCTGGTCTCCACTGACGGCGGGTGAGCGATATGTTGATCATAGCGCTGATAAAGACACGGGGTAGCGTACACCCCCCAATTCCTTAATTATTAGCTAAATCATATCATAAATTAAATTCATTGCTCATTGTTCATCGTCATCGTACAACACATCATATGTATAATAGAAACACGGACAAAGACCTGAGACCCACACACCGCGAGGCCTCAAGGAACCAGTTCGCGACCAATGCTATTAAGGCGCAGAAAGAATTCGGGGATCAATGTAGACCGAGCCCAATGAACCCCCTTTTTCCTCCGCCGCCAACAAAACATCAAACTCATTCCAACCGTCAGCAAAGCCAGGAGGAATCTCTCCCAACCGAGCCGCCGGGGTTCCGTCAGGAAGCGCGCAACCTCGCCCAATATCTAAATTCAGATCCATTCCGTCCCCAACAAACCCAAGCGGCGAAGGCATCGCCGTCAAAGGGGTCATAGATGTTTCAACTTCAGACAAAGTCCCCTCAGACAAAGTCTCAGGTGATAAACAAACACCATTCTGAACCATACTATCCACATACTGCCCCGGCGTAACGCCGAGCAACTTCTTAAACACCCGGTGGAAATGGCTTGGCGTCAGCCCTGCATGAACTGCCAGGTCGTGTAGTCGGGGCTTCAGCCCTGCAGCGACTTGTTCTCGAATAATCTTGCATGCCTGCTCAACCATCACAGCTTGTGGGTTGCTTTGTGCTGCTGTACCGCCCGTGTGTGGTCGACAGCGCTTACAGGGCCGGAATCCTGCTTTCTCGGCTTGGGAGGGGGTATCGTAGAATTCGACGTTCGCGCGCCGGGCCAGCCGGGCACCGCAGGAAGGGCGACAATAGATCTTTGTTGTAAGGACGGCGTAGACAAAGCTGTTAACTGTTGTGTCGCGTTTTGTGATTGCTTGCCACCGCTCGGCGGAGCTGAGGGCATCCGCGATTCGATTCAGGCGGGGTATTTTCCGTGGGGCAGTGTGTGAGGCCGCCATTTTTAATATTGTCTGTACGATTGTTTAATGCATTTTTCGGGTTTGGAAACTGAGTTGTAGGAAAAGTAATTAATTTTCGAAGGAAGATTGGGGACTTGAAGAACCTTGGCTACTTCAATGTTCGTCCTTCCCTTCCTAGCCGCTGATTGGCCAGTTTAAGATCAATCATTTGAATGCTGAAAATCTACCAAGGCTGGCACCAGATCATGATATTTCTCTACTAGTAGAACACTGTTTGGTACTCTGTGATTATGATATTGATATTGCATTTCTTTGGGATTAAAATTACGGTAGTGGTGAATTCACTGCATGTATATCTTTTACATCCATTTGACAGCGAAATGACTCAATATATTTCTGAGGTTACTAGTATGTACATAGCCGAGGGCGATTGGGGATCAGTCTTGAATTGTTGCTGCACCTAATAGTACCTATACATTTCAAAACCCAGATCCGATACCAATCTAAAAATTTGCATCACTCCAGGACTTTGCACGACTATCGCCACTTCTAATATTGTCGTTTTCATTGAATACTTCCAAAGTTGAATCTGTTGAGCGGTTGCGGCCTCGGCTGCGGCTACCTGCGATCTGTATAGAATGCCATATTAATAAAATAATGGCGTTAGACAAAGTAACAGCAGATGAACAGTTCAGAGAAGGGTAATTCAAAGAGGTCTTGCAAAAAAATGCCTACTGGGACACTACCCGATCAATGAAGTATGGAATAATAAACCACCCCTGCGGAGCATCATCCTTCTACTGACCACCGTCGATGTAGTGTGATTTTTCTGAGATGCTTAACCAAGCTACATATTTGCAAGTCGGCATAGGATAGCTTATAGGTCGGCAGTTGGTTAGTAAATCACCAGAAGGCGCAGTCCCTCAAACTATTGCCGGGTACATCCATACACATCTAGCAATAGTATATCATTTTGAATAGCTGCAAGGCATCTAAATAGGTAGGAAGCCTTTGCCTGTGGCTAAAGAACAAACGAGTCTGTAGCTGACACTGGCACTTGGCTTGGAAGATAAATAGTGCTACACATGCCGTACAGGCAAGAGGCGAGAGGCGGGAATTGGAGACCGCACCGTGGGCAGCTTTAAATAAGGAAACAGTCTAAAAAGTTTACTGCCAAGGTTTCCACAGATCTACGTAAAGAGCATAAACCTTACTTGGCCTACAGCATTGATCTAGAGGGTCGGGCATCAGGACGTTTTGAAGTTTCGAAGGTGTATCATTGAGCCCTATCGGACCATTTTTGATTTTCCGTCCTGCCCTTGACATGAGGCCAACCCCGGACCCCATTCCATCACCCTTTTTGTTGTTATGATAAAAAAAAGGATGGCGATCACAACCTTGATTCGCTAAGGGCGCATGGGACGCGTATCCGCAGTCGCCTAGATACATATGTCTCGTAGCAGAAGTCCATTTTCAACCCGTCACAAAAATAACTCCACAAAACATCACTACCCTTAATCCTTGGTCTTCTGGGTACCACGGAGCAGACCAGTACGGCGGGCAGCAATGAGACCGGCCTTTTGACCCGGGACGGCGTAGCGAGAGATGGTAGAGGCCTTACCGATATGCTGGTGGTTACCACCACCGTGAGGCTGTAGAGAAAAGATTGATTAGAGATAATTCCAAGTGTACCAAACTGCATCCAGTTGTAACTTACGTGATCCACGGGGTTCATGGCAACACCACGAGTCTTGGGCCAAGAGTTGCGCTTGACGGCGAACTTGTGCTTGGCGCGAGAAGCCTTGAGCAAAGGCTTGTCGGTACGGCCACCACCGGCGACGATACCAACCATACCACGGGCAGTGTTCTTGATGACCTTCTTAGCACCGGAGGGGAGCTTGACACGGGTCTTGCCCTCATCGGGGTTGTGGCCAATGACGGTAACGTAGTTACCGGAGGTACGGCCAAGAGCACCACGGTCACCAGACTTCTCCTCGACGTTGGTGATGACGGTACCCTCGGGCATAGAGGCGAGGGGAAGAACGTTGCCGACGGTGAGCTGAGCGTTCTTACCAGCGTAGATGAACTGGCCAGTGTACATGCCCTCGTTGGCGATGAAGGTCTCGGTGATCATCTTGAACTTGTAGGGGTGGCGGAACTGGACCTTGGCGAGGGGAGCACCACGACCGGCATCGTGAATGATCTCCTTGACCACACCACGGGTGTAACCGTGGCGCTCAGCGTAGTCGAGGGTACGGAACTGAGCGGGGGTCTTGTTGAGACGGGTGTTGGCCGCTAAAGTAAGAAAAAAAAATCGATATCAGCAATCCAATTTCTTGCGCGAGCGTTGAGTGTTGTCCCAGTGTTCATTATCTGTTTCCATCTCCTGCTCGGATTGCAGCATTGATCCAAATTTCATTCGGGGCAGTGTTTGTGGGATTTTTGGATGCGGTCGCACTCACTGAAAATGGAGCCACGGCCCTTCCTCTGGTTGCGGATCACACGACCCATGGCGACTGTCTGTGGGAAGAGAAAAACCTGTCGTTAGTATAACTGAGGAGGACAGAGGAAGTCGGGGACGGTCGAAAGGGAAAGGGCGTACCTCGAATTGAAGATAGGCTTGTCGTTGGGAGGATGAGAAATCGTCGGAGACAGGACTGTGTGGGCTTTAGGGTGCGGTCGCTAACCAAACCCAATCAGGGTTAGCGGCATCCTGCTTACATAAGGGCCTTGGCACGTGAGTCCGCATGTTCAAAGTAGATAAATTATTTGAAGTACAGGATAACATATAATCAGTATATGGAATTTACGAAGAAGGCCCTTAAGGGTGAAATTGAAACGATAATAAAACAGCGCTACTCATCTCAGGATTTCACAACCACAGAGTCACTAGGCTATTCATTGCCCTATTCTGAATTGAATCTCAATCCACCCTCGCCTGTCGGGATGACTAACCTAGATCACATGATCTCATAGATAGCCCTGATGTGGTCCATCATCATCATCATTCATCCTGGCCTTGGCATCTCGGTGTCGAAGACTCCGACCGCGGTCAAGGAGAACTTCGCCACCTACCACGACCAGCATACTGTATCATAACCTTGGTTTGACACTAGCTGGACTTTCATGTGGACACCTCTGAAGTCTATAGTGACTGATACTGATAATGCGACGTAGTTGAGCCTGTTGAAGTCTTGATATGCCGTAAGCAGCTCTCAAGCATCAAGTTGCAGGATTTCGCGTTGGGACAAAACAACCATGCCATCCTGTACTCAATATCACTACAATAACTACTATTCAAACATTGCTCTACTGCCGGAGCGAAACAAATGATTTTCGTAATTTTTTTACACCAATTTAGACTATACAACTATCCTTTTCAGCTAAAAACACGTTGAGTCCTGTATAGAGCGTAATATAAAGACCAATTGCCAGTTACCTCCAATGTCCTTGTCTAGAAAGCATATGGCGTTGAATGAATCTCGGTGCGCGTAAATAATCCCTTAAATAATCTTATGCGGGCGCGCAGACCAGGCCTGACGTGACGCTTCCTTCGCGCATTTCAACTTTGTCCTTCGCATCACCTCTCATCCCCACCACCACCACATCACAATATGGCACATTCAGATTCAGATCTATCATCGCTGTCATCAGCACCGCCAACAGATGATGAAGCTGCCATGGCAGTCGACGAAGCCCCCGTCGGCATTGCGAAGTACTTCAAGAAGGAGAAGTCGGAGACTCCGCCGCCCAAGCGGGAACCGTCACCACCGCATGAACATGTCCTGGCAGATAACTCCATTATCCCCGTAAGTTTTCTTGTCGCTGAAGGAATTCCGATTGCTGGGTTTCAGAACATGTACGCGACGCGTCCATGTTCCCTTTTCTACTTGAAGGCACGTTGACTGAGCTGTCGCATTGTTTAGTTCATCGTCACGTTCCGCGCGCGATTTCATGAAGCCTTCCCTCGCAGTTTACCGCATTACGGACCCCAGGACATTGAGAGAGGGGTAGAAGACCCTATACCTGGCGAATATGTCGAACGATTGCTATGCGCATTGTTGGGCCTCGTTTTGAATCGCAAGAAAGATGTTGAGTATGGTTGCCACCCGAGCTTGATCCCGCCCAGCACCCGACCCTTCGCGCGCTTTCAGTTATTACCAGCCAATGAACATCAGAATATATCGCTAATCCACGCCAACTTTCACATAGACGAAATCACTACACACGACCGTTGGAGGAGGCCATTTCGACACATCAGTCACAGTGGCCCAAGTCATGGGAGGGCAAGAACCCTCTTCATGGGGGTCGTAGCTTTGCGACCATGTCGCCGGAAGAACGGGTATGGACTGAAAAAACATCTATAGATCCACCGACAATTCTAACTTGTTTTTACATTTCGATTTATAGCTCGAACTACTGAGGTCTTTGATACTTTGGTCTCTATCGTCGTCAGAAGCCATCCAGGCTAAGATTAAGGAATCATACAAACAGGCGCGCCATGATGATGACCTCAATCAGCCGTTATCTGTTCAACCATGGGGTCGAGATAGCTTGAAAAGGCGATACTGGCTCATTGAAGGGCAGGATGATACGCACTTTCGTCTATACCGAGAGAGTAATCCTACCCTCAAGCATATCAGCTGGTGGAGTGTCGCTGGAAGCATCCCGGAGATACAGTCTATTGCCGATAAGCTTCAGCAAGAGAAAGGGACAAATTCGAAGAAACTTAGCGAAAGGATTATAGCAGCTATCCCCCGATTCGAAGCGTCAGAAGAGGTAAGTCACAGCACTACAGCGTACGAAGGCATTGCATTAACCGAAATGAATAGAAACGCAAACGTCGTGATTATAGACTTGCACGTAAGGCTGCATTCTCTCGACCAGAACCTGGGTTCTCTATGTATGAAGGTCGCACGCGCGGGAAAAAGTTGAAGTATACTTATTCCGATGATGAGGATATTTTCTCCGATGAGCAGCCTTCAAGGCGTTCTGGTCGCAATGCACCATCCAACGCAGCACCTGCGGAGCCTCGTTCAAGATTCACAGCGAGCGGACGCCAGATCCGCTCTCGTGCCGGAGGTCTTTACGGCGAGGCCTTGCTTAGTGGACAACGCGAAGATTCCGAGGAGGAGGAGGATGAGGATACTTCAAGACCACAGAGGTCCAGGACTTCAACTAATCCCAATGGCTACTCTGGATATGCTGCTGATGACCTTGATGACCAGTCAGAAGCTCGAAGCAGTGCAAATGAAAGCGGAAATGAATGGGGGAGCGGGGGCGATGAGAACGAATTTGAGGGCGACGATGAAGGGGACAATATAAGCGGAGATGAGTCGATCATCAATGGCGAACCCCCTAGCCTTGTTGTCCAATTGCGATATGGCAAGGGAGGTGCATCAAGTGAACCTAAGCCACCTGTCGACGAACCTCCCCCCGTGCAAGATGTCCAGATGAAAGATTCCAATAATGCTGGAGACTCCACAGATTCCCATGTCCCTCTGCCACAATCATCGCAGCACACCATAAAGGCCATGTTGAATTTACCGGAAGAGACTCAGCAGGCGCAGGCGGTCCCAGTGGCACCTGTGCCATTCATCCCAAGCACAGTCACCCCCGAAATGCCGAAAGATACCCAGCCAGCTGAATCTAACGGATGGCCTGGGCATAGTGCAGGGGCTGAAAGCCATCCTGCTCCTGGAGTTCCTTCTTCGCAGGCTTGAACCGGATGAGTCAAGCCTGAGTACCAGTATATGGAGTCCTGATCATCTAGACGCTGCCTACCAGGGGTAGGCATCTTGCTCTATAAACGTTTGTCTCAATTTCTCGTGATGTATTATTCGTATGTTGTAGAGGGAGAGGGCCAGTATAGGAATTAAATATGATGAATAGAGCCATGACATCTGATTTATACTTGTTGAGATGGTTAGAAGGAGACTTAGTGGCAAAAACAAAGTCGGCGTTTAGCCAAGAAGGTTATTCTAAATGTTGGGATATAGAACAGATGATACAATAAGGGTAAATCAAGGACCGAACGCCAAAAGATGCTAATAAGACAGGAACCAAACAGTCTCCGAGCCATTGAGCCCAGCTTTCACATTAAATGCGAGAGGATATTAATCGGAACCGGCGTTGGAGAACTGGGCTTCGTAAAACTGTAGAAACTCCAGCGCCGTTAGCGACACAGCCCCTATTAGAAATCGCCAAACAAAACGGCTTATCGCGATTTACTCACTTCTTCAACTTGACCAGCAAGCTTCGGGCTGCTGCCCCATTTAGGTGGAAGCTTCCAGTTATTGACATCGTACCACCAGCGCCGAAGTCTACTGCCGAGCGTTTGTCCACTAAGCGAGGCGTTGCGGTTCCAGAATCTCCAACCGGAGAGCGCGAGTGTCCAGACAGTCCCTTGGATGAGTGGCAGAAGGACCTAAATCAATGGCAATTCATCACATTAGTTATGTGCGTCATCGCCTGTAATGGCCTACCTTGGAACACCTCTTAAGAAGTCCAAGGCGCGGCATGGTCACTTACCTGGTCTCTCACGGTAATCCATGTAATTCGTCCCCAGGTGTCTGCGTCTTTTAGGCTAGCCAGGTAACTTTGTTCGAAGCGAAGATCTGGAAGTGGAGGGAGGGTCTGGCGTCGGCGCAAAGGTCGGACTACATGCCTCTCATCGACGAGATCTGACGAGAGACTACCCGCGTCTGAAGCTGGGGCGGCAACAACAGGCCGTTTCTCGGAGGCCGCGGTGGCCGGGTTGATATCATGGGCAGCGGAAGGATTGTGCCGAATTGAGGCTGACTGAATAATTTCAGGGATCTCCATTGCGTGGCCTGCCATGATGGTGGCTTTGGAAATAGACCGGGATGATGCTTATAACCTCGGAAATAGACTTGATCTCTCCAGAATTCCATCACAAAGTAAGTGGAGCCACGGACTTTCCGCCCGGACTGTTTTCTGCCGGGCCCCTCCATCCTCCCACCTTCTCTTCTTGTCCCGCTTTTTTGTCTAAGTTCTTCTCAATCCTTAATTTCCTTCACTTCCTATAATCCAATTACCGATTTATAAAATGGCTTCCCCTCAAGGTTACCCTCTTCTGTGTCTGGAGAACCCTCTCCTCGACATCCAGGCCCGTGCCGATGCTTCTCTCCTCGAGAAGTATGGATTGAAGGCTAACGATGCTATCCTCGCTGAGGAGCAGCACATGGGTCTCTACGATGAGCTCATGAAGCTGGATGCTAAGCTCATCCCCGGTGGTGCTGCCCAGAACACTGCCCGTGGTGCCCAGTACCTTCTCCCCGATAACTCTACCCTCTACATTGGTTGCGTCGGCAAGGACCAGTACGGTGACATCCTCAAGAAGACCTGTGAGGAGGCCGGTGTTCACACCGAGTACCGTGTGGACGAGACCCAGCCCACCGGCAAGTGCGGTGCCGTCATCACTGGCCACAACCGCAGCCTGTGCACCCACCTCGCTGCCGCCAACGAGTACAAGCTGGAGCACCTGAAGCAGCCTGAGATCTGGAGCCTCGTCGAGAAGGCCCAGTTCTACTTCGTCGGTGGCTTCCACCTGACAGTCTGTGTCCCTGCCATCCTGGCCCTTGCTGAGGAGGCCGCTGCCAAGAACAAGGTATGTATCATCTCTTTCCCTAATTGATAGACCAATTCACTCACATCTTGACTTCAGCCCTTCATGCTCTCTCTTTCCGCTCCTTTCATTCCCCAGTTCTTCAAGGAGCAGCTGGACTCCGTCCTTCCTTTCACTGACTACACCGTCTGCAACGAGACTGAGGCTCGTGCCTACTCCGAGAGCCACCAATGGGGCACCGAGGATGTCGTCGAGATCGCCAAGAAGCTCGCTCTTCTGCCCAAGAAGAACACCCAGCGTGGTCGTATCTCCATCGTCACCCAGGGTACTGACCCCACTGTCATTGCCGTTGCCTCTGCTAGCGGTGATGTCGAGATCAAGACCTTCCCCGTCCACGAGCTCTCCAAGGACGCCATCAACGACACCAACGGTGCTGGGTAAGTTAAACCGCCCAATGGAAACCCAAACAACCATTTACAATATTCTAATACTGATATTAATAGTGATGCCTTTGCCGGTGGTTTCGTCGCCGGTCTTGTCGCCGGCAAGTCCCTGGAGGACTCCGTTGACATGGGTCAGTGGCTCGCTGCTAAGAGCATTCAAGAGCTTGGTCCTTCGTAAGTTGCCTTACTGGATGTCTTTGAGTCGCATAAAACTAACTTGATGCAATCATCTAGTTACCCCTACCCTAAGCAGGCTTACTCCCGCTCATAGATTGGCAAATGCCAAACCAAAAGCTAGAAATGAAGACTTTTCAACACAAGATTTCCTAAATGGAAAATCTCGGTGCATCTCAATATCAACTGATTGAACATGCGCTATCAAACTCTGGATGATTCAACCCTCTATACCCACATATTTTGTCGTTTATAACTTTTTTATGCTTTTATATGACAATTACGACTTAACGTCGAGACAATTGAAATGAAAGACAGTTTGCTCCCATGGAGCATCTTTCGGAACTCTCCGCTACGATTCCAAGTAGTTCAGGTACCATCTCCTGCGCAATCACACACGTGTACTAGTTCCAAGGTTAAGAATTTTAAATGTGATCAATGCGCCAAGAGCCTTTGCAAGTACCCTCGCCCCTTTGAGTCTTATCAAATATTTGCGTATGTCATAACCATAAAACATTTGTCATTCATTGACCATAGGCCGAGATGCAATACTTGCATCTTTAACATACATATGTAATAGAACCTATTCCCAAGCCTGTGCCCTATCCAAGAAACCATATTCTCCAGGAATACCATCCATAATGTCATTCCTCCAAACCACAGCTGTTGGAACAAGTAAAAACAACGTAGAAGCAGTGCTCATTGCGCATGTGAAAAACAACAACAAAAACAAAACGATTTTGGTCATGACAGAACTTCATATGTCGCATGAAACGGGAGGGAACAAAAGTGATAAACTGAAGGATACCAACACATATCCACAATAATTCTATGTTTCATCTCCATCGTCATTTTCGGCTGTGTCGAGTGTTGAACACGCAGTGCATTCCATTGAAAAGGATTGCCACAGGGAAAAAATGAACGGGGAAATGATCGGGGATGGTCCATATTTCATAGATTCTTAGCCTGAGATAAGACCTAGGCATAAAGGCCATAATGAACAAGTTGATCAAGTTACCCAAACCAAAACTCAAGAACAGGACCGGGCTCAAGACCGAAGCTGCATGCATCATGATAATAAATATCCGAACATGCATGGGCAACGATCTTACTGCCCACGGTTTCTGTGTTGCTAGTCTTGTCTATGAAGAATAGGGAAATAGAGCGCATCAATATCAGGTTACCTGGGAGAATCCGGTTGTGCAGGATTGGATATTTTGATATCGCCTTCTCAAATAGCTGACGAGGGTCTGGTACATGCGCCAGTCGTTATGCATATGACCTGGTCATAATACTGTAGGATTGTCGGCGCAAAAGCGATAAAGAGTCATAATCAGCCTCCCTGTCCACATGGAGGACTTTGTCCAATTGCACCAAGTTGGGTTGCCGACCTGCGGTGGCTGCTAAGGCCAGGGTTGTATTGGCCAGGACCGGATGCGAGGCTGTTGGCAATGAAGGCTTCGTTGGCCCATGCCGATGCCGGCATACTCGACATACCCTGGGTCGGCAGTTCGTAAGAACCAAATGTCATTCGGCCGATCGATTCTCGATCCCATGCGTTTGTGGGACCGGGCTGAGGTAGCGCCGGGGAGACATTAGACGCTGCCATCCACGATGGGTTGGACGATGATGCTTCTTGCGAGCTTGAAAATTGTGGTTGGCCCATAATACCATGATGGAGCAGCTCGTTGTTAATCTGATCCTGAGAAGGAGACCGCCCAGAGAGGTTGGGATTGCCTGGGGTCATTTGGTGCATTGGAGACCGTGGGCCTAGACCTGGCGGAGTTCGAGGGGATGCACCGTTTCTTAGGGGACCGGAAGAAGAAGTATTCCAGATATTTGAGAAATTGGGCAGAGTGGGAAGTGGAGTGTACGACTGAGACGAAGATGCATGAAGAGCCTCCGTCACGTTTGGGACAGGTGGACCAAGCCCAGGTGGTGCCATGGGCATCCCAAGGGACTGTATATTTTGCTCGGTAAAAGGGAAGGCATGGGGGCTTGACTTCATGTGACCAGACGGAGTGGGCATATCCCCGGTATCATTCAAGAAAGACGCAAACTGGTTTTCAAGGCCGGTTGGGTTTTCATATGTGTCAGATTCGACCAGACGCTCAACACCTTCCACAATCCCGTGCATATTAGCAGCTATGGATGCCGAAGCAGACTGTGAGCCACCGAACATGCTGCGGCCCTCAGCAACGGAATTGGAGTCTTGAGTTGGCGGTGGAATGTCCTCGCGCTCAATGTTGGCGCTAAGAAGCGTATCAGGGCGACCATGAGGGCTGGAGAAGATCTGAGAAGGCAATCCATCCTCCTGGTAGATAAATGTCTTCTTATCTTCATCGTCAATGAGAGCGATGGGGATTCTATTTCCAACCACTAGATCAAGACCATCAATGACGAATTCCCGAACGCGGTATAGCATCTCCATATTGGGATGGCTTCTTTCAATTTTAGGGTCAGTCACTCTAGGTTTGATCTCCCCATTTGGCGTACAATATCGACGGATTGTGGCTTTTTGATCTAAAGGCGCAAACCCTAGGCTTTCTTCGTCCTCTTCGAGAAGATAGTCGACCTCCGGAAGATGTATGATTTCGAACGTAGACGCTAGGAGAGTCAATGTTCCAGCATAAATCTTCCAAAATTCCTTTATTTGAATCGAAAGAGCTGAATCTTTCTCTTCTTTCTGCGCAATAAGGAAGTCACTGGTGGCCAAAAGCCAGGAGCTGTAGTGCCTCAATGCAGGCAATATCCGACGTGCAACCGCGGTTACTTTGTCTGGCCCATTATCGGTGGGTTTGTTGATTGAGTCCTCCACAGCGAATCGCTCCAACTCAACCAGTAGAATTTGTAGCAACGTGAAGAAAGTTTTCACGTTGACTCGCTGGAAGAAGATGCGTGCATTTGCCGATTCTTCAGTCGATCGCGCTCGAGCGAAATCCTCTGCAGCGATATTGACGAGACAGAATTTCTGGAGGGTGCCCTCTAAGGACCTTTGTTCTCTAATATCCACGGCCAGCTGGCTCATTACCTCACTTTCTAGCTCATCATGCTCGGGGAAGTCATTGCCTTTGTAGCATTGTGCGTGAAGATAGACAAACCAGGGAGCCAGAGCTCGGCCTGGAATGCCTGCATCTTCGGGGCGAATCAATTCTCGCTTAGCCCATGCATTCATGACCTTTCTAAATTCAATCTCCAGGTTACCCTTCGCCGATGGATGGGGATCTCTAGCGGACAAGGCCCTGTAGAGATGATAGGTAGCACGAAAGTGATTTCCATCTGCAAGTGCGATAACTGCCAACTGGTTGTGTGATGCACCAGATGTAGGGTAGACTACTGAAGCGAGATCATAGTAGCCAATGGCAGGTCCCCAATTGCGATCCTTAGCAACTAGTTCCGTTTCCCGATATCGAGAAAGATCGCCCAGACGAATGAGTGTTGCATGGCAGGATTGAAGAATTCGTTTGCGCAGATCGGGCGTGACACTGGACGGGGGTTGTGCCGACAAGTCTGGTTAAGAAAATAATTGTTAGCATCATCCCCAGCCGTATAAACACCAATAGGGCATTGCGCACTCTCGAAATTGAACTTGCGCGCAACTTTCTCCAATTCCAGAATGCCACCAAAATGGGATGAAAGATGTTGAATGTATCCACGGTAAAATCGCTGACTCGATTTGATGAAATCGAGATAATGCTTCTCGAGTTTCCGTTTCTCCACCGGCTTCTTTTTGACATTTTCCTCCTTGTGCTATTCGAATTCTCAATTGTCAGTTAAGTTTAAAGGGCTGCAGGCAGTCGCTTCAAATGGTGTGTACTCACACGAGAAAGCTTCTTGCGAAACCGGTTGTTCAGTTTCAGGTGCGCGTCCCACAGGCGACCTTCGGCATCTCGTTCGCGGGCAGCATCGAAATCAAGGAGAATGGCATTTTGGCACGCAGTGCGAAAGCTAATCGAATACAGATTCAGTCAGTGTAAGCCGAGGGGCACGCGGGTAGAAATGCGAAACTGACTCGGACAAGAATTGAGAGAATTCCACAAAGGTCGGTTCTTTCTCAGCGAGGCACCGTGTTAATTCTTGCTCAGCCACGAGCGCAATTCTAAAGATAATAAATGTGAGCAGTGAATCCAATCATCTTGGCCTCTTTCTTTCAACGAAGTCCATTTCCAAGAGGAGGGCGTTAAGGAGCACTCACTGCCACGCATCCTGGAACGTAGACGCCATACTCGGGGAGGGGATGCCCGTTAACCCCGCTGGAACAGCGCCCGTCAGATGGCTCCTATGAATACGTCGGGCGTAGGGGATAGTAAGCAAGCCATCAGTCCTGATGGGTGTGGGTTGGCACAGAAGAGTCGCAAGACCCGATATCAAGAAAAAGCGTGGAGTAAAAGGCTGGAGACTCCCCCTTTGGCGGAGAGTTGTGATTGGACTACGGGCCACGATAACGGCTGTAATACCAACAGCGCTTCCAAGGTTCCAAGGTTCCTAGGTTCCTGCCCGGGCGAAGTCTGCTCCATACTACAATAGCGCGCCTGCCCAAATGGCCGTGCCCAGGTACCTATTTCTGCGCCTGTAGTTACTAGATATCAAATTCTATGTAGCAGATACATGTACTTGTTATCATCTTATACTATATTGATCACTGTCAATTTGATTGATGGGAGTAACACTGTCAATTATTTTGATCATAACGAAATATTTTTAGACTCACAAAAACCTTTCTACTGAAATTCTCTCACGTTGTGTGATTCGGCTTAACCGGGGAGGATAGGGCATGCATTGAGGGTAAATGCCCGGCTTCCAAGGATTGGGTGTGGTAATTTACATACCCAATTTTACGCACCGATGGTAAAATAATGACTCAGCATATGGCAGATTGCGGTAAACCAAATCGGGAGGCGGTCAGACTATAAAGGCGGGTTCAGAGTCCACTAGAGTATACATAGCCCACAGGTGAATATTATAGCACTTGGAATGAACCTGTGAACGTCATGATACTTGGACTCTATAGAAAACTCTATATAATCATACTATGTAAAGGTAGATGAATAGAGCTGCTCACGGTACGATATCGTCAAAATTACCGTACCGTGAACAGCCATATAGATGAAAAACATAATTGAACGAGGCTTAAGTTTTCTAGTACTTCGTACTACTAGTAGTCCTACTAGTACTATTCGAGTTGTTCAAGTTACTAACCTCCGAAATATATTGAGCCAATTGAGGTCGCCTACTAATAATAGAACTTGAACCTCCAAGTTCAAGTTGGAAGCTAAGGCTCGATCTAGTAGTAATATATATATACTAGTATACAAAAAACTTGAAGAACCCGAAGATAAGATTGGAAACCTTGCAAGCAAACCTTTTTTGAAGATTGAAGATGAATGTGAACCCTTAAAAATTTACTGAAGTCTCAACTAAAATGAACCCTAAAAACTACTATGGCAAAATGAATACATAGCTGAAAGCCTTTGTCGAGCAGAGCAATGATAGTTATATACCTTGAACTTAACTTTGGGCTTCCAAGAATCCGATCCACACTATCCATAAATCGTATCAGGAACCTTTACCGGAATCAGCAAGACAGAACCAAGAAGATATATTGCCCCAGCCAGAATAAATGGCAGTCCAAACAAGGCAGGTCCTAGAGAAAGGCCCAATCGAAAGGAATAAGCCAGTAAAGGACCGGAAACCACCGTCCCAAACGATGTAAGAGCCGCAGCAGAGGATTCTAATGTTCCCACACGGTCAAGTCGAACCAGCGACGTCACAAAAGTACGACAAGATACCGCGAACACAGCTCCTAGCGCGAGGAGTACGATGCCCAGGATCAATACGACTCGAGAATTAGCAGTTGCCATGATTATGAAGCCGAGAGCGGAGACAAAACTGCTGATACGTGCTAATCGAAGGTCTTTCAGATTGCCTGAGAGATGGGAGTAGCGTATCAGCAAGGAGGATATGGCTAGCATGATTACCAGAAAGTTAACCAGGGTAATGATGCCGCGTAAAGAGACGAGGAGACTAGACTAGAAAGTTGTCAGCCCTTTGAACCTTTAGTACTTAGAAGATTACAAAGATAAGAAAGCTTACATTGCCAATACTCCAATCAAACCGTTTTGAAGTATACTGCAGCAGAATACTTGTTGACTGCTTGCTGATTGATGTGATGAATTGCGCAAAGAGACAGACAGTCACGGCTGGACTGCCTATCACAGATTGAGTCAATTCACGAACTTCATACACTTTCCTGCCGATATAATGCCTTATCGAGCCCTTTGTAGCCAGTTGCGACTGTATCTCTGCCTCTTGCTCTTCCTCGATGTTTACACCCACCGAGGAAATCTTAGATTTAGCATTAGTCAGAGTTTCTGGCATGAGGAAAGCACTGATTGATCCGAGAGTAGCGATCCCAAGTCCTAGCATATATGGTGTCCACGCGTCACGAGTCATTGAATACGCGCTGACGGGGGTGGCTAGGACTTCAGACAATAAAGTTGCACTAACGATTCGGAACAAAGCTGTTGCCCTATGTAAAAAAAAAATAAGTAAATGAATATCGCGGAGTGACCAGACAGCGTCTGTATATACATCTCTTCTTGAGGAAATTGGTCTGCAATAATGACCAAAGCAGTAGATGACAGGGTTATGTCCCCGCCGCCAATAAACCTCCACACCACCGACAGCCAGACCAGTCGCAATGGAAGGACAGTGGAATAAAAGCCTGCCACATATGCCTCAGTTAAGTTGAACCACAAGACTGCTCAAGTATTTCAAAGGTTCACTTACAGACGACACGGACCCAAAACTGACCAAGCAGAACCCCTATTAATCCCAAAAGAAGAACCGGTCTCCGCCCCCAGCGATCCGCTAAGACGCCATAAGGAACAGAAAGAAGGATACCTTTGATGTATTACCGTTAGTCGAAAGTGTCAGTTAAACGCTGGGGTGCAATCGATTCAACTACCTGGCAAGACATCGGATGTATCCTTCCATCCATTCACAAGAGCTAGTTCACTCTGAACAAGCTCGGATTTGCAAATATCCTCTGCTAAAGTTTTGCCCATGTTCTTCGGTAAGCCAGCTATGTAATTCTGACAAACAATACTCTCAAAGACTTTTGTTTGGGGCGCGACAGTTAAAAAGAAACCAAAGTCGATAGCAAGGATAAGCGTGATTGTTGCAATCATCACAGTTAACTTCTGTGATTTCGACGTGGGTGTTGGTTGGACTTCGCTGGACCCCAATAAAGGCCGGTTCTCGCCGTGGGTATCCATCGTGCCAGGCATGGTTGCCATTGAGCCTTTGGAATAACACAGTTGATCTACTCGTGAAATTCTTGAGCAGCGATAGGCAAGATTGAGGTAAGGAAGCATCGAATGAATATTAGAAAGGTGTGAGATTGCAATAATTGGCTACGCAATATCGGGGTGGGGTACTGGTTGCTGAAAATTATATTATCTCTCATTTACTGCTACTTGACGCTACCTAACAAAGGGATTTAGCAGCGGCGGCGCTTTAGTCCGGGTAATACCCTTGTCACTGAAGCGACAAGGCGCGGTATGTACGCGGTAGGGTAGGTACATGGTACCGATTTGGTCTTGGGCGGGGTAGGCTCGACCATTTTATCTGGAAATTTAGCGAGGGGAGCCAAAGTATGCAAGTAGAGGCTTTATATGCCGAAATTTCTTTTTTTCTGTTAGAAATAGTGCTGTCGCGACACATTCTAACCCTAAGTGGTACAAATGTTTAAGCTCCATAGGAGTGGTTGCGCTTGCCGGAAAATAAAAATGTTGGTAGATAACAGGTTACTCGAAGGGCATGATGTCTCATTGTTCTTACAAAAGGGGCAATTGTTTGAGTAGAAAATTCCGCTAGGAAGATATTTTCCATGTAAGCCTCAGTGGATTGATATAGAAAAGTAAGATGTGAACCTCGTTATCTCCCAAAAAAAAACTTCCCTCAAAACCCTGTCATCCGCATGTACAAACAAACTCCACCAGTTATCATATCCACCAAATAAAGAGAAAGAGACCAAAAAGACGTTCAATGAAAAGGAACAAGCAACTTGAACGTTTCAGCAATACCGTCATTAGAGTGGCTAGGCCACTATGTCGTAGTAACTCATGAATATCAAAAATGCGACGCCAGGGTTTTATTTCCAAAATACCAAAAGAGAGCGTCCAAAAAGTCCCCAAAGAAAAAGAAAAAAGTATAATAATATAAAAGATGAGAAAAGAGGCAGCGGGCGGGGGAGTTTAGTTCTCCAAAAGGTCTGCATAGGCATCTAGACTTGATCCAACAAGATCCACGATAGCCCAACTGGTATTTCCCTTGAATGTGCGGGCCCAGACACGGACAATGGCCACGCTCAATTGTCGTACCTTGTATGGATTCGCCATGAAATCCAGATCTGGGGCACCTGGAGGATCAACAGCCATTTCGGTTTCATCCATCATGCTCTTGATCCACAAGAGAAGTTTGCGTTCGTGCTCCGATAATCGTTGTTCCGGATGAGTAGCAGGAATAGCAAGTAACCAGCGACTCAGAAGAAATGCACATTCAAGGCTACAGAGTGAGTGCTGAATGCTCCAGAAAAAGGAGTGGGTACGCGCCACAAAATCGATACCCAGTCGGACCGGGATAGATAGAGCGTGCGCAGAGTGCAGCAGTGCCATGATCAATCGTGGGCTGCGAGCAATAGGTGGTGATTCGGTAAGAGCCCCGGCAATTTGCATTGGATCTTGAGTGATGAGATGTCGACAGGGACCTAAGTCCACGTGCAACCGGATATAAGCAAGACCGAGAAGGGCTGTCGATGTGAATGCGATAGGGCCAGCTGGATTCTGAGGGTCAATGCTAGATTCTGGGGTACGTTTCCAGAGGGCTTTCCAGGCGCTCAAGGAGTTGTCCAGAACATTGAGATCTTCCTGCCTGAGACTAGTGCCGTGCATATTGGGGGCAGACAGACAGAGCTGACGGGCAAAGAATATCTGTTGAATGATCGCGTGGATGAGAATATAGTTCCCTAATGGAGATATTGGGGCCGATGGAAGCGAGGTGGATGATTTCAAGAATAGTCGAGCAAATGCATCTTGGAAGGGTATATCAGAGCCTTGTCCTTGTCTGACACGGGAAACCCGACGCCATTGGCTTGAATTGCTAGCTTTCCACAAGTCATGGGAGGAAGGCATATTCAACTTCAACTCCCCATTCAAAATCAACGGCGGTATATTGTACATTATTGAGTGAAGATTGAAGAAACAGTAGACGATAAGTTTCGTTCGCCTGTTACCTTCTCGCCTTACCCATTCTTCCCAACTGATGGGATCTGGAGTAGGTGGTGGTTCTGTCAAGCCATGTTCACGAACGAGTCGTGCCAGTGTGCTTTGCAGAGAAAGGATCTCTCGCAGTAATTCTGGGTGTCTTTCCCAGGAAGCAAAAACAGTGAGAAGCAAGAAAGTTCGGATCACTTCCATATGAGCATCCGAATCATCCGGGGTATATATCGAAGGATTAACAGGTTGATTTGGCTGATGATGTTGGGATTGAAATGGACTGCTCGCAGTGTTTGAGATCATTGAGGACCCTCGCGAGTTATAATGGCCAGAAGGAGGAGAAATATAATTCCATGTAGGGCGAGGTACTTGTCGACTGTCGCGTCGGCGAAGACGCTCCAGCAAAATAGCTTTCGCTGCATGGAACAAGTCAATTCCTCGACCATTTTCAAATCTATAATGTGAACCAGCTGCCGCCGTCGCTAATGTGAGTTCAGGGGAACACTTGGCGATGGATAGAGTGGGCACATGTACGAATGGTAGATGCTCATTTAATCCGTTTATATAACCAGCAAAAAACCGGGATAAAGCGTGTCGAGATGGTGCCACAAAGCCTTTAGGAAGAACGAATGAGAATTCCTCAAGTTTCGAAACAAATACCTGGCGATCGTAATTGGAAATGTCCCATGCTGGTCGAGAGCCTTCATCTTGCAGTCCAATACGATCCTCCATATCGTGGGACTCAGGCTGTAGCGATGGTAACCGTGAACCAAAGTTGGAGAAAGAAGGCGGATCATCCACTTGCATTCGGGGGTCACTCATGAGATCGCCGCCTAGTCTTGCGGCCGATGTTGTATCTCGAACGTGTTGTTTTGAATCCATAGATAAATTTGGTGGCATCATCGGTTCCTCTACAGACGAAAAGACACCAGAATCCCAATCGGACGAAAGACCAACACTTTCCAAAAATACTGTAAAATCCTGGACAGGGTCGCCCAAGTCCGTAAGATCAAGTATTGAGGGCTCTAACCCATAATTATCAGTAAGACCTCTCTCAGAGGCCTGGCCAAGAGATTGAGATGGTGTGCCGACGGAGTGAGATGGCTTTCTCATCGACTCCAAACTCTCTTGTTGCCCTTCCAAAGCGACATGGCTCGCGGCATGCGACAATAAATTCAGGTCATAGCCCCAAGACGGATTGAAGTGTGGAGATTCTACTATTGGCGGTGGTTGGACCTGCACCTCTGGTGGGGGAGGAGGAGGGGGAATCTGGGTATGAACGGGGATGGCGTCTGCTAGCTCTAGCATGCGTGACTCGTGATGGGCGGGTTGAATTATGGTTGACTGAATTGGAATTTCATGATGACTGTTCTCGGTTCCGTTGTGTGTACGGTGTTCTCGACCAGCCGCCGTTTCAGCTGGATGTACTAAGCGCTCATGTCGCACCAGAAGGTCACTGTGGTTGCATGGGAATCAGCGATTGGCCCAATTGGGGAGGGATGTCATTGTTAGGGCATGGTCTTACCTGCGAGCGAACGATTTGGAGCAGATGTCACATGAGAAAGGCTTTTCTTTCGTATCTGATTTGTCCCACATTAGCCTCGAAATTCAGTAGGGGGAGAGGAGAGAAGGCATTTGGGGTTACTCAACGAGTGCGGAGATGGCGTTGGAGATGCTCCAGGCGGGCAAAGGATCGGCTGCAGTATTCGCATGAGAGGGACTTTCGGTGAGCGGCTCCCTTCTTCTTGATTTTTGCAGATTTTTCGTCGTCCATAGTTGGGGAAAGGGGGATTTGGGGATTTCCAATTTGGGTTCCAGAGAGGGGAAAGAATTTGAGGCACCTTTGGATCTGAGCGGGGAAAAATAGAACTGTGGGGTTTGGACGCGGGTGAGGGGAGCGGGGGTCACGTGGTGGTGTACAGTAAAGATGGATGGAGGAGTAAACTTGAGATCTATAGAGATATCATAGATCACATAAGATCACACACTTTGAGGGGGTCAAGGAGATATGCATGCGCATGGACTGAGAAATCATCATGGGGAATTGGCCGACCACAGGCCTCCGATATGCACGGCCAGTCTCCACCTAGTGCGGAGAGAGCGAGAGTCTATGTTCAAGCAAGGCCGGATATGGTAATGCAAACATTATGGAATTAGGGTTTGGACAGGTTTCCAGGTACGCCTCCATACGGAGATATGTACATATGTGTAGATAAGGGACCCTTGACCATAGGAATGATAATAGCATTCACCCATAGAATGAATAATTTCTCAAGGCCATTTGACCAGTTGACTATCTAACAGCCCGCCGGATTGCTACTTAGTATTTTCCCGCTTCGGGACTTTGCTCGGGACTTCCACGGAAAATACTATGTTTATCCGAGGTCTACAATCCAGACATTTGGATAGACAGAGTATAGTAAAATGGCTTTTCAATTCTTAGGTTATGTTTCACCTGCTATTCTTTGTCAATTCTAAAAATTTAGAAAGGCTGTTTTGTGAGTTATCCTATTTCCTATGATATTATTTGATAGATCCAAGATTGCAGGGCAAAAGCTTACAATATATTAGGTATACTAAGGTTTTACCAATGTTTGTAGCACAAAGTGCTATATTTAGCATTGGTAGCTTATGAGGTAATATGGGAGCAAGAAAGCTATACATTTTGTTACTAAATTGGTATCCTCCTATCACAGCACAGGTTTCACCACGGCTCAGTGGCTGTTTCAACGGTGGGGCCTAGAGTATCTTGTCCTCAAGTGGACGGCAAGACCAATTAGATGTAGATATAGACGATTGGATCTGCTTAAATCTTGAAACGTGAGAGTTCGATCGCAATAATTCAAACTGTTTGTACAGATCACAATGAGATATTATATCATAAGCCCAACATTGACTCAGTGTAGAGTATATGTTACATATGATATAGCGTGGCACCCATCAGACGAAGGATCCAAGGGATAAAGGTCTTGTGGGCACTCGTAGTACCCGTGGCCGTCTTGAAACGCGTGGGGATGGAGACCCCTTGACGCACTACCGTTTGTCTCACGTTGGTTTTCTGAACTTTTATTTTTTTGTCCGATCTCTTGTCTTCTTTTTCATCCGATCTAAATTGTTAGATCCTGTTGTCCCAGAGAGATCTTCTATATATCTGCCATTTCCCTGTCAAGTGGGGAGTTTATCGCGATAACGCCCCATCTCGACCACACTAAGTGGTCCACCAACCGATCTCGCCCCAAAAAATCAGGCTCAGACATCGCGATCAATCGTCATTCGCGATCTCCCCAATTCCAATCCCACCCGCCAGGGATTCTTTGTGTCCTTTGTCCCATTGTGCAACACAGGTCAGTAATCCTCCGTCATACCAGACATCTAGGCCCAAAAAGGATTCTTGTTGTCGTCGGGCCGGCGGCGCACATCATCACCCCTCTTGGCCCCCATGCCCCATGCGCCATGCCCCAACACCATCATCTTACTACCTGGTCAGCGAGGCTGATAAATGCAAAAGCTGACTCGAAATTCAGATCTTCAAGATTATGCGTTGACCGTCCACATATATCTCCCCGACCGCGTATCAAATCCGGCCAAAACGGCCCTTGTCTCCGCGGACAAGGGCGCTGCGAAACGTGATTAGCCGCCGCTCCAACTGAACAGACGAATACATAGCCCGGTGATATACCAGAGTTCAGAAACCATGCTGGCCAAGACGCAATACTCTGCCGGTCCCTTAGGGGTGCCAACGCCGGTGACTGCCTATCACACAAGCTCCGCGCGACCAGGGACAGCGACCAGACTGGATGGATTTGGGTTTGCGAGCCCAACGAAGTCGGATTTCTCCGAGGGTCAAGATGAACTTACGACTATTCGGTAAGAGATTGAAAGGGTAATATGGGATAGGCAGGCATCACATACTTACATCGGACAGAGCGTGGGATGAGAAGAAAGTTGTCGCTTGGCTGCATAGCATCAAATGTGGCCATTATGAATCAGTCTTCAGAGGTAGGCTTTGACTATACCCATGGTGTAAAACACTGCTAATGTGCGCCAACAGCCAATCATTTTACCGGTGATAACCTCGTTGATTGCGACCAAAAGATATTACAAGAGATGGGCATCAAGAAAGTGGGCGATCGAGTACGGATTTTTATCGCAATAAAACAACTTCGGAACAAGGCTATCGTCAACCCCAGACAGAAAAATATTGTGAGTAGCGCATACAAAGCCCAGTGAAATCAGATTCTAACTCTAGCCACAGAATAAACTAGCTGCGTTGGAGGCAGCAGCCTTATCCACGGAACCCTCGCGCTTCTCAGGTTTCCCAACTTTCGGCAATCGACGAATGTCCCAACTGGCGGAAGAATTTGGCAAATCGTCTCCTGGGGTATCTCCTTCAGACTCTGATAGGTGGCGTAAAGACTATCTTAATCAACCATCATCAGGCAGCTCAGGAAACGGTCGCAATTCTAGCATGGCGAATGATGGCTCGAGCCGAGGCAGCAATCACCCTCGCAACCCTAGTCTTGATGCTTTAACAATGGGACCGCTTCCACCTAACTCGCCAGTAATTCGGGTTATCTACACAGGAGGACAGACCAAGGTCTTGGATATTCGACATTGCAAAACACCAGATGAGGTGATGGTCGGCGTTCTCAAAAAGTTACAACTTCCAGAACACCAGTACAGGAACTATTGCTTCTACGTTTTGGATGGCTTAGACCCGGATCTTGCGAACTGCAGAAGACTGGCAGAAAGTGAGCTTATGGAGATATGTGAAGGAGTCTCAAAGTCTGAGCGCGGTCGTTTGATTTTGAGGAAAATTCATGCTGGAGAGCCCGACGACGACGAACTTCGGCGAGCATCGCAGCTGGCTGTGGATGAAAGCTCCGTTACACACCAGATTGCTTTGAACAAATCCAGTCGACGTCAACAAAATAAGATTCAACAACTTACAGGCGAATCTTGGCAGGTCATTAATACCAAACAGCCTGTTTCTCCAATGGGCTCTCGCCATCGCCATACTCCTTCTGCTGAGCAGGATCAAATGTCTCCAAATGATCAGCGTAACCCAGTAGCTAAGCTGCGTTCATTCTTCGGCCAACGACCTCCAAGTGAGATGATTATTCACGAGCTCCCATCTTTCTTCCCAAGTCACGACAAGCAAGATATCGAAAAGACAATGCGAAGATCTCAACGTCTTAGCCGCGCAGCAAGTCGTCTCAGTGTTGTCAGTAATTATAGCATTGCGTCAAGCCTTAAAGATGCACCTCCGCTACCACCTTTACCTTCAATACCTCCTATACCGCCCATGCCTAACATTGCCGATGCTTGGCTTCAGCACCAGGGTCAAGGCCAGGGCCAGGGTGGGATACCGGCAGCTCGCGCACGGCCAGTTTCAGTGTCCAAGTTCAATCTACCCCAGGCTTCATACCGAGACTCTATCGCATCGACCACACTTCAACCTCTTCAAGAAGAGTCTCCAACTACAACAGAGCCCAATCGCAAGTCCTATGTGTCGCTTGATAGTGGGTCGGATGATGCAATTCCTTCGCCCCAGAGCACAACTGGGGAGAGTGTTAGTGTTGCCACAATTGATGGCGATGACGATGACGATGAGGATGACGATGCCGATACCGACGGCTTTAATAATAGAATGAGTGTGATGGTTGCTGAAGACGATGACGAAGAGGATCCAGGTCTTACCGATTTCTTAGCTGGAAATAATTTCGCGCCCGCAAACTGGATGAAGGGTTCCCTGATCGGTGAGGGTTCTTTTGGAAGCGTGTTCCTTGCTCTGCATGCTATTACCGGTGAGCTTATGGCTGTGAAGCAAGTCGAAATTCCTTCTGCTACAAAGGGAACGGAGTTCGATCAGCGTAAAAACACCATGGTCACTGCTCTGAAGCACGAGATTGAGCTTCTGCAGGGTATGCACCACCCGAACATTGTGCAGTACCTCGGCACAGCTGCCGATGATTCACATCTAAACATTTTCCTGGAGTATGTGCCAGGTGGTTCCATTGCTACAATGCTGAAGCAATATAACACTTTCCAAGAGCCGCTGGTGAAGAACTTCGTTCGACAGATCCTGGCTGGTCTGTCCTACTTGCATAGCAAAGATATCATTCACCGTGATATCAAGGGCGCCAACATCCTCGTTGATAATAAGGGTGGTGTTAAGATCTCTGATTTCGGTATTTCCAAACGTGTTGAGGCATCCCATGTTCTTGGCTCTCGTGCTAGCAGTGGCGGAGGTGGTCATATCAATCGCCCATCTCTCCAGGGCAGTGTCTACTGGATGGCGCCTGAAGTCGTGCGACAGACTGCCCACACCAAGAAGGCTGATATCTGGAGTTTGGGATGTCTGGTTGTCGAGATGTTCATTGGCGCCCATCCCTTCCCCGATTGCAGTCAACTTCAGGCCATTTTCGCTATTGGCAGTAACAAGGCCCGTCCTCCAGCTCCAGAACATGTGAGCCAGGATGCCAAGGAATTCCTGGATATGACTTTCCATCTTGATTATGAACAGCGTCCCAGCGCTGACGAGCTTCTGAAATGCAAGTTCTTGGCCATGCCTAAACTTGGATGATGAGTTTCTTTTTCACTCTGTACTACGATATTCATGCATGATGGTTTTGCTTCGATGTGGTTACTTTTGTCTGTGGTTTCGGACAGTCATGGAAATGACTGATATTTTGTGTATATCTGATAGTTTAGTGTAGCCTGGATGCTATAGTGTTGCAAAAGGGCTGGTTTAAACCGTGACATGAATACAGAACAGTCTTAAATACCCTATGCTATAACAAATGATCCATTTTTTGTGAGGTAATTCGCTTGATGAGATAGATTTGAAATTGAAAATAATACACGAGTTTGGTGAATCACAATGACTACTATGCAGGTAGGTCACTTCTAAAGTTACAGGTTTTATATAAAGACACGACGCCCCAATGAGATGGCAGAAAGCAATTAAAACGTCAACGGATCACGAGATCCACCGAAAATTCTACTGGACAATCTTTCCATAGAAAGGAATGCCCATGGCGCTGAGAAGGAGACGAGCGTCCTTATCCGCCTTAGCCGTAGTGTGGAGGGTAATATGGCAACCCGGAATCATCTTGGGGGGATACCTAGGAGAGGAAAATTAGAAGTGAAAAAACTGACGGCAGTCAATGAAGGGATTAACTCACATATCATAGTTGACCTCAATCTCGGGGAAGAGGGCCATCTGCTCCGGTTCCAGACCGAAGGTGATGTTTCCACTGCTGTCACCACTGCTTCCCTTAACACCAGGCCAATCCTTGAGGCGAGGAAGAACCACATCGATCAACTTGCCGAGGAAGTGATACATGTTCTCACCCTGCAGCTCGGCCTTAACCGCCACAGTGTCACGGCCAGGGACAAGGCTCCAGTTGGCAACACTGGCCTTCGACTTGAAGGTCTCGACGCGAACGTTGGAGATAGCCTGAACCGCAATACCGGCGACATGCAACCAGCCCGAGTTATCTTGTGCAGCTTCCTTCACGTAGCTGTGGAGAGTGATACGTTCGATCTTGGGGATGTTGTTGAACTTGATTGGCTTGCGGAGTAAACGGAGGACATCTCCACCACGGGGTCCGCGGAGGGGACGGTTCTTGTGGTATGGTGAGCTCTCATCCCATTCACGGAGACGAGGCGCCTTGGGAGGAGGCTTGAAGCCTGGTGGAGTGTGAACGTAGCAGAGGGTGAGGATGTCTGATGCGACGGTTGAGTTGTAGGTCTGTTCGGCACGGGGAAGAGCGAAAGGACCGGGGACGAAGAGGCGAGAAGAAGGATCTGAAGGAGCCGGAGGTTGGTGAGGGTGGAGAGGACCACGGTCGTACTTAGGAGAGCGAAATTGGTATCTAGAAGGTGGATTTTAATTAGGGTTATGTTTTCTTTTCATGGAGTTGTTGTTTTCGATGAATACATACCGACCGCGCGGAAGCTGGGTTTTGCGAGTTTGGCTTCGTGCAATGGGGTCGAATGAGCTTGCTGCACTCTCGGATACCGATGTAGTCAATGAAGACGCGGTTTCTAGGTCTTCGAGTTGGTCCGACAGACGTCTAGCTGGGGCTTCGTCGGAGACATTGCGCCTGTTCAGGAATGCTTGAGAACGAGTAGATGGGACGAATGTCCGGGGCAGTCCCCTTGCCAGATATCTGGATGGCTCTCTGGCAGCCATGATGTGTTGTGGGGGAGAGTTACGATGTAATTCACCTTAACGGTCTCTGTATGGAGCCCAGGGTCAATCGGGAAAATTATTTGCAACTCGCGGAAGAATGTCACGTGGCATATACTTTATGCCTCGGGCACAAGGTGTCAATATTGGTGTCAGGTGTTTGCCCCGCGGAGGTGATCAACATGTCCAAGCTTCTTTTGATCATCCCGCGACCTCTTCTCGAATCATCTTGCATAAACCTCACCTGAAACTTGAATGGTTCTCCTGCATTACCCCGTGGTACATATCAGAAGCCACTTTGGCAGATCATGTGTTCTTCAGGTACTCCATGGAAATCTTGCAGCCTCAAAACCCACCTGCAATTAGTTTAAGCTGCTTGGCTCGCCTTCTCCGCATGTCGCTCGTTCCAGATCTCGTCGATCAACTTAATACTTTCCTCTTCCACCAGGAGTCTTCGAGACTTCTCCATATCAAACACACGTTATCCTCTCCACCATGAGTGGCATTCATAGATTTCTCACTCGGCGTGAGCGTCGGCGCCAAGGCAAAGAAGAGGTATCGTCGGCATTCTCCAAAAAATCCATCGCAGTCCACCGCTATCGGCCACGACCCAATCGATTCATTTGCTAATATTGTTCATTGATTTAGGGCTCTCATTCTCTCTCACTCCCCATATTCCGTGGGTTCTTTGACTCTCAACCAACGGGCGAAGATGATCAAGAGACCCAAAAGAAAGTATCATCGCCCCCCTCCCCCGCAACCCCGCCTCTCCTCTTTTCAATTTCTGACGAATCCTTATAAAGGTCAAAACTATCGAACAACGGATTAGAGCGATGGGAATCGCAAACTTAGATGAGCGACATTTCAACTATGCATGCCGGTTCGCCAAGGGCAATATCGAGGAAGCGATCAGTCTTCTATTACTGCTAGAAGACTCGATCGAGGGAATTATCAGACCCTACACACCGAACACAAAACTCCTGGGTGCTGAAAATAGAAGCATGGTCACTTGCTACCTGGATGCTCTGCTATTTGCCATGTTTGCTCGCCTCGACTGCTTCGAGGCCATTCTGTACAAGTCGTTCTCCGACGAGCCTCGACGTAAACTGGTCATCTTGTTGAGACTTTGGGTGAATATGCTGCGATCCGGGAGATTGATCAAAACCGATATGGTATGTTCAGTCTAAAATCATTTCTCACACCCTCTACTCGAGGCTTCAATCTGACTTTTTTATTTGTCAAGACAAAGCACATCCAGGATGCATTGGCAGAGTGTGGCTGGGAAGAAGCTGCTAAGCTTCAGCAGCAGGATGCATCTGAAGCATTTACCTTCATTACCGAAAAGCTAGAGCTGCCACTCCTCACACTGAAGATGGATATCTACCATTTCGGAAAGGAGGATGCCAGCGATGATCATAAATTCATCAATGAACGCCTATTGGAGGTTGCTATTCCGCCAGCACCTATTGATGGCGGAGCTATCACACTTGAGGATTGCCTGGAGGCTTATTTCAACAACAGAATTGAAGTTAAGCGATATCTCGAAAGAAGAAACACTGTTGGATCGACTCGCTCAGTGGACTCGCTGTCCATCTCGAAAGGGCTGACATCTCATGTTGAGGAGGTTGAAGACATGACACCAACAATGTCGCCGGTTCATTCTGCTCAATCAGAATCACCTCAGATCGAAAGACCAAGCCCTTGGTCTTCTTTCTCGGAGTTTAGCGAGTCTCTGTCGGCGCGAAGAATTGGTCGACGGGATAGCCTAGTGCGAGAGAGATTTGTGCCGGACTCCCCTCGGTCAGTTGACGGTGCAGATTCTCCCGCCTCAGAAAAAGGTCCTCAACGCAAGGGTAACTACAGAAAGGAAGTTATGATGCCTGCATGGCAATTTTTCAGTTTGATACGTATGTTATACACACCCTTCGATTCTTCCATTAGGAATTGGGCTTAGGCTAATAAAATTGATATCTACAGCATGGTACACTGATAATACACCAACCAGTGATGCTCAGGTTGCGGCACATTTCTCTTCTAAAAGGCCCATTCTTGGAATGTGCTTGAAGCGTTACTCCTTTCTTCCAAACGGAAAAGCCGTTCGCCTTGATACGCACATTGATATTCCCATCGAAATTGGCCTTCCTCATTTCATACAAGATGACAATATGGACGCCAATGCCCCGATTTACGGAAACTTCAAGCTTTCTCTACAAGCGATGGTATGCCATAGAGGCAACTCGGTTGATTCGGGGCATTACATTGCTATTGTAAGAGGCACAACACTCAGTGGGCCTCCCGATTCTAGGGATGGCCCATACCGTGATTCGACCGAGACACCAAGACACTGGATGCGATTCGATGACCTGGCAGCGGAAAGAGTGACTTTGATTGATATCGATCATGCTTTGAAAACGGAGTCACCTTACCTCCTTTTCTATCAGATTCTTCCCATTGACCAGGATGCAGCCATGGTTAATTCTCTCAATAAGCCACCCTCTTCACAAGCGTCTGACACTACTACATTGGATGGTGATATGGCTGAATTCTCCCGGAAGCTTACAAGATTGTCAGTCGAAAAGACAGATAGCGTTGTGGAAAACGGGTCATCTGCGCGACCTAGTGTTGAGATCACCGGACCAGACGGCGGCCCCCAAGTCTTCAATAATGATGAGCGGCCGGCCAGTGTTGTCTTTTTAGAAGGGAATGATAGTGTACCTAAACCCCCTCGGTCTGTGCCGGCATCGTCTCCGCGACTGACGCCGATGGAAGAAGACGGACCTAGGGGATTCCCCTTTGGTCGTCGTGGATCTCGTACCACAAAAAGCACTTCGGCAAGTCGCGCAGGCAGCCAGCCAGGCGAGAACCGCATTGGTGCTACGTTACAACGATTTGCTGATAGGCTCAGCAAGGACAAGTTCACCATTGATAGCGAAGATGAAGTTGAAGATCCAATTTTAGAGGTGGATGATGTCGCACATGAAGATGGCAAGCTGGGTTCATCAGGTGAGGGCAAGGAAAAGCCCGGACGAGGGCGATCCAAAGAAGGTAAACAAAAGGGGAAGAATAAGGAGAAGACCAAGGAGAAGAACCGACGACCGGAGCGGGAATGTTTAGTGATGTAAGAGGGGAGAAATATGGTTTGGTTGATGGATTCATGATACCCCGATGTTCATACGTTCTGGTGATTTGTTTTTGGTTGGCATTTTTCTTTTCTGGTTGATGATGATACCCAATGCATTAAACACCATGATATCCAAGTTAAAGAAATTAAGTTCCTACTATGGTTACCTCACTCAGAAATTCCATCCTGCTGGCCCCGGGGGCCGATTAGTGCCACAGTATATTCCGATTCATATTAAGTCATACCACCTTGTATTCTTTTTAAAGTATAACTCAGTACTTTTATGGAGATATTTCATCAACTTAATTCCTTATATGAATGATGGAAAGTTTAATATGTAGGTTTAGTACATAGATTTTCCTTCACTTCCACGGCTGTCCATTCCCAGCCTCATCTTTTAGCCTCAGGCATCAAGGCACCAACAGTCCCTCCGCATTTCACCAGCTTGTCTTCCGTCATCCGGCTCAAGCTTCAACTTCTAGCTCCCCTGTAGCTTCCCGAATTTAACGGGCGGCATGAAATAGCTGCTTGCCATGGCGCTGGACGGACCCAGCAATTATGTTGCTCCTAACAACTTGACCGAGTCCCCGGACTCCTTACCGATCTTCGATGTGCAGCGGGTGCAGCTCCAGTTCTCCATCGCGGCCGACTTCGTGGCGGCGCAAGTCGCCAACAATGTTCTGATTCTGGCTTTATCGACTAATCGTATTCTACGAATTGATCTTGATTCCCCTGAAGATATTGATGGTATGATGCATCACCATGCCCCCCTCTCCCCTGGAGCTCCAACTGTAGCTAACCATGTTCGTTGGTACCAGACATCGACTTGCCCAAGAAGTCCTCAGAGATCGGCCTGATCCGTCGCATGTTCCTTGATCCATCGGCATCGCATCTTATTATCAGCACGACCCTCGGCGAGAATTACTATCTCCACACGCAATCTCGTCAACCCAAAGTCCTGTCCCGCCTGAAAGGCGTCTCTATCGAAAGCATTGCCTGGAACCCTTCGTTGCCAACTGCTTCGACACGCGAGATTCTTCTGGGCACAACAGACGGTAGCATATATGAGACATACATTGAACCCTCGACGGAGTTTTATCGGCGCGAAGAGAAATATGCTACTGCAGTTTATAAAGTGCCTGACGCGTCACCCGTTATCGGGATCTGCGTCGAGGTACCCTCAAGAGCTGACCAAAGGAGAGTGATTGTTGCCACTTATGGAAGACTGGTCCACCTACTGGGCCGTATTGGTGCAACAAAGCATGGAAGAGAGGGCGGTGGATCTATATATGCTGATTTGTTTCAGCGCGAGACGCCCCTGGCCCACGAGATTCCCCATCCATCTGGCTCAGCACCATCGTCCTTGACGGTCTCATCATCGACTACTTCTCCCACTGTAACGGGCGGTGGATTCAAGACAGAGGAATCCGATGCAAAGGAATTTGCGTGGCTGAGCTCCAACGGCATCTACCATGGCCAACTTAACTCCGAGTCGCCATTTGACACTGCAAAGATGCTGCCTCGGTCAAAGTTCCCTGCCTCTGAATCTGCTCGGGGCGGACGAAAGATGATACAAGATCCAATCACAGCAATGACATTGTCTCAGTGGCATGTTTTAGCGCTTGTCGAAGGACGAGTCGTTGCCGTCAATCGTTTGAATGAGGAGGTTGTGTATGAACAGACTGTTCTGGAGCCGAGACAGAGTGCCCTGGGTCTCTTGACGGACCTCACACAGAACACATACTGGTTATTCACAAGCCAAGAGATCTATGAAGTGGTTGCCAATGATGAGGACCGAGACATATGGAAAGTTCTCCTTCGTGAGCAGAAATTTGACGAAGCGCTTCAATATGCCCGTGGCCCTGCACAGCGTGATGCTGTCTTGACTGCCTCGGGCGATTTCTTAGCCAAGCATGGTCGCTTTTCCGAAGCTGCAAAGGTATGGGGCAAGAGTAGCAAGGGCTTCGAGGAAGTGTGCTTGACTATGATCGATAACAAAGAGTATGATTCCTTGCGGAAGTACCTTATCTCCCAGTTGTCTACATATAAGAAATCATCTGTCATGCAAAGACTCATGGTCGCAAGTTGGCTTGTGGAGCTTTTCATGTCCAAGTTGAATTCTTTAGATGACAACATCGCAACTAAAGCAGAGTTGACAGAAGGTGTCACTACTGGGGAGATCAAAGATGAGCTAGGGAGTGTCCGAGCAGAGTTTCAAGAGTTCGTGAATAAACACAAGGCGGACTTGGATAAAAAAACGGTATATGGAATCATCAGCAGCCACGGACGCGAAGCAGAACTGCTTTTCTTTGCTACGGTCGCTGGTGATTTCAACTATGTTTTGTCTTATTGGATACAAAGAGAGAAATGGGCCGAAGCTCTGAGTGTCTTACAGCGCCAGAGCGACCCAGACGTATTCTACAAGTACAGCAGTGTGCTCATGACACATGCCGCCACAGGATTGATTGAGATTTTGATGCGACAGACAAATCTTGACACTGAGCGGCTCATTCCTGCACTGCTCAATTATAACAAGACAGCCAGTGCCAGCGTCTCATTAAACAACAACCAAGCTGTCCGATACCTGAACTTTATCATCGTCAATCACCCAAATCCCTCTGCAGCTGTTCATAACACACTCATTTCCATCCACGCATCTAGTCCGTCAAATTCAGAAGCCGGGCTACTCACATACCTCCAGTCGCAGCCATCATCTCCTCCATATGATGCTGACTTTGCTCTCCGGCTTTGCATTCAACACAAACGTGTGCAATCATGTATCCATATCTACAGCGCCATGGGACAATACCTACAGGCAGTAGAGTTATCTCTGGAGCATAACGATATCGAGCTCGCTGCGATAGTTGCGGACAGACCCGCTGGCAACAATAAGCTTCGCAAAAAGCTTTGGCTTTTGGTTGCTGAGAAAAAGATTCGCCAGCCAGGAACAGGTATCAAAGATGCGATCGAGTTTCTGCGCCGCTGTGAGCTCCTTCACATTGAGGATATGATTCCATTCTTTCCGGACTTTGTGGTCATTGATGACTTCAAAGATGAGATATGTACCGCCCTGGAGGAATACTCGCGGGATATCGATGTCTTGCGCCGGGAGATGGATAACTCAGCAAATACTGCCCGCCAAATACGCAACGAAATTGCGGGCTTGGATACTCGCTATGCTATTGTAGAGCCTGGCGAGAAGTGCTGGATCTGTTCATTGCCACTTCTAAGCCGTCAATTCTTCGTCTTCCCTTGCCAACATGCTTTCCACAGCGACTGTCTGGGTAAAGAGGTACTGGAGGGCGCTGGGGGCAAGAAGAAGTATATCCGAGATCTACAGCTACATTCAAGCAAGGAAGATCTTTCAAGCTCGCGACGAGAGGAGATCGTGAAGGAATTGGATGGGCTTGTTGCTGAATCATGGTGAGTCACTTTCTTTTTTTAACCTCCGCTCCCCCTGCAATTTCCCTCAATTTCTTGCTCTTTTAACTAAAACTTTCCCAGTATTCTGTGCGGTGACCATGCCATCAAGAAGATCAGCAAGCCCTTCATCGCACCTTCGGAAACAGACGAGTGGGCTCTATAATTCATGTTCGGGCATACTAGACTTTTGCCATGACTGCTCCAATAAGAACTTCATATCTTTGTACTGAAGTCATAAATCTTTTACGCAATACCCTCTTTTTGGATTTTCTTTTTTTGCTAGCGCAATGATTTTTGTGCCTAAGAGGTTCTCGTACATAGTCACCTATACACCTTATTGCAATCTGGACTGAATCATTTTCTGGGAAGATATCGGTGTGTAGCCTACAGCTAACATTGGCTGCCTCTCTAAATAATATTGAGTGATGTCACGCTCAGAAGCATGGACTTGATCTCAATTCGAACCGACTCGTGTCTAACAGTAAAATATCTATATTTGTTACTTGTCCGACCCCCATCCGTTATACATGTGGCGTCTGCGCGAGACGTGGAGCTTCTTTGGTGGTGTTTGTTTCGAAAGCACTAACCCGCTCCCCGCTCCTCAACTTCTCATCCGCTCAAATCCTAGCTGCATAGCCAACGGCAGATCGAGAAAAAAAAAAGATTCAAAAAGGGATAAGCTGATATAGCGAACTTTCAGCTGCATTGAGGCACTTGTGGATAAACGCTATCTTTATCCAAGTTACAAATAAAGCGTTAAATCCTGCATCCGCGGCAAAAGAACAAAAGAAACAAATTCCAAACAAGCAGTTTTTCTCTCTTTAGAACTCGCAAGCTCAATGAATTACCACCTCTCCATCGAAGTCTTCGGTGCAGGAGAAGACTCATAAGACCGCTCACACTGGGGTTTCGTAATCCATCAACCCCCCCGCACATTCGGCGACCTCTTTCTTACACGTCTGGCCCATCGATATCGATAAGCTCTGGTATGATTTCGAGACACGCTTCGGCACAGAGCTTAATATTATGCAGGCAAAAGGCTTGTGTCAGATTTCGATATTGTCTTCCTCCCAGCGGCGACAGGCTTTAGAAGTCATCAGCCAATAACCGGCGCCGAGAGATGGGAGAAGGAAATGCCAGGATTGGGTGTTTAGTACTTTGATTTCCTTGGAAGTTGAAGAGTTGGTTCCGACTGGGACGTCAAAGTTTTGGAAGGGAAGGGTTGGACTCTCTGCAAGGGATGTACAAAGTGCTATTGGAGAGAACTGGACATTCTTTTGAATGGTTTCACGATATAGTAATATCTTAATGCTTGGATATGAAAATGTTTAATGCGAATTACTTGTGTTTGTATGGAACATAGACCTAGACTTCATATATTATCAAATTACTTGGGATTGAGATGGATGGAAGTGTCGGATTCGAAACAACGTCTCTCAAACCCACATGATGAATTCATAATTGATTGGATGAATTGAATTGTGTCTTCAATGTTACAATTGCATAATTAACTCTTACACAACCCAAGGAATCTACGATTACTTCTCCCTTTCCATTCCAGTATTCATACGAACTCTCCAACCAATTACGCAGCCTAAATTGACCGCAGCTTTCATTCAGTCAGAGTCTAGACTGGCCAGAAGACTGGCTGAAGGCGCAAAAAAGGTAGTTCCTGTTAAAGGAGTCGAAAAATCCAACAACCTATCATGCAAGCCAGGCGGATCCCCGACAAACATGCGCTCCAGCATCTTCTCAATGACCCACAGACGACGAGTATATCCAATAAAATAAGTCCCGAACTCACCCGAGCCAGGCGACCCAAAGGGCATGTTATCTCGCAAAATATCATGCTCATTACCCTGCTCATCCTCAATCGTGGTAAGAGTTTTGTGAGACCGCTGCCCAGACTCTGCATCGTCCAACTCAACATTATCCAACTTAGTGCGCCCGATAATCTTCTCCTGCTGCTCCGCGGGGAGCTTCTTCCATGATTCTAAAGCATGCGTATACTTCTGTACAACGATGTAACTCCCGCCCTGCGCAGATGTATCTTCCTCTGCAACAAGCACGGAAGAGGGTACAGCTGGCCCGACAGGATTAGCCGTGCCATCCACAAAACCCAGAAGATCACGGACATCGAAGTATCGGAATCCAACCGTCTCATCGACAACAGATATGGAATCGCCCAGTTGATCCATTAGCTGGCGTTCAAACTCGAAGCAGATATCGCGGCGCTCAGAGCGGATATGAAACAGTAAGTCGCCTGGAGTTGAGACAGCCGTGTGCTTGGACCCTTTGACCTCACGGAAGGGGTGAAGCTCGGCTGGTCGCGGGAGTCCAGTTAGACTGCCCCATATATCGCTGCCTATGCCCACTGTGCAGGCGAATTGGGCGTTGAGATCGCGAATAGAAACATTTTTAGCGAGACTATCCAGGCCAGCTAGGGTGGATTTGATGGTTTGAATTGAATTTGATTTGTTGGTTGCAGTTACGACGAGGAAGGTTGCGCATTGAGTCAATGGAGCGTCAACACGTTGAGGCTCAATGGGCACCCGTTGGCTGGTCATTTTTGTTCTGCCTTGAAGCAATTTGGTTTGATAAAATATAGGTTGGTGAGAAAAAACTGGTCTCTTTGAATGTTTCAGAGATAAATGGTACTTTCTGGTACTATTTGAGATGAAGCTCGAAGAAACGCGCTTGAGCTTGCTGAATGCTCTGGTTCGGTATGTAGAGCTCCAAGAGAAATAAAGGACACTGCCTACTCCATTCATATTCTGAATTACAGAAAATGAGGGAAGTCAATTTATTTCATAAAAAGGAATTAATATATGCTAAAGGCTGTGCTGATTTTTATCTCATGTACCATGATTAGCTCCATGTTTGAAGGGGACAGTGCTGCTTACTGTGTGGTTGATGATGACCACAGGTCATAGATGATGTCATACAGTCGGAAGATGCTCTATAACTGTTCAATAAAAATATTGAGAGACTTGATAGAATTCATTTATGCTTATAAAATAAGATACATATCCAACGGAGCTGAATAACATATGATAACTGCTATAAATCGGCGTCGGCAATGAAATGGTTGTTGCATTGATGTCTCGAAGGTCCACCATAAGAACCAACGAAGCATTTATCGCGCGGTATATCCACCATCCACCATCAGATTTGACCCAGTAACAAAAGAGCTCCGACCTCCAGCAAGATACAAGACCCCATCAGCGATTTCATCGGGCCTACCCATCCGTTCCATAGGCACCATCGTACTGACCCGCTCTACCATAGCCTTCAGAATCTCCGGCGACTTGGTTGTAAGCGGCGTCTCGGTATATCCGGGACAAATAGCATTAATGCGCAAGCCTTGGCTCGCGTAATCGTCCGAGGCGGTCTTTGTGAGACCGATAACAGCATGCTTGCTTGCGGTATACGCCGTTGAAAGAGGAATGCCGACGACTCCTTGAATAGACGAAAAGTTGATAATCGAGCCGCGTTGCAAGGGTCTGCCAGTGATGCTGGATTTGATAGGCTCTTGCTTAAGCATGATCTTAGCTGCAGCTCGGAGAACAAAAAATGTCCCTGTCAAATTGATATTCAAAATCCGCTCCCAGTCGCTTGTCTCGCAGAAGGCAGCTCCGCCAGGGTGCTTCATTGCGATACCAGCGGCGTTAACCACATAGTCCAAACGACCGAATGTTTGAGCGACCCCCTCCACTACTTCGTCCACTCTAGACTCGTCTGCGATATTGGCGGAGAAAACTTCGATCCGGAGGGGGGTAGTATTGCCCTTTTGTTTTTGGCTTGCTTCAATCTCGGCTTTCACTGCGTCGAGGGCTTCTTGATTCATATCAAGAAGAGCTAGACCGGAAGCACCTTCATTGGCGAATGCATTTGCGCAAGCTCTCCCGATGCCTGATGCGGCTCCAGTGATTAATGCAATGCCAGGGACGTCCATTGTGAATATGGAGCACAGAGATGTTTAAGGGATGTAGAGATAGTCTGAGAGAGAAAAAGCAGAGATATATGGGTTCCAATCAATAGCATCTTGAGGGCTTTTCGGTAGGTAACAAAGACATCAGAAGTTGTAGTGTACAACGATCCGCAGTGGGGCTGGCGCGGAAGCTTGCCTAAACATATGCCATGTAGATCTCTCTTGTTGAGCATCCTTATCTGGACCAAAACGGATAGGTTGCACCTCAATGCAGTGCGGGGAATGTCATGTGCATCATAGAAGTATGTTCCGAGTCAGATTCGTATCAACTAACACCATTTTTAGCAGGTTGAAGAGCAGAATTTCCTTCATCAGGGGTCGGGTACTATAAAGTTATGCAGATAGCCCACCTGGGCAGACTGAGATACACCACTATCTGCAGGTGCCCAGTACTGTAAGCTCTACATAGATGGAAAAACAAGTGGAAAGACAAATAGAGAATTATGTTTATAAACGTTTCAGATTATACTAGTAAATCTATTTGAAAAAGGAAGAAAGGTTTTATCTCGAAGATATAGCATCTCAAGAAAGTAGATTTAAAGCTATACTAGTCCCCTAGGTGCGGGTGTCTCAACTGTGAGGCTTTCGAGATCCCCGACGGAGGAGAGGGCCAGATCACTGTATTAATGGGGATATAGTATTTAGGGATGCTTGCAGCCGAAGAAAATAACTGGAACAGACATTTTAGTTTTCGACCGGTCTAAAATAAGTGAATAAGAGGTTTTGCTAGACGCCATAGTCTCCCGTAAATGTTAACTCTATTTAGATAGCGGAGGAGTATGTAGAAATTATAAATAGTACTGTATATTATAGTAATCAAATTACTAGCCCGTGATGTTGATAACCTGCTCTCTTCATCAGATCCAACCAAGTGATACTACTTCTAGATCCACGCGACTTCTCTTCCCATATCCTGTGGATTGAATCTAGTGTTTGATTGAAACAGGAAAGACCACTGCGACTTGCTGATATCTCAAACCATGATGAAAATGAACTTTGTACCCCAGGGTCCTCGGCTTCACATGCTGCAATGAAAGCAGGCCAGATAAAACCCGCAGATCCATGGACGACACTGGAGTCCGCATATTCACATTGCAGTAAACAGTCACGCACATTGGCCACTTTTTCCTGCAACATCGACGCATTCAAGTCATATATACGCCTGTAGAAATAAATGACCAAGGCATTCCGCATTGCCTCAAGCATATTTTCCAGAATATGTTGATCAACCTTTGATTGATGAGTTGCAGATGAGAATGACATCTGACTCGGTCGTTGGAGCTGATTGATGTAGTCCTCTAAAGCCTTCGCCCGACTAATATAATCTTTCAAATTGAGACCATCACCATCGATATCTTGCTCGGCTCCATCTTTCTCCACTCCCAGTCGGATCACCGAAGAAAGAAGTACTAGCCATGCCTCAGGAACCCCAAATATCTCAGGGTATAATGTTGCAGAAAAAAGTCCTGGTCGCTCAAGGTGAAGGTCATTCTCACCTTCCTCGCGACCTCTCACACGCTCCATCTCCTGTTGCAGATTTTGCCATTTGTACAGACGGAAGGAAAGTCCATCAACACTACAGCGAGAAAGACCGCTCGACTCAATTGCCCGACGGAGGTGATGGCGTTGGACAGAGTTAGCACCACATATGAATATGCTCTCATGAAACATACGTTCAAATACATAACAATGATGTAATAGACGGACTTTGCGAGACTTTTTGCGTTTCAAGCCTTTCAATCGGATAATCTTCTCAGCTTCTAAAAAGTATCCCTCAGCTTGATGACGGTTTCCAGAAAAGTTAGACACCTGTATCATAGTGAGGATACCCATCAGTATAGATTTGTATTTTGCTGGTTTTGGAACATCGTAGGCGGTTATCAGCATTGCTTTTGCATGTTCACTCGCGCGCTGAAGATATGTCTTTCCTTGCTCAAGCCAGCTTTCTGAGCGAGATACGCCGCCTAAGCTGAAGGCGCTGATGGCTAGAGTACCGAAGAAAGTGCACAAACTAGCGTTATTCAAATCCTCGCCGAGTGCCAACGCAGCAAGACAATTCTTGACATGAGGAATGAATAAAATATGCCAAGGGGTCTTTTTATGTCGAACCGGAGTCATGAGGCTTATCACTTTCGACGAATAATGCCTCAGGAGAAATACCGCATCGGGTGGGACAGCGCTGGTAACGCTTGGAGGAGACATTATAGAGGTATGAGATAATGAATTACAGTAGGGATTCGGAAGAAAGGTGTTGAGTTGGTATTCTTGAGACGTCATTGGTGTATTTTCCAGATGACTCTGCTCAATTACCATATCCAGTAGATCTGACGTGACTGGGCTGGTGTCTTGTTCTGAGCGCTCAAGGAGCGATTCCATAAATCCAGGAGACCATTGCGAAATATCTGGGACCGGTGTAAATGGATCAAGAATCTGTGATATCTCTTGCGGAGGGCTGCTAGTGCAAGACTCTATAACGTCATGCTCTGCAGGAGCATCCTCAAAGAGCGACGACTGCTCATTATGGTGTTTATGGGATTTGAACACCCCAAATGGACCCACCACGAGCTGTATTTCTTCCCCATTATTTTCATGGCTTTCAACCTCTTCATCTAATCTCAAGAGAAGTCGATTTGTTGATCTAGGAGGAGCCGCCGATATAAGCCATTGACTCATTCGTTGGCGCTCTTTTTCTGTCAAGAGAGGGCGTCGAAAGCGAATGCGATTGTCTGGAAACTCTGTATCGAAGAAGATGTCATTTTTGTATCCAGCGCATGACAATCCATACTCTGCGCACATAGAACATGTTGGTCGCGCTTCGTCACATTTCACATGGCGGTTCCGACACTGTTCACATAAGAATATGCCGTCCGGAGGAAAGAGAACTACATACCGTACCACATCCAGTAAAGGATCGCGTATGGGTACTACTCTCTGCGCGTCTGGAGGCTTGACTTGCCATGCTCGATGTAGCAGACAGACCAAAACCTGCAGGAGGGATGGGTTTCCAGGCCAGGCGATAATCTGCGGGGAAGCGAGATAGTCGAGTGGAGCCGGCGGGGTGGAGCCAGATATCGGATACTTGCCTATTTGGAAAAGCCGTGGACGCTTTCCTGAAGCAGTCTTGGAGACATGTACCTATACACTACTCAAGGTTTGTGGTATTTATGGGGCAAACGAAGAAACAGAAATAATTTTTAGCAGTTTCACACGATCTGAGTACGTGAAATTGAATTTGCAGGGGAAATCAAAAATCGAAAACCGATGACACAGTTCGAAAGATAGTAGAAAAGCTATCTGCATAAAGGACACAATAGAGTAAAATGTAGAGCCAGATTCAATCTCAGGGTCTTCCATGACAAAAGCTACATAGCTGTCTTTGATTCACTTATCGCCAGCCCTCGTAATAAATCTTATCGCCCGCGCGTGGCCATCAATGGCAATGTCAGTCATCCCAAAGACTTCTCCTACGCTAAAAATACTGTGAGGTGCGTTCAGTGCTTCATGCAGTTCAACATCCGTACCCTTATTCTTCATGTTACGAGCAAATTGCACGATATCATCGTACAGCACCTCTGAAGTGCCGGCCTCTATAAAAAGCGGAACATTTGATCGAAACTCGTTCCCTAGTGGAGTGAAGTAGGGGTTATGCTCTGACCATCCAGAGGGTATGTAGCTCTCCGCACCCCACTGACAGAAACCAGTTTCAATATAATCGGTACTAGCATTGCGATGCGTGTCAAGACCAAGAATTGACTCCCTGGTCATATTCAGCCATGGTGACCATAAAAGCCCTGCGCGAGGAAGAGGCAGAGCTGGATTCTCCATTCTGATATATCGTATCATTGCGACAACGAGATTACCACCTGCTGATTCGCCAGAAAGAACAATATTCTCAGCTGGGATTTTGAGTGTCTCTAAAGCGTAAACATAAGCTGTAATCGCGTCTTGAATTGCAGCTGGGAAAGTGGTCTTGTCCTTGTCTAAGGAAAGTCGGTATTGAACAGAAAGTACCGGCCATTCTGATAATTGACCAAACTTTGTAGGCCCCCATGAAACTCCATCAGCTTTCCGTGGACCAAAAAGGACGAAGCCACTTGGGTGGAAATGGATGACTAGCCGCTGCAGGGGTACATTGGGAGATGGTGCATCCGGAAACCAGACTGCACCAATAGGTACAGGCTGGATTGTTGGAATTGCTGTCAGACTTCCTGTGTAAACAGCGCTTGATAAATCGCCATTATCATGATTGGTGATGGTATTTTGTGGGCTGAGCACAATGAACTGATCTCCTTCTGAACCTGGTTCCAGCGACTTAGGAGTGCGGTATCTAATAGCCACTCGGTGGCGGACAAGTTCTTTCAGAATTTGCGTGACAAGAGAGGTTTTGTGACTCCAGGCAGCATTTGGGCGATTAAACTTCGGGATATAGTAAATCAAAAAAAAGACTTTCCGGGCAAAGGCGTGTACCCTCTGAAAGATATCATAGAAGAACAGCATCATGATGCTGATGGGGGCGTGAGCGAAGAACAAACAACCGTGGAATGGGATTTCCTTATGTACGGATAGCTACAGGACATCAATTCCCCTCAGGCTGCCTCGGTACATTTCTATGTGCTATGGGTTCCTCCGCTTGTCCCGAGGAAGGAGACTTGTTGATCCGTGCTCAATAGAGTTGGGGGAACAGGAGGCAGGAGCTATGAAGATCTAAACTGGAACAATAAAAGCTTAGAGCTGGACACGATGCAATATTATCGGCATTAATTGGAATCTTAAATTATAAAACAGACAGTCTAGCAATTTGAGGAGTTTGGGCAAATGTCAATCCTGCCCAGCCATTCTGTTTACACTCAGCACACCTCCGTCGATACTCAGCAGCGTGTCCAGAGTACCTTGCAACGCTACGAACCATTTTACACTTGACATTCTTGTTCACGCCCGTCATCCAACTGTCAACTTCATTTGAGAGATGCCCCTTGCTGCATTCAACCACATGTTCAGTCCATCTCTCAACAGCATCTGGTGTTGGCTCAACATAGGTATAGTCATTGTCTTTACAATATTGCAGCAGGTCGGAAACAACAGTGACAGCATGCTCAATCGTTCGCGGCGCATTACCGAATGGCTGATGTGGCCCAAGAACAGTGAACATGTTTGGCATCGAGTTGATCGTCAGACCCAGATAGGTTCGCGGTCGGTGATCAAGCCAAACCGCCATTCTACCTTCTTCGGTGTCACTGCTACCTAGTAAAGGTCTGCCATTCTTACCATGCCATTCGATAGAGCTAAAAGCACCGGTAATAGCATCAAATCCAGTTGCATATATCAAAACGTCAAGCTCATGGTGTGTGCCATTGGTAAGTGTGATTCCGGTATCCGTGATCTTTTCCACTGGTGTTTTTTGCATATCGACAAGATGCACGTTGGATCGGTTATAAGTTTCAAAATACCCAGACTCCAAAGGAATGCGTCGGGTCCCAAATCCATGATTTTTCGGGATCAAACTATCCGCCACTTCTGGATCGTTAATGCGCGCGCGAATCTTGCCACCCATGAAATCGGAGTAGAGTTTGTTGGCTTCTCGATTCGTGTACGTGTCGCTGAAAACGCCAAGCCATTTTGAGAATCCTGGCTTTGCATATAATTCCTCCCATAGTGCTAGTCGCTCCTCCTCCGTCACATCAAGAGAGTTGCGTGGATCCGCTGGGTGCATAAAGCAGCCAGGAGTCCTCGAGCAAAGATCAAAGATCTTGTCATAATTCTTCTGGTGGTCCTTCATTTTTTTGAGACTAATATTTTCGTTGCGGAGGGGTGCTGACCAGTTTGGAGTTCGTTGGAAGACAGTCACCGATTTGACGCTTGGCTCCTTTGATACGGTGGTTATAGTTTGAATGCCTGTCGCACCTGTTCCGATAACGCCAATGCGTTTATTGGCGAAGTCTCGACTGATATCAAGGTTCTTGGGCCATCGAGAAGTATGAAATGCTTGACCTTCGAATGATTCGATACCAGGAATTGCGGGTAAGCTGGGTGTCGATAGGAAGCCCATACAGCTCACAAAAAAGCCCGCCTCATACTGCGTGGCACTCTCGTCGGTAAACAGCCAGGACCGGTTAAAATTCTGCCAATGGGCAGACTTGATTCTAGTATTGAACTTGATGTCCTTATGAAGATCGTGCTTCTCAGCGACCCGTTCGATATATTGCAGGATCTCCGACTGGGGCGCGAATGTCTCCTTCCAATGCCATTCATTTATGAGCTCTTTGTCGAATGAGAAAGCGTAGGATAAAGATTCTGAATCAACTCGAGCGCCTGGATAACGGTTCCAATTCCAGGTACCGCCAACACTTTCGGCTGCTTCAAGAACGCGAATACGCCAGGTGGGGAAGCGCTTTCGTAGATGATATAGACTGCAGATGCCGGAAAGACCAGCGCCTATGATGAGGACATCATAATGGTCGACTTGAGTAGAACCCATTTTGTTGAATATCGGGAGAAAGTGGAGCGTCTACCTTTCCTGACCCCGCGTTCCAACGAGCCTTTATAATGTGCATCTCCATATTGAGTGTATCTCTTCAAACAAGGTGGCGATGGTACAAAATAAAGGCCGGAGAAACCTTCCTGCAGATCGTGGATCACTATTGTTATCTTCCCCGCATTTACACGTGGCGGCTAGGCTTGCCTAGTTGGCTTTTCTATACTCTTTACAACGAAATACAAATTTCCTCTATCTGGATTGGGTTTGACTTGGAATTTGCTAAATTATTGAGATACTAGGATGCAATATATGGGAAGCATGCTGATCTTTTACCATAAAACTACGATGTTATCTTGCTTCAAGGCAAACATCCTTTCCTGTCATCAAACTTTCGTCAATAAAGCGCACCCCTTCCCTAAGGGCGAGAATATTCAATGAATTTGAGAAGTAATCAAGATGAATGTTGGGCTGCTCATGCGGGTCCAATGAAGTTAATCTGACGAATCCATTTTTAGATTGTGGTCTCGAGAGATCAACAATCACAGTTAGCCAGTCACCTTCTGGAGGGACAGGAAAATGCCATTGGAATGATTTACAAAACATAGGCTTTTATCGTTAGCTCAATGCATTTTTGACAGCTGCATGTTAACATACCACGAAGTCTATCTCGAAATGAGGTTGACCTTCTGGCCCAAGGGGATCTTTCCCCCACTTTGCTCTTTGGCCTCACGGTACTCTTAATACTTCTCCAGTTGCTCATCGATTCGAGAAAATGTAATTAGCTCCAATAGACCGCTTGCAAATGGACCTGTTTTACTTTCTTGATATCGCCTCACTGCATCCTCATGGGGTGGACCCTCGTGAAGCAAAATACTATCTAGCCCCATACCATCTTTGATTCGAAAGACGTGGGGCAAAATAGGGTGATCTAGTAGATTCTCTCCAACGTGCTCTGAGATGATCACAGGCTGGATGCCATGGCGAGCCAATTCAGTTCTCGGTCCGATTCCGAAGAGAAGAAGTAGTTTGCGAGTCTCGAAAGCACCGGCAGACAAGATAATGTCTTTTTCCGCTTTGAACGTAGCCTCAGAACCATCCACTGCGGATCACAGTCACACTGACAGCCTTTTCCCGATCAAAATTGATTTTTCTTGTCACCGTTGAAGGCATGACATCCACATTAGGCTTGCTGGCCAGAAGGTCTAAACCACTTGAGCGGAATCCTTTGTTGATAGTATTGACGGCATGTGCGAGGCCTTTCATTTCACCAGAGAATATGTCATCGTTCAATGAAAGACCCTTAGATTCCCAGGCATTGGTTAAGGCCTTTCGAAAAGCTGCAATTTTGGAAGCAAACTTGCGTGAGAAATGTGTAATGGACCGTCGCGACCGAGCCGCCAGAATTTGGGATCGTAGTTTCGACCGTGGTCATGATATCTTGTGGACTATAATTAATTACTATCCAGCGAGTACCAGTTCTTAAACTAATATGGTATTCCTCACCTTCGTAAAATACTCTTCGCACTTATCCCAGGTCCAACCATTGCCACCATATTCGGCCCAGGCGTTGAAGGTTCCTTTGCTTCCCGGGACCCAGGTGCAATAATTCAGATTGCTGGTTCCCCAAGAACCTTACCACTGATATTTGTTTTCTCAACACGTTCATAGTCCGGCCTATCGACAAAAGTCGATATATAGCTCCAGTCGTACCTGCTGCTTCGCGACTCAACTGTGCGGGCAGGGACCGCTAATTCTGGTACCTGATCTGGATTTCTTGAAAACGAGTTAGAAATTGCTGACAGGCCTTTGGAAGGGATTGACATACCCAGGACCTATTCCAATCACAGGCACCTTCACATTTGGATTCTCTGCTAGTCTAGCCGCAACCACATTTCCGGCAGCACCCCCTGCAAATTATTAGGTTGGGAGCATGGGGCAGGCATAGGGATACATGCTTACCCCCAACCACAATAAAACCGTAATGCTCTTTCCAGGCCCGAGCCATAGTAGTCGACCACATGCTAACTGATTGACTCAGGTCCCAGTCGTGAAATTTCTGCATAAGACAGAACCGGGAATTGTCACCAGCCCCTTGAAATACATGAAAGGGGGAAGATAATAGAAGGCAATGAAAAATGGGCCGATGTCTTCCAAGAATCTAAGGGTTGCTCAGATCAACTTCGTGCGCATGTATGGCCGGAGTCCGGAAGGTCTAGAATGCCAAGGAGTTGCAAAAATTCTGGCAACCACTGAACTGAACAGGGATCTCGCGGGTGTGGCATTTATTCGTCTCACTTGACAGGTCCCCCAATCCAAACCTCTTTGCAAAGTCTTACATACTTATGGTAGTCTGGATTCATAGTAAACTGATCAAAAAGGGAAAAGAAACGGGTCTATACCGGATTGCCCATCTGTGAGATATTCAGCTGTCCAGGGAGCAATTCCTCCATCAAGCATATCCAGAACTGCAAAGTCGGTAGGATCCCACATATCCTCATTTCCTAATTCTGGTATAGATGTCGCTTGATTGGACCCAAAGACCGAATGTTCTGTGTTCGGCTGGGGTAGCACACATGAGGAATCCAAAACTGGAACTTTTCCCTCTCCTTGCAAAGAACTTTGTGATTGCTGGTTATACATCGGTGAAGAAATGTCCAATCCCCTCATCTGTTGGAAAGGTAGTTGTTTTTGTCTGTGTACTTGATGCGGAGAGGAGATAGATTTATGTGTTTTCGGTGAGGTCGATGGAGAGGAGTGAGTGTCTCTGTCATGAAGAGCTGTTCGGGCCATACGGTAGATAGCAAGGGGGTTAAGGACATCCTCTGGTGACTCTTGAGTTGGCGAGTGTGGAGACGGAGATCTGTTGACTGTTTCTTCCGAGTGATCATCATCCAGGATGTTGAATGGAACATTAGGCTGAATTCCCGCCGCTGCCATCATTTTGACAACAGATACTGACTGAACGGAACTGAATTAGCCATGTTCATAAAGAATTGAGTAGGAGATTTTGGAGAAAAGCCTACACAATGCTTAGCTGTTGTCACTAAGGGTCTCATTTGTAGCAATGCTACAAGGTTCCCTTGAGCAGATCCAATTATTTGATTTCTCACACCCGGTTCAAGATGCCCCGAGGGCGCTTTGTACAAATTGAGGTAATAAAGCATGACCTTGGTGCTATCATGCGCGATGATACATAGCCATGGGTCTGCGAGTACTTTAAGACCATGTCTTAATGATTCGGATAAAATGCTCGAAACCTCACGAGAATTTTCAAAACAGATCTGTCGACAATTCTCCAAAAATTCTTGTTGCTCTGGGGGGAAATCAAAGCTTTTCTGTATACGAAACAAAGCTGGCATCCCAATGCGGTAGAGATCCACAAATGTTTGGTAAAATGTGCACCATAACAAAGTCAAGGCACCAAGCTGAGAAGATTCTTTGCGCGCGTATATCGCTCCTGGGTTCCAACCTAGGCTTTGGGGCAGATTGTGTTGCCATATTTCAAGCCCCGAGGATAATAAGGCAAATTCGGAATCGGCTTCCCAAGGCGGCTTTCCTGTATCGAGATGTTTAACATACCTTGTAACTCCGTTAGTAAGAATTATTTTTGAAGAAGAATAGAGCACCAACCGTAGAACTCTCTTCCTGATGCTGACAAGGCGAATAAAGTACGCCTCGATTCCTATATTTTGACAAAGACCTTGAGGTATTTTCTCAGTTGGGAGGAAACCGAGGACCTTGCCCTCATCTAATATTTCTGTAACACAGGCAACGCCCAAAGAGAAGTTATGGCTGTGGCATGGGAGCTGAATTTTCAAGTCTCGATCCTCAAGCAATGTGAGTTGGTTAACACCGCTCCCCACCCAGCTATCGAGTAAATAACAGCTCCACATGAGTCGTCGCCTAACTTCATTACTGATAGCCGAGGAGTTCGGGTTTGTGCAAAGTACATCGGCAGATGCTTCCAACGCTAGTTGTAGAGCTTGGGATATTCTGGCAGTTATGCCACTAAGCATGAATGCACTGGCATAGCTACCAATTCGGAGATCATGATCATAAAGCAAGATTGCTGTCTAGGTAGAGGGAATGGCCGACGTCAGCCCAGATCACCGGAGGGAAATATGTAAATCGGAAATACAGTGAAAAGAAACAAAACGTCGATAATAGACTTACCATCAATTTGTCCAAGGAGAGATCGTCCATGTCTACAAATATGCGCGCCTTTGCAATTCGAGCCCATTGATTTCCCGCGGTTATTATTGCTTCAGAGGATAGCTGTCCGACGTGACCTAGAGCGAAGAATCTATTTGGGTCAGCAAGCCCTGTAATGCTTATTTAATTTTGACTCACTTTGCACCGAGCGCGCATATAATATGGAGTAATGACTCGCTTTGGCGACATGACTCAAAATCTTCATCTAAGCGTCGCATGAACGTCGGCTTATGAACAAATCCATTGCATCTTAGTGGGTGGATATGAGTAAAGTATTCTTCGACCAAAATCCAAAATTTGTCGCCTCTTGGTAGTTCCGGATCATACAACCTGCCAGTGTCAGTTTTTCCATTACTCCAATGAACTCATTGCTAAAAATCATACCATGAGAAGGAGTTCTCGGGAATTGATAAGTAAGATGAAGAATAAACGTGTGCTGTATTCCGCATCGAACATTCCGGGCCTAAGGAGGTATCAATTGATAGACTGCGCGTCGGAAATTGCCGAGAATCTTGGATTCGATTATGTCTACTTTGACTGGACCTTACTACCGAAGAGCATCTAAGCCCTTTCCGAGAACAGCGCCCACAGATAGTTCCACCAGAGCATCTTGCTTTTGCTGCACGACAAGCCTGACAAGACTTTGCGACTCGCTGTCGTAATGTACCAGCTTGGGTCAGTTCTGTACTGGGGTCTCCCCGCCTGTGAGATCTGGGTCGGGCAATAGATCCCGGTGCAGGCGGCCCGGGGCATTCAAGTTTTAGTCTTTCGCAATTCAAGCAAGTGGGCCATTTCTCGTCGCATTTCACTTTTCGAGCTCGACACAATGTACAGCCTATAGAATCAGCTTATCTATTCCTAGGGAGGTACATATGCAAGTCTCACCTGATCTAGATCTTCGAGTCCCCGACGCATTCTCTTGTATAGGGTAAATCTCAGCGGTATCTCCTCTCCACGACATGATGCCGAAAGCCGAATACTGTGAAGAGGAAGAGCGGCTCTCGCATGGTACTCGGCTAATATTAACGCTGGGTGCGGTCGCTCGTGGCAGAACAGCAATCGAATCTAGGCTTTCCAATCAGTCACGCCCTTTTTTAATTTGCTGAAAGTTGCTGGTTTTCATTCAGGTGGATAGCTTTACGGATGACACCATTATAGCGTTGGTTGACGAACCTCCAGTACAGCAAACGTGACCCCGCGGCTCTCGGATCTTGAACGGATATCGCTTAAATGGCCACTTTGGTTGGCTCGCAATATACAACCATCGCGATAGAGTGGAGTACATAAAATCCGGGGCCCCAGGCCTGGAGCTGCAAGAGCTAAAATATTCATAGCTTTCCAACATTCCCGTTCTCACATTGGCATTCTTTCGCCATGGGGAAGGTTTCAGGTCTCAATAATGTGTACGTTATCAGCGGGCTGACGACTATCGGGGGTCTTATTCAAGGCTTCGATGTGTCAAGCATGTCTGCTATTATCGGAACAGATCAGTACAAGGCATATTTCAACAAGCCCGATTCAGTTCTTCAGGGTGGTATCACAGCAAGTATGGCAGGAGGCTCATTATTAGGATCGCTCTTCTCCTCTTGGACCAGTGACCGCTTTGGCCGTCGTGATTCTCTTTACATTGCATGCATCATTTGGCTCATCGGGTCAGCATTAATGTGTGCCGTGCAAAACGTTGCGATGCTTATTGTATCGCGTATTTTCAATGGTTTCGCGGTGGGTATGTTAACTAGTCAAGGTCCTATCCTCATCGCCGAGATTAGTTTGCCCCATCAACGCGGTCGGCTGCTGTCATTGCAGCAGTGGATGATTACTTGGGGTGTAAGTGCCCCCCATTTAGAGACATATCTACCAAGACTGTGCTAATCAAAATATAATTTAGATCCTGATCATGTATTTTATTAGTTACGGTGCATCATTCATGGGGAACAACGGCGTGTTTCGTCTTCCGTGGGGCCTGCAGATGATTCCAGCTATTGCTCTCCTGAGCTTCCTTCCTATGGTACCTCGTTCCCCGCGTTGGTTGGCCTCGCAAGATAGATGGGAGGAAGCCACAGCTATTTTGGCCCGGTTGCATGCTAAAGGGGATATTCTTGACCCTATAGTTGTTGCGCAGGTTCATGAAATTAGGGAGAAAATCGAGTAAGGCACAACCTATATTCCGAAGTATAAGCACATACATGTACTAACATTGAGACTCAAGACTGGAACGGCAATACCAGAGCACATCATGGCTTGAGCTATTTAATTCACGGAATATTATCCGGGTTCACTGCGGTATTTTCACGCATGTCTGGTCCCAGATGACAGGAACAAACGCAATGATGTATTACATTGTCTATATTTTCCAGGTAATACCTTCGAACCTTCAAGTTCTACTCAACCCATATCTTAGATAACGAAACGCTAAACTATTCCACAGATGGCTGGTCTTTCCGGCAACACTACACTCCTTTCCGCGTCGATCCAATATATTATCAACGTTGTCATGACATTACCCGCTCTTATTTTCATTGACCGTCTACCTCGACGACGCCTCTTTATTTTCGGTGCCCTTGCAATGGGCGTTCTGCAATTTACACAAGCGGGACTCATGGCAACCTATGGACACCATGTTCCAGGGGGTTTGAATGGATCGCCAACTGTGACATGGAAAGTCACTAACTCAAAGGCCTCGAAGGCTATAATCGCGTGCTCATATCTTTTTATTGCATCCTACGCACCTACATGGGGGTAAGTACTATATCACATACCTCAATTCCGAGCATTGACTAACGAATTCTTCATTTAGTCCACTTGGCTGGTTAGTTTATCCACGTAGATTCTAGCTCTCCGTGTACTTACAAATTATATAGGGCCTATCCCCCAGAGATCATCCCCCTTTATATTCGTAGTAAAGCAGTTTCTCTGGCGACTTTCTTCAATTGGGCATGCAACTTTGCGCTGACATTCTTCACGCCCCCAGCGTTCCAAAACATTCAATGGAAGGTCAGTGCAAACCCAAAACCCCTCTCTTCGAAGATTTTGCTTACTGATCTTTGTTGCAGATTTACTGCGTATTTGGTACCTTTTGCATTTGCGCTGCAATTCACGTCTTCTTCTTGTTCCAAGAGACATTTGGTAAATCACTGGAGGAAATTGACGACATTTTTGATAACCAAAGTATTTGGGCCTTCAAAGCCAAAGACGAGCCTAGCCGGCTTACAGTCGACATTGAACAAGCGAAAGATGAAATGAGCGTTGGAAAGATTAAAGTCAGCCACGCAAAAACATCAGACACTCAGGTATAATCATTGAGCCACTATGATGGCGACAGTGCAATTCACATAAAAGGTCTAGGGTGGTTGGAAACCTACGTATATAAGAAGTGAATCAAGTCCACCGACAGCTGTTCATTGAGAATATAGGGCCGTCAATAGTCCGAATTCTATAAAATAATAGGCACATGGAGATTTGAGAGGCAGTGGTTGCAATACTATTACATAGTAATAGCTAGTTTTTGATATTCAAAATCCCGGCTTTACTACAAGTAGGTAGATAATTTATAGTCTATTGGAATTCAGAACCTTGGCATGCAAAGATGAAAGGTGAGTGTATATCATATGGGTGAATTTAGTAATACAACGGAACCAAAACTGATCTATAATTTGCGCCCAGTGCGTAAAAAGTCATCAAAGCATATATTAGAGACAAAATGAGTAAATATCAAGTTCAAACCACTACCATTACTCCTCCTCCTCCTCCTCCTCCTCCTGCTCCAGCTCCACCAGCACTGCCACCATCACCACCATCCCGCTTTCGCTTAGTAGCTCGTGTATCGGGTTTCTCATAATCATCGGGGAGCTTCCTTTTAGCACCTGTACCTCCCCCACGTGGGCGTCCCCTGCCTCGCTTAGGAGCTTTAGGGGCGGCTTTAGGGGCGGCTTTAGGGGCAGCAGCACCAGGAGCTGCCCCTCGACCCCGACCCCGACCTTGGCCACGACCACGACCACGACCACGACCACGACCACGACCACGACCACGACCACGACCACGACCTCGACCTCGACCTCGACCTCGTCCAGCAGGAGACGCAGGGCCAGCTACCAGAGTAGAGATATCTGGAGGTGCAGATACAGCTACCGGCCGAGGAAGAGCCGCGGCTGCAGGGCCAGCTATCGGTGCAGTAAAACCTGGGGGTGCCGACCCTCCAGGGCCAGCTGGAAGTACAGGGAAGGCTGGGGGTGCAGGGATAATTGCTGGTGAAGGGCTAGCTGCCGGTGCAGCTGCCGGTACAATGACAAATTCAGGTACAGGGCCATCTATGGGTACAGGAGCACCTAACGGTATATGCCAAAGTGGTGGTGCAGAGTTTGCAGTTCGACGGACAGCTGAGGGTGCACGGGTACGGACAGGTAGGGGTTCCGAGCCACCTAACGGTTGACTCACACTCTCAGCAGTATTTGGTGGAGGCGGAGGAACTGAATAAGACGTTGATGAATAACTAGAATCCTCATACCCGACACGAGGTGGCCGAAGTATCTGAGGTACATAAGGACGAGAACCTGCAGGTGATGCAGTAGTTCCTTCTGATCCGAGCGCACTATAATCCTTTATGTCTTCAATTTCGAATCTCATGTTGGCTGAGTAACGGCGGTAATTGCGTGTCAAGTCCAAATCGTACCAGGTAGCTATTCGAGCAATCCGTTTGGTGCCTGGTTGAAACAGGCCGAGTACCAAACATGCTACAACCTTTCCAATGTTTGTTCCGAGTAAAGCTTGATATGCCTCCGTATCATACTCCCATAAGCGACGCTTTGCCAATCTTTTATTACCACCATAGGTAGTTTGAGGAACTGGCTTCCCAAGTACGACGTAAATCCTTCTCATGACTTTCTCGGTTTCGTTTTGTGGTATTTGAGCCGCGTAGACGTATGAAAGTGTTTTAGGGTCATAAAGTCTGCTGTAAAAACATGCCAATATCTCAGACGAAAAATACCCATGGGACCTTAGCTCTATAGGCTTTTTCATATCGTAGATGCACAAGAAATCTTGACCAGCCATTACTTCCCAATAGCTGGTGAGATCCGTTAAACCCTCAATGATCTCAACTTCATCCTCCGTATTTAGGAGGTTTTCAGCAGGTTGTTTGATCATGCTTATAGAGTATTTACCATCGTTAGAAGTGTTGATTCCCAAGGTCTTCAAATCATTTGAGATGGTCTCAAGTGGGGCTTGCCGGTCATGAAAATCTTCTAAGCCCTCGATCTCATCCCAAGCGAAATCAAGAGGCTCAACGGGGATAGCCTCATCTTGTTCATCACCATCAATCCAATTCTGGAACTGAATACCCTGTCCTTCATGGTCGAGATGGTCACCGATACTGCCCGAATCGCTCGGCTCCATACTTGGCAGAACAACATCTCCTAAAGGATTAGGAGGTCCAACCCCAATAGGAATATCAGCCATGGAGGTCAAATACCTTGCTGCAACTTCTAGCTCAAACTTAAAGTGAGAAATTTATAATATGTGGAATCAATGTAAATTTGTTCAAGTTGCTTTCTAGATGATCTTTCAGTGATCCAAGGGTTCAATGTTCTTTTATATCTCTTACTAAAGCCATAGAGAGAGAGAGAGAGATCGACAGCCCTGAATGGATTCCATAAATCTTTGAAAAATAGACAATTCATTCTATATTTGGCAAGGTCGGCCAGAAATAGCAACATATGACCATCGCGGTTTCAGGGCTACAAAGGAAAACACAGAAAACCTTGGAAATGGCTGCTGAACCATTTATGTTTAAGTACAATAGGCATGTTTTGAATAGTAGCACAGTATGTAGTAAACTACTATGGACTATTAGTACTAGTATACATGAGTGTCAAGCGGGATCATTGAAAGCTAATAATTAACACAAAGCACCCCCAAAGAAAACCAGACTTTTCACACCGAGAAGCTCCAGGTTATGACGGCAGTTGAAGGCAGTGAGTGAATCACGAGAAGATATTTCCTTGGTGGAGGGTCATTCCTCCATGCATGTTTCAAATTCAAAGAGCCATACTAGACGAACCTTGGAATCCATAGATGGACCACGTGAATGCTCGAGCCTATAAACCCCAGATAAAGAATTATCACCCAGTCAAGCACTATGCCGAATGAGAACAATGGATATCAAAGGCGACGACTCGAGCCTCGTTCGATTTTTAATCCCCTTTATTATTTGTTTTGCTTCGCAAGGATTATTTATAGGAGAATATTATTAGCCCCAGCAATGGATACGTTGATATATGCTGTTTTATGACTGCACTGAGCTCCGGGTCCAGGGGAGCTTAAATCATTGACCATGTGAAGAGTTTCTCGGTCGACCAGCTTTGCTATACACTGCATTTGATGAAATTGTTTCCAGATAGCATTCAAACTTGAAATCAATATATATATATGAAAACCAGCTTTATTCCCATTATCCACTGAGAGTATTACATAACATTAAGACATGGTTTTGGTTCCATGGATGATATATGATATTGGGTACAGAATGCGTGCTTATGTATTGATAATGTCTGCAACGTAGATGCTTTATGCTATAACGACATGAGAATCATAATATAGAGATAGACAAAAGATGAATGGGAACACCGAAGACCACTCCGAAAGCCCAAACGCCGTAAAACCGAAACGATAAAACCAGAGGGAAATACACCAGCCCACTTCTGTTATCATAATATGCTTTCTTCAGATGACATGTATGTTCCACTTCTTCAACTCCAATTCCAGCTTTTGGGTAAAGCTATGAGAAAATCATGTTTCGCCCCAGGCACCGAGCCCAGCTCCGACACCTATAGCACTATTACTGTCGACACTACCACCTATGTCCCAATAATTGCGGCTAGACCCCGTGAGAGTTCGCCGACTTGAAATAGCCGACATTTTCGCACTTTGGCTTGCACAACTTGAGCTCGGTCGACGAATATGGGGACGAAGCAATGGCGAGGAAATACCAACAGGACCGGAGACGCCAGACAGTTGAGATGCCCGACGAGTCTGAGTTTGAGATCGAGAGTGGGCTCGTGCGACAAGAGGATGATGTTGACGAATCATGGCAGCACGGCGCGAGGCATCCTGGCTATGGTGAGGAGAGGGACTCGACACTTTCTTGTCGTTTGGCATGTATCCCCGCCGACTGAAGCGTGTACGAAGATAACGGAAGACCATCATAACGTCTAGGCCGCGCTCCCAGTATTCTTGTTCTGACTGCAGCCGGGTAGCTTCAGAAGTGGGGTCTCCACCTGTTGGGTCATCTTCTTCGATACCCCATTGTGCCTCATGCTCTTTGTTGGCATCACGAATAGTAGGGAGGAATTGTGGTGATGGCATAGAACTATCAATCGTCGTATTTACCGATTTGGAGTCTGTCTGCTCAATCGGCTTCTGGGAGAATCCACCCTCGGTCAGGCGACTGAGAGACATGCCGGCATATTCATTTGATATGTCCTTGGTCATTTGGTAATATGTCGTAAATGCACCTGGATGTTCACAAAGCTGGTGAACCAATATCCCAATCTCGTGCGTAATGCGTTGAATCATGCGAGTCTGCCACATGGGCGGATCTGAGTGGTCTGAATCCGGCTCTCGAGCCAGAACGGTTTCCATATCAAGCTCTTCAGACCTCTGCATTGGGGAGTGCTCGTCTAGCAACGACTCGCCGAAAATCACAGAGAGCAAAGAATCATCGATTCCAATCAAGTCTCGAATCACCTTGCGAGTGATCCGTCGCCAGATTGACTCATCAATTTCGGGCTCCCCCTCTGGCTCGGGAGCAACCTCCGACAAAGTCCCTGTTATACGGGCAGGGGATATTTGCTCAGCAACATTAGATATGCTTGACTGACTACCACGGCTCCTCCGTTGTCGACGAGTCTCGCGTTCGATCTCCTGCAATAAAGCCCGACTCTGATCCATCCTCCATTCCTCTATCCGCTGCCAGCGATCTCGTTCTACATCTGCATGTCCTTCATCCACTGTGTCAAGATGACGTTGGACACTTGAGCGCCGACGATGTTGGACTGGGGTATACTGTCGTCGCTCGGGATTAAACTGCTCATGCTGCCAGAGTTGATCTTGCGCCGCCTGACTTGATGCCTGGAAGGCACCTAGACCATCGTGAGCTGGAAGGATGGCAGGAGCTCCTTGATCCACTCGTGCGGGGGATGTGGGGGGAATAGATGGGGCCCGAAAAGCATGCAGCCCATCGTCTAAACTATCGAGCTCGGTACCATCTTCATCCAGCTGATCATCAAGAATGTCTTCATCGGCTGCCTCGCCCTCTGGTCCAGCAGCGGAACGAGTTGCAGTGCCAAAGGAGCCAAAATCACTCAATCGAGAGGCTCCCGCTGTCCGCGTGCGGTCGGTGGATGTCGTGTGTGTATGGGCGGTGGGAGAGAACAGGACCCATTGTGTTGTATCGTCGTCTTGCTGTTCTGGGGTAGAGGAAGGAATATCAAGGGGCGGAGGGGGTTGAGGGGCGGAATATGAGGTCCTTCTCCGTGGGGCTTGGGTTGGGACGCGGAAAGCCATGATCTCGACTGGGGTAGTAGATGGGCCAGATAAGGCTTCCTAGGTGGTGATGACGTGGATCTTCTCCGCAGCAAAAGACCGCTTGTGCGGTCAGAAGCGGAGAACCCGTTGAAACAAGAAATAAGGATCTCAACAGAGATCAATGTACGGAGGTTGAGAGAGCCAAAGAATATAACAGAGAACGTAATGCTGGTGGACGATGATGCGTTGATAACAGGAACTGGGCGATAAGGCGGTGGAGCCCCGGATGATCCAAGTAGCGGTATCGGATCACTTTGTTGTATGTTTACCCAACTATTTTCCACAAATAAGGCTTGTGGATCTTTGAAAGGTTATAAAGGAGATGAAAGAAAGCACCTTTTAATTATTGGTGAATTTAAAAAGAAGTGATAATAACAAAACACTTAGGGGGACCCGGGAAAGAGTGTTGGGCGCTCTCAGCTCAGGCGATAAACGATGTGACTGCTCGCGTGTGATGACCGCAGCAGAACGCAACAAATTCTACGTGTCGGTATGAAAATCCCAGATTTTCTTCCCTGACTGATAAGATTTAATTACCTGACCTGTACTCCATACATTGACACCAATCTTCTTAGGACCTTGGTTAGAAAGGTTAAGTGCGAAGTGGTTAGCGTCAGAGGCGGAGGCTGTGGCGAATGGCCCCCGGGGATCGACAAATATCCGTCATTTACTCCAGCAAGGACACGCTGATCACCTGCATTCATCGAAACCGGTTCACTGGTACGGTGCATTTGGTATTGCGTTGGGGAAAACGAAACAGAAAAGGGTATATTGAGGACACATGGTATGACATCTATAAAGCATCCAACCAAAAATAGTAGTAACCTTGGGTAAATAAATTTCTCAGCCCTTTATTGTCCTGCAAGAGCCTCGCCAACCCAATCCATTTGTACCGCGCTCACACCCCGCGCATAGGTGCGGTTGGTAAATACAAACTCATTATACATGATGGCTTCCAGCTTCTTGCCAAATAAAACGCTTGAAGGGTGGATCGCAACAGTCTGATTGCCCACGACAGTACGGTAGCTGCCATCAGGGACAAGCCGGGCGGTATTGGTAGCAAACCCGCATAGAAAGCTCTGTAAGATATCTACAGGGGAGGGATCATGATGTTGGTCCTGCCGGTCATCACGAGGTAAGAGTTTTGATTGGCGACATTGGTTTCGTAATTGTTTGCGAACATCCTAGTAACATGGCGAGATTAGCGTTGTTTTCATGCATAGAACCCAAATAATAAACTTACCATCACTGATTGCATCGCTCGATGCGATACCAAGTGTCGCTCAGCCCACGCTTTTCGGTCAGCGTTTTCACCTGCATAGGCCCGCACCGTCGATAGCATAGTCAGATGATCACCTTCGCGGCGGTAAAGATCGCGTCGGGCCGTTTCGGCTGCTTCCTTCTTCTCCTCGGAAGTCGTGTTGAGGAAAATACTCTCCACACTGAGACAGGAGATAATGTCAATGACATCAATTAAGCATTCGGCCCCATGCTCTGAAGCCGCCAACAGAACTCGTCCGAGTGTGGGTGTTAGCGGTAGTTTGGCGATGTGCATACCGACCTTGCTGATCCCTCCCGTTTCCTCCAGAGCATTTATATTTAATAACTGGAGTAGAGCCTTTTCGAGCGCTTCACGCGGTGGACGTGTCAAGAAGGGGAATCGGACGATATCGTCAACACCACGCGCCTTCATATTGAGCAGTGCCTGACTCAGGTCACATCGTAAGATTTCGGGGGTGTTTGTTTCGTCGAGACTCAAGTAATCCTTTTCGGTGTATAGACGGAAACATTGACCGGCCGCCTCACGACCAGCTCGACCCTTTCTCTGGATGGCGGCTGATTTGGAGATGGGCTTCACCAGTAAGGAGTCCAAACCAAGTCGAGTGCGGAACTGTTTGACCTTGGCCTTGCCACAGTCAACTACATACCGGACTCCAGATACCGTCACGGAAGTTTCAGCAATGTTAGTCGATAAAATGACCTTGCGAGTGCGGGGAGGTGCCGGGGCAAAGACCCGCTGCTGGGCGACTTGAGGAAGAGCAGCAAAGAGCGGCAAGACTAGGATCCGTGGTAAATTGGGATCCATTCCAACCGCATACTCATTGACCAAGCTTTCCAATGCTTCCACTGTTTCTTGACCTGTCAAGAATACCAAAATGTCACCTGGCATTGGCTCTTTGTAGTGGATTTGGAAAATGGTCTTGAGGGCTGCGTCGACAAAGTCATGCACGGGCGCTGGCGAATATATAGTTTTCACAGGGAATTGTCGGCCCTTAATATGGCAAACAGAGATATCTTTGTACGCCTCTTCTTTTGTCGGCGCTTCGGGTTCTTCGTGTAATGTGCCATTTTGGAGTTGAGGTTGGCCTTTAAATCCTTCCTGGAAGAATCCAAGTAGACTCTCCATATCTGCCGTAGCACTCATGACCACCACTTTCAGTGGGACACCTCCCCCGACCCTCCCGTTTCCCAGAAACCAAGTTGCGCAAAAATCCAGTGACCAGATCAACATTAATACCCCGTTCATGAACCTCGTCCACTACCACGGCGCTGTATTTGGTGAGCCATGGATCGTGCAGCATCTCTTGTAGAAGCATTCCCTCTGTCAAGAATTTGACTCGTGTACCAGGGGAAGTCGACGTATCAAACCGCACAGAGTAACCAACTTTGCTGGCCGGTGAGGATGATCCAAGGGGTGTTCCCATCTCTTCCGCAACACGACGGGCTAGCGTAATAGCAGCCACTCGTCGAGGTTGAGTGATCGCAATACAACCACCCACGGACAAAGATTTGGTCGTACCATCTGCCTGGGGTATCTTGGCTTGTTGCGGTCGGCACCAGAACTCGTTCACAAGAAATTGGGGGATCTGGGTACTCTTTCCACTACCTGTCTCACCAACAAGGAGCATGACATCTTGGGCCCGGAGATTCTTTCGGATTTCGTCTGCGTTTCCAAAGATAGGAAGCTTTTTTCGGAGCTCGTAGAGGGTATTGGCCTTTTCTCGGAGGGATGTGAAATTGGTCTTGTTATCGGAGAAGGGTTTGGACTTCGGCTTCGATTTGGGCGCAGGGGCGCTCGCTTGTGGTTTAGGTGCACTGGCTACCTTCTCTTCTGATTTCAGATCCTCCCCTGGTGCATTGGGGCTTAGTGATACATCGTTCGCATTAGAGCCTGCATCATCGCGGGGTGCCTGTGGTTCGTTGGCGGCCTCGTCGCGCTTGCGTTTCTTAGACCGCTTCTTCTTGTGGCCGGTGTTCTCAGCAGCTGAGGGCTCTTCGGCAACCAAGGCGGGCCTAGAATCTGGCTGCTCTTCACCACCAAAATGGGTATGGACCTTTTCGGGCATTGTGAATGAGTATCAACATGGACAAGCAAGCTTGAGATCTCCGAAACACCGCTTATCCCGAAAATTTTCGCTTATCGATAAGGCTTCTTATCTTATCGGCGACCGAGCTATCAATGTGACCTGGCTGTTTACTCTACAAGCCACAGACTATGCTTATTATCCTTAATATTTTTATTTTACGGATGCAACATGTTCTCGGCTCTATGTCAACGTTCCACAACATGTGCGGCACGGTAATTTGGTCCGTCTTATACATCTTAAGCGTGAGGTGCAGGGCTCTGGTCCGTAAGCTGCAACATACTGTAGTTACCTGCACCAACAAACTGCAGATATTGGGAGTCCGTGATCAGGTGGACCGAGAATGACAGAAATACGGAATGGTTCTCGATGATCAACTCTCACTACTGGAAAACCACACTGTCGGGTCAAGCTCTGTCGCGTCAAGGTTCAAATCTAGACCCGGATTTCAGTTGCGTTAGCGCTCAGACCCCGTACTTTAGCCGAGAGAGTAGATCTCCAGGGGGCGAGAGAAGGGGGGTCCTGGATGTATACAAGGAAAGGTTAACAACATGCCCATGCGACCTATATGGAGCTTCCGGTGACAATTTCCAGAGTATACCATACCGACGCAATGCAAGCAATAGACAAAGTTCGACCAGATCTTAATTCAAGAATAGTCCACGTCCATATGGAAAATGTAACCACATGCCGAACATTTTGACGTGTCTAAAACCGCTCAAGGCTGCGAAAAGCACCAAAGCCAATCAACAACGATCCGGCGATACGTCAAGGTCTTGCCGCGGAAGGCAAAAATTGATAGACTCATACAATGCCGCAGATCACCGAATGTTCTTTACGCTGGAAAAATCTCAATGAACTATTGCTCCTGCAGGATTGCATCACCGCTCGTAGCTGACACCGATCTCGTGGGGAACAGCCGCGCATCGATCGATCGCCCGCAACCAATTGTGACCTGGCACATTTAGTTCGTAAAAATTGTCTTACCTCCCCTGTTAAGGTCTTGCATCGTAAACTTTTCTCCAGGATGATTCTAGTTGTGGGTATAGTCGATCAATTGATGCATCAAGACAGCCCCTCAATGCGCAGAAGGAGAATTGAGTATTAAATAAAAGGTGGGTTCCCCGGTTTGCGACAATCGACGCAGCGTCAGAAGAAGAAGAAAAAGATAAGGGCAAAAAAGAAAAGAAATTCGCATTCTAATCATGCCTGCCACAGATCTTCACAACGGGCTTACAAGCCCCGATGCTGAGTCTTTACGCTCCTTCACAGAAACATTACCGGACGAGTACCACGAATGGGTGACTGAGTCTGGGAGGACATCGCGGTAAGCTCTAAATATGACAATGCCATTGTTTTCTTGTCTATTTGCTGTTTAGTCGCCTGACAAGTAAAAAGAAACGATCAAATTCTTGACGATTTTCCACATCCACCAATTCGGCCCCAGAACCTGGACATCATCGACGAAGAGCTGGCCTATCCCACACCAAGGTCTTCAGCAAAGAATATGCGACGCAATGTCACGACAGCCGATCTTGTGGCGACCACGGAGCTTCCTTTACTTCAACAGATGAATCCCTATGAAAATGCAGAAGAGTTCCATCCTGTCAACGAAGAGGGCGCCTCCTATGACCTGATTGCGCCGTTCGAAGGAGACGAGGCGCCGCTCCATAAGCTCGAGCGTGTGTCCGATGTCATGTTTGGAACAGAGCATATGTTATCTATTCTCAATAACCCGCGCTATCTAGCTCGGTTCCGCGAGTTTCTTCTCGAAGAACGACCACGGTCGATCTCAACACTCACCTATTACCTCAATGCTACCAAAGCCCTCAAGTCGATCGAGTATGCCAATGCGCTGGTTCGCTTATCCATCGACGTCCCGCCACCAGCTGTTCAAATTATCCAAAATGGCAACGAGGCTGTTGGGATAACCGCAAATAAAGTTCTGGAACAAAGAGTCCAGGATGGCCTGAACGCTTTGACAGCCGAAGAACTGCCTGCTTTTATCACATCGAGGTGCATCACAATTACCAGCAAAATTGTCGAAGAACGTGTACGAGGAACTTTACCAATGAAGTTTCGAGATACCTCAAATGCGCTGGCCGAGGTATTTTGCTTGACGGATCCTACGCGTCCCGATAATCCCATCATTTTCGCATCAGGAGGTAAGTCTTTTCGTTCTCACTACTTTGTGACTCGATCTGACGATAGCAGAATTCCATCGAACAACGCAATATGGAATGGACTATGTTCTTGGGCGGAACTGTCGATTCTTACAAGGGCCGAAAACAAACCCGAACAGTGTTCGACGTATCCGAGAAGCAATCAAAGAGTGCCGTCACCACTCCGAGCTCTTCTTGAACTAGTGTGTCAACTATCTTTTCCAAAAAACGAAAGTTGAAAACTAACACAAAAAATCCAGCCGGCGTGATGGGTCTCCATTCATGAATCTCCTTCAGTGCTCCCCTCTTTGCGACAGCCAAGGACGTGTCAAGTACTTCATTGGCGCACAAATCGATGTGTCAGGGCTAGCGATGGATGGCGCACAAATGGAGTCGATGATCGAGCTTCAATCTCGGTACCGGGATCCCGATGAAGAAAGTGTGGCAGAAATGCCCGAGCCCAAGCCGAAGGATGAGTTCCATGAGTTGTGTGAATTGTTCAGCCCCCGAGAGTTGACGACTGTTCAAGAAAATGGCGGTGATCTCTTCCAGCCTTTGAAAAACAAAGCCACTATTAGAGGCCATCGGACATGGTTGCAACGTGGAGCGTCAGTTGACAGTGAGACGGAGGCAATTCGTCTTCGAGATCTGAAGTCCCCATTATTACGTGGATCTCTAGCTGGTGTTTATGAGAATGTAAGTTTGAGTCTATACACCATCCTCTGGTCATACGGTATGAGCTCAGTTACTAATCATATATCGCTGTCCCTTAGTATCTACTCGTTCGCCCGTACCCCTCCCTTCGCATCCTCTTCACCTCGCCGTCTCTCCAGATTCCTGGCATGCTTCAGTCATCCTTTCTTTCACGTATCGGCAGCTCGGCTTCTGTGAAGAATGAGCTTATACAGGCAATGGAAGCCGGTCGCAGCGTGACAGCCAGAATCAAATGGGTGACGCGGTTTAATACGGAGGGGCGTAATCGCTGGGTTCATTGTACACCTCTGTACGCTAGTAATGGTCAAGTGGGAGTTTGGATGGTGGTGATTGTGGACGATGACGAAGAAACACTAATTAATTGGAGGAGCTAGGGATACATCGGAGTTTGAAATACCTTGCTTTATCAACTTGTATATATTAAGATAATTTCAATTATACCTTCTCATTTCTAGATACAAGCAACCCCCCACAAAATATTGTTGAAAAAGCCAAGTCCGTCTGACAGCAAATGTGGCCACTAAAGCCTATACGTGGATTCCATCAATACGAATGAAGGTGCGGTATTCATTTTCTTCTAATGCATGGCCAGTTTGAGGATCCTGGCTACCTGGGCCAAGCAGGCGAATCATCCACCACGGCTTGTCACCACTTCCAATCTGCCCATCCTGGAGCGAGATACCCCAGGTAGTAACATTGTGAGAGCCCAGGAAGATACCATCCTGCTTCTTCCCATCGAGGTAATGATAGTATGCGTGAACTGGCTCGCTGTACTCGCCCAAATTCCACATAACTTGAGCACTGTACGGCATGTCGGTAATGGTGATTGAAGTATAACCGGAATGAGGAACCACAGCTTGGAAGCCGGTGCCCTCCAAACAGCGCACTGTACTCTTTGCCATGGTGTTGTCCTCAACGATGCCAATCTATATCATGTTTATGCCGTTAGCACTGTCGATGTAATAAACCGGCCTCGTCTCGCAATACTCACGTATCCTTTTTCAACAACGGTGCTACCCTGTTGTTGCTGGAAGGCAACGGCTTGGGTTCCGTAGCCCTCCATGCTGCATGCATGGTCTGTCGCAGTGGTGTTCACGCACTGATCCACGATAGGGATCCAGGGACCAGAGATTTTGCCATAAGCACTCCAGTTAGGTAGACCAGCACATCCATCGGGGACGGGGACAGAGGTCAATTTGGCCGCTTGAGTAGCAGCCAACAACGAAAGGCCAGTAAGAAGAAGAGCCATTGAGAATATAGTGCTCGGGTCAGGACTGAATGACTTAGATCAAGATAATCAGGGCCAGGGTCCGGTATTTGTAATGACCACGGAGCCGCATCATTCATAATTCCTGCAATCCCTGTGTATTCATGTTTGCTCGCACTTAGATCCTTCAGCAGGCATCCGTGAGGGTGGGTTATGTTGGCATATGTTAGCCTGGCCTTGGCGGGGGCCAGTTCCATAAAGTCGCGCTTTACTCTGTTCAAAGCCAGAAAGAAAAGGATTCTCAGGGTCCACTACGCTAAAAGCCCCTGAAAGACCCACATTAAATTCAACTTGGTTATGCTCAATGTAACTTGTATTAGGTGCGTTTGCTATGATTGTTTAGGCATAATTGTCCCGGCGACCGAGAAACAACGCCAACAATTACCAAGCTCTGGAAGCCATAATCAAAAACGCTGTAAATGTATCCTCAGAAGAGAATGTGAGAAGTAAAATGCCAAAGATGCCATGCCAGAGTAAAATCTAACCTAGAACCTTAAGTAGGGTCTTAAAGCTTTGATCCCGGACCCATCTACACTTTAAACAGTATATGGGAATGCCTCGCCATTAACATCAAGCTTCGGGCAGACAGTGTGGATAGACCAGCGAACCCACATCTAGTAAATTGTTAGCGTGTTCCTTATAAAGTTCCTCCCAGTAGGCAGATAACTTACTTCATCGGTCGGGACGTCCTGGAAATAGGTGGTATCCATCTTTTGGGCTTGTCGGACATCCAGCTGGCTTGGCAAATCGTCGTTGAAGTAGTCCAGATTGCAGACTGGGACATTGACCATCAGGTTCATTTCTGGCTTGTTGTCTCCGGTCAAGAAGTCCCGTGCTGAGCCCATGGTATAATTGGCCTTGTATCCACCCGTGGCTTGAGACGCGTTCGCGGCCTTTGCAAGAGCAACAGCGGACAGATCTGGGTAGTTGGCAATTTTGCCTAATCCAGGAGCGTAATCGTACTCATCTGTGCAATAAGTGATTGACGATTCTTTCAGAAACCAGTACATGAATCCCGTGTCTTTGTCGCACGAACTAGCCAGCAAATCATCAGACGATAGGTCCATGTCGCAAGGGGCCTTGTCATTGATTGGCTTTGATGCTGCGACAACGAATACCTTCTCTAGGTCCCAGAGCCAAGAGATGGCACCACTACGGATAGCGTCTTTCATGGTCTGCTCATAATCGTCGAAAATGCCATCCTTCACGGGCTGAGCGAAATTACCATCCTTGAGGGCATAAGGACCGCTGTATGTCTGATCAGAATACTGGTTGTTGACGGCATCCTTGTATTCACTGGGATCAACAGCGTTTTGCAAAATGTTATCCGCATACTGTCTGATTGAGTCTCTCAATGCATCAGTCGTGTTGGATAATTTTTGCTTCAGAATTCCCGCCCTTTCTTCTTCGACCAGTCCGAAGCTTTTCAACTAGTTAGTTCTCTGCTAGGATAAGGAATGGAATTGAACCCACTCAATAGCTGCAGACTCCGTTCCAAGCAAAATTCCATTGGCGACACCAAATTCACCTGCTGCTGCACCGACGCCGACGGCAGCGGCCTCGAAAACTTCTCCCAATGGGCCTAGAAGAGCAGCTAGACCTCCGAGAACAGCCGAGATGATGATAAGTCCTTCACTTGCCTCTGACTAAAGGGTTCGCAGGTAAGCATTTCTAATCAGACGGCCACCAGCACTATTTTGTTACTTACCTTGGTTTTATCAGCCGTCGGGTTAGAAGTAAAGTCATCGACCATTCCATCTATTTCAGACCCGATAACTTCATTGGCAGTGTTCCAGAAAGTCTCGTATAGATTATCCATGAAGCTCTGGAAGTTGCTGAGACCATAAAGGGTGAACATCCAGAGTGCATCGAATGTGCCTGCCGGAGTACCCTCGCCTGTGGTACATCCAACTTGGGTACTATCGTAGTCAAAGTGACAACCAGCCTTTCTATAGTTGCACACTGTCAGCCATACTCTCTGTGTGTAGTCTAATTTTAGTAACGTACAGGCTGCAAGTATAAGGAGTGAAACCACCGATTTGCTTCATCACTGCCGTGGGAAAGCTCGTATCCGGGTATTCTGTCATGTCAGACTCGAACCAACCGTCCGCACTAAACCATGTCAATATTAATACACTGAACATTGATCATCTTGTAGACTGTAGGTGGTTCTTACTACATGTTCAACCAGTGATCGACTTTGAGATCCTGCCATGTCTTTTGGTTGTGCGTCTTGCACGACTGTCCCCAGTCAGGAAAGGTCACATTGCGCCTCACCATCGTGGGCAATTTCTTCGTATTGGTGGGAGCCTCTCCATCCTTAAATTTGTTCATATCTCTGCCGACCTTGAACGATGGTACTGCGTCCACGGACAGAGCTTAAACACGACTGTCAGTCAATGTCTTTATAAACCTTGAAGGTAGTATGGAAGTCATACCGAGGAAGCTCCCAGCTAGAAGCATAGATCCTCGCATATTGAGGATGAGGAAGACGTCAATGGATTCAATAGTTTGGCAAGATTGTCAATTGTAACCCAATGTACAAAATGAACGTGAACCGATGATAAAAAAAAAAGCCAACTTTTGCTTGAGAAACGAATATTTATATGCTTGCTTCGGGTCTCCTTCACGAAGGCCCCCGGGGCGCTACTAGTATTTCCAAGATTAAAAAAAGAACAATCTTGAAACAAAACAAAATTCAAAGGAACATACGACTCATGAACTCCGTAGATCCTTGGAATGATCCTTCTAAAGCATTCTCCTGAATATCATCAACAAGAGAAAAAGTCCCCTGAAGATCGGCAAGAAAATGAGGTGGCAAATGAAGCTTTTCCCCACATTCTTGGGGCCAAGAAACTTCCGCTGTAGGTAAATAGCACTCCGTGAAAGGTCCACTGTAACATGGGGTAGCGAGATGGAGAATCTGTATGTCATGTTTGAGCCTTGTTCGATATTAGTCGCGCACAGACATGGGCAGACTTCACGGCTCAGGCTGTTGCACGCAAGTTTCTCCGCGCAACGAGGCTCTCATGGTTCTACCTGATACACACACCCATTCACCACTTCCCGCTTCCTTAATTAACTTCTGACAATAGATGATATGGCCAAGAAAAGATGCGATCACCAATTTATTTACAATATCGTATAATAGTCGCTATACCACTATTTAATAGGCACACGGATGATATCAAGCAGCAGCTTGGAGTGGACACTTGAGCGAAAGTGCAGTAGCCCTGCAGATCATTTTGTTCCTTGTTCCTTGCCCAGCCCCCCTAAGGTGTCTTTATGATTCATGTGCTCGGGTAACCTGTCGGACTAGGAGGTACTGTAGGTACAATCCACCTGCGCGCCCGGCCCCCGGGGCCATGCTGTTATGTACCTACCGGATATAGTGCTGAGCCCTTGAAGATCATGTCAATCAATCCTTCAAATCGCGGAATTTGTGTACAGTAGGTACTTCAAACTGCCCACACGGCATAGTACTTTGATCCATTTGTAATCACCGTCACGAGATTTTGAAAAACAGGCCCTTCGATCAAGCTGCTATGCAAGAATCGCCGAAGAGTCCACTCGACGGAATTGTTTTGTGTGCCACTGGAAGCAGTATTACACACTCACATCATTTGAACTTGAAGCACAATGACCTGTAATACATGGAAAGATAGTTATATTAGTAGGATCCTGGGGAAATTTTGGGCTACGACAGTGTACCGCCCCCGACTAAGGGCTAGGATATGATGTCGCGTTCAAGTTCTTCGGTACAGGAAATTAAGCCTCCAAAACCGAGATTATCGACCCTTGGCGAGACTCATGATCGGCACTAAAAATATGCCGCAATATATAATAATAGACAAAGCTGTGTGGAACATCTTTTCTGAATCTGTCGAGTCTCTATGTACTTCATTCCATTGGTGACTGTATGTAGATCTCAATAAATCATATGTTTTATGGTAAAACGTTCAATGCGTAAATCATGACTTCAACTAGATACCCCAGCCCCTCACACGACGGAAGACAAATACGCGGTCATTGCGAAGGCCAAACTCTCCCCAGTCGTCTGTCAGCTTATTATAGCTCCAGAACCCCCGCCAGACCAATTTGGTGTTCTTGGAATGGGTCACTTGAGATTTGGATGCGGACGGAGATCGCAAGGCCAAGTGCATGAGATGAACGTATTTCGAACTAACGCCCTCCGTTTCTATAACAAGATCACGTGGATCTAAGGATTCTTCAGTCTGGTTAGGACCTGTGGCAGCAATCTGATCCTCGGGGGTATTCTCAGGCAGAGGAACTGGGGGAGTCAAGCGCCAGCGTCCACGATGGCCTTCTTTTAGCGCGTTGAGCGCCACTTGAGGCACATGATCAGTAGTCCCAGACAGTGTTTGGCCTTGGTCAGACAATCGGCGGTGGTGCTGTTTAGGGTAGGTAGCGCGGGCTATCATCAGATTCTCTTTACTGATGTGTGGCACGACATCGACGGGCTCAGTAGTCGAGAGTAAAGAAACCAAAGAACCATCGGGGTAAAATCGAAGATATCGATAATATGTCACAATATGAATGGGAGTATTCCAAGACACAGTTTGATGTGTTGACTGAGCACCGGGCCTTGTGTAGTTGACTGTGCTTATGTAGATTCCGGTAAACCGAATACGCGGATAGGATTGAAAGACTTGAGTCCACGAAGAGAGAGGCTTGGGAATTTCCAAAGAGACTCCTTTGGGAAACGGTGTATATCTTGTTCCATCAAGGGTGTAAATTGGATAACCATGCAGGTCACAAGCAAAGGTGTAGTGCATTCCAGCGAATCCAAACTCTGGATTTTGGCAGATTCGTCTCCAGATATGTTGTTCGTGGGAGAAGTGGTATGCCATTCGTTTGCAAACTAAGCTCATTCGGCCGAAGGTAGCCGGGTCTTGTAAACCGACATACCGCAAGATCTCTACTATCACCTCAGACGGCAGATTCGAAATAGGACAAGGGGGCGGGGGCGTATTCTCAATGAGCGGCTCTGCTGGGGGGATATGGAGCTGAGCGAACGATGCAATCAACTCTGACGTGGGAATATGTAATGCGTCTTCAGTAGAGACCGGGGCTGTTGCAGATACGGGTTCAGGATCGCTCGGAGTTGACTGTGCGGGCTGTGCTGGCCTTTTCCACGCGTGGGCAAAATGCTTGTTTCTATAAGTTTTGTCGACGCTTGCATCGAGCTAGATAAAAATTAGAAAACAACGTGGAAGCAATATCCAGATGGGTTGACAGTCGCCACTTACCCGATACGCTTTCCGATAGTGCTGTAAACTATCACCAAGGTTTCCTGCGGCTTCTTTTTCGACTGCCCGCTCGAAATGCTCTAGGGCTGAGCTGGGCTCATGGTGATCCGTTCGAGTGAATCCATCTTCCTCGTGTTGTCTCTCCGGTTCCACACTCAGCTGCCCAACTTCCTGGGCAAGTTCCTCGGGATCAAAAGATGCCGGCGGGGCCCCCTCTTCTTCAAGGTCCTTGCGGTGAGAAGCTTCATGCTGAGTCGGTGGGAATCGAGCAGGCTGCGGGTCTGGGGCCACATAATGAGGGGCATTTCTAGGTTTAGATCGACCAGCAACCTCCTCGCGCCACTGGCGGCGAAATGATTCGAGCTCCGGATTGTCTGCCATGGCGGGAGAGTGCCCGGCGTCCGGTGTCGGAGATCGATCGAGATTGATAAGCCCACCTGAGGGATCCACTGGGCAGGAAATCAGATCAAAGGGCAAAGAGGGGAACCGAAAGAAACTGCACAAATTCTGCAAACGTAGCCATTGATTTTAAAAGTGTTGGGTGGAACTCTGTAAGGCTCAAGACCTCAAGACCTCAAGATTCGGTGAGCAACAAAGAGGAAGAAAGAAAGAACCGGGAAGCTTATCTCCGCCCGCCACCTCCCGCAAAACCCCGAAAATCTTCTGGACCGAGTGACGCATTCACGCATTCACGCATTCTTCTTGATTTCTCCAACCACCCGCGTCACAAAGACCTGATTCATCGCCAATAATATTAGCAGGCGGTGCCTATCTGTTTGAATGCCGCTCGGATTGGATTCTTTGACTACTTTCACCAGTCCAGGTGTTGAAGGAAGCGAGTTTGTTACCGAGATCGACTCCTCTTCGGGGGCGTCATGGACGTCTCATTTTGACGAGACATCCAGCATGGTAGCTCCAACAGGGACCGGATCAGGGTCAGCGGCTAATTCCCCTCCTCACACCGAGAGTATCTCAATCGGACAGCGCATGATATCAGCATCAGCTGGTAATATATTGACTGGGCTTCTTGGTAAGTTGGACACTAGACAATCGTCTCACTAATGAAGCCGTCGCTGATTCATAAACAGTTACTCCCCTCGATGTCGTTCGCGTGCGTCTACAATCCCAATCACAGATTTCGACTGCGTCCCAATATACCACCCACACAATATCATCCTTAAAAAAGCTTCCCCCCAACATCGGAATCACGGCATGTTGTCGAGAGGTATTTTGGGTCGGAGAGAATGCGCAGATGTGCATGCTGGGCTCTCAGACAGGCACCATTGGAAGCCAAGCACATCCAGCACTTGATTGTGCAGTGGAAGAATCACAACGGCGAGCATTTACATCGACTTTGGATGGCCTACGAAAGATTGCTAGGAATGAGGGGCTATCTACATTATGGCGAGGTCTAAGCGCTACTTTGATGATGGGTATTCCCGCAAATATCATCTACTTCGCTGGGTACGACTGGTTGCGCTTTGCCGACAACAGTCCTGTCAAAAAACATTTCTCGGATAATTATGCGCCCTTTGTCGGAGGTGCGATCGCACGGACGACAGCGGCGGCAGTCACTAGCCCGATTGAGATGTTTCGCACCCGCCTGCAGGCTACCCCGGGTACGGGCGCTGGCCATTTCAAGGAAACTCTCCAAGACCTGCACCAGATGACGAAAGTGAAGGGTTATACCTCTCTTTGGCGTGGACTGTCACTGACCATGTGGCGCGATGTCCCATTCTCTGGTCTATACTGGTGGGGATACGAAAAGGTGAAGATCAGCTTAGAGTCTGCGCGCCAAAACAATACACATCTTTCGGCTGCCGATACGGAAGTCCCGACTTCGGCTACTGCTTTCCTCGACAGTTTCATTGCTGGTGCCACCTCTGGAGCGGTAGCTTCCTTGGTAACAACACCTTTTGATGTAGGCAAGACCCGACAGCAGGTCTACCGACACATGGATGATCACGTCCCTAGTACTGCTTCACGATCTAGCCTCTCGCCTAAAACTATTGTCCCCGAGCAATTATCTCTCCCCAAGTTCTTGTTGCACATATTCCGCGAGGAAGGTAGTGCTGGCCTCTTCCGAGGCTGGTCAGCTCGTTGTCTCAAAGTTGCTCCCGCCTGCGCGATCATGATCTCTACCTACGAACTGGGTAAGCGCATGGCAAAGGAAGTTAATGAGCGACGACATGAATCCTCTTGAACATTCTTCATATCCCCTGTACTATTAATGCATGCGATCGATCGATTAGTCGGTCGCCTATCCCTACTCCTTTCTCTCCGACCGCGTCCCTTTTTTGTTTCCCTTATTTTTTTCCTTTTTCCCTATTATGGATTTCCTCATGTGGCGTTCTTTTTTGATACCGCATCAGCCGAACTATAGACATGTGTGCATCGGTTCTGTTCTTGTCTCAAAGCATGTTTGGAGTGGGTTTCTGGGACTAAAAGCGCCCCTTATTTTTGTACCATAAGTTTCCTGAATAATCTCACATCGACAAACATTTCTGGCAACAGTAATACTTTCTACTTTTCTTTTTCCCCCGTTCGTATTTGGCCCGGGTGCTTTGACACCCGATCGGCGGGCGTAGCCGGCTTAGGGCGAACCAGGTTGCGCACCGGGCGTGTTCATCTGATCCGTTATTGAGGCTGAAAGTTCCCCTGATTTAATGCGGCCCCCAGCGCCGGAATATATTTTCTCTTTAAAAAGAACCCAGGATTTTTCACGTTTATGCATGAGTGTAGTTTTTTCAGCTGGGAACCCGGTGTGAAGTATGGCGCCAACAGTATCGGGGCCCGGGCGCCCGCCATGGTTCGAGCATGTCCAGGCCGAGAAGAAGACAAGTGTGGAGTATGTGTGACATTTCCCCCTTATGCGTCAAACAAGGGTCCTTCTAACGTGTCTGCAGCATCGTTGCCGTACCACCTATAGGGGCGCATCATCAAAAACCATGGACTACCCATAGCTCGAAGACAACATGGCTCAAGAGTGAATTACTTCAACAAATCCCTAAAGCACGGCTGTTATTATACAGCCATGGCCAGATCCACGAGCATGATAAAATTGACAGCCTCGGTCAACGCCTATTGAATGTGCTACTAGACGAACGCAGACGTTATAGCAGTCGACGACCGGTCTTTTTTATCTGTCACAGCACAGGAGGCCTCGTGGTAAAGGCATGTTTGGCTCAAGCCTCACGGGCCGAGCCGAACCAGACAATATTGACCAGCTGCTATGGCATCGCCTTTTTGGCAACACCTCACCAAGGCTCAAGTTACCTTTCAGCAGAAGAGTACATGCCAAGTATACGGCGATTGCTTCATCTTGAGCAGGATCTTCCTGCATCCCTCAGAGAACAGCTTCGTCCTCGACAGGACAAACTGTGGCATCTTTCTAATCAGTTCAAAGCTCTGTCGGCCGACATGAAAGTTTGGTCTTTTCTTGAGACCATCGATTCAACGTTGACTGTCACAGATCATGAGTTGGGAAATACCATGGAGTTTCACGCGCCTATCACCTCTATTCGCTCCGGACTGCTGGGTATTGAACATGAAAATGAGGTGCCGGTAGGAACAGACCATATCGGGACAGCAAGTTTCCAAGACCAGGATTCCGCCCGAGACAACTTTCTTGTCGATCTAGCAGACTTAGTGAACGCATCTGTGGAACTTTCTGGTCATATGGATACTCCGCTGAATGTCGAACAAGAAGTGACAGTGCAAATTAATGGATTCTTTGAGGACACCGCATTAGGCGTCAGTGATGAGACTCCGCTCAAGCTCTGGTCAACCCGGGTACCCTTAGAAGAGTATTTAGCTCGTGGTCCAGGCGCATGTCTCCGAGATCGCCTAAAACGTGTTCAACCAGGTGGATTCGATGATTCTTCTATAAGCAGTTTCGACAGCTTACGATCTTTCCCTCACGTCGTTCCCGGGCAAGACAACCACGATCAGAACGATACCCATCAACCTAAAGATGAACCCAGGGATGAGCTCAGTCATGAATCTAGACCTTCTCGCCCACCTATGAGTCAAAGCCGTAGCTTCATAGCGCCAGAGCACCAGCTTTCACCAACTATTCACATCACAGAAGCTGCATTGGATGGATTTTTTGACCGTGATCGCCCCTCAAGTGAAAGTCCTCCTCCGCCAGTCGAGCGTAGAAGGAAGTCATCCATCGCCAAAGCTTTGGGTTTAACCCACCTAAGGTCTCACAAACGGAATACATCCGACGGCAGCTCCCAAGGGAGTAGTTCGCGTCCTCCATCGTAAGCACATGCCCACAGATATCAAACCCCATTCATAAACTGACTACGACCAGAAACTCAACTTCCACGCCCCGAAGCGCAGGATTTTTAGCAGTTCCGCCCTCTATACGAGATCGCATTAATCAACAAGGCGACATGCCGGATATTCCTCGATCAGTTCCTCGGTTTGATCGACCCGAGCCTGATACCGAGAAACTCCTTTGGATTCATGTTCCGTACACGCATACCGGATGGGTATCGCAGGTCATTCGTCGTGCATGTGAAGATCGTAAAGAGCCAGATTTGTAATTGGGACTCGATCCTCCAGTTCTATACTTCTGCGTTAACAAACCCTAGCCCGAGAAAATTTATCAATGACAAGAATTGGTATTTGAACCTCAACCGAGCTCGACACTTAGAGCCGCATGCTCGATTTGTGAAGCCTCGGTGTTTTCATTCCCGTCAGATGGATGTTTCTTCAGGTAATAAGTCAGTAGAATTGGAAGATCCCCAACTAGCTCTCTATGTGAGTCTTCACCCGTAAAATCCTAATTATCATATATACTAACCTTAGCCTCGCCACAGACCCCATACGTAAGTCTACATCCTCAATTTCAAAAACTTGTATTAATGGCCCTCTCAGCTCCATTGGGACACATACCGAAACCTCATCCAGCGCCGCAAAGTACTCCAGGATCGCCTTCGTCAAGGCCGCTCTCGTCCTGTTCCACCCCGAATCGCCAAATCAAGTCTAGAAGCTCAGTTAATCTGGCAATACCTAGGCTGTGAGCCACCAATCCATTTCAGACGTACACTAGATCAATTCGGATACCCAAATCTACGATCAACAGTAGCGCGCGATGACGACCAAATGCTCTGGAAGCGAACTCGGCGACCGGCCCGAATCGACGAGCAACTACGAGAATACCTCAATGCAGCGAGCGATGATCCCGAAGACTCAGAACCAACAGAGTTCATGGATGGAAATGTACTAATGGTAGACCAGCTCTGGCTCTGGATAGTAGACCAGAAGACTATCGTGACGTTTTTCCCTAATCAGGAAGCTACCACGTCCACAGGGAAATTGTTCGAACAGTCCAATCTGCACAGCAGTATCTATAATGAATTAAATGGTGACTTGGCGCGGCGATTTGAAACAGCTGGTGATCTTGCTGCGCTCATAATGCTACACGCTGTTACTGTTCTGCTTGACCGGACCCTTCATCATGATCTCCAAGTTCTTCGAATATTTGAAGAATCGATAAGCATACTGGTTCGTTTTATCTTTCCTTATTCCCTTCTTCCCTTTTCGTTTCTTAAAGATAGTTATATACTAATTACTTAGACTGAATCCGTAACAAAATCATTCAAACGTTTCCGTAATCGTGGATTCGCCAATCGACCCGCCGATCATAATCTCACCAAAGAAGGAAGAATAATGACTGCTGCTCAGCGGGACTATCGAGATCTCCAAATAGCTCGTCGAAATAGAGACGACTTATCTGTTCTCCTTGAGCTCCGAGATATCGAAGACGAGCTTTCAACTATAATCAAACTTCTCGATCAGCAAGATGGTGTCATCAAGAGTATGATGAAGTACTTTGATCTAAATGGCTGCGGAAAGATGTTTCTTGATGCGGCACAACTTAGGATCGACGAGTATCGATCTCAGCTAGGAGAAATGAAGGAGAACAGCCATCTAGCCCAGAAAGCAGTATGACCTTCTCGATTCTATTTCATTATAATGTCACATCAGTTCTAATACTGTTTAGGTCGAAACACTACTCGATCTAAAGCAAAAGCAGGCAAATGTTGACGAGGCCAAAATGGCACGTTGGCAAGCTGAAGAAACGCAAAACCAATCGCGTTCCTTAATGGTTTTCACCATTTTCACAGTCATGTATGAACGAAAAAAGCTCCACCATCTAGAATAATATCTGACAAAGACAGCTTTTTACCATTATCATTCTTCACATCCCTCTTCGGTATCAACGCCCGAGAATGGAGCGGTACTCCTGAGAATCTACCATTATCGAAAATGTTCGAGATAGCAGGTAAGAGCATTTATACCCAATCCAAGCTTCCATTATCTTGTCTTTTCCATCTAATCGATGATTTTAGCGCCGGCCTCATTCGCCATTATAGCCGTTGCCCTCCTCATGGCCTTTAGCGAAAGCTTAAGACAAGCAGTCACGAAATCACACAAGATAGGATCAGGTCTATGGGCCGAATTTATATCCCATCCTATCCAAAGCTTTCTGCATTGGAATTCTTTCAAGAGGCGAATTCCATCGTTTGATTTCTCCGAGGATTCAAAGATGAGGAAGCGCTTTGACCATTATCTGGGCTATGAGCAACATCGTGTAAAACTTGATGAGGACTTTTGGAAGCGAAGACAGCAGGATAAGAACTCGGTTTTGGAGGTTGAATGGAGGAATTTTAAAGTCTCTCATCCTCGGGCAGGGGAGAAGTTATCAGAGAAGACCATGGATATACCCGAGGCTGGATTTCATGTCTGATTAAGAATCTATAGATAACTTGATAGGTCTTTTGTGATTCTGTACATAGCAGATATATATTTTTGGGTATATCAAGCCAGGTCGAACCAATTGGATAAGTCACGCAGACTTCAAGCAAGAAGTCTATACCAATATGTAATAGCGAGCCAGTTTTAGTTATTAATAATGATAATCGTATTCTTTAGGAAAGAATGGGTATGTAAGACCACAGCTGGTATCTGTGTCCATCCCATAGTGGCTCTAGGTACATACATATGATAGCAAGTTATTGCATGGGACTTTGGACGCAAACTGACGTCCGATGAAAGAGGCCATCGAAAAGTGAGGATACTGCCAAGGAGAATGCAATCGACAACCGAAACAATTGAAAGGCCGAACATATAAGGCAAATAAAACCTATTTTTGAAACATTGAAGAAACATTCAGTCATCGTTCGTTGTTGAGGCAGAAGCTCGTGATATTTGATGCCTGGTAACAGTGATAGAGTTATCACTCTGTTTCGGAGGTTCGAACAGTATTGAAACTGCACTGTATGGAATGGTGGTTAGGGCAGTCAAAATGCCCAATAAATAAAATCAAAATCCGGATGAAGATTTTTATGTCTCGCTAGGGGCAGGAACTATTGAAGATCCGAGATCCATCGCGGCATACTTCAAAATGGTCTCCATCATGTGACTAGCTTGTAAGGGCTTTGACACATAATCGTCCATACCGGACTCAAGACATTTTTCGCGATCTCCGAGCATCGCATGTGCGGTCAACGCGACAATAGGTGTGCGAGGCAGGCCCTGGGACCTTTCGTGCTGCCTTATTGTTGTAGTAGCTTCAAAGCCGCCCATCACAGGCATTTGAACATCCATTAAAACCAGATCATATCGGTGACGCTTAACTTCCTTCACGGCTTGTAGCCCATTTTCGACAACGGTAACATTGTGCTTGGCCTTTTCAAGAATGCGAACAGCGACCTTCACGTTCACATCATTGTCCTCTGCTAGCAAAATGGATAGAGATCGGGTATTCTCCAGCTGCGGGTGAGTTGTCAAATTTCCAAGGACAAGAAGAATTCCATTCCAGAGATCAATAGAGCGACAAGGGCCGGTGACATAGGCTGTGATACCAAGAGAACTAGCAGCTCTTATGGGCAATGATAGATTTGGGGACATGATTACAATAGGCACGCCGACCAGATTATCACACGAGCGTAATGTACGAACGTCGTCCATTGCTGAAACGATAATGGCAGTAAAATGAGACGCCTTGTCACCGTTTCTTTGGCTTTTCGCAAGTTGTTTCAGTGGCAACGTTACGAACTGAAGGCCCAATTCCTGGAGTAGGTGAGCAGCCAAGCATTCGGTCTGCTCTGGGTCACCCACAACCAAAAATCGGCGGCTCCGATGAGGTTGAATTTGCTCATGGAGAGACAATGGAGGCTCACTGACTTTGAGCTTGCAGGTAAACCCGAATGTACTGCCTTTACCTAAATTCGATGTGACCCAAATATCACCGCCCATGAGGGATATAAGACGTTTGGATATAGCCAGTCCCAGACCTGTGCCTCCAAAACGGCGTGTCATCGAGCCATCGGCTTGTTGGAAATTATCGAAGATCAGTCCCAGTTTACTCTGCTCGATACCAATACCAGAATCTGCCACCGAGAACTCAAACGTGATTTCATCTGAGGCAGTGGTGCTGTTCTCAACTCGTTTGAGCAAAACACGGATTTCGCCATGGTCGGTAAACTTGACCGCATTACCCACGAGATTCATCATGACTTGTCGGATTCTGTAGCCATCGCCAATGAGGTAATCTGGTACATCACCCTCGACTGAGTAGATGATACTCAGGGCTTTTTCGTCGCTTTGGATGTCAAATGCTTTCAAAACGTGCCATACCGTTGAACTTAAACTAAAAGCCGTTGTTTCAATCTTCATGTGATTTGCCTCGATTTTTGATATATCAAGAATGTCCCCAATGATACTCAAAAGACTGTTGGCAAGGCTGTGCACCATGCTCAGGGTCTCACGGACAGCTGCAGGAATTGGATATTCGTCGTCGAGCACCATCTTAGTCAATCCAATGATCCCGTTCATTGGAGTCCGAATTTCATGACTAGGTCACATGTTAGCTATTTTGTTCAACTATAAGATTGATTCGACGGAAGCGAATAACACACCTAGTATTTGCCAGGAATTCCGATTTACTGCGATTTGCCAACTCAGCTGCTTCACGAGCCGCCGTATTTCGCTGGATACTATCTCGCAAGCCTGAGATCATCTTGTTGATTTTTTTCTTCAAGTCGTCCATTTCACCCGATGCTGATACAGTAATAAGAGACGTAAAGTCACCGCTCATAGCAGCTTCCGTAATCTCTCCAAAGGCTCGAACTTGTGATGTGAGGTTATCTGCCATCGTGTTGACATCCTCGCTAATAGATCTCCAGATACCATGGGATCCATTAACATTTGCTTGTCCACCCAATTGACCTCGAACTCCTACATCCCTTGCTACTGCTTTCAACTCCCGTGCAAATTGTCCCAAACCATCCACCATGCTATTGATTGTTTCTTTGAGTGTCAAAATTTCGCCTTGAGCATGAACTTCGATTTTGGTACTCAGATCGCCACGGGCGATAGCTTGAGTCACGTTGGAAATTTGTCGAACTTGCATCGTAAGGTTTTGGGCCATGGTGTTCACGTTGTCAGTAAGATTTCGCCATTGACCTTCAACATTCTCGACCTGTGCTTGGCCACCCAGTGTACCATCAGTTCCCACCTCGCGTGCTACTCGACTAACTTCGAAGGCGAATTGATTCAATCGGTCAACCATTGCGTTGATGGTAAGCTTCAGATCCAAGATCTCTCCCTTCACATCCGCAGTAACTTTCATCGTTAGATCGCCACGGGCCACGGCTGTCGTCACTTTAGCAATTTCGCGGACCTGCTGTGTAAGGTTGGAAGCCATGTTGTTGACGTTGTCGGTCAAATTCTTCCACGTCCCCTCCACGCCATGCACCAGTGCCTGTCCACCGAGGGTTCCATCCGATCCGACCTCCCGGGCCACACGACTAACTTCAAAGGCGAATTCCCGTAGCTGGTCAACCATAGAATTGATAATATTCTTCAACAACAAGATTTCTCCTTTACAATCCGCCTGAACCTTGCTCGTAAGATCACCCTTGGCAACGGCCGTCGTCACCGTAGTGATATCTCGTACTTGCGCAGTAAGGTTGTTCGCCATGGCGTTCACATTCACAGTCAACTCCTCCCAGATTCCCTGAATGCCTTCAATCTTCGCCTGTCCACCCAAAACTCCATCCGTTCCAACCTCCCTCGCCACCTTCGACACCTCCTGACTGAAAACCTGTAACTGATCCATCATAGTATTAATGGTCTTTTTGAATGTCGCGATATCAGGCGAAATCTCCAGCGGATGCAACCGCGCCCTCTGCGACAGATCTCCATGCGCAACCTGGGTAATGATCTCCCCGATCTCTCTGAGTTCTTTCTGGAACGCCTCATTGATATGTGTGTGTTTTCGAAGCTCTTTCCTCAGCTGCGAGCACTCTCGCTCAATCTCCGCAATGGACGAATGGCCTTCGCGACATTGAATCAGTTCCTCGACAATCTGTGAGATGAACTCGCGTGGTACAGAGACCTCCGGGCTCTGCTGGTGCTGTAGGGCGGCGCGGGCCTGGAAAAGGTCCACATCGGAAGCCCGACTCATTTCGCCGACCATCTTGCCAATTTTTGGCAGCTAATGACAGCTAACGGGTGCCAAGGGTGGATGGTGGAGATTCAACCGGTGACACTCCACTTCCTTTGAAGTTGGGGTGTACAGGTCTCAGGTCGTTGGACGCTGTACAGGGTGGAAGAAGGGAACAGGAATAGGGCAATATAAGAGGGTATTAAGGAAGTATTTTTTTTTTCTTGACTGGGGGGACCGGGGGCTTTACCGCGAGGAAAGTCCCCCTGATCGGTAAGAGGAGGGACAGGTGGCAAGGAGTACCTCGTTAAGACTCGTATGCATCACCAAGACAAATGGGGACTCGAATACAAAGTTTGTGGAGGAGAAAGAAAAGAAAAGAAAAGTGGAGTTTGCACTCTAAACTGAAAGGCGGAGGGGGGTGAACAAAGCTGGGGGTGGGAGGCAAAGTTGACTGCAAACACGGGATGTGTTGGATCAAATTGTTTCTAGTCTAGACCGTGCATGGCCGTGAATGGCTGACGAGTTCAAGGTGGAAGTGATCAAAATACCCGACGTGTGTGACTAGGCTATTGCCACGCCAAACTCTGTTAATATTAAGGTATGTCAGCTGAAGACATGAACGGTGTACTAAAGGATATACATTGTGCGTTTTCAAAATTATCCAAGAGTTCAACCTATTCTTTTCTCCAGGTTGCTGTCCTAGATAACTCAGTCCCAAACAGAGTTATGCCGATCTGTACGTCGCGGGTCGATCCTTAATTGCTTGGTCCACTTTGCTACTGTGCCGATCGTGAGCACTCTCCATCCCCGGAGACTATACCCTGCCCAATTATTTTATATCTACTGATGGCCAACTGGGTGGTCATGGTCTTGTTTACATGTTTACATGTTTACATCTTATGACTACAATCCCAATGTTATTTGAGATCACCAAGAAACATAACATGACAACACCACGTCAAAATTCATTAGAACCACATAAATGGAGAGAAAATATGATACAGGATTGCGCCGGAACCTTTTTTCGAAGCCCCATAAGAGTGGAGATGGTGAACAAAAGAAAAATAGAGAACATTCAAAAATACAGGTATAGAAAAAAGCAACACCAAAACATTACAAATATCCAGGGCCGTCTGGGAGAAGGCGGCGATGCAAGAGATGCGCGAGGAGGTTTTTCAGGAGAGAACAAGGTTATACGGTGGGGAATGGAGGAAGGGAAGGGGGCTTAGTCGCTTAGAACATGCCGCCGCCCATGCCACCCATGCCACCCATACCGCCCATGCCGCCAGGGGGACCGGCAGGACCCTTCTCCTCAGGGGCATCAACGATGGCAACCTCGGTGGTACCAAGCAGGGAAGCAACACCGCTAGCATCAACCAGAGCAGTGCGGACAACCTTGAGGGGATCAACGATACCGTTGGCAATCATGTCGACGTACTCGCCCTTAGAGCTGTCAAAGCCCTTGTTGAAGTCCTTGGCGTACTCATCAGTCAGCTTGCCAACAATAACGCTACCCTCCAGACCGGCGTTCTCAACAATGGTGCGGGCAGGGCGGGTGATAGCGCTCTTGATGATGCTAACACCGAGCTGCTGGTCGAAGTTGGCGGGCTTGACATTGTCCAGAGCGTTGGCGGAGGCCTTCAGCAGAGCGGTACCACCACCGGGCAGGATACCCTGCTCAACGGCAGCGCGGGTGGCGTTCAGGGCGTCAACGACACGGTCCTTCTTCTCACCAACCTCAACCTCGGAGGCACCACCGACCTTGATGACGGCGACACCACCGGAGAGCTTAGCAAGACGCTCCTGGAGCTTCTCTTTCTCGTACTCGGAGGTGGTGGGGTCGGCCATGACACCACGGATCTGCTCGCAGCGCTGAGCGATGTTGTCCTTGGAGCCCTCACCGTTGAGGATAATGGTGTCCTCCTTGGTGATGGTGATGGAGCCAGTGGATCCAAGCATGTCAGGGGTAAGCTTCTCGAGCTTGATGTCGAGCTCATCAGTGAAGACGGTACCGTTGGTGAGAACACCAAGGTCACCAAGGATGCTCTTGCGGTTGTCACCGAAGCCGGGGGCCTTGACGGCAGCGACCTGGAGCTGGCCACGGAGCTTGTTCAGGATGCAGACAGCGAGAGCCTCACCCTCAATGTCCTCGGCAATGATGACCAGAGGGCGGCGGAGGGTGGTGGAGGCCTCAAGGGCAGGGATAATGTCCTGAACAGCGGAGATCTTCTTCTCGGAAAGCAGGATCAGAGGCTTCTCGAACTCGACCTTCTGGGACTTGGGGTCGGTGATGAAGTAGGGGGAGGTGTAACCACGGTCGAAACGCATACCCTCGGTAACCTCGAGCTCGTCCTCCAGAGTCTTACCCTCCTTGACGGTGATAACACCCTCCTTGCCAACACGCTCCATAGCAGTGGAGATGAGCTTGCCAACGTGGAGATCACCGTTACCGGAGATGGTGGCGACCTGAGCGATCTCCTCGCCGGTGGTGATGTCCCGCTTGTTCTCCTGCAGGTACTTCACGACGGCCTCAACGGCAGCCTGGATACCACGGCGCAGATCCATAGGGTTGCAGCCGGCGGCAACGTTCTTCACGGTCTCGGAGAAGATGGCACGGGCGAGAACGGTAGCGGTGGTGGTACCGTCACCGGCGAGCTCGTTGGTCTTGGAGGCGACATCCTGGAGAAGGCGGGCACCGAGGTTCTCGAACTTGTCCTGCAGCTGGATGGCCTTGGCGACAGTTACACCATCTTTGGAAAAAAAGTTAGCCTTTAATGTTGTTGATCGGGTGTCGATTTAAAAAATAAAAAAACACGTAAACACTTACCCTTGGTGATCTTGGGGGAGCCGTAGGCAGACTCAATGAGGACGTTGCGACCCTTGGGACCAAGAGTAGAGGTAACAGCCTTAGCTAGAGTGTCAACACCCTTGAGGAGGCTGGCACGAGCCTCAACACCGAACTTGAGCTCCTGTTCGCGGTCAGTCAGGGATTGTTCGGAAGAGGCAGCAATCGATGCGACCATGGACTGCACGCATCATCAAATGATGATAATCCTTTGACGTACCTTGTGAGCAAAACGCTGCTGCTGCAGGTTCAGGGTCGAGCGGTAGAAAGGGGCACGCTTGGAAGCGGCCGACAGGACGGAAGTCCGGGAAGTGATCGCGCGCTGCATGGCTGAAGAGAAAACAAGAAAAAAGCTCAAAAAGAATTAAAATACAATAAATTTAATGAGGGGGAGTAGTGAGAAGAGCAACCCGAAATGAATTGGTGTGGGTTGAAGGATGGGAGGATGGGAAGGAAGCTGAGATGAAGCCAAAGTCTCGAAAATTTTCCAAGCGCTTCTCTTTCCCCAACCCCAGAAGCTTGGCGGCAGAAACAGCTAGAATGTCACGTGAGGGACGCGGGTTAACGGGAGTGTTCACCCGAGGTCATGCCCGACAGTCTACAAGACATGCATTATCAGTGACTGCTGTCTCGTGGTCTATTGGCTATTTGGATACTATCCAGCTTATACTGTTTCTTGGAATTGTTATATGTATAAATTGAAATCATCTACAGTATAGAATGAGTGTCATTGCCTAGGTGATACCTATATATAATCCCGATTGTTCGGCTATTTTCGGCTTCGGCAACATCCTTGCTGCCGGCAACTCGAACTATATATCTTCAACATCTATATGCATGTACTACTAGTAGTAGTAACAGAACCCGTGGCAAACCAAGAGCAATTGATGTGTACCGTTTATAGAGCACTCAGGAGGTGGCGTTGACACAGCTGTAATGTCGCTATTGGTAGCTCACTGGTGCTTTGGTCACACTAGTTCAAAGCAACGCAAGCGTAATCAACTGATGTTGGATACTGAAGTGAGCCCGGGGGAAGAGTTTCATTGCGAAGCCTGCCGACTTGGGAAGGCACGCCAGTTGATCTCAAAATTATCACAGCAAAGGGCTAATCATGCTGGTTAATTTGTCCTAAGTAGATTTGGGGCCGATCAATACCCAGATACGAGCCATGGATGTATCCATCTCTTTGATCTACTTCATCTATCTAGCAGTACCTTGACACTAGAGTTTAACAGACTTTGATTCGACTTGAAGGTATCCAACGAACAGCATTATATTATTGTTCAGATCACCTTCGCGTCAGAATCATATCCATTTCTCTTTCCCTACAGTGTCCACATACCTGGACATCAACTCAAATTCAAATTCAAGTCATTCGATTTTGTGTCAAATTGTTTCCTATCTCTTAAAAGCTCTCAAACATAGATCTTGTTGCTGAGAACTCGCCATGATATCCAACATTGGATATCAAATACCATGCCATGACTGCCAGCAACATAACGGTAAAGGGCAAAAAAAAAAAGAAAAAAAGTGAATCAAAAGAAAGAAAGAAAATAACAAACGAACTCCATCCCGCTGTGGCCCATGAAATCAAGACTTTGTTAAACGCCTCCCTCCATCCCTCCCTCCCTCACCTCAATGTTTCAAATCCTTCCTCCTCAAATTTCCATGAAAATAGCTCAAATCATTGATACTCACTCTCCATGAACGCCGACCATGAAATGTCAAAAAGGCATTCACTGCACTAGATCTCCTCCTTGGCCTCAAATTCTGGCGACCCCTCCAGATCTTGTTCTTGTAAACGCCAAGAAGAAGTCTGAATTGTTTCCATGGTACCATCCCAGGGGAGATTATTGTTGACATGAGCACCCCCAAGAGTGTTGTGCTGACCGAAGGTAGGTGCAGGCGCCTGAATCCAGCCATGACTACTTGCCTCATTGTACAAAGATGGGTCAAGAGAATTTTGCATTGCTGGATGAGGCATGACCGGAGGTCGCGTGGGGACAGCGGGCTGTCTGCCTGGGTAACCGGGCTGGGGGACGAAGTATGGGTGAGAAGGAGGAGGCGGCACGAATATCGGACTATATGATGGATCTGCGTAGCCACCCGCATAAGGCGAGGGGCCCACTCGGAAGTTGGGTTGATATGGGCTCAGTGGAACTTGGTGCTGCGGTGTTCCCCAGTTGGGGGGAGGAGAGGAAAAAATAGGCTGGCTATTGTTATCGCTTGGGGTCAGATCGGGAGTCATTTCAGTGCTGCGGGTGTGTGCCACAGAGCCAGAGTTCTCTAGTCGGTGGAGAGCCTCAGGGCTAATGGGCAGGCTGAGAATTCGATGCTTCTGCTTAATTGACACTCTGCCATCTTCTAACTCCTCATCCGTTTCATCGTCACTGTCGGTAACAATTTCCGTGTCATTGTCGCCCTCTAGTCTAAGAAAAGAGGCACCAACGCACCGGAGGTCACCTGTTACTTGGGCATCATCTTCTGGAGTGCTGGCCTTGAATCCTTTGCTTTTCTTGTGGGCCTTGACACGCTTCGCAGAATTTCGCTTCTGGTTTCCAGACTGAGACCAAGAAGGGTCATCGTCCTCGCTACTTGAGAAAGTGCCCTCTTCGTCCTCTTCCACAGCCATTTCATTCGGAAATTCTCCAGCATTGATAGCCTCTTTCTTGGCAGCGGCCTTCTTTTTGGCAATGTTTCTGATGCCAGAACCCGCCGCTGGAACAGACCGGCGAAGTGGGGGAGGGTTTGGCTTCTCGTCACTATCGCGCCGGAGACGAAGCTTGGACAGGTGCTGAATAATGGCACCTTCGGTAAACTTTGGCCCCATGGTTTGAGCAACCAGTTGCCATGGAATCTTCACGCCGGTGGCATTGCAAGATTGCTGGACAGTCAACAGAAGCAGAATGTCCAGGTCGGCTGTTTCAATTAACAGAACAAGTTAGCCAATGAGTTCATGCAAGACATAAAAAGAGGATACAACATAAATGTGCATCTTTTTTGAGAGAGGCAATCGGCAAGCAACAAGACAAGGGCAGAAATGAGATCATCATCTTGGGTAAAACACGACTTACGATCCCAGCGGACCAGTTGACGCCGCTCGCGCTCTGGTTTCTTCCTGACCGTGTCTGGTTTCTTGGCCGCAGGAGAACCAGCGGCCCGTTTGCGATTCGGCATTGCGGATTTAGGCAAATACTGTTCACGACGCACGTTAGTTCATCAATGGACGGGGACGAATGGCTACGTCAGGGCTCTGGTCAAACAAGCAGATATCCCCGTAGATGGCGTTATAATCTAATCTGTGAACTAGAGACCGGAATTTACCTGACCAGTAGGGCCTGCGTGGGAGAATTCCCGAGCAGCCTTTATGGTTCGATATATAACAGGCAATGAGGGCAGGGGAAGGGAAGATGGGTGAGTAACAGGACTTGGTTCAAGCCTTATGTCTGCGAGGCAGTGGGACGATGTTTGCGCCTGAATATTTTCTCGACGAAGCAAACAAACAAGGCAAATCGACTGGAAACAGAACGAGACACACTGGAATCATTTCACTTACCGTTTTTGAAGCGTTAATGGAAGTTGGGAAAGAATCAAAGAGTTGAAAAGGAGGTGGGGTGGGTAGGCAAAGGGTGGTGAAGTGAGAGGAAGTGAGAGAAGGGAAGGAGGGAAAAAATGATGGTAGGCAGAAGAGGTTGAGGGCTTGACAGGCCCGGCAACGACTCATCCAATAAATGGAATCGTGCTATGTTCCATGCTGCCCCTTCGAAGCCACTGAGGTGGATTAGGTGTACACCAACTCTGGATTCAAATCATTTTGTTCCAGAATAGAAAGATGGCTTTCCCTAAACATAGCCGCCATATGACTTGGTATTATATATGGTGTTTTGTCAATCCTATATGGCGAGTATCTTATCATGAACTAGCAACCTTGGAAGTTCAGGGTAGGGTTGTTGTGGTCGTCTCAAAATTCGAGGAAGTAAACATGGGACAAGAGTATTTTATTTTTGAAATGAAAAAAAGGAGACAACCACCGAGATTGACTATTCAAACGGCAAAGTAAACCATGTGAATTAATTAGTCCAGTGCGACAATAATCGTTGTTGAAATTATGAAGAACACTTGAGGCAGTCATAGTTAAGCCAGTCCCAGATTAGCCGCAAGATATGTCTCGTGGAAGCCGCACCCTGCAGGAACTCTGGGGTAAAAAAACCTTACAGATGCAAGGCAAATATGATTCTTGTGAGTCCTTGTCCAAGCATGAATTGATGTTTGCTGATGCCGGCATACCTTGCCTCAATTGATAAGGAAGAAAGAACCGTGGATCTCGACTTGGCCGTGTAAACAATATATTTCTGCCTGAGGTTGCAGAATCGCACGTGACGTAAAAACCACGTGATCCTATCCCGATGCTCCGAAGTCGAATGCTTCCAAACTCACCCGAAGCCGTTTTTACCCCCTTCAATCGAAAGACTCACTTCCTCCACACCATTCAAAATGACTGCCGCCTGGAAAGCCGCTGGCCTTACGTACGTCGTTCCGTCACGTTGACACTCGAAACAATTGATTTTCTGACGCCGCTATAGCTACAACCGTTACCTGGCCATTGCCGCCCGGACGGTGCGCCGCTCTCTGAAGGAGACCCCTCGCCTCAACGCCGAGCGCCGTGGCCTGATGGACCTGCGTTTTGCCAAGTGGGAGGTTAGTTGAGAGAGACAAATTCCCTGGAGCTTAGAGCAATGAACTGACAAGATTTGGTGAACACAGTCCGGCAAACAGGGCACTGTCCGCTCTCTGGCCCAAGCCAACAATGAGGCCGTTGCTAAGGCCGCTGAGAAATAAACGACTGTCCCTCAACAAGCGACTTTTCGACCGTGAGAGTATGATGGTGAAAAGGATAGATCTGGGCGTGGATAGCCAAGGGCGAGGAGGAGAAGAGACCCCGGGGAAGCATTGAACTTGTACATGTGTAGCAATACAGGCCTGGCTGGGTTAGACAGCGCCTAGAAATCGCACTTCGTTTTTCCCCTTTTTTCACACCATCCCGTATTTATTGCTACCATTTGAATTCATGGATTCTTAGCTCATATTGTAATCGCGTGTCCCGTTAAGAGTGATCTGGTGAGTCGGCCGCAGCTGCACGTCACAGGTCCCATCTGCCTGCCCGAATCGCTTTTTCCGCCTATGCTCCTCACCCCACCCACCCCTCGATCCGTTTGAACTTATTCTCCCAACCTCGTCTCTTTACGGTTTTGCGATCTTTTGTTTTCCATGAGAAATACCGGCAGCGGATTGCAGAGCCACAAATTCCTCTGCGATGCTGCCGAATAACGAGGTTCGCGTGCCCCCGCGGCCACTTGCGCCGTCCGCACCTCGGCGCGATATTACGGCTGAGTTTACCGAAGCTGCCTCAAGCAAGTCTTTCTCTTATTCTGAATCCAATGCCAGTCGAGATCTAACATATAATCTCTTCTTACAGAGCTAAAAACGGGACAACTTGTGAAAGATGAGACCTTCACCCTCTTCGAAGCCGTTGGCGCATTGGAGGTGCGTTTCTGTTATACCGAGCGGGACACGAGACGATGTTGACAACAATTTGATTTTACTACAGATCATGGATTCCAAAATGGACAGCGGTTATATTGCTCCGGGCGAGAATCAAGCGCAGGCGCTGGAGGATGACTACGATGTGCGACGAGAATTGACACCAGAGGAAGTTGTGGGATTGATGGATCAACTGCTCTGTCACGAGGTATTCTCAACCCCTCAAATGGTATTTGACGGTTCTAATGAGCAAGCAGATGGCATGGCACATAGGACATCCTCTTTCACAAACACTGTTCACATCAATCTATCTCGATAAGTTGCTGTGGCCAGTGCCGAGGACCATGGAAGACGCCCGATTTGACCGGGTGCCTAGCGATTCTACCCTTGTTAGTCTTGTACTTCGGGCATACTGTCTTGCAGTGATCAAGGCTTGCGACTTCGTTCATTCTCGGGTGGCTGGCGAGTATTACTACGAGGTAAGTCAGGCCGGAAACTTGGTCTTCGAAAGGTTACTGACGGTGGCTTTCCAATCGTTATCTAGGAGGAGGACTTCGTCTCTCAGTTGTACAATCGGAGCTTACTGTCTTATTTTGATCCCTCACACTTTTACCGCTTGCTGGACCAGGCGGTTTCATGGTTGGATGCGCAGAACGAAATGGACAAGAAACTTCAGCACGCTATTCGAGCCAGGTTACAATTACGATATGATTTACTGGCTGCATTAGACCAAGATCTCGATATATTAGAAATTAGGTCAACGGAGAGCTTCTCACAGTGCTTGTCCCACCTCAATTCTGTGAAAGAGTCGCACTCTCTTGGCAAGCCAGTCCCGGAGGCCTTCAGTTTGAAGATCCAGCGCAAGCTTGCAAGCACTGTGCCCCCTCGGCCTATTGTCAATATTAGCCATGAAGATGCACTTGCGCATCTTCAACGTCTTTGCAAAGATGCCATTGATATGCAGCAAATGCTTGACTATAGAGGACCTACTAACTTCAAGGTATGGCCAGCCAATCTGCTCTCGTTTCCATTTCCTTAACTTTCAGTCTACTGACCATGATTTTAGACTTCCATATGGACGCTTCTTTCCCGAAAACCCCAACCTTCAGTTTACATTCGCTGTCTAATGCAGGCATTGATCGTGAGCGATATGACAATTTTGGGTGCCGTTTCAGTGAAACAGTTCTTATATGATGATCTTGCGGAGCTAGTCCTGCCGTCGAGTATTCTTCTTGAGGCAAATACAGATGATGTGGAACTTCCGTCAGATCCTCGATTTCAAATTGCTCGACATATGGAAGGATTTGTGAAAAGATTCGCACAGGTATGTTATTACGAACTCACAAACAGCTGAAACCGATTCTAAGTCATTCTAGCCTTTTGTGGACTCTGTACGTGCCGCTTGCTTGAATCGGTGCCGGGTTCGGCGAACAGTTTGTCACACTGTTGTGGATTGGGACGGTTTACAAATGGAGGTGAGCTATTCTGTCTGTTTGTATGAGATGCGAAGAAATCATCTAACTAAATATCTAAAAGGCCGAGGAACTTGACTTGCAGCTCCAAGCTCTGAGCTCAGAGCCTCCATTGCAGCTTCACGGCGGAGAGCCAGCCTACTCTTATCCGCTCAGCAGCTGGGCGTATCACCAGAAACTCACCCAACTTCAAATGATTCTCCAAACGGGCTTTGAACTTTCAATCTATTCACCAGAGGAGCTTCCCGGAATGTACTGGTATTTATCACACATCTGCTCCACACATCTCGGTCATCTTGACCGAATACGGACCTTCATTGTTGCAGCTCGCAAAAGAGATCTAGTGACGACCACTGTTCGAACAACTAAGACAATTAGCAAAGCTGCCGCATTTCACACATCCTTCCGATGCCTGGAGAGGTTGACCACACACATTATTGCTGTTGACGCCTTTGCGATCGCCCTTCACGCATTATATGTCCTCCTAGCCCGACACAAGATCCTCCCGTCTGCTTCAGGGTCTGATGCCTACTCGACAGATAGATTGCGATATGAACTTCGCATGAAACCATTTCTCCCTATTTCTCTGCCTGAACTAGTCTCTTACGAGGACTACCATCGTGAGGCCACCTTGCAAGGCGACACAGATGCCACTATTCTTGACCGCGCTTCCAAGGCTATCATTGAAGCCAGGAAAGCTTGGGAAGCCACACTCAGCAACGGAGCCTTTATTGAAGATCCATCCATACCTACCAAACCCCCCGTTACGGCCATTGAGGAAGATTGGCAACGCAACGTCAAAGATACTATGCGCGCATGTATTGGAGCCAGCATTGCTATTGAGACTGTAAAGAAGGCTCTCTCTAGCGAGACAAGACCAGTGAACCTGCAGGTCACTATTCCGGAGGTTGGGAGCAAGAGCCGATGGCATGATTGGTGGAGTGTGCCGCAGATTAGCCAAAAAGTCGACTTGTAGAGTCGTCAGTATAGGTTTGGATTCTTGCCAGGTCTAGCACTTGTCTTCATCTCTAGATCGAAAAAGAAATGAATTGGGAAATCAATGAATTCTGTGAAGTTTGATAACCAAAGCCTTCGTACAGATCTCAAGTGCTACTAAAGTCACCCCGATAAATAATCCCACACTCTTTGCTACTAGTAGAAACGGTAGGTTTGGAATACACGTTTAACATCATACTATACTACACATTTCCCCAAAGGTCGATAATATAGAAACTAGAATTACTTATTAGCGAAATAGTCCTGGAAGTAGATTTCCGACTTGAACTTGATCAATACCTTATATATTGATAAAATAGTTATACATAGATTGCCCAGCCTCAAGTGCTGATCCTAAGGTTATTTACTGTGCCCAGGTGGCCGGATACCCTGTCGCCCAACTCCCTCCTAAGCTTTCTTCACACTGACTTGTACTTTTTTTTTTTTGCTTTTTCGCTTTTTTCCCCTTCGACTTCGATTTTTTGCATCTACTGCCCATTTGTTGTTCTCTTCTCTTCTTCAAGTTATAAAGTGGGGGGAATCAACCAACACAGTACGACAAAAACTCAATTTCTCCCTCAACAAGTCCGCTTTCGGCGCCACGACCACGTTATGAAATCATACATTTCAATACATAGCACGTTAACTTAAACCTTTGGCTAGCGCGGCCAATCCTTCAATTGACTTCGTGATCGACATTTCACGCACACCGTTTCGGCTACTCGGAAAGATCGTACGTTGCGGGCCTCCGAAGATCCCAAGTTTCTTTCCTTTCCCCAGAGCCCAGCACGTAAACGATCTGGGGCAAGCTCACGGACCTACCACGATACGCCGCCACAAGGCCCCGTCACTGATTAATCCATTAACCGAGATTCGACTCCCGCTACCGCTTGTTGCTATCTATCTCTACTTGTTCTACGTTCACGCTAAACCGCCCACCCCCCCATTCCGCCTATGCCGCCCTCTCTCTGTGTCTTCGCTCGCTGCAGGCAGCCTGACCCTGCTCCTCTTCCCCCCTCTTTCTCTGAGAGAAACCAACCCGCGGAGCTATAAAACATGCCGACATATCCCATCCGCCGCCGACCGCGCGAGTGTAAGACCTGCCTGCCATGCCGCGCGAGCAAAGTCCGCTGCGATCGTGAAGTTCCTTGTGGAAATTGCGTCAAACGAAACTTCACATGTTCCTACGGTCGCCCATCATCATCCAAGAGGCTCTCCATACCAACGGTATCCCTCAATGCACCCTCCGCACCGTCACATTCCCAATTTGTTTCCCCCGCTGTCGGATCCTCCTACTCGATTCCCTCGCATGATGCCTCTTACGCTGTTGATCAGCACTCTGGGATGAGTGATGAGTACGACCCAGATCTCCCGGAGATGATCGATGTTTCACAGAACGAATGGGACGAGATAAATTCCAAGATGGTCGCCATGGAACAGATCCTTGGGAGCCTTCATTCGCTTTTCAACACACACTCCTCGCGAAAACGAAGCGAGGACCAAGGCATGGAACGAAAGGATTCTACCCGGTCGGAGGGTGTTTACGGATCGAACGTGTTGAGGACTGGACCGGTTCATCTTGGGGCTAGATCCGCATTGGTAGACATTTTGGACAAATCTAAGAGCTCAGAAGATGCAGCGCAGGCGCTGCCTCAGGAGGATCTGTTAGCGGAACTAGCGCTAGGCAATGAGTCTGTTGCGTATCCATTTGTGGATCTGTGGTCGTCTGATCCGTTCACTTTCAATATCGCTGGAGTGTGCTTGGTTCTTCCGGACGATGATCAATGTCGGAGGTAAGGCGTTCCACGAAGGGTAGAGCATGAGTTAAGCTAATCATGCGATCGTTCAGGTTTGTGAAGTTCTATAAGGATATCGGTGCGGTGTTGTACCCTGTACTACCAGATCTCGCTGAGCTGGAGCGGAAGACAAGTCGCCTACTATTGGGAAGACAGCAGGCCGGTGGTGTATATAAACCAGATGCCAATGGACTAGTTAAGCCATTTGGAATAGAGTTGCCATTTCTCAGTTTGCTGTTCGCCGTCCTGGCCTCCGGGTGTCAATTGTCTGACCTGCCAGAACGCGACCGTGAGCTGACATCATGGGTATACGGTGCGCCAGCTAAGCAATACCCCCAATGCCCTGAACGAGTGTAACTGACTTTTGTTACAGTATCTTGCGCATACCAATGCCTTCGCATGTTGAATTATGTCTCGCAACCCACGGTCGAGGTTATACAGATTCTACTCATTATCAGTAATGTTTTGTCATATAACATGAATGCTGGATCATCCTACACTTTGCTGGGTAAAGTCAAGTCGAGCTCAACTATATGTTTAAGAGTGGCACTTCTAACTCTCTTCATTAGGCATGACGGAACGTATGTGTCTTGTCCTGGGACTTCATGTCGAGACCACAGGCTTTACACCCGAGGAGGAAGCTGTTAGAAGGCGTATCTGGTAAGTTATATTTGGTCGCGCCGATAGGCATGATACTCACAAAATTTTTCTTAGGTGGGCAATGGCTTTCCAAAATAGTCACTTTTCACTTGCTTATGATCGGCCTTCTATAACAATGGTCAGCCAACCTGAAATTCCTTTTGATCCTAAATCGATGCCGGGACATCGCACCTATTTTGAAACATTGTGTCGGGTCGTGTCGCTCGCATTGGAGGTGTTGCGATCACGAATGCAACCAAATTCTTCCCAACCACGATTCCACGAAATCCAAGAATATAAAGATCGAATTCAGCGCATGCTTGCAGAAGCCACGCCGCATCTGCGACATCGAGAGAACTGCTTTTCTTTGGCCCAACATATCGAACGAACGGAGCTCCGCCTCCATTCTTCATACCTGCTTTCTGTCCTCTGTCGTGTGTCATTAGACTCGCATGCACATCTAGACGAACATCGCAGAGCTTTGATTCGGGAGGACTGTATCACCAGCTTGATTGATACTGTGGATGCGTTTGTGGAGTTGCATGAAATCAACATACACTGTTCCCGATCTTGGATTAGTTTGCAAAGATCAATCGCCTCGGCTTTCTTGCTGATCACCAATGATGATGGTCCACGGACGTGGGAGCTCATCAATCGACTGGAAAAGGTCTTGGCCGACCATGTATACGCTGACGGCGACGCCGATCATAATAACCGCACAGATTCCGCGACGCATCTTGCATCTTCTCTTCGCGCCTTGAGGGAAATCCGCGAGGCATTCTGCGCCCGTAAACCTGCACCACCGACCGCAGAACCAGACCAGTATCATTACTCCGCTCTCATTATGCCTTCCCCGCCATCGATCGATACGAGTCCTGAATTGCCCGCAAACTTCGCAACCGCCGGTACCGCTCTGCCGATGGACGATTGGAGTATGCGCAATATTTTAGGTCGTGTGTCGGATGTCATGTTGTTTCCGAGTATGAGTGGGGGTCCAGCAATTTAGAGACCTGCTGCATTTTGGCGTTCTGGGAATTTTATTCATTCGGAACATTGGGAATATTCGGCTTTATGCCACAGATTTGGACAACGATATACCCCCTTACATCACTGCATCGTCAGCCTGATCTATTGAATAACTCACACTCCAATCTGCCACGGGATTAGACGACATCCTCGCTTTTCTATCTTCTTTTTCTGCACATACCTGAAATTTGCTAGTATCTTAGAGATCTGTGATGATACCATGTCGCCATTCCAACAATACAATCTCCAGAGTGTTTCCAATCTTGAGAAGACTCGACGGTTTCAAATAAAGCGCGAAAAATTCCCAGCGAAAGGAAACAGCAGAACCAAATAGATAAATATCGTCAGCTTATAATCCACCTTAGCACGGTGTTAAACAAGACATCCATCCGGGCGCATCCGCTTCTCCCCGAACGGAAACAATTAATTTCCCATATTACGTCGGGCAAGACTCATGGGTGTCCAACATTCCTAAACCACCACCCAACACGGTGGAGATAGCCGGCTAGAGTATCTCGGCCCCCGCCGTTCGGCCGACCGAGAAATCCCCGCGGTTTGACGCGATCGTCTGATCTGACAGCTCGATACTGTCTCCACTCGATTCGGGCTTCGCTTCAAACCCCGGCACCGTCAGCTTTTCATGGGGCACTCGATCATCTTGTCCCCCATGGGGCAGGCGTCTATGCAAAAACTTGAAAATTCTAGGCCTTATCATCCATCTGATTTTCTACTCCACTCACCAGTAGAAAGAAGTATGCACATGTGGATCCAATTTCTAAGCTCCGAACTCTATCTTCGCAGTTGGCCACTTGTGGGCTGGGCAGAGCTAAGTTCTTAGTGGATATTGTGGATTCCAGTCTGAATCTGATATGATATCAACGATGCATTCCGGCCGAAGGATCTCGGGAATCTGGGACTGGATTCTTTGGTTGGGATTATCACATTTTGAGTTTACTTGGGTATCCTTTCCAGAATTTTTGTCGTCGGCTACTACGTACGTTTGTCTTGAATCATGACGGGGTCTGACATTCCTATGAAATGATTCACTTACCAGATCTATTGCAGCCAACTACTTAACTTACTACCCCTTTTCCTACTTGATCTCCTACCCGTTCCACTAGTACCTCCTCTCTCAGTTATTCCATTCAATAGGATTGTATCTCGGCCATTGTTCAATGTAAACCACCTATCCAGTGGTAGGCTGGCATATAAACTAGTAAAGTACTTCTCCAATATCAAGCTATATCAAGATTCGATAAATTTCGTATTTTAACTTTATTAAAATCTGCATGTGACTGATCATCTTCCAATAAAAGAAGGAATTGCTAACTGGGTTTATTATAATACCAACCATATTATGCGACGTTGGTGAGAAAGACAGTAAGGACACAGAGGCTAGAGTCTGGATGATTTCGAATCGATCTTTGTAGCTGTTCTTGTATATCTCCTGAATAAGAGAATGAACCCTTGGTTTCAATACTACTGGTTCATGCAATGATGCGGCTTGTTGCATCCATGTATGTTTTCCTATATGCATGGCTCGTATTTCTCCCCTCAATTTGTTCACCGCTACCTCAGGTCATCTTGAACTGCATAGTACAGAATGCGGCTCTGCTTTTCCATATTCCAAGCTCATTTGACTGAGAACCTTCCAATCTTTACACCCGTCTCCTATAGCTAAAATGTCATCCAATATTGACTCGGATCACATCCCCTGCCCTACGTGCAACTGGACACCAGATCAACGGCGTCGGTGCAGCTACAACAGCAATATTAATCTATTCTATGGCGCAGGCGACCGAGGTGCCTGGTCTCTCGGCTCGAAATTCATACTCAAAGATCGAGGGTGTATTCCACCAATTTACGAATCGATCAACGTCAAGTTCGTTAAAGAGAACACGACGATCCCGACTCCCGCGGTGGTACACGAATGGTCAGAAAACGATCGCAACATCATGATAGTCGAAAGAGTTCCAGGGAAAACACTAGAAGAAGTATGGCCGAGCATGACTGAAGCTCAGAAAGAAGCACTAGCAAAGAAAACAGTCGAGTACCTGTCTCAGCTGCGTCAGCTCCACGGGCCAAAAATGCAAACCATACATGGTCAACCATTGCACAATGGTTGGCTTGTCGTAAAGAATTCCAAAACCTCGCATGGTCTCTTTACATCGGAGGATGAGCTGTTTGATGCTATATCTGGAAACTTCAAAGATACGCCGGATGAGGTTGTTTCGCTTGTGAAAGGGCGAATGCCATCTCCTTTTCCTTGGACTTTTACGCATGCAGATCTCACGATATGTAACATCATGGTTGATCCGGAGACATGCGAACTTACTGGGATTATTGATTGGGAGGCGTCGGGGTATTGCCCTGTTTGGTGGGATTACGTTGGACAAATTGGCCTTAGTGAAGAAGATACTGAATGGAAGAGGCTTTTGCGTAAAAACATGCAGAATTTTTCCGGTGCTCTTGAGTGGTACAAGGATGTGTATGCTTGCAGAGACAGAATGGAGATGAGGGAGGAAAGATGGGAGAAACTAATGATGGACGCTGGGCTGAGTATTGAACCGCCGAACTGAACGGAGCTTGATCTAAGTCAATTCGAACACGAACTCCAATAAGTTCGATTATTGACCATAGAGACCTTAAGTGAAAAGTATATCCAATCTATACTTTATTTGATTCCTCAGACTGTCTGAAACAGAGGTAGTGATAGGATAAAAATAATCAATCACAAGCCAATTCAAGCTGTAGCGCCAGGCTTTTCTGGCCACCACACCATGGCATAGAGGGGTATCCCAGAGCCCCCGACCTGTCTATTAGCATCTGCATCAACTTTGCCTTTTCCAAGAATAATTTTCTCGATTTCCTGAAACCCCAAGGAGAGATATAGATTCCGGGAATTTGGGCTCGTAGCCTCAAGCCAAATTGGCACATTCTCAGCCTGAGCCATATCTTGATGTTCACGCATAATAAGTTTCGCGAGGCCTATAACCATGTAAACGATCAAGCTTTGGAAATATAACAACCCAAACTTACCTTTCCCCCGATGCTCATGCTCCGTCCCAAGGCTAAAAATATAGTAGTACCGCTTCTGACCGCGCAGGCCCTTCTTTTTTGCATCATCCGTCATACCGGAGAATTCCGTCCAGAGACGCTAGTGTTCAACTTAGTCTCTGGCCTATCTAGCACTTCTAGCACTCTTTCAATTGAACCTACCTTGAGGCCTGGGAACCCAATTCGCCACAAGACGCACAAAAAGCCGGCATATATCAGCTTCCAGGCGTTATCAACATATCTCCCCGGTGGAATGATTACAGAAGCGGCCTTCCACCCATCCGCCTCGGTGATAACTGCATCATTGAGCAAAGCTGACTTGACTAGCGTGGACCAGTATGTGGGTAGATAGGCTAAGCGCTCTTCCTGTGACATGTCAAGAAGCATGTACGTGACCACAGGATCAGTGTCGAAGACTCGACCGTTCAATTGTGCGACGGAGTTGAGGAGTTCTTGTCTTCGTTAGCTTGGATTTGTTTGGCGTTGGACTGGAGACTGACCATCTTTGCCATGTGTGAGTGGGGCTGGCGCCGATGCCATTGTTATGAATAAGTCTATATTCCCAATGCCCATATGAATGAATTATGTGCAATTTCCGACAGGAGAGTATGGTTGGCCATGATCAAGAGTGGGAGAGCCATGAATAAGTAAAGATGGATCCGGGAGTCGCGTGTTGAGACGACGTAATTTGTTATGTAAGCGAGAATTAGCTGAGGTTCTCTAGACTTTGAAGCTTTGGAGTTCTTCTCTAGGTGACTTTATGTTTCCTATTTTATGAATTGCTCGGTATGTAATACAATATCTATTTAGGAGCCTTGACTTTTGATTGATCTTGTCACATTATACATGTAGTGGGGACCATTTAGTGGAGAGTATAGTGGGTACCCGCTAACGGGCCGTAATCGGCATTGCAGCCCTCAATGTGTAAAGCGGAACCGGCGCATCTCGCATATTTATCTTCTTCATCGCAATTACTCTTCTTTAAATCCAGCCAAAGCCCCATCTATCCTGCCAAACTCCACTCACACACTGACCGTCACAATGGGCACGGCTACTCTACTCCTTCTCGATATACAAAACGGTATCGTTGACCAATTCGAATCAAAAGACAGTTACCTTCAACGTTTATCTTTGGTTCTTTCTGCTGCCCGCAAGAACTCCATCAATATTGTTCACATTGTCACTGCTTTCCGAAATGGATATCCAGAAAACAACCCAAACAACACTTCTGTCCCTGCCGCTGCGGCACGTGGTCTATACAAAGAAGGCGACTCCTCGGTACAGATCCACTCGGCGGTAGAGGTGACGCCCGAAGAGCCGGTCATCACCAAACGACGTGTCTCTGCATTCTTTGGTACAGAGCTTGATATGATTTTACGCTGCTCTAATACTGATCATATCATTGTTGCCGGGCTCGCTACCAGTGGTGCTGTGCTATCGACTATTCGGCAGGCAATGGATATGGACTACCGCATTACTGTTCTGCGTGACTGTTGTATGGATCCCAACGAGGAGGTGCATCGTGTTTTGATGGACAGTATATTTGGAAGGAAATTGAACGTCATATCTGGAGAACAATGGGTGTCCGAGATCCCTGCAGGCCCTTCCAGCCAGAACGCATGATTTACAAAAGTGTACATAAGCTAGATCTGTCAAAATAGATCAAACACATGCTACAAAAGACCTCGAAGTAGGTTCTATATTCAAAATTTTATTTCTCAGGCAGCCAATTTCCGATATCAAGACATTTAGGCTATATAAAGTTCATCGTAACTCGTAATATGTCCTGCTATCTTATCTACAGCTTGACCTGGTTCCGGTCCTGTGGGCCAGAGCAACATGTCGGCTCAGGGTGCTCGGTGGACTGGTTGAAAGTCTGCGAAGACTGTGGAACATCCAATGCCGGGTTCTTGGTGAAAAAGCCATCTGGCTTGAGCATCACGCTCACACGCTCCATAGGCATCACCGGGAAATCCTCAACTCGAGGATTATGGGTAAGGCCAAATGCTAGAGAAACAGTTAGTATAAATCAAGCTAGAACATACATAATAAAACTTACTGTGCCAAAGAACCACGTCTTCATCTTCCACGGCATCATTTCTGCCAGCCCAGATCTCCACACCATCGGAGCTCTTGCTCTGGTTTGTGAACTCGCCCGCAGCAAACAACTCATCATCTTGATACTTAGTCACCCAGATAGGTCGAGTCGCGAACTGAGCACGCTTTGTTCCGAATGATTTGGCAGAAGCCAGAATCATTTGACTCGGGGAGGTTTGCAGCTTATAAGAGATAGGGTGGTGTGTGACCGAGTTGATTATATTGTCGTTGCGAATTTTGAAAACTCGGTGACGATCCACGCTTGTCCAGGCACTGCCACTCTGTTTAATAATATTCTTTTCAGTCGTGTAGCCCACAGACCAAGGGTTCGAGTCATCCTCCGGCATAGGCACGCTATCCTCATAGTAGATAGTGTTCTTAAATCCATCCAGGGCGGGGTCCACACGTAGAGAAAACATGTGCTGGTGGTAGGGTGCCATCACGCCCGGTCCAACGTTTGTGCCCCATGGGACTGTCTGACCGTTGTGGTTATCAAAAGGCACCGTAGACAGAATACCGGTTGCGCGAACTTCAAGCTCGATATTAGCCGCTTGATCAAGAATAAAAGCGAAGATGTATTCATAGTTCGCGACAGTGCAAATCATTTGGACTACTAGTTGTCTGTTGCGAACAACTGTCGCCGCACCGCTGCGGTAGTTGGTGTGCTTGTGCTGCAGACCGTTGTCCTGCTCGTGCATACAAATGACATTTTTGAGCTGGATAGGTTCACCCTGGGCATCTGTGCGGTAACCGTCGAAGTACTTGATATGTCCCAGGCAGTCACAACCGAGAGCAAGCTGGTTGGCTGTGATACCAAAACCGACATCACCGACATCAAAAGCTTGCTTTCGGTGATAAGGAGCACGGGGATCTGAATCAGTTAGTTAAGACAAGATTCAACTTGCAGGGATTTGCGTGTAGTCGGATTCAAAACATACCTCCGTATGGAACTGTCATCTCCGAGAACGACAGACGGTAAAATGTGTTGCGACCATCGTATGTGAGGTTATGCAAGACCAAACCTTCACGGTTGTTGAAGCCCACACGAAAACGCCATTTTTGCCATGAGACAGCATTTCCGATAACATTGAAGGAGGCACCCTCAGGTTGCTGGACAATGTAAGGCTTGAGATCGGTTCGCAGGGGCTCGTCAAGTAACTCGTGAGCATATTGAACAGTGGGAACGGGCTTCCACGGTTGTGTCTCAGTAGTCTGAGAATCAGCACCACCTGGCAGATAGTCCATGCGGACTAGCTCATGGGTGATTCCATCAAAGACCGGAGAGAATTGACAAGGAAGAGAATACTGATTATTGCCCGGGTGGTCCGTAGCCACAATATACATATAACATTGGAACAGTCTGCGGGTCTCCTGAATATCCTCTGTGCCGTAGATCCATGGATCCAGGCACACAGTCATGCCGGAGGGAAGCTTCAATTTTTCAATCTCTGCCTTGACAGCGGGGTGATTCAGACAGACTTGCTCCATTTCGATCATTTCGTCCACATCAACAGGGCCCTGTGGAAAGTTAATATTTCTGTCCATAGCCTTTTGTAATCTCCTACGTACCTGGATATCCTTGGGGAGTTCTTTAGCGGACACGATAGATTTGGTGTCCGCGTTCAGAAGGGCCTTGAAGAATGATCCGTTGTCAAGACGGTGGAACAAAGCCATCATTAACCGTGCAGGCTTACGAGGGCGGGGCTTGCCCAATCGCTCGGCCTCGATGTAGGGAATGACATCTTGTTTGATGGGTTCCTGAAGGTCAATACGCTTGAAACGTAATTTGACACCTGGGAAAGAAGATTGTAAGATCCGAACGGCTAGTTGGATCTCCCCTGGAGTAATCGGGTCAAAAGGGTGAAGGCTTGTCATATTGAATGTATCGATTCGGTTTCCCCTGATTTACAATGGACCCTGAATTAAACAGCAAGGTCTGCAGTCTTTTATATCCACACTGACATCCGATAGGCACCGCCTCCAACTCTTTCCAGTCAATCTTTCGACGGGCGGGGTCTGAGTTTTCATTGGGCGAGCTTAACCCACCGAGCGCATCTTTACCCCGTTACGGTTTAGCGTGCGCTGCCCTCATTGGCTGTCGGCGTTGGAGACAATCAAGGTTTTTGGGGCTGATGGGAGGTACGAGACACTTTGGGCACGTTTGAAAGATGAGAGATAGGCAATGAATTACAGAAGATGAGGGGTCATGTGTATATTTATGCTAGTAGATACATATGATATAGGGACCTCGGGAATGGTCGGCCGTCATTTCCACCACTAGATGCGCACAAGGGGAGATGTATGCCCAGGTGTACATAACTGTACAATATCTATCAACAGTTACATTGCTTCCTTTACCATCTATAAGAATTTGGACAACTCGTTTTCCAAGGCAGGAGATCCACGTGTAGCAGGGAAGTTGAATTGTAATCCAGGGCCAGGAATGTTCCCCACGCCAGGGGCTGCCTTACAAGGGCACGTCGAAACGCGAACCCGCAATCATCTTTGAGATTGAGAACTTCGATTCTAGAATTATGTTTCAATAGAAACACGAAGCCTCAAGCACCTATAGAAATAAAAAATACCATTGATATCCTAAGTGTATGAATTTCGAAGCTGGGCCATGCAAGGCCGGGCTAAAGTGGGATGGAATTCAGGGCTGCTACACTCCATATCGATCACCCTTCCAATATCTAACGCGCCTTAGCATTCCAGGTCTTCGAGGTCCAGACTTTCGCGTAGGACTATAAAGCCTTGTTCCACGGCTCCTTCGCGTGCTGTCATTAAGCTAATAATCTTGAACTCGACACCCATCGTCACCATGGTATTGTAGTTGTGAAGAACACTAGCAACCGAGGAGCTTCAATTTCTTGAATCCCTAGAGTTGGAAAAGTTATTGGCAACTCTTCATAGTCCTCATACCGCGAAAAACAATCTCTTTCGATTACCCCACAACAAACATCTTAGCACTTTCTTCCCAACTCTGTCAATATGGCGTCGAGTAAATTTTTTATTCTTGCCTTGATCGCCAATATCGACTATACATTGGGATCACACAGCCATCACCATAAACATGCCAATATTGCTCCCCATGCAGAGAGCTTGGAGGCCCGTGACTTGGCTTGGGCTGATCGTATCCCGGCTGATATGGTGATTGAGTTTCGCACCCTCACGACAACAGTCTATGAAGATTGCATACCCACAAATACTATCTTCGTCACTACAACCGTGATTGAAGATGTAATACTAGAGCCAACCCATTCTCAACTCGAGCTCACTCAACCAATATTGAGCAAGCCTCAGTCTGCGGAGCCCGAAGCGACAACCACAGTGCTCATGACAAAAACTGTGCTAGACGTTGTAACAGATATTCCGAGCACCACACTAACTAACCCAGTCCCTGAATATGAGGATTCGATTTTCAAGGACCCCATTGGCAACACTGCGCCGCCTAGAATTGTCTTATCGCAAGAGACAGGAACTGGGATCCACACCTCGACAAAGATCACCGCCTCATTACCTGGACACGGCAATGCGACCGTCAGTGTTGCAATCGACGTTACAGAGACAGAGCCGGCCAGGGAGGTAGATATCGAAAAGAAACCAATTCCAGAACCCACGCCCACCGACCCTGCACTCAGGATTTTGCCCACATTGCCCAATCTGCCGCAGATATTACCCGTGACAGCTATCCCAAACCTGTCAGACATAGGCCACGCACTTGATCCAAACGGACAACCCTTACCATCCGATATTCAATGGACCACACTTCCAAAGGATGGTAAGTTCTCGACTAAGAGATTTGGTGGTCGCAGTGCCCCACAAGGAACACAGATTAAATACCGCGGCAACATTGGAATTCCCTGGGGAAGCAATATCATAGCCGTTAGTCCCACCGAGGCGCACAGATACAAGTATGTCGTACAGTTCCAGGGCTCCAACACAGATCCATGGACAGTGATTGTCTGGAACAAAGTCGGTCCAGATGGCAAGATGGATGGATGGTATGGGCATTCCGCATTGACATTCGTGCTTGCGCCTGGCGAGACGAAGTATGTTGCTTTTGACGAGGACTCTGAAGGTGCATGGGGCGCTGCACCGGGAACAAACGGTCTTCCGACTGATCACTGGGGAGGATATACGTCTACCTGGGGAGAGTTTAGTTTCGGAGATATTGAAAACAGTGGCTGGTCGGGCTGGGATGTTTCGGCTATTCAGGCGCAGATTGCGCATGGTGATGTGCAGGGCATGCGTATCTGCCAAGCTGATGGGAAGGGGTGCTCAATCCTTACGCCAGGAGCCGAAAAGGTGATTGCTGCTTATACGGAGTCAAAGAAGCATCGTGATGGTATTGGAGGAGCTGCTTCACCTGGGCCAGTAAGGCTCGTGGCGGATATTGATTACAAGGGGTAGTGCTTGGAATTGTGTTTTTGAAATATTTGTACATAGAATGGCATGGCGTTTCTGGAAAACTTGGGAGGGTATAATGATATTTAAATGCATTGCAAACTATTTCTCTAATATATTGATGATCTGCCATGGTTGTTCGAGCTTTGTATGACCCCCTACATCGCAGGGACGTTGATGGTTGAAATGGTCCACACTTTGCCACCTTGGCTTGAGCTCAATCCAGTGTATGTGGCACCAGAAGCTGTAGCAATGGTATCTCCGAAGGTAGTATCAGCAGATGCGAGCGTGATAACAGTGTTGAGGTACTGCTGGGCAGCGATGGTACCCGTACAGCTATCGTCGCACTCGGTTCCTGTGCCGTAGCTATTGAAACATTAGGTCACGAAAATAAAACAAATAAACACTTTATACAGCGACACAACCTGGATGACTTACCCAGTCATGTATGGACCAGCATCGATGGAGTAGGAAGACAGAACAGCTCCAGTAGCCGCATTGGTGACGGTTCTGGGTGGAAAGGAGTTAGTTTTCCATTGCACTATTTCGTCAAATAATAATGATATCCGTGACTACTCACTGCGCCCAGGTGGTGTCGTCGTTTTCGAGATTATACTCAATTCGAACTTTGTCAGATCCACTGACGGGACTGGCGTCGCCGTCTAGCTGCCCAAAGGCTCCGAAGACACTGGCACGCACACACCACTGCCCAGTGGTTGCACCACACCATGAGTTGTCGGGCCAGCTTTCAAGGGTAGTCTGAATCAGATCGCCAGTACCGTTGGACATGCCCGGCCATAGGAACAGCTCTCCATTCTGAGTCGAGGGTGCTGTACCAGGAATGAGGGTAGTAACTGCGTTGACGATGGTCGACTTGGATGGACCGAGCGAGACACTACCACCCCAGCTATCTCTCTTGACGATGCGAGAGGGCGCATTGAGGACCCCAGCAAGAGCCAAGCTTGCGCTGGTAAGGAGAGTAAGTAAGTGCTGCATCTTGTTGTCGAATTAAGACTCAGGGTTAGCTGTCAAATCTGAAAGAAGCTTGATAGAAAGCGAATCTGCTTTTCTTTGAGTATTTGTACGCAGAATTCCCATACTTATCCACTGTTGAGTGGTGGACTAATTTCTTCAAGTGTCAAACTGAAAGCGCCTCCTGGTGTCTCAGGTCAAGACACATTAGTATAGAAAGAGAATATTCACGTTAATTGAAACAGCGCGAGGTCCACCCACATTCGGAGCCGCTGATTGATGCATAAACACCGACTACCCAGAAACGGAGCTCTGCCCGTGGATGTGGAGGGTCCATTATGAAAAGGATAAAACCCCGACAAATCAATTCCTAAGATAATTGTACAAACGCCAAGACCAACATTAGGTATCATTATTCAAAAAACAAGTGTTGAAGAAGAAAAAAGAAGAAGAAAATATTCTCAAAGCTCCTCGCTGGAAAAAAAGCCCGGTGCGCCACATGGCGGGATTACCCACCCATCAGGAACAAGTCTAATTCAAGTACTCGCCCTTTGTTTCATGATGAATCACATCAAACATGGGTTTTGCACTGAACCATCCGGCCATTGAAGTACCGACTGTCTTGTATGTAGAGGCAGCATCCTCCTCGTCAATCTTGACTGTAGTCTCTCCGCGACCACCAGCAGCAGCGTCTGCTAATAATTGAGCATAACTGCACTTCTCCATACTAACAAACCAGAAAACAGTCTCTTCGACTGATTTTCCGACCGTTAATATGCCGTGGTTTTGTAACAATGCAGCCTTCTTGTTTCCCAAAGCTTCGGCGATAGCTTTGCCTTCCTCTTCCGCCAAGACAACGCCATTAAATTGCTTGTACACCGCTAGGTCCTAATTGTGCAAACCAGGTTAGCGAAATGTGCAGAATAAAAATAAAAATAGAACACCAAGAAAAAGGTACTGCGGGGTAGAAGATCCTACATTGTAAAAGGCGCAAGAATCCTGCGTAATCATATCGAGCGGTCGACCTAGGGAGCTATACGCCCGCCCGTACAGGCTATGGGTGTGGGCCGCGCACATCACGTCCGGGCGAGCCTCGTGGATAGCGGAATGGATCATGAATGCCGCCGAGTTAAGCAAGCGATTGGCGCCACCAGCAATAACTTTTCCAGAGTGATCCACCTGGATCAAATCAGACGCCTTCATCAACGCAAAAGCGGTACCAAAAGGATTGACCCAGAAGGTCTGTGGGTCGACAGGATCGCGGATGGTGATATGGCCCGCCACTCCTGTTTGAATATACGTGTTAGTTTGAGCTCGGGGGCTATAATGGGGGCCAGGAAGCCAGGAAGCCAGGATCAACTTCAAGGATTTCCAAGGATTTCCAAGGAAGACCCCGGGGCCGCGCAAATTTTCCAAACGTACCTTCGTCGTATCCAAATTTTCCGAAGATGCGGAAAGCCGCTGCCAACCGGCCCTTCATGTACTCGCGCTGTCTGATCTTGTCTTCGAGAGACGCTGAAGCACCAAGACCAAACATCGGGAATGGTTTAGGCTTGCTAGTCTCGGCTGGGGGTTCGACTGGAGGTTCGGCTGCGCTGGAGGCTGTAGTTGAGTCTGCAGTTGAACCTGCACTGTCGGAGTCGCTATCGCCATCGCTTGTGAAGATAGATTCGGTAACGGTTGCCTCGGCTGTCTTGGGGGCTGGCATGCCGATGATAGGAAGGGTGTGAATAGCTGCTGGAGGTGACATGGTGAATGAAAGTGTAAGGGCAAAAATTGAGATTCTGGTTTAAAAAAAGATATCAAGGAAAAATCTTCGAGGCATGGCCAGTGTTTTTGTACCTGCAAGCGGGGTTACTGCCGGCTGTGCTATTTAGGGTGTGCCTGGATACCATTTGATCCTGATTGGAGATAGCATTCTTTGGAACCAACAAGTGTACACGGTGCTCTCCGCATCTCCACCCGATCCACCGTTCCAGTGGATGGAGTGGATGGATCCGCGCGCGCTCGGTGGCTCGGCATCCTGCGGGTTACGGCAAATCCGCAATACGAGATCTATAAGGGGTAAGGGGGTAAGAGTTTTTACTGCCCGCTTAACGAAGCTGCCTATGAGTTCAAAGGATCAAAAAAGCACATGGTTGTTCCTGTCCGGATCAGCCCTGAATGCAAGGATAGATTTAGTGGAATCAACACCGCCACTATCATGATGCTCATCGCGAAAACGGTCAACCCCCCTGTCAATGAGGCAATGCATACTATGTAATTGCTAACAACACAAAGAAAAGATTCAAAGAAACACGAAAATGATGTCGTAAATCGTTCTCAAATCAAGGCAAGTATCCTAGTTCAACTTCTCGGATTAACGCTTGCAATAGCTCCCGGTCGGCTAGAGTGGTGGCTTGACCGACGATCGGCACTTGACCCACGCGTCCTACTAGTGGCTTGAGATCAGCTAAACAAAGAGTTCCGGCTTGCGGGAGGTTCCCGTTTTGGAAGTAGTTGCGAATCTCTTTGGCTACGCACAGAGATGGCGCAGCAAGCGTGGTATGCTAGATAGAAATTAGATGGAACTGACGTATGATAATTCAAAGATTCATAACTTACTCCCTCTGAATCTTGCTGGAGTAAAACAGACCCTGGAAACTGTCTCGACATGTGTTGTGCACTATGCAAGGGTGTAACCGGATCTAGGGTATTCGAAACAAAGAGCATCGGATAAGCGGTTATGCCACCCCACGGGCCTGTGTTTTATCAGTATACATACATCAATGGGCTTCTTGGATGTTGTGCAAGTATACCTTGAAAGGGATATTTCGCTCTCGTCTTCCACCCAGCACAGGCGAGCTGCATTTGAGCCCAATAATCTCCTAATGCCTTACTATCCTTTTTCAATCCCTGCCAAAACTCCGTGAAACTCTCCAACGTGAAATTGGCCAAATGCTCTGCATCAGTACAAAGAATAGCAGACATCGCATAGAGCGAATTATCTAAATTTTGCGTGCACTGCGAAGACCAAGGACCCGCAATACTGCACTCATTCGACGGACATGCACCAAAGTGCTGACGATGCTTAAAATCCGCCATTGGAACACCATTCCCTTGGGCGAGAGCACCCACTTTCTCCGCTAATACGGGAAACGCAAGCAAGGGTTGATAAACTGCAACACGGAGGATATTCTTCAAGTCTGTCCAACTTATGACTTCAGGACCCCGAGAAGAAGATGCCATCACTGGAATCGAAGCATTCAAGGTTTGTGCTTCAAGAGCCCAGTAAGCTGCTTTGATTGCATTTGGTCCTCCATCGACATAAAATGGGCACCCATCTGGACCAACAGCATCGCAGTAAAGACCAAACCGATCAAAAATAGCATCTGCATCAACTATAGCATTTGGTCCTTCCCCCTTGTAGAACATATCCATGTTCACGACGCCATCGAGAACAGCCCGCGACACTCGGTCCGGGAAAAGCGCAGCAAAAGTTGTACCTAGTACCGTTCCGTAAGATCGCCCCCAATACAGAAGTAATTCTTCATTCCGATGCCACACTGTGCGCTTTACAATCGCGCGCGTATGATCGTACCCGTTAGATTCGTCAAATGCTTGCTGCGCCTTGCCGCCTTCATTTTCCCGCCACTCGCCATGTCGTTCCACAATAGTAAGCATATCTCGTGCAACAAGTGGGGTATTGACGTATGCCATCATGGAGTCATCCTCATGCGCAGCATTCATCTCGTATACAGAGCACCCGAGATTAAGCGCCTGAGTACGCTGCCAACTTTTCTTCAAAGCATCTGGACTACTGCCAAGCATGCCCTCCGCCTCAACCTGCAACTCCCAATTACGCTGCGACACTGAATCGGGAAAACATGTTAATGCAGGCGTCGTATACCCTACGCCACGCGGATCAAATCCAATAATATCAAAATATTTGTCGCTAGCGCTTTCGCTTTCGCTACCTGGGTCCAGACCCGGGTCAATCTCGGCGTCAACAATTGTCTGGAGATTGCGGCCCGAAAGGAACGCTTGTAAAGTCCCGCGACCGCCGGGGCCACCTGGAACTATTTAGTACGAGCCTATCACGACTTCATCCGCAATACGATGGGAAATGAATCCCCTGACTCACCTGGATTGATTAAGACAGCACCCCCGTAGCGAGGGTCGCTAATTGGCACCTTGGCAGGAAGCTTCGCTATGGCCAATGTGAATTTGCGGGCCTTTGGATCCTTAGCTTCATAATCCATTGGTACTTCGAGGCGAGCGCATTGGAATTCACCATCACAGTTGTGATACTCTAATTTTTCCGAAGGCAGGATTTGGTCCCAGCTAAATGGTTCCGAAGAGGATACTGGATCTGGATCTGGGCCCTGAACCTTCTCCACAGAAGCCAGATCTAACCAAGATTTGACAAGGATCAATGTCGCCAGCAACATGAGGCCAAAACGGGCCGCCTTATTACAACCCTCCCGCCATAATGTTGGTGGCCGTGCTGGAAGAGGGCGTGGATCTGTGGATTTCCAGTCCTGCATAGCTCACAAGACGCCAATATTGAGCGCAGGGGCCTCGTGACAGGCTGTCTCAGATAAATGAAGCGATCGTGAATACAACCCCTCGAGGTGTTTCAAGTATTCAGAACATAAAGAAGGGGAAAAACATAAACACCCCCCTCATCAAGCGAGGATATTTGCCAAGTCAAATAATAACGATAAGAACAACATGGGGAAATCAAGCTGAACCATGGCTTGGGGAATCGATTGGACCCTTGAGTGGGGACGGGATGGAGTCAAAGCCTATCACGAACCCAGAATGTAGCGGTCGGGGAGTTGGTCGCTGACCATAGTCCTGACGGAAACCTCTTCATTGGCGTAGATAGGGACCGAGAGGGTTCGCGTATGCAAAACTAAAAAGAAAAATAATCGACTTGCTGAGAAATCGGTGCATTTTGATGGGTCGAAGCACCCCGGAGTCCTGCAACCTTCAAGTTAGTGCCGATGTTGAGTTGTGTGGGTGAAGGGGGGTAATAATGCAACCTGATAAGAGCCACTGGCAGCTGGCATACATAGTCACTGCGCATGCAAGGCGTGTTTGTCGCCAGAAATTGAAATGAACCTACTGTGGTATAACCAACCAACAAAAACCTTAATATGTATTTATTTGCTAAATACTAGTAGCGGCATGAATATGTCGAGCACTGTAAATCACCTGATTGGGGCCTAGTAGCGCTTTTCTCGGGTTGGGCATTCAGCCTTCCCTACCGTAACACCTTAATGTGCACCACTCACCGAGCACGATGTCGATAGCCTTTGGTACCGCAAATGCGAGCTTACAGATCGTGGATAATGGCGGGACGATCAATTTTTCCTCTGGTATGTGTCGCGAAACTCTCTCCAAGTCTGTTATGGTCGACTAATAGCATCCAGGCCAACTGGTGAGCCCCCAGGAGAGTATAGACAATGGTTTGTGTCACCCTGAACCAGTTGAAATATCACTAACAATGGGCCATAGCGGTGCTTACATCTCTGGCATTCCCAGAGATGCTAGATCGGAGAGAAAATATTGAGTCCTGGCATATCAATACCTGCCAATGGATCTTGGAATTGGATGAGTACAAGTCCTGGAAGAGACAGCTCCGGGGTCTACTGTGAATCAAAGGGAAGCCAGGATCAGGTAAATCAACACTGATGGCGTTCCTGTTTGATAAATTTGAACAACAGGGTGACCAGGACCTTCGCCTTGACTTTTTCTTTACCACGCGGGGCACAGAGATGCAACGTACACCATTGGGGATGTTTAGATCTTTGCTGCGCCAGATTTTCACCTGCGATATTAGTGTGCGCCCTAAATTGTGTGAGATCCTTGAGCAAAGATCTATGCAATTTGGAGAAGCCAAGTGGGAATGGCCACGAGTGGTGCTAGAAAAGCTACTAGCAGATATCATCCTGGAATCTGCGAGTCGACAGCATGTGACTGTCTTCATTGATGCACTTGATGAGGCTGGGGCTGAGTCTGCTCAGCAGCTAGCAGCATATTTCCATCGGATTATTGACCGTGCGGGCGAAAGGGCCGTTCATGTGTGTATCTCATGTCGACACTATCCCATCGCGAGAAGTGCCCGACCTATCGACGTACACATGGAAAACCATAATCATGATGATATTGCCGCGTATATCAGGAATAATCTTACTGAAACTGATACTGGAGACAGTTCCAGTAAAGATTCAGAGACAGAGCAGTTACTACTGGCAGAACAACTGATTCAGCAAGCAAATGGCTCTTTCCAATGGGCCCATCTCGTCATACCTCTTGCTCAGCGGAAGGTCTTCGAAGGCGAATCGCTTAAAGATATTCAGTGCTGGCTAAAAGAGGTCCCAGATGATCTGGAGGAAACGCATACATATATCCTCTGCAGCGTGATAGAGACGAGGAATCGGCAGCAGTCATATTTATTGTTTCTGTGGATTTGCCTGGCTGAGCGACCACTATCAGTCACAGAAATTCGGTATGCCTTGAATGTTAGTAGTAATGCACAAGTGACGCACCCTAGCAGTTCAAAGCCATGGGAGATGGCTGGCGGTCATGTCGAAAGCGATGAACGGATGAAACGAAGAATCAAGGCGCTCTCCGGGGGACTCGCCGAAGTTCTTCTAAGTGGAGATGACATTGAAACCATACAGGTAGTGCACCGGTCAGTCAGTTATTTTCTACACACAAAAGGACTAGGGCTTTGGTTTTCCATGATTAATACCGGCAAATGGCATGTGGTTGGCGATTCGGCGAATGTTCTTCAATGTCAGGGTATTCTCTACCAATCATGTCTGGCTTATCTAGCCGAAGTTCCTTTACCACAAGAAAGAAGTCACCAAACCAATTACAAATACGACATCAGTCTGTATAGCTCATTATTAATAATGCTACTGTCAATGTGTTGGTTCATGCAGAAAAAGCAGCTCCATCTCAGTTGATTATGTTACTGAATGAAGAGGTGGTCAGTCGATGGGTCCAATATTACAAAATGCTCGATCCATACAACGCAGCATGTCCGCCACATAACACAGGTCATCCATGTGGCGGCAGCTATAGGCTCCTCTGATTCCATTGAATCATTGAGCGATGGAGACATTGCGATGACGGATGATCACGGAAATACCGCACTCTATTTAGCAGCACAAAGGGGCCATATTGTGACGGGTGAAACACTGCTAGAAAGGGAGCAGACAGCGAAGCAAATAACAAAGGTGGAAGAACACCATTACTTGAGGCAGCTGGCTATGGACAGCTGGGATTTGTTGAGTGGCTCTTCCAAGCGGGAATCGAGCTTGAACCATTGAACCAAGGAATGGAGACGAAAGTGCACTACATGCGGCCGTATTGGGAGGTCATCATGCCGTTGTTGATCTATGGCTTGCAGCTGAAGTTAATGTGAATACCGTTAGTGGCAAATATGGGAATGCCCTCCAGGCTGCTGCATGTGAATCAACCGCGAATATCGTGAGAATATTACTTGACTCTAGTGCTGATGTTAATGCCCAAGGAGGAAAATATGGCAATGCCCTCCAGGCCGTTGTATACAAAAGAAGGGTTGAGGTCGCGAGAATATTACTCGGTTCTGGAGCTGACAGCAATACCCTGGAGGGAAAAAATGGAAATGAAATCATTTATTAGAGGCCAGGGGATTTTGACGCGACATATGAATGTACACGAATAAAGTAGTTTGCGCCCCCCTCTTTTCAAGTTCCGCTTGATATCTGACTGGATGGATTGAGCAGTGCCTAGATCGATACGGACACTCTGCACTAACCGATATTGGTCAGAGTCTGACGGGTTAATAGAGCATCATCATCATCATTTTATCATTATCATCGCTTTTCTCATAGAACTTCTAAGATGGAAATTTTATTCTTACGGAATCTTCTTGATGGCCGATTACCTAAAGGTATCCTTTTCCAGGCTATAATATTAGTAGTGTTGGTTCTGGGCGCAGAATGATGCGTTGGTGCGTTATGCTGGCTTAGGTGACAATGACGCGTCGCAGAGCCGCATGATTGACAACGGAACTAAAAGAGGGGCACGCAGAATTATATAAACAAACCTTTCCCTTCCCCATACCTCCTAAGCCTTATGGGCTTGATACCCGCAAAATGGCGCCTCAGCTTCAAGCCCACATCAATGAGATGCAGAATCTCCCTCTGGACGAAGCCATCCAGTCTATTATCGATCTTCTCCCCGGTCTAGAGGGATCCGTCTCTCCAAAGTACATATACCTCATCAAACACCCAGACTACGAAGGGGAGGCAGATCTCAATGCATCTAGGCAACCGTTTCCTCAACTGTGCTGAACGCTGCACAAAAGAGCACGCCCCATTTAGAACCCGCCTCCTACACAACTCACTCAACGGACCGCTCACGGATTTCTACGGCGATCTATACACAATTATGAAAGAGGGGTACAGGAATGGAACTATGGTTCCTGAGCCCAGTGAAGATCGGGACTGTGCTTGCTGCCGTGGCGATCCTGATGCAGTGATCCTAGCAGGCTTTCACGATGGGAAGGCTTTCCTCTACGAGGAACAAGACTATCGTGATATCTGGGGAGAACAGCAAGATTATGGCTCATGCACTACCGGATGGACGGATGAGGATGGGGTACAACAATCCAAGTACGAGATTTATGCTAGTAAGGAACAGGTTGAGGAAGCGTTGAAGGACGCTGAGGAGCTACAGGCTCAGGTACTTAGCAGACTTTAGTTTGTTACTATGGATGCAGATGAATCGAAAGTATGACTGGGAACTAGGAGTGGGCTTTTGATCTCTTGATCTAAGTAATTGATACATCTAGCCATATAACTGACAGTATCTAAGCTAAGATCAAAGGGAGATAAAAAGGAAACCAAAACAACAGTAGTTAAAATGCGTGCCAAACTTACATGTAGATTGAACTGCGTTCCATAGCAGTTGCTGGGACTGTGAGATCTGTAGCAATGGAATGGTAGAAGCTTCCCTTTTTTGTTCGCATTTGAGGACCTTTTTAATTGCCCCGGCCACCACGACGGCGTTTTGATGGTGTGCCGCCTCTTGGACCACCACCGCCTCTTGGACCACCTTTTGGAGCCCCTCCACCACCTCTCGGGGCACCTCCACTCCGTGAGCCACCGCCGCGATCTCTAGGACCTCTAGAGGCATCACCACCACCTCTTGGGGCACCTCCACCGCCCCTTGGAGCACCACCACCCCTTGGAGGGGGAGCCATTAAAGAGCTATGGCCATTTTGATGAGAAAATTCTGAGGGGCTAGGATTTGGTGGGCCACACCAGGATGAACGAGCCACGGAGGGGCTACGGTTCGGGTATCCATTCTCTGGGGGAGCAATTTCTCGGACATGAGCCTGTGGGGGTCCATTTATCCGTGGGGGTGCAGTGTTCTTCCTCTGTCTCGACGACAGACCCATGCCCTGGGTTAGTTCTGGAGGTAACGAGACCTCAACTTCCTCCAGATATGACACATAGTCATGAAAGTCGTCAAACTCATGGTACGTCTTTTCGGCTTTATCTCTGATAGGCGAAATTACTCGGTCATGTAAATGTCGCAGTCGGTTGTGGTCTCTTCCGGTCCAACACTTAGCATACCGCAGCATGTGAAAGACAAATTCTCTCACAGTCTGTGACGGCTTTTGTATGGTTATAGAATAAAGGTGTCGTGATTCTTCCTCTGTTCCTTGAGGAGGAAGTAATTGCACAAGGAACGTGCAAAAAGTGAGCCAGGACACTTTGGGGAGTCGGATGGAATAGGCATTCCATCGGGACAATAATGGTTCGTTGAGTTTGATTTTCCCGGACTCAATCTTGGGCTCATCATTACCATATTGGGCGGGGAACTTGTCAAAGTGAACTTGCATGTGACTAATGAAATTTCTGAACTCACTCCAGCTTAAAGCTTGGTAGGGCGGAACCGTCGGGATCGGAAGTGATCTTATTGATTGTCCCCGTGGCTTGATCTCCATGTCTATGTCTGGGATATGTTGAGGACTTGGTGGCCGGATAAACGAAGAACGATCCTTGTGAACTGGCGGCGATGCGCGCTCTCTTGAGTCCTCTCGCGTGCGATATCTGGAGGCTCTGGATGGCGAACGACCGCGGCGACGTCTAGGTGATGAGCGGGATCTTGATCTTCTGGGCGGCGATGGACTTCTGTATCTTCTAGAGTACCTTCTTCCTGGCATGGATGGGGAGCGAGCTCTGTAACCCCTCGATGGGGAGCCAGCTCTAGGGGCTCGGGACGGCGAACGCGGCCTGTAGCCTCTAGACCTTGAGCGAGCTCGAGGGGACCAAGATCGGGAGCGATCTCTGGGCCTCCTAGACGGCGAGCGATCTCTGGGCTGCCTGGGCGGCGAACGTTGCCTGAGACTAGTAGGGGGTACTGGCTCTTTAGGCTGTTCTTTCTTAAGCTGTTCCTGGGAGGTCTCCTTGGATTGTTTTATGGGTTGCCTTGGCGGCGAACACTGCCCCGGCTTAGTAGGAGGCGATGACTCTTTGGCATTCTCTTGGGCCTTTGCTTTGGAAATCTGTATAGGCTGCCCTTCAGGCTTTGCCGCGGGTCTTTCGTTGGAGTGTGTGTTAGACTGCTCCTCCACTTCGTATTGAGGCCCATTCGTAATGAAGAAGTTTGGCTGTTTGCCGCCGAAAAACTTCACACGTTCAACGATTGAATTCTCAATGGATTGAAGATAAACCACATATGAAAGATAGTTGTCAAATTTATCATGTGATAAGGTCGCCTTGGCTCGGATAGATGGCAGAAGACCTCTTTTCAGATGGAACATATGATCCTTAACATTGAACAGAAGGTGAGGCTCCCACTGAATCATCCAGATTGCAAAATCTTTGACGGATTGGTTGTAAAATTGAGTCCCATTTGTAAAGAGCATAGTAGCCGTCTTTTCATTGCTGTCGCGAGCCAGTGCATGCGACAAGAAGATGATATAGGTATTCCATGATTTGCCATGTTTTTCGGCAAACGTGTCCCAGTAAAAACGAAATTCCGGTGCAAGATAACGGACACCTAGGTCAACCCTAGAGCTATCGGTGGGGAAGAAAGAGGGATGTTTGAGAAAGTGAGCTTCCATTCCAGTGAAAAACTTTTGACATTCATCCCACTTTTTAGCCTGGTACAGTGGGATTTTAGGAGGCCGCGGAGGAAAGACGTAAACTTTGCCCTCTTTTTCAACCGACTGTGGGCTCGCTGGCTGCACTGGTTGCGCTGGTTGTTGATCTGGCTTATTGATGCCATGCGAGGCCTCCTTCAGTTGACTTATCTTGTTTCTGAGTCTCTCACTTTTCTCACTCAACGTTGGTGTTATGTGCTGGCTAACTTGCGGCGACTCGAGCAAGTCTGGCTTCTGTTTCCCTGGTGCAACCTGCTGGAGGGTTGACGGTAGAGCCGTAAACTGGCTTACTGGTGTACTCAATTTAGCTGGCAAGCTGTTCCCTTGTGCCACAGAGCCATTTGTCACCTGATTGGCAGGTTTTTGTGGCTGAGGGTTTGAAATCGCCTGGGGTGTTGCTTGCTGAGCGACTGGCTTCACATTGGATCCCGTGATTTCCGGCTTGGGAGTCGTGTTAGCTACCTGCTTAGCCGACGTAATGGGTTGTCCATTCGGCTGCTGAGGTTGGTTTTGTGGTGTAGGTGAGTTCACTTTTTGCATTTTAGCGGGTGGTGGTGCTAGGGTCGATACCGAAACCGCGTCATTCCTATATGCACCACTTGGTACAGCTGTAGGTGAAGCTGCAGGGCGCTTATTAGGCACCGTGGACGGCGATACTCGTGCAGCCGCCCCGTTTTGCTTCGGGGTCTCACTCGGTTGAGTCGACACCGGGCGAGTATTGTCATTGGTAGCCGAACCGTTCGTGACAGGTGGCTGCTCAGATTGAGGGCTCACAACCGAGTCAATAAAAGCATCCACCATCACCCGTGTAGAATTGATAGTCGGCTCCACGCTGTGCAAGGGACTCGCAGTCGGGTAACGAAATGCATTGAGTTTATCCTCTGCTTCTTGGAGTAGTTTTTCCTCCTCAGCCACTTGAGATTCTAGCTCAAGGAGCTGACGTCGTTTTCGGAGTCCTCCAAGTTGGGCCCGGAGACGAGCCATCTGGGCGTCTATCGCGGACGCTTCGTCGTCCACTGTCATGGTGGTGGGTATTCGATGATGTAGGTGTAGGTGTATGTGATTGAGTGTGGGGTTGTTCAGGAGAAACTAGCTGTTCTTCCTGACACCTCCCTCGGAAAACCGGGGAGGTTGAAGCCCAGGAAGCTTGCGTCCTGGGGGGGGAAGGAGGTTAGTAGAGAGATGAGAGAATTGCGGATCTTCTCACTTTTGTGTGTGTCTATCATCCAGATATTTTTCGGGTTGGGGAACCTTTGAACCACACACCGCACATATTCTGCCGCCCCTGATCAGTTATCCAATGACTTCAAAGGCTTGGAACAGCGGTCAGTGATTCCTTGGTTTCCATTGGTTAGTACATGTAGCTAGATTAAACTGGAGACTGGCCCGCACACGAATCTTTCGCCTGGGTTGATCCAGGATCAATTTGGTAGGTGTGATAGATCAAGTCAAGGTTCTCGTGGCGGACTTCGCATGTGGGGATTATTCATCCGTATATGATATGTCTTATACACGGAGCCATCCATAGAATATTGTTCAAAAATTGAGTAAATATACGTATTGTATTGTATTACAAATTATCTTGCAGCTATGTACCATACTTTTATACACAGGCATTATATACCCTCGAGGTGATTATGTTTTTCAAGGTGTGAGCTTGGTGACCCCATTATTTCCCAGGGGACCCAATCAGACACACAAATTTGCGATCGGGAGTATCATCCAAGGCGTTCTTGACCAAGTTCCAAACATTCAAGTCATATGCCTCTCCAATGTGTCCAACAGGATCAAGCGGGCAAGTCGACTGAACCCAAACATTCCGAACGCCATCCTCATGAACAAACGCAGTAGTGGGCGGCGTGACCAATTCATCAGTCTTAGATGCAATGATAGTAATGTTGTTACCCGGCTGGGCAATAGGGGTACCATCATTCAAACGGTCAACAGCAGGACCATCGGGGCCTAAATCGTTACAAGCAGCGCAACCAACGGTGTCGAGAACATCACCCACAATCTCCCGGGTAGCATTACCCAGAATGTAGGCAAGTTCATAAAGACCAGCGAAAGTAGTAGAGTGGGTAGGTGGTGCAATTGCGACAATGCGATCGATCTGGCCGGAGACACCCTCGAACTTGGGGACATAAAGAGACTGGAAGGCACCCTCAGAGTGACCGACTAAATTGACCTTGGGCTTGCCGGTCTTGTCGACAACTTCACGGATGTAGGCGGCGATCTCAGGCGCAGACTCGTTGATGGCTTTGAGACCACCAACAAACGGAAAGCCCTCATAAGCTCCATATGTAAGGGAGTAGGTGCAGTAACCCTCATTCTGCAGCCAGTACTGCAAGAAGTTCAGATCTTCATAGTATGTGGCACCCAGGCCGTGCAGGAGGACGACGGGGTTGGAAGAGCTTTCACAGGAGAAATCGTTGATTCCGGTCGCAAGAGCGACTGGAAGGGCCAGGAGGGCTGACGTAAATAATGAACGGATTGACAGCATCATGATACCTAGGTAGCTGGTATAGGGCTAATGAGCGAAAGTAGGAACCAAGGAACGAGTGGGCGGAAGGTTTTTATGAGCGGAGATTGTTTGACGGGTAGGATCGATTGACGCTTGTTTTTCTTTTGCGATTTCCGATAGCTCTACTCCTTTTTCAGCTTACCGTGATTTTCCCTGGAACTATTGACTGAAGATCGCGCAGATGCGTCTGTGACTGGTCGGTGTGGTGGATCTGAGATTCGAATCGGTCCTAGCTGCAGTGAAGTGGAGTCGGGGTCTGCCCAATGGGAAGAATATGGGAAATGAAGATTTCGTTACAAATGGTGATATTGGTGAGCTATCAGATTTATTTCTTTTTTCACTTTGGCATGTGCAACCCTGCTCGAAGTACGGAATACTCTACAGGATATATGCCGAATGTACCACAGTAAGCTAAGCTCAAAGTGTTGGCTTGCGTTGTTGATAAATGCATTATTATCAGGGGCAGGTCTGCCCGTATTTGCTTTTTAACTATCTTCAACGCTATCAACTCACTCAATATCTAAAAAGCCATAATACTCGTCATATCGGCATGGTCATTTCTGTCATCAAGAGCCATTGTTGAGCGGTGAGTCTTTATGAGTAGAGATCTCGGACATAGTACTGCCCCAGAGACCCAATGAATGACGCCGTTCCACCAAGCTCAGTACTTCGATCATGAAAGCTCGCTCGGGTCCCTTATCAGGGAAGGCCTCCCAGGCGACTCGCGTAGGGAATGCGAGACGATTGATCATGTTTCCGGGAGCCGTAAGAATATAGAACTCATACGTTCGACAGATGCCACATCCAAGCTCGTATTGCTCTAGAACAGAGACTCGATCCTCGGGGCGCGTATCAATAGATGATAGGATCAAACGCACGGCATAGTAGACGCACATGGTTTGTGCAAGGAGAAGGTTGGGGTATACGAGTTTGGTTGCGTTATATACAGCACCCGTTCGGAGGTCACGTCGTTTGAAGATGGGGAAACCTTCAGCTCCAGTTTGTTCGGCCTCTTCTGGGGGACCGTCTGGGTAGCACTCAACCCAATCATGATACCATTGGTAGAAGCGACCCGTCAGGTCGGTGATTGCGTTCCAAAGAGCGGTTTGTTTGACCGCAACTTCTTGTGCGCCCATCACTGACGAAAGTTTCGCGTCTTTGAATTGATCAGACTGGTACAATAGTCCAGGTACTTCAGTGGCTAGATCAAGTAAATGATGGAGGATATCCTTAGTGGTCGTTCCAGCCGACCAAGGAATAGTTTTCCATTCCTCTCGAGCCAAAAATGAAGGCTGCCTTGTTGCCAATGCGCCGCCAATCCAATAAGGACGTAGCTCAGTGAAGAGAAGATGTTCAACACCGTACATATGATTTTCAGGTCCTCGATGCTCAATCAAGCGCACTGCACCTCTTACATGGGCTGGGACACCAGTTTGTGTAGTCCGTTCCACACTTTCAAAAGCAAGCAGAAGCGTCACTGTTACTAGGGTCGCCTCGGATTTAGATCGCTCGGGATCAATCAAGGCATCTTGCAATCCACGTAAAACACGCGGATACAGCCGAAAGCCCGAGGCTTCAATTTCCTTGTTTTGCACAGATCGACCAAAAAAGGCTACCGAAACTGCCTCAAAGGCATCTGTAATCAGTGGTGAGAACATTCGAATCTCTGCGGCTGCTCGTAGTGCTCCTGCTCGGCCGGATTTGATGTCAACTTCCGGACTGAACGCATCAACAAAGCGTTCCACGAAGATATCTACAGCAGGCCGCTGCATGCTCATTATAGAGATGATCCCAGACGATCCTGAGTCCGATCCGCTGGACAAGGACATCAATTCCATATCGCCATCTTCGTCGTCTCCATCTGAGAGAGGGTCGTTGAAATTCAATTCTGGAGTCGAATCTCCAATTCTTCTTCTGATCGGTATAAGGGATTGGCGAGAACCACCCGCGTAATCGTAATCTGCATAGGCTGTACCGATATTTAGCATTGCTACTCCATTGAAGTGGTACCAAATGATAAACTTACCCTCGTGGCCCTCCCAGGGCCCTACTTTGACCAGATCTTTCTTCAAGCCGCCATGTGCAGACCGAATTTCACGCACAAGCTGGTCTACCACACTTTGTGGGGCAGAACGAATAGACTGAAATAAGCTCTCAAGCTGGTCCAGCCGCTCAAGCTCTTCCTCCTGGTCCCCTGCAGCAACTACATGTTAGCCGAAAAATCACGATTGGGTACTTGCGATCGAGACGATCTAGAACCCCCAGGGACCTCACTAGCAAGTACCAGGGTCTATGTAGCCACATACCATGCCTCTCATCGATTCTCGCCCTCAACTCTCGAATCTCCGTCCGCAAGTTCTTAATTTCCTCTGCCTGGGATATCGGTCGAGCTTCTTCATCGGGTATGTTCTCGTATATACATTTCGACGGATACCCGTGGGCGCAACATGCATTACAAGGCTTCACTCGGTCACACTGACAAACGGATCGCCGTTAGCTCCGTGGCTCCGTGGCTCCGTGATGCGTACGCAGTGGGACGAAAGGACTCGGTACGGGAACGACGGTCCCTCCCGTTATAGGAGATCTGAGCACGCACGTACCTTGACTTTGCGGGACCTGCAGACCTTGCAGGAGCGTGACTGGCGGTTTGGCGCCTTCCTGACTCGCGAGTCAGGGGCGGATGGGTACAATTCACCGACCATGGGGACGCGGCAATGGAGCATAGAGGGAGGAGAGAAACATGCTGCAACCAACGGCGCTGCGGGATTTAGAGGAGTGAGATTTCGTCCGAGATCTCCTGCTCGGGGCGGTGGGCCGTCTCACAAGGGCCCAGTCTAGCGCGCCAGTAGCTTCGGTAGCTTGGTTCTGGGGAGCTCTGATAGGATGGTGGGGAAGCGGATCCAGCTCCATATTGCGACCGAAGCCGGTGTCCAGCCACATTATTGGTGGCCATGCATAATGATGTGGACTTGCAGCACTTGAGGACTGTCACCCGCTTGAAATGGTAATGAGGGGCTTGGTCGTTGGGATTTATTCGGCTTGCTCAGGGACGAAGCGGGTCAACGCTCAAAATTGAAGTGAAGTGGCCCACACCGAGATTCTGCCGTCCTATGCCAACAATTATCATGAATATTGTACAGGAGTCTTGCTACCACCAATGCCCAAGTGGCTACATATGCTATCCACTAGTTTAATCGCTATATATTACTTATCAATGTGAATAATCTACCCTTTTTTTCCTAGAAAAAAATAAACAAACATAGTCTTGCCACACTATTTGCCCAAACTAAAACCCCCAGCCCTGGAAACAAGCATAATGTGATATGCTAAGACTCAGAGGTGAAAGGCCGGATAGTATTGAAAGCGTCTTTTAGCGAGGCTCTTGAACTTGATGGAGATAATCCAGCTTTAAGTATCATTCTCAGAGAACAGTATACTACTAGTATGTATATCCGAAGATAAACTACCGGAGACAACTTTGAAGGAGAAAATGTAACAATACGTGCACCACTAGTACTTATAGTGAAAACAGTCAGAAATCCCATAATACTATTTTGTTTTCATTAATCTGGTTCTACTTTGGCATTTACTTGGACATTTTCGCCTCAAGGGCATGCTGACGTGCCCGTAGGATCTCCACAGATGTGTTGATACTGCGCATCAGGATGTTGACATGCCGAAGGATACGATTGACATTGTTCCTGGAGGTAGCGAGAATACGCCGCGCCGTCTGATATTCAGCCATCTCCATCTCAGTAAGGACACTCTGGCCACCTCTAAGCTCCCTCTGAGCAGCGTGGAGCCTGGTCACGGCAGTGATAAGAGGAAGTATGCAGCTTATCGCTGTAGTGAACCAAGAAGCATTCTCAGGAGTAATATCACCATTCTTCTATATCTGCTGCATGGCAAGGGCTCTATTGGTAAACCAGCCCAAGGACCTGGCGCCTTCAGGGATTGGCTTAGTAGACTTCGACCAGTCAATCTGAGGCATGGTTGCCCCATCAATCTAAGCGTTGTACTGCCGCTTCTCCATTTCGGTCATATTTTTCATAGCAAGAGAGACGGGGTCATGTTCGGCGTGGGCTGCAGCACGATAACCGGTGCGGACAGCGAGACTGTGACCACCGGCAACAACTTGCGCCAGATCGGTCATCTTGGTCATGGTCTGCTGCAATGAATCGGTTGGTTCGGGGACGGGAAGGATTGCAAGGGCACAATCGGCGCTAACTGAGAAGTCGACATCCCGAGCGGCCTCACCAGACATATTCGCAAAGGTTCGCTTCTGAGGCTTCACCATATCGCTAGAAAAGGCGATTCGAAAGTCCGAAGAAAGGGAGAGTTGGTAAAAGAAAAAAATTGATAAAAGGAAGCAGAATAGTTTAGTTAATTTGCCATGGATGGAACGCTATTATAGAGCGTTTGTGGGGTGTGATTAAATTGTCTATTTGCGTACTATCCAACCCCAGCGATAGTTGCCAATAGACTGCTCTACATTATTTGGCTTGATTCACTGCTGCATATGTGCCGTATCTGGTGCTGTAGCTAAACATTCCAACCTCTTATTCAAACCTGGACTACGTTCACCTGGTCGCTAGGTACCCATGTTTGAAGTAGGAGATAATTAAGATTCAAGTTGCAGCTACAGTGGTCTTGTGATTCAACTTGAAGCAAGACTAAACTCTCAAGCTGTTGGTGATTGTCGTTTTGTTTTGCCATATTCACTACCTCAAAGGTACCAAGTGTAAGACAAAGGCACAAATAAGGGTATAGCCGGGCACATGCTGGGATTTTCACTTAATAACCTTGGAAATGTTCAATATCAGAGTACTTAATAGATACAGCCACTACCCGATTTTAGCCTTAGGCCTACTATTTGCTATGAAACCACCAACTATGGGCGCAGATCCACATAAACAGCGCGGGCCCGCATAGCAAGCACATTTGGAGTTTTGCCGCGTATGATTCCGAGGCTAGTTAGGCTCATCATTTGTTGGGGTAAATTGAGCTCTCAATTTGGAGCTGATTATGCACCGTACCTCTGCCGACTTGATCTCTCCAAGTCCTCAATGAAATATTCTCAGACTCCAAGGTAGCGTATCGACATCCATGTAAATTCAGCATTGGCCTTTGTTGAGCCCAACCTCTTACAAAAAGAGAGCCCGGGAAGCGGTTTCCCCCAAGAATAAAAACAAAAAGTTGAAAGATGGCTCGTAGACACCCCAGCCGTGATCAGCGCCACAACCCCCATACAGAGCAATGTATGCGGGGGGTGGAAGTTAAAATCCAAAATGAAACTCAAAGGATGTCACGGGCCCACCACTCAGCTTCACCTCCTCCTACACAACGCGGACTTGCTCCGAGAAAAGCAATCTGTTATTCGGCGAAGAGGCCAAAGGCCCAGCACGGTCCGTCACGGAAGCCGCGCAAGAAGCTTTCCCCCGGGACATAGCTCTTGGCGTGGCCAACCCCAGATTTGGGTGGCGTCACGATTTCGTGGGGTGGCCACTCCTGTTCCATGTTTGGGCCTTTTATCCGGCAGGTTATGCATATCACACCACTCGAGACTCGTGTTTTCTTGCAATCTGCCCGATTTGTGGCTTTCTATTGGTGGTTTTGACTTGGTCCCCCCACGTCTGCCCACGGGATGCATGATGATATCGGGCTAAATGCGCGATCGTCAGGGAGTGACAAAGATGGAAGGTCGCCGACCCCGTATACCCCAGGTATCATGATTCTTTAGAGCTGCTTGAAGTGGCTGTGGCCAGGTTGGGTGACCTCTGCATTATGGAATCCATAAGAAGATCTCCTCGCCCGGCACTTTCAAGGGTGTTTAACTCTCCTGCACCTTTTGTTTGCTTAAAATTTTGGACCCCGTCCTCTCTTCTTTCATCATGACTAGCAGGGACCATGGCCTCGCTGACCCTGAAGCGATCCAGGAGAAGGGGTCGGTCACCCACGAGGAAGCCGTCCATAGGGCGACCCTGACTCAAGAGGAGAAAATTCTTGAACGCAAATTGCGACGTAAAATTGACACATTGATTATGCCCCTGGTGGTTCTGGTATATCTGCTTAATTATATCGATCGGTGGGTGATACCGCGTGGGATCCGAGATTGTCAAAGACTAACATCTGGAAAAGTAATAACTACGCCGCAGCCAAGCTTCAAGGTATCAAAGATGAACTACATCTAACGGATACCGAATACCAAACGGGCTTGTCGATCCTTTTTGTCGCCTACATTCTTATGCAAGTCCCAAGTAATCTGATCCTCAATTATATGGGTCGGCCTTCCCTTTATTTGGGGTTCTTCGTTACAGCTTGGGGTCTTGTATCTGCTCTGACGAGCCAAGTTAAGGGCTACGGAGGAATTGTTGCATGTCGCTTCCTTCTGGGACTTGTCGGTACGTCAATAGCAATTCTTCATAAAAAGAAAAGTCACGAAAGTGCAATTGCTAACTTTTCTTTTATACAGAGGCACCGTTTTTCGCCGGCGTCCTCTTTTATCTCTCCAAATGGTATACCAAGAAAGAACTCGCGTTCCGAATGAGTATCTTCTACTCCGGATCACTACTTAGCGGTGCATTCGGTAATCTTATTGCCGCCGGAATCCTCAGCGGTTTGAAGGGAAAGCGTGGAATGTCTGCGTGGCAATGGCTATATATCATTGAGGGATCTATCACTGTCTGCGTTGGAATTTTGATCTGTTTCATTCTTCCTGACTTCCCTGAGACATGGAAGCTTTTGTCTCCTGAAATGCGCCGTGTGGCCGAGAGACGTCTTGCAGTGGAAGCAGCCGAGGCCGACGTAGACGAAGAAGGTGGCATGAGCCAGATGAAGGGTCTGAAGCTGGCAATGACGGATATCAAGACTTACGTCCTGGCTCTCGCCTACATGTGTATTACAGGAGCGGCCGGATTCCAGAACTTCTTCCCAACCCTCGCCGGAACTCTCGGTTACAACAACACCGTTTCATTGCTGCTTGTAGCACCACCATACATCTTCATGGTCTTTTACAGTCTCGCGCACTCCTGGGTCTCAGACAAGATGGAAGTCCGATTCTGGTTTTTATTCTACCCGATTCCTATCACCATTGTCGGTTTTGTTGTGTTTATGACAACAGACGGGTTTGGTCCTCGTTACTTCTCCATGTTTTTGATGGTGTTTGTCTTTGCCCAGAACGGCACGCTCTATTCCTGGATTGCGAATGCTATTCCGCGCCCACCCGCCAAACGTGCTGCAGCCTATGCCTTTATCAACTCGATCGGCAACTCGGCTAGTATATGGACGCCTTATACTTATGTTCAAGGCGAATGGCCACATTATAAAACGGCCATGGCGGTCTGTATTGGCCTTCAGGGGATTGGAGCTCTCTGTGGCATCTTCATGTATGTCCACCTGCGCATGCTCAATAAGCGACAGGAGCGCTTGGAGAATGAAGACTACCAACTCACCGATAGAGAGCTTGGCCGGTTGCAAATTACCGCGGACTTCGAGGGTATTGACATTGCAGCTGCACGACAATTGCAGAAGGGCTTTAGATACACACTTTAGGGTGGCCTTCCTTGTATATCTAGCAATTGATCCACATTCACGACTTGTTACCCAGCGAAGCTATAATTATAGTAGAGCGTAAAAATCCCGGTAGTACTATCTTAGACTTATTCCGCTGTGGAACAGGAAAGGAAAAGCAGTAAATCGCATCACGTCCTGCAGCTCTCGAGCTGATGATCATCCTTGGTGCATACCATATTGTTTTAAATCTACATCCAATCGGAAACAAGAACTTGAAGTTCTTCTGTTTGTTCTATCTGTACCTCTTTCCTTCTTATCCCTGATGTTCTTTGATATTTTTAGCATTGCCTATGCATGAGTACAAAGTACGGATCAGGAGATGGGGCACAGTAAGCACTGATCGTCTCCCCACCTTCCCCCTCTTTACTCTCTCCACATTTCATTCCAACTCCACACCCACTCCACCAGCTAGCACAACATGCAATCTGCACTCACGCGCCCGATCCTTTCTTCGACTGCAAAGCCTGGACTCATCCGAGCATTTACCGCAGCACCAGCCATTATGGCAGCTGGTGACACTGGCTCCCCCAAGCCGCGCGGGTTTCTCGCTGAGTAAGAGCTGGTCAAGTCAGTGATGTCACCACCACGTGATAGCTAATATTCTCAACAGAAAGGACACATTCGCCCGTCGCGAGGCCGCACACGAAGGTTTATACATCAAGCAGCTGGAGAAGGAGAAGTACGTTTAGCCAAAGCACGTTCTGTTTGGTGTTAGGTTCGGAACTGACTTAGTCTGCAGGATTGATCTACTTCGAAAGAAATTGAAGGAGCATCAAAAGCACAACGAGGAACTGGACAAACATCTGTATGAGAAGCCCCATCGCCTTTATTCTAATCGCCACCTTTGGATATGCCTCACATACGTACTGTATACTGACGAGTTTTAGAGAGGACCTGCTTGCAGGCCAAGGCGGCGAGAAGAACTAGGTTTCGTGGAGCTACCCGCGGCCAGTATCGAGAAATCGACTGATAAGGATGAGGAACAAAAGAATTTTTCATGTTTTATAGTGCTTTATTTTGACTTTCTGTTCGCTATGATAGCACTGACCCGCAAGCCATGGAAAATCCACCTTGCGCAACATTTGAATGCAAACAACCACTCATAATATCACTTTTAGTCTTCATTAATGACATTAAATCCTGCGCATGATCTAGATCTTCGCTTGCCATCTCCACCGATAGCTTAGACACGCCCATCGAGCCATGACAAACATCCCTAGCGAGATGACCAACACACCGCCCAAAAATCCGACCATCCCCCGAGAGCCCACCTTCTGTAACATTTCACCACCGATTGGAATACAGACGAGGGTCCTATATGCGCACATGTCGTTAGATAATCAATGACCAAAAGTATAAGAAGATGCACTCACGCAATGCTGACAATAGAGTAGCAAATTCCAAGTCTTCCTCCTACTTCGCTTGCCTTAGATATCTGCCCAATGCACGCAGGTGCTAGACTGAGGAATGAGCCTGATGCTAGCCCAAAAGTTGCGCTAAACATGTAAAGGCCGGGGAGAGTATGTCCGAACGGAAGCCATATCAGGAATATGGATATAACTCCTGCCACAATGAGGGTTACTTGCGTATTGATTCGTCCATATTTGTCTGCGACACGACCAGCCACTAGACGACCCAACGTGGAGAATCTATGAATGGATTAGCGCTTGAGACTTGGCAAGTACAAAAAAGGAGACTACATTCAAATGTGCAACATACACGTTCAATACGGCAAGAAGAACCACACCAGTAGCAGTGCTGAACCCCTGCATAACGACAAATGTTGGGTATAGACCAAGGCCAGCGAAGACCTCCAATTCCAACACTGCAGCATGTTAGCAATGTAGCTCATATATGGTATAAAAATAATCGCATCATGCTCGCTGAACTCACTGAAAGTTCCCAATGTCAGCCAAGTGAACCTAGCATCCTTGAACGCCTGTACATTGATACTTGACTTGCTTCTTCCTTTGGGAAGTCGGGATTTAACTAATACTGTACCAATCCCACACTGCACACCTACAATCAAGGCTAGAGTGCGAATCGCCCACTTATATCCAACATGAGTAAACGCCGCCCGCAGAATGAAAGGAAATGTTACACCCCCAAGACCAGCACCAGCCATTGCCGTACCCACCGCCATCCCGATATTCTGATCAAACCAATGCGGGATAACGGAAAGACCGACAGTACTGATCAGTGCGGCACCGGAACCTGTGAGAACCCCCAGTGCCAAGAGAAAATGCCAATATACCTGACACTCGGCCAGTACCACAAGACCTGCGACATATAAAGTAGTGCCCGCGATAAGAATCCCGGTCGGACCATATCGATCGAACATCGAGCCCACCTGGGCACTCAGGCCTAGACCGAAGAGGAGGAAGACACCAGGAATCCATCCCACGGTACTAGTGGAGTAATTTGATAATTGGTGCGTGGCGAAGTAATTCTGGAGCACACCGGTTGAGTTCATCAAGCCGTAGGTGCTCATAAGCAGGAAGAAGGATCCTAAGATCACGGACCAGGAGCGGAGACCTCCATCGGGAAAGTGGTCGCTGGGAACTGGTTCGAGAATATGGGTTGTTACAGCTGATTGCTGGGCTGGGGGTTCGATTATCTCGAATGCACTCTGCGGGGCCTCCTCGTCGTGTATACTAGGGTAGACTGTGCCATGTGTGCTGCTATTCGAGGTTGAAGGTCCCTCGATCTCTGTCGAGTAAAATGGCTGCTCGGAAAATGTAGTCACAATTTTGCTCTCTGTAGCCATATTCCTCACGGTGGTTATGTCTCTGGTAGAACTTTGGAGGGAATTATGAGAAGAGAGGCGATCATCTCCGACTGAGAGTGCGAAATTCGAAATTTATCTTATCACGGTATCTTACTATCGGGAGCCCATCCCGACTTCGGTGACTCATGAAATTGGCTTGCATGGCGAGGCAAAAGGATTGGTGGCTCCGGGATCTTAGCCGGGGGAAAATTGGGTCTTATATGGAGCATTTATTGGGGATCCATGGGGGGGGGGGGGGGAGCCCGGGGAGGGCCGTCTATGTACACCCTGACCTGGGCATGTAGTATGTGTAGTGTAAATGATATACACACTTGATCAGATGACTCCACGTTCACCTTGAGGGGTCACAATTGCTATATAGAAGTTTAATACAATACAATAAGAGCGCAGAGGTCTAAAAAGGGGATGAACATGTATCCGTCATAGTTTGTAGTCTTGTTTTAGCCCACAGGATCAAGAGCGAGCAAGTTGCAGGCCAAAGGTACTTCGCAGTCCCAAAGAAAGGCTTTCGGTGACAAAGATGTTGGCAATCGGGACATTGAAAGCTTTATTTATATACGGCATATTCGGGACTTATCCCAAGACGTCAATGCTAAAAGATAGAGCCATCTTTGTCAAGTGGGTCATGCTACCTATCAACCCGACAAAACACGCCTCCAAGTTACACATCTGGGCATCAATATCATTGTATCTAGAATTTAGAATTTCCAACACCTGGAACCTTTAAACTAATAGTATAAGGGAATTGCTAGTAACTATGAGGATATTTCCTGGCCAATTCAATCGTAAATCCCAATTGGGATAGGGCCATTGGCTGCTTTTTGCGACCGTAGTGAAGTTGGTGGAGGTGGCATGATGGGTGGCGACATACATGCAGGAAGCCATTGAGGGCGGAATTTCCCACACTGATAACGGGCCGTGAGGACGTGGCATGACGCTGCAGTGTTGCTCATGAGCTCACTATGAGTCGATTATAGGAGAATCCCGCTATCTCTAAAACAGCAAACAAACTAATAATAAACATATAAATTCTTCTCCCTTTTCGCACACTAAACTGACATTCTTCAACCTCACCCAACAGCGATCCCACACAATTACTCTCTCAAAATGCAGGCAACCAGAGCCATCACTCGCAGCCTCCCCCCAAGCCTTAATCGAGGACGAAAACAATTGCGCGTCGTCAATTCGACACCCCTTCCTTCCTCCTACGCAACCCATAACCCTCCGACCGACTCCGATCAACTTGCCTACCGATTATGTGAACTCTCTCTTCAAAAAATACAGAAAGAGGCCCGAGCATGCGAGCCTGATATTCGACACGTACTTGCGTGTACCTCTATGCAACGTCTCGCGCAGCAAGACCTACTATACCGTCTGGACACACTACAAACCGCAATGTATGTCCCCGCTCTACCTCTTCTTCCTGGGGCAGATGAACCTTTATTCGAGGAAGAAGATGAGATGGACATGAAGTCACTTCAAATAGCCGTTTCTGAGCTAGAAACTGCCAGCAGGAGAGGGGAGCTGGCTCGTTTCATATGCTTCCAACAAATAAAAGAGATGTGAGGTTACGTATGTGTACCTGTTCGATATAATTCCGATCAATGAAATACACTAACTTTCTGTGTATAGGGAGGATGCACATTTATGATTTGAACGAGTTACGAAACATGTATTAGCATTACTGCAAAAATAATAGCGCTGTGGAGTTGGGTTTTATTAAAAGCAGCGATATCGAATAAACATCCAACATTTATTTCCATTTAACCTTCCCTTGGTCATACCACTACATGAATATTCTGAAGCCAATATTTGGGCAAATATGAAGCAGTGTTTAAGAACGTTTTGCCTACTAATTACCTACATCTAGTATGTACCCGATTTTCCGCCCAAGAAAACCCACTGCGTCCATTGATTGATATCACCGATATCAATTCCAAACGTGGCATGATATAACTCTCTCATCGGCATCACTTCTTTGATCTCTGCTTCTATAAAGCTTTTATCCCATCCATCAACGATACTTCTGCCAACTCCAAGCCCTGGAATCACGTCCTTGACACCATGACTACAAAAGTCTATGTCGAGTCGCCAAACTTCCCGCTACGAAAAATCCACTCCACCTACATTCTTCCTGCTGTCTGGTATCATCCTCATATCCAGATTCTATCATACATGCTGATCCTTACCCTGACGACCAAACCCGCAACTACAGCCCAAATCTTGGAGCTACATCTTTGCACACCACAAACATCTGAATCAACCGATCAACTCTCCTATCTCGTTTCCCGCCTCGAAACTTTTCATTCTACTCAACCCGTTCATCCTATCTGGTGCCATCACCAGATCCAATTTCATTCTCGCTACGAAGCTTTTCATTCTGACAACCCCAAGCTACAGTTCCGACTCTCGAGGCTGCGTCTTTGACTATTACTGACGCGCTTTACATCGAGTTGGCACACGTTCCTATCAAAAATTCTATTCCGACTTACTTCTTCGTCTGATTCGGTTCCAAATCCAACCTTTAAACCTAACACAGTTTCCTCCTCCAAAGCGCACGTTGGATTCTGAAACCAACATTCAGGCCCCCCTGTCTCGTGCAGACCTTTACCGGGTCGTCAAAATCCTTGCTGGGAACGTTCAACCCCATTATCGTCTTCGTGGAGTCATATACCTTCACCCAACCAAATCCATTCAACCAGGTCCTTGTCATCCTAGCCGCCATTTGCCACCAATCCACAACCATCATGAAGGAATACGTTGAGGTGACTGCTACGGCAGAGAGTGGCGTTCGGATGTGCAAAGAATGCCATCAAACAAAGGAGACACAAGAATTCGTCTCGGTACACGGAAATCAGATATGCCTGATGTGCGCGGACTGTCGTGAAAGACGTCGAGCTGTGAGTTCTACCAAGTTTCAACTTTTGACTCTTGAGCAAAGTAGTATGATTAACGTGACAGCAGCGCCGCATCAAGAGGAAATTGCGAGACAAAGCAAAGATCGATGCTTATAATGAAATGCAACCTACCCAGCCCACGATTATGCAGCCTCAACAACCAATGATGATGCAACATTCCCAGAGCATGATGATGCACCCCTCCCAAGGGATGATGATGAGCCCTCCCCAGAGCATGATGATAAATCCGTCTCAAAGCATGATGGTTCAGCCTCAACACATGATGATGATGCCTCCAGCTGCTAGCGGAGCTTACCATGACATCATGAAACACTGGAACGGACCCATGAATAACCCATGGAGCCCCGAACCTACTGAGTCGATCCCAGAGGCCCAGTCCAGCCTTGAACCAGTCTCGGATACACTTCAGTTAGAACACTTCTTTTGTCCCTCCTGCGGCCTTGCCAGAAGCACGAGATTAAATTACGATGGCATTTGTCTTTACTGTTTGGAATGCGAGCAGAAGTATTGCTATTTTGGAAAGCATGAAGTTGACAGAAATGACTTTATCGATCGCCGGGGTGATGAGCAGGTACGATGCAACAAGTGCCGCGAGGGCGAGGAATATGAAGAATCTGAGCAGGAATCTGGTTCAGAAGACGAGCCAGAGATAAAATCGGGATCAGAAGATGAGTCGGATGAGGAATCAGAGTCAAAATCAGAGGAAAAGCCCGATACAGGGGAAGAGCACTCTAAAGAGGAATGTGTTCAAGATTCCTGTGAGATTGATGGTCGCGAACAACATCGTAATTTCCAGCCTATGGAAGGGTTTGTGGAAGTGAAGCCGTCTACTATTTCTACTGATCCAAGCCACATGATTGACGAGGTTGAAGTCAAACAGGAACCCTTCAATGATACTCAGATTGCTGGTATATCGCAAATTGAACATCTTCCCGCCGCTGTTGTTGATGGCCGTCAAGTATCAGGCCCCTTCATCATTGATTAAGTTCCGATGAAAGTACTAGTATCAGTTGAATTATTCAGGAAATTGCAGCTACAGCTGTCTAGTATGGGGTTTTTACATATCTTACACTCTTGGGATTTGCAAATTGAAGCGTGGTGTGATATTCTAGCGTGCTCATCCATTTATTGTCTTTAGAATATTGATACTGATCTTGAACAATTTGAATAGTTTGAACAATCTACATACTAGTCTGTCGAGTTTGAAAAGTCATCCCTTAATAGCCCGCCGTAATAATAGTTGTTCACTACTAGTACGGTCTAGATGCTTCGTCGAAGATATAGAAAGATACAGATAGACTTCCACCTATACAAGATTCTAGGGAATATGTAGGGTAACATTTGAATCTCACTAGAGCACATAGGGATGGATGTATATTCACATTTGAAGTAGTATAAGCATCCCAATAAAATTTGACTGTTTGGCCCGCGATAGCCAGTCCCAGGTTCAAAGGCTGAAATGTACGTATCTGACAGGTTCAAATGGCTGTGCCTAATTATTGTTGCTCCGTCGCGGAGAGTTAAACCCCCCGATCTCCATAATCAATCACTGTGGAGACTGGTGCAAACCCGCGCTAAACCAAAAGAAATCGGCTTTCCGGTCTACAAAGGCTCCACCTGAGTACTAAGCGGACTGCGGTATCTCCCAAAGCTTCCTAAGACCGAAAGAATGTTCTCACACACTCAAAACCATTGATGATCGGTCGAAACCACGTTTTTCATTCTAGCTCTTTTGGGCGTTGGCGTGCTGTATCATGTTTACGGTAAACAAACATTTGCCGTAATTATCATATTGAAAGCTCCAATTTATCGTGTTTTGATTTGGTTTTAATAATTACATGTAAAAGAAGTTCGGCCCCAAGTAGGCTGCGACCATCAATGCCCAGAGCCCTGAAGGCTGTATGAGTCAACAATTTTGAAACGGAATCGTCGGTGCTAGTTAACGCCGACACTTGCATATGCAAAAACACTGATACAGGTCGAAACTGCACAGGTGCACATACCTACGGTTCCCTTCTATTTCTCTAGAAAAGCCGGATCGGCGACCGAGGGGCGGTCTGGCTATGCAGTCACAGTTAGCGATAGATCAAGAAAATTCTACTCCATTCCTAAGTGCATCTGTACATTTACATGATGAAACACAACCCTGTTAAGGAGATCTGGACGCCTGGGGCACGCAATATAACGTAAGCGGAAGATCAGTTTCCGAGTTCTTCCATGGGCTCCACTATTCTATAGAGAAATTTCGGTCTTTAGGCCATGACGTGGGTCCCGAGTGGAATCAACAATTGGTTTGCGCCAAAAAGGGGCACTTGAACCAAGCTTACCTGCGAATCCGTCCTGTGGAAACGGTGAGTGATTGCAGGTGATTCGGATTTAATCTTCCTGATACTCCGTACAAAGCCATGATTGGAAGTTCGGGCTCGGGAGAGGCTCCAGAGCTGGCGGTGTTTGTAAAGAGCATCGGGCCCCACTAGTGCGGGCAGCGGGTTAAAAGAGAGAGAAATTACTATAAGATAAAGACTATTCCGGTCAATGCTGTACGAAATGATGTCCCTAAATTAAAGATGTGCATTTAAGAGCTCTTTCTTTCTCTTCCTCTCCTTCGCCTTCTTCCTCTCCTCCACCTTTTTCCTTCGTACACCTTTTTATCGGCTTGGTGATCACTACGTTTACCTGGTAACTGGCCTTCACTACTAAAGTCTTCCAGCTCTTCATCTAGAGCACTGTGTAATCAGTTCCCAGATTTTTATCAACCGTGTGGCCGCCGCCATGGCGACCCCAAACAATGACCCTTCTTTGGGAAGAGACTCCATCGATATCAAATTCGAGACCGAGAGTGCAGCCACTGTCTTGGGCGAAGAAACACCCATGAAGACTAGCACTAAGGGTAGCCCCGCATCGAGCCAACACAATTCCGACTGGGCTCTATTATCAAAGGTCCAACAACAACATGAGCGGGATCTAGCTTCAGGTTTCAAGCGACAGGAGCTGGGTGTTACTTGGCAAAATGTCAATGTGGACGTGATCAGTGCCGATGCCGCAGTCAACGAAAATGTCTTATCGCAATTCAATATTCCTATGCATATCAAGGAATCACGCAACAAACCACCCCTCCGTACAATCCTTCACAACAGTCATGGTTGCGTCAAGCCCGGCGAAATGCTGCTTGTTCTGGGCCGTCCCGGCTCCGGCTGTACCACTCTTCTGAAAATGCTTGCGAACCGCCGAGGAGGATACAAGTCAGTGGAAGGAGATGTTCGATTCGGATCATTGACCTCCGACGAGGCAAGCAAGTACCGTGGTCAAATTATCATGAACACCGAGGAGGAACTTTTCTTTCCTACTTTGACCGTTGGTCAGACCATGGACTTTGCAACCCGCCTCAAGGTTCCTTTCAAGCTCCCTAATGGTGTCGAATCCGCCGAGTCTTACAGCGAAGATTCCAAGAATTTCCTGCTTCAGTCCATGGGTATCGAACACACTGCAGATACCAAGGTTGGCAATGAGTTCGTCCGTGGTGTCTCCGGTGGTGAGCGCAAGCGTGTCTCTATCATTGAGTGCATGGCTACCCGTGGGTCTGTCTTCTGTTGGGACAACAGTACTCGTGGTCTTGACGCTAGCACAGCTCTCGAGTGGACTAAGGGCATTCGTGCCATGACAGATACACTGGGTCTCTCGACCATCGTCACATTGTACCAAGCTGGTAACGGAATTTACGAACTGTTCGACAAGGTCTTGGTTCTCGACGAGGGTGAACAGGTCTACTACGGACCTCGCGCTGAGGCGCGGCCTTTCATGGAAGACGCCGGTTTCATTTGCCGTGAGGGCTCCAACGTCGCTGACTTCCTCACTGGTGTCACCGTGCCAACCGAGCGCCGCATTCGAGAAGGTTGGGAGAATCGATTCCCACGCAGCAAGGACGTTCTACGGAAGTCGTATGAGGAGTCGTCTATTTACACGCAGATGATTTCTGAGTATGACTATCCCAATTCCGACGGTGCTCGTGAACGGACTCAGGACTTCAAAGACGGCGTTGGCTACGAAACTTCCAACCAGCTTCCGAAGGGCAGTCCCTTCACGGTCAGCTTCACTGAGCAGGTCAAAGCCTGTATCGTTCGGCAGTATCAGATCCTTTGGGGAGATAAAGCAACATTCATAATTAAGCAGGTCGCAACCTTGTTGCAAGCTTTGATTGCTGGATCGCTTTTCTACAGCGCCCCTGATAATTCCAGTGGTCTTTTTGTCAAGTCCGGTGCCCTGTTCTTCTCTCTCCTCTATAACAGTTTGCTTGCCATGTCAGAGGTCACGGATTCGTTCAATGGTCGCCCGGTCCTGATCAAGCATAAGGGCTTCGCCTACTTCCACCCTGCTGCCTTCTGCCTCGCTCAAATCACCGCCGATATCCCCGTCTTGTTATTCCAAATCAGCATGTTCTCACTGGTTGTTTACTTCATGGTTGGCTTAAGCATGTCTGCTGGCGCTTTCTTCACTTATTGGGTTGTCGTATTTTCAAGTGCTATGGTAAGATCAGCATCGCTTCAAAAAACAAGAAAAGGAAAAAAGGAAAACAGCGCTAACCTTGCTTATAGACTATGACTGCCTTGTTCCGAGCTGTTGGTGCTCTCTTCACTACCTTTGATGGAGCTTCTAAAGTTTCCGGATTTTTGATTTCCGCCCTAATCATGTACACCGGTTACATGATTCAGAAACCCGAGATGCATCCCTGGCTTGGATGGATATTCTGGATTGATCCTCTGGCCTACGGCTTTGAAGCTCTTCTGTCCAACGAATTCTTTGGCAAGACAATCCCTTGCGTGAATAACAACTTAATCCCGTTCGGTCCTGGATATACCGATTCTCAATACCAGTCTTGCGCTGGTGTCGGTGGAGCAAAGCCAGGTGCCACCGTCGTCGCTGGAGATGATTATCTCGCCTCCCTATCCTACAGCCACTCTCATCTCTGGAGAAACTTCGGTATTAACTGGGCCTGGTGGGCTCTCTTCGTCGTCGCCACAATTTTTGCTACTTCTAGATGGCAATCTGCAGCCGAGAGTGGAAGCTGTCTCGTCATTCCTCGCGAGCGTCTGGACAAACATCGCCAGAGCTCTAAGCTCGACGAGGAGTCTCAGGTTGTGGAAAAGTCCAAGCCCTCCGAGAACGACGCTCATGACGACTCTGACCGTATCGAGAACCAGCTTGTCCGTAACACTTCCGTCTTCACCTGGAAGAACCTCAGCTACACTGTCAAGACACCTTCTGGTGATCGCACTTTGCTAGACAATGTCTATGGATGGGTCAAGCCCGGTATGCTGGGTGCTCTTATGGGTTCTTCTGGTGCTGGGAAGACCACTTTGCTCGATGTTCTGGCACAGCGCAAGACTGAGGGTACCATCCATGGTTCTATCATGGTTGATGGTCGTGATTTGCCTGTTTCATTCCAGCGTTCCGCTGGGTACTGTGAGCAGCTTGATGTCCTCGAGCCCTTTGCTACAGTTCGTGAATCGTTGGAATTTTCCGCATTGCTGCGACAGTCTAAGGAAACTCCTCGCGAAGAGAAGCTGAAGTACGTCGACACTATCATTGACTTGCTGGAGCTTCATGATCTCGCTGATACTCTCGTTGGCCAAATTGGTGCTGGTTTGAGCGTTGAGCAGCGCAAGCGTGTGACTATTGGTGTTGAGTTGGTGTCTAAGCCTAGCATTCTCATTTTCCTGGACGAGCCCACATCTGGTCTCGATGGTCAATCTGCTTACAATACCGTGCGATTCCTTCGCAAGCTGGCCGATGTTGGTCAAGCTGTCCTGGTCACGATTCATCAACCCTCCGCCCAGTTGTTCGCCGAATTCGATACGCTCCTCTTGCTTGCTAAGGGCGGTAAGACTGTGTACTTCGGAGACATCGGCGACAATGGAGACACTGTCAAGAACTACTTCAACCGCTATGGCGCACCATGCCCTATGAACACGAACCCTGCTGAGCACATGATCGATGTCGTCTCCGGTCAATTGAGTCAAGGCAGGGACTGGAACAAGGTCTGGCTTGAGTCCCCTGAGCACGAAAAATCCTTCAAGGAGCTCGACAACATCATCGAGACCGCCGCTGCTGCACCCCCTGGAACCTTCGACGATGGCTTCGAATTCGCTACCTCACTCTGGGTCCAGACCAAGCTGGTAACCACCCGCATGAGCACAGCTCTCTACCGCAACACAGACTACATCAACAACAAGATGGCTCTGCACATCGGTTCAGCTCTCTTCAACGGATTCTCCTTCTGGATGATCGGTGACAGTGTCAGCAGCATGCAGCTCCGTCTTTTCACAATTTTCAACTTCATCTTCGTCGCCCCCGGTGTCCTCGCCCAACTGCAGCCCTTGTTCATTGAGCGCCGCTCCATTTACGAACAGCGTGAGAAGAAATCTAAGATGTACTCATGGGTTGCATTCGTTACCGCACTCGTCGTCTCAGAGCTTCCCTACCTCTGCATCTGTGCAGTTCTCTACTTCGCCTGTTGGTACTACACGGTCGGCTTCCCCCACGCATCCGACAAAGCCGGCCCAACCTTCCTCATCATGCTCCTCTACGAGTTCGTCTACACTGGTATCGGTCAATTCGTCGCTGCCTACGCTCCCAACGCTACCTTCGCTGCCCTGGTCAACCCCCTCATCATCGGTACACTGGTCTCCTTCTGTGGTGTCCTGGTTCCATACGCCCAGATCACAGCTTTCTGGCGATACTGGATGTACTACCTTAACCCATTCAACTATCTGATGGGTGGTATGTTGGTTTTCAATGTTTGGGACACCCCAGTGAATTGCAAGGAGAGCGAATTCGCCATCTTCAATACCCCTAACAACGTCACATGTGCTGAGTACTTGAAGGAGTACATGATGACTATCGGGGCAAACATGAACCTGGTGAACCCCACCGCGACTGAAAGCTGCAAGGTCTGCGAATACCACCATGGTAGCGACTATCTCAAGACTTTGAACTTGAAAGAGTACTACTACGGCTGGCGAGATATTGGTATCGTGGCCATTTTCGCCGTGAGCTCGTACGCTCTTGTTTACTTGTTGATGAAGTTGCGAACCAAGGCCTCAAAGAAGGCCGAGTAAAAAATATTTCCAGCATTAATAGACCCGAGATGATAGATTAGATTAGATAATTTCTTTTTCGTTTTTTTTGCTTTTTTCGGAGTTTTGGCCCATCCGGCCACCTCGAGGTCTATTGCTACAATAATATCATTCAATTTTCTCCTCTCGATTTTCTTCATTATAGTAATCCTACGAATTTGAAATTGATATAAGTACATTTGGAATATTTAAGCTAGTTTCGAAGGCTGTGTATGATCATCATGATGTGACGGGCGATCACCATCGTACCACCGTAAAGACGGACGATCTGTACTACTTGAGTCAAAAAGGGGTCTAGACAAGCTAGGTAAACGGTTATATACTCCGTAAAATGGGCCCTCTTCCAAGATTGACTACCTGTCGTCTGGCACCATAGCCTTGCAAGTGCCACCAGGCAAAATTCGCGAACCCTGGAAATACTCCAAATGGGTTCTTTGTGTCCAATCCTGACTCGGAGTAGGGATGTCGATGTCCTTCCCCCTTTCAGGCATAATGATGCAATATGCCCAATACTTGAGCTGACCAAAATGATACATCAACCAAAGTCTTTCCCGGGTGCCTAATGAACCATATCCGTTATCGACGGCTTAAGCGGCTGAGCATGGCAGTGCGAAGCTCCACAAAAGGAGGTCTCTGATACACTAAATGCACTGGCCAGATGATACAAGAAACGACAGAAAGTGGATCCGAAGAGCTGGTGCACGGGCATAAGTTGGGCATCGACTTTTTAGCTTGTAGCGTGCGGGATCTAAGTTACCCTGCTTCTGTCTCTGCACAATCTGAGACTAAAAACTAGGCCATCCTCATGAAAATAGCCCCACAATTTTCTAGTGGAAAATATCATGTGGGGCTTCATCTGCGGTATATATGCGATATTTGCTTTTTCTAGGTTGTGACAGAGTCAAGGCAATACCCCCACCTGGGCAGCGGACAAAACTCAAATTTACCTGTTTGTATACCGCCATATGGAAGTGAATGAGGCCGCTTTACTGAGGAAGCCACGGGGTTTGCTTGAGGTTGAACAAGTTGAAACATGGCTTCCAGGGGCGGGGGAAGTGGTGGTGCGGAATGAGGCCATTGCGTTCAATCCGATTGAAGCGAAGATTCAGCGGTAAGAAGATGAGTGAATTGATTATGCTTGAGCTGCTCTGGTTTCTTTCTTTCGGGATTTGAAAGTGGATACAATTCTCTGTTTCTCCAGAAACTAATACCTTCATGTTGCAGATGGGAAATGTTTGATATTGAATACCCGGCTGTTCTCGGGTACACCTTTGGGGGAACAATTCACTCGGTGGGACCCGGTGTAGATTCATTCAAGTCCGGTGATCGTGTTGCAGTTGCTCGCTGGGGCCGAGCAGCGAGTGATATCAGATTCGGAGCATTCCAAAAGTACCCACTCGCACTAGAAGAGAACCTTGTGAAGCTAAACGCTCACACCCCACTGCACGAAGGATGCGGTGTGATGGCTAATCTCGCCACTGTCGTTGCTGCGCTTTCTATCTGTATGAATCTCGGATATCCCCCTGTCAATGCGCGAGCGAACCGAAACGGAAAGAGAATCCTGATTTATGGTGGTTCCTCTTCGGTGGGTGGATTGGCTGTTCAATATGCAGTTGATGCTGGGTATGAGGTTCTGACTACATCTTCCCCTTCCAATTGGAGTCTTGTACAGCGACGTGGCGCGTCTTGCATTATCGATCATACGAGGCCGAAAGAAGAGATCTTGGAGTCTATCAAGGAGCATGGTCCATATGATGGCATCTTTGATGCGATTGGTTCCTCGGAAGTTACATTATTGTTGGGTGAGTTTTTTCTTGCGAGCAATGGGGGGACTTTTTGGTCTACGAGTCCTACGCCTGTTGATAAAGATCTACCGAAGAACGTGAGAAAGCAATGGGCTTCATACTCGGATGTTTTGGTGGAGGAAGGAGCAAACAAAGAGGCTAAAATGTGGTATCTTCATGAGTATCTTCCGGAAAGCCTGTCTAGCGGTAGGGTCTTTTCGAATCCATCTGATATAGTTACAGGTGGACTGGGATCAGTGCAGAATGTACTCGATAGCTTTATGGATGGGAAAATCAGTGGCAAGAAAGTGTTTGTCAATCCGCAAGAGCATTGACACTACTGACTGCCAATCTGCATAATCAAGGCCAGATGTGCATGAGATGGCGATAGCGAGCTACCGGGATATGTTCAAATATTAGGTAGTATATACTCATATATTCTTAGAATGTATATTCAAAATTGTACTTCCATTTTTATTCCACGTTGATAATATAAAGTTGTCCATGCAGGTGTATAATGAAAAATAGAGGTTTGTCGGAATTTAAACGCAGCATGTAAGGCAATGCCACGTATCGGAGACATATATGCAGAATATTGATCTGGCCTATTCCATTCAGATGATCCGAATTATCCGCAGCCTTGGAAGTCAGGAGTAATCAAGCGCAATGGTGTTGGTTGGATTCAAGGAGCAGGGAAGTCAAGCGGTGACGTAGGTGTAACGCCGGAGCAACCAGATCGATCGATGCAAACGACTTCACTTCCTGGGCATTTATAAACACAGATCCTGGTCAACTCACATCCTCTGCATGCACAAAATAAACAAATAAACAAATCAGATAACGAGATCACCCACCATGCCTTGGTCATTTGCGCTCCCGCAGGGAGTTTTCGCATCACCGCTACTTTCTGTCGCCACGCCTATCGTCGGCGGGACCGTGACAGCTCTCCTAGTGAACCGTGAGTCAATCTAATCCGTTGCAACGAGAAAATCCCTCAGGCATTCAATTCAATTACCCTAGGTGTTTAGACCAAAAATAGTGAAATATTAATCTAATCTGGATCAATTCTCCAGGCAACAAGACCCAGAACACCTACCGCGATCTCCGACAACCACCATTTAGCCCGCCAAGCTGGCTGTTCGCGCCGGCCTGGACAGCCCTTTACGGACTGATGGGATATGCGTCGCACCATGCGACAGTGACAGCGTCTCGATCGCTCTTAACAGCGGTCCATGACGCTAACCATAACGCCCAGACCCTGTACACGACTCAACTAGCTTTGAATTTCCTCTGGATGCCACTTTTCTTTGGGGTGGGGCGACCGGCCGCGGCCCTTGGCGATATGGCTCTTCTCATAGGGAATGTAACTGTTCTGTTGGTTAACTGGTGGGACGCAGACAGGACTGCGTTCTGGTTAATGACCCCGTATGCCGCGTGGCTGGGATACGCTGCGTATCTGAATGCTGGAGTTGGGTACTTGAATGGGTGGAGTCTACCGGAGAAGAAGAAGGGCTCGGAATAAAATCACAAATGATGCAGTATCGCACTTGCAGATCTAGATCATATGGAGGAGTGGGGTTATGATTGGGCTGGATGTTCTCTCCTGTCATCCATGATGGTGTGTGTTTCATCGTCTCCTTTTTTTGTGTAAATCTATTTTCAAGGTTAATGCTACGAGAACTTGGATTCTATCCACTAATTGATCAGGTGTGCGTCAAGAAGATCCACTTTCTAGACTTGTGGCGTCTGTGCTTCTGGCCCTGAAGTCCATTTTACATTTTTATATTTTTTTTTATATATTTTACGGAGTACAATTTACCCTTTCAGCTTTGATGGAGGAAGAGTTACTGGCCAATGGATTCGTAATGTGCGACATTCTCGAAATCTACGTTTGCCATAGTGGGTCCAGGCTGTTTCTATCTATAACCGACTCGGAGAACTGAGTTTAAGCTCCTTCGGACGATTATTTGGTTGTTTGGTATTATCCACCCCACTATCGTTTCTGCCCTCACGCAAGAGCTGATCAAGCTGATCAATTCGAAGCTCCTGTTGACGATCATGTTCCAAGTGGAACCCCTCATCCCCTGTCATGTTGTCATGTTGTCACATCTCCTTTTTATTTCTATTTCTATTTCTATATCTATTTCTTGTATTATTATTTTCATTGTCAAAGCTCAGGAGGTGGCTATAATATTGTAAAAGCCCAGTAATAGCCGTGGAACCCGGCATCCCGCGATCTTCTCGGCTGAGCCGAAAGCAGACCTTGATAGTCTTGGAGTGGAGTTTAGTGGATGATAAGGGCAGCCACATGTGCGCTTTCCTTGATATTTTTGCTCAGATAAAGGTATAGTTAGTGTGTATTAAGACGCTGGGTCCTCTTTTTTCTCTCTTTTTTCCCCTGGCCTTACCTAGCTGGGTATCGAGCTTGAGGGATGGAGGGGCAACTAACTGTAAGCCAAGCGGTTCGCTCGGCCCCCGGTGCCACTGTCATTCTGGATTGCCACCGTCGGACCCACAATAATGGATGATGTGCCGGTGGTACGTGTTCGTGTATTCTAGAATTTCTGTGATTTTTGGCAATTTTTAGAATTCTAGAATCGCCCGAACCAAGATTTTCGCAAACCGAACAAAGGCTTTTTGTGTATGGTCGTGACGCTGGTTACGCATTAGGAAGGAAAATATCTATTCTGAGATTTTATGAATTTTTATGAGAAGTTTCATAATAATAAAAGGAAAGATAGAACGGAGTAAAATATACCAATTAATTCGACTGGAAAGGAAATCTCTGCAACTTGAAGTCACTGTCGTGCAGGGCCCTTATCGATGATTTCATGCGGATCCTTTGACGATCCCTGATCTAGTTAACAAGACCGAACTAAATTAATTTAAATCCATAAAATTCATAAAATATGATAGGAATGGTGGAACTGTCACTGCGTACCCCCAATCGCGTCAATTATTTTCTATTTTTCATTATTTTTCTTATACTGCATCCGTGGTTCGGGGTACCTGTATCCCCCGATCCACACCCTCCCAGTCTAGACTTCTTAGCTCAATTCACCTTGACTCAGTAAAATATATGTAGATTTCCGTTGCCTCCTACCATCTTTCAATTTTCCACTTTACCCCTCTCTCGTTCACTGGGTATTTTTATCTGTTTCTTGTCCTTCGTTACGACTTGCATCTAGCATCATAGCATTCTCCGGGTATTCCGGTGCTTGCACTCATGTCCCACTCAACTCCATTTCCTCACCCAAGCCCGAACGAAGAATATACCGAATACCCATTTCCCTCTACAACTCCAAGCAGCCGTCAAAGTCTTGAACGGGAACCTACAGCAGATGGCGACCAATATGTGGCTGACCTGCAGCCATCCCTGCCGCCGTCACCGGTCACACCACCCGAGCTCGCCACGCAGGAACTGGAACCTCAAATAGAACCTCGCATTCGATCGCCTCGTGTTCGCTTCCGCTCAATCAGCAAGCTAGGCGAACGATACCTACATCCTTCCGACTCCCATCGAGTATTCTCAGATCAATCCGATACCTCAAATCATCCTCTGCTCCCGCCGGCAGAGCTGAGCAACGTCCCTCTCACCGGAACCGTCACCCCGCCAGCCCCCGCACATTCCCGCCACGGCAGCCGCGCGTACGATGGACCGCAGACAGAACTGTCAGAGAAGACAGAGCCAGGGTCTGTTGAACGAACGACTTCTGCTCGTGAGCGATTCCGTGCTGCTGGTCAGCTGCTCCGACAGAAGACTACGCGATTGACAGAACGTCTTGGTCGCCCTGTGGACGAAGGCGAAGCTCTGAACGCTTCACTCCTTCCCGACGACTATGACGGTCATATTCCACTGGATCAATTACAGGCTCGACGCGCACAAAGCGATGCTGATAACTTACGAGCATTGGAGGCTGGTGAGGAGCCCATTGAGGCTGCGCCTAGTGCAGAGGCTCATCGTCTGGTTCGCAGCATGACAATGGTCCAGGACCGTCTCAAGCGCAAGCCTCGGGGTGCATATCAGCGATCAGGACAAACAACACCGGAGGGTTTGCTACGAGACTACACTGCTGCTGCTCGTCGCCGATCCAGTGGATTCGGCGGTGGAAGCAGTGGAATTCTCTCACAGCTCCTGAGGCTGCAAGCTGTCCAGACTGGGGGCTCGTCGCGCCCGGAGAGTGTCATCACGGATGACTCGGATAGCGAGACTCAAGTCTCATCTGGCGCGACGACACCGAAGAAGGGCTCATTGTCTCCATACTATGCGCCTTCGCAGCCTACCTCTGGAAGCGCCACCCCTCGCAAGGAAAAGCTGAAGTGGTACAAGAAGCCCGCCCACCGGTCTACTTCGTCATTGGTCGGTGCCTCAATGAACTTTAGTACCACAAGCTTGCCGGCCGCCATTGAAGCGATGCCACCAGGCAAGAGACCCAAGAAGAGCAAGCGTAAGACTCGTCTTGAAGATGAGATTCGCGTGACTGTGCACATTGCCGAGATCATTTCGCGTCAGCGTTATATCATGCAGTTGTGTCGTGCCCTTATGCGCTACGGTGCTCCTACCCATCGCTTGGAAGAATACATGCAGATGACTGCGCGTGTACTGGAAGTCTCTGGCCAGTTCTTGTACCTGCCTGGTTGTATGATTATGTCGTTTGACGACCCAGCCACCCGTACTGCTGAAGTCAAGCTTGTGAGAATGGTGCAAGGTGTCGATCTTGGAAGACTTGCTGATACACACAATGTGTATAAGAATGTCGTTCACGATCTGATCGGTGTCGAGGAGGCAAGTCACGAACTAGATGAGATCATGCAGCGCAAGCCCCGATACAACAAGTGGCTTGTGGTGCTATTGTATGGTCTCGCTAGTGCCACGGTCGGCCCGTTCGCCTTTGAGGCACGACCAATCGATCTGCCTGTTATCTTCTGTCTCGGCTGTCTAGTCGGTTTCATGCAACATGTCCTTGCTCCTCGATCAGTACTTTACTCCAACGTCTTTGAAGTCACCGCCGCTATCCTGACTTCCTTCCTTGCGCGTGCGCTTGGTAGTATTGAATATGGAGGTGGACGTTTATTCTGCTTCTCAGCACTTGCACAGTCATCTATCGCTCTCATTCTTCCTGGTTTCACCGTCCTCTGCAGCAGTCTGGAACTGCAATCTCACCAAATCATCGCTGGCTCGGTTCGAATGGTGTACGCCGTCATCTATTCACTTTTCCTAGGCTACGGTATCACCGTCGGCCTGACTATCTACGGTCTTATGGACCACAATGCATCCTCCGAAACGACATGTCCCAACCTCGACGTCTACGGATCCACAATCGCACGCAAATTTCCATTCGTGGCGATCTACGCCGTATTCCTTGCCCTCGTTAACCAAGCCAAATGGAAACAAATGCCAGTCATGGTTTTCATCGCCACAGTCGGCTACATCACGAACTATTTCAGTTCACTCAGATTCGGCTCTTCATCCGAAGTTGCCAACACCGTTGGCGCCTTCACCGTCGGTATCCTGGGTAACCTGTACAGTCGACTTTGGCACGGTCATGCCGCCACTGCCATTCTGCCTGGTATATTCGTGCTCGTGCCTTCCGGCCTTGCATCCAGTGGCTCCTTGCTATCTGGCCTGACCTATGCCAACGAGGTCCTCCGCCACGACACTTCATCGACCAGTTCTTCCGATACATCCGTCTCCAGTCTTGGTTACGGTATGATCCAGGTTGCTATCGGCATTACTGTTGGATTATTCATGTCAGCTCTTATTGTTTATCCTTTCGGCAAGAAGCGGACTGGTTTGTTCAGCTTCTAGACTTCTTTGCACATTTTCTTCGACAGATCTGTATTTTCTTTACTATTTATATGGGGGTTTCATCTACAAAGCGTGATTTTCATTTTTTTTTCTCAGCGATTTAGCAAGCGGGTCCGGCATAAAGCCGTTTTAACGATAATAGACCCGCGTGCGGGATTGATGTATCTAGACTTTCTTTTCATCAGAACAATCAGATATAGACGATTGCTTGATATGATTATCTTCTTATCCTTTCACCTCTATCATTGACTCTAAAAACCATGTACGATGTATGTTATCCTGCGGATCCGCGCGAACCCGAGGGCTATTAGATCACTCAAAGGAAGTACTTGAACTTACCACTGATAGTATTTGAAATTAAATCTCGGCAATAGAATGGTTTGAATACATTCACTAGCTAATAAGATCCCGGAGAAGGTGAGTCCATATTCTCTGATCAATCGCGGATACCCCGGACTAATGCAACCATACGTTCACTAAGTACCCCAAAAATGAATGACATCAATACCCTCTACTCGACCACTAAAAAATGACATGCCACCAGTCCAATAAAAATCTCACAATTAGCAACTATAAACTCCCAACTATCAATTAGAGACTCGCTGCATATTTGCCTCAATTCAAAATGTGCTCACGGCTATTCCTTCGACGCATGGGGCTCTCAGCCCTATCTCCAAAAGCCAAATACATCACCTCACATCGACAATGGTTAACCACCCAACAAAAGGACATCGTCAAGGCAACCATCCCAGCCCTCCAAGAGCACGGCGTAACAATCACGACCCTCTTCTATAAGCAGATGCTATCACATCACCCTGAGCTTAAAAACATCTTCAACACAGCCCACCAAGCCACAGGCGAACAACCGGCGGCACTAGCCCACGCAGTATGGGCATACGCTTCAAACATCGATCACCCAGAAAACCTAGCTGCAGCAGTTTCCCGCATAGGCCACAAACACGCCAGTCTAGGCGTTTCAGCAGACCAATACCCCATCGTAGGGGAACATTTACTAGCCGCTATAAAAGAGGTTTTGGGCTCTGCAGCAAGTGAAGAAATTATTTCTGCGTGGAGCGCAGCATATACGGAATTGGCCGATATATTTATCAATTTTGAAAACGGGCTATATGAACAGAATCTCCAAGTACCAGGTGGTTGGAAGGGATGGAGAAAGTTTGTCATTTCGAAAAAGATTCCTGAAAGCGATGAGATTATTTCTTTTCATCTTTCACCTGTTGCATCTGATAAGGATCATGATGTTTTACCACCTTATAAACCGGGACAATTCGTTAGTGCTAGGATTTTTGTCCCGGAGCTGAATTCCTATCAACCACGCCAATATAGTTTATCTGATGCCCCGAGCAGCGATCACTTCCGAATCTCAGTCAAACAGGAATTCGCCCGTGATACCAGGCCCGCAGGAAGAATCTCGAACGTCCTCCATGATTCACTTCCCGTGGGCTCGGAGTTAGAAGTGAGCATGCCATTCGGAGACTTCGTGCTTGATATCAATGCTACCACTCCTGCTGTTTTGATCAGTGGGGGTGTGGGGCTGACGCCTATGATGTCGATGTTGAATACGATTATCAGTCAGCAGGGACAAGCGAGGAAGGTTGTTTTTGTTCATGCTGCTAGGAACAGACATGTGCATGCTATGAAGGATGCGTTGGAGAGGATTGTGAGGGAGAACTCGTCTGTTAGAAGGGTTGTCTTTTATGAGGATGTTGAGGAGAGTGATAGGGAGGGTGTTGATTATGATTATGTGGGACGGGTGGATTTGGGAAAGTCAGAGGTTAGGCAGGAGGTTGTTCTTCCTGATGCGGACTACTATATTTGTGGACCTCAGCCTTTTATGAAGGCTCAGAGTGATAGTCTTGTTTCTTTGGGCGTGAATAGCGAGCGTATTCATATGGAGGTGTTTGGTTCTCCGAGTAGCTAGCCACTTGATTAGATCCTAGGCTGGGTTATGAGGATCTCTGAATTTTTGATATTAATCTGCTATAATCTTAGGTATGAATGAGCGATTGAAACTACATTTGAGCATTTTGTACTAGATTACCCGGCTGAAATGTCACTCTGAATGGCTATGATATTGTTAGCGAAAGACAAAAATTCATCATTGGCCACAGAGGCTAACTGCAAGTATTCGTGATTGTAGTCGTGTCCATTATTAGTTTATTATGTACATATGGCAATTTTATTTATTCCTCCCTTTGCACGCTTCGAGTCAAAGACCTGCTACTCTCCCCGTCGATCTCCACGTAGTTTCTCGACGGTGTTTTTGAATCAAGATGAGAGCCTGTATTTCGAGACCCTTGCATTTCGAATGCTGGCTCATTTGCTGATCTCTTTTGAAGTCCCAGTCGTGATGGGCCAGATGACCCGGGTCCTGATGTAGCGTATCTAGACCTTTGTCTGTGTCCCTTGAAAAGTCCGTACAAGACAGGAGCATTGGCCACAATGGCAGCAGCGAGTAGCTCAATAGATGCCCAGGTTGTTCTGCTCACTTGCGCAGTGGAGTTCTCGGCGTTTAAAGGTAGTCTGGCGATGGTGATTGCGACGATGAAGAAACCGACGGCGAAGAGGACTGCGAGTTGGAATTTCCTATGGGAGCGACCAGGTTAGGAGATGTATAGTCATAATGATCAAGCACACATTGAACTTACTCGACAGTCGATCGTTTGACTAAAACGAGAATTGGGATCGGCAATGCAATGAGCATAAGATCAGTAACGATATTCAAGACACCTAAAACATTCAAGAGGGTTAGAGGCGTGGAATTGAAACAATCTCGGGATCCTTCCGACAGAACACATACCGAGGACGATCAGTTGGAGCTGTGCTTGGCAGCATGTTCCTAATATTTATTGGTTAGAATGTCTAACGAACTCATGCATGAAGGCAAAAATAAGATCGGAAAGTGGAGAGAAAAATACCAGGATCAGGAAGCACCATCCAGTAATGGTTGAATGGATCACACTCCGTAAAGGTCACAATCTGCACCGTGGCGTACGTTGCTGCGAATATACCAATGTATGAAATCATTGTGATCTTTTCCCAACGAAGATGTTTAAGCAGTCTGCGATAGGTATCGAGCAGAACCAACTTCTGCAGCCAGAGACTAAAGAAATGGGTGAGAAAAAGGCGCATAAGGGTGTATTTTAAGTGATTTCCGGACGTACTAGGAGTTATAGAACACTCGATTGGCGAGCACAAATTTGCTCGCGATCTCTCTGCGACGGATCTCTTCTGGTGTGAAGTTGTGGGAATTTCTGAAGCTCTCAGTCATATTGTTGGTCCCCCAAATGAGAATAACGTGGACTAAGGCGAGACGTGCGAGAGCACAAACAATTGCTCCCATAGCGAAATAATCCCCCAAAACAAATTTAAACCCCTTCAACTTCCGCAGCAGCAGCCGCAGGGTAATCAAGCCGATTGCCACCCAGGTAAACACCCAGTGTATGATGACGGTGGGGAGATCCATTGTGTTTGTGAAGGGTCTCAACGAGTCCCTAAAGAAAAGGAAAAGAAGCGGCGGGGACGAACTACATCAAAAGGTGGTGGGAGGACCACACTCCAATAATAACCAACCATTTTTGAACATCACTCGCATAATGTAAAGAAAACCTTGATCCAAAGGATTCAATCCCTTTCCCAAGACACAGGGCGCGATTGACTTTCAAAACCCACTTGGCAAAGTCAAGGCCCCATTGTTTATTTCTCCTGCTTCAATATCATTAGTAGTTCGATCCCGTGTGGGCCGATCGACAAGATCCAAACCCGAACAGTTTGCAATTCCAAGTTACGCGCAATCGCGGGAGATTCTCGGTAAATCGGATAAAAAGGCGGGATCTTTAGAATAATTTGCATCGTGACAAATTGTCCACTTAATCCTCGCTCCGTTGCGTAAACTTTGGACATCTCGCAGCAAATATGCAGGTCAAGGCTGGACTATTGTTGATCGCCTCGGCAGTGGCCGCTGTAGCTTCAAGCGCGCGCAGCGAAGTGCCAACTGAGCGATCGTACCTGTATGTTGGAGGAGGATACATTGAGAACAGCGATGGCGAGCACCTCTTCGCGGAGCAGATGTACGTGGAGAAATTGACTCCATCCGGGGGAGCTACAAAGCCATATCCAATTGTCTTCATCCATGGCCAAGCTCAAACAGGCACTGTATGTATCATTGAAGAACTCTCCGCCCCATCGAGATGCTAACCTGTATGCTGGCAGAACTGGCTTAACAAGCCTGATGGAGGAGAAGGCTGGGCCTCGTACTTCGTCTCGCAAGGCTATGAATGCTTCCTTATCGATCAGACCTTCCGTGGCCGTAGTGCATGGATCCCCGGCAATGGAACCCTGAGCACTTACAGCGCCGAGATCTTGCAAGAGCGCTTCACAGCACCAGAGCGTTACAAGCTCTGGCCCCAGGCATCCCTGCACACCCAATGGAACGGAACCGGTGTCATGGGCGACGAGATTTTCGACACCTACTATGCATCGACTGTTGAGTTCATGAGCTCAGCAACCTACCAGGAATCGACCGTCCAGGCTGCTGGTGCCGCTCTTCTCGACAAGATTGGATCCCCGGCTATCCTTCTCTCCCACTCCCAGGGTGGAGTTATGCCCTGGTTGCTTGCTGATGCGCGCCCGGACCTCGTCCACTCCATCGTCTCTCTCGAACCCACGGGTCCTCCATTCCAGGAAGCCGTTTTCAGCACCACCGCTGCGCGTCCATACGGACTTACCGATATCCCTCTGACTTACTCGCCCGCCGTCACTGATCCATCAGTCGACCTCGTGAGACAAACTATTCTTACAAACTCGACTATGCGTTCCAACTGCACTATCCAGGCCAACCACCCAGCACCAAGACAGCTTGTCAACCTCGCCAAGGTTCCTGTATTGATCATGACAACCGAATCATCTTACCATGTGCCGTATGATTGGTGCACAGTCCGTTTCCTTGAGCAGGCAGGTGTCAATGTGAAGCACCTCCAGCTGGCCGATGTCGGCATCCACGGCAATGGACATATGGTGTTCATGGAGAAGAACAGCTTGCAGGTTGCTGCAGTACTGCAGAAGTGGATGGAGAAAAGTAGTGCGTGAGACTTCAATTATTATAATGCGCGCAGAGGTATAGTGTAATATTTATCATATGCAAATATAGTGTATTACCAATGTTCTAGAATCAGATATTATATTCTACTTTCTCGGCGCTTCAAGTTGTAATTCCACACAATGAAACATCGAAGCTTATCCTTTGAATTACCTTGAATTACCAATGCTTCCACCCCAGAGCTTTCAACTGGAATACAATATACGCAATGTAGAGAGTGTTGCCAAGCCATCCATAACGGTTTTCCATATTCTAGATTTGTACTAGCTTTGCATTGCCCCGATTTGAGCTCTGTTCGCGTAATATAGACTTATCAAACTATGTACTCCGTACCAGGAGGAAGAAAGGGGTCATGGGATTACATCTGGGGTAGAAATGTATGTGAGAGTACGTAAACGAGGGGCCAAAAGACCAAATTCTAATCCACCTTCTGATCCACTTTTTCCACCTCCTCGGCTAAGCGTTTAAGTTGTAATACCAACAAGCCCTCTTTCTATTTACAGTACATAGTGCTCCAGTCTTTCCACGGTCGTGAGATCCGGTATCTCATCGTAGTTCCGAAGAGCTTCGGGTCTTGATATATGGATCGCAAGAAGACCTCGCACTCCTTCAAGATCAGGAGGACAAATCGCGCATTTTCTGAAAACCTTCAAAATTCCTTTTTCTCATGGATGATGCCCCTTAAATTGCCCCATGGGGCACTACATGCTCCGCGCTTACTACTCTATGTAGCAAGTTGGCATCGTCTTAAAAGTATACCGAAAGTGTAATCAACGGCATCTTTCCAAGATCGTCCAAAACAGCGAGGGGCTGCTTATGTGGATCTCAATGCCGATCACTTCGAAACTGATAAATTTGACCAATTGTAGAATATCTCAATATTGAAGGTGGGGATCTCAATTAAGCCAAGATTCAGATTCAGGCAAGGCTGTTCCGATGATATGGAACAAACGTGTGTTCTACGGATACGCACGAAGGTTGAGAAATTCATATTTTATGTGATTATAACTTGAATGCAACAATATCGTCATGTTTTGCTCAATCTATGTATATACAGATGGGCCATCTCGTTTTAACACAGTATTTCTTTACTCTAAGTTTTGATGTTTGACTCTTCTTAATCTCAAGCGCCATCATGATATACTTTACTTTCCGAATATTCGACATGATAGTGTGGATCCTGGGTGTAGTATAACTATATGGAGGCAGCCTCGGGACATGTGTGTTTGCATGTTTGCACGTATGTGCGGTTTAACCTACTCTCGGATGTAGACTAATTAGATAATTAGTCTGGAGAGTGGGTATCCGCCTATATATATATAGCATAGCTTTCTCTTTTCTTTCCTTTTCCTCAATGTTGTGATTTGTTGTTCTTCGTACTTTTCTCCATTCTAGTAGATCATAGGCACCTCATCACACTGGGAGCTTTTCACTTGTCTTTTGGTTTCTTCCTTTACCATCGACGACCAAGAGCCATTGGCAATATCACGAAGTTTGGAACTGTATAATGAGGCCTTATCAAACCTGGAATCACTCAATCCATCTTCTTTGACTGCTTTAAATATAGCACTATATTAGCCCGTCACGTAAGCTCAGGTCCTTCACTAGTAACTATACTTCAATATGAAAAGCCTGACCGCATCTCCCACGCCTTTTAGCTTTTTCTTCGCTCTTCGTTGTATACTATCTTCTTGGTTTCACTCTGGCTCGAAAGGACCACTGTATTTTAAATTTAGGTCGATAAATTGCTTCTTTATATATTCATAGGAGATGCTCGTTGGTTCGTTATCCATTATCGGTGTATATTTTTAATGTTATAGAATGCTCTCAGTTGTCTGGAAGCAAACACTTTACATGTTTGATTGGGAATTCTTGTTATCGGTCTCTCGGATTCTCTATATCCAATTGATGAACATTCGAATAAATGATAGTCCCATAATACATGCCAATATCGAAAACCTTGAAACGATCCACATATTAGTCTTCCGGCATTGTTCGCGATGGGTATCGGGGCCGAGTATTAGTCAAATTCGTGTACACATACCATTGTGCGGATCTATGTAGACTAATGATATTTTAACTATATTTTTCAAGGATTTTTCTTATAATTTCCAAGTTTATACACAAGGAAATGAACCTTGCAAGAACTAGCTACAATTCTGTACATGAGATTGAAATGAGTCACGAAAGAAAAATTCGATCGGTGAACTGAAATGGCCGAGCCTCTCGGCTTTTTCGGGCGAGCATTGAGATATTCTGCAAGCAACTCGGGCGAAATCAAGTATAAATAATGTTAACTATAACGACTGTTGGAATATAAATTTGAAGGGATATTATGTTTTTTATGTGCTCAAACGACCCTCGGAATGTCTAACTCGCAAGTATCAAAGGGCCCAGTCACCCATGATGGCTTCAAAGGGCCTAGTAGTCAACTCGACATTGAGAAGCCAACGACAGAATTCCCGGAAGGTGGAACTCGAGCATGGATGGTAGTTTTAGGGGCGTTTTGTGTGTCTTTCTCGACTTTTGGGTACATGAACGCTTATGGGTGGGTTTCCATACTCCGGAATTCAATCCGATAAGACGTACTAACCATTGATGCATGACGCAGAGTCTACCAAGATTATTATACCGAGCACTTTCTCTCCAACGAAACTTCATCAACTATTTCTTGGATTGGATCTGTTCAAGTCTGTTTCCTTTTCGCTGGTAGCCTTATCGGTGGGCCATTGTTTGACCGTTATGGCGCTTCGGTAAGGACTTGAAAATGAACCCTTAGCAACCGCTTTATTTACTGATTACATTCTACATCCTAGATTATACATGCACCCGCCATCGCCGTCGCGCTGTCGGTAATGATGACATCTCTGTGTCAAAAGTATTATCAATTCATGCTTGCTCAAGGGGTTTTGGGAGGAATTGCTTCTGGCATGTTATTCGCCCCCGTCATGACATGTGTCAGCCATTACTTTCAGAAGCGACGTGCGGCAGCCCTCGGTGTGGTGGTCTCCGGATCTTCCATTGGGGGAGTTATATTTCCCATTGCTTTGAGCAAGATGCTGGAAAACGAACACTTGGGATTCGGATGGTCCGTCCGAATTGCAGGGTTCATCATCTTGTTTATGGTATTAATAGGGATGATAACTTTGAAAGAGCGACTTCCTCCTCGCCGAGGCAAAGTCCTCTTACCGGCAGCTTTCATTCGCACACCATATACCCTCGTCACGCTCGGTATTTTCTTCATGATGTGGGGACAATTTACCCCTTTTTTCTATCTACCGCAATATGCGCAGTCTCATGGCATGGGATTACAGCTTTCATCCTACCTTTTGTCGATTCTCAATGCTGCCTCAGTTTTTGGAAGGATATTGCCAGGCATTGTTGCGGATAGGTTTGGTCGCTTCAACATGTTGATCTTCACCAGTCTCTGTACTGGGGTTCTGCTACTTTGCTGGATCAGGGTCACTTCAGATGCGGCAATCATTGTCTTCTCGGTACTCTATGGTTTCTTTTCGGGCGGAATAGTGTCATTAACGTCCCCTTGCATCGCCCAAGTGACTCCAAGTCCGGACCAGATTGGCACCCACCTCGGCATGTCGTTGGCCATTGTTGGTATTGCTGGTCTGACTGGTACGCCGATATGTGGTGCGTTACTAGAAAAATACTCAAGTTACACACAGGCTGCCGTCTTTAGCGGTGTAGTGATGCTGTTCGGAACCATTCTGGTCACTGTGGCGAGGTTTTACCTTAAGGCAAAGCTTATGGTCATTGTGTGATCTTGTTTCGATCCTACCACAGGGTACAGCTGAGTTTAAACCAGTTTGAGTTCCTAATCTGTGTTCGAATAGTTTTATATATTCAATGACAGCCATATTGAGAGCAATATTCTTCAGCGATATGTACCATACTTTTTTGGATGATGTACTTGAACAACGAGGCTTATACATGGAAGAACCCATAATCAGTGATATCATTAATAAATTCGAAAGCCTCGGGAAACTATTCAATACTCATGAGAGGCTGCAATAAAATTGGAAAATTGGGAGCAACTACATACCATCGAATCCAGTATTTCAGTTGGGCCCTCGGGAGCCATGGAGCTTATATCCACTTGTGAATCTGGCACATGGCAATTCATATTGCCGCTACGTACAATCAATGAGGGTTTGAAGACTTCTTGTCAATGGATTAGTCACTTACATTGAGTTCGGCACAGAGTGATCTGGTTGAATGACAGCCCGCCGGGTTTGGAGTATTTCGCAGATTCGGATCACTCTATCAGCCGCCTCTTGGTCCGATACTGCGCATGTTTGCGGCCAAAGCTTGGATTTGACTAATCCGATCATCATACTTAGTATATAATATTCACTCAGTCCATGGAATGTCAAGTTGAGCTTTCCCCCCAAGGTTTTTAGTGCTTGCTCAGCATTAGCTACGAGAAATGCGGAGATTTGGAGAAACATTGGCATGGTAGGCGAGTGGTTTGACGCTTTCAAAAGTCAGTTGTGATCAATTTCTCCCATGAAAACAGAGACAAGAATGAAGAAGTGGGAATATGCGTATCCTTACCATGAGGCCCAAAATTAATGTAAATTTCATGGCAGATATTCACTGCAGCAAGAAGCAATCCAGTTCTGCAAGCTTGCTCCGGAACCTTCGTCTCATTTATAAGTTTTTGATGATTATCAAGAACCATCGAAGCTGCCTCCAACCTTGCACGTCGAGAGATTGTAGATTTGAATGAGGGAGAACCTTGGATTGCGAACCGGATGTGCAACAAGAGTGTATACTGATGCAGGTAAATGTCCAGTAATCTCTTCACGTACATCGTCGTTTGCTTCTGTCGTGGATTGTATTGGGGATTATCCCATTCTGGAATATCTCGAAGTGCTTCTTCTAGCTCCTCCCCAAGGTACAAAACACGTTCAAAGTTATCTTGGTCGCGACATCCATTGACGAGTGCACATATTTCCAGTCTTACAGACAAGGAACGATACATATGGGCCTGGAAAGACGTTTTTGTGAATGTTGCGAGCGGCATACCTTCCAAGGTGTCTTGTCTTAGGTCTTGGAGCTTCTCGTCATCGATGTTCAATGGCGGTATTGTGTTGAAATCCTCTATTCGAATGTTTGGGGTCATTCCTCGGTCTACCGAGGCTTGAATATCGAGTTCAATGATCGTCATCCACAAGCGCCGACGCATCTCTCGATAATAAGGTGATATTTTTACCGTCAGAGATGCTTCACGGTGATATCCTGCAGCCATAGCCCGCCGGACCATTGCCCCAGTGCATGCCCAAAAGAATCCCTCTTGAATATAGTGTGCACGTTTCGCAATTAGTAAGAGACAATGAGTTGTTAATGTATCCCAGGACTGAGAGAACTGGTTAGCTGAGGAGTTGAGCCATGATTCAGCAGCATCAATCCAATGAACGGCACAATCGTAAATCATTTGTTGGTTGGAGACTTCATTACACATATCGGGATGAAAGCTCGCAGCGGCGGCTGCCACTAAGAGAAATTGTGCCAAAAAAAGAGCAGACGAGGAAAGTGGAAAGTCCCAATGTTGATTATAGTCAGTTATGAAAGCCGGTATATCGAGCACTCGGTGAATAACTTCAAATCTGTCGATATAGGTTTGAAACAAGGTGTCAGCGACCGATTTCGTGGGAATCAATTGTCGCAAGGTCTCTATTGACACAGTACTATGTGCCAATAAACGAAGCCGATAGTCATCATTGGCCAGAGGATAAAATTCGTCACGAAATCTGTTGATGTCTGGATTTTTGATCTTAATTTGGACGATGTATGACCGAAGCTCGGTAAACTATTACTTTGAGTATATGCTCTGTATCCATTAGATGAGACGGCGCAGCGTACCTGTTGGTAAAAGTTTAGAGGATAGCTACATCCATAGAACTTAGTGATCGCCTCTTGTCCTTTCAAGTGGATCATTTCCCCACTCCGGCCGGAGGAGACCTCAGGTCTTCCCCGAATATCTGCCAGCGAGACGGGAGTATGCAAGGACGTTGCCATGAGAGCGGCACTCCCTGAATTCCCTTCGGTCGGCAATCCATTCGGCGATGAAGATGTCGCATTGTTGCTACGATAGGTGCAGCCTTCAGCATTTCCTGTCTTCGAGCAGCGACTGCAGGATGGAAGCTCCCTCCCACATTTGAGCTTACGCTGATAGCACTGGACACAAGCCAACGGGGGACGTCGCTTCTTGGCGCTTGGCTTGACCACACGCCGTGAGCTGATTGGCACACGATGAATTCTTTCCTCCGAGTCAGGCTCCGACATTTTGTTGAGTCGATATGAGAAATCAGAAATCGCCGAGCGGGGGCTTTTTTATGTTGGTATACTGACGGCGGCGATTTCGTGCTCGGCAATTTCGGGCTCGGCAATTTACGTAGATCAATTACAGGATTGGGGCGGCTGACAGATATTGAGCCTTTAACTCACAGCGAGCCTTGTCACCTCAAGGGCCTTCCGAAATAATTTCAGCCTCAATGATTTGCAAAACACTCATTTGTTTGCTCATCTAATGTATATTGAAGTTATTTGTTGAGTCGAACGGTGCCCACCCACGGTTATCTTGAACAAACCCGCCGCCCGCGTTAAAAAATCCCCAATCAGTCCAAATCGTATCGACGTCCATGGCTTGCGTCATCAAGCTGCCAATATTTTCCTCTGGGACATGTTCCGAAAACCGCTGAGTTTGTCCGGGGTGTCTCATTTCAGGATGCAGCTGCAATCGACCTGGTGCCCTTACGGTATTTCGAGGAAATTGGCAGAGTGGGCCTTCTAGTTGGCTGTGTGGCGAAGCGGTTTCCAATCCTGAGTCGAGTGTATATGTCGCATTTGAATAGTTTGGTATCTGTAACGAAAGGGGTTGAGGGATGGTTTCCAGCTTGACCCTGGTTCCGCCAGGTGAGAAGGAATGGGGATCTGGGTTTGTTTCGCTTTCCTGTTGCCGTGTGAGGTGCGATTTGATGATATCAATGCTTCTCTTAATACCAGGGGTCTGTCTGGCCTCTGATTCGAGCATCTTGAGCGTTACCGAGAGGCGAGTCGCCGCTGCTGTAGCTAAATAGGTATCTTCATGTCGAATCTGTTGAATGTCAACCGTGGCAGCCGTATAGACACAATAAGACGCGAGGTACGTTTGATTTTGGAAGTTGAATGTCTGCCCGTAGCGCCGAAAATGTTCGTTTACTTTGGTAGCTTCTTCTGTGCAGACCTGCTGCGCTCGATGAGCAAGAGGGTGATCTTTCAGACGTTCATGTCTTGACCAGGCGAAAAACGGCCGATATATGAGAATAAGCATTGTATGACACAAGATGCTTCCATATGTTAGTATTAAAATATGGTGGAAAAATTCATGTCACTCACTTCAAACAAAATATATGCGGTGGAAGACAATATTCTGAAGAGTCTCCTGGCTGTATTCGCAGCTGGTCGGGTAGACATCGATGAAAATCACGAAGCTTATTTTCCAACTCCAAGATACATTGTAATTTGAGATATTGTATGCGCCGACTATAGACTTTATCGTACGCTTCGTTGATAATCTAACGTTGAATTTGTTAGCAGTAAACTTAGGCACGGAGTCGAGGAGCATATTCACTTTCGCCAATTTGCAAAAATGGATAAAATTCATCGTATTCCAGGATTTTGTTGATGGATATGCCTCTCCTTGTTTTGGATAAACCGGCTGCCATTGAACATCATTATCAGAAAGATCAACTGATACTAATTAGCGGTGGACTCAATTGCGGGAAAATTACTCACGAAGACTATCTGGGGGATATGGAAGCTCTGGAAGAGATGGCGGACGCCCAAGACAAAGGCTTATTGATCTTTTGGCATGTAATCAGTAAAAAATAGAGGTCTAGTCTGCTTCTGGGGTTAAATCCCACTTATCCCATGCATATGCCGAAAGATAGAGGCGTTTTCTAACCTCTAAATCATCAGGGTCTAGGCCATCGAGGCCTTTTAAATTTCCTTTGTATAAGTGAAGACCGAGATCAGTGACCATGCGGTTAGCCTATGTCTGTAAGTATTATTTCAATGGTTTAAAAATACCAATTTCAAAGAGCAAAACACGTACCATTCCTGTGTACAACCACCCCTCACTGTTTTTACCTATGGCACATTGTCGACCTCCAAGAATAAGTAATCCTTGAATGGTGGGGATCTTAGGCTTTTCCTGTTCGAGTTCAATAAGGAGCTGCTGTTTTGCTTCCTCCATGAAATGTTTGCCTCGTTCGAGTGAAGTATATATGGGATCGTCATCCTTGAGATGTCGACATGCATGGGCGAGAATTACGTTCACTAAGAACGGTGAGCAATAAGGCCCGCCTAAAGCCAGATCACGGTAAAAGCCTAGTGATAATATCAGCATTTGTTGAAAACCTTGGGCTTGTAATAATAACTCACATCTGCGATAGACACAATTATGAAGAGGGGCCTGCCATGTCCAATATATCTGCAAGAGAGTGGCGCATATATGAAGAGGAACAGTTGTGTACTGTTTCAAATTTTCAAGGGCCATATTCTCCAGGGATTCTTGATACTCCGAATTTGAAGCAAGCCAATTGCGATGGTATTCTTCACTCGTCTTGTGTTCGTGTTCCTCGGTGTCAGAAATCTTGATCGAGCAACCATCACGACAATCAAGGGGATGAAACCTTGAAGTTGCACCATAATACTGCAAGATTCAATTGTCAGCTTATTCTCCCTCCAGCGTTATCCCGATCGGAATTTCACCGAGAACTCACTGTTCCATGCTCGCCGATACTAAAATCCGCTGGATTTCCATAAGGTAGACTCTCCCCTTCGGCATCATTTTCAGTATCATAAGAGTGAGATATTTCAGTCGCTTGACTGGGTGAAATCTCTTCCATCTTCAAATGATCGAACTCTCGTATCACCTCAGTCAAACGATGATCACGTTCTTCGCGATCGAGATTAGCCAAATCTCGTATATGGCTTTCTAAATCATCAACTCGCTTCTTAGACTGTTGTAGTTGGTTGACTAAATGAGAATTGTAACTTGGGGTCTCCTTATAACTGCATATTTCCTTCACCTTTATGCAGTTCGCGCAGTTCGGCTTCTTTCCGTCACATTTTATCTTCCGCCGGCGGCATACTAAGCATGCGAACCCATACCGACGGGGAGGTGCATTGCTTCTAGATGGATTCATACTCGGCCTTATGCCTAGGTCTCGCTTGAAAATAGTGCATTGAGCCTTGTCAGCTTTATTTCCAAAATCTTTGCGGGGTTGTCTGACTACGGCATATGGGGCTCCATAAGGCTTAGTCAGGACAATCCTTCAAGTCCATAGGGCTGCCCATGTATAGAGGGTTGTGGTTTATTTTATGCGGAAGAGCCTGTCAAAACTGGGAAGAGGAATGTTTTTCGATGCGAACCTTGATTCTTGAATCATTAAAATTCATCTTAAGTACAATGGCACCCGTCGTGTCTGATTTGTATACATTGAGCCGCCGATCGGACCACCTCCGTAGTGAGTAAACATTTACCCATGATATCTGGGATGAACGAACTACTGTGAATAAGCCTCATTTATCCATAAATTTGTATTTTCCGGCGCGGGAAGTCCGACCCCCGGGGGCCGAAAAGTTGTGGTGGCTCCTTTGATGGCAGGAATAACCGAAGCTTGACTATACTTCGCGAATCGGCTGGATTGCAGCATCGCCGTAAATACAAACCAAAAATTTATAACACGAAAATCCCAATTATCTCTCTCACACATATCAAATCTCAACTTCAAACACGTAGGCCACTATCGTACCCCATAACAGGACGACACCTCCCACTATAGGCAGGCCAACCACGCTGGCGAAACTGAAAGGAACAAGATTTTGGTTTTCCGGTCGGAGCATTTGCGGATAAAAGTACCAAGTGGAGGTAACAGATGCCCACGCCATAGTCCAACAGAAGCCAATGACTCTCTGCCACGCTGGTGAAGCATTTCCCTTGTTCTGTGATCCTTGGGTTTCATTATTTGGCCCGCCAAGCCATCTCCAAAGTGCTACGATGCCATCTTCAATCATGAGCCCCAAGGGCGCACTCATAAACAATAACATGGCTCCAGATTCTTGTCCTGGAATTCCTTGAACGATATCAAGAATGACGTGCAAGCCACCAGAAAATAAGAAAACAAGTATCACATTTGCGTATCGCTCCAGTAACGATTTATGCGGCAAACCTAGTACATCGCTGGTGATAAACGCGCCCACGGAGCTGAATGGCTGTCGGACCAATTGATGCCAGAATTTGCTAATAAAAACAGTAAGCACATAATTCAATCACGAAATAATCACTTTTATCTATAGAAATGACTTACCCCCAGAACCCTCTCAGTGTACCGGCATCCGCCGCTCTTCCATAGAGGGGAGGACAGTTTGCAGGAGAGTCCAGTCCGATGCCAACGATGAAAATTGAAAATGCACGATGGTACATATCGATAAGCATCCTACTAACAACGAATCCAGCTATGAGATTCGATATTATTCTTTCAATCCATTGCTCAGTCGACAAATCCCACTGAACAGTCGGCGGCAAGAGTTCATGCTTCTTCTGCTCGAGCGCCTGCTGTAATGCGATAGTGGCGAAAACATCCAACGCTAAATATTGCCATATCGCAATAGCTATTTGACGTAGCAAAAAATGTCTCCGAGGAGGCCCGGTCAGATTCCTGCGTGCATAATAGGCTGGGTGTGAGGGAGGATTTTTAATTTGCCAGGGCGTGTTGATTCCACGCGGCTGAGTAAAGAGCCGCGTCGCATAATAAAGACGCGCGATAAGTTCGCCAGATTTCTTTTTGGGGATATCTGAGCCATCAATTGGATTTATAAGTAGCAGATTCAATGCTTGAAAAACCACGGTCATGAAGAGACGAGCCAGTTCACACCACACAAAACCAGGTCCTAAGGCTGTGGCCACGCTTACGGAACGATGCGCGATTAAGGATAGGAATGGAATAGATAGGTATCGTAAAGCCGACCGTTTTGCTGTGGCAATCACAAGTATAGCAGGAATAAGGCAGTTGAGAGTGTATAGAAGAGTGATCTCCAGTACATTTGAGGACCATGATGTGGTTGTATAGGTCATGGTGGCTGTTCAAAAGAGTCTCTTGGGTCATACGTGTTGAAAGGGGGGAATCATCGCACCGCGTTAGTTGACGTGAGATTTGCTTCTTTTTTCTTCTTCCGTCCAACAAGAGACTCCCCACTCGTATTATTCATGTATTGCAGAATTGTGGCTTAATATTATTTTGCATTTTTCTTTTCTATTTCCCCTCAGGGGCCAGTGGACCACAATTTACTAGTATGGTTTAGCGTTGATGAAAATGGCGAAGATCGTCCCAGACTGATACATCTTAGGACTCTGAAATCAATTTTTGAAGTTCACAAGTCAGCATTGTGGACATTGTGAATATCTTAGAATATTTAGAAATATCCAAATGCACACGTACGGAAAAAATCGATTGCTGCACTTGGAAATCCGAATAAAGCTGAATAAACCAGATCAGTAACTCCATACTCCGTACAAAACTCACTATAACTACATTCCTAACATACACATCAAATTCATCCATAGTTCGCTTCCAATATCTTCACATCTTCACATCACAAATAAACATAACAGAACGGCCCACTAGTTGTACTCATAATATCTCTTAGATGAACCGGTCCCCGATTTCGATTAGCATACTCCAGATCCAGAGGATAATCAAGCGTAACATTTGGCGAATGAGGCGTATCCATAAATGTACTGGTTCCCGAAATAGCATTTCGCCGAACCTTCCAATCCATATTCTGCCAAATCCACCAGACCCGATCTATCATCGAATGATGATGATAGAACGCCGGGTCCCCAGCACTAGCATCTGTATCACGGCCTGGATCACCACCCATACAGTAATGGCCTCCGCCATGAAGTCCGACTCCAATGGGACTGCCTTGTATCCCATCTTCCAGTTCCCAGATGATATGGCTTTCATCAAGCAAATACATAATCGACGTATAGTTGACATACATCTGTAAAATGGATGTGGTGAGGTCCCGCTTTAGACATCGCGGATTATAATCTAGCGGGTTTGATGCACGAGTGATATTGTCGCCAGAGACGGCTAAGAATGACGGTCCTAGATTGACGGTGAGGTTTACGAAGGGTCCACTTGTGACGCAGCCTCCTCCTGTGCCCGGGGGAAGCCATAGAGGTGGATAGTTGCCTGGTAATCTGGCGCCAATGTCGGGCTCGTTGGGAATATAGACTCCATCTCCTGAGAGGGAGGTGTCGCTGCCGTCGAAGACTTCAGATTTCTCAAGGTCATTGGCATCTGCGGCCCAGTCCCAGTACCTTGTTGATTTCGTACGTCAGAGGATTGCTAGAAGTGTACATAATTATTGAGACTCGGAGACGTTGAACTTACGGATAGTCTCCGGTATAGTTGCATTCATTCCGTAAAGCCTGTTCATGCTCCCAAATAAAATACCGATGCCATGCGAAGAACAATCCCTAAAAATCTATATAAGTAAGAAAGTAAATACAGCCAGGTTAGTAGTACGTACATCTCGATGAATGTGGTACGATTGATTGATGTGAACAGCGACAAAATCATCAAATCGTGATCTAGTCCCAGGAGCTAGATACCGTGGCGTAATAGTAGGTATCTCGGTCAAACATAGGAAAGCTTCGATATAGGATCTCTTCTCTGTTTTAGTGAAGGCTTTCCAATTTCGCCGAACTCGAAGTGTCTCCAACGTGCAATTGCTATTCCTATCTCTCGAAGCCTCTTCGATAACCGTATTTAGGGAGGTTTTCAAAGCGTTATGAGATAGCTTTTGGAACTGCAGAGATGCATTCACAATATCTGGATCTGAATTGAAGTCATTTATGCCCAAGACCTGGCAGACCAGAATGAGCAATATCGGAAGCAAAAAGGCAACCATATTGGCATCACGAATTGTGTGAGGTCCTTAAAACGGAAGAAATGACGAACCTCAATTGCGTATACATGGCACTCAGCATCGTTTTATGTCCCTGGCTGGTTCAGCTTCAAGCATGTGGTAATAAGTTCATGTTGTGAAACGCTCTCCCATAGCTTCGGGGGGTTTGTATGCAAGGTCTTCATATGTCTGGCATTTTCAGGTTACTGACGTGGAATCGTGGAACAATGGAAGGAAAAGCTTATCGTGGAAGGACTCTGGAACACGTTCAGAGCCCTTTACTGGAGCTCGGAAGCTGAACGTCTTACAGAGATTCGCTTATCTGATATCCTGGTCCCGGCTATGCCTTCACCCAATGAATCATAAATACGGCATTTATTCGCCCCTTTTTAGCTTTATAGAACAATCATCTCTTAATAGGCTCGATCTATAAGACACATTAATATTCTATTATTGGTGCTCATTATAAAACTTGAAACGTCAAATGAAATGCTCTTGATCATTTCATAGTACTATTATAATACGAGGTCTGAAACATCGACTAAGAATGACAGTATTCCAGAAGGGAATGCAGTAAGCATAGGCCAACCTCACATATTTTCTTCTGGAAACATTGGAAAGGAAGCCATAATATCTTCATTATTCATCCATGGAGATCCCACTGCAACCATTCCATTGCTCGAAAGATCAATGTGCGGTTTCGATGGATCAAACTGAGCAAATGGATCCACAACAGGCGTACCCATACCGTTCATAAAATCCGAGATATCATATGCTTGGCTAACTGAAAGACCTTGTAGGTACTCCGGGGTCATTGCAGGAGCTGAAACCATTTGCACCGTCGCAGATGTATCCCTCCGTCTTTTGCTAGGTGGGCTGCGCGTAGAAAGACTTCTATTAAACTTTTCGACAAGCATTTCACCCTGGGCACCAATTTCGCGCACAATTTGAGAGGCTGTAACAGCTGCCACAGAGTATCTCCCTATCATTTCAAAGGATTTTATCGCAGTTTGAACAGATTTACGAGCTGCAGGCGTAGGTGGACATACGGGGTTGGCTAGCACAAATCCAAGGATGCAGAGAGCAGCATCCCATTGGTATTGAAATACAGGGTACCAGCCGCGCAGTAGATCCGTTTCAGTGAGGATTTGATATATAATGTTAGTCAGAGTCACAGCGTGGTTGAGACAACTGATACTGTGGCAGTCAGATAGCGGGGTGATTGATGGGCAGCCAGGCCGTAATCGAATGAATGGGCGGAAGTTTGTCAGCTGAAAGTGATGATATGAGATCTCGAGAAGGACTTGCTGGCGTTGAAGCCAAAGTGGACTGAGTGCATTCAATTTAACTGGACAGCGTTCCGTCGAAAGAGGCTCTCCAGAGCCTTTCCTTGGAGTCTTGAGTGATTCGGGCACCTTGCGTGCCCAGTCATATACAACGCTCAATTCTCGGCCAAGACATGCGGCTAGTTCTTCCGTCAGAATGGCATCATCATACATGTTTTGTGCGTTTTTCTGTTCCATCAACCTAGCACCATGCTGATAAAAGGCACTCTGGACGCCTCGGACAGTGAGGGAAAGCCGAAGGGACTGTACGTGGAAGGACAGCCAGCTAATTTCCTCACTGCCCAGGGTCATTAACACGGAGCCAGATAACAGGGCGTGTTCATGGCTATCTCCTGGTAGACTTGCCTCGATATCCTCGAGGTTTATTAGTTGAGGTCGACCCAAGGTCATAGAAAGCTGGCAATCGAATCCAACCAGGGTGCACCAAAGACGTCGGTTTAACTCTTGATACTCGCGAAGGGTCGTGTCGCATGGAGGTAAATGCAACCGTAAGGATTGGGCAACTCTGACAGCCGTCCCTAAAAGGGAATGCGCTGCGTTTAGCAGGGATGTGTTGGTGAGGTAGATAATACAATAGATGTAGCTCTGCAAGGTCATTATGGACGGTCTTTCGATCTCGTCTAGAAGCAGGGACTGGGCACGACGAAATAGTGCATGGCTCTTCATCGAAACTGACAGTACATGATGATCCCTTTCACTGTCTAAACAATCCTCGTCACTTGTAAGAAAGGTGCTTCCATATTGCATACAAACAGCTAGTATACTATCAACAAGCGAAGAGGGTCGCCGGGTTGATTGATCATCCCCCATATCCCACAAGGAGCAGTAATATTCTCTGAAGTCCGACTCAGAAAGGACCGGGTAGATGCCATGGAATGATTGCCAAAGCAAATCAATGAAATATTGTTCCTGCGCCCGAGACAGGGACTCCAGAGCGGCAATTGTGCTCTGGTCGGAGGCGAAGGTTGAATTTCCAGGCCATTTCTGGTCTTGGTGACATGTCAGAATGTTAGGTGGGTAGGTCAACGGCTGATTATCCATCATAGCCATTGATTCGGGCTGGTGTTTGCTCAGCGCTTCGGATAGAAATCGACCCATGCGGGCCCCGAAATACGAAGATGACAGCGGCCCATAGTAGATTGCCCCACCGGTGTGGGCATCATGGATCTCAATTCCCTTCCACTCCCTCGTCGTGGAAGATGAATTCATGGATCGTGGAACACGAGATGTCAGGGGATCGAACTGGGGCGAAACGCCGACACTGTCAGAATCGGGTGGTGTCGCATATTTCCTCGGCGCCTGATCCTGGGACTCTTGGCCAGCCTTGCTCAACTGGCCTTGCAGTGCTTGGATAGTGTTCCGCAATCTTTGTATTTCCCTGAAATCCAGCAACCATCATGATATTTAATTAGTGAAACTGGCAAAATATAGCGGATTTAATGCTTACCTATTTGCTGCTGGTAATGTGGGAACATCCGTTCGTTTCCCATTGCTGCATTGGACGCCACGGATGCGACAATTCTGACAAGGCTGAGAGTCATCACATTTGATTCGATTTAACCGGCACCAGTCACAAGCCCGCGCAACCTGGTTTCGTTTAGGACGAGGTCGGGAAGGGCTCTTCTTCTCTGGGTCGGCCGCGAATGTAGAAAACATGATGCGAACAACCTTGGAAGTCTCTAGACAAGGATGAAAAAGGAGGACACTTTAAAGCTGGCGATCCAAGACACTAGCAAGGCCATCTAAACTTCGGGCTTAGCGCAAATTCCTAGTGCGAATAAGGATTGGATTCTGGAATTTATGGGATTATGAACTAGACAGATAAGAACTAGACAATTTATACTATATGTTAATTCACATTACTTGGCAAGAGCAGGCTCAACAACTAGCAAACTGTTCACCGCATCAACAATACTCTCCTTGAGATTCCTGTACTCAATCCCTAAAATCTGGCGACTTCGCGAGTTATCAAAGCCATAGACATCCGCTGGGTAATCACCGGGGGCCAGCCCCTCACCCGAAGGCAGCCGGTCGCGGAATTCGGGAAATTCCTCCCCAATAATCTCTGCGATTTCTTTGTTGGAAAAATGGCTAGACACTGTAAAGAACCGTTTCCCTCCTGCCTCGGGTTTTTCGATCGCTAGCACATGAGCAAGACCCAAATCACGCACATCGACGTAGCCATAATTTCCGGTGGGGGGACATCGCTCCTTAACGGCACCTGTGATAAAATCGCGGATTCGCTGGTTGGATGTGTTTAAGGCGCTGAGAGACGCCAATCTGTGTGCGATAGGTCCAAGCACCAGAGGGGGGTTGATGACGGTCAAATCGAAGGATGGGGTTTCTGTCTCCATAAAATTCCATGCGGCTCGTTCCTGCTCTTGTCAGGTTGGGGATATAAGTGCGAGAAACAGTGGCACTTACAGCGAAAGTTTTACTCGCGCGGTATGCATTGCCTGGGTTGTCGTTGGCCTGTTGTTCTGTGATTGGGCACCAATCGGCCTTTTCCACCGTCAAGTTAGCCTTCAGGTTGACTCATTTTGATCCCATCTAAATCCATAATCTCACCTCCGAGTAGATCTTCCCCTTGCCTGCGGCATAGATATTGTTGATTGCAGCGAATGAGGACGTCACCACAACACGCTTGACTGATGGTGCATATTTCTTCACCGAATTGAGAATGCCCGTTGTCCCGATAATGGCGGGATCAAGTAGCTCTTTTGCGTCTTTGGCGTTGAAGTGGTATGGACTGGCAGTGTGGATCACTGCATCAAAGGGAGGCTCCGAAACAACAGCCTTGTCGAAGGCTATGTACATGATTCATGTTTAGTTCGAATGATTCGTGTAGATAAAAGTTAGACTCCTCTTACCATTAGCTTGACCAATGTCTTCCACAATAACATAATCCAAACGATCCTTTTGTAACTCTGGGTGAGCCTGTAAAATAGCCTCCGCTTTCTGCGGCGAGCGAACAGTGGTGACCACGGAATGCCCACGAGCGAGGAGCGTTTCAAGAACATGTGTAGCGACGAAGCCACTACCGCCAGTAAGCAGAACACGAGGCATGGTAGGCGGGTTGAGTTTGCTTTGTATGATGTACTTGAAGATTGAGTGTTGAATATTTGCGACGGTTCCAAGATTGCCTTAGAGATACAGCTGTGATGAGGAATAACTTGAACTATAACGATGGTGGACAACTTGGTATATAAATACCTTCCAGCTCCATTATCTGGATTGATAAAGTGGTCATGTCTCCAGATTGAGGCACTCGTATTCAGAACTCCGAGCTTATTTCGTGCCGGATGAGTAGCTGCAGTATGGCTCCTTACGGAACTCCGCATCTCCGGTTTACCCCTTTGGACAACAAGGAACAAACCCCGAAACCTTGAAAGTCATGACTCGATGGATATCGGAGTGAATATCTGCTAAGCTTTCTACTAAACCGATGCTATCTTATCGGTAGCGAAGTAATGTGTATACCTATATACCCAACACCGAATATTACACAAATCTGAAAATTAAGTGCATTAGAGGTCATCGTAAACTACACTACACACTGGACACAAAAAGGTACATGAGACAGAACATGTCACGCACTCAGTCCTTCCCGTCCATAGCAAGCACCGTTAATGAAGGAACAAATTCCATATGCAATCAGCGATGGCGCAGCATGATAAGAACAAATACGGGAAGAAAGATGTACATGACGCTGATAACAAAATAAAGGGGGAATTATGGAGTGGCCGGGCAGGCAGCATAGCTGTCACGTCCCCAATCACGCCACAGAGATGGAATGAAGAAAAGGAAATGAGGTCATAAGGAAAGGAAGGCATCATGGCGGGAAAAAAGCAGAATTTATGTATGAGATGATATGTGCAAATGATGGAAGAGAATCAAGACCTTAGGTCTTGGAGGTCAAGTAGTCGGCCGCCTAAGAGTCAAGTTAGCTGCCGAAAGTGGGTTTAATGGACAATTTTAGACACTTACCTTGTCAAGATTATAGTCAAATTTCTCCAATGCGGTCAGGGAATCTTCCCGAGGGAACCCCATACCAGTCAACCGCTGCAGAATGAGATCATCCTCGCCGGTATCATTGTCAAGGGCCCAGCCAGGTTCTTTGGAATCGAATCCGTTGGCCTTCTCATCTCCTGCGGGCTTTGAATTATCAAGAGGCGCGAAGATTTTGTCCCAGTCGGGGTCCGAGGAATTCGACGCTCCTCCGTTGGCAGAATCAGTAGGCTGTGCAGTCGCCGCGTGGACATTATTGTCAAAGGAAAAGAAATCGGACGAGTTGTTGTGACCCGCATCTGTGCTTGATGCGGCTTCGTGCTGCTTCTGGGACGGAGAATCGAAAGAGAAGTCGAAGTCTGACTGACCCTTGGCTTGACTAGCAGGCTCATCGTCATCATCCTCCGCTTCTTGAGCGGGGGCCAAGTTGAGACCGGCAAAGGCCGCGTCAAAGTCAGGTGCAGTTTGCTTTGCGGCACTGGCAGGGGTAGCTTGCTCCAGCTGAGGTTCGTTGTTAATCACCGGTGCACCAGTGGTAGTCTCGACAGAGTGAGGCGCATCGGGTGCGGCAGTGGGATCCGCACGGTCAGGTAATAAGTCACTGAACTCAGGAGGTACATGGCTGCCGCCTTCATTTGGAGAAGCTTCATACTGGGGAGGAGCGGGTTCAGACTCTGCAGCCGGGGGCTGGCCCGATGAAGCAACAGTTCCTGGGGTAGGGAAAGCAGCAAGCTGAGCAGCATCAATAGAGTCCACTCGTTGCTCCTTCTTGGTACCAGTGGGTGAAACAGGAGTGAAGTTGTCATCAAACCCCAAGGGGCCGTCATCGTCCGAGCTATCGTCCTCATCATCATGGAACTCTTCGATAGGAGGGAACTCAGAGCCTGCAGTTGCAGCAGCAGCAGTAGCTGGCCCACCCACCGATCCAGTGGCATCTGCTGGCTTCATAGATGCGAAAGCCTCGTCAAAATCGTTCTCCTTCTGGGATTCAGAGCGCTTATGAGCCTTGTTGCCAAACAGTTCGTCGAATGACATATCCTTAGGCTGTTCTGCGCTCTCAGCGCCGGTTGGAGCAGTGGTAGAGGGTTCAGCCGCAGTTGCAGAGAACTCAGTGGCCGGTGGTACCTCATCAAATGGCGATCTCATCGGGGTACCTCCAGCGGCTGCGGTTGGTTCTCGGCTATAATCGCTGGAATCCGCTAGCGATGCGGCACCAACTTCACTCGCGGTGGCCTGGGAGGGTGTATAAATACCCGAAGTATCTGGGCCCCCAAAGCGACTGGCGGGCGGGGATACGACGGTAGATGATGTTACCGACTGGCTTTCAGCAAGCGGAAGGTTGTTGGGGGTCATCTGGCGGGAGATTGTGGGGGGCGGAGGCTCAGGGAAAGCGCCAGGCAAAGATCCCGGGGCAGGCGACGCCGAAGGGGTTGGGACATTAGACGCAACAGGCGACTTAGCAAACGCCTGTGGTGAATCTGACCGGAAGGAGGTAGGCGGCGGGCCAGCACTGGTCGGGGTTGCAATAGTCTGTCCAAAAAGGCTGTCAAATACCTTTTGCTGGTCATTGGAAGCTTCAGGTGAGCGAGCACGTTCACTTGAGCTTCCCGTCGCAGTTCGCCTGAAGAAAGGGTTCGTGTTCTGGCTGGTAGTAGAAGCAGCAGGGCTAGCGAGTTCGGCCGCACTGCTGACGGGTGTTGGGTCCTCGGTATATTCCGGTGTTTCCTTTGATAGATCATCGATTTCACCTTGGATCTTGTCCCGTTCCCCCTCAACCGTAGCCAACTGCTTTTTGTTAATGGCGACTAGGCCTTTCTGCTGACGAGCCTCAGAACGGGCCTTGTCAAGTGCCGGCTTGAGTTGGGCAACTTCGCCATTAGCCTGGCGAATTCTCTCCTTCAGGCTCGCATTCTCCTGTTGATCAGATGCCAGCGCTGTAGAGATTTGGGTATACTGATTCGCCAAATCCTCGCGACTGCCCTCGATCAGAGCATACTCCTGCTGCAACTTAGCAGTTTCGGCCTTGGAGGCCTTCAACCGGTCTTCTAACGCTTTGAAGTTCGCTACTTCCTGTTCATACATAGTACGGGCCTGTGCAAGCCGTGCCTCGAAATCGCGCTTCTGCTGCGAGGTTTGAGTGATGTTTTGCTCAGCAGATGTACGCTTCTCTTGAATATTGTGCATCTCCTTAGACAGGGAGCCAATCTGGTTGGACAAATTCGCAAGTTCCGTGGTCTCCTGTGTCAGTTTGTTGGTTTCCTCAGGGTCATTATCACCCAAGAGATCATCGGGAGGCGGTGGTGAGCGAACAACGCTCGGTGCTCCAGATGACGCGCCTGTGACCTGGGGCTGCAGGGTCTGGCCGAAGGACGATGTCGGGACAAAAGGCTTGAATGTGTTGGATGTCGGTGGAGGAGAAGCCCTTGACGATGGAGAGGCAGGTGTATGCCATGCCCCAGCAGAGCCACCTGTGGACTGAGGCATCTGAGGTTGAGCAGGAGCAGGCGCAGGTGGTGAGTCTAGGCCAAATAGATCATCTGCAGCCGATCGCGGCAAGGGAGCCGGTGGTGCAGGGGCTGGTGGTGCAGGTGCGGGCACTTGGGCTGGTGCAGGAGCCTGTCGGCGCATGTTTGGCGGGATCAGAGCAGGGGGAAGGACCTGGGGTATCGGATCCTTCCCAGTCCGCTGTAGCCTGACAAGATACATAGCGACAGCAAACTCCTCACGAGTCAACTGGCCGTCAGCATCAATGTCAGCGAGGTCCCAAATCTGGGCCAGGACCTCTTCTGGGAGTTGTGCCTTCATGAAAAAGGCAACTGCCTGGTCACCAGAAATGATTCCAGCTCTGGCAGTGTCAACGGTCTCGAAAATGCCATCGAAATGCACCTTCTCCTGTGGAGTGATAAGCCAATCTCCTCCAGTTGTCTGTGCTGAGATTTGACCTCCGAATTGAGGTCTATTCACGGGACTCATGGGACTAGTTGTCCGCTGTGGACCGGTAAATTGCTTAGGAATTGCAGGCACAGGCGGGACCTCAGGGCGAGCACCAAAGGAAGACCGGGCAGCGCCTCGGCGAGACGCAGCATCGTATAGACCAGGAGGCAAAGTCTGAGGGATTCCACGCAAAGCACCAGACTTGGATGACGTCAAAAGATGCATTGCGATCACGAATTCCGTGGAATCGAGGGCTCCGCGCTGTTTCGTATCTGCAAGATTCCATATCCGGCCTAGAACCTCGTTCGGCAGTCTTGCGCGCTCGAAGATTTGTTTGGCAATGTCACCTATAGAGTTCCGAGAATATTGTTAGAGGCGCAACACAAAAGCCTAGCAATATACAAAGAAAGATATGCGTACCAGACATAATTCCATTCACTACCTCCGATTTTTCGAAAAGAGAAACAAATTTGTTCACGTCATCAGGCTGCAATGGAGGGACACGGATAGGTCCTGTCGCGCCTGGAGGGGGGCTCGCAGTACTTGGCTCCGGCGCCACGGGCGTTGTATCAACTGAGATTCCATCGAATCGGGGCAGGGGACCAGCTATTTTTGAGATAGTAATTAGCAAAGGTGCAACCAAGAGGAATTTAAACATTACTCACGCTGGAGCGCTAGCTCGTCAGATGGTGTACGTCCAGCTTGAGCATGTCCGATCAATCTTAGAACGATTCCAAAGCCAGAGGGGGTCAGAAGACCCCTGTTCTCTTTATCCGCAATCTGCCAGATCTGGACACTCCAATTATTAGTTCAAAGGGCCTTTGTTGTTATATTATGTTTGATCGCATATATCATACCTCTCCGAGGGTACCACCAGGGAGGTGCGTCTTCTCAAAGAAGGGAACAGCGATCTCGCCAGTGATCACACCAAGATTGGTAGTGTCGGCAGCTTGAAAGAGCTGGTAGAAGACGCGCTTCTCCTCAGCGGTGAGGTTTAGGTTGGGATGCCGTTGTGCTATAAGTAAAAGAATGAATCAGATCCGTATGTTCCGCGACGTCGCGCATGGGGGTAAGCGGGTAGACTGGGACGGGATACGGCGATTTGGATTGGGGACTCGGGAGACCTCCTGAGTCTTGACACCCAAAGCTTGCAATCGTGGATTGGATATAGTGCATCCGAAATGAAAGAGTATCAACTTACTGGTGTCGGCCATGACTGTGGGTGTGGAGGAGCAGACCCCCTCTCCTTGATGATATCCGAATAGTTGGGGCCTGGAAGGACAAGTTGGGGAAACGGGGTTCCGTAGATTATCCGGAAGACGCCACGAGCATGGATATGTCCAAGCGCAGCTTTTATAGAATCAAAGCAAAGGCGCTAAAGCAGACAGATCAAGCTGAAGGTTCAGAGTAAAAAGAACGGGGAGTTCCTGGGTGGAATGGGAGGTTCACAGAATGGCTGGAGTCGATGTCGTAAGGAAGGTGCCCCCCAAGGCGGTCAACTTAGCTTAGCGCCCATTCCACCTGGCAGCATTCAGGGTCTCTCCCCTGGGCGCCTCGCACTGACGCAGGAACCATTATGGACTTGATCTTGTATTTAGTGACAGGGACAATTGATACTGGTGATGGGTGTTTAAAGCTCCGAAAACTACAATTCCCCTTATTTACCAAACTGCATGCTTCCCTCGTGCATATCAATCTGTCTACTGTCATTGGTTGTTGACATGCTCTCCATACATATGTATACTCCATGGACCTCGGGAACCTTAAGAACATCCAAATATAGGTAGGACGACTGATTACAAATGACAAAAAGGGTGAAGGCGAAAATAAGAAAAGAAAGGAGGGGGTTTTTTTAGGTGTCTTTTGTAATTACAATTTGTAGAATCCCAAGATAGGGTGAGAACGAGTGGAAAAACTCATCGCTGCTTCGGGGATATTAAAGATATATCAAACAACAAAGCCAGAAAACACATTGATCGGACTGTAAAACTATGTTCCCTTGTATTTGCAAACAAAGCCCAATAGATTTAGGGAAGCCGATCCGCCCAGGCCGGAGCTGGTATTCCAAAGTGACCGGTAGAACGCCAGCCCGATCGCTTGGGTAAACTTAAACAGCATTCCTAATCTAGTACTCGGGCTCCAACTCCTCCTCCTCGAGGGAGTCACTGGCGACCTCCTCGTAATCACGCTCGAGAGCAGCCAAGTCCTCACGAGCCTCGGAGAACTCACCCTCCTCCATACCCTCACCAACGTACCAGTGAACGAAAGCACGCTTGGAGTACATGAGGTCGAACTTGTGGTCGAGAGCGGACCAGGCCTCGGCGATAGCGGTGGTGTTGGACAGCATGCAGCTATATCAGAGGTTAGCAGGATTTCCTTTGGGTACATGAAAGATAAAGGGAAATGGTAAAGGAAACTTACACAGCACGGCTGAGGTTGGCAAGGTCGCCGTTGGGGACCTGCTGGGGAGGCTGGTAGCAGATACCAAGCTTGAAGCCAGTAGGGCACCAGTCGACAAACTGGATGGTGCGCTTGGTCTTAAGGGTGGCAACGGCACCGTGAGCGTCCTTGGGAACGACATCACCACGGTACAGCAGACAGGTGGCCATGTACTTTCCGTTGCGGGGGTCACACTTGACCATCTGGTTGTTGGGCTCGAAGCAGTTGGAGGTGATCTCAGTGACGGAGTGAGCCTCGTGGGAGGCCTTCTCAGCAGAGATGACAGGGGAGTAGGCGACCAGAGGGAAGTGAATACGGGGGTAGGGGACCAGGTTAGTCTGGAACTCGTTCAGGTCGACGTTCAGGGAACCGTCGAAACGGAGCGAAGCAGTGATGGAGGAAACGACCTGAGCGATCAGGCGGTTAAGGTTCTCGTAGCTGGGGCGCTCAATGCCGAGGTTACGGCGGCAGATATCGTAGATAGCCTCGTTGTCAACCATGAAGGAACAGTCGGAGTGCTCCAGAGTGGTGTGGGTGGTGAGGATGGAGTTGTAAGGCTCAACAACGGAAGTGGCGTTCTGGGGAGCAGGGTACACACAGAACTCGAGCTTGGACTTCTTGCCGTAGTCAACGGACAGACGCTCCATCAGAAGAGCACCGAAACCGGAACCGGTACCACCACCGAAGGAGTGGAAGACCAGGAAACCCTGGAGACCAGCACAGGAGTCGGCCACACGGCGGACCTTGTCAAGAACCTGATCAATCATCTCCTTACCAACGGTGTAGTGACCACGAGCGTAGTTGTTAGAGGCATCCTCCTTGCCAGTGATCATCTGCTCGGGGTGGAAAAGCGAACGGTAGGTACCAGTGCGGACCTCATCGACGACATTGGGTTCAAGATCGGCGTAGATAGTACGGGGAACGTAACGGCCCTGGCCTAAAGTGATAAAAAAGCAAACAATGTTAGAATATCATGGTCGAAGGATTTGAAAGCGGGGGTAAGTTGGGTCGCCATATGGCCGGCCCCTCTCCCGTGAGGAATTCTTTATTCAAAGAAAAGTAAAATTGATGTAAAAAACATTCTGACGTACCAGTCTCGGAGAAGAAAGTGCTGAAACCGTGGTCAGGGTCGGCCTTCTTGCGCTCATCGGTGAGGTATCCATCGGGCTATCAACATCGTTAGTCGCGGGTACTCGCTTCCCGGTTAGGAAAAGGGGTGTGCCGCTCTCCATTCTAGAATGGGCGGCACTAAGAAAGATTTAGATTCCAACTCACCTGAATACCGTGCTCCAGACAGTACAGCTGTTCGATTGAGTGGTTAGTCAACTGTAATTTGAGCCCACAATTGCTGTGGAATATGTGATGTATTTACCTCCCAGCAGGAGTTGGCGATCTGGCAACCGGCCTGACCGACTATATGGCATCAACACGTTAGCGCCTCCATCAAAAATAAAATATCAAGTTCCATCAGAAACTTGACGCTGATTCCAGCACATACTGTTCAAACTGATGATCTCTCTCATTGTGATGGGTGGTGTTTTTGCGGTGTCAAAAAATTAAGGAGGGGGAGAAATGACCCAATAACAAACACGGGTCTAGCGACTCAGGGGTTAGCACCAACGTATGAATTGGATATAGATTCACGTAGGAAGGGGGAGGGGCAAAAGGGGGTTTTCCCAGAAAGTCAGACGTACCAGGAAAGGGAGGAATGGAGATCAAGTCGAGAAAGAAAGAAGAACAGAAATGTTGTGGAGTGAGGGTGTCTGTGCTGTTAACAGGGGGGGAGTTCGTTGTTGATCCGGTCGTTGGGTCGCGTCGGGCTTGTTGATTGGTTCAGGCCCGCGCTCCTCCTGTAAGGTTCACCGCCTGTTCCAGATCCCGTGACCGGCTCTCTTGATTAGTCATTGGCACGTGAATTTTAGAGCCTCAGGCATCAAAAACGATCAACAAACCAACATTTGAACATTCATCATGACTTAGAACTACCTTCATCCTCAAAATCAAACATGCAATTCTTGCAAATACTCACTTCCCATCATACTACTGACCTCAATCATACCGCGTTCTACCTCTAACCCCCTTCATTATAGGCTTTCGAGTCAAAAGAATTACGGACTAGCGACAGTAGTTATCTCCGGTCTCCAATCAATTCATGGTGGGAAAAGCTTTCCTCTCCCACTACCCCAACAACACCACCCACCATGGATATTTCACTCCCCGACTTGCTCCCCTCACACCAGAAAACACAACCAATATATACAAGCCGGTTAACCCTCCGGCCATTCCAATGGACCGATCTTCCAAATTTCTACAAACTCCGAATAACCCCCGAGGTTATGCAATGGACAAGTCAAGGAGGAATAGACACATCAATCGAACAAACACGCGAATGGATGCAAAAGTTCATTGAAGATACAGACATGACTCCAGGGGAGATCCCACGACGTAACTTCAACTTTGTCGTCTCTCTTCGCACTGACAATGTCGAGAAATCAGCCAATGAGTCAGAGAATAACGACAGTAACGCATTTATCGGCGTGTGCGGGCTGTATGGGCTAGACTCATTGCCCGTGTCCCCTATCCCTAGCCTGGGCTATATGTATATACCAGAATCCTGGGGCAAAGGGTATGCGACTGAAGCCTCTCTTGGGTTTCAAGCTGAATGGCAGCGGCTCATTACACTGGGTCACCAAGTGCATTCTATTCCGGTTGGGTCGAGACAAGATATGTACAGTTTACGAGCCGTTACTCATGTAAAGAATTTGGCAAGTGCACAAATACTGCGCAAGTGCGGTTGGACTGTGTATGAAGAGGTTGAGGAAGATGGTATGCTGCTTTTAAGGTGGATTGTAGATACCTCGGCAACAGCCACGCCATGAATATCCCGAAGGAAAGAAGTCTTCGATACATATATTGCAATTGAATAGATCAATACTACCTGAACCTTGGAACATTTGAAACTCTTGAAACGCTTGTAGTCTCGTCTTCAAAGTTCAAGTTGTCGTATGATCCCCCTCCGGTTCTACAGAAGATTCTCACCGCCTACGCCATCGGCCCAATAATTATGCGTCTGGCCAACTGCTACATCTATCTTATATCTCGAAGTACCGTTATCATCTAAGACGACCACGAACATGAACCTGGGTCATTATTGAATACGTGCTACCCTAGAATCGCCAGATGACCCAAATCGACCCAACTTTGAAAACATAAAATCAATTGAAGTTCTTAACGCGATACAACTTGATCCCGAAGAATGCCCAGCGATCCATTCTCATAAACCCTATAAACATCCAACCCACTGGCAATTCAAGGTGTATCTATCCAACCCCCCCCCCAAAAAAAACAATTCATCATGATAAAAATGCATCATCATATCACCAAGACCCTGGGCATGATATTCCTCTTCACAAACATCGCCCTCGCAAACGTGGAAAAGACCATCTTCCTCGCACCACACCCATCAACAGTCCCATCTGGACAGCCCGATCTAGATGATCTAGGGTTAGAACGACTTTCACCCGAAAATGCAGCTATTCGAACTGAGCTGAATGCATCATTCCCATCTCCAGAGACGCCAGAGGGAACAGACTCATGGTTTTTTCTCGAGAACCTAAAGCCTGGACAGCGATATGAAGTCCGAGTTTGTTATCTATCTACGGTAAGGATTCCCAGCTCCTTACCCCTTCAGTTCCCAAATGAGTTTACCGTGAAAAATATATACAAAAGAAACTAGTCAAAATATAAAAAAATACATTTATTCAAAGCAAGAACAAAAAAAAAGCTAACTGGAAATCAGCAACCAACATCCTTCACACTTTCAACATACCCCCTCGAAAAAACAATGGATGATACGTCCCTCCTCTCATCCCTAAGCATTTTCTCCACAGCACGTCTCGCCACACTAGACGAACGCTTACAAGAGAATCTCATTCTGCGGCAAGCATCAGTTCGCAGCGCAAGTTCAAGTTCCTCACCAGATACATCGATTACAACAGACTCGGTATTATTCCTACGTATCCGTGCTGCGGCAGAGTACTTCAGTCATGAGAAATCATTAATGGAGACTGTACCGCCCGTGGCGGTGGATTTAATTTTGGATCCGTTTTTGTGGAATGTTTTCCCTCGCTCGCTTGTTCCGACGGCGTGGTGGGTTGGAGTTGTTGCGCTTGTTGCATTTTTGGTTGCGAGGTGGATTGGTGGGGAGATTGGGAGAATTATTGGGGGCGCGAGGGAGGAGAAGGAGAGGGAGTTGAAGTCTGAGGCTCGGGAGGATAAGAAGGGGAAGTAGAGTGGAGATTGTAGAGGAACATGTCAGACTAAGAACAAGGTCGATAAATATCTATGAGGTTCAAATCAAGCATCATTTCATTCAGCACCAAATCAGCAATTGAAAGATACATATGGTGAACAAGTACAGGAGTGGGAATACTGGAAGAAGTGAAACATAATCCAAGCAAATATCCAAGAGATCTTTCTTGTACTTTACTCTATGGGTCTGTCTTCCCAAGTCTCCCTATCGAAGAAGATCGGTTTATGAAGATCACCCAAATAACATATTAGATTAAGCCAAAGGAAAACAGAAGAAATTTCAAGTCGTAAATGGGAAAACATTAAAGCGTGCTCTTCATCGCCAAGATGCCAGTAAATAAGAAAATAAATCTTATGTAAATGATTTAATCTTCAAAGAAATTTAGGATAGCGCGGACACCCTTGGAGCCAAGACCATGGGCTGGGTAAGCAATGTAAAGAGGGTCCTCGATGGCACCGAGCTTAGCCCGGAACTCACTCTTTCGTACAAGATGGAACTGCTTGGCAAGAGTCTCGTATGTGTGCTCAAGCATCTTGATCTTGGTTCCATGCAAGTTGTGGCCGGGAGTGAGTCGTGTGGTTGCTCCAGCGCCGAAGGTAAGACCCTTAACACCAGCCTTGCCAGCAGTCTGGATGGCGTGGGTGACAATGTACTCGATCACACCGTTAGGAGCACCGGGGAAATCCAAGCTGTACTTGACTTGCATGCCGTGGGAGGGAGAGAGCATAGCCAGAGCCACGAAGGCGCAGACGTTGCCCGCTCTGTCCAGAGCATAAAAGTACCAGCGGTGCTCAGAATCTGTCCAAGGGTGAATCTCTGAGAGATGGACTTGTGTGCCCTTGCGGTTTGAGAGCCATTCTTTGATGCGCGCGTCAATCTTACCGCGTGATTCTTCGTCTGGCAGCTCGCCTTGGTTGAAACCGACCACCTTGATGCCCTCAGTCTCTGCACGTCGCAATTTGCGGGCAATCTCTCCGTCAGATGCGGCCTGGTTGCGAGATGGATCCACGCGTTCTTCGGCAATGCAGGAAAGACTGCGCCATCCCAGTCGCTCGCCAAGGATAGTCTCGACCTCTGGGGAGCAGAGGATCCAAATCGGTTTGAACTTAGTGTCGCGGCGCAACCATTGAAGGAACTGTGTGATGGTGCGATTGTATTGACTGGAATCACACGCGGGGTTACCGGGAATGATAACATAGTTGCTGGTACTAGGGACATAGGCAACAGCGGCACCGGTACTCATATCACGCCAGATCTTGTATCGCTCATCGAACCATGAAGTGGATGTTGCATCACCGTAGTTAGCAACAATTTGTTCCAAAGGTGGAAGTTCATCGGCGCTCTTGGCCACACCTCGGTGGTGCTCTCGCACCCAGACTGGTTCGATAGTTGAAGCGTCGGGATGACGAAGCTGTTGGACTGGAGGTTTGGCAGGTAGACTCTTAGGGTCGCGGTGGAACATCGAGGTCAGACGAATGTTGCCCACCTGCAGGAGGAGCATCAGCAGACGCTCGAGACCAACCCCAGCTCCAGCATGAGGCGGGGCACCCCAGCGGAATGCCTCCATGTACTCCTCCATCTCCTCGGGGTTGATGCCAACACCGCGCATATTCTCTTCAAGCATTTGAGGATCATGAATACGTTGGCCACCAGATACAATCTCTTGTCCACGCACAAACATATCAAAGGAGTTGGTGTATCGATCATCTTCGGGATCTGGCATGGTATAGAAGGGACGAGCGCCACGAGGGAACTTGTCTAGGATGTAGTAGTCGGTATCATATTTCTCTTTGATAAGCTGTCCCAAATGAATTTCATCACGGGTCGCCAGGTCTTCATCGTAGGGCAGTTCTTTGCCCTCCTCATCACGCCAGCCGGAGTCATTCAGCATTTTGATACCATCCGCAAAGCGAATGATGGGGGTTTGCTCTAGCCACTTAACATCTTCAGAGGGGAACTGGTGCTTTACAAGGTCAATCTCTCGGCGATACTTGGCATACACCCCCTGTAAAATGTTTTTGATAGTTGCATCAATTGTCTCAAGCATTTCATGGTAGTGTTCCTCGATCGCCATTTCAATATCAAGACCGGTGTACTCGGTCAAGTGGCGATGGGTGTTGGAGTTCTCGGCACGGAAGACGGGGCCGATTTCGTAGACGCGGCCGAAGTCAGCTGCAATGGCCATTTGCTTTGCCAGCTGAGGAGACTGGGCCAAAAATGCGGGACGACCGAAGTAATTGACCTGGAAGACACTGGCTCCAGATTCTGTAGCAGCACCTTGCAATTTAGGAGTGTGGATCTCAATGAATCCTCTCTCATCGAGAGCGCTTCGGAACAGATTGCAAGTGGCTGATTGGAGGCGGAAGATGCCTTGAGAAGTTGCTGTGCGTAGATCAAGCAGACGGTTGCTCAGACGAGTCCGGTCGGGAATGTGGTTACGACGGCCCTCGGCCTTTTCTTCCTCGTTGGTGCGGATCTCTGCCTCATAAACACTGAAAGGTACAGGCTCCTGGCGGTTGACGAGGAGATGCACGGACTCGATTGAAAGCTCAACATCATGGATGCTACAGCCAAGCACGGGCACCTCGGGCTTCTGGATCTTGCCACGAACCCGAACGAATGAGCCGACGCGCAAGTGCTCTGCCCATTGAATCATGGCAATGGAAGAGATTCCAGCCTTTTCATGTAGGACACCTTGGAAGGTAGCCAACTGTTGGCGAAAGACCAAGAAGACCAGCTTGGCACTCATGCGACGCACCACGTGCAAACGAGCCGTGAAGTAAACATCTTCATCGACCATGGCGGGGGTAATATCTTCCAGCGAAATGCGATTCTCCCGGAGTCGATCTTGCGACTGCATCAATGGGAGGTCTCCGTATCGCATCTTCATTTCAACGGTCTCCTCAGCGATCGCTTTGGCAATTTCCTCTTCTTTCCGGTGGTGGTCATTCTCGGTGAAGGCCTCTTCGCTGAGTCGACTTCGCTCATTGCGACGTTGTTCGCGTACCAATCGTTTTTGCTGGTTCTTACTGAGATGACCGGAGGAGGAATCATCTGAAAAGTCTTCGGAGGAGGAAACGTAGTCCCGGTCACGGAAAAAGTTACCCAGGATGCTTCGGCGCGGGGAGTGGGAATGGGAGGGAGAACCCGGCTCACGGGAAAGTGAGATTCGAGGCTTGTTGGGGGGTTGTGTTGATCCCACGTTGGAGCTGGAGGAGTCATCGTTCTCTCCGGTATGCCCTCGGAGAGCCTTGGACAAGGCCCGTTTAATAGACATGATGAACAAGGGTTTCCAGCATAAAAAAAACAACGGTACTGGGATGAAAGGGAGGAAAAAACCACAGGATTCCCACTGTATGTATATTAAAAGAGGGGTGTGGGAACTGCAAGCGGCGATCCTTCTCGGTCTATCGTCTATCAGCGTAAGCTTCCGAACCAAGAAGAAAGCTTAATAACACAATGCAGAATAAGCCCACTTACCTGGGAAAGCAAAAAAACAACAGATAAACCCGAAGATTTGAAAAAAGGGTTTTTTTTTAGGAGGCGAGAGAGTAGTAATAAGTTACTAGGAGAAGGTCAACAACATGCAGAACCACTTTTTTGAGTAATTCACAGTGAGTCCCAGCATGACATCATGAGCGTGCGGATTCCGGATTGGCCTCGGCCTTGCTAAGGAAACTAGCAGAGGAGGAGCATGATAAACAGGAACAGAAACCAGGTAATGAAATTCTTGATTTTGGTATGATGCTAGCTAGGTGGAATCTTGGTATACAAAAGATAAATTAAATCATGGACTCTTGGCGGTAGATAGAGAGAGCTCTTTACCGTATCTGAAGTCCCTCGTATTGTGCCCTCTATGTAACATCTATCTCTGTCCCGTACTTCCGTCCATTACAACAGGCCACGGTCCAACCTTCACAGCCTACTGTGTCTCCAACACTGGACTTTCGCCACCCAGCTTTTTGTATTTGCTTTCTTGCTCTTTCGGACTTGCCTTCCATTTAATCTCAACATTTTTACATTCTTCAATTACTTGTCTGTTTTTATTACTATATTTCTTCTCAATCCTCCAACAGCCTCCCATCCTTTACACTTCCTCACCTTATCGGACCCCGGGGGTCATGTACCACCGAATCCCGAGATCACCTGCTTGCGACATCTAAACGCCCAATTCCCTTCCCGATTAGACTTGAGACTTTCTCTCCGGGAATAAAGAAAAACAAAATATACATAACTTGATCCCCTTGAGCATTTGTCCAAGATGGCACAATCTCGCAGGTGGCTGTATGTCCAGGCCATCTTCTGGCGCTTCCTAATGCGCATCGGCATGTTCCTCCATGACATCGCTCCGCCGCGCGTCCCCAAGCCGTCTTTCACCCGCACCCTCCAACCCGATTCTCACGGCCGCGCCGTAGTAATTCACTTCTACTGCCCTCCCGACTATGATACGAGACGTCGTCTCGGTCACCGGTTCCCCGTCGCAGTCAACTTCCACGGTGGAGGCTTCACCCTCGGATGTGCCACCGATGATTCCCGCTGGGCAGCCGCCGTCGTGAAAGAAGTCGACGCCGTCGTCGCCAGCGTGAGCTACCGACGAGCCCCCGAATACCCATTCCCAACGGCAGTCGATGATGGTGTCGAAGCCCTGCTGTATCTAGCCGCCCACGCCTCCGACCTATCGCTGGATGTGAGCCGCGTCGCTCTGAGCGGGTTCTCAGCGGGCGGCAATCTGGCTGTGACGGTACCGTTGAGACTTCGGGAACGTATATCGTCGGAGATAAAGGAACACTTTGGTCGGGCGGAATCGACGCAGCATCTTGTGGATCAAACCAATGAGTTGAATATCGTCGCTATTTTCAGTTGGTATCCTATTTTGGACTATATGGAATCAAGGGATCATCGTCGTGCAATGAGTATTATGCCGGATAAATCGCTGCCGGCCTTCTTCACGGACTTGTTTGACGAAGCGTATATCCCTGATCTTGCCGATCGGGCTTCCCCATTTGCATCGCCCGTACGCGCCACCGATCGTACTCTCTCCGAAGCCCTGCCACGTGATGTGTTCTTGTTTATCTGTGAATGGGATATGCTCATGAAGGAGGGTCAGACCTTTGTGCGTAGATTAGAAGGTCTTGGGAAGCGTGTGCGTGCGATGATGATTGAAAAGGCATGCCATGCTTGGGATAAGTCGGCCAACCCGTTCCGTGATCAGGATAGCGTGGATATCCTTTATCGTGATGCATGCGCTTCGATGAAGGCCATTTTTGACCGGTAATCGTTTTTTTCCCCTTTCTTTCTTTCTTATTTTTACTACTATAGATTGCATGTCTTTTGTTAGCCTTGTCGGCATATTCAGCTGGCGTTCTGAGCATACATCATGTGGAACGGCGTTTGGCTCTAGCGTTGTGTTTTAACATTCATCCTTATTGAACATTCATACTGCTGTTTTTTTCTCGAGGTCAGGCGAATGTAAAGTAGAAAATTAGACTGTCAAACAAAAACTTCCCAGGTGACATACAGGTTGTCTTACATGTGTACGCCAGCGGAGTTTGTTCTGCACCTCATTGCTGCAAGGGCTCCCCCGTAAGGCCCCCAGCATTATCTACCCAATACCTGAGATACCTCCAGTCCTATATTGCAGTCAACGGGGTTGTCCTCTGTAAGCAATCTTCACCACGTGATATACCCTGATACACAACCTCCAGGGCTTGTATACACATTTAATTACTGTACAGCAAATAGTACGCATGATGCAACTTCGGAGAGGATGATCATTGCCATCAGGCCTGACACCTACAACCCCTCACATGTCATAGCCTGTATTCCGGACATGAACACACAACTTGGAAAGCAGAAGAAAATATTTCCCACAGCCATGATTGGCTGGCCCAAGGTCCCAGGAATGATTATGAGCAAGCAACTGTCCGAGCCTATCTACGATCGGCAGATCTGCACCGACAAACTTGAACCTGTCTCCACATACTTTGACGCCTTCGTTAGGAATCTGGAACCAGAACTCCATTTTTTCGTACATAAAAATGGGTTAGGGTAATTTCCTACCCCACTGGATGTTCCTGAGCATCAGCGTGATGTCATAAGGGACCTGATAAGTCCGTTTTCCTACTTTCCAACCCGATACTTGATCGAGAACCTCGGGAGGGTCAATGGTCATACGAAGTCCATCCACAATCCCCTACCCAGATATTGTGCAGTTCAACCAGTGCTTTGGGTGACATCTGCGGACATCAATTCTAGTCCATGAAAAGGTATCGACTGATATGTTTATGCCCCGTATTTCCAAAATCTTCCCTCGTCAGACCTTGGAATGGCGATGGGCTACCAAAGCAGCACATTCCCAAGCCCGAGTCCCTCCTCTTGAAGAAATCTCGCAGCAATGTTCTTTGAATGCAATGAATATAAAGTTGGGAATAAATTCCCAGGGTACCTAAACTAAACCAAAGCATTGCAAACATATCATAGCCAAAAAGTTCCCAGGACTTGATAAAGATCCCAACCACAATCTCTTGGAATATCACCTTACTAAAACCTAAAGTCGGGCAAAACGTAAACAATCAAAATAGCAAAAATATACAACCCAAAGATCCATACATAAAGCATCCTTCGCCCACACCACCCCTTTCCCTCTGACATCTCCCGCAATATCCCCATCCACTTTCCTAAAGCCTCCATAGTCGGCCCTGTCTTATCCATTCCCTGTGACCGCACGATCAAGCACAGACTGTGGGGCTGGATGAATACTATGTCCGGAGTCCGAGCTATACAAATTGTAAATAACGCCAAGCCAACTGTATTAGAACTTGGAATAATCATCAGTTTAATACCAAAAATGGATAAATGTCCAGCTTTAGGTACATGTTCAAGTTTCTACTGAATTCCAAGGTTCTAGGTATGATGATTTGTATGCGGAGATATCGCAGACATATATGGAAATGTCAAACGTTATTCGAGCACTAGGCCTTCGAGTTCAAGATACCGGAATTGATATTAACTTATCAAGTCTCGCTGTTGATGAATTAAATCCGTTCTGTACTTCTTCAGGGGGAGATCCAACCCGGCCCCTGCAGACTAGTCCTCGGGAGGGTTGGGACATGCACTGACCCAGGATCGGGAGGACTGCGGCGACGGCTAGTATTATGGACATTGTAAAACCAATCCTGAAATTTCTTTGGAGGACGAGGAACTTGAAGTTGAAAGCCTTGGGGCTTCCATGCGTATACTCTAGTAACCATGTACCTAACTGACTGGGGAACCATTTGCCGTCAGGGCACAATCAACCCCCATATTAGCTATTTGGCCCACCAGATTGACGGTTAGGGCCTACATTATCTGTGAGGCTCGATATTCGCGGGTTTAAGTTGAACTTGGTTCTTTATTTCGACTTTGTGAAGAGTTTTCGAGGTGTCTTTGACCTTGTTCTGTAATTGGTTCATTGTTTAGTTTTATCTATATCTATCCTATGAAGTATAGAGTCTATATCGCTCAAGTCTGCTTTGATTTGATTGGAGAAGATCGATCTAATACATATTCAGCATTATTTTCTTCGTTTATTTAGTAGGTGTGTGAATTCCATGCCCAGTCCATATTCGAATGTAGAAGGATCTGGTTAACCTCCCTCGGATCAACAGGAAGCAACCGCATTCGCCCATTGGCTTCAACTATAAATTACGATCAACTAGTTATAAATGTGAGGGATTGCGGGATAAATGAATACTTGATGCAGTTTGATATTTTTGTTTTGTCCGAATTGATTTTATTAACTAATTTCCTTTGAAGAAAGCCCTATATTCACATAATGGGCAAACAATTAGGCTCATCGTCGAGTCATTGCTGATAGTAACTTGCAGGCTATTATGGTAAAGGTCAGCCAAAATACCCATTACGAATTCTTGTTAGCCAGGGACTGATTGGGTAAGATGAGATAGTTGATCGTATGAGCGATAGAGCACAAGCACAATCACTGTAAGCGTATCTGAAAGAAGACAGAAAGAGCCAGCCTCTTCACCGAACTGACCCATAGCCATCAGAGAGATTTGTCAGTTCAGGACATTGATTCAAATCAATATGATCATTCCCATGCCAAAGAACAAAAGTCAAAATAGCAACCGTCAACGACCCCCACCAATCGTCAGAGCCTCAAGTAAACGACAACCCCGCCCCTTATACACGCCGACAAGCAGTCGGAATCATGACCCCTAGTCAAGACCAATATCCCCTAAAACGCCAAGGTCTGTTAAGTACTGCTACACGGAAATGAAGGGGAAAGCAAGTCAGACAGAACCAACCTGCGTACTGTACTATCGAGCATACTTCCCACAGTGAGGGCAGATGTGCTTTTTGGAATCGATAGAAGCGCCGCAATTCTTGCAAACAATGGTTGCATCAGTGGACTTGTTCACAGCCCTATATCACATCTGAGTTAGTCCTGTATCCTAACCTTCAATCAATACATCTCAACTAACTGTCTCTGTTCCTGAGCCATCTCGATGTAGATGCAACAGGTACTAACTAGTCAAGTCAATTTGTCTCTAATAGTCAATATCTCACTCGTCTGGTAGACCAAAGTAAACAGGGGTATCCTTATTTAACAGGGACCATGCCCTCTTTTATAATCATCTAATAGCGATACCGGAACTTCCATTCCTCGCTCCCAGGAAATGGTGATACCTACTACTAACATGCCTCGCTGACCGTGATACATCGGCGGAAAGGATAAAAGAAAGAAAGAAAAATTCAAATCAATTACTAAAGTACGAGTTCCTTCCAAGGACTTGAATATGCGAATGCCACGGTCTCCAGCCCAAATGACCTTGTATACAAGCCCAACGGGATGTATTTGGCCCGGAATCAATCGGACATATGCAGGCCCTAAAGTCTGTTTACTGGATGATAATTTGGAGTATGGACATGCTGTGTATAATCTGATTATTGAGTTCTTTTATATCTCTCTTCCATTCTGTAAATTCCCTTGTGTCTGCTTAGAATTTGAGCTATAATGTACCGGGTCTCAGGCTGGCCTATAGCTTGCCGGACTATAGAGCAGACTTAGGCTCGTGTCTGGGCCTGAGTGGGGGATTCGGCTAATGATCTGGGAACACCTGGCAATGAACTAAAACTTACTTACTCTGGCCACTGCGTATATATTCGATTGCTTGCAGATACTTGGTTTTTTTTCGAGTTCACGTTAGCCATTTTGTCTTCATCGAAAATACATCCCTGTATTTCTGTCGCTTTTAATTGGGTAGCATATAGTAATGAGTGCATCGCTGTTCGAATGCTTGTTAACCGTCCGGATATTTTAGATAACTCATCCACTATCGCACAGTATCTATCGCACAATAGAGTTCCCAAAGAAGAGTCCTGCATTGATCGCATCGGACCGTCTGCAGATAAGCGTGTGAGCAAATCTGCTGACAATCTCAGGCTTGACATGAAATTCCAGGATATACACAACGCACGGATATGGTTGAGCCTCGGGCCGTCACCCGATAAATTCGCGAGATTGATAGAGTTCGCCTCCAAAACCAAACTACCAGTTGACCAAATAGATTCATGTCACTAGAAATGATACCAGATAGACGATTCCAGAGTCCAAGTTCTAGACCCCACCTCCAACAGCAGGTCTCGACCAGGTACGGTAGTCCTCAGATGGATCCGTGGAATTTGAAGATCTCAGCTGATCTATTCTTCAGCCCTAAGGCTTCAAGTTTCGGTCATTACTAATCCCAGTCGCATAAAAAAGGGCCCATACATAGTCCAGGTATTTATCATCTATCGCTAGCCGGTTGGAAAATGTATTACTTCATTGCTTTATCTAACGCAAAGCCTCCGCGCCCGCTTTTCTCGTGGGTAACGTAGCATTTAGCTTATTACTTTGCACCATGATGTGGATATGACGTGCGCACGATCTAATCTCTTTATATTATGAACTAGGATGCCGAGGCCGAGGCCGTCTCTTGGATTGCAGGGAGGCAGCGAGGATCTGCCGTAGTACCAGTGTTACTGTTACTCAGAGCGAAGGCAACCAGTCAGCTGGAGTATCCTACACCTCTGGAGCAAGGACATGGATGTGAGGTAAACTTGAAGATGAATGCAGCACATGGACGATTGATGGCTCTAGATCTTCATCTGATTGTTATTACTTGTATGCTGTACAAGATAAAACGAAGATCTGAATTTCGCGGTTGGATCTGTGGACTACCGAGCTGTGTAGCTGGCTGGACTCACTTTGAACTCAGGGTTGAAGGACACACCGTATGCTTCCATATGCTAATCTATTGCAGGGAATCTTCAGGCTGAGAGGCGGTGCGAACGCAGTATGATACCTGTTACCCAGGCCGACCGTTATAGAAATTGCAATAATAATAAAACTTTTCCATTTTTTTCTCCTTACGAGCTATGGTGGGTGTTATCGTAGACAAGCAAATCGGGGTAGATGGTCATCAAATTCCACACATGAATGAGGAGACGTCAACAGATATCAAAAAATTGTATCCGAACTTTTGTGTCAGAAAATGTCAAAGCAAATGAAATGTCCCAGGCGCCACGCTTAAAAACAGAGATGAAGTGCAGTAGATCTAGCGCCATGATGCGTACAGTAGATAGAGAAATGAAATAAAACAACAGCCACATGGTTTATTCTTCGTCAGTTGCAGTGGCATCGTCCCCTTCGTCATCATCCTCGTCTGCCTCACTGTCGGAGTTTTCATTATCGTCCAAGCCAGGAATGCCACGCCATTCGACATAGTCGCCTTCCAACCAGCGCCGACTTCGGGGTAAATGGTATGGATCAAAGGGGAAGTATGCATCGAGTTGATAGCCAAGATGGTCACTTGCACGAATTTCACGAGAGACCTGGGCACTTGCGAGAGTAGCAATGCTGCGGAAGGCGGTGACGCGAAGGCGCTTGTTGGTCTCGAGGAGCGGGTATACATAGAGCAATTGGAAGTGATTGGCAATGCGTGCAAACTGGGTCACGATAGTAGGAGAGCAAATCTTAAGCGGGTTAAGCCGCGAGTAAATAGCCCTGTGCAGATACTCTTTGACGTTGGGTGGGAAGGTTATTTGACTCGGTTCAAGCTCATCGATTTGATCCTCGCTATCTCCCTCGATAGCTGCGTTTGTCAAATCACGCCAACGGAAACAAAAGATATAGAACACCGCTTGAGCAGTAGAGTAAAATGGGGCAAAGCATCGAAGATCCGGACCACGGCAATTGGGTTCGTAGTCCGATTGTAGGGTGTCCAAGTGAGTGAGCAGGAGATCGAATACATCACGCACAGCCTCGCCAGGAATATGGGCACCGCGAGCGACGTAGCTTGCCAGATAGGCCGCTGCAGACTGGCGTGTCAAACTAGGTTGCAATTTGCTGGAGATGATCTCAATACACTCGGTAGCAAATCGGTCAACAAGTTCCGGGGATGATTGTGAAAAGTGGAAGAGAAGGAATTGTGAGTGGCGGGACTTGTAGGTAGGGAGAATAATGGAACGGAAATGGCTGATGAGAAGATCCAAGATGTTCTCTTTATCGTCTCCACTGGCAGCAGCCTGGAAGGAATCCGAGAAAAATTCGAAAAGGATATCGAGGATACCGTCAACTTTGTGGACGTTTGACTTGATTGCGGTGGAGCGCTGATCATCCTCATCCTCGTCATCACTGAGATCGGAGTCGGAGTCGTCAAGTTCTTCCTCTGCGTCCGGGGCTTCTTCAAGTAGGAAGTTTTCTCCAAATTCATCCTCAACATCTTCCAAATCAATCTGAATCTGCACATCTATCTTGACAAGTCTTTCTGTAATCAAGGCAAGAATATCAGACTGGAGCTCGGGCGCGTAGGTGGTTATTCTGATAAGGTTGCGTGTATAGGCGATGAAGTTTTTGGCAGCATCGGGGTCAGGAGGAAATTGTTGAATCAAGACTGGTGACAGGCTTCCACTTCCAGCAGGAATGAGGCGCATTAAATGTCGTAGAGCCAAGTGGATACGACTGTAGATTTCAGCAGGATTGACGGGAGGGTAGTCGGGAAGTTTTCCAGTGCCATTGGGGATTCCGGAAAGCTTGCTGGTAAGCATTCTGAAAATTTGAACAAGGTAGGTACCCTGTGCAGCGGCCAAGTTGCCCAGGAATCGGATAAAAAGTTTTACATAGGCTTCGTCTCGGCCTAACCATTCGCTGTTGAGCACAGCTTGCACCAGACTCGAGCAGTCCCGATCCAAAGAGGCGACATGAGAGAGGAGACCCATCAAATGATTCCTGAGGTCGGCATGTGACGGTGTGTACCATGACTGCCCGCTCGAGTCTGGTTTTCTGGGGTCGAAAGCAAAAACCTGCTTGATTCGGTCATAGGCCTCGCTATCCCCAGCGGTAACATGGCGATGAATGGCCCGACGTACTTCTTCACGAATAACCGCTGCACTCTTCCCCGGGGTGGTTGGAGGAGGTTGCTTTCCAGGTTTACTTCCATCCAGTGGAGAGAACGTTCGAATGGAATCATTTTCATTCCAGGTGACTCGAGGACGTTTGGCGGGGTGTTGTTCGGAGGGTCCGTCGGATGGAGGGGGAGAGATTGTCATTTCGGAATCGTCAATTTTGCGCTTCATACTGTTCTGCTTGGTGGATTTAAGTATGGATACAGGAGATGATGTTTGAAGCATTTTTGTTCGATGGATAGAGGGTGTGGCACTGAGGGCCGGTGAATGGGAAGTGGCAACGGAGACCATGGCCGGGATTCTAAGACTTCAGATATCGCAGTACAGAAACAGGAGACTGGCGAGTGATTGTCATCTGCCGGGTAGCACCTCCAGTGGATGCAGAGGGAACAACTCGACACGGTGAATTGAAGCCAAGGGGGAGTCAAGCACACGACCGCCTGGTCGGTCTGATTATCGCTTTGTGCTACAGGGGAAAGGGACCGGACTCCTAATGAATGTCTGTATTCCTGAAAATTATTCCAGTTGATGGAATGAATGGACGGATAAGATGCCGAACGTGTCGTGAAGCATCGAATCTAAGCGCTGAAGTGACAAGAAAAAAAAACTGCACTGAATTTGTTGTGGGGCTGCGGAGAGCCCGTGACCGTGCTCCATACGCTAGTCTATTTTGGGCAATATTGGTATTATGTCATTTGGTTCTTAATGTCTGAGGCAACAATGCACACGACTACACTAACTATGTACTGTACAAGGCAACTTGATTGTATTCGAACAATGTGATGGCTGAATTGATTTTTTTTTGGAAATAATTGGACTATAAAACATCACGGTAGTTGGAAATTTTCATGTACTCAAAACCGAATATATTGAACACCTTAATGTGATAGCCCTGTCCAAAATCTAAACAGATAGGTGATAGCCCATACATGGGAGATACGTGAGCCATGACAAATCGCGATAATATCAAATGAACAAATCACGAGGACATAACACTGTTGGCGTTGCACAAACAGCAGTAAACATAAATCAAGAAGGGGAGGAATCAATACAGGGAACTCGATAGGCTCCTCCGATGGTATAGTGCGAAAGGGGAAAATCAAAAAAAGCAATAACTAGTCGTCAAAGAAGGAATAAGAGTTGGTCGTAGCGGGCGTCGCAGATAGAGACCCAGCCCTGTCAAAGACACCACGGAGTGGCTCTATGAAGTATAACCCGGCTCAGCCGGGTGCAGGCGGATTATCAAAATGTTTATAGCCAGGGATTTGAAGTGGTTGCGCATCCTAACTTGTCGTTGAAACAATTACCGTAGAGTTCTTCAATTTCTTCGAGGTAATCATCGACGGTAAACTTGTATAGTCCTTTGCGAGAAAGAATCATTTCTTCCTCATCCAGAACGTATGGGCTGCCAAACTCTTCGGCCACTTCGTTAACCTGTTCCAACTCTTTGCTGAATGGGTGCATCTCCGGCCTGAATATCTCCTGCGATGCGCGAATTGCAGGAGTGCTGCGTGGCGATTTCAAAGGCGGGGGTGACATTCTTGACTGCGAGCGCTTGCGAGCGAGGTCTTGGTGAGATCGCTTGGTATGGGACAGCGCCCGCTTGGGTACCATTGGAGCGTCCATTGATGAGGCAGAGTTCAGGGAAGAGCGTGGTTGACTGGTGACTGTAGCCGACCGTTTAGGAAAGTAGGAAGAAGGACCGTCGATGGGGGAGCCGTCGTGGGCAGAACCCTCAGGTGTGGTGACAGAAGAAGCGTAACTGTTTGGGGATACGGCGATTTCTGAATCGTCGCGCGACCGCAAGGATGATGCAGAAGACGAATGGGGCGAGCTGACATGCACATTTAAGTCGGGCGCGTTGTATGCGAGCATGTTGGTGGTCGAAATAAGTTGAACGGGTCCAGAGATATTGCCACGTTTGATGGAGCCGGAATTAAATCTGGTATGTGTCTTGACATGTTCTTCGCCACGATATGGCATGGGCGCCGACACTTCTGGCCGCTTGTGGCGCTTGGTAAATGCGCGAGTGAGGGTCGACATGATGAATTCAAGTTGGGATGAGTTGATCTACAATCTGAACACGAATGCGATAAATTTGGAAATAGAGCAACAAAGAAATCCCCAGTTCAATGGGAAAGTTTCTTTGTTTTATTTTCTTTGGTCGAATCCGATCAATCTAATCTCGCGTGGGAGATGATAGCGGGATGCGGAGATGGCGAGGAATGAAGATCAATACTCGGAATGTCCGTTATCAGCAAGATCGCAGTTTTTGAGACGTTCGAGTTGGACTTCGTGTCTTGCACAGAAGTTTAGAATGAGTGGTGAGGCCACAGAATAATTTTGCACAGCAAAAAGCAACGAGGATGTTGGCGCTCTTTTTTGGTTCCCTAAGTGCAGGGCTAGGAATGGGCGTACAACCAGGACGCGCCAAAGGGGTTTTGGTTAAAAAAGAATTCAAGAAGATAAAAAGGAGTCCAGGATCACAGATCACTGTATTATCATAGACTGTAGAGAAAGAGAATGGAAGGGAGAAAGAATGAAGGAATCCCTGAAGTCAAAAAGAAAAGGCAAAGGGGGGTTGGAACAGGAAGAGAGAGAGGCAAGGGTGTGAGGACTCGACCAGCTGGGATGTACCTAAACCGCGGGCGCTTGCTGTTCGGGACTTCCAATCACCAACGGACCACCAACCCAAATCTTTCGCCCAAGTGTCCACTTTAATTACCGTCCCAAGGTTTTTGTTCGTTCGAGCCCACTCTACCCGCTGGTAAAAATTGTTGTTGGCTCGGGTTCAAGGCATCTAGGCTTTCTCAATGGCTCGCGTGGCGAACATGCGTTCTTTCCCACAGGGTTGATTCTCCATGAATCCCCAATTCTACTCATATTCTACGAATGGGTCTGGTTGAAGCCCCATTTTTATTCCTCCCTCCTTCGAGGAGACTCCGGTCCTACTGTCCGTGCCTAGAGTAGAGGGGGCGCATAACGGAGACCATTGCTACATTGTCATGGGGGGATTTCCTAGATCATCCGCTCCTCCCGATGCCCAAGAGACAGGGGTGAAAATGTACCAGATGGGCATGAACATTGACGTGTATGAAAATATTCGGCATACAAAGCGCACGTCACACATGAGTTGTTTGTTACAGGGCGCCATCAATGTCCATCAGACCCAAAAAATGCGGGAACAGAGAGATCAAGGGTTTCCGACCCATATAATGGAGGTATTGTGACGCAACAAAGCAAAGCTACGGTATTTTTTTTCTTTTCCTTTTCTGTGTGAGTTGGATTAGCTTCGAGGGATTCCCCCGGGGTCCGTTTCACCATCGCCCCATTATCAGCCGTTCTCATACTGAAAAAAAAGCCTACGCTCCATCGGATGGATCGCCAGGTCCCAGGCACGGCCGGTAGGAAGCAGGATGGCCAATCAGGCTTCGCAGAAACGCGATCCGACGCCGCCAGCGTGATCCTGGTACGACCGGCGCTTGGAGGCTGCAGGGCTTGCAGGGGCTGCAGCACCTGATTGATCCCCGTGGTCGCGACGGTGCTTTTCGAGTTTTTGCAACTGGACTTGTGAGGGGTTGATTCCCTCGTGGGTCACTCACGTTGGTGGGCTCATGTGGGCTGATGTGGACCCTTCGCTCTATCTTAAATCTTCGTGGATAGGACTTGTCTCGACTCGCCTTCTCTCCCATAAGATAACACCAAAGATCTACAAATGTATTTCCCTATATCTCCATCTGCTTATTAGAGGCTTGGAACTCAAACTTACCAATAGGTTAATGGTATCAAGAAAGAAGAAAGATTGCACTCCAAAATAATTTGTTATGAAGCATCAAAATCATGGTACCTACGTACTACGTAGTATATCCATAAGCCTTAAGGATCGGATATGCCGGAATGATTATTTTCATGCGTGATCTGCGCGAAGTTTTGAGGTAGTATAGTCATCCGTCGAAAGAAGAGGGGGAAAAGAAGCACCAGATCTGCAGATCGCAACTTTTGAGTCGTCACTCATCGGGGTCACGGTCATGAGCCGATCCTTCAAGTTGACGCCCATATACTACTGGAACTTGAAGCACTGGCAGTTCAAAAATGTCGAAGGTACACAATGGCGATGGGTAACACTGGGCCTAAGGCCACATATATGAGCTAGGATGCCAATTCAAATAAATACATACTAACGGTCTTTCGAATTACTGGCTGGTTGTGCCAACCGGGATTCCGGGTTTTTACGATTTTGTAATAAAAAGAAGCAATAAAAGCTCTAGATATCTTTGGTTTCTTTTGCCATAGTGATCAGGTCTAAAATTCCCCGTTTGCTTTTTGCGAGAGTGGTTCTTTCGCATGGGGGTACTTGATGTAACTCCCATCTTCATACAAATTTACATATGGTCCGTGCAAGGATGATGAAACGGGCGGAGGTTATTTTAGACCGTCGCGGGTTGAGTGCAACCCCATATCTACTCCATAGTGTTACCTTGAATTTACGATTGGAAACCTCAACTGTTGCAAAATCGTTCTTATTAAAAGTAAATACTGGATTTGTTTCTTGACAACTCTGCAGCTTTAACTCTTGCAGGTTCGCTGCCAGTAGCTCCCATGACGAGGCTGTCATCGGGGTCCCCGCTCAGCGACGGCGCGACACCGGCGGTCCCCGACCCGACTGCATCATGCACATACCCAGGCGATGACCCAATTGCCTGAGGATATGAATGATTTTCGTACGGACTCCGCATTGAAACTTCATTCTGGGATTGCCAGGTATAAGGTGTTGGAATTTCCTCAATTTCTCCATCCACAGAGCTGCGGGTCCGGTTATCATGCTGTCCGATTGGATTTTCATCGCCCCGTCTTGGAGCTCCGACAGGATAAGCGGACGAAATATTGTTTAAGGTAAATTGATCAGAAGTTTGGTTCATCCAATGCTCCATATCTGGCCAATTTCGTAGGGGAAGTTTGGACCACTCTTCCATACGTGTTGACTTGGGCCGTTGTTCGTCTGCTTTTGTGGCAGGCTGAACTATTGGGACATTTCTCAAGTTGCGAAGAGTAACCAAGGCCCCGTAAAAAGCTGCTTCGGTTTCCGCTAGTCTTTGTTCAAGTTGATTAAGATACCCAAGCGGTAGTCCTCTGTAGTGGTCAGTGTCTGCGTCACTTCCGATGAAATAAACTCTGTCCTAGAAATGATAGATCTCACCTCTTTCCACTTTCAGGATATACACATCTAGATGGCTCACTTGAGCATTGCGAGCAATGAGGGCTATGTAATGAACTTTTCAGTGTTTTGGACTTCGGTATATTCATTTTCCTCGGCGGGAGAGCGTACAGTTTCCGATCGCACTGGATTCAAATCAATATTTATGTGGACCTCGGGACCATTTCGTGGTTATGTGAACCTACCTTGCATTTCCTTTGCCTACACGTTTCACAAGAAATAGGATTCAGATCTTCAGGAAGTTCTTTTTCTAAACCCTCGAGCATCATCAGCCAACAATTGAGACCCAGCCTAGTAGGCTTGGTGGGCGATTTTACCTGTTTCATCTGACAAGATATTGCCCCAAGCTCGCGGTCTTTTTGATTTCTGTGAGCCCATCCTTGCTATCCCGGTGAAGGCTTATAGTATGATAAAATGTAGGTCCAAATACGAGGATGGCATGTACGTCAAGTGAACCGTTGCCGATCTAGTTAATATGATCGAGTACCAGAAGGCAAAACGTCGTCCGGACAAAGACACCTCCGGCAGCGGATGTCACGTGCAGCAATGTACTAAGTTGTATATTTACATCCAAATGGATTCTACGGATGTGGCCGAAAATATCTCAGATACTGTCAGGCGAATTAATCAATCTGTTCCATGGTCTAGAGTGGAAAATTCATTTCAAGTTTCTGCGATGAACTGAGGATTAGTGTTGGTAATAAATAGCATGCACATTTGAACCGATCTGCTTACTAAGCCAAACAAGAGGCCGCGATCGCAACGCACCATTTGAATGTTGAGGTCACACTGCATGCTCGTCTTGGCAATCACTGGGGAAATGTAGGACGAAGGTACTAAGATGGCCTCTCCATCTTCAATTAGTACCCGTTTGGAAGAAAACGACACCGATTGGCACTATGGAACTCGAGCAGCAAAACGACATAAGCGAGCCTCGATTGCGAGCGCCTCAAAGCCATCTCCCCGCGAGATCGGCTTTATGAGAGAATCTCAGAATGACGGCTGCGCCAGTTTTCTCGGAAGTTCAAGCGGAATTCATTTCATTCGACATGTGTATAGTGCGTTCGCACGCCGTTCGGCAGATCTTCAGCAGAACAGAGCTCGGGATAGGAGTTCAGTGCCCGGAGAAGACGACCGATTGCAACGCGACCCCGGGAACTATTTCGACACTGATGATTTATGGTTAAATGAAGAACTGGACTCGTCATTAAATAGCTCATTCTCATTTGAGAATCTTGTCCATTGGACTCGTGGCTACTTTGAGAACTGGCATCCCATATTCCCCTGCTTGCATGCACCGACCGTCTTAAAAGCCATGGAAACCCTTGCCCACCAAGGTGTGAATTCTATCAGCAATCTCGACCTAACTATTATTCGCTGTCTTGTTTCAATATCCTTGTCAGATAGTCGACAGATTGAGGCTCGCGAGCTAAAGATAGGGCCGGTTCCCACCTCTTTAGTGTTTCAAAGTGTGCAGCACATAATGCAAGAGATACATTGTCTACTAGCAGAGCCAACAACATTACCGTTATTACAAGCTGCCTTCACAGCCCAGTTGACGTTGGCTTCTATCCTCCGCCTTAATGCGGCATCTCGCGCGGGAGGAGTAATCACACGATCTGCTTTTCACCTAGGTCTACACCGATGCCCAGGAAGATTCGCATGCTTCAGCAACGAAGAGATCGGCATTCGAAGACGTCTATTTTGGTCTATTTACTCTCTTGAGAGATATTTATCGCAAGCTCTGGGGGCCCCTCTCAGCATCCGGGATGACGACATTGATGTTTGCTACCCGGGAGCTGAAAGACATGTTGCTCCAACTTCCCGCCCTCCTGATACCCAGCGCCTAAAGTTACTCTCCCACCTTGCGAAATTTGCCAGAATTAGAGGATTGATTCTTGAGCTGCGTAACAAATCTATTCTGCATAGCAACTCTGGTGCGATGGAGGCATCACATGTTAACGGCGAGCTTTCACAATGGTGGAACGAAGTTTACGACGATGTAAACCCTATCGAGGAAGATTTAAATGTTGAGCTTGAAGATGGACCGGCACTCGCTCCATATCACCGCCTTTTACTGGTGGTACTACGCCACGAAGCAATAATTTCTATGAACAGACCCCTTCTTGCGGCTGAGAAGCCTAGCCCAGACTACAAGAATGCTTTGCAAACTTGTATTGGTTCTTCAAGGTCTTTGCTTGCTGCTTTAAAGAAGTACATGTCTTCTTCATCTAGCGCCCCACTCACCTGGCCATCTTTTACCTGGACAACGTGGATGGCATGTCTCATTTTGATGTATGCATCATGCGAAGGCGAATTTCCTGTTTCAACGGCCATGAAATATGCTGCAATGGGAATTTCCATACTAAAAAATATGGCACTTCGCGGTAGCAGCTGGCCAGAAACATGTATTGAGGCGATCGGAAGCATGGAGTCGGCTTTGCTGTCAGATAATTCCGGTTCTCACAATGATCCCTCACCTAATCTTCCCGATGCCGAGAAACTTGCCCTCCAGAATCAAGCGAGGCCTTCAACATTCGATGGCAGATCCGCTCGTACCAGGAACCATCCGTCAGCGAGTAGAACCTCCGCGCCTAATCCCTATGATTCGCAAGGATCAAATATACCCCAAAACGTCTCTTTAGCGAGGACACAGCCTCTCGGAAGATTTCTGGATCCAGCTGTGAATATCAGCGATGCTAGAGAGCCATCTGAATGTGCTATAATATCCCCACCGGATAATCCAAGTGGTGGGGTAGACGCATCTTTCGTCGATGGACCTTCGTGGAACGGCCAATCCTCAGCTGGTCTCATCTTTGGCAACGTTGCAAACTCAAATGCACCATTTTATCCGGGCACGGCAGGTCAAGAGTCCTTGCCTTTCTCAGATCCATCTCTATTTATGAATGACTTTTGGAGTGTGGCAGATGGACCGTGGATAATTGATGGTAATCTATTATGATCTTGGGAGTGGAGGCTCCCCATGCTATAATACTTCCACCTGTATATCTGTACATCTATCAACCTAGTGAAAATAAACATAATCTTAGAACATTGAATAAAGCATATGAACTCGATAACTACATTTAGTATGTGGAAGACATTCTAGTAATCCTTCGCTCTTTATCCAAAACTACCCGCAACTGCCCTTTCTCCCCGCCATCAGCAAAGAATCCCTTTCTTAACTGATTCAAATACAGCTCGTACGCTGGCATATAACCCTTCACGAATTTGACAACGCTTTCATCAGACATTCCTTCGTTTTTAGCTTTCCACATAGCATGTTCTTGTTGGAGACGCCATTCATATACATTGACAAGATCATCCGTATCTAGATGTATCAAGTAGTTGAAATGCTGAGGGCCCATGAATGATTGACAATATTGCCGAAGATGACCATTGACTTCCAAAAGGTTCTGAATGGAATGATCTTTCAATGTATGTGTGGAATAATGTGATTTAGATTCCATCTCTGCAGCCTGATGCCATTGTGATCGAAGCTGATCCTCTTCAAGAGGCTGGAATCCAACACACCACCCTTCAAAGATGACTATATCAACCGCCTCACTTGCGGGAATGCGCTTCCACTTTTCACAAGGCACCCTTCCACCCTCCCCATTGAAAAGACTTTTATCAAAAGATGGTAGAAGAATGTCTTTCAATGGATTCATGAGGCTTTTGAAAAATTGAAGAGATAAATCCGTGTCGTGGGTTCCCGGTTGTCCACGAGTTTGTAGCAACTTATTGGGTGGCTGTCTTTCGCGCAGCTTGACAAGACGATCGTGGTCAAGATAAAGATCGTCCAGAGAGATGTTTATCGTGTGGTAATTGTGTTTGTCGCGAAGAGTACTGACGAGCGCATCTGTCCATGTAGATTTGCCGCTGCCTTGAAGGCCAGTTAAGCCGAGGATGAAAGGAGGCTTGATCGCATTGTTGGAGATAGAACTGACATGGGCCTTGATATGAGATATAACATGTTCCAAGACTTGATCAACGCTAGTTGAAGGAATCATCGGCATTTTGGCACTGTAGAGGTGTTGTTCTGGGGGCCTCGAGCGAATCTTTGTTCTGAGATCAGATGTGGACCGGCCTGAAAGCAATCAACTGATAGATTACTATTAAGCTAAACTAATTCGCAGCTTGCATTTCGCCTCCTGCATATATCGGGTAAAATCTGCGCCTACTTGTTCTAGCGTCCATGTTAACAGCATCCCTTTCAACCACGGCCCCACTCGGACATGTCTTTGTCCGTCCATTCCCAATACTGCGTTCCCGCCACCAGCAGGCAAAAATAGTCAGTCTCCAGGCGGCTAGCACGGACTTGCAAAGCTCCGAAACATCGCCCTCAGAATGCCCATTGGTCAGAATACCCAATGTCTTCCTGAGTTGGTCTCCATTCGAGACCCAGCAGCAGGACGACTAGAACAGGAAACAAAAGGCTTTAAATCCCCCCCGCATGCTCAAATTTATTACCCCTCTACCACGCGTCATTCCTTGACTTAACAAGCTATCCTTTTCCACATACCACTATGTCGCCTTCTACCCTTCCAAGTAAAAAGACCTACAAGATCGCCGCTATCCCGGCCGATGGCATTGGTCCCGAGGTTATCAATGCTGGTATCACAGCACTGAATGCTTTGACCGATACCCTCCAGACATTCAAGCTGAACTTCAAGAACTACGACTGGAGCTCCGAGACTTACAAGAAGACTGGAAAATACATCCCGGACGGTGGTCTCGATGAGTTGAAGAAGCACGATGCCATTTTCTTTGGTGCTGTTGGTGCTCCAGGTAAATTCTTAAATCTACGAAGTTTTATCTGACTGCAGAAGTTCTAACAACCAAGATAGATGTTCCTGACCATATCTCCCTGTGGGGTCTCCGTTTGGCCATTTGCCAGCCTCTGCAGCAATACGCCAATGTGCGTCCTACCAGGGTCTTCCGCGGTACCGAGTCTCCTTTGCGCAAATGCAAGAATGGCGATTTGGACTGGGTAATTGTCCGTGAGAACAGTGAGGGTGAATACGCTGGACAGGGTGGCCGATCTCACGCTGGTAAGCCTTGGGAGGTCGCGACCGAGGTCTCCATTTTCTCTCGCCATGGTGTTGAGAGAATCATGCGCTTTGCATTCGAGACCGCCCAGAAGCGTCCACGAAAGCTTCTCACTGTCGTCACTAAGAGCAATGCCCAGCGCAACGGCATGGTTCTCTGGGATGAGGTCGCCAAGTCTGTTGCTGAGGACTTCCCCGATGTTACTGTTGATAAGATGCTGGTTGACGCCATGACTACTCGCATGGTTCTGAAGCCCGAGAGCTTGGACACCATCGTTGCCACGAACCTGGTAAGTTTAAGCTAATGATATTATACCTGTTTTTGAGCTGTTCACTGATTTTAATTTAGCATGCGGATATTCTTTCTGATCTTGCTGCCGCCTTGGCTGGATCCATTGGTATTGCCCCTACCTCCAACCTAGACCCAACCCGCGAGTTCCCTAGTATGTTTGAGCCTATCCACGGCTCTGCCTTCGACATCACTGGAATGGGTATCTCCAACCCTGTTGCCACTTTCTGGACAGCCGCCGAGATGCTTGCTTGGTTGGGCGAGGAGGATGCATCTAAGAAGCTCTTGGACTGCGTTGAGAACGTCTGTGAACATGGTGTGCTCACTCGTGACCTGGGTGGTCAAGCGACTACCAAAGAGGTCACTGATGCTGTTGTGGCAGAGATTAAGAAGTTGGGATCGACAAAATAAATGGCTCGGGGCTGAATTTTAAATGTAAAGATCAAAGATTAAATCAGACATGAACGTGAATCAAATGGATTTAAAAGATATGAATTGAATCTTCGGAATCTTCGATATCTTCGGCTCAAAATATAGCCTGAACTAATTCTTTTCCATTAACATACACCCATCGTACAACTCGAGCTACATAGAGCTTGAAACTCTCTTGAACATTTGAAGACTCCCAAGATCATTACATATACGTACATGGTTTCAATGTTTGAGATGCAAATCCATTCGGTTGTTCGAACTTGGACAGATAGCTATTTTTCCTTGATTATATCGCTTTTTGAACTTGAAATTGACAATAGCATAAGTCTACGGACATTGATTTCGCCAGAAACACACTCGGACATAGCATCATCCGAAGGAGGCGAACCACGCCCCACGCCGGTCTCTTTACGCTAGATTTATTGACATACTTTGCGGGGAAGCTTTGGTCCGTTCCCCCAATTTTATGGGGTCCCCAGGCTAATCTACGACCCACCAAAGGGGGAAATGTGGACTATGTGCGTACAGCAGAATTTCTTGAAAATAATATAAAGCCCACTGTGAATTTAGCTTGATAGCTCGTGATTTATTCTCACTCTCCGTTATTTCTCATCCACTCTAGCCGGCATTGCACTCATAATGGTGGTTCAAAATTTACTTTCCCTTACAGGTAAATCCCTGTGTCTAGCTCAAATCATCCTAGTTGTCGCCCCGGCTTTTATTGTTTTCGGATACAACCAAGCTGGAGTTGGTCCTCTGGCAACCCTTCAGAGCTGGGTTCATATGTTTCCTCAGATCGATTCAATCAACACTACAGGTGCCGTGAAAGCGAAAAACTCTACAGGAAAGGGTGCTGTCATTGGCTCCTTTCAGATTGGTGCCTTGATCGGTGCACTCTCTTGCACCTTCTTGTCTGAGCGTCTTGGACGACGAAAGACGATCTTTATTGGCTCCATCCTGACAATTATCGGCGAACTTCTTCAAGTCTCAGCGTACTCACTTATACAATTCACAGTCGGTCGAGTTATCCTGGGTATGGGTGTTGGTCAGTTCAGTGTTGCAGTTCCTGTTTGGCAATCTGAATGTTCCTCGGCCAAGACTCGGGGCCAGAATGTCATTACTGCTGGTATGTTCATGTGTCTTGGATATGCTCTTTGCAACTGGATCGACTTTGCATTCACCCATCTTCCTGATACGAATAACGGTCAATGGCGAGCTCCTCTTGCCATCTCACTACTTCCTTCGCTTATCATCTTGATATCGGTTTTCCTTCTTCCGGAGTCTCCACGTTGGCTTGTTCGTGTTCACAGAATCGAGGAAGCGTCTGCAAACCTGGCAGCTTACAAGGGTCTCTCTGTCGACCATGATGCTATCAAGTCTGAGATTTCCGGTATCGAGTTATCCCTGGAAGCCACAAGCCAATCAAAAGGTGCTATTCGAGAGATGTTTTCAAAAGATGATACTGAACGTCTATTCTACCGTTTCTGCCTTTGTATTGTGCTGCAGTTCTTCCAGCAGATGTGTGGTGGAAACCTCATTTCGGTCTACGCCTCAACAATTTTCAAGAACAATTTGAACATGAGCTCCAGCCTTTCTTCTATCTTGGCTGCATGTGCTCTTACCTGGAAGTTTCTATGTTGCTTTATCTCATTCTTCGCTATTGATCGACTTGGACGACGCGCGGTGTTCATGATAAGTGGAACGGGCATGGCGTTCTGTATGGCTGCTTTAGCCATCACGACCAGCTTTGGTTCTGGTAACCAACATGCATCAATAGCTTCGGCCTTCTTTATCTTCCTTTTTAATCTGTTCTATCCTATCGGATTCTTGGGCGGCAACTTCTTGTACTGCACAGAGGTTGCGCCGGTCCGCCTGCGAGTTGCCATGGCATCTATTTCCACCGCAAACCACTGGTTGTGGAACTTCGTTGTTGTCATGGTCACCCCGGTCGCCATTGATACCATTGGATATCGATACTATATCATGTACGCGATTCTGTCAGCTTGCATTCCTGTTTTGGTATACTTCTTTTACCCAGAGACCATGAACAGGAACCTGGAGCTGCTGAACCACGTGTTCCGTGATGCTTCTTCTCCATGGGAGATTGTATCAATGGCACGTCATTTGCCGCAGGGTGAGATTACCGAGGCTGAATTCGTTGCCCACAACATGGAGAAGGGAGATGGATGCTCTGTGGAGATGAAAGAGAATGTTTGAAATCGATCTCTTTGCTTTGGGTAGTTAGCCCTCTAGCATGATCTGTAAATAGTGATCCGAATATGGGCGAACTAGTAATCAATCTATTTTTGCCAGCTACACTCATAAATCGACAAAATCAGCGCAAAGTAGCCTGAACCGTTCATTTTCAAGTTCATGATCTTTTGAAAGGGTGGTAATTCTGCTGTAGCTCCAAGATTGAGGGCGCCTACGGGGAAGAAACTGGCATTATGGGTATTGGCATAACGGGGGGAAAAGCCTGATTCCCCACCCCAGGAAGTAACGAAGCATGATTATGGCCAGCCAATCAAGCAATCTCAATAATACTTGAGAATCGCATTAACCAATTTCAATTAAGAAAACGCCGAAACAAAATTCCTATCTGGTTCGGCATTGTGATCGGCGAAATCGGCACTACGGCTACACCCAAGCCACGCGTCGGAATGCCGAACCGGAGGAAGACAAGACCTGCGTGGTAGCCGGCATTGACTTTGTAGCGCAAATCATAACCACTAGAGATGTCATTACGACTGGAACCTGATCCTTTCTTGAAGTAAAGTGGACACTAACCGATTCCGAATTGGATCCAGAACATCCAGCCAATCGATAGCAGAAATCGAGCCAGACAACCTCCGATATTCGCTACTTTTTACCCCGGAGTTCACCTAGCTCCATTTGCCCAAGAGGCCCAGCGGGAAACACCAGGATCCTGCATCACGTTTATAGGCGGAGAATGCCATGTCCGTGTGGTTCGGGTCCTGGACGCGGGAATTTCGGCGACAAGAACGCACCGTTATTGGTTCTGCGGGCTCCATATTTCCCGGGAATCCGATGGCGGTACCGCAAGTGGACATGGATTTGACGTTAGATGTTTGGAGAATGCAGTTATCATCACTAAATAATATCTCACTTTACGAATACTGGTTTTAGACGCCGAGTCACTAACCGTGTTAGCGGGATAACTCGGGCAAAGCATGTTTCCATGACATTGCAATGGGTCTGAGCATTTGTCTAGACTATACTTATAGATCCTGGTTTCCATGAGAAATTTTAAAAAATTTTCTCTGATAGTAATATAAATCTGAATTTAATCCAATCCGAGAAAACCTCCTTTGAAGAAACTTCTGAAGGCACTCTTTACCGAAGCTCATCATTATCATGGCCCCTTCAATCAACGACGTGTCTCTGGCCCAAACAACCCTCCCTTCGGCCTGTAATGTCGGCATCAACGGCTTTGGCCGAATTGGTAAGGCATTCGAACAAGTATACTCATAACATCACCTAACTTTAACCTTTCCACAGGCCGAAATGTACTCCGCGCCGCTCTAGTCCGATCCGATATCCAAGTTGTCGCTATCAACCACACGTGCAACAACGTCGAAGACCTTGTCTATCTAATTCAATATGACTCCTCAATGGGTGGTTTAGACGCACAAACCGACATCAAAATAGTCTCCGAGAACCTAATCACTATCGATGGCAAGCGAATCACTCTTACATCTGAGCGAGACTTGAAGAAATTGAACTGGTCTACACTGGGAGTCGACTATGTCTTGGAATGCACAGGCAAATTCACAAAGCGAGACCTTGCTATGGATCACATTACCTACGGTGGTGCTAAGCGTGTACTCATCTCAGCACCAAGCTCGGACTCACCTACCTTTGTGTACGGCGTGAACTCAGATGCCTATAACCCCAGCGAAGAGTGCCGCGTCGTCTCCAATGCAAGCTGCACAACCAACTGCGTCACTCCAGTCCTCAAAGTTCTTCATGAATCATTCGGTATTACTCAGGGATTTCTCACTACAATCCACGCTGCTACCCGCTCTCAACAAGTTCTGGATGGTTATAGCAAGAAGAACCGTCGCTTGGGTAAGAAATTTTCCGCTGCTTATCTAGGTGCTCTGCTAACATTCATCTGCTTTCAAGGACGCGGTGTCTTCAACAACATTATCCCCACTACCACTGGTGCTGCAAAGGCTGTCGCATCTGTACTTCCTGAGTTGCAAGGCAGAGTGACTGGTGTCTCGATTCGTGTTCCGACGTATGTCCAAATACCCCAGACATCCTGTGACTGAATACTAACATATTCTAGACCAAACGTTTCCATGATCGATCTTACGGTCAGCACTGACAAGCCCACATCACTAGCAGAGATTATGTCTGCATTCCGTCGTGCTTCAAAATCCAGCATGGTTGGCGTACTTCGTGTGACAGACGAAGAGTTGGTTAGCAGCGACTACAACGGCAGCTCCTACAGTGCCATCATTGATGCTCCTGCCTGTGCAGAGCTCAATCCTCAGGTATGTACTCTGCTCTACTTCAAATCATGTGGCGTCGAGCCTCGGCTAATTTTTCTTTCTAGTTCTTCAAAATCATGGCTTGGTACGATAATGAATGGGGATACTCAAACCGCCTTCTCGATTTAACAACTTTGGTGCATGACCATGAGGCTTAATTACGTATAATGAATATCCCGGGGATGGGATGGCGTTGGGTGTTTATAACGAAATCTACTACGAACAGTATTATAGTAAAAAGTAACATTTTCCATTGAGGCCTTTCGTTATCTGTTAATCATCAACTAGAAGAGCTATTATCTGCCGGAGAACACTCAGTCAACACCAATATTCGCCCATATCCTTGAATAGACATAACCTGAAAACATCATAGATAGGACAGAAATTTCACCGTCAATGCATTCTTCTCGTCTCTGCTCAACTGCACCCCTCAACATACACACCCTCTGGCGAATCCCATATCATATCACATACTCTTTGTCAAACAATCCAAAATATTTCCTTTCTGTAAGCTTGCTCGCTCGTGGCAGCACTGGAGGCAGAAATAGAGTTCAAGTCATTTTTCTGATGGTGTTTTATTTTCCTTGGCTCTTCCCTCGGACGAGAGCCAACTCCAGTAGGTGAGATGATAGAACACGCGGCTGGGCATTATTGGTGACTGGCGTACCGCCATTGCAGGCGTTTTTCGTAAATGATTTATCAATCTTCTCATTCCCAAATACTTCATACGAGGGTTGGTTCTGCTTTCACTTGGATATTATTGTCGTTTCCCTGTTGGGATATTGTTTCCTCCATGGGCTATTAAGGAAACCAATGGTTATTGTGCAAAAGAAAAGAAATAGGGGAATGAGAAAGGCTTAAAATCCTGACATAACATACCTCCTGATCAATCTGAAGACTAGATATTGGAAGATCTTCCGGGTTGAATGGATGCCCCCGTGGATCATCAAAAAGAACATTGAAACCGTCATCAGAGTACTCCAGGGTAGCAATATTATTGAGTGCGAAATGTACCATCACCTGTCGATGAGTCGTGGCTCTCTTCATCCAAGAGATAAGCCCACCAAACTGCAGAACGCGCCGAAGTGGTCACTGGGTTCTGATTTCAATGTCATATCCAGCCAAATACAAAGTTCGCTCAAATTTTTCCAGGTCCTTGCAGTAGCCATTAGAGGTGTAGAGAGATAGTACCCCAAACAAGGACCGGGAGAGAGAAAGAGGCGGAATGCGAGTATGTTCCCACAGCTGCAAGCCTCGATGTCGACAAGACCGTATACATTCCATGTGTTTGAGAGGCCTGAGATGAAAGTCGAGCCTAGCAGCTCCTCATAGACCCGGCGCTCTTGCTGATAACGAAAATCACCCAGTACATCTTGTCGTTCATGAATTGTCAGTTTTGCGAGTGTCTGTATGATGCCAAGAAGGCGAAAGACCTCTAGGGTAATTCAGCAGCGGGCACAGTCGCAGACGATCTGTCTGTCGTTTCGCAGGTGGGCCTCCATTTCGATTTGAAGCTTTCTTCCTTCTTCTTTCTCGAATCTGGAGGTGGGGAATGAATATTAGCGAACTTGTCATATTACGTCATCTCAATCTCTCAAAGGGCCGGAGTGAGATGGTGGAATCTGTTACGTCTGACACTCAGATCGGGTTTGTCTGAGTGATCACGGACAGCAAAAGTCTTTGGTGGGAAAACACTGTGAAGCAAAGTAAGCTTGAGGGCCACATACAGCCACCTTGGGTAGCTTTGCGTGAATATCTATGTTGTGGGCACATATTATTGGGACATGAAGTGTTTAGATAAGTGAAAGGTCAAAGGCGTGAAAGAGAAATGGGAGGCGGGATAACACACTGGCATCCATTGAGCGACGCGTCAAAACATCATTATGTACGTGTTTCATTGATGAAACTCGTAGCAAGAACAATTCAATCATGCTATGAAAAGATTTACCCAAGGTATATATGAATTACCCTCACACAATTTAATGTGATATTGCGGCACCTGCGAGCCTGCGACTATAGATCATCTATCTCTCAAACGTTTAGTCGCTATCTATATGCCAAGACAAGAAACTCCCAATTGAGCATTTATATTATACATAGATATTTGACGGATTCTACTAATATCATGAACAGCTTCTCCCAACCTGAGCCAGTGATGGGGCTTGCATGAAGATACGAGCATCAGGTGGGGTAAGCAGCCATCGTATCTCCTGTGCCAATTATCACGAAATCTGGGTGGGGCCCGTAGTGCCAAGAGCTAATCCGAAAAAGGGTCCACGAGTCTTCGAATTTCACGGTTCTCCTAATCTACCACTATCTGAAGACTGCCCCGTCTTTCTTGGAAATATTTCTCATGGCGGTCCTCCTAGTCTTGAATTAACTATCATGGTTCTTTTCTTGACACTGTTACTTTCTCTTCTCTGCGGCACACTCGCGAAAGATTATCATGATGATTTCAGATCATTTGTCACGGTAACTTAGCTTCTGGCCCTGGTATTAAAGCTCACTGTTAATGCTTGTATAGCTTCCTGAAGTGTTGGCTCTGAAATTTGATATCAAACATCATGATCGCCAACGCCTGAGTCCGGGATATTGGTTTGTAGCGCCTTATGGGAGAAGATTGCCTCGAGAACCTACCGGCCGCCATCCGTTTCATATTGGCCCATACATTTATGATCAAGATGGGGTAAGGATTTAATATTACTTTGTGTTTTTCAAACATCAGGCTCACTAATATCGAGAAAGTAGACACTCATCTGGGCGGGCTCGGCTATGTTTGACAACCTCAATGTTTATGATTTCAAAGCTGTCCACTCAGCTGACGAGAGGCAACATTTGTCCCTTATTGTGCAAAAGGGAAATGAGCCGTTTCGGGGCCGTGCCATCATAATGAACAGTGGATTTGAAATTGTATCTGAGATTAATGGCCCTGAGGAACTCGGAGGATTTGATATCCACGAATTTACAGTCTTGCCAAGCGGCAAGACTGCCTTGGTATGTCTACATTGGCCCAAAGAAATGGACCTTGGGTATCTCGGGCGACCCGATGAAAAGTCGTTCTTCGTCACAACTGGCTTCCTAGACTTTGATCTGGTCACTGGTGAATCAACAACCCGGTGGGACTCATCTGAACCGGGACATGTGGCACTCCATGAGTCTGCGATATTACCGAAAGACCTCGCTCCGGAAGAATCTCCAGGTCACGATTATGCGCATCTCAATTCAATTGATAAAAATTCTGACGGTCACTATTTAATTTCCATGCGTTACACAGACACCATATATCTGATTTCAGGCATCGATGGGGCAATAATTTGGCGACTAGGCGGAAAAGAGAGCGATTTTGATCAAGACTTTACTTTTTCAAGACAGCATGACGCCAAGTTTCTAGAGTCAAATGGAACCCATCATGTCATCTCATTTTTGAATAATGCTTCAGACGACCAGGAACATATGGAACGCGTATCTTCAGCTTTAATCGTCGCTCTCGATACCACCACCTCTCCCAAAACAGCCCGAATCACTCGTCGTTATGGCCGTCCAGATGGTGATCTCAGTCGACTTCGTGGCAATGTTCAAATCCTTCCGGGTGGAAATGCATTTGTATGCTGGAGCGACAGTGGTTACATTTCCGAGTTTTCAGAGGATGGCGATAACCTACTTGAAGCCAAGTTCCTCACTTCTCAATTCTACAACTATCGGGCGTACAAGTTCGAGTTTACTGGTCGACCCAGCGAGCCACCAGCTCTCGTAGCCTCAACAACAAAATCCGACAACGATGGCTTGAAAACACCCATCTATGTTAGTTGGAATGGTGCAACCGATATTGCCTATTGGCAATTCTATTCCCAGAAAAGCGAGGACCAATCGCCATCTCTCATTGGAAGGGTCGATAAAACGAATTTTGAGACTGTCTGTATTGCTGATGGCCATGTTCAATGGGTTTTCGCCGAAGCGTTCGATAGCGCTGGAGAAATCCTTGGCCGGTCTGAAGTCTATCATACAGCAAAGACTTCGCAATGGGGCTCGTGGACCCTGTCGTCGGTTTCTTGGCATTTGACTCTTTGGGGAGCTTGCTTAGGCCTGTTTTATTGGCTAATGATTCGACTGCGTCCTGGGATCTACAACTATATCTCTCACCGTCTCTCGCCGCGGCATGCAGAAGGAACCGAGCTTTTCTGAGCAGCATGTAGATACTTGTAATGTGTAAAACACGATTTATACAGCATATTTCAGAAATTACGTCCGTCCAATCAACATACATTGTACATATTCGAACTCAATTTATGAAGTCTTTTCTAGATGATGGCGGCCCTGCTGCATCCAACAATGCAAAAAAGGTACCTAAGTACAGCTGTCACTTCCAGCAATGAAAGTGCCATCGGAGTTCTCACAGCCACATTCTCCGGTCTGAGGATCCTTGATACAGGTAGTACCAACTCCACTATCTTCTCCATCATCACTCCAGTAAAAGACCCAATAGTCCGAGTCTTCCTCGAGATCATCGCTAGTTGGCGCATCGCAGGTGTAAGCACTGCATGTGCCGTATGGGGCACCATTGTTTTCATCGTATTGGTGATCGGTTTCGAAGACAGCGAAAGTCTGCGTCCCCGAAACACGAGTGTTGTGGGAACATTCAGCGGCTTGGATGGCAGTAGAGACTTTGGCAGCTTTGATTTTTTGGATGCGTCAGTAATCTAACATCAAAGTTCCTAGCGCGACTGGGCAGTGAGGTGGTCCTCTTTTCTGCAATTATTTCACTTACCGTCACAGTTGAGGCTGCTCGGCTTGTAGCCCTTGGTGTTTGACGAACATGGGTCAACAGTCGCCATTACAATTGCCGGCGCAGCGAGCATAGTCAAAAAGGTGAGGAAATGCATTTTGGTGGAATATTTATTCTGACCAAAGCCTTGGAGTGTGTGATTAGGAATCTCCTATGGGACTGCAGCGCTTTATAACTGCTTCAATTCACAGCTGTCACAGCAAGAGCCTAGACTAGACTTGAGACATTTTGTCAGAAAATGAATCTTGTGTTTTATCTGATACAAATCTATTCATATGGAAGCTTACGTAGCTCAAGGGCTCATTTTATTGATACGTAGTTAGGGGGTGATTGCCATGTCATTTTAGTAGCTGGGACCCATCCAAATCATGTTTCAAGTTTCACTTTGAAACCAAAACGGTAGTCCTAGTCTCTCATAATTGAGAAATACGTTAAACCAAAATATTAAATATTCATGGCCTAATGATCTGGGTGGTTTTGTCGCACGCCAAATGTAATCCGTCTTGTTCTGCCGAGTAGACAGGTAGAGGTGGTGGCTGGCCATCGATCGGGAGAGGGATTATCGCCATGGATACAATTATGAATCTAAACCTTCACTCTATATTTCATTTGAAACTTCTGGAAAAGATCGGGTCGCAGGTATACTGCATGCTCAGTCGGTCTAGATCCTCAGTGGCGTCTCCTAGATTGATAACAGATCAACACTCGGCCTAGTCGCTGCGAATTAAAATAAGGTTGTTCAATTTGAAACTTAATTTGAAGCTCAAATATTATATCAAGCCAACTTTCCTAATCGACTAAGAGCTTTTCATTTAATCGGAACGTCTTCTGGGCTGTCAAGCTGGCTGCCGTCTGTCTGGACTCTTCAACACAGGAGTATGGCACGAGCTGTCTTAGGTCGAGGTCGAGGACAGAATGGGCTCGATCCTCAAGTTACCGCATCAACTCAGACCGACGAGGCTTCCTATAATAATCTCGGATGAAAAGAAGAAGGTTGAAGACGAGACTTGAGTATATTTGTTCTCCTGATGCGCAATTTTCCTATGTGCTGAATGCCGCGTGATTGCAGGTTTTTAACAATTTCCTCACTTTTCTTCTCCAAGGACTAGGTGATTTGCATATCAGTTTCAGATTGTTCTTAATTGTTCGATCAAGTATCGAGACAGCTTAATATCTCGATAATTCGACACGGTGGGGATATAATTAACTTTCATTTGTTCTCATCCCGCACGAGGGGAACCAGATTTACATGTCTAGGATCCACTCGTTGGCGCGATGATATCACCTTTTCCCTTTAATCACGTTGAATGCAAACAACTTCAAGTTTCCCTTCGCTGTCGCTGGTTTTGGGCCTGAATCGCATCATGCCACTTGACGTCATTAGACCAGATTTATAATACTTATACAGCATATCCGAAGCTTGTAACCATACATTGCTACTTATAACATCAGCTATAGTATACCAAACACCACAAGTTTCACGAATATATACGACTTCAATTTTTTTATTCTTTCTTCGGGTATTCAAGATGTCGGGTTTCGCTCACAAGGCCGAGGATGCTATGCATTTCCACCGTCACGACCAGAACAAGCCCGCTGACCATGAAAGAGATGTCTCGCAACCTCATGCCCCTACTGGTAGGCCTGATTTCTATTTTAATTCTTATCTTCCGATACAATATGGCAGTTGTGGCTGACTTGTAGTAGACAAAGGCTCTCATGGTCATCAGCATCACCACGAAGGTCAACATTTGAGCCAAGAAGAGAGGGATCGTGCCAATTTCGACGCTGCTCGACACTTCGATCATGCAACTAAGAATAGCCATGGTGCCGGGATTGGCTTTGAAGAATAAATCGGGGATTTGTGACGTTTAATCCTGGAGACCTGATACCGTACATATCTCCAACCACTTGTACCGAGTGCGGTGGAATTTTTGCCCTCTTTAAATGCTACATTTCCTACCTGATTCAAACCTCGCAAAGACAAAGTAGATTGTCGCAACATCATGATCCCCTAGATCGAATCTCTATCCTAGCCTAGCATAAACACATAGACTTGAGACAAGTACGGCCATCAACATGTTCCATAAATGTAGCTAGGGCGCAGTTAGAATGATAAACAATAAACTTTTGATAAAACCGGTCTATTCGTCATGTACATCAAAATAGGACTCCACGGGTATATTTATTCCTCGTTGAAATCATTCCTCATCCATCGACTCCCAACCATCAGGTCCCTGAGCTCCCTCAGGCTCAGCACCCTCATCGTCAGACTCCTCGTCGTCATCAGCATTCACGCCAAGGATGCGCTCCTGCACATCACCCTCGAAGTCGGGCATACGGGAAACGAATGCTCGGCGCACAGCGCCGTTAGTCGAAGCATCCCAGATCTGAACAGTTCCCTTGCTACCAGCGACAGCAAGACGGAAGCTGACCTCCTGATCCGGCGCAAAGCCAGTAGAAAAGACCTTACCGACATCCAGCTTGCGTGAAACAACCATGCTGGGCTTATCATTCTCAACATTCCACAGCTTAACTTCCTTGTCTGTGGAACCGGTGACTAGGAAGCCAGGAATGGAACGGTTGATGTCGAATGATGAAATGGAGGAATCGTGTGCCTGGAGAGTCCAGACGGGCTTGGACTCGGCTGGGCTGGCGGGGACGTTACGAACGTCGTAGCGGTAGAGGTGTCCACCGTCGGTGGTAACGTAGAAGAAGTTAGGGTCGTGAGGGTCCCAGCGGACGGCCTCGACATCGGCGTCGACGCCCCAGCGGGCCTTGGTGTCCGGAGAACGCATGTCAGCGGCCACGACGGTGCGGTCGTAGCTACCACTCAGCAGGATAGTAGCCTCCTTTGGATGCCAGTCCAGAGAGCAGACTTTGTCGGTGTGGTGAGAGTAGGACTTGGCACAGGTGGTTGTGTTGAGATCCCACAATTTAACTGTGCGATCCGCCGAGGCAGAGGCAAGCAGGTTGCGATGTTGACGGTTGGCTGCTAAAGCCAGAATGGAGTCAATGTGGTACTCGTCATTGGCCTTGGCCTTCTTCTTCTTTGACTTCTTCTTGTCCTCGTCCTGGCCTCCTTGACCTAGGATGGCGTTGGGGTACATAGAGTCGACAACGTCCAAGTCCCAGATCTCAATATCGGGTTCCATAGTTCCAACAGCGACAAAGTTGCCTTGGTCTCTGCCCTCAGAGTTCTTGCCAACTGGGATGTCGAGCCATTCCAAGCACAGAGGAATTCCTGGCAGCATGATATCGTGGTGCACGTAGAGGTTATCAGCCTTGTCTTCATACACGTAGACCTCCAGATGAGCGACCTCATCCTCGACCTTTCCGGCCAAAAGCAAGTTATCGGTAGGCATGATCTGAAGCTCTTCGCGATCGTCGTCGTCTTCGTCTTCGGGGATGACAAGGTATGGATCCTCCTCGTTAGGCTGGTGATAAGCCAATGACTGAACATTTCCAAACATGGTGACCTTTTCTCCATCCTCGTCAACTTCCTCGCTATCGTAGTGATCAAGGTCGAACTCCTTCAGCACGTCGTCCTCGCTGCGGAAAATAAAAGTAGTTAGTTAACTAGAACTATATGCGGATTTCAGATCAGATTAGAACATACTCTGTCTTTGAAGCAGCACCCTCTTTTGTAGCAGGTGTTTCGGAGTCATCCTCCATAGCATCATCGTCTTTATCATCCTCATCCATAGCAGTATCCTCCTCACCCTGAGCAGCACTCAAATCGCCCTTGGCATCCTCGAGCTGCATCCGAGCAAGCTTGGATATACGGTCCATTTCCTTCTCATCAATTTCATACTTTGTGGGAAATTGGGCAGCGACACCGCGCCGCACCCAGGCTGTGGTAGTGATCATAGAAGACATTGTGAATATTGAAATCACAGCAACCTTCAACAATCAGTTTTTTTATCGGCGATATTTTTTTTATCGGTGTGCTGAGGGGTCTTCCGCCCGGCAGAATTGGCCGATCTCCTCACCGCCCAGAATAGTACGATTGGCTGATTTGACAGTTGATTATTTCGAGGTCAAAGTATTGCGCATCTTGAACTACACATTCATTCTTATACTCTGTTCTCTGCTCAAACTCGAGAGTACTCCGCAATCATGCATTCCCATCTCCATACCCCCTACAATATCAGTACGTTCTCACCATAATTCAATATACTCAATTGATCGCAAAACTGACCAATGTTGTACAGACTGCGAGGAAATCATGACTGCCCTCGACGAATGTCATGCCCGTGGATTCCTTTACAAGGCCCTCGGAAACTGCAACGATATCAAACGCGATGTTAACCGCTGTCTTGCCTCTGAGCGTTTTGACCGGGCCAAGCGGAACCGGGATGAGGCACGCTCCAACCGTCGGCGAATCGAGGATATCTGGGCGAAAGAGCGGGCAAAGGATGCCAGTGCTGTTCCAACTTCTACGAACGCTGCTTCTGAGACCACTAAATCGAACCAATGATCCATGTGTGGTCGATTTTGTACGATTATGCATGATTTTGCTGGAGTTCGGGGTTTGGGTTGATTATAATTGTCTATTGAGATCGCACTCTCTTCTCATTAAATGTTTTTCATACGCATGGCAGAACAAAACTGGGACGATGGGCCAGGTTTTGATGTACGATATTGGAGAGATTGGAGGCATTCGGATGTAAATATAACAATATCAACTTCCAATGTTGATTGAAATCGAGCCTTCGCGGCATTTGAAAGACTTTCAACAAACCGAGTAGTAAGGTTATATTTGAATTTCATATACAAGTTAACTTTTGAAGTAATAATTCCCCAATCCTAACGCCATGCCGTGGACAATAAGTATCATGCAGTGTCGCGCAACATCAGAAGTTATTCTACTTCCATATCCTGGCCAGTCTCAGCAACCGGGGCACCATCGAAATCACCACCGCCCTTATGGTGACGACGTCTCCGCTTAGGCTTAGCTGCACCAGACTCCTCGCCCTCAGCAGCGTCGGCACCAGCATCAGCGTTCTTAGCCTGTTCAGAACGCGCCTTGTCCTTCTTAGTCGCACCGGCATCATTCTGCTTCTTCGACTTCTTCATACTCAACGGATTCGGACCCTTGGCCTTCTTCATACCAGAGATTTTCTTCCGCTCTCCACCCTCAGCGCCCTCCCCGTCGAACTTTCTCTTTTCCCCAGCATTAGGATCATCCAATCCAGCTCGGAACTTGCCCTTCTCATGACCTTCCCGCACAGTCTCCGAGTGAGTGCTTAGCGGCTCGAGAACCATGACGGACCGCTTGACATAGATGATTGGTACACCAGGAATAGAACGTGCGCCTGAGCGCAAAGCACGGGAGCGGCGCAGTGCGCGCTCCTCTTCGCGCTCGTCATCGCGCTTGCGTTTGCGCTGTGCCGGGTTATCTGCCTTGTCGGCTTTCTTTGCAGCCGGGGGATCGGCAGTGGCAAGGATGTAGTGCTCTTTATTCTTCTTGGCGTCGGTGCTTGGAGAAAGAAGGGAGAGGAGACAGTCTACCTCGTCGATTGGTGTTGAGGCTGCATTGTGGGAGCAGTGACGGAGGGGGAGTTCTGTTGGCGGGGGAAGATGATGTGGGCGGTAGGGTTGATTGGTTTTGGGGTTAATGGGTTGTTTAGCCATTAGAGCTGCAAGGGAGCATTTTGTGAGAACTATAGGTCCTGTTAGCCTAAGTTGGATGAGAGAGCCCGCGTCTTCTTTATCTCGATTGGTTTTCGCTGCGAGGCTTGAGTGGGCCGGAGCAATGACTAACGTGGCTTAGGCTTTCCCTGCAGAGTTCTTTCGAGAGCAGGGAGCAGTTCCATTTTGAAATTGTGGACTGCCTGTAAGAAATTCGAGTCGACTGTTCACATTGATTAGCATACTCATCGTTTCATTGTAGCTTTGGAGAGTCATCATACCGAGCACCTGATAAGGCTCGCGGAAGCCGAATGTCATCTCATACTGATGCATGAGCTTGCGGTACTTTTTAGAACGTTTGGCCCTCATTTTGGATGGTTGAGTTCGAGAGTTGAACGTTGAAAAGTCACTGGCAGAAGTGATGAACGGATGAAACTTTTTTCATTTTGCCGGGCGGGAGGTGAGGCGGTGATGGCCCGTGCGAAGTATACTATCATGAGCATCCACCGTCCAACATTCAAGAGCTTAACCAGGAACATGTTTAAGCATATGCAGACAATTACTAAACTATACGGAATTCTTTTGGGTCAATGATTATTATTATTATTCATAACGAGCTAATTTGATTCGGTAAAAGCTATGAATATCCACCTATATTTCAACCCTCAGGGCTCCAGTACGCCAAAGTGCATGCAATGCAGTCAATCTAGTTGACTAGTTTTCGTATTCGCCGTTAATAAGATGAACTCAGTCGAAGACTGAGTTTGACTGAGTTTATAAATCAGGATGAGGTTTGTGAGCACATGGGGAAAGGCGCCACACCAACGGGTGTAAGTTTGTTTGCCGGCACCTTGTCGGGGACACATCGCTGTCTCAATTCGGGATTGTCGAGGGGCTCTGCCAGAGACAGAGAGCCATTCCGTTCCTTCGAGTAGCCAAGTATAGTAGCCATGAGATGGGGGTCGTCCCATACTGATTGCTTGTCGCCCTTTAGGAGCGCCTCAATATGAATGACCATCGGAGGATATTGCGGAAGAATGTACGACGCATCGTGCGAAAAGTGTCCCTTTTATTCGCCTCTCTTTTTACAAGATGCTACTACGACAGAGATGTCGTCCATTTTGCCTGGGGGTAATTAGTATACTGAACATGCCAAATATATCAGCTGGCTTTATAACATACCTCCTTCAATCGCAAGCCCTTCGTCAATTGCCTTCTCCATATACGGACTTTCCGCAAATGGGTCCTGGGCAATAGTCAGAGCAGCATTCAGTAGCTCTCGGGCGACAAAGATCATGCGATCATTCGATAGATCTGGGGGTGGAGCCAAGTCCACCGTTTCAGGTCGACCATTGTCCCATTTATGCAGGCTATCAAGGATATTCTTCAGAACCTCATGCTCCCATAGATTGTCCATCACGCCATCCGACACAGCCAACACGATATCGTCTTCTTGTAAAGCAACCTGGCTCATCACCGCATCTTTACGGGGTGTATCGATGCTATTCGTTCCCAGCTGCATGGGACAGTCAAACCAATGCCACTGCTCAGCAGTGCGGAATAGGATTCTCTCCTCGCTGGGCCGAATCACCATGATCTTGCAGTCACCCAGATTTGTCACATAGAGCAAAGGCTTCTGAACACCGTCTGCCCCAAGTGTCCAATGTAGCAGTGCAGTAGCTGATGTGGTGGTCCCTTGCCATTCTGTCGGGCTCGAGGTGGCTCGTACGGTTTCTTCGTAAGCTGACTGGAGGTATTCGACTGGATCGACGGTTGTAGCATTGGCAGAGAGACGGCGCTCAATCTCCAAGCCCCAGAAATGCAAAAGAAGCCTAGACCAAAGACTGTTTTCACAATTGGTTCGGTCATTAGCCTCATGCGCTAACTGTAATGACGATCGCAAATTACGGAATCAAGGGTACATAGGATTGAACTCACGCTGCATGACCACATGGTCTCGTTGCCCAGGCGCCTACGCCATCATCGACACCCAGGAAGTTTTCGGCAACCAGGATGGCGTCGTCACCATTGTTCAAGCCGCGGATTAGCTCGCCCTTGACGGATAATCTCTTATCCTGGCTGAGCGAGTGGGTGGTCAAGGGATCGGAAAAGGATGAAGAAGGCGGAGACAGGAAGGGTGGGGGGGAACGGGCGGGAAGGCCGTTTGGCACATAGGGCGTAGCCAGTCTCAAATCGAAATGGGGAATAGGCGAGACTCTGGTGGTGGACGGGGACGGGTGTGGTGATGCCGTATGAGGGCCACACAGCCGCATGGTATCGGCGCGCTGGCGTCCCTAGTCTTAGACGCAGACGTCGGCCCGCTAGAGGTACCTGGCCTAGGGGCGTCGATCGAATATATGATGCGATCCACCGTAATGTTGATGCCGATGATAATGATGATGATAATGAAGCCCCTGCCGTGGTCACCATGCCTTAACTTGGTTTTTTTAACCGTAGATGAGAACAGGTCAAAGCAGTGAAGTCATGGCCTGGGTTCATTTACAGAACAGAAGGGCGATAAGGACTGAGAAAAAGATAAGATTTGATTTTGGAATCAATGATAAGGGAAGGGATGAAAGGGAAGTAGAGATTTTCTTGAGGGTATCCCAGAGGGTCTATTCGGTGAGGGTTGAGGGTGTCGCATCTTTATCGCGAAAGTTCACTGGCTTGCAGCGCCGACCGTACTCTGCTCTACGGAGTAGGGCGTGTCATATGAATGCCACGGCCCCCTCCGTTGACTATTGTCAACTCTATCAATAATCCACTTTTAAACAATGTGGATCTTAAAGGGGGATTGCTAGTTTTCTATTAGTTGACAATAATAGTTTTAGTATTTTTCTACCATTGCTGATGTACCATAGATATGGTTCTCCGGGGAAAAGAGAAGGGAAACTAAAAGGCACCGCCGAGAATGACCGATGCAAGTATACAAGACCGAAAAAACCTTAGATAGCCAGGCACACAGTCGATGATGTACTTCGAAGATGTCCTTGACAAGGAATACCGTGACTTGTATACTGAGATTTATTGGCTACATCGGTGTATTTGTCATTAGAATATTGTTTTTCAAGCTCCACGGAGAAGAGTCAAGTGGACCAGCTGGCAGCAGTGTGGAATTGGGTGCTTCTAGAGCTCAAGACGCATGTAAACAGTATGAGTCAATCAGTTAAATTTGATTTCAGAAGGATGATATCGCTTTTGGACGTGGGGGCTGCTATGATGTAGTCAATCAAAGTGTATACTGTACCTAAGCGGATCGACTCTTGGAATTCCAGTACATGAACGCCACATCTTCTCGAGCCACTAGCGCTGCCAAGTAGAAGGCAAGTAGCAGGTTGGTTTAGTAGAATTTGCAATATAATTTAAGATTTTCTGAGAATTGTTCTTCATGATGACATTACTATGTAGGGGCTCATACAGACATATCACATCTGCTTAATATTCCCTTCGGTGCTCAATGTTTAATGCTCGCTCCAACGCCTAACACACTCGAAGGAAACAACTCGAAAAAGGAAACAATTTGACAAGGGGGAAACAACATGAGAAGGGGGAGACAATTTGAAAAAGAAAGGAATAACATCTGCCCCCATTCGTTTGCGATGCTCAATATTTGATGCCCGCTCAAACACCTGACACACTGGAAGGAAACAAATCGAAGAATGAAAACAATTTGGAAAGAGGTAACAATTTAGAACAGAAATCACATCTGCCCGCCATTCCCTCTGATGTTCATATTCAATGCTCGCTCATGCACGCGACACGCTGGTCAGAAGAAATTAACAAAAGAAACAATTTGAAAAGGGGAAAGATAAAGAGGAAAGGAGAATGGGGGAAATTTTCCTACAATTTGAGCCAGTTGAGCTCCGGGCCAGTAGATCGTTCCTTCTGGATCTCTGTCCCAATCAAATTCCAAATATCAATCAACTCAAGCAAGATACGATCTTCGCTAACATCGTACCTTAGGGTAGCCAGGCCTTGAAACCCAACAGCAGCCAGTGTATTCACCCGAGTGACGAAGTCAAAACGGCCAGTGGTCTTTCGGTTGAGGGCAATCAGGGTGCGCAGCTGACGTTCAGCACAGGGACAAAGCCGGTGCACCAGGATAGTGCAGTCGACAGCACAAAAACACGAGGACTCGCAAATGCATGCACAGTGCTTCACCAAATGCAGTAGGCGGAACGTTTGATATTCACGACGAGCTTCCCCGATTGATTTGCTCTCCAGACGGGCCAATGTGCCAATTCGGTGACTTTCAACAATATCCTTCTGCCGACGGGCTGGGTCAATCATTGCTAGGTTTGCGAACGGCAGTTCCGCCAGCGGGGTATCCATAACAGGCCAAGCCTTTGGGATGTATCTACAATATTTCTCTGCGAGCAAGGTAATGGTCTGAGGGGGGATTTCTAGGAATATTGGTATGCGTGCGAGCCATTTCTGGCAAAAGGCAGACGTTGGGTTCGAAGCGATACTGAATATATGACGGCGGAAGCCCAGGAGATCGTCTGCGATGAATGCCCCCAGCCGTGAGTTCTTGCAGATGAGTACACGGACATATTCTTCCTGGAAGCGAGTCACAAGATCTTCTTCACGGTTCTCGCAAATACTTGGGTGTTCGAGAAAAATCTTGATCGCTAGCAATAAACGATACAGATGGGAAGGCTCCGGCATGAAGAACTTGTTATCTCGTATTCTCGTGGGACGGAGGGGAATGTTGAACAAGGAACACAGCTCGACGGCTGCCATCTCGAAGTCGACTCTGGCAGAAATGGCGTAGAACAAGTTTTCTGTGATTTCGATGAGGTCGGCAAGCGAGTCGGTACGGACCTGATTCTCTGCTTGTTCAATCCAGTACATGAGACCAGTTCTCTTGCTCATGTCAAGCTATAGTGAAATCAGTTTGCATGCATATCAAATAATAGGAATCAAACGCACATACCTCAACATCAAATCCCACAAAGATGATTTGGAGAATCTTTGCAAAGGCGTACACCTGGGCAAATATTCTAAGCACTCCCCCAAAGTGCATCGATACTTCAACTGCATCCAAATCATCGAGCGATAAAGCCCGGGGTGACGGGTATGGAGAAGGCGAAGATGGATTGTGGGCCAAGGCTACGACCCATTCACCACTGCTAACGGTGTAGGGAGACGAATGTCGTCGCTGTTCAAGAGACATCTGTTAGACCTATGAACTAGCTGATGGCGATGCATGTTTTTTCCCTCACTGCTCGACTGTGGCAGGAAATAGTAGAACGAAAACTTACCTCACTGCCCTCCTCACTATCCCGATAATGCTTCTGGTTATTCATCTGAAGCATCTCCTCAGCGTCATTAATCAGAGTTTCCGAGTATCTGTAAAAGCCGTCTCGCTGGTCTTCGATGGCATCAGACCACTGCTCAGAGCCTGGGGAGTTATCGGCGCTGGATTTGTGAGTGAGCTTAGAGTCACTGGATTTGTTCGTAAGCTTAGAGTCTTCGCTGTTGTGCGAGGATCTCAGGCTGAACAGTGAGCGGTTCCACGGGCGATGTCTGCGCAGACGGTTCATCGTGAAAGTAGGTATATGAGAGGGGTCGGGGTGTATGTATGAGGCTGTATAGAATTTCCGGTGAAGAAACCAATATGAAAACGCTGTAAAAAGGTAATCCATGTACAGTAAGAATGTGGATGAACACAGAGAAGATTGGATTAATAAATGTAGGGAGTTATTGGTTGGGTTGTTGAAGTGAGGTAACGACCACCCAGCACCTATTACCTCTCTTTATCTCTTACTTAGTTCCAGTGAGTTGGGTCTCCGCGATATCCAAAGAGGACAGCCATGTCCAAATGGGGACAAGTAGGAACATTAAGACAACAAAAGATTTACAGCATTTTTACAAATCGTGCACAGAGAATCAAACCATATGAAAGAAAGAAACACTTTGCTTGTTCGTTAAACGCTCGCCTCCTAGTGATATAAACATGAAGCCACATATTTCTAGCTCTGCACACGGAACGTCCGACCACTGGCTGTCTTGCGCTCGCGCTCTTCGTTTTCGGGTCTGGCTCGGTTAAGGACTATTTCCAGTTAGTGATGATTAGAGAAATATTAATACACTCCGCCAGAAACATACCTTGGAGGAAATCAGCTGTACGCTTGCGCATACGGGTGTGGATATAGGCCTGTAGGGTTGGATCAGTCAATGTATCTGAAGCAAATGGAGTAGCCAGAAGACCCAAAAAAAAAAAAAAAAGAAAAAAAAAATAGGAAGTACTGTCGTACCTTAGAGGCCTTGATGTGGTAATGGAAGTAGTCGCGGAAAGTCTGGATATGGGAGATGTTGTCGTAACGGCGCTGAGGAGTCAAGTGTCGGGGGAACAGAACTAGATACCAATTAGCCAACTTGAACCGTCAAAAGTCTATAGCAATACACCCAATCCTTACCAAATGTAACATAGCTAATTTCACCCTCGCCCGCATTTGGCAGACCAGGAATACCTTGCAATTCAAGTGGGGGGTCGTTGCGGAAGAGCACTTGAGGAGCATTCTGAAGAGTCACAACACGGCGTCTGGCGTCCACGAATTCCTGGGTAGCGTTAGCATATGACAAGCCAATATAATAATGAGGATTCCAAGTATCGAACGAACCTGCAAGAAGACCTTGCCAAAGATACGGTCCGTCTCCTCCCGGAACACAGTGCTGAAGATCACGGTCACTCGGTCATAGCTGGCCTTAATGTAGATGGCCTCCTCCTCGCGGTAATGGATCGCCATTACCTCACCACCTTCCTTCACTCCTTGTGGTGCCGACTCAGATGTATACCGCGAGGCTTCCTCGGAAAGTTTATTGAACTCGTCGAACGCTCTCTCAAAAGGAGCTGCCATGGCATTGCGCTTCAACAGGGCCAACTTCATGATCAATTCATCGCGAGCTTCCTGCTCAGCAGGCAAGTTCTCAAGATCGACCTGTACTGAGAAATCATAACCGGGCTCAGGCGACACAATGTAGGACCCATATTCCCGCTCAAGCACCTCCTGGGCGCCATACTGAACGAGCTCCTTGAAGCATTTCACGTTGATGGAGATGAGGATCTTGGTTTTGGTTTCAGGGGTAGATACGTGAAATGTAACGCCATCGAAGTCGGAGGCCACTTGGTCAATTGAGGCCGGGGCAGCACTGCGGACAACCAGGTTAGCTTGGGGGCCTAGCGGGTGTGGGTTGGGTGTATACAATGCAGCGGGGCGGGGAAATGGTTTGGGAGTTGAGGATAGGGGTCGTACCCTGAGAAGCGCTCCGTGAGGAGTGATTGGATCAAAACATTCTGGTAATCCAAGAGCAGCATGACGGGCAAGCAATGTGTGGAGAGGTATCAACAATCGGTAGGTTGGGAGGATGGCAACCCGCGATCGTCATCTCCCATGTCTGGGCGGTGGGGGAGCCGGACAGGTCGCTCTCGCCGCCCGTATTAATTTTTGCGCTATCGATAGCAAGAGTCTCCGATTCTCCAAAAATTTTCCCATCCACGTCCACGATGGTGAAATCCTACTTGTATGTGCTAATAATTCACCTAATTGAAATGACACTTGTCTAACCTTCAAATTCACAGCAAATTCGAGCATTCGAATACGTTCGGGCTCGTCGCTTCAGCGTCGTCAAATGCCGTCTGGGCCAAAGACGAGCAAATTGCAGGTGCAGCTCGACAAACCGGCTCCGGCCGAGCAATCGTGGGCGCCAGTGAAGAGGTCCTCTGCTGGGATGTGAAGAAAGGAGAACTATTGGGCCGGTGGCGCGACTCGGCATGCAAAGTGCCTGTCACCGTTGTCACCCAGAGCAAGACTGATGAAGATATCTTCGCGGTTGGGTAGGCCTCTCCTCTCCCTCTTCTCTTTAGCTACAGAACCGTCTTGAATCTTATTGCTAACAATCGTTCTTTTGATAAATAGTTACGAGGATGGTAGCATTCGCATCTGGGATTCGCGCACGGGTACAATCATCATATCGTTCAACGGTCACAAGTCTGCTGTCACTCAGCTGGTCTTCGATAACGCTGGTGTGCGTCTTGCTAGTGGTTCCAAAGACACCGATATCATCCTCTGGGACTTGATTACTGAAGTTGGTCTTTTCAGACTTCGTGGACATACGGATCAAATCACCTCTATCAACTTCCTCTTCCCTTCTCCGGAGCTACTCCAATCCTCCGGACTCAGTGAACATTCGGGCTTTTTGTTGTCGACAGGAAAGGATTCATTGATCAAGGTCTGGGATTTGGCATCTCAGCATTGTATTGAAACACATGTGGCACAAACGAATGGCGAGTGTTGGAGCCTCGGTCTTTCGCCTGATCAGGGCGGTTGTATTACAGCTGGAAACGATGGAGAGTTGAAAGTGTGGTCGATTGATGAGAGCGCAATGGTTGAAATTTCGAAGGAAAAGGTTGGGGCTGAGGGTCAGAGAATTCTTCACGACCGAGGAACCTTCTATCGAAATGGTAAAGATCGCACTATTGGCATTCGCTTCCACCCCCGTTTGGACTACGTTGGTTTCCACGGATCAGAGAAATCAGTCGAGATTTGGCGAATTCGGTCTGACACCGAAGTGCAAAAGAGTCTGGCACGCAAGCGCAAGCGCAGAAAGGAGAAGGAGGCTCAGCGTGAGGGTGAGGAGAAGAGCGTTGTGGCTGAAACTGACACTGTCGAGGATACTTCATCCGCTCCTGTCTCTGAGGTCTTCGTCTCGCATGTCATTGTTCGAACTGGTGGCAAGATCCGTTCTTTTGACTGGATGACCACTAAATCTACCGGTCTGAATATCCTTGCCGCGACCACAAATAACCAGCTGGAAGCCTACAAAATTATTCCAGCAAACAAGAAGGACAAGGACGAAGATGAATCCGACTACACGCGAAGCTTGGCAGTCGACATCCCTGGCCACCGCACAGATATTCGATCCATCGCTCTTAGCTCCGAGGACCGGATGCTTGCCTCTGCATCTAATGGTAGTCTTAAAATCTGGAATGTTCGCACAGAAACCTGTCTGCGCACTCTCGAGTGTGGCTACGCACTTTGCTCTGCATTCCTGCCCGGTGACAAGATTGTTGTGGTAGGAAACAAGAATGGAGAGCTAGAGGTCTTCGACATTGCCTCTTCTACATTGTTGGATACGATCAAAGCTCATGATGGGCCCGTCTGGTCTCTACACGTACACCCGGATGGCAAGTCTGTGGTCAGTGGAAGTGCCGACAAAACCGCAAAGTTCTGGGAATTCAAGGTCGTCCAAGAGGAAATCCCCGGTACCAAGCGCACTACCCCTCGTCTCAAGCTGGTACACACACGAACCTTGAAGGTCAACGATGATATCCTCAGCCTGCGCTTCTCTCCTGACGCGCGTCTATTGGCCGTTTCATTGCTTGACAACACCGTGAAGGTTTTCTTTGTGGATTCACTTAAGCTTTTCTTGAACCTCTACGGCCACAAGCTTCCTGTCTTGAGTATGGATATATCCTTCGACAGCAAGTTGATCGTTACTTGCTCAGCTGACAAGACCGTGCGATTGTGGGGTCTGGACTTCGGTGACTGTCACAAATCCTTGCTGGCCCACGAGGACAGCGTCATGGCAGTTGCGTTTGTCCCCACCAACAAAGATCAAAATGGTCACAACTTCTTCAGTGCAAGCAAAGACCGGCTCATCAAGTACTGGGATGGTGACAAGTTTGAACAAATCCAGAAATTGACCGGTCACCACGGCGAAATTTGGGCTTTGGCCATCAGCCGTTCGGGCGAATTTGTTGTCAGTGCCAGTCATGACAAGAGTATTCGTATCTGGAAAGAGACAGATGAGCCGCTGTTCCTGGAGGAAGAGCGCGAAAGGGAGATGGAGGAAGCCTACGACAGCACACTCACTGCATCTCTGGAGCAAGACGAGGATGGTGAAGATGGCGAGAAGGCCGAGGCCGTCGACGCCGGTAAACAGACCACAGGTACACTCATGGCTGGAGAAAAGATTATGGAAGCATTGGACCTTGGTATGGAGGATCTTGAATTGGTCCGAGAATGGCATGAGACCAACCCTAGCAGCATGCCCCCAAATCGTAACCCGATTTACCTTGCTTTTGGCAACATCTCAGCAGAGCAACACGTTTTGAACACCGTCCAAAAGGTCCCTGCTGCTGCCTTGCAAGATGCACTCTTGGTTATTCCCTTCAACCAGCTTCCTGCTCTCTTCACTTTCCTCAACATGTGGGCCGAGCGCGAGTGGAACGTGCCTCTCACCTGCCGTGTACTGTTCTTCATGCTGAAGACTCACCATCGCCAGATTGTTGCAAGCAAGATGATGCGCCCCATGCTGGACAGCATTCGCTCTTCTCTGCGTCGCGTCCTTGCTCGTCAAAAGGATGAGATGGGCTTCAACCTTTCCGCTCTGCAGTTCATTGGTAACCAGATCCGTGAGCAGAGCACCAAGGACTACATTGACGAGGAGACATGGACGGAGCCCCAGACCCAGAAGGGAACAGGCAAGAAACGACAATTTGTGAACGTGGCATAATTTGAAGCCAATGTTCTGGAAAAGCATGTTGAATGGGCGTTGTCCTTGGTTTGGTTTGGTTTGTTATGATTCTACAAAAGTTTGATATCCTTGAGAGTTTTAGAGAGCCAAGATCAAGGGATGTATTATATACTAGATCCACTTTTAAATGATTACCTGCATCGTACATACATATCGAGATCGTTCAAATCCGTAGACATAATCTATATTTCCAACTAGTCGCCGGTACTGAGGTTATCAGGTCTCTTCTCTGCCCAGCTGGTATTGTTGGTAATTGTGGACCTCAAGAATAACTTAAACTTGAATCGAACACTCAGAGAATATATGAAAAGTTACTACTGTGTATGGACAATTTTAATTCAATTCAGGGATTTAATTATGAAGCTTGTACAATATTCAAATCTATTTACCACACCCCACACAAACAGTTTCCGTCACGACCATCCTGACGTAAAAAGAGCATAAAGGCAATAGAATCTACTGAAGATAGGTACAGTTAGTAACGTATCTTCTCAAGGTAAAAGGCAGTGCACTCCAGCATCCAAAGACAACAAAGCAGCAAAGCCTCGAAACACTTCTTTCAGCAGAACCATTATAAGCATCGACGGCAGCCAATATCCTCTTTTGGGTATACCAGCTGCCATACCTCTTCCGGCTCTTCCTAATAATATCGGTTCGAATGCAAATTCTCATCATATAAGAGTGTTTCGGGCTTCGCGTTTTTTTCCAGGTTTTTCTGTGCTAGGATTTGGATGCCAGGTCATGCAGGTGAGTAAAAGACATACCAATGCTTGTTTTAAGCCAGCGTGGACTAACTACTCAGTACATTTCGGAATTCCGTCCACGCTGGTGTTGGAGGAATTGGTGGGTGAGGTGTAGAGAAGAGGGAAGGCAAGAGCTCGCGAAAATAAAATGGTTGGATTTGGGTGGGTATGTGATTAGTCATGAGTCACGTGCCTCATTGTGGATCCATACTCAGTGTGCATACAGGGCACTATAACTAGTTGATGTAGCAGGAATCGGATTGTCCTTCTGAAAGTCTGATATTGATAGGTTTGTGTTGAACTGTTTTACATTCTAGTCTTATTTTCATACATTTCATGATCGTAAAAGTCGTGTGGGCTTGGGTCTCAATCGAATAAATCAAGAAGACGGCTTCATGGACCCACATAAAGAGCATGTCCACCACTGTGTTTCCATAAAGGTACCGCATGAGCAAAGCCATCCCAGTGGCCTTTTGTTGGCATCCTGGTCCAAAGATTTCAATTTATCCAAAGGGCGGGTGCGATTCTTGAATGCAAATGTATCTCGCGCGGGAGGGCCATCTTTTGCCGGGTTATTATCAGTTGGTAGGGGACGCTTCTTCGGATTTTGAGGTTCGGCAGGAACTCTCTGAGCCGATGCTGGTCTTGCGGGAGCTTCGGCCACTTTACTATTCGATGGCACCGGTCTTTCTGAAGCACAGACATCACAGCACAGAAAGTTCGCGGGGTTTTCCAATGTACATGTCGGGCATGTCCATGTAGCGTCGTAGGAACTATTATCAGCACCAAGAGTGTCCTCAGTCAAGTTTATTGGGGTATCTTTAGGCGTAGGCTCTTCATTGGGATTTTGAACAGTTTTCGGACCATCTGAAGAAGGTTCTGGTGATTGCGCTCGTGGTCCTGCGGGATTCTCCTGGCTCGGGGGTACGTAAGAAGAACCGTATTTCTCACGCTCCTCTTCCTGGATAAGTTCAATGAAGGCTTGCATTATAGCTGCCTCATTAGCGTCATCCTCTTCTGCCTTGGTTCTGAATCCATTCCTAGACTCTTCCTCCATAAGCTCGGTCTCATGGTCTGTTCCAGAAGCACATCCATTCATCACCTCGATACGTCGTTGGGCAGCATCCGCCCGAACCTTGCGCATATCGGTTCCCCGAAGCACGGGTGCGCCACCAAGCCTCTGTCCTGATTTCTTAGAGCGGACAAGTCGCTGTTCGGCAGCTGAACGGGCTTGACGACGAGCTTCATCTAGAGGTATTCTGGCTCCACCGAGGCGTTTGCCTTGGGACAGGAACCCTTCACCGGTGTATCCCTTGATCACGAGCTCCTCGTGTTCATCACGCAGTTGGTTCCACAGCGCGTGAAAATCACGATTATGTGGACCATGAACGATATGGCATAGTCTGTCGTCGGTCGATCAGCTCTATCCTGGGGGTTCGGGGTCACAGATAGATGGAAAGCAATACTTACTCGTGTAGCATCGTATCCAGAACTTGCTCAAAAGGAAGAAATTGTCGTTGATCAGAGGCATAACGTAATCTCAGGCAAATCTTCTGTCCGGAGTTGACGTTTATCCCGAGAAGATTGCTTTGTCGTGGGTAGAACTCGCAAAGGGCGCCCACTCGCCAGGCGCGTTGGCGCATTATTGGCTTGACGATGGAGGCCACTTTGCGTAGAATCATGAGCGCCTCCGCTTCGCGTGGGCGTTTTTTCTCATGTCGATAGTCGGATATCAAAGCATCTAGTTCACGCATTTTGGATGTTGGTTTTTGCGAACTGACTGGGTACATACAAGGTTTGGCTTGAATTAAGATCAAATCAAGAGGCTATATGGAGCCTCATTTGGTTTATCATTCTCCAGAAGTTTGACTTCCGAGGTGTCCAGTTAACATAGGAATTTTATTTTCATCGGAACCGCAGGAATCAAAAAGAAAGAAAACAAAGGGCGTTGTGGTTTGCATGAAACAGACATCGTTTCGATCGATAACCTGGGCATTGATAAAAAGCTTATGCCTTACGGGTCAGGCATAAACTATCACGTGCCTTTTGTAAACACTTATTTCATGGACACACGAGAAGAACGTTTGATTTCATTCTTGAAATAAAGATAATGATTGCAGTGGATGGTGATTATTCTGGCACATTCTCCGAAGTTTATCTTCGCGGCTGTCTTACCTGTTTTTCAAAATTGTTTGTAGGAAGTAGGAGGAACTACATTCGCAGTATATATATGTCTTGTTGAAATGCTTCCAAGGTTAGGAATACATTAATTCTCAAAACTCTCCAAGGTTACAGTCCAAACAATGCTATGTTGTCTTCATCATGTATCTAAGTTACAAGGGCTTTTCTCACACTCTATCATACCTCTATAATATGAATTTTTGGCTAGTTATGCTTGAATAAGTGCTGTGCCTTGTGTCGTGAGACGGCTCATGTGACTGATAAGAGGGGTCCGCTTTATCAGTCCAGACAATCTTATCGTCTTGTGCTTTTCTCTATTCAAGTTTTACCAACCGACACAAGATGACAAGCGACGATCAGTTTTTCTTTGACTACGTGAGAATCCAATCTTCTCTTTTGAGACACAGTCTTCACTTGGTGTGCTTTAGCTAACAACGATGCTCTACCCAGCTTGCGTCTATACCCCATGACGTAAGGCGCTACTCTCTCCAAGTCGCTGACTCGATCGACCGACAAGTCGACCATGCAGCGGTCGCCATCCGGAATACTTTGTCTGAACAATCATGGATACCGTATTCCGTTCGGCCATCGCTGCGTAATGCGCCAGTGCGATCATCGACTGGTGCTTTGACTGATCGCGTGCAAGACTGGGTGAACCGAAACCGCGCTTGGACAGCGGCCCTTCTTGCGTTTGTCGGGACTGGGTGTGTCCTGCTTTATGGAAACAATAAGCTGAATGGGAGAAGGCGAAAGGCTCGAAGGGCTGGAAATGGAGCTCGGAAAGAGATCGTTGGTGAGTCTGCGGTGGACTCGTTGAGGAGACCAATCCATACTGGACATGCACTAAACAATGACTAGTTATCGCTGGTTCACCACATGAACCCATGACCCGGGCTATTGCGGGGGACCTTGAACGCCGGGGATACATTGTCTATGTGACAGTCGCATCTGCGGAAGAAGAACAAGTTGTTCAGTCCGAGAACCGGGCTGATATCAAGGCACTCTGGCTGGATCTCACCACCGTGAGTATTCCTGTAGTGAAAAAAAGAAGATGAAGAATGGGCCAATAGCTGACACTCAAATATACAGACATCCTCGACTCCTTCAGATCTTCACCCTTCGTTACATGAGTTACGCACCTTAATTACCCAGCCGCAGTCTCCTCACCCACGAGTGCCTGCTCATACTTGCCAACTGAGCGGTCTCATCATTTTACCCTCAACCCACTACGCCGCCGGCCCAGTCGCAACCATCCCAGCATCATCATGGGCTGATACCGTCAACACTCGTCTCCTCTCACCAATCCTCACCACGCAAGCATTCCTCCCACTTCTGACTCTCCGCAGCAACCCCAGCACCATCGTCTTCGCCTACCCATCCATCTCCTCATCACTAAACGCACCCTTCGCCGGGCCGGAGGTCGCCGCAACTCGCGCCGTCTCAGGATTCGCAACCTCCCTTAGACAAGAGCTCCGCTTTCTCAAGCGCGACAACGTTGACGTGGTAGAGCTACGCCTGGGTAACATTGACCTGGGCTCCGCATACCGTAACCACCAAAGTCAAGTAACTGGTACAGAAGTTTTGGCATGGAGCGTTCAACAGCGGGCCCTTTACGGACACCAGTACCTTTCCAGCATTGAACAACGGCCCGTTGCTTCCGCTGGCCCCAAGACAGTGCGGGGTACCTCTGCACGATCTCTCCACTACGCTGTAATGGATGCACTGGAGCCTGCTCCTAGGGGTCTCTTTGGACAAAAGAAGTCTAAAAAACATGTCATGTACGCAGGACGGGGTGCTCGATCCTACAGCTTGATTGGTGCTTGGTTTCCAAGTGGACTAGTTGGTTTGATGATGGGATACAACCGGGGCCATGGCATGGGACATGATAGCCCGAGTCCCAGCACTGGTAGCGAAACCAGCTGGGAACGGTTATGAGAAAGCCGATCCTGGAAAAGATCGTACTGCCGATCAGTACGATGAAGCAAAACACAAGAACCCTCCCCTTTCTCCACTTTTCTGTAAAGTCTAATTAGGGATCTGCTCTGTATATACTGTATCTCTTTATTTCCCCTATACTCTTCGCTCTTAATAATTTCGAATGAATTTTGGATTTGATTACCATGAATAATTATACTATAGACAGTCATTGGAAGTTGTTCATTAATGGATAATCACACATAATATCTCAAGGTTGAACATCAAACCACCACACCTTGCATCTCATTCCCACACCCTTCATCAGCATTGCCAAACATAAATCCACCCCGCCCCTGTGCAGAATCACGCCGCGACCTTTTAACCCTTCCACCTGAGATCCGTCGCCTTACCCAGACAAGTCCCCAAGAGATAAAAAAGATGACCAGGATAGCAGCCAAGATACCAAAGCAGTATCCCGCTACAGTCCCACTCTTTTTCCCATGCTCAGTATCCAAGAAGCTGTACGCATAAAACCCCTCAGTATGGTAGGTGATATACGCGACGCAGAGGTAGAGTAATAGGATCAGAATAAGGACCGGAAGGGCAATCAGTGGATGCGGGGCGGTAGTAGGGAGAAGGATCTCCAGTAAGGCGTAGAAGGAGTTTAAACCATGTTGAGAGATCTAGGGATGAATTAGCTTGGTGGGTCAATGTTTTTGCTTTTTGCTTTGCGTCATGCATGGCTTGGTGAATTTTGGTATCCGGGGAATGTAGGGGTGGCGGGGATGGTAGGGCGTAGGGCATAGGGCGGGGAAGGGAAGTACATAGGTTGTAGTAGATGTAAGACATGATGCGCAAGGATATTACACATCATGGGATATTGAACATTGCAGGACAAAAGATGACGCGAAAGTAAAAAGAAGACCTACATTCGACCAACGAGGAAAGATGACACTGTAAAATGGCCCGGAGTACAGAATGCCCCAGAAAACAATCGTGACGAGAAAAGGAAACGTCGTGACAGACGCATAGAAGATAGCATGCAGTACACGGAACGCGCGAGGAAGGCGATTGAATAGCACAGAGCGACCTGTTCGTGCATAGAGCGCTGTATGGATCGCTGAGATAAGGAAATAGAAGCCCAGTCCCCAGTATGTTAACCATGTGAAGTAGCTGAAGGACTGGCCGATTTCCACCCGTTCATTGTGGGTGCCGTACCAGACCCAGATGACGATGATGGTTGTGAAGATGTAGAGGGAGATGAGGCCGCGTAGACATGCTAGAAGGGCCGGTGAGAGAAGCCATGATGTTTCGAATTGGTGAAGGTCATCGTCAATGGGATCTGCACCGTAAAGCGTCGCTCGCGAGGGTCGGCGCATGGGGAACTTGAAACTGGTGAGATTCCGTGTAGAGTTCTCGTCTGGAGCGCGAACTGATCGACTGTCTTCCAATTGCGGCTGTTCGAAGACTCGGAGCTCGAATCTTCGGAGGTATTTCAAGTTTGCGTGAGACCTGGGTTGTACTATATGGATGGACTACTGTACAAGTGCAGGTGTTCGGAACCGTTTCTACACAGGATAACCAAAGTAGACAGTCAATACCATTTTTTGAGTGAAGCCTTTTATCCTGTTCTGCTTGCGCAGGCACATGGAAACTTCAAGGTTGGGCGGAGAAGCTCAAGTGCTTGCGCGGGGTCTAGGCGTCCAGGTTGCGCCTGCTATACTCAAGACAAGACGGATGCGGTTGACGGTTCACTGAAAGACTGAAGAAAGTGACAAAAAAAAATCAGAGCTGATGTAACTTGAATTTAGCTGTTTATATTTTATTTAATTTCTCCACAACGTTTTTTATCTTTTTTCTTCTTTCTCCTGCAGAAAAAGTCTTGCATGTTCGCCTATAGTAGTAGGCTGCGTAGGTATAGTTAACTCCATCAGCTCTAGGCGAACTTCCCCCTCCGCACTAAACCACGTTGGGTCAATTACATCGGATCAACATCTGAATCGAGCTTGGCGTTCTGGGGCTGTCAACCAGTGTGAACCAATGTCCACCAATGCCAGTCGGAATTCGATATTATTCCGAGGTCACGATGCCAGAGGGGAACGATTAAGCAAGTTGAGGCCAAAAGACCCGAACAAAGGTTATAGGAAATTTCCAAGAGCTAGACGGAGTACCTAGGTTGACTTCCGAGGTCCAGTCTTGTGAAGAGGGGAAAGAGAGTGGCAAGGTCACGCTAATTCTGCAGTGTTTACGGCGGCCAATATGTAGATGCAGAATGCGATGGATCCCCATGTTGTTGCGTATGCACCCCCTCAGTTACGGCGTATGCGTTATGTCAGTGGAAATCTAAATAAAGAACAAAGTGCAGAGCTGGATTAATATTGATCCTTTCAAATTTAAGTCATACCTGGGGATTGAGATGCAGCCCGCTAAGTATTATGATATAGACAAGGTTATTAAAAATATGATCCATCAGCCCCTGAAATTAATTTGTGCAACCAAAAAATAAATAAACAGAGCGAGACAAAGAAGAAGAAAGAAAAAAAAAAACATGTCAATGGCTCCATAATAACCACCCGAACATCCTCATCTGGGAATCTTCTGAGGCTTTGCAAACTCCACTTCGGCCATTGTTATTGGTGATCCAGAGGTAGTTGCGGATTCGGAGCACCATGAAACAAGCCGTGTGGGGGAGAGAGAACTGAGTATTCTAGAAGGTCGATCACCGCACAGATGGGAAGAGGAAAGGGTAATAAGAATAGAAATCCAATAGGCACCCGAGGGGACCCTCTACTAGTCCATGATGGCGTCAATATTAATGGAGGTGATGGGTGAATTGGCTTGGCAACCCCTGAATAGACAGAAAAGTACACAGTATACATTGTATTACATGGAGAACACAGACAAAGATGAATGAATCCTCCTCAAATAAATGTATCCAACTTCAATTTCATGAAAATTAATTACTGCACGGAGTAAATATCCCCTTGTCCCTCCTTTCTACTGTACGGAGCTTTCCCCATCCCAATATTGAACGTGCACGGGGCTCCTGGCTTGTCATCGCGTTGCATTGTGATCGTCAGGGCCTCGCCCGATTTTCTCCTTTCTCTCTAACGCACTTCAACTCTTTTTTTCATTACCTTTGTCTTTTCAAACACCCTTAATCCACTACTCCTCTTCCATCTACCCCAGGGCTGTCATTCCTTTGGCCTCAACCGCCCCCCCCGCCCACCATATTGGATACCTTCAACATCCAAATCCTCCCGATGCCCTCAGGACGAGTCTCCTAACACCTCAAATCCTCGGACCCCCTATGCCCCTACAACCCTTGGAGATTTTACACGAGACAAGACAGAAACAAGAAAGGAAACGGGAAATAAGTTTGTCTTTGGCAAAATAAATACGATCAACAATGCATCCATCACGAGCGAAACTGAGCGATGTCCGCTCCAATTCTCATGATACCTTGCATGGGGGGATGCCTTCCCCGCGGGTCGCACATTTTGATGGCGAGATTCCACCAGCGCTCTCTCCCCTCGACGCCTTTGCCGCTCAAGGTCGATTTCTGGCCCGACAACTGGATGAATCTCGACTCGGTGAACGGCGCATGAGTCGCCTTCCCCCTTCTAGTGTCGCTCGGTCGCTGTCTCGACCCCGACCTGGCTACCGCCGTTCCCCAAACAGCGACCCCAACACCGATGGACTGACACGGCGACCGACACAGAAAGGTCTTCCAGAACTGGAAGAGCCCAAATATCGTCCGATTTCCGAACACCCCCGATTTAGCTCAGTTTCGCATACCAGCAGCAATGCCGCCAGTGTTTATGATGATGAAACCACCCCCCGGACAACGATGATACAGGAGGAGCCTAGTCACTATGGAATTCCTAGAGCAGAGTCTCCTGAGACAGATTCGATTTACACCGATGATACACAGGATGGATTTGTAGGCCGTGCGTTGACAGATCCATCTCGTCAGTCCTCCACGGATTCGACAACTCGACTACATATTCCACGAACACTGGCTCCGCCAGTCTCGCCGCATTCGCGACCATCGAGTAGTGCACGGGTGAATCATTTAGAGAGCTCTGATGATGATTATAGTAGCTCCAATGCAGGTTCGACATTCTCAAAGCCAAGAAAGCTGTCATCGGGGAGTGCTGTATCACTTCCGTACTCACCTATGTCGACCTTTCCAGCTCGAGTCCATCCGCGCTCACCCTCCATGAGCTCTGAAACGTCGACGGGCACCGGATACCTGGCACGGCCTTCTTTTAACTTCTCGCGCCCTCTGAGTCGGTCCAGTACCAGTCTCTCGGCACCAGGAGCTTCAGAGCCAGTCCCATCTAGTCTATCGCAGACCAACCTATCGCACCAATCGAACCACATGCACCGTTCCAGCAAACCAACCCCGATCCTTTTACCACTGGCCACAGGAGAGGTAGCGGCGACGCAGCCACAGGACGGCGAGCCTTCTTCAGCAGTGTCATCATTTGTGTATGCCAAATATGACCTACCGCGAGGTCGTGAACTTGCCCGGGACTCAGTGGTTTTTGCAGGCCTTCAGACTCCTCATTTTGAGTGGGCCGAGCCATTGTTCGAGAACTCACCACCGCGAAAATCGGAAGAGATTCCTCGTTCAGCTCGCACTCCACCCCCAACTAGTAACTTCCACAACATGAATAACTCTCCCAAGCCACATTCGATACATGAAGTCCCTTCATCAGAGAGAGAGTTGCCACCGTCAACTCCCGAGCCAAAGAAGGCAACACCCGCTCCTGTATCATCTCCCAAGCCACCACCTGCGCAGACACTCACTACACCCGAGAAACCTCCGCGAAAGTCTACTGAATCAAGCCGTAAAGCGAATGAACATGCTGAAACCGCTTCGTCCGCCGGTTCCGCCAGTACACTCCGTCCGCAGACTGCCAAGACGCAGACCTCGTCAACGGCCGTTTCGGCTGATGATCACATCGCCAAGGGTATTGAATTGCACGAGAATGGATCGTTGCAAGAGTCAACCTATCACCTACGGATTGCCGCGAAGCAGAACCATCCCACTGGAATGCTGCTATATGCGCTAGCGTGCCGTCATGGCTGGGGTATGCGTCCTAATCAGCAAGAGGGAGTGCGTTGGCTACGCAAAGCTGTGGATTCTGTAGGATTGGAAATGCTGGAGAACCCCGATGCTCCCGGTGCGTCTAAAGCAAAAGAATTGCAGAAGGCCTACCGTGCCCAATTTGCGCTTAGCGTCTACGAATTGGGTGTCAGCCACTTGAATGGTTGGGGTATCGAGCAGGATAAGGCTTTGGCCTTGCGTTGCTTCGAGATCGCCGGACAATGGGGCGATGTCGATGCTATGGCTGAAGCAGGTTTCTGTTACGCAGAGGGTGTTGGATGTAAGAAGGATATGAAGAAAGCCGCGCGGTTCTACCGCGAAGCTGAAACCAACGGTATGAGCATGGTTGGCAACAGCTGGTAAGTACTTGGAACAGCCACTCAATCAACCCCTAACATTGTTCGCTAATAGCTTTAATTAAAACAGGATCTACAAAGAAAAATACATGGCTGGAGAAGCCGCCAAAGCCAAAGAAAAAGAAGGTCGCTCTCGCGGAAGAACCGTCAGCAGCGACAAGAAAAACACGCGCAATAAATCGCGCACACGCAGCATCTTCCAGCGGAAGAAGTCTGTTCCTGAGTCGTAGCCTGCACACTTGAACTGAGCTTCGTCTATTCCTTTTTATGGGCCACGCCCTGGGGATTTGAGTCAAATCACCCCCTTTTGCATTCCAAAGCAAACTGTTTTTGGAGCGTTTCTAGCCGACTATCCTATTTCGTGGTTTGATTTACCATTATTGATTCCGTTCTATGTCACTTTCTTTTCACATTATCTTTTCCATTTTTTCCTTGACATTCTATCAACTCTTCCTTCACATTATCAAACCTCATCCGAGCTGCCTGGGCAGCTTTTTCGAGCATTTGGAGCCGGAGCCTTGTCTCCCTCCAACCTGTTTCGCGGGCATAGTGTTTCAGTTCTTCAATACCCTCTTCTTCGTCATTTGACCAAACCTTTTTTATTCTCTTCTTTTCGTTTACACTATTTTGATCGAGATATTCCCCCCTCGCTGTTGCTTTTTCCTTGGCATATCTCTTATTATCTTTTCTTGGCCATAGTACCCCCGGGACTGCTTCCCTTTCACTTCTCTGGAAATCTCTTACCATTACCATTCTTATCTATGTTCTCTCTTTATCGGCAGACGCTTGCAAAGTGAATCGTGCTTCGGTTCACGATGAACTCATGACGAACCCTCGGCTCATGTTTGTGGACATTTGTTTTTTATCTTGCGATTGCATATTGTTCATGTCCATCTGTGTATCACACGGATTGATGACCTACTTAATTGATAAATTGGACCCATTGGCTGGTTCAGCCCATGCATTACCACCTATCATATTTCTTCCCTTCCAAGGTTATACGCCGCCTACCTAGATCCTCTCTCTGTCCCTCCAGACATAAATTCTCTTCCTAGACATATCATCACACGTAAGACTAAGAATCGCCCCTCATCCAGACCTAGTACTCAATCTTAAACGTCCACGCATATCGATCAGCCTTAACAACATCTTCCGAAAGATGAAGCACAAGCCTACCATCCCGATCAACGCTCGATTCAACCACAACACCATGCATCACACCCCCAACAACAGTAACCTCATCACCATCCAAATACGGCACAAAATCAGTAAAAACCATATCCCCCACATTCGGCTTCCCTAAAACATGAACATAAAAAGCATCATCAGTGGTCGTATACCGAAAATCTCCCTCCCCAGGCCCATTAGCCCAATACTTCGTCCCAAAAATACTCTCCCCATGACCCTCAAGCCACCTCCCCACCAACCTGAGATTACTCTCCATTACTTCCGGAATTGATCCATCCCCCCTAGGTCCAATATCAAGTAACAAATTCCCATTCTTCGCCACAGTGTCAATCAACGTACTAACAATCCCACTCGCATTAAGATATGCAGAATCCGGCGTCGCAGCATTATACCCAAACGAATGCGGATCCATACCACGCGTAGCTTCGAAATGCCTCAACGAAAGCGGAATACTACTCGCGTACTCGGCGGAAGTATCGAAGTCTCCTTCTATCACGCCGCAACGACTGTTTATTGTGACTTGACGGTTATTAGCATATTCGGTGTTTAACCATTCGGATGCGAATTTCGGGGAAAGACGACTTGTTGGCATTGTTATGTCGCACCACATTATGTCTGTTTTGTATTCGTAGGCTAGGATGTTCATTTGGGGGTATTGGATGTCTGGGATGAAGTCGTTGACTTCGACGAAGCCGGTGTATGGGACTGTTTTGTTTGTATAGGGGTTTTTGGGGGGACCTGAAAGGGTTCAATTAGTTCATTGTTAGTAGTACGGGCTGTACTTAAATTGGATGATAGATGTGTGCCTACCAATACCGAAGGAATCGAGCCAGGTATAGTTTGAGAAAGCTGGGTTAAACCATTCGGGCATGCTGAAATATGTACCCCTTCTTAGAGACGGTTGATAGGTCTCTGCCGCGTTGAAGATTTCCTATATCGATGCATTTAGTAAAAGCCACCGAATAAAAATTTGAATATATGAAATAAGTTATTCAAAAGAACATACTCTGAGGAAATCCCGATGAGGGGGCTGCTTTACTGAGTTGCGCTCAGAAATTGTCTCAGGCATATCAAACAACGCAAATCCATCATGATGCTTCGTAACAGGGACGATGTATCGAGCTCCAGAATCAGCTACCAGATCAACCCAGTCTTTTGGCTGGAATTTATCAGCAGTGAAATTTTGCATGAAGTCATCGTATCGAAAATCTGGCCCGTAATGCTCTAAATGATATTGATAGGTCTTGGTTGGATCAGATGGACTCATTTGGCTGGACCAGTACCTAGTGAATAGTGTCAGGGGTTTTTTTTCTCCCTTGAAATAATATTCAGTGAGGAGGTAATTGACGCACCATTCTGCATAGTTCTCATTCTTGCCTACGCCGCCATATGCAGGGATAGAGTATAAGCCCCAGTGAATGAAGATTCCGAACTTAGCATCGCGAAACCAGTCGGGCGATTCATGTTGATTGACTGATGTTGCGGAGGCTTTGTATGTAGGTATACCGTATGTTGCAGTTATATCGACGGATGTTGAAGAGTTACTGCCCCATTTAGCCAGTGCAGTTGCAGGACCTGATGAGCCTGGTTTGATACCGTGCTCATTTTGAACCCCAACTTGAACAATCACCGAGTCGCCCGGTTGAAGTCTTTTGACATATGCTGCCTGGACAGTTTTAAGATTTTCAGACTCAATAGAGACTGTAAGGCTGTCCTTGGATGTTAACCATGTATTCTTGCCAGTGTTGTTGAGCACTACGTCGAAGATTTGGACTTGAGGTTTGCCTTCGAACCATCGTGTGGAGGAGTTCACTTGGGTGATGGTGATTTGGGGGGAATCTAATAGGCATAGCTTTAGTGAGGGATTTCAAAAGAAGAGGTGTTGGTTTTGTTTTGATCTTGTTAGATAAATCCATCCACTTACTGGTGTCAATACTCGAGCTGTGAACATCATGATAAGCTCTGGCTAGAGCTACAAATGCCAAAACTTGTCCCAAGTACAAGAGACGCATGGTGAACAAAACACAGGAAAGTGCCTCTGGATTAATAAGCAAACTTGTCGTTCAGAATGATCAATATTCTTTTTAAATTATTCTATGTTACACTTATATCATTTCCAAGTGATCACTGTATCCAAATTTCTCTACCTATGACTTCGGCCAAGAAGATTCGGCAACTACACGATGCAACATGTTTCGAGAAGCAAATGCAAGTTTTCAATGATTTGATCATCACAACAGCTTGCATCATTAAATCTCGCTTATTTTGCGCATTGATATTTCAAATCGGATATATTCACATCTACCCCCTCTTTTAACAACAATAATCCGATGAGATCGGGTAATTGCAACTATACGATGCAACATGACCATATATCACGACGATCTTTCTGTTTTCTATCAATAACGCCCCAAAGCTTATGTACGTTAGATTTACGCGATGTTCAATGACAAGGATCTAAAAAGTACCCCTCTTTTAATATAGAGCTCAGTAAATAGCAAATGTTGATGTGAACTTTATCGACTCGTTATATTTCTCTATCCATTTATGATACGTTGATAGAAGTGTGATCAACAGAATCGAGGAGAAGAAGAAGAAGAAGAAGAAGAAGAAGATGATGTTATTCACAATATTTGGCCTTCTTTTGGGGCTTACCACTAGTAATTCTTTAGTGGATGCAGTTTCATATGTTGTTCAAGAAACTGCCCCTCAAGATGCTGCACCTCCAATACTTTCGCCATTTGTGAGCTTTTCTATTGAGTTTGTTTACTTCCCAGACTACGCAGGTAAGCTAAGTATCCCAGCAATTTTCAAATTGTTGATGACTGACCTCGGTTGAATTGTAACAGGAAACAAGACAAACCCCAATGCTTTCTCCAACCAACTTCTAGAGAACCTAGGGGAGATTCAGGGATTAAGACCGCATATTCGAGTCGGAGGAAACACTCAGTATGTCCATATGCAATTTCACTTACCGTCAATCAAGGATATGAAATCTAATATTCGACAGAGACTATGCTCTATTCAATTCATCATTGAAGACATCCGTTAATGGCACTTACATAACCTCCAAGTCAACGGACTATCCATATATCATTTACATTGGCCCTTCGTATTTTGAGTCATATTTGATGTGGCCGAATACGAAGTTTTCTCATGGCTTCAATCTTGCAAAGAACAGTTCACATGATATTCAACTTCTACTCGAAAGTGTACCTTTTGCCTGTCAGGCTCTGAGCCATGATAACCTTCTGGTTTGGGAGCTAGGCAATGAGCCGGATGATTACAAAAATGCTATACAAGGCGCATTGAGGCCTTCTAACTGGACAGAAAGTGATTACGTTCATGAGTGGCTTAGCCGCACAGCCGCCCTGAAAAAACAAATGGATATTCATTGTCCACATCTGGCTGATGTGAAATACATGGCGCCTTCATTTGGCGGGATAGATGGCAGCCTGGCAGCTCTTACTACATGGCAGAATGGATTGAATGATGCGGGAAATATTGCATTCAATACTGAGCATAAGTACGTCATTTTTGATTTTCTAGTTTGTCAATGTTGAATTTGTCAGATTGCTAATAATTGAAAAGTTATATGGGAGGGGCCGATGAGCCAGGAGTCACGCTTCAGAAGACATTGATGAATCATACTGCGGTGATTCAAAATGCGGCACAACATGTGGATTTCATGAATGCCTTGAAATCAGATAATCTCGCGCCGGACATCCCGTATATTTTGGGAGAAACGAATTCTCTCTATAGTGAAGGCCGAGCAGGACTGTCTAATTCATTTGGAGCAGCTTTATGGGGTGTGGATTGGAACCTCTACTGTGCTTCTCAAGGCATTCGACGAATCTACATGCACCAAGGGACGGACTATCGATATGCAGCATGGCAGCCAATCTCGACCAACAAAACAACTATCGGGACTAAAGCACCCTACTATGGTAATGCGATGGTTGCTGCCATGACTCAAGGTGGAGATGACGTGACAATCGTCAATATTCCTTTGGAGCAGGACACTGAATCTGCTTATGCGGCCTATGTTGATGGGAAAGTGACACGCATTGCCGTAATAAACATGGTGGAGTTCAATTATACTTCTATCGAGTCTAATAGCTCGAGTAGCCGCCCGAAGGCTCAATATTCCTTCAAATTGCCTGCTTCATTCAAGTCTCATCAAATATCTGTGCAACGCATGATGGCAAATGGAAGTGACGCCGTGACAGGCGTTACATGGGGTGGATTCTCATATAATTACGAGTTAGAAAATGGAAGCCCAGTACGCATGAAAAATGTGACAAATCATGAGACCGTCCAAGTTGATCAGGATGGGATGTTGATGATCGATGTACCTTATTCAAGTGCTGCCCTTGTGAATTTGCAGTAGATTGTTTGTTAGGAAAATGAGATATCTGCCTCTAACTACTGATGAAAGTTTGCAATTTGGCTCAAATATTATAATGAGCCCGGGGGATGTTGTCATAATATGGCACGGAGACGGCATTGGGGGTATCGGTGAGCCCAACCATCGCCGTTGTAACAGGATGTACTGGCTTTCGGTCCACTATGAGGTTGATGCAACTTGGGCCAGGCAGGCTTTGAAGGTGTGCAACGGTGTGTTGAATATCGGCTATGCGATCTATCTTTGCAGCGGCATTCTGCAAGCCCTTTGCAACGATATCGTACTCGGTATTAGGGTTCAGAGAGCTGATAGGCCGTAGATGAGTGCCGTCTCCATATACGAGATCTTGCCCGTTAATGCTCATACCCCAAGTGGAGTTGTTCACAACAACTGTCATCACATTAAGATTGAATCTCTTGTACGTGTCGAGTTCCATCAAGTGAAAGCCTGCGGATCCATCACCCTGGATATTGACGACTTTCCGATCGGGAGCGGCAATTGCACTGCCTAGCGTATACCCAAAGCCGTTACCAAGAAAGCCGAGATAACCTGTAGCAGTCATGACTATGCTGGGCTGGCTACGCCACGCGAGATCACCCGCCCAAACGCTCGCTTCCCCACCATCCAGAACAATTATACTCCCCGGGTCGACGGCGGAGAAGAGGTATTTTAATGCATGGTATGGATGTAGATGGCCTGGAGAAATCTCCTTGGGCTCCCTCTCGTAGGGAGGCTCTGCTAATGACAAGTTAAGAACTGCCTGGACCCAAAATTTATCGACCGAGCCTTGGTATGCAGTGCCTAACTTCCTATTCATTGCTGATGTGAAAGCTTCAATGTCAGAAACAACACCAAGGTCAACCGGCAATGACCGTCCAATTTCACCACCGTCGCAGTCGACCTGAATCAATGCACAATCCGTGTCTGGAATAATAGCACCGTTTCTGCCCCCGAGGAACATTCCTGTTCTAGCGCCCAGCAGTAGAATCAGGTCTGGTCGAGGAATCTGGGCAGACTGTAGTTGTCCCAAAACCCCAGCCGTTCCTCGACAAAGCATTACTGATTGTGGGCGACATGAGGCATATTTTGATGTGTTGAATACCGGAATACTGCAAGTTTCAGCCAGCTTGAAGAGACTTTCTCGTGTCTGTGGTTTTTGTTAGTTGCTAGGGACCACAGATGTGATAATACCAAATAAGTATATGTGCAACGTACCTCAAAAGTCCTTGCGCCCGTCCCAGTAATAATTACAGGCCTTTTTGCATTAGTTATCATTTGAGCCGCTGCATCGATCGCATCACGATGTGGTCCGGGCGGATATGATTTAGGGGATGTGATTGATCCCCAAGAGATGAGTTTTGGATGAACGGGAGAAAACAAGACATCGATAGGAAAGTCAAGAAGAACAGGACCTTGTAGATTGAACGTCAGAATGAATGATTAAGATGACTCCTCATGTTGACAGAGGACATACCAGGTGGACTAGATTGAGCAAGTCGAAAGGCATGAGATACAATTCTTGGACACTCCTCCGGCGCTACAACACGATGCGCAAATTTGGTTATGGGATGGGCCGCAACAACCTGATCGATCGACCCTTGAAGGGAGTTGTTTTCCGTATCTCGAATCGGAGGAGACGAAGTTATACACAGAATCGGACTTCGATCACCATACGCAGTGGCAAGACCAGCAAGGCCATTCGAAAAACTAGAGTGGGATCGATTAGATGTCGCTTCATGGTAATTATTAGACAAGCACAATCTGGCTTACCCGCTGTTAGCAGTCACAAAACAGACTCCAGGCTTTGTACTGATCCGACAATATCCCTCCGCAGCCTGAACAGCCACGGCTTCATGTCTCGTATCGATCAGGCGTATTCCGATTTCCTCACAGCCCATGAGGAACGCATCCAAGTGCCCCCCATGAAGCCCGAAGGCAACTTCCACACCGAGCTGCTTCAGTGACTGGGCTAATAGGTCTCCGCCCGTCAACTCGCGGGCGGACGGGTAGTGGAGGGGAAAGCCAGCCATATTGGAGGCCAGAACCTGAAGTCGGGCGCAATTTACAGTATCGCTGTTTGAAAAGGAGTGCATATGGTGATTGACGAGGAATGCCGAGGTACGTGAATGCCGGGGGGCCGATCAAGGGGAGGGGGCTGAACGTTGAGGTCCAGGATGATGAAGATGCGGAGAAGGAGGGGATCGCTGCCATGCACTGTGACTACATCGAATTACTTATGACGGAGGGTGTGGAGACAATGCCCAAGACCCACACGATCTGCTTTTCGGCTTCAGTAAACAAAGCCTTGGTTATTTTCGAGATTCTTTGGTGTTCGGGCCCATAATTAATGATACGTAATTCTTCACAACACCTAGGAACTCCACATACAGGTATAGTGTGAGCCCTTTCTTTTAAAACCCAATAACTGAATAAAGAGGATGCATTCATTCATTGAATATTCAAATCTTCGAGACATAAGGTTCAAAAGCAAAGACATTCGTACCGCTATCATGATCTATATTCCACGAATCCCTTAATTAATTTCAGTGCCACAGCACATCGCAACTTACTCCTCTGAGTCCGGGCCTTTAACTAACTCGGTTGCCCTTCCCAGAAGCCCAGCTGGTCCTTTGTTGATTTCTTTGTATTTGCCGTCCCAGCTGTAAAGTACATCCCCGTGTCGCTCCTGGTCACAGAATAATAAGACCACGCTGCGAGCGACAGCTTCCGGGCTTTGGGCTTTAATCTTGTACACTTCGAACAGTTCAGGAGGAATGATCGCCGTGGTGGTCCACGAAGGTGCAATAGCGTTAACTCGCAGATTCCTGTCCTGGAACTGCTCTACAAGCCCACGGACCATGCCAAGGACACCATGTTTAGACACTGCATAGTCAAAACCCTTGAACCTGGTAAATCCAGATCCAGAACAAGCAAGCACCAGACTACCGGAAGTAGTCTGTGGAGCAAGCTTAGTCATGTAAGCACTTGTGAGGTGAGCAGTGTAAATGGAGCCTGTCAGATTCAGATCCAAGACACGCGAAGGGGGCGGTAACAGCTTGCCATCCTCATCGAGTTTAACGTCCAGGAAGCCCATGGTTGCCGTAATTCCGGCATTAGCGAATACGTGGTCAACGCGACCGAACCACTCCACGGTCTGATCGAACATGCTTCGTAGACTTTCCCATTGAGAGGCGTTGACAGTCATGAACTTGAGTTTTTCACTGTTCTCGAACTCCTCGGCGGGCTCATTCAAATCTCCGATTACCACAATCGCACCCAGGTTTAAACACAGTTGCGCGGTGGCCCTGCCAATTCCAGACGATCCGCCTATATATAATTGTCAGAGGAAGGATCTTTGGAGATTGGGATAAAATCATTTACCAGTAATTATGATAACCTTGTCATCAAGACCTTTCAGGTCATCGTCATTGATATAGACTCGAGACATAGTAAAGTCGATCGCTTTGGAATCGGTAGACAATCAATTTTTCCGATCGAGACTTCTTTTCCCTTTTGATTTGAAATTCGTCAGATGCCCGAAAGTTGCTAGAATAAACAAGTCCTGTAAAGTGGAACAAATACCAGTGGGAGAAGGTGGTGTATTATGGACTCGTTGTTCGATCTGCTACCAAATTGTGGATTTACGTTCGCGGGCGGACCCAACCAGTTATACGTGACGCAGCTCAATGTTCCGGGCGTTCAAGGAGCATTGGGGGCCAATAAGATGATTCCACGAGTGGTAATTGGGGGCTGTTTCCTCGCACGGGGGCTGCAGCAAAACATTTGGGGGTGTATCCACATCTAAAACAGAGCCTTCTCTGAACAATACCAGATTAGGCAACGATCCTACAATCTTGGAACAACCTATATTTACAGTATCTGTAGGCTGGCCTCGGCTGAGCGCATCATGCGTACTCTGAATTGTACGTATGGATGGAAATATCCTTGCTTTCGCTAGCCTTGTTGGCCCCATATCTTTATATAGGGCGAAACCTCAAGATAAATCGATGGCAAATAAAGCCCCAAGCCCCAAGTGGCGAACGAGCATCCTCAACCACTTGAATGTTAGGAAGTATGATAAATAAACATGAGTAATTCGTATATTTGCAATGCCAATGCTTGGAACTTTACTCCAATACTAGTAGTACGTACAGATCAATGATGTAGGCACCGAGGTAGGTAGTATCCCTATGATGGATACCATGGATGTCCTGGAAACAAAAGAAAAGATTCAAACTTGATTGCTAATAGAAATATAGATAAAATGACACAGGTATATCTCACTGAAAAGAAGGGTATAGATAGCAATAAATACAAGCTTGAAGTCGTCTACTATTTATGCATATATTCAATCATTCTCTCTCGTGCTCGCTCTGCTTGACCTTGCATGTCTAGATCCCAAAGCCACTTAAGTCGCTCCTCCAACGTAACTTTTAATTTTGTCTCATCATCACCAACCCCATCTAAGCATAAACAAAGGAGATATGAACCTTCCTTGCTACTAGTGACAACCCGTTGACTTCGAGGCCGCCTAATCTCATCATAAGCTTTGAACGCCGCCACGACATGCTGCACAGATGAAACCCGCAGATCACCAAGTAGCTCTGCTAGAACATGTGCATCCTCAATTGCTTGTCCAGCTCCAGCTCCCTGGTGTGGTGTAGAGGCATGCGCGGCATCGCCGAGTATAACGACCCGAGATTTGCAAAATGTCGAGAGGTGAGGATGCTCGAACAGTGCCCATTGCGACGGGTCAGGCATATGCTGTTATGCAGTATATTAGTAAAAGCTCATTCATCGACGACATCTAGATTCAACTAGATCCAATACCTTAATCAAAGATTCCCAATAACGTCCCATGCTCCCCGCATCATGCTCTAGATCCTCTCTCAACGCAGGTCGCACCCATGTATCGTGCTCCCAAATATCTTTCAACACGTAAAGACCAACATTTACCTTCTTCGCGCGCACAATAGGATAAGAGATACCATAAGCCCCCTCTCCGACATAAATAGTTGACACTCTCGCTCTCTGATCTCCAACGGCCTCCACCATATCCTCCATATCAACCACAGCTCGATAAGCATACATCCCACTGTACTGGGGCTGCTTATCCCTCGACTCTTCGGGCAGCATAGACTCCTTAACTTTAGACTTAATACCATCACAACCAACTACCACATCCGCTCGAACCTTACTCCCATCAGCAAAGCTCAGCAACACTCCATCTTCATTTTCCACAAGTTTATCAAGTCTCTTCCCAAAATGCACAATATCCCGCGGAACAAGACTAATCAGTGCATCTAGAAAGTCCGCCCTCCTCAGCGTAGTCTGCCCAGACGGCAAGGCCTTCAAATTCATCAGTGTATCTCCTTCCTTTGCGCCAGAGGCCCAAACAATCTCAAACCATGTTTCCCGAAACGATTCGTAGCCAGGACTATCAGCGTGCGTGGTCACAAGAGAATCGTAGATCTCCCGAATTTGAGGATCAATCAGGGGCATTGCACGATGCGCGGCAGGTCCAATCGAAAGGCCTAGACCGACTTCTGCAAATGCGGATGCTGCTTCGTAGATTTGAACGCAGACGTTGCGGCGGAGGAGTCCTGCTGCGAGTGTGAGGCCGCCTATCCCGCCACCTACTATGGTGACGGTGAAGTCTTTTTTGCTTTCGAGGTTTTCTGTCATATTTGGCAATGTGCAATTTTGGGAAATATATGCTGGCTTCGCCAGTGAGGGTTGACATTAAGCGTCATTTTGGAACTTTGGATTGCGGGGTTATGTTTTGTTATCTAGTTACTAGTACTAGGCGTCCAGCGGGGGACACGGTCCCTAGTATACGAGCCGCCCCAAAGGGTACTATAACTCGGCTTGGACATTGTGTATAATCCAGAAGGACCGTCAAGATTGGCCATATGGCTACTATGCACATAGATATCTTATTGATGTTATTTGTTTACGAGAATAGTTTAATCAAATCCCAGATACGGTGGACTAATATCGTATTTCCTTTCTATATCAATTCCAACATTCATAATGGTCTTCTATTACCTCAGATTCATAAGATGGTGCCTTGCTGCCTGGGAAATGGGGTGTCCGTCAGGAACGAGGGGAGCTTTGAAGCTTCCCACGTCATTGCAAAATCTTGAAGATACCAATCGCACCTTGCTATAAGATACTGTCATTAAACGGATTGCAATGAATATATAATATCCGTAAATAAACGCCATACTACTCTGCTCGAAAAATTGAACTCACCTCCCAACCTACATTACGATCATGTCCCCACGCGATCCCATCTCCATCCCACTATTCGCCGAAACGCAACTCCAGTTGCTTCTCAACGAACACGAAGCCGAAGTCGCATCTTCCTCCCTCGCCACAACCGCCGCTTCCGTATCACCGTCAACAAGAAGAACGCTCCAAGCAACAGGCTACGCTTTAACAGGCTTGGTACTGTCGCAATGCCGCACAGGTCTTGGAGGTCGGGTAGTTGGTGAATTCGCCGCTGATCCGGCTATCGCATCCTCAGAATCCACGGACGGACAGCCACGGCTTGGGTCTCATGGAATCCGGGTTGGGGATGTGGTTCGCGTGAATGACGTTGCTGCGGGGGCTGCAAAGAAGGCGGCCAAAGAGAAAGGGAAAGACGGCGCGAAGGATGGCGCGAAAGGAGGGCCTGAAGGTGTTGTAACAAAAGTTAATGACAAAGCGGTATGGATTGCTTTCGGGCAGCAGGGAGGCGGGGCACGTTCGAAAGAGGATGATGAGGCTGTTGAAGAGTTATGGGGCAAGAAATTATGGTGGTATGTTGAGTTGAAAAGTTGTCATGGTTGATTAATGTGCATTGCTGATGCAGCATAGTATCAAACTCGCCAACGATGTTACGTATAGACGGTAAGAATTGTCTGGTTTTTGAGAATCAGAGACCACGCTAATCTTTTACAGAATGCGACAAACTATGGAGAAAATGGGAAAGATGACGGAGTCTGACCATTCGCATTTCATGCGTGTGGCTTTCGGTCATACCACCCCTTTACAGCCGGAGAATGAGACGGACTCAGTCGAATTTCTTGACCCGACGCTTAATGACTCGCAAAAGGACGCCATTAAGTTTGCGCTAGCTTCGAAAGACATCGCTCTGATTCATGGCCCACCCGGAACGGGAAAGACACATACTCTGATCGAACTCATCTTGCAGTTTGCACAACGCAAGAAGCGAATCCTTGTCTGTGGCCCTTCAAACATATCCGTCGATAATATTGTAGAACGATTAGCCCCGAAGAAACTCCCAGTTGTTCGAATTGGGCACCCAGCACGTCTCCTCCCGTCCGTCTTGGAGCATTCTCTCGAAGTCTTGACACAAACCTCTGATGCGGCGAGTATCGTGAAAGATGTACGTAAAGAGATGGATGAGAAGCAAGCAAGTATTCGCAAGACGAAAACTGGGCGAGAAAGGAGGGCGATTTATGACGATTTGAAGCACCTCCGTAAGGAATTCAGAGAGCGCGAATCTAAATGCGTCGACAATTTAGTACGGGAGAGCAGTGTTGTTTTGGCTACACTTCACGGTGCCGGTGGTCACCAACTGAAAAATCAGAGATTTGACGTTGTAATTATCGATGAAGCCAGTCAAGCACTTGAAGCTCAATGCTGGATTTCGTTACTGGGAGCCGATAAAGTGGTTCTTGCTGGTGACCATTTACAACTACCACCCACTGTCAAGTCCACCAACCTGAAGACTAAAGATTTGGGCAAAGGAAAAGAGACTGCAGATTCAAAGAGTGGAAACTCCGAAGGCAAGGAATTATTAAAGGGCTTTTCGCTCGAGAGAACATTATTCGACCGTTTACTGGCCATGCATGGCGATGGTATCAAACGAATGTTGACAACCCAATACCGCATGCATGATAAGATTATGCGATTCCCCTCCGACGAGTTATACGAGTCCAAACTGACGGCAGCCGATTCTGTCAAAGACCGCCTCTTGGCTGATCTACCCTATGAAGTGGAAGGCACAGATGACACCCAAGAACCCCTTGTGTTTTGGGATACGCAAGGCGGCGACTTTCCCGAAAAGGCTGAAGACAAAGAGATTGGTCAGAAGGAAGCCCTCCTAGGTGAAAGTAAAAGCAATGAGATGGAGGCGCTGGTAGTTGCCAAACACGTTGGCAATTTAGTTGAGGCGGGTGTCAGACCTGACAGCATCGCTGTCATTACCCCCTACAACGGCCAGCTAGCTCTGCTGTCTCAGATGCTTCGCGAAAAATACCCTGGCTTAGAATTGGGCAGTGTCGACGGATTCCAAGGCCGCGAAAAAGAAGCCGTGGTTGTTAGTCTTGTTCGTAGCAATGAGAAGCATGAGGTCGGATTCCTCGGAGAGAAACGACGTCTTAATGGTAGAACTGTTCAGCCTACTATAAAGTTATATACGCCCAAACTAACGCGAGTGATATTTAGTGGCTATGACACGACCCAAACGACATCTTTGCATTTGTGGAGACTCGGAAACCATCAGTCGGTATGTTACTGTGTGTTTGTGAATCAAAAGTGGGATTAGAAGCTGACCCAGTATCGCCTTTACAGTGGTAGTGCATTTTTGAAACACTGGATGGATTATTTGGAGGAAAATGCCGATCTACGATATCCCGATGCCGGCGATTTACTTTAAAGTCCGATTGCTCTTGCCGTGGGGTAGCCCAATACGAATGGACCCCTCCACGAGCTGCCCATGAGGAGGCAGTATACGACATCTCGAGAATTTGATCAAAGCGACCTTTACATACTACGTATTCGGTGGCAATCTATAAGTAGCAAAAAGCAGGTCTCACCCTTTTAACTGGATTGCCTGCATGGTTGTAGTACAGCAGAGAGGGAGCCAGGAAGTCAGGAAGCTGGGAAACCCGTGTTCCTCGAAGTCCGCACTCCACACCCAGCCTGAAGAACCCGCTCAATGTACCCAGCCGTGTCTCAATCAAGAGACGCAAGAGGACTAGAATAAATAAGTAAGAAGGAATAGCCGTGTTTCGTTTCAAGTTACGCAGCATCTCGTCAGTGGGAAGATCATTGTGATGGCGTCGGAGATACGTTACTGGAAGTAGGACAAGCGTGAGGGGCTTTTGATCGACCATATCCCTGAACCTCCGCCTCCTAGATCCAATTGGCCCACCTACCCACCATGTCAGCACCGCAGCCTAACGTCTCGAAGCTCTTTGTGGGTTAGAGAAAGGATCCAAGGTTTGATTCGTTGCGGTCATACCCATCCCGCCGTCTGAGCTTAGGGAAGGGATAACTTATGGTCACTCTGTGTAAGGTAATGGGGGTTGAACCTCCAAGCGTACTGGCTACGACGAGCGACCCGGCGACCCGACCCTCGCGCAAACGGTCTGTGCGGCGTTTGAGAATTCCCTATGATCAACTGTCTGCCATGTGGTGTTTCAGACCAACTGTGCAGCAGCAGGGCAACCTCTTGGCCATTCTGTACTCCACTGTAAACCTTCACCCAAGAAGGAAGCTCATAGTTGAGCCACATCGTGCAAGGGCCTATTTTGAGATTTGAGGTTGACGCTCTGGATATTGTGGATGGAGCTGGAAAGACAGTCCAAAACGGCCGTTCTTCTCTGGGGCTCCACTTAGTCTCGGCTCGTGGATCCAACGCGGCATTCATTCGAATTCGGTCGCGGTCCAGTTCGACCCCTGGTTCCAAGGTTTCTCTGCAGTTTTTAGTGTTTAGCTTTGGGGCTTGTTCCTTGTAGCAGACCTCACGTTGAGGAGCTAGTCCATGCTAGCTACCCTTAGCGCTCCTTTTCTCTCGAGCTAGAGTCCACTGATACCGTTATGCGGTTCGAAATTCCTCCTGATCCGGGTAGCATAACCTGCGTTTGGTCAAATCAAGAAATAAATTCATAAAATGAACAGCCAGACAGATACCTTGCGCCACCGTGATTAGCTAGGACCTTACGCTCGGTCCTACATTCAAACCTCGGAAACGAGCTGGGGAGTGTCGAGTCATCATTTTATCTGGATTGTGACCTGGCCCAAGGTGCAGCTTCGGCTGTGGCGTGAAGAAAGACCCGACTGTGTGGGGGGAAGGAAAGGAGTAGAGAGGGACACGAGGGAGCTCGTCGACTCCTAATCTCTCCAACTTCTAACCTTCGGGCCTTCTCTGCATTAGCTTTGTTCCTTTCAACTCTTCTTTACTTTCAACCATCTATTTTTTTTGTTCTTCTTCCTTCTTGCTTCTCGACACTCGTTTGTTTTGTCTTTCGTAATCCATTTAGTTTTTTGTTATTATCCCCTTTTTCTCTGCATTCAAGAGATCCCTGCTTCTTTCTCCTCCTATCCCCAACAATTGTGAAACCGATCAATTTTCCCGAGACTGGCAAACGGCCGATCCGTCAACGGGAACTACGTGCATCATTTGGCAATTATGATCCTTATTCAACCCGACTTGGTAGGCGAATGGTGCCGAAATCATCGATCCGGCTTTGATACTAATCGGCGTTTGCTAGTCATTCCTTAAAACTCGTCGATTCGATTGAAGAAATCCGATCGCCTTTCGAAAGCACGCATATCTCCGCTGTGCGGCTTCTAATCTGCATCATTTAACCGACATATCTTTTTTTTTAAATCTCGATTCGTTTCTCGACATTCCTTACCGCCGATCGACCGATCTTGTGCCCTCTTTTATTTTTGCGACGATATTATATACCCCTCCTATGTGCCGCGACGAATAAGAACATTTTCTTTTAATGATTATCACAGTGGAATCCTCAGGGAATCTGCTTCATATTTGACCCTGACCGTTAGGCTCAGTTCGTTTTCCAGCAATGTCCAGACCTTACACACGATCCATTGCAAGCGCTGGGAGCGGGTCGGTAAGAAGTGTTCAACCACGATCCTCGTCCGCGCGTGGAGAGCGTTCCGCCTCGAATCCGACTTCCTTTACCCTAGACGCGAACCATTATGATACCGCTTTACCACCCATCAACTTCAGCCAAACACCGATCGTACACCGACGGACCGGAAGTACGTTGAAAACAGTCATGCGCAAGATATTCAACAGGAAAAGACAGAGCCAGGCAGGTGGAGTGGAGGAAAATCCAAATGAGGCGTTTTATACATCGGCTCCAATGAGGAGATCAGGACCAGCGGAGGGGAAAACATTCTTGGCTATTCCTACACCCTCGGAGTCGAAGAGGAGTAGCCCGCTATCAGAAGAGAACCTGCAAATGCAATTTGCCGAGACACATCTTTCACCAACTGCCATGACAGGAGGTTCATTGCCATCACCTGGTTTCGCTCGACGACGGAGACGGGCTACACTTCCTAGTGTCATATTTTCTGACGACGAATCACGGTATGGGGTGGCATCCAGTGCAATTTCCGACCCACAAGAAGACCGCATTCACACCCAAGATACATATCAACGAAGGCATAGCATGCTCCAAGATCGTCGACGATCTAGAAGTACAGATGCACTCAGAGAGCTTGTAAATGAGCAGCAAATGCAACAGGAAATTCCACAGGAAGTAGTGCCTTCGCCATGGCCTGCACGCACAACATCGGTTTCTACGCCTGTCCCCGACTCTAAATCACCTATTCTTGAAGGTAGCTCAACCAGTGGACAATCCGCTAGACCGTCCACGGGTACGACTGTAACCAGCGTCACCCGTGAGTCCGCAGCACCGTCAATTACTACATCGGACGGCCGAGCAGAGCAAGCGAGTCTGCCTCCCAACGTGCGCAACCTAGTTCACACAATGCAGCAAGACGACGGCTTGACAGTGGAGCAGCGTCTGAACACTCTCGAGGTGAAAATGATAGATCTCGAATTTGCTATCGCCCGAATGCAATCCAGCCCTGTCGACAATCCTCGCATAGAACGCTCATCACGTCAAAAGAATACCCCATCAACCGACTCATTTGCTTCCCATACACGTAACAAGCCTTCGTCGGGATACCTGGGCTCACCTGACAACGAGCGCGACCGTGAGCGTGACGAATCTCCTAGTCCTTTGGCCAATTTCTCTGCTTCGGTGCGTCCACCAAGCACCAGCACAATCCGCCCCGATACCATGAACTCACGAATTGTTCGCCCTGCAACATCTACGACATCATTATCCGATTTCAACGGTGTCTCGATCGAGCAGTACAGTACCCTTGTCACACTTCTTCGTCGTGAACAAACTGCACGCCGGAATCTTGAAGGTCAGGTTTCGGGTCTTAGGGATGATCTTCGTCAGATTCAGCGTGCGGCTCTCCAATCTATGGAGATGGGTACTATGTATCCCATTCATAGCATGGATTCACAGGAGTTCCTTCGCTTCCGTCGCGCTCTAGACGACTCTGACACTCCTTCGCCGGCCCAAACGGCGGGGGATAGTCGTGCACATACCGGATATGATGGCGACTCGAATTGGGCGCCTGATGACCCGATCGGGCCCCATAAATGGGATAATAGCAATGGACAACGAACAATCACTACTCCGATGATTTAATATTCTGTTTTGTTTACTGATATCCAAACAAGAGAATACTTTGGCTTTACTACAGACGGCTGAGACTAGGCGGGTCGTGTACGTGGTCAAGTAGTCTTGTTCCTACGAGTCACACCTCTCTGGGCTAATCATTCAATGAAATGCGTACTCATACACGATATGACACGCATAACATGCCTGCCTCTTGAGCTAGCCTGGCCAGTAGATCCTAAGCTGGGCTTTTTTGATCTTGCTCTACCGAGTATTATTCTGCTTCTCCTCTCGCAACTTACAGATACGATCTGTGCTATACCATGCTTTCTGGTTTACCTACCGATCCACCTAAACGGACTTTCCTTATGGCATCTCCACTTTCATTCAAGCCTCGTCATTATGATTGACAGCTTTTTCTTCTTCTTTCTCTTCTTTCCCGGGCCTCTTGCCGTTACCGCGACAGGATCGCGTTGTTCCAGTTTTGAAGTCAAAATGTATGCGATACCCAATTCGAATATGCAGATCCAAATTTGAACTTGATATATTTCAACCCACAGTCCACGTAGATCTGAATAAAATGAGAATTAAATACAATGTAATACAATGGCCTCTCCCCGAATGCATTGCCAAAAGTCAAATGCCGAATCCAAAAACTATCATACACTCTCAATCTTGATCTTAGGCTCCGTCTTGACCTCAATCTTAGCTTCCATCTTAATCCCATTCGCTCTCGCATTCGCATTGCTCAATCCCTTGATCTCACTCATACAAAGCTTCGTCCCAGCCAGATAACATTCCCCACAGCGCCTTTTCACAGGCAGACAAACCGTCTGACCCAAACCAACAAGTAACTTATTGATCTCATGCCACTTATCCCTCGGCAACCAAGATTGAAGCGCTTTCCTCGTTTCCTCAGGATTCTTAGTCTTATTCCACCCCCAAAGATTCGTAATCCGATGAACATGAACATCAACACCAATACCTTCATGTTTGCCCCATGCAGCGCTCATACATAGATATGCCATCTTCGGTCCAACGCCAGGTAGAGACATCAGTTCCTCCGGTGTAGGGGGGATATCACCATCGTGCTGGTCGCGGAGGATCAAAGCGGCAGCTTTAATATATTTCGTTTTGTTGTTATGGAATCCGACTGTGCGAATGAGTTCATTCAGTTTCGTAGGCGAGACAGCGAGTATATTCTCCAAGTTCAACGTGCTATCTTTCGTAGCTGAGTCCTTGTCGTCATCTTCTGACTTTATTTTCACAGTATCCATAGTCGCTTCCGCTCCTTGCCCAAGCTCAGTATGTAATCTCTGCATCGCAACGGCCGTAACAGTATCCTTCGTTTGAGACGAAAGCATTAGCGCAATAAGCGTTTGAAAACGACGATCTTTCGCCGACGATGCACGCCAATATAGTTCTGCACATCCCATCGTATCAACCGGCGCGGTCGGATTATCCTCTCTCATCTTTTTAACAGTATCGTACATAACCTCCCAATTAGACGGTGGCTCTATTTTCACCTCGCCGTCTTCACCGCGGGTTTTCCGAGCAGGCATCCGGCGCGGCGCCTTGGTAGAAGAGGGTTTCTCATCAGGTCCGGACTCATTCTTCACGATTGGTTTGGTTTTTCGGGGTGCGCGATTTGTATCTGAGGCTTTTAGGACTGCAGGACTGGTACTGCGTTTTTGGCGTTTCGTGGGAGGTCCAAGGAGATCTTCGATGTCGGTGGTATTAGCGGATGAAAGCGATGACTCGTCTTCGTCTTTGACGTGTGGGATATGGGCGATTGTAGGGATGAATTGATTTTCGCTTTCGGTTTCGTTTTGAACGTTCGAGGTTGAGTCTGCGTTATACGCGAAATTGCGCAGGGCACTTGTCAGAGACGTGTTTCGTGTGCTTCGTCGTGCAGGGGGCGAAAGCGCCTGGAGAACTTTCGAAGTCTCCTTCGCTGTTTTGGAGGTACGCATGACGAAAATTAAATCCTTGGTAACGAGCGACTTGTAGAAGAATCAAAAGGATCAACAGCGGATGCGAATGCGAATTTCACATGGGTGATCGGGACCCATGGTCAAACTGGGGCAAATGTTAGGACCCGGTTTCCCCAGCCTCGGTGTTAACCGCTGATCTTATTCTGCTCCGTCTTCCCGCTCCAGTCCCGATACCTAAGCTACCTATTGCATCGACTCATCTCTCCCCCCACCCCCTTCACATTCCTCACCTCATTTCCGCCCGGGCACATTCCACCATGGCCGCCCCGTCAAGTCAAACGACGCAGCGACTCTTGCGCGAACTGAAGGATTATGCTAAGTCACCAAATGAAGCTCTATTGCATCTTGGTCCGGTCGATGAGGAAGACCTGTTACGCTGGGAGGCTGTTTTGAAGGGCGTGAACGGCTCTCCATATGAAGGTATGCCACTCATATACCTGGATATCGTCGGTGTCTAGGAAAATCCTGGATTTGCGCTCTAATCCAACACTCTTAGGCGGCCTTTGGCATCTGCGCATCGCTATCCCACCCAACTACCCTCTCACTCCACCGACTATTACTTTCACTACCCGTATATCGCATCCTAATATCTCTTTCACGACTGGCGAAATCTGCCTTACCCTCTTGACGACCGAGCATTGGAGTCCTATCTACACGCTTTCGACCGCCCTCACCGCTATCCAGCAGCTTCTTACAGATCCACAGCCCGACTCGCCGCTGAATGTTGATGTTGCGGCGCTGTTACGCGATGGCGATCTTCCTGGTTGGGAGAGTGTGGTTCGGTATTGGACAAGTGAGGAGCGATGGCAAGGAAATGGGAATCTCGTGGCGTGATAAATGTCATGTCGTGACATAAACAATGCGAGACTTTTTTGTTTAGCTGGTGCTGGGTTGGATTTAGGTCCATACATCATTAATGCGTGTGCTTCCTGAGACTTGGGGAGGACGAAACGAAACGAAACGAGGCGAGGCGAGACGAGAGAAGGGTTATATTTTACATTTCATTTGATGCGCATTCCAGTGGCTTAGACGCCCCATACATACCCCGCTGCTACATTCCAGGATATACTTCTTCTACTTTAAATTATTTTGTGAATCGAGACTCAATATACGATCTACTTTATTTGTTTATACAAAACGCACCAGGAACAGTTCTGATTACGCCATTGTGGCTATTAAGATGAAATTTTCCATTTTTTGCCTCTAGTAACTAAACTAGAGGATTCATCTAATCACTTTATGTGAAGTAAAAGCGTGCACGCTGAGATGTCCGTCATTCTAACCTGACCCATTGCTGAAAAAAGATGAAATTGAAACCAGACCAGATAAAACCGAGGATCAATGGCAGAAGCCATGCTGTTGAAACGCCGATAGAGATGAAGGAAAGTTGCCAGTTGGAGGTCGTAAGGATCGTAAGGTGATAATGTCAAGTGCTATGCGGTAATATGATGCTGGTTGGATAGAAAAGGAGATTCGCTGGAATACAATTTAAATGTTGGTGGTGCTCAATTGAGAAGCATGGATAGAGATACTTCGTCTAGAGGGCCATTGCGACGAGGACTGCTCCACCGACCAGTGCGACGACCTCGCGGGCCTTACCGGCGGTGGTTAAGGAGGCACCACCGGTTTGCAGACTTGCTTTGGCTGAGGTGGTGGTTGCTGCTCCTCCAGTTGGAGTGACGTGCACAACTGTGATGGAGGTAATGGTGCTTAGACTACCATCAGACAGAGTGCTGGTGCTCTCGTAAGTTGAAGTGGAAAGAGAAGCACTTGAAGTTGTCGAATGAGAAGTGGTGGTAGTAGAGTGCGAAGTGGAGGTAGAGGACGAAGAAGTAGAAGAAGAGCTGGTAGTGGTGGAGAGAGTCGTAGGCACAGAAGTAGTGCTAGAAATAGATGAAGTAGAAGTCGAAGTCGAGCTGGTCGGAGTGGGCGAGGTCGTAGTGCTGGTAGTGGTCGCCTCGGCAGAAGTGGAGACAGAAATCGAGCTTGAGGTGGTGGAAGTGGTGGGGATAGTGCTCTGCTCCGAGGTGGTAGTAGCCTCAGTGCTAGACTCGGAAGTGGTGGCAGCCGATTCACTGGTAGTGGGGTTGGCACTCGGAGTAGTCTGAACAGGCTCGGAGGAGGCAGTAGCATTGGTATCCCGCTTGATGACCTTTAGGAAACTGGCGATTTTTTCATCTTCGGCTTGCAGGGCCTCGGCGGCACTGATGTCAGTGGGGAAAATGCCGTCTTTGAATTTGTCGGACAGCGCATGCAGAGCATCGTGAATGTTGTTCACGCTGATGTCGGATAGCACGTCCTGGATAGGCTTGGACTCACGCTGAACCAGATTGTCGTTCTCCGTGGGTTGATTTGTCGCAAAGACTCCACACAGCAGCATTAATGCCACGAGCATAACTTGGAAAAGATTGACAGGAAGCATGGTGGCGACGATCAAAATTAGAAGAGGTTGAGGAAGATGTAGAGGGTAGGAAGGTGGTGGAGAGGAAAGAGAGAGAAGTAAAGAGGAGGCAGCAAGTGAGACGTAAATAAAAAAAGACCTGCAGATGTAGAGATGTAGAGATGCACGAATAAGAGAGAAGCAAGATCGAAGGAGAAAAAAACCGAATAATCGCTACCAGGAAACGACGCAATTCACGATTAATATTTTATCAAAGGATTTCCCAGTTTTTCGACCCTCCCACTAGTGGAATAGTTCAAGAAGCTTGGGTCACTAGTGGAATAGTGTGTTCGGTCGAGATTTTTAACTTGGCACAGTCAACCATACTACAAAGTACCTTCTCCTGGTTTTATCTGCCGTTTGAAATTATTGAAACTTGATCTCTATTCTTTAATTTTGTATATACTACTCTAACTCCCCCTTTCCCCTTTCTTATCCCACCACAATTGCCGTAGCTACGTTGAACAAGGTATGTCCTAAAGGTAGGCAGCCTGCAGCAGATCCCGGTGATTGGCCCGGTGTCAGAGCTGAAAATAGCATCGTCGCAATCCACTCCGCAGCAACAAGTCGTCGTGTCATACGAACTCTGCAAAGTGGAGAGATTCAAAGACACAATGCACATAATTAGATCAATAGCATCATTTTGGGAAAGGGGCTTGGATTTAGTGCCGGTACCGAATATTCAATGTTAAAATAGGGAAAAGTAAATAATGTAATCCACAGAACAGGATAAACAGCAAAGAAGTCAAAATTCTACCAAGATCGAGAAAACACGTAAATATAAGCTAAGCTGGCACTACGGGATTCGCGGCACATCATGCCGATATGGTGCGATCGACACTGTTATCTTCTCCAAGACTTATCTGCTATGTACATTAGCTGGTCGGCATTGCTCGTACAGCCTGCATAACGGGGCGGCTGATACCGAATCACCATCACCGAAACCGACAGGTGGACCGGCCCCTCTTACTCTACACGCATCTGTTCGTTGTTCATTCCTCCTACCCTATCAGGCTTCAGAACACGAACAGCCTGCCTAAAAATGAACTTTATTGTTGCTATCTATACAAATCCACTGGTAGCCTGAACATAAACCATGGATCAAATATGATTCGACTACTGTCTGTTATTGACTAAGGTGTTTAATGTTCATTGTTGTCTCGGCTTACTATTTCCAAGCTTATTTTTTGGACATATCATATCGAAAAGTTCTTTCCCACTGATTTATCATGTATGACCGTTGTGTTATGCACTCCGCGACGGAAGAAAAAAAATCTGATGACACTAGGACATCGACACTATAGACATGATATTCTGCACGGAATAACAAACCCTTTGTTGTTCCCGGGGGGGGGGGGGGGCGTTTTCTAGGGACTTCTAGAAGGCTTTGCCAAGGTTGGAACTATTCAACTGCAACTTGATCACATCCAAATCAGGCAGACTGTTGGGTGGCAATACTTTATCGAATATTGTGATGGTCACCTATTGATAACTTGCAAATACTATGTTGAATACTTGTTCATTTCAGATTATGCGACCGTAAACATGTATAATGCTATGTGCAATTAGACCTAGTAGACTTGCCTCGGCTGGGACTCGGACAGACGATGTACTACATCATACACCTGAATATCCAAATTTATATATGCAGTTACTCTGTCCAGCTCTGGGGGCCATCGGACTAAATAAAAGTCCTTTTGCACAGAGGAATATCTTGGCGGTTTCACGACATGAAGCATTTTGCCGTTTCGACTTGACGTTACAAAATTCCTTCTTTATACTTGCGAGCACATGTAAGCATTTTAATTAAGTACACGAGAGACTCCTCAGTCTTTCGATATTACTACCTGTTTGATTTTCTCAACAGAAAAATCTATAATTTTGACATTCTTCTATAATCCTAGTACTCCGCACCAATCGACGATCCCTCTACCCCCATCTGTCATCTGCCAGTGCTTGGCGTTTAAGTCAACAATAACTCCGAATGGTTTAAGTATCTCTTGCATTAAGTCCAGACGCGACGATCAAGATTTAATGAGCAAGGAAAAGCAACTCATTCGTTCTTGGCTTGACAATGATGAAATAGATCATTCCTTTTATCTCCGCTTCGAGACTCGATCGAGGCTGTAACCTGCTATGATGGGTTACCCCCGGTATTGATCAACCTTCGCCTACTCTGTCAGGGCGCTTGGCGCTTGGCAAATGACGTGGAGACGTCTGATCCCAACGACAGGGCCCGATTAAAGCTGGCATTCTACATACAATATGTTTAGCTGGAAGGATCGCCCCGGGGGCCAAGCATCATTGGCAGGACCCATGCATTCCTTCGCGGCTCTATGCAATACCTTGCAAAGGAAATTTTAGCCTCAGGTCCAAGTTCCTAGCTAAATGTATCGGTATCAAATGTAACCACATGAAATAACCCCTGGGGCCATGCGTTGATCCCGAGATAGTCGGAGAAATTACGACATACTATAGTAGTGAATTTCTACTAATAGTAATGACCGGAGTTGACAATAGATAACACGGACGTGAGAAGAAGGGGTATATAGAGTGTTTGATTCCTGGGTTCTGTATGCATGTACTACTCATTTGACTTCCACTTGAAATCGAGACCAATCCACGAGTCAAGATACCAAGTCAAGCACTGCCAATATTCTTAGCGTGACATTCCAAGCTTTGACTTCCCCACTTCATTATGAGATACGATGATGCCGAGTACTTGGCGGATACGTCGAAGGTCGTGAAAGCGAATATTCTCGATGCTCGCACCCAAAACTCCGTTTCTATGCAACAGGCATTCACTTGTCGTGACGAGGCTGTGAAGGGTAATGTTTGGGTTAGCAAATTCTCGCTACCTAAACCTGCCGATGAAGATGATACCTCTCGTGATCATTTTATGCGACTAGTCGACGATGCAAATGAACACAATGTGGAATTTCAGCGTCTATATTCGCAGAAGCTCGACTTTGAATGGGTGGGTTATCGTGGTGGCAAGGAGATAGGGAAGAAAACGCCAGAACCAGATATTCCCGAAAGAGAAAAGTTTGAAAGATTGTCAGCAGAGACGAAAGGCCCTCTGACTATTCTTTATATCTACGGTGGCTCTTTCAGGTAAGTCTTCAACAATTTCCACTCCTAATGTTTTCCGGGGAAAAGACAGACAGAGCCAGTAGACTGATCATCTACAATGTATAGTCTAAATTCACCAGCTCGGTACCGCAAGACACTCGCTTCACTGAGCAAAGACACCGGCGCAAAGGGCCTCCTCGTGCGACAGCGACTAGCACCTCAAAACCCCCTCCCAGGAGCGCTATTAGATATATTCCAAGCATATCTTACCCTATTAAACCCGCCTACCGGCAGCGACGCTCCTCACAAATCCATCAACCCTTCCTCAATCGTGATAGCAGGCGATAGCTCAGGTGCATGTCTAGCCCTATGCCTCCTCCAAGTCCTTCTTCGCTCAAAGCGTCTCAACGAGCCCATAAAATTCCATGGCACCACAATCTCACCCCAAATCCTCATTCCAGCAGGCATAGCCTTGATAAGCCCAACAACTGATCTAGCCTGTGCCTTCCCATCCTTCGAAAAGAATGCCCACTGCGACATCTACCCAATGCCAATTGAAAAGCTCCCATACCTAGAAAAAGATTTTCCATTCTGTGACGCATGGCCTTCGCCACCCCCTCGCGCAAATCTATACTGTGTAAAAGGCATGCTCGCTCATCCTCTTGTTAGTCCAGCAGCATCAGATGACTGGTCAGGCACATGTCCCGTGTGGATAGGCATGGGGCAGGAACAAATGGGGGATCCGGCACGGCTTGTGGTAAGGGAGATTAATCGAGTAGGTGGATCAGTCACATTCTTCGAATATGAGGCTATGTTCCATGATTTCTTCCTAGTTTATCGGGGGGCGCCCCAGACAGGGCATATTCTGCTAGGGTGGGGGCAGGCGATATCGAGATTTGCGAGGGGGGAAAGGCCCCCGTCTAGTGCGCATTTTATTCGGGCGGATGGATTAAAGGCTGAGGAGATGGATGTGGAGAGTTTGGTGGATTTTTCGTTGGAAGAGGCGAAGGAGTGGATGTGGGAGAAGACGTTTGATTATAAGATTCCTGATCATTTTTGGGATCCTCCTCGTTCGAATCTTTGAATTATTGGGATTGTATTGTATGAATTATATTATGTATGAAGTTATTCATATCTATAATATAGAAGGAACTACAGCATTGCCTGGATTTACAAGCGAGATAAACTTGAGGTTTGAACGTGAATACTAAATACTTCGTTCGTGGAAGTAGCTCATATACCACACGACAATCGACCAAAACTTGAAGCAATCGTCCCACAAAATTGACGAAAGAAGACAAATTGAGTAAGATCCATATCTTTCAAAAATGATTACATTTTCCATTGAATACAGATGCAGTTGCAGAGTGTAATTCAAATGCGCCTATAATTCTCAAAAGGGCCACATGTAATCCAAGCGAGGATTCATTTAGCCCCCGGATTTTCGATGCATCACTAGCCCCATTTACTATTCAACGAGCTTTCCAAAAAGTTCCACGGAAAGGAAAATGAACTTGAGCTCGAGTTTCGTGTCATCCCCTCTGTATCTCCTATTATGGGCTATTTTCTTCGATTGGCGTTGAGCCGGTCTTGCGTGTGATGTATTAGTTCAAATTTGCTTTTCTGTATTGATGGCTTCCAGCGACACATCTATCTGAATCAAGGTGCTGCCGATCAATAAATCATTTTTGAGCCCCCAATAAATTTATCTATGTTTATAATGGATGTTGTATTGTTAATCTTGGCATACGTTGTGGGTCCGATTCCACAAAGTTGATACCGAATCTATTTTCACTTCATCGCCCATTGACATATTCCATGTGAGCGCGATATTGATATGAGTCGTGATTACTTCATAGGGGCAAAGGCACGGGCACGTCTGGTATACTGGTAAATGTAAAAGCGAGCTAGTCAGCAAAGCTAAAGCATGTGCTTGGGACAGAATCAAGGATCCCGACCAATGAATGTCCCACAGGATTCTGGATCTGTAAATCGGTCATATAAATTCTATCGGGCAATCCTGGATATAATACAACATTCGAGAAAGCATACGAACAAAAAAGAAAGACGTCGGGATTCCTCTATTCCAATTTCCGCTCATACACACCGATCCATTCTCCCCATCCAGCAACCTTGTCCCCAATGGCGCTCGCAACCTCTTCAATAGTAGCCACTTCACTAAGCTTAGTGGTATCAATAGGCTCACGAAGAGCGACAAGAGTAAAGAAGTATCGATGCGGCCCATGTCCCAACAAAGGTTTACAAGGAATGTAGATATTCCCTCGTCGATTTTTTCCATACTTGAATCCCCCCTTAAGCGTCATCGGTTCCGCCCCCTCGGCAAAGTCGTCCCCACTCACCTCCGTAGCGGTGGCTGGAATGCCATAGTAAATGCCATGAATGATGGGGCTGGGCAAAGGCGCGTCTGGATCCTCACTGACAAGCAGATATTGCTTGACTTGGGAGTCCGCCGCGGGCCAACTTAATGTTGGGAATTTTCCTGCGCCGTCTGCTGAGTGGTCCTTGTGTAGGTTTGAGCCTGAGGGACCAACTTCAGGACATTCGAGGCTGATTGTGGGCTCAGGGAATTTTGAAAAGGCGGTGCCCTTTGTGAAGAGGCCCGCATCGCGACCTTTTGCGTTCGCGAATAGTCGACTGAGGCCGTATTCAATGTATTTTAACTGGTCTCGTTGTTAGTGGGGATCTGAGCGTAGGTACGGAGTAACTAGAGGGTTCGTGTTGCACGCTTGGAGTGAGCTCTTACCATTGTGCTGGCGATCAACCTGCAATTTTCTCCAGGATTTCAATTTGCAAAGAGTGAAAGGGTAAAGAGTCTTATCTTTCCCCCCTTAAATGCTATACTTACATTGTTTTCATTTTTAGCTGCCCTGTCAGCTATTCCGGGCCGCTTTCGGGCCGGTTACGGGATGGAGAGGCTCTTCGCCTGAAAAAAGGCGTCTAGATATCCTCATAGACAGCCTCATGCAGGATGCGAGTATGTACTTGAATCTACTCTAAATGGCAACTGTCACATCCACTCTTTCGCGATTGAAGTATAATTCAGGGACTTCACATGGCGTGTGATCTTGCCGAGACCCACCGATCATTGGCGATGCTACCCGTCGATCGATTGCGGGGGCATGTGGAAAAGATGTCTGGGGGCTAGCCGAGGCTTTATAAGGAGAGCCCTGCAGAAACAATTGAAATTCCCCATAAACACCCATTGCAGTCAGTGGTCGATTCCAAATACTGGGACATATAGGCGCATGCGATGGATCTTTTGTATCAAAGTGTCGGGGCCGACCTACTGCCACAGGCCACAGCCTTCTGGTCAGAAATCGTGCAATCTTACTCGCCACAAAGGATCGAATTTGTTGGAACCTTGCTAGTCCAGCTATTCGCATTTTGGCTGCCATCCATCTTCTACCTTTCACTGGATACCATTGCACCATCTTTCTCCCAGAAGCACAAAATCCAACCAGCTCCCAAACAACCCACAAGACGCGACATCCTGCAATGTTTTCTAGTCGTGAGCCAAAACCAGATCATCTCGTCCATCTTGCACATTGCACTCCTTGCTATATCGAGCAAGGTAGGTTCCACATCTGCATATCGTGTTGAGGCTTCTTTGCCTGGGGCCGGAGAATTCATCCGCGATATCGTGATAAGCTTGCTTCTGCGTGAGGTCATGTTTTACTACGGCCACCGACTATTGCATGTTCCGTATTTTTATCGTCGGATCCATAAGAAGCATCACAAGTTCACCGCACCGATTGCGTTGGCTGCTCAATTCGCACACCCCATTGAGCAGATTTTCGCCAATGCGCTGCCCATATCATTGCCACCGCAGTTGCTAGGGAGTCATGTGTTGACCTTTTGGCCTTACCTCGCATGGGAGTTATTTAATACAGCCACTGTGCATAGCGGGTATGATTTTTTGAGTAACAAGGCGAAAATGCACGATCTGCATCATGAGAAGTTCAATTTGAACTATGGATCGCTCGGGCTGTTGGATTGGGTTCATGGAACGAATAAACTAGGGAAGCGGCACTCTGAGTAGGAGCTCTTGGAATTATTGCTGTGTGCGTTGTGTGCGTCCCCTAAAAATTTAGTTTGATACTGATAGTACTGGAATCCCAACTGGGCGTTCTGAGGACCCCCTCCTTTTTCAATGGTCATGATTGTTCGTAGTTTATAATTTTACTCGCGCCATATTTATCACACTGATGTAATAACCCTGGGGATTTCTCTTGTGTATTTGCAAGGTAAATCTCACAAAGAGAAACAATAAGGCCCAAAAATAGTGCTGGATGGGATGTGGAAGAAACAATAAAAGGTTTCAAGTTGGTGACCTGTGGCTTTATAGACTCTTGGTGTTGGCAGGTTCATACATCATACCCATCATAATGTCAATACTAAATATAGATGTACTCAGACTTTCCTCTTGGTAGAAAAAAACACGCGTCATGCCAAGCCAATACTATGTATGTCTACAGGGGTCTGCGACATCGGGCTTCTAGAGGCCGCACCGGGTACAGTTCAAGTTTGTAAAAGTTCATCTAGTCTAAACATAAGAATCATAGTAGACAACTACACTTGTTCAAGTATATGAATTTCTCGTTTCGCTTTATGATCTAGTATATACGGTACTATATTCACCAATAAAGAGTTTCAAGCCAGCATCTGACAGCCTAGCAAACTTAGACAGTCCGAGTCCTACTGAAGGTGTCTCCAAGGGAAACCCCGCGTGAACCCAATAACTGAAGGCTGGGAATAATGGAAATATGAGCGTGAAATGCAGGATTAGAACCAGATGTGGACTTTGAAACAGAGGAAAGGGTCCTCAAGGCTCCACAATAAAGTGAACTGGTAGACCCTGCCTCGCCGGAGATGCCCCTTGCATGATGATCGACAGGTCGAAAGATATCTCCCCTAACAAGAATCGTGGTAGCACAGAAGTGAAGTGTCCAATCAAAGAATAGTATCATGTTCAGTTTCCAATTCATCCTTGCTGCTGCGGCCAGTCACTGCTTGGCGCAGGGTTGATCAAGTCCCAAATTAGATACAGGGTGGTGAAAGGGTGTTTGTTGTGGGTGTGGAACCTTGACAGTAGAAGCAGCTTCAGGCTCCCACAGGTATAACAGGATTACAGGATCCGCCCTGCCTTCTTCATCCCTACGTTCTTGCCAATTCTGCCAGTCCTTCGCTCTTTCCCTGTTTGCCGTCCAGTCACTCGCTCACGTTCCTGTTCGCGTTATTGTCATTTCCACCACGACTTCCAAGTCTCCTACTCGTACTTTCGCTCATATTTTACTCGACATTGTTTACACAGTATCCAAGACGATATTTTACGACCAAATCGCGATACCTGGACAGTGAAATCCCACCATGAAGACGAATATCCTGTCCATTGCCACAGCTCTAACGCTGGGAGCCTCTACTGTGTGGGGAAGCCCTTCCAGCACCGTAAAGCGTGACAGCATCACCCCCATCACTGTCAAGGGCAACGCATTTTTCAAAGGCAACGACCGATTCTATATTCGTGGCGTGGACTATCAGCCTGGTGGATCTTCTAAGCTCGCTGACCCAATCGCTGATGCTGATGGATGCAAGCGCGACATCAAAAATTTCAAGGATTTGGGCCTCAACACAATTCGCGTATACTCGGTAGACAACTCAATGAACCACGATGAGTGTATGCAAGCTCTGGCGGATGCAGGAATCTACTTGGTCCTTGATGTCAACACTCCCAAGTATGCCATCAACCGTGCCGACCCTCAAAAGTCATACAACGATGTGTACCTCCAGTACATCTTTGCGACCGTTGAGATGTTCGCCAAATATGATAACACACTAGCTTTCTTCTCTGGTAATGAGGTTATCAACAGCGGTAACTCTTCTTCGGCTGCGCCTTACGTCAAAGCTGTCACTCGCGATCTTCGCTCATTTTTGCGAGCCCGCAAGTTGCGTCACGTCCCAGTTGGATACTCAGCTGTAAGTGCATCTATATATCGCTCGCTCTGAAGAAATATGCTAAGAAGAACAGGCCGATATCGATACCAACCGACTTGAAATGGCGCAATACATGAACTGTGGAACTGACGACGAGCGCAGCGACTTCTTTGCTTTCAACGACTACTCTTGGTGCGACCCATCCTCTTTTAGTGTGTCCGGCTGGGATCAAAAGGTCAAGAATTTCACTGGATATGGTCTCCCTCTTTTCCTTTCGGAGTACGGTTGCAACACAAATACTCGCAAATTCGAGGAGGTCAGCTCCTTGTATTCCACCGACATGACTGGTGTCTACTCCGGTGGCTTGGTTTACGAGTACTCCCAGGAGTCCAGCAACTACGGATTGGTAAAGGTTAACGGCAACAATGTTAAAGAGCTCCCCGACTACGACGCCCTGAAGACTGCCTTTTCCAAGACGGACAACCCGGAAGGTGATGGAGACTACAACAAGACCGGTGGCGCGAATGCTTGTCCTCCCAAGGCTGCACCCAACTGGGATGTCAGCAGTGATTCCCTGCCAGCCATGCCAGCTCCTGCCAAGAAGTATCTGACTGAAGGTGCTGGAAAGGGCAAGGGGTTCGATGGTGATGGTAGCATGGAGGCAGGCACTGAATCTACTACCACTGCTACATCAGGATCCGGAGAGGTCTCTGGTGCTACCTCCACATCTACCAGTTCCAGCTCCAAAGGTGCTGCCCCAGGTATCAAGGTTCCACAGCTGCCAATGACATCTGTAGTTGTTGGTTTGGTGACAATTATGTCGACTCTCTTTGGCGCTAGCCTTATTCTTCTGTAACATTTGCCCTAGCAAGGGCTTTTTACTGTTTATAGTGAGTCCATTTTGACTGACCAAATGATCTTGTATTCTTAATTATGTGTTCTCTCGACAAGAGCCCGATGTTTACATATGACTGGCTTCAGAGTGTACAGCACCCCATCACATACACTGCTGTTTCTATGGAATACGATGACGTCGGGTTTATTGCCTCTGTTTTTATCGATGCCGCTGGAGGTTATTGGAGAAAGGTTCAATCAAATTGGCATTCAGAGCTTTGGCTTCAATATTCTCTGTGTATACAAATCCCAATCCACTTTTCTCCTAGCTTGGAATTCCTTGACACCATGAGCCCCATCTGCATCTGGGCTCATCATTTCACTGAATATATTCTTAATACCTGAAGTTTGCTGATCACTCCCTGCACTGGTCCATGCAAGCCTAATCAACTCCTTTGACATACGAGATGCACCAGGGGATGCTACCTTTAGCGCAATGAGAAAGCTATCTAGATGAGCATGCAGCTTGGGAGTAGAATCGGAGACCTGGGAGACGATACCAAGCGCCTTCAACTCCTTAGGAGCAATAGGACGAGCAGATAGCATAGCTTCTCGCGTAAATGGAAGACCCCATTCGCGAATCACATATTTTGATATTGTGGCCGCACATAGCCCCATCTTCACTTCACTTAAAGTCATCATGGCATCTTTTGTACATAACCGTATATCGCAAGCAAAAGCAAGTCCGACACCACCACCCAAAGCTGGCCCATTGATACATGCAATTGTAACCTTAGATGAGGTATCGATAGCTTCAAAGAGGGCAGTCAAGCGGTTAAGCTGAGCCATGCTTGTTGAGTCATTTTGGCCAACGGGTGTGCTGCCTTTGCCGAGGTCCATCCCTGTACAGAAAAACTTTCCATTTCCAGATATGACAATACGTGAGATTTGAGGATCGTTGCTGATGTCGTTGATTGTGGTGGTCAGATCATGAATCATGTCTGCTGTCAACGCATTGCCGTTCTTCGGCCTGTTCAAGATGATTTTCATATTCACCTCAGATCGATATAGAAGTAGGCCCTGTGTCTTGGAAACGAGATTCCACTGAAGCGAGACATCTTTGGAAGCCTGGTTCTTCGCTATAGACAGAGATTCCATCTTTTTGATATGGATTGCTGTGCCAGCCCGGCTCGAATTTGTTATGGAAAGTTGTTTTGATATCCACACTCCGGTATGGACCAGCTTGAATATATCAACGCCTGTTTTGATTCCGGCACTATGAAACATGTATACCACATCCTCTGTAGCGACATTCCCTTTTGCTCCTGGGGCAAAGGGGCAGCCGCCCAGACCTGCAACACTGCTATCAAAAACGCGGATTCCACAGGTGTATGCTTCCCAGACATTCGCAATTGCTTGTCCATAAGTATCGTGGAAATGACCTGCAAGATTTTTTAACGGAATACCATGTTCCGCGAGATACGATATCAAGTTTCGCACGTTAGAAGGTGAGCCAACACCCAGGGTATCGCCTAGACTAATCTCGTAGCAGCCGGCATCGAGTAATGATTGCACGCAATGAAGAACAGATGCTGGTGAGGTGGGGCCGTCGTATGGATCTTCAAAGATGCAAGATACGTATCTTGTCAGGGTAGAATAGTATGTTAGCTCGAGTTCTATAATATTGAAAATAGCCCAGGTGACAAAAACTAATCTAGACACTTACCCTCTAACCACAATATTGGATTGTAGCGCCAAAGAAGTCACTTCCTTGGCCCTTGTGATTCCTTGATCGACAGTGCAGTTGATATTTGCTTTACTGAATCCCTCCGTAGCGCTAACAAAGACGGCAACTTCCTTAACGCCATGCTCGATAGCAATTTTCAGTCCTTTGATATTCGGAATTAAGACCGGATGTCGAATATTAGGCTCTGTCAAGCTCTGTTTGATATTTGGGTCACCAAGGACATCCCGACAGTCCGCTAGCTGAGGTACAGCCTTCGGCGATACCACGGAAGTCAACTCGATAGTACGTAGTCCGGTCTCTTTGAGTCGCTGGATTAATTCCAGCTTCGTCTTAGTCGGTATAGGATCTTGTATGTTTTGTAAGCCGTCTCGTGGCCCTACTTCCACGATTCTGACATCTGGGCATATAATCCGAGCACTCATATTGGCGATGATTTGTCAGGTTGATGTTTGTGAGTATCCAAATCACCATGTCTCTCCTTTTTGATCTAAAGCCTCAGAAATGCTTACCTGGCTTTGCCTTACGGCGTATTTGCCCTGTGCTCGTATTATGTTTATCCGCCGGACCGAAACCCTTTCCTCCACATTCACACCGAAACGGCCCCACCATGACGGAATCCAGATGGGGCCCCAGATTCGGACCGAAGTTCACATGTGGCTGACTTGCATTTGTGAATCATTAATTGACTATTGATGGCGCGGGGAAGGAAGGTAAGGGGTGTTTGTTCAATAGGAGAGGCTGAAATGACATGGATCTTCGACATAGACAAACAAAAGTTGCTTGTTTTGGGCATTATGGATATTTTTAGATGTAGAGAAACTGAGTTCAAACTCTTTCATGGATGTTTCACGCACATGACTTAGACAATTGGGCCTTTTGGCCATTGAGAATAGTCAATGGTGCTGACTACATGGATGTTACACTTCCTACTAAGTACAGGGGCCAACTTCCGGGCACCCCGGATTATCGATTTTGGGTAGAAGAAAATAATGGATGAATTGGGGGCTTAAAGTTTTGCTTTGATGGTGTCGCGACTAATGAGCTGATTCGCGATATCTCGCATTATATGCTTCTGATGCTTGCCACTTCCAGTCTTTGGGAAATCAACCCCAACATCAACATTTCCAATCCAAAATATGTACTGGGGCGTTTTGTGGCGACCCAGTTTTTCGCTAACCCATCTTTTGACATCTTCGTCGGAGACTTGGTCTTGCTTGTCTGCGATCTTCAAAAAGCATCCTACAACTTCACCGTATCGTGAATCTTGCACTCCAACAACACTAGCCTCACTGATTGAGGGGTGTGCTGTAATTCGTTCTTCAATCTCTCGAGGGAATATATTCTCTCCTCCTAAAAAAAAATCAATATTAGTATGAAATTTCAGATCAACCTAAGAACCCATACCTCGAATAATAAGATCCTTGATGCGACCGGTAATCTGTAAATATTCCTCTTGATCTATGATACCCTCATCACCAGTGTGCATCCAAAGGAGGCCATTTTCGTCTTTTCTCATGACCTCAGCTGTCTTCTCTTCATTCTTCCAGTAGCCCTTTTGTAGTGCAAATCCACTCGTGCATATCTCTCCGCGCTGTCCACTCGGTAAAATTTTGCCATTCTTATCAATAATCTTGGCAGATGTGTGAGGAAACACTCTCCCAACAGTGTTAGTACGTTTCTCATCCGAGTCATTAATATCGGTGAGAAAGGTGACTGGGCTCGTTTCAGTCATCCCATAAGCAATAAGCATCTTCTCGACCCCCATTCTGTTCCGGAGCTCATTCATCAGATCCTGAGATACGGCAGATCCAGATGCTAGACCGGTCCTCAAACGGCGAGGTCGTTGCCCCGTTTTCGCCATAACTTCTAATTCCGCGACGTACATCGTAGGAACACCTAGCAGGACTGTTGCATCTTCTTCCACGATTGCATCTACCACCTTTTTGGCGTCGAAAAAGTCAGATGGGAAGACGATAGTGCTCCCATAGCAGAAAGAAGCTAGAAATCCCATAACAAGACCAAAGCAGTGAAACAGAGGTGGCGGGCAGCATATCACATCATCAGAGGTGAGCTTTAGGCCAGCACCAACAAAGCGGGCGTCATTGATAAGATTCCTACCAGAGGTCAGTTATCTCTTTTTCTGCATTCAAGAATGAATCAGAAACTCACACGTGTGTCAACATGGCTGCCTTCGGGGATCCCGTAGTTCCTATATTATCCATTAGAGACGTTGAAGACCAACTGCCGTAACTGTATCCATACCTGACGTGAACTGCAAGTTGAGAATATCACTTGAGCTGACCGAAGCCTCTGCTCGTTTGAGCAAAGAGTCATTCATGAAGACGGAATGGCCATTTGAGATAAATGTATTCCAAGATTGTATCTCTACTCCATCTTGGACAACTGGTTTATCTCCCAAATAGACAACACGTTTTAAGTCGGGTACGGCTTTGTTTGTCGCCTGCTCTCCACAGAGTATATCGATATGTCCGGAAAGAGATCGGGATCCAATTTTCGACGATACGAACACTATCTTACAGGCTTGGAAGTAGAGAGAAGAAATTGGTAAGTTGAAGATATTTTGTGAAGCCAAGCTTGGGATTGTAAATACTCACTGCTCGTATTAACCGCATTCCGCAACTCTTCAGGAGTGTATGTGTTGTTGAAGACAAAAACAGGACAACCAATTCGTGCCCCGCCTAGGAAGACCTCAAGATATTGATGACAATTGCCGGCCATAATGCCTACGCAGTCACCATGGCGGAGACCCATTTCGAGCAACGCTTTAGCAAAGTTTTTGCTCCGATCCACTAGCTGGCGATATGAAAGTCGCACAGCCTGCCATGGGAATATTGCGGCAGGGTGATCTGGAAATTGAGCGGCTTGCCTGTCCATAAGCTTCCCAAGAGTCTCAAACACAAGATGAGGTTCTTTCGGCCCATGAACGAGTGCTAAGGTAGGGTCTTCCATGTTGAAAATGTTGAAAATTTAGGCAATTGGCGTCTGAAGAAATTGAATTGATAAAAAACGTTAATCGCCAATTTAAAAGAATCGACTAATGTTCATACCGTCTTTTCTCTTCTAAGTACAGTGGTGTGGATCTGCTCATTGATCATAGCCTGTGTGGGTCCGTGGGTGCTGTCCCCGGGGACGGACGACCTCCGGCCTTCGGTCCGGTCATGTCCAGGCACTCAACCCTGCTATGGCTTGTGCTTGATTAGCTAAATCTCCTGCTTTGGAATCTTGTTTTGGATCACAAAAAGGAAATCATTCATGAAATTATCGTTTTAAGAGAAAGCTTCATTATGGCAACATCATCCGCTTTCCCCGTTTCAACGGCCAATTTGGATTTGCGCGGAGAGCAATTCCAGGCAAATAAGGAGAGTTGGAGTCCTGAGATTGAAAAATTCGAGAAGGCTTTGAAAGAAGTATCGGCTGAAGGAAACGATATTTCTTTAAAGCGGCATCAGAGTCGCGGCCAGCTATTGCGTAATTATCTACCAATATTGAATTCATGTTCAAAAGCGCTGACCTTGATGTTACAGCTCGAGATCGGGTCGCGTTGCTTCTAGATCAAGATTCGCCTTTTCTGGAGCTTTGCTCATTTGCTGGGTACCAGAACAAAGATTCAACGCCGAATGCAAATCTCATTGCGGGAATTGGAAATGTTTGGTATGTCAAGTATCATGCGGTTTGATAATTATACTGATGCCAGTAAAGCGGGAAACCATGTCTTCTCATGTCGCATATTCCAACTCAAAGTGGAGGAGCTTGGAATGAAATGACGGGTAAGTTTTAAATTATATTCCAGTTTTCAACCTCTAATGCTTTCCAGTCCTTAAGGTAAACCGAATTATGGAGATCGCTTTCGAAAACGATCTTCCTCTCATTTCACTTGTCCAATCTGTGAGACCGTCCCAGCAGTCAACATATGTCCTTAATCATTGCTAATAAGATTAGGCTGGCGTATTCCTTCCACAGCAGTTTCGTGTGTTCCATAAAGGAGGTCAATTATTTCACGACCTTGCTCAACGCACCCAGTGCGGTAAGCCGTCATGTGCGATCGTTTTCGGCTCTTCGACAGCGGGTGGTGCGTACCATCCAGCTTTATCAGATTATACAATCTTTGTCGAAAACCAAGCGCAGGCATTCCTTGGTGGTCCACCTCTCGTCAAGATGGCAACCGGGGAAGACGTGGAAGCCGAAGCGCTGGGGGGTGCCAAAGTTCATGGAACCACGACTGGCCTTGCGGACCAAATCGCAGCCGATGAGTATGAATTCCGGAATGGAGATTTATATCTATAATGCTTGTGGGTCGTACTGACATATGTGTTTTCAGATTTGATGCGATCACAAAGGCCCGCGAGTGGGTAGCCACACTCCAAGTGCGGAGTTTGCGCGAATTACAAACGATCGAGCCCATTGCTCCACGATACCCAGCTGATGATCTTCTTTCTATTGTGAATCCTGATATTCGCAAACCATTCGATATGAATGAGGTTCTTTTGCGTCTTGTTGACGATTCCCGTCTATCGGTGTTCAAACCTAAATATGGTCCCAACATGATCACATCTTGGGCTCACATTATGGGTAGGAAACTCGAATAATATTAAAGTGAAAGGAAATTTTGGGCTAACATTGGATATAGGAATCCGAGTTGGCATCGTTGCTAATCAGATCTCCGTTATCAACCCCAATGAAGCGGCCAAGGCCGCCCAATTCATACGGATGTGCAATCAACAGTAAGTAACTAGGCCTAATGCCATTTTCAACTTTTACTGACTTTTATAGGAATACGCCAATTGTGTTCTTACATAATGTTACTGGATTCATGGTTGGCACCAAAGCCGAGCATGCGGGTATCATTAAGATGGGTGCTCAAATTGTCTCAGCCGTCAGCTGCTCAACCGTCCCGCATATCTCAATTATCCTAGGAGCATCATATGGCGCAGGGAACTACGCGATGTGTGGTAGGTCTTACAAACCACGTTTCATTTTCACTTGGCCGACCGGACGCTGTAGTGTTATGGGACCCGATCAACTCTCTGGGGTCATGGAACAAGTACAGGAAGCGAGCGCTAAATCAAAAGGTGAAACGCTTTCAAAAGATAAGCTTCAGAAGCAAGTAGAGAAATTCCGCGAACAAGCCCACAAAGATGCAGAGTGCTATTCCACCAGTGCCATGCTCATTGACGACGGCATTATTGACCCGCGCGATACACGCGATGTCTTGGGTATGTGTTTGGAAATAGTTACAATGCAGGGAGTGGGAGGGACAGACACACATAACTTGTTGGCTAGGATATAAGTCTTTCCAATAATTCATATCCAAGTAGATTAATCGAATAAATTCTCAATTTTTCTTGACTTCCCTTCTTCCTTTTCATGTTAAGCAAATTTCTAACTATACCTTCAAAATGTTATGTGCACCGGAACATACAGATTACGACTTTTTGCTTAGGGACTTCTTGGCCATTATTTTGATTCATTTACTTTCACTTTGACTGTCGAGAAACAAGACTCCTCTGCCTAATTCCAGATAGAACTAGCCACCCTTCAAGCTTGAGCAATCTCCACAGTCTTCAATGTTGGGAGACAACAAAAATGATTGACATTCTCACTACCTTTATTATGCGGACCGAAGGCTTCCCCGCAGCTACAACGCGGAGGCCGGACCGAGTGGGTCCCCGGGCTTGTGGATAGGCATCCAGGCGTTACGGTGGCCTTCCAAACAGCGATAATGGGCATGGAAATCAATCTCATTAAACCTGAAATACCTGCTAGATGAAACCGTTGAAAACTTCATGGTTTTTGATCCCTCTACCAAAATGACCCACGCATCCAATATCCCAGCCCCTGTTGAGCATGGGAACGCCGCTCCTCAACGTGACCCGTTATATGTCGCAGAGCCTCCATTAGCGTCAAACGGGCGACCGGTCATCCAGAAGATTCTGATAGCAAACAGAGGCGAAATTGCCTGTCGAATTATTCAAACATGTCGGAAACTGAATATCACATCTACTTCGATCTACGTAAATGAGTGAGTTTGAATATCGCAATAAAGAAAAACAAATGCTAAAATCTCAAGGGACGCCTCCTCGCGCCACATTCAAGATGCAGATGAAGCGATCAACATCGGCAGCATTGAAGGCAAAAATGGCAATCCGTTCTTGGATATCGATTTGCTTGTTCAAATTGCGGTCTCCGTTGGCGCTCAGGCCATCCATCCAGGATATGGTTACTTGAGTGAAAATGCGGGCTTTGCCAATCGTGTCCGCAAAGCAGGTCTAATATTCATTGGACCGAGCGCTAGTGCGATGTCAACACTAGGTGATAAGCGGTCCTCCAAAGACTACCTCAGTAAGCATGCTCCGGATGTGCCTCTGATCCCAGGCTTTGCGGGATCCAGTCAAGAGGTCGACGCTTTGAGACGCGCTGCAGAGGAAATCGGTTTCCCAGTTATGTTGAAAGCATCCGCTGGCGGAGGAGGTAAGGGTATGAGGATTGTTCGAGAATCATCACAGTTAAAAGATGAGCTTGAGCGTGCACAATCCGAAGCGAGTCGCTCATTTGGTTCAAGCGACTGTATTCTGGAGAAGTACATTGAGAGCAGTAAGCATGTCGAGATTCAAATCTTGGGAGACTCCCACGGGGAGGTTGTCTCATTTTTCGATCGCGACTGCTCCATTCAGCGAAGGCATCAAAAAGTGATTGAAGAGACGCCCTGCCCCTTCTTAGACGAAGAAACACGCAGCAAAATAAGTGCAACTGCAGTGCGAATCGCGAAGTTGATCGGATATGAAAATGCCGGTACAGTTGAGTTTGTACTGGACGTGAAAACGAACAGCTTTTATTTCCTCGAAGTTAATGCCCGATTGCAAGTTGAACACCCAATTACCGAGGAGGTTACTGGCGTAGACCTCGTGTCTTTGCAGATATTTGCCGCAGCGGGCGGGAAATTAACCAGTCTTCCTCCCTTGAGACGTGTCTCTCAACATGGACATGCTATTGAAGTTCGACTATGCGCTGAAGACCCCCAACGCAACTTCTTCCCGGAGCATGGCAAGGTTCACCTTTGGCTGCCTGTGAAGGGAAATCTAACCCCAGGGAGAGATATCCGATACGAAACAGCCGTGACAACTGGCGCCTCAGTCTCTATCTACTTCGATTCCATGATTGCCAAAATCGTGGTATGGGCTCCTACAAGGTCATTGGCTATTGAGAAGATGGTTAAAGTACTCGCACACACCGCCTGCATTGGAGTTAAGACAAATCAATTGTTTCTCCAGGCATGCTTGACCAATGCAGCGTTTTCGGACCCGGCATACACAACCTCATTTATCCCATCTCAGATCGACAATCTTCTGCGATTTCCTAACCATGAAAATCAAGCAGATCTAAAGAAGATTTTAAGTATCATCCCAAGTCTTGTCATACGGAAGATTTCAGACTATACCCTTGAATCAAAGAGTCAGAAGCCACTTCGAACCGTCAGAAGGCAGTTTCGGAATCAACGATTTGATCCCGTGAATGTCCATTGTGACATTTTGACCACAACTAATAACCTCGGCGGGAAGCAAAACCCCAGTTCAAGGCTCATGTGTATATGGAAATCACAAACGCTAGTCGATTCTTCAGAAGATGCATACATTTTCCCTGTCCCGGAGCTTGAAACCTCTTCTGATACATTCCTTACCGCTGCAGCGGAAGTATCCGCCCAATACAATGCAATCAGCCAAGATCTTCGGAGTGGGAAAGCAGTATCATCAGTCCCATACAGAGTCTCAATGCTTGCATGGAATTCTATTGAAGGAAATAGAGGCGATAGCAGCACCTTGAAGATTTCTTCGATAGAACTTTCAGTTAACGGAGCCAAGATACAGGCCTACGTGGTGATCCCATCAATTCACCCCTACTCGCTGTCTGGTGAGATTGATCGCAGTCAAAGTATATTTTGTCACCTGCCAGTACTCGGGACATGGATAGAATTCAAGCGGGATACCCTGCTTTCATTTGCGGAAAGTCTTCGTTCTACGACGAAGGCCAGTAACGAATCCGAGAAAAAGGCCATCACAGCTCCGATGCCATGTAAAGTCTTGTCTGTGTTGAAAAATAATGGAGACGAGGTCAAGTCGGGGGAAACAGTGATGGTGATTGAAAGTATGAAAATGGAGGTTAGCATATCCGTGTCTGCAACTGGGAAATTTGAATCGAAGTGGAAAAAGGGCGACGCGGTGGAAGAAGGGAAGGTTCTTTGTTCGGTGGTATAAACTGCGGCTTAATGAAGCGTTACATATGCCCAGATGCTTGAATTTTTAAATCTACATGTATCGACTTCTAATTATACTCTGTACAATAACCACTAATATGGGCCGGGCCGTATGCGTAATCTTACTTTCATTAAATATGGAAAGACTCATATTCAATCGAAAGCGAGTAATAGCAGACCAACATTTGGATCCTTAAGAAACTCCGTTGAACGATACTAGTAAAGGTCAGGAACAAATATCTGCAAGGAAAATTAAAATGTTGAACATATACTATCGACACAAAACTATTCAAAACACTTTCGATGCAGTTGAAGGTAAATCTAAAGCTTACTTTGTACTTTCTTCATAGTCTTCACCTCCTGATTAACTGCTAGATCGGACAAGATCTCTTCACTTCCACCACCCACGACCATCACCCGCACATCGCGACTTATCTGTTCCACTCTTGCGCCTCGGCCATTTTTAGAGTATCCCAGTCCACCCATCACCTGCTGAGCCTCCCGGTTCACCTTTTCGAGCGTTTGTCCTGCGAGCACCTTGAGATTGGCGAAGAGTCCTCCCATTCCAGCATCGGTTTTTTTCTGCTTGGCCATCTCAGAAATATAGACCAGTTGCTCCATCCAAGCATAGGTAGAGTCCAAGCTGCGAGCCATCATACTAAACTTTGCACGGATAACTTGGTTTTCAATCAACTTCCGACCGAATGTTTCACGGCTGATAGCATGTTTATAAGAGTCTTCCGCGCAAACTCGGGCCATTCTCAAAGCCGTGCAAGCAAGCCATAAACGCTCATGGTTGAAGTCTAGTTGAGAGGTGAGTACACTGATAACCTCGAATTGAGAATTGAGAGTGGAATATGAAAACGGAACATACTGTTCATAATGACTGAGAATCCTTTGTTTTCTTCCCCAAGGAGGTTAGCCACTGGAACCTCCACTTGATCGAATTCAATATATGTCGATCCTAAATAGATTTAGCGACTGATCTTGGGAATAATATTAATTGTTATTGTGATAGCTAGCTCTTACCACTCGCAAGGACACCAGAGTTGTCAATCTTTCTACAAGAGACACCAGGTGCCTTCAATGGAATGACAAGCGCGGAAATACCGTGGACTCCCTCTCCACCAGTTCTGACAGCTGCAGTACAATAGTCTGCGAAGATTCCATTCGTAATCCACTTCTTTGCTCCGTTCACAATATAAACGTCACCCTTTCTCCCCGCCGTTGTCGTGATGCCAGCAACATCTGAACCCGCTATAAGTAAAATAAAAATGGTCAATCATTTTGGTCTTCCACACATCAAGCTCCCCAAAGAAAGGCCAAAATTCATACCATCAGGTTCAGTGACACCCAGACAAAATCTTATCTTCCCAGTAAGCATGTCCGGTAAGAAACGGTTCTTTTGCTCTTCATTGCCAAAGTTGATGACCGGCGGGCCACCGATTGAGTTTCCACAACCGAGCGCCCAAATTATTCCAAGATATCCACATCGAGCAAGTTCATCGATGACAACAAGATCATGGAAGCCATTCCATTCTAAAGGCTTGACATTTCCAGGAAGTCGCTGCCCTTGTAAATGATTGAGCGCTAAGGGGAAGACCCCAACTGCAGTGTATCCAAGCTCTGCGTGCCTTTTATGGACCTTTTTAGAACGACGTATTAGCTGACCTGAGAAAAGAAAATCACCGAGAGAAATATCTCAAATACGACGCGTGATAAGAACAAACCTCCTGCGGCACAAAGCCTTGACTCTCCCATTCTTCACAGAAGGGCGTGATATATTCATCCACGTATTCGCGGGCTTCTTTTTGTAGCCGTAAATGAGAATCGTTATAGTATGGACTGAAATGACGATTCAGCCATAGCGGGTCTGCGAACGGCGTTTGTGAGACCGAAGACATTTTGTCGAATTGGAGAAGCGTTGAAAGTCCCTTAGGTATAAAGAAGAGAGAACAATTATTTCGTATGTTAAAACCTCAAGTTAAAAAATTATATCCCGAAAATTTACTCAGTAAGATGTGTCTCACTAGATGGTACAACTGGTAGTAGGCGTCTCCCGTCACCCGCGTCCGGAGCGTTGAGTGGAGTTTGGCTCCGGTCCGGGCCCTCTACGGACCGCCAGGACCGATTCCTACACTACACCTCTCTCACCTTCATACTAGTAATACATCACAAAACACACAATAACAATCAAATTAGGACAATTTGGAAGGTCTAGTCTATCAAGCATTGATCTCCCACGGCATATACACGATTTGACTTACGAAAGTATGAAATTGTTTGTCATAGATAGTTGCTAATTGTATTAAACATGCTGGGCCATCGGACCGGGCGCACTAGGCTGTTCCGCAAACTAAAGCTAAAGCTACACTATGCCATTTGCGCCCGGACTACAATTTAATAAATACTCGACTTCGTTCAATCTCATAGTCGGTGTTAAGGCGCCGAAAATATCAGGACTTGCCCCATCAAACCGAGGGTGAGTGGGTGACAAAGCATTTGATTCGAGCGCCCACATTGTAGCCATATTTGGTGTTGCAGGTTTATCAGTAAGTGGCTTTTTGTGCGGATCGGAGCCGAGGATTCGGTAGTCAATCATTGACCACAATACTTCTTGAGAGAAAGAGTCGAGTTCCTCAGCCAAGCATGACGGATCTAGAAGATTGGCGAATCGATGGGATATACTATGAAATTCGCGAAGACGGTCAAACTATAGATATCTATGTGAGTAAGACACATATACTTGATTGGATCGCAATCTTACCATATTGGCTGCATGGACCCATAAGTCGGCTAAGCTTTCCAGCGCATCCATACTTTGTTGGAAGTAATGTACACCATCCGACTCTTGGGTGACCACATTTTGCTGTTCGAAATGGCATGCGAGAGAATGAATTCCGCCAGCAACAGCTATGCAATATGCATAAAAGGACGACTCAATAAGGCATCCACTCTCAGTAGCCTCACGTAACAGATCCATTAGCTGCCTAGCATGGGCACAAGAAGACTGGAGGGAACGAGCAGAGAAGCTAACTGGTGCCTTAGTTCCAAAAGCCTTCAGCCGCATACGCACCAAGAACGGGTGGTTTAATAGACAGTGGCAGAGATGGAACAATGTGTGGGCAAAGATGAAATGGCCTACTTGCTGCTGATCAATAGCCTCCGACGGAGGAGACCTTCCTTGAACAATGTCCGATATCCTCAGTCCACTAACATTAGAGTATGATTCAAGAAGTAACAGCGAAGAATTAATGGCGGCATATTCAGATTTGGTGTCCCAAGGGGGGATTTCATCCTCTTTTCTATTTTGGTGAACGTATCGTGTGCATCGTCCAAATATAGAAGCCATTAAAATGACCAATGCAAAGGGGCTTGGAGTTTCAGCGATCTCCATATTCCAGTTGAGGAGTTGGTCAAGGGTATTTGTCTTTTTCCATTGTGAAGTATTGAAAGTTTGCTCATCGCACGGCAATTGGACATTGCAGTCCTCATCGTGAATAACAACTGGTCTTGAGCGACCGCAAGATATCAGTTTGTCAATAAGATAGCTTGACCAGAATGTCCGGCGTCGCTCTTCTTGCTCAATATGGGAGAGCCATTGGTCGGGTTCCGACATAAGATGAAGGTCCTGTGAGATACGTGCAGCTAGACCGATTTTCAGCCAACCCGAGCTAACTCGTCCGGCTTTGCATGGTAATGAGTCTTATCAGCTATCATGCTAATTTCACATTTGTGATTTAAGGGAGGTCCCACCAGTATAATCGACGACAGCAAGAAGGTTCACAGTCTGAACAACATGGACATTTAGGTTCTCTTCGACTGTAAAATGCTCCGCGAGTACCGACAACCAAGAGTCCCTCGCATATTTCTCTGATGCTTCTTTCTTTTTGCCCGTAAAATATTCGTGATTTGAAAATCGTACTGCTGAGGAAAGTATTGCCAGAACCAAACAGTCTGGCAAAGAATTGTTCTCGAGTCTTTGTCTGAACGAGGTTTCTTGGAAATAGGAGTAAGGCTGGTTATGAACATGGCGAAAATAGGTATCAATGACGGAGTGGAGCACGGGAGCTGGAGGAATTGATCTGCTCAAAGCATGTGTTTAGGATTGCTTTCTAGGTGAACTTATAACTGAGACATAACATACGGGTGTGTTTTTGGGGAGGCTGGTAAAGATGGAAATAAAGGTGCATCGGTGTCTGTTATCGGTGGAGGCGAGGAGTCGGTTGGGAAAGAAAACGTCGAAAATGAATTTCTGTTATCTGATTTAGCACCGAGAAGAGATGCGACTATCATGGATTTGACGAACTTATTCTGGTTAGACTTCCCACTGAGCTCTGCTAGCCGAGATTCTATTGTGATAAGTCGTTGAAGAAGCTCAGTCTAGTATTTCAAATGAATTAGTCTCAATTATAGCATGCAATTGGCAAATTGATTGGAAATAATCCAGCTTCACGAACATTATCCAAACCGTTGCTAGCCGTGATTTGAGGGACCGAAGCTTGTGCCGAGGGTTGCGCTGAAGGTTGAGTTTCGTTGACCGTCGCAGAGTATGGTTCATAGACACAGGATAGGCGATTACGGCGGCAATGAAAGCAGATTGGGCGTTCTCCAGAGCACTTCGTCTTTTTGCGCCTGGAATGAAACATCAGTAATGCGTTAGGACACTCAATTGACCGGCTATCTTCACATAGGTCGACCATACCTGCAGTTTGCACAAGCTTGCCGTATACGCCTAATCCCTCCTGCGTAGAAAGGATCCACAGTCATACTCATCGCGGGGTAGATTGGAGAAGTTAAGAGAGGAGCGTCCACTAATTTTTAAAAACAATTGAAAGCGATGAATTTTAGCACATGGAGATGAGCTAATGGTGCGGGGTGACTAGCCTGAGGGGTTATTCCCGGGGCCTTTCTACCGGGGTTCCCCTTCCCCGGAATTCAAGGTCAAGCTGGATAATATTGGAGAGCTATTCTGGCGATAGTTTCATGGCAAGTCCCTTGAAGAATTCTTCTGGCCACCGTTAAGTATTCGAATTTTCTGATCATAATTGAGGATCTAAAGTGCTATTGTTCGGCTGATCTGCAAATCTGCACATGTCGTGTTACTGAGCTTCTACCTGGCGCAGGTCCTTGCACATGTGAACTAACTAGTTCACATGTATCATAACGCCGATGATTGGCTGAGAGTTGTCTCTACGATATTCTCACTTTACTGTCCCCATCCGGTAATTTTGCAGGGACCCACATCGTATAGGCAGGCCCACCTGTCTGACCCAACATTACTCTTCATTCGCTACTGACAGAGCGACGTTGGAATAAATCGATCTTCAGAGGGACTTGTTATCTTTCGCAAAGAACTGGAAATCTCTCGTTTCTACCCATTTTGGGTATTGGATCTCGTGGACCCGCCCGTATCGCGTTCCACTGTTGACAAGCGCCACATAAAATGGATATTGGTTATGCATTGGCCGCTCTGAAGCGCTCACGCGGTATCGGTAAATCCAATTATTTCTCTGGTACTTAAAGAAAACCAGAGTCCTGTGCAATAGACCATTCTTGTCATTACCAACATTTATCAACATATTGAAAATGACTTCTCGCGACGGGTTTCATTGGACACCACAGACTGGATTGGCCCAAGGGGTGCCTTCTATTGGTGTCATTTCACCACCAACCAATATTTCGTCAAGCAATGGATCATGGGATGTAGTGGTTGTTGGTGCTGGCTACTCCGGGCTTACGGCCACTCGTGATCTTTGTGTTGCTGGTATGTTTTTCGGGGATTGAATAGATTAATACGTTTAGTACTAATGCATCAGAAGGTCTCAAAGTTCTTCTTGTCGAGGCGCGCGATCGTATCGGTGGTCGGTCATGGTCTTCAAATATTGAAGGATATCCATATGAGATGGGAGGAACATGGGTACACTGGGGACAACCTCACGTCTGGCGTGAAATCTCGCGGTACCAGATGCGTACTGAATTGGAAGAATCATTCGACTTTAGTCGAGGTGTGAACCACTTTCAATTACGCACCCAGGATGGTGAAACTATAATGAGCCACGAGGATGAAGTAAGTATAAAATGCAGCCCTTGCAGTTCATTTAATTTCTTACATCTGTCATAGGACGCTCTTTTAGCTGGGGCACTAGAGAAATTCGTGAACGTCGACGGAGACTTGGGACGCAAGATAGTCCCCTATGCTCACGATTCATTCCATGTTGCAGAGGCGCGCCAATACGATGAGATGTCTTGCAAGGATCGCCTGCAGCAGATCAATTTATCCCTCACACCAAATGAACGCGCTGGATTGGAGAGCTTCATTCTACTCTGCAGCTGTGGCACATTGGAAACAACAAGCTTTTTCGAATTTCTACACTGGTGGGCATTGTGCGGCTACACTTACCGTGGCTGTATGGATGCGCTGATTTCTTATAAATTCAAGGGAGGCCAGTCCTCATTTGCTATCAAGTTCTTTCAGGAGGCGCTGTCTACTGGGAATCTTTCTTATGTGTTTAATAGCCCGGTCAAGTCTATCGCAGATCACAGTGACAAAGTGACATTGAGCACTCGGGATGGTAAGGAATATGCGGCTAAGCGCCTGGTTTCTACCATTCCTCTCAACGTCCTCAATTCGATTTCATTCAGCCCGCCCCTGGACTCTCAGCGAGCTTCAGGTACAAACATTGGCCACGTCAATCAGTGTGTGAAAGTCCACGCAGAGATTTCAAACAAGGACATGCGATCATGGACTGGAATCTCTTACCCATTCAACAAGCTGATGTACGCTATTGGAGACGGGACTACGCCCGCGGGCAACACTCATATAGTTTGCTTTGGGGGAAACAACAACCACATTCAGCCCGAGGAGAACGTGGAGGAGACCAAGAGAGCCGTCGAGAGTCTCGCACCAGGAAACATGGACGTTCAACGATTGGCAAGTGCAATAATCAAACATGGATAAAGAGAGTGCTCCCTAACATGATACTAGGTTTTCCATAACTGGTCTAAAGACGAGTTTGCCAAGGGTGCTTGGTTCTTCTCATCCCCGAAATTTCTATCTACATCGCTGGGGTCTTTACGCGCTCGCCATGGGAATGTGGTTTTCGCTAGCTCAGACTGGGCTGTTGGCTGGCGTAGTTTCATTGACGGAGCGATTGAAGAAGGGACTAGAGCGGCGATGACAGTAAAAGATGAACTTAGGCCTATAGTCCCCCCACGAGTCCGTCTGTAACGTTGTGGGCATGAATCATATCATTTCACCACATAAGGCCAGAGATAAATAGCAATTGCTTCAATAAACCTTTTCAAAATATCATAAAATCGTATATCTACAATGGAAAGTGACATTCGAATACCGAATCGTTACCTATCACTCCGGGGCCAGATCCGAGACATGCTCGCATCATCCAGGTACCATGCCTTCCAGCTTCCGTCCAATCATGACTTGTACATTGGAATCAATTTGCTAAATACAGGACGAGGAGAGGTCCGAGTTTCTTTCAAGTAATGTATGTTTTGGGAAACTGGGATCCATAAAGACCGGATGCCTGAGACACGTAATGCAGATATTTTACGTCATGTTCGCTAATCATGTCAAGTATGGGGAAATCATAGACATAGTCCAAGAGTTTGGGATAGGAAACGCGCAATAAGTGATAAGAACATGCGATACGCAGCGAAAATATGTGTTTTAACAAGATGGGAGTTTTATCAAATTCTGAGGCAATTTTAGCCTAAAACTGCGATCCTGTAGATGACTATCTTCCAAGCTTCCCGTTCATATTGCTTTCTCTGGTTACTTGCCCTTTTCGGTAATATTGGATAACGCCTCCCCCGCACAACCTTATCTTCCAGCCTGCGGCATAGACTCATTACTTCGTATTTTGAGAAGAGGAGAGATAAACGGTCTGGTATCTGAGCCAATCGCTATTTGGTCTATTTGTTTTTAAATCATGGATAGAACCCCTTTTAACGTTCAAATGTTGACTACCTAGGCATATAGCATTCTATTCTACAATATTTCCCCATGGCCTCGTCCACGATGAATTCAACGGACAATGATATGAAAAAGGGTACGTGCTTTGGGTGTTCAATACTATTTTATGGGATTTTTCGTTAACAGAATTAATATTTAGTGTCTTTAGACGCAGAAAGGCGTAAGTAACGCTTCCTAATATTGCGCCAGTAAAAAAATGCTCATTTTCTCGAAGAGTCAATTCAACTGGGGGCTCTGCCCGGTGGATTACAGAATCAAGGCCTTGATGTTCAGGCTGGAAGCGCTCGAAATATGACAAAATTGGAAACAATATCTGCCAGCTGGGTGATATGTGACAGTTGGGCCGGAGTGGCTGGTACAGTTGCTTTAGCCATTGCACAAGGAGGACCTGCTATGCTCGTATATGGTCCAATTATAACATTGATACTTGTTGGTGCATGTACTTTGACTCTTGCAGAGTTGGCAAGTGTATATCCCACTGCTGGAGGCCAGTACCATTGGACATCTATTCTGGCCCCGAAAAAGGTCAATCGCATTTTGGTCAGTTTCTTCAACCCCCTTGGGAAGGTCGAGCTCATTACTTACAACTTCCTTTAAAATATAGAGCTATTGCTGTGGCATGACGAATGTATTTTCCTGGGTGGCCATATGCTCAGGGATTGCTATCATTCCTGCACAATGCATCGTAGGAATTGCAATCTTCTATTACCCCAATTACGTCCCTAGTGCCTGGCACTATTTTCTCATATATCAATTTATCAATGGAATTGTGCTTCTTTATAACATGACGCTGTTGAAAAGATCTCTTTGGATTCATGATGTGTCTTGTGAGTACCCCGGACCGTTTTCATTCATCTTCTAATAGCTGACCACCTATTACTCATTAGTCTTTGTTACCATCGGTACCTTCTTCGCTATTACTATTGCCTGTCTAGCCAAATCAGCCCCAAATTTCCAGGGGTCGTCACATGTCTGGTCCACATTTTTAAATGACAGTGGCTGGAGTTCTGGTGGAGTTGCCTTTCTCACAGGCCTTGTTACCCCTAACTATATGTATGCTGGAATTGATGGAGCGTTGCATCTTGCCGAGGAATGCCAAAATGCCAGCACAGTTGTTCCTAGGGCATTGATGAGCACTTTGATCATTGGATTTGTGACATCCTTCGCTTTCATGATCGCGATGCTGTACTGTACCAATGACTTGGATGCGGTTGTTGCATCGACGACTGGGTATGAATCATCTTTCCCTGCGCCACGTCTTGAATCGCAATACTGACTACTTTCTTTATTTAGGATTCCTATATACGAGATGTGGTATCAAGCCACCAATTCACGAACCGCAGCGACCATTTTCATCGTTCTTCTTTGCTTTGCCGCCACATTTGCTCTTATTGGTGCGCAACAAACTGCATCTCGCCTGACTTGGTCGTTAGCAAGAGATCGTGCGATTGTCGGAAGCCATTGGCTTGGTGAAATGAATAGGAAACTTGATGTCCCTATTTGGAGTCTTTTGTTCAACTTCATCATCATGTTCATCATCGGGTGTATTTATTTGGGCTCTTCGACAGCATTTAATGCGTTTATAGGTAGCGGTCTCGTCCTACAGCATATTTCGTATGCCTTCCCCGCCGCCTTGATTATGTATAGGAAGCGATCTGACTTTTGGTTGCCTCGCACACGTTCGTTCCGCCTGCCGTCGACTGTGGGCTGGATTTCCAATATTGTCACAATCTGCTTTGCGATACTGGTATTGGTATTTTACAATTTCCCTACGACGATGCCGGTCAGTGGGGGGAGTATGAGTAAGTTGAATGTCCTTTGATCCTTAAATTGAAAGCTTGAAAATTCCAATCTCATATTTCACTTTTCAGACTATACCGTCGCCGTACTTGGTGTGATGGCGATATTTGCGGCTCTAAATTGGTGGTTTTATGCGAAGAGGAAATACCACGGCCCGCGTCTTGTTGAATCTGATGAGATAGAATCATAATTATTAGTTCTTTGTTTAGTTTGAAATTCAAATATGATTTTTCTGTTCTTTTTCTCTTTTCTTCCTGCCTATATAGTATCCCAATGCCTATCTCCGTCATCCTCTATCTTCGGTCCGCCTATCGGCTCGCTCCTATCGATAACCGGGCATTTTCCCCGCACGCGGATGATCTTCCGCGACGTCCTGGAACAACTTTCTCCTGTCTTAGCGCATCAATCGCTCGCATCAAGAGAACCTGCACATGTTATCTTCTTATATATCCCCAGATGTCGGCCGTTAGGGGCAGAGAAAAAGGTCGGTCTTCTGCTTCGTCTTGTGCTGCTCATCTTGACTAATCTCGCATTGCGCATAATTGCCATGTAGGCTGTTTTCAATGTTCCAAGCGTCGCATTGCTTGCGATAAAACTGAACCTACCTGCAAAAAGTGCATCAAAAAAGGAATAGACTGCTCGGGTCTGGGCAGAATCCGGTTTTCTAATGGTGTGGCCCAGCGAGGTCACTTGAGGGGATGTAAGATCCCAGTGACGGATCCATCTACCGACCCAGTTGCAACGCAAACACAAACATCCATTCCGCGCGAAATTCGATGGAAAAATGACCGAACGCCTCATCCACGGCGCAAAAGGAGGAAGACAAGCACAGATCTCAATACATATGACACTGCGGCTCGGAGAGACTTGTCAGTTCCTGGAGCAGCTTGCGCATTGGACGAAACGGTCGCAGAAACCCCTGATATTGAACACATTGGGCAGGGGAACGATCTTTCAATATTTCAAAACAAAGATTTTTCATCACATAACTTGCCACATGCAGAATCATTGTTATCACAATCTGTCAGGCCTTGGATTTCACCCTTGAATCCCCAAGCTCGTATGCTAATGGCTCATTGTAAGATTCTCATCTCAACTTCAAGTGCATTCACTAACATAACATAGTCGCAGAACATGTTGCACCCGTCATGGTAGTACTAGATATATCTAACGGATATCGCGACATTCTTCTCCCTTTAGCATGTGAATATCCTCTTATACAACGTGCCGTGGGAGTGGTGGCCGCCCAACACCTGGCTCTTCATCAACCCAGCTTCCAGGCCATCGCGGATCAAGGGAGATCTAGCCTGATCTCTCGTCTCAGCAGGGACTCTTTCCTTGAATCACCACATAAAGTATTTAACCTCTCCACCTGGGCAACCTTGATTATCCTTCTCGTGGGTGAAACAATCACCGGAAGCTCAGAATATTCTCATCTACTGCAAACTTTGATGTGCTTGGTGCGAAATGTTGGCCAAATATCATCTCTATCCGCGCAAAATTTCCTTGCCAAACAAACTCATATGTAAGTTTGCATCCGGTCTCTGAAAATGTCGTTCTTCTAACTTTGAAAGGTTTGAATTCCTTGGCCAGCCTCTATTGGGTGAACAAAAGGGTGTTGAGGCATTGACCTTGCCACCTGAAAATTATCTTGACTGGACCTACTACGATCTCCCTCTAGACTCAGAATACAACCATCTCCTCAATATCTCAAGAACGGCATTCATCAAAGCGTCGCAAATTTACCTCGGTCGCGTGGGCTCAGATCTAGACCAATGGGGACATTTGGAGAGTTTGAAAGACCTAGTCACGCAAATAGGTCCAGAGCAGTTGGGCTCCCATGCTCTAGTCTGGGTTTGCTTCATTGCAGCTGCAGACAGCACCGACCCCGAACACCGAGACTTCTTCGTGGATCGTATGAATAAAATATACGTACAAACAAAATTCCAGAACATTGCTGCCGGCATGCAGGCATTGCCAGGCATTTGGTCACAACGTGGGTCTGGTGGGAGATGGACAAGCAACCTGCGGCAGCTGGCCCCGACACTGATTATGTGAATAAAATGAGAGCATGTTAAGATAATTTCTGATCTACCACTTGTCCTCGGCTTTGTCGATATAACTTTACCGGCTACAGAACAGCCAAACGCATGCAAATTTAGCAGAACGCATTTGCGAGATTTTGATGAATCGGATGTCGAAGATGATCGTCGAATATCGTTTTATAAACTGAACAGCTTGGTCCAAATACCAGACGGAGTCGATTTATCTTTTATTGTGTAAATGCATTAGACCCATCAAGAAAATTCATGATATAGCCCATCAAATTGTACTGTTTACAAATTTACTAGTAGGCAATCAACATAAATATTGTAAGCAAAATGAACGTTCAGCCCGCGATTTCACACTATGATATTTTCTTATTCGCACTTCCATCGTCGGTAATCCTGCCTGCGAAGATAGATTTGGACGCCCATGAGGCTGGCCAGGCGATGGATTCAGCGATTTCGATGTTACTTTCCTCGGAGAGTAGTTGATCAATAACCACAATGAAAATATAAGCACCGACGGCTGTGAATATATGCCACCAGCCATGAAGTTCAAGCAGGTATGCCAAAGGAGTACCGATCATGCGTCGAGTATCCCTCAAAGAATCGCAGATCCACCCATCGATTAACCAGATATAAAAGCCAACGTTGAAAATGAAGGCTCCGAATCTGACAACCCCCCAAATCTGCTTTCTAGCGGGAGAGCCCTCCGCCGTCTTAAGCTGTATCAACTGAAATGTTCGAATTCCGATGATTAAAATAGAACTAACAAACAATGACGAATGAACGATGAGCTCATCAGTCTTCACGTGGTAAATCACAAAAGCCAATAGAAGACCCCCAAGTAGAAGACCTGTGCGCTGGGTATTCTTCTTTGTAGCATTAGCCGTCAAAACGCGATGAAGGATCGGTGTCGTTGTAAAAAGCATAGAAAGATCATCTAGCATTTGAGTGTGATATTTCAAACTGATGTGGAATGCACTTGAACATATGCCGACGGCAATGAGTCCCCAATAAGGAAAGCATCTGGATAAATCGAATATACCGGTGTGTCGTAGTTTACGGAGTCCATATATTCCGTAAAATATATAAGTGAAGTTTGACAAGGTATTGATGAACTCGGCGATATATCGAGACACGATGTAGTCTTCTTCACAGAAATTTGCATGGGCGGTTGGGGGGCCCCAGAAAGGGCCAGCTGAGGGATTCGGCATGTTTTGACCTTGGAAGACCATCAAGTGGGAAAGTCTTCAATAATGAAATCTCGAGGAGCAAAATAAGTTATAATCTGCATAATGGAAAGCATTTAAATAGTGGCAGCCTTCGAAGGTGGCAGTCAAAGGATCAGGAAGTGGAGGATTCCGGATTCTGTCGGGTTCTCGGAAACTTCGTACAGCTGCACTTAGGCCCCACTTATTCCTCCTGGAAGTACCTGGAGCTTCTTTGCTGCCGGGTTTTTCTACTAGAATACATGACCCTTAGGTATGTCGATACAAATTCAAATATTATCCACAAGCTCTAAGTTTGAAGTCCACTAGTTTGAGATGTTCATCTAAATTGAATTTCGAAAGATATGTCGTCTTCAAAGATTGAAATGGAATGTATTCTTTCTACCTAACTCCCTCGCTAAATGCTAATATCTATGGTTTAACTAGATCATAAAGCTACCTCCCAATCACACTTTATGCCGTGATATCTATCTCCCGCGAATTGAACTCAAACTCCATGTCACATCAATAGCTGCAATGTGTCAAATTGAAGGCAAACTCAATAATTCGTGGAAATAAATGAATTGCGAATTTGCCAGATGCATTTACCAGCAAGCCATGCAAGTCCTACAGTGGCAGCTGAACCCACTAAAAGCACGCCCCAGAGATCCAAATTATTGACCTTGAAACCCGACATTCGAGAGTCCGCAGTTTGGAGATGCATAGGAAGTATTTCTTTCCCTTTCTTATCGAACCGCAACTCATGGTCATAAATATGTTCCTCAATCAAGTCTGCAGCATAATACTTGCGTCGTGAAGCCACATGTGCAATTCGTTGTAGCCGCAAGACGTTGCGAGCGTATGATCCATGCTCGCCAGATTCAAAAATCTTCATAGCTTTCGAATAAAGCTCATGGGACGAGAAATTCATTTTATCGAGACTTTCAGCAACTCCAGCGGCCACAAGCCGAGTTGAATTGGCGGTCTGGTCGAAGAATATCCCCATGCAAATCATTGGTTTCCCATGAAAGACCGCCTCGTTAGCACTGGAGCCACCACCATGCGTGAAATAGAGTTTCGTTTTTGGATGGTCGAGAATCGCGCGCTGGGGAGCAAAGTGCGGGAAGTACCAGTCTTCATTTCGATTGGCTAACAGGTCTGCTAGAATGAGTACGGTTGCTTTGTTACCGACCTCGAAGGATACCTTCTTGTTTTTGTCGATGTCTTTGCGGCCACTTTCTGGAATAGACCATATCACGCCGTCGATCAATTGCTCTTGCATCATAGAAATTACTCCCCTCACTATGATGACGAAATCATTATGGGGCAAAATTATATGTGTACCGAGAGCGATGTAAAGAACGGAGTTGTGTGTTTCAAAGAACTCGACGTATTTGCGACCCAGAGCAGGCCAAGTAGGACTTAGCAATGGTCCAACTGGTGCACAGGTTGGAGGTAGGTCTCGCGGTATTTCTAACCCCACGAAGGAGTTCACGAAGAGCAGATAGTCCGGTTTTTTGGGTTTGCGAACTGGATAGAAGACACCATTCTCACGGCGCATCTTTCGAGTCCCTCTGAAAAACCTCATGATCGCGGGTAAATTCCTCCATACCATCGTTTCATTTTTGATCCGTAGCCATAACGAAGAATTCTCAGAAGTCATGGTTCCTGGAAGTTGAAATCCGGGCTCGCCAGGTATATACGCGCAAGGCAGTTGAAGAGGCGGCCAGTTAGGAGCCATGATGGCAATTGGCAAGTTATATTCGACGTGCATATCAAGAGCAGCTTCCGCGAAGAAATCGGCGATAATCATGTCCGGGCGGGTGACAGGGTTGTCCATGATCTCCTTCAGGCCATGATATGTCTGTGGCCAGGTAGTGTCCCACATAGCCTTAGATATGAGTGGCGGCTCGATGCCCTTACGAACATCCCAGACCTGCATGCGTCGGTAGTGGGCATCTATCTGATCTGCAGGTGGATTGGAGCCTAGGAGATGAACCCTGTTGACGAACTCATAGCCGTCAGCTTCAACCCATGTCTCCTGGCCGTCGAAGGTTGCGAATTCGATTTTGTGACCACGTTCGGCGAGTACCCTCCCCAATTCAAGTACAGGTGCTATATGATTTCAATTAGCATCCAAAGGGTGGAAAGGGGATGTTCAGCATTCTTGGATTCTTACCAGCGTGGGTGAATCCTCCTGTAGTCACCACAAGAAGTATCGTACGGTATAGTGACACGTTTAATTTTGCCATATCACTCACCTCATTCGGATGCTCCATGGCGAGTGCTGAATCAGAAATTGGTTGTGAGGACCGAGAAAGAAAAGACAAGGCAGCAGAGACTTTCAACTACTTTCTCTCATCAACTGCCTAAAGTTCAATGGCAGAAAGAGAGATATTTTTGAAACAATGGAAAGGTGGACTAGGGAAGAAAAAAGTTGAGTTGTCGCGGTATTTCAATGTATATTGGGGCGAGGCCGGAGTGAGAAAGGCCGAAGTCCGTCCAGCGGGGCGCCTGAAATACGAGAATGCCGTCGGGCGCCTGAGAGGTTTCAAGAGCCATATCCAATTTTTTGTGTGTATAAGTAAAGCAAAAGTTATTCTGATTCCAAATGGAATAGATCGCCCATTATGCTATACATGTAGCCTTGTTTTAAGTCAAATAACCAGAGTAGTGGTTAAGGCAACTAAGGTTTATGATATCACCAGGCCGAGCCGAGCTCAAAATTCCTCCAGTGGCGGCAGGTGTTGACAGTTGTGGATGACTGCCGGGTCGGCCGGTACATACTGACTGCCCAGTTGTGGTGTGGGGTTTTGGGCGTGGACGTGACGCAAGGAATCCCAGAGAAACAGCATCTATTTAGGATAATCACATATTTGAGATCAAGGAAGAATTATAACCGAGCTTAGGCTTGTTCAAGAATTCTGTTAAGCCTGAGTCAGTCGGCCTCTTTTTTCGTTAAAACGCTGCGAAGCGAGACTTTATGTAGACCTCTAGGTGGCCAATAGATACTCACTCCTAATATTGGAAATTAATAATACCGCTAAGATTCGAAAAATGATGATCTCCAACATGGATGTACTAGTGCGAGTGGTTTCCAAAAAAATATAGGGCTAGAACTTGGAAATTTACTAGAGCTCTTCCATTTAGCTTTTTTAGCTTTTAGTTTCCGACCAAACCTATACCTCCTCTACTAAAATCAGTTACTAAGATGCTGTTCCAGACCGTTGAAACCCTGGGCAATCAATATGATGGGAAGATTGACATTCGGGTCCGAAGAGGACCCGATGTATACTACTAGCACTACCAAATACTGGTATGTATAAGAGCAAGGTCATTTGAATTCAAAGCAGAGATAAAAGAATCTTTAGCATTCATCAAACATTAAACTCCAATCTCAGATCGTCAAATTGTCCAAGGTTGAACTTTTAACTATGGGTGCAAACTCTCGAGGCCAAACATAGATCTGCGCAAGCGCTATCCTTGTGGCGCTGGCGATATTGACTGTCTGTATCCGTATGGCCGCCAGGGCTGTCATCCTATGGGCTGGATGACTATATGATTTGTCTGTCGGTTGTCCTTGTCTACAGCATGCTTGTCGAAGTCATCATCTGTAAAGTTTCTCCACGACAGCACATTCGTTTCAGGACTTACCCCTAACTTTATACCTAGGAGCCCAAGATGGAGGTCTGGGAAGACACATTGCCGAGCTAAGCGACAAAGAACTAAGCACATTTCAGAAGGCAAGTATTCGATGTTGAGATACCGGTGAAACATCCGAGGTTCAGCCTGGAAAGATACCGAATTAAATTCTGACACCGAAATGCGAATTGCAGTGCTTCTTTGCCAATCCGCTCTCATATACTTTCTTCATCCCTTCTATCAAAGTGTCCATTCTTCTACTCTACCGCAGAATGTTTGCAGTCCCGAGATTACAAACTCTCAGTCTCGTCGCCTTTAGCCTCGTGGCATTGTGGTTCTCAGCAGTCTTCATTATGGTCTGGGTTCAATGCCGTCCACTCTCTTTCAATTGGAATAAAGACCAGCCAGGCAGTTGCATTGACTCGAAGCAATTCTTTTTCGGAAATGCGATACCCAATCTTCTCATTGACGTCATCATCCTCATACTACCAATTCCTATGATCCTACGGCTTCAACTTCATTTTTCACAAAGGGCTGCTTTTTTAGGCTTGTGCCTTCTGGATGGACTGTATGCATTTCTATCCTGGCTTTCTTGGTTAGATTAACCAAAATATTGACTGATAAAAATTAGTGCCCGTGTTGCGAGTGTCATGCGCATTGTCACCCTCCAAATCTTTGACAACGATGATACTTCTTGTGCGTCTATCCAATGTTAATTTTGGCAACTTGAAAGAAATGATTATTGATCCTCAAGTCACTTGAGATTCAATTATGGAACCTGCAACCTGGACCTTCGTCGAACCTTGCGTTGCTACAATTCGCAGTTCGTTGCCTACGATACGTCCGCTGATACGATACATGTTCCAAAGGGTCCCATGGCGAAAGGAGATATCCAAATATGACAATAGTGGCAACAGCCATCAAATTGTCATCTCACATATCTCATTGAAAAGATTTGATTATCGAACAAAAGGAAATGATATGGGTGATGAATGCATGCTAATGGAAACAATGACGGAGCAGAGAGGCCATGCAGATGCTAATAGTAGAGCTAAGCAGGGATCCTTTAAATCAACATGTATGGTTTTTAGAGTTGGATTAACAAAATCCATTGAGATTCATGCCAAATTATGTACAATAGTAGGGGGTCATACTTGGAGATGTATGAGTTACCAGTGGTTTTTTGGGAGCCGACCATCACTGTCACGTAAACCAGCAGCCATAGTATGACTTGTAGTTTGTATTTGAAACAAAATCAAGGTATTTTTTTAAAAATTGGCACATTTGTTAAGAAAGACTATAATTTCAGCAAAGACTTCACCTTGGTCCTCAAGGGCCATGGACTGCGAAGCAAGTCAAATTCCGTAGCAACTCTTTGCTTTCGACATAGCTCCACTTAACAAAGCGGATTACCGTTGTTTTTTACCAAATCAGCAATTATTGTGGGCTATTTCGAATTAAAGATTAAACTAAAAATACCAACTCTCAACTCTGATCATACGATGCTTACAAAGAGTACGGAATTCAAGTTGTTTCCCCCCTTCCTTGGATTGGGCTTGCCTGCGCGAAAACACTAAGCCTGGTGTGCACTTTGGAGTGATCTTAGGGTGTTCCCCCACCTCCTGGGAATACGTCAAACATTTCAAGCCACCTGCAGGCCAAGCGTTTTCTAATCTGCATTGAGGGAAGATGATATGTTCAAGTTCTTAGTAATGTGCTCAAATGTACTCACTGAAATGGGCAAAAGGCGGCGAGGCGTGAGTTCGCAAACAACTTGAAGAAACCTTGGAATTCAAGAGGCAGTGCACGCAGCGGAAACGTGAATATACTACTAACAGTTGGGAGCATTTAGACCAGATAATTTTTATTATATATTCTCTATGTTGAATAAATATATACTTCAAGTCTAGAGCATGCTCTTCACATCAAAAAAGGCTATAAGGAGCAACCGAGGTGCCATTCCACATGACCATCATTTTAGGCGTCCCATCATGCCTTAGGAACTTGAATGAGGCTAAGCCTACAGCAGACACCGACCGGCGGCCATTTAGTTCCGAGCACCGACATACGATTGGATGACAATTAATTGGTAACTATAGCTTATAAATACTCAAGATTATGATCAAGTAATGTCCGGATATCATGTCAGTGATGCTTAGCGGAACCTTGAATAACTCCAGGAGTTCGAATACTCAACTATTTAATGCCAGTCAGCACCACCAGTTTGTCCTTCATTTTGAACCTTTGTTGATTGCTTTTCATTTCATACATTATACTTTCACTTAATACGTACGCAAAATGGCAACTTTTCAAGTTGGTTGTCTACTGTTTGACTATCAAGCAATTGACGTGATCGGACCATGCGATCTTCTCAACTCATGTAGCAAACGGTTCACCAATGCAATGAGCTTCTTCGGTCCAGTTGATCAAGAAGCTCTCCGGAATGGTCCCGCGTTCCAATTTCATCACATCGGAGAAACAATGGAGCCAGTACCTTTGCTCACAAGTGGGTTAACACTTTCTCCCACCACTACGGTCGATGACTGCCCGGAGCTGGATATCCTCTTGGTCGGAGGACCTAGCCCGACCCGCTACCAAGTACCACCGACCTACAAGGAGTTTATCCAGCGACATGTTGCTTCCGGGAAGCTATTGTTCACCACATGTACTGGAGCATCGGTTATTGCAGCCACTGGTGTCTTGGATGGAAAGAATGCCACAGTAAACAACCTTGAGTTTAACTGGGTAGTTAAGCAGTATCCTCAAGTAAAGTGGACGAGGGAGAAGAAGTGGGTTGTTCATGGTAATATTTGGACAGGGAGTGGAGCGGTTGCTGGAATGGACATGTTTGCTCATTGGGTGAAGGAGAATTTCGGGTTGGCAGTTCTCCGACAAGGATGTCTGTCTTTGGACTATGAGCCTCGTGATATTGATGGATTGTTTACCGTGTTTCCATCGCGTTACGATTCATCTGGAAACAAAGTCTCTACCCATGTTTTCCCATGATCTTCTCCGTATGCCAGCTTGATGCCAACCCAAGGCTAGCTTAGTGGCATATAAGAAAGGTCTCTTGGCTTCTCCCCCTCTCAACTCACTCATACTTGTATTTTCAGTCTCACTTACGAAGAAGAAAGGAAACTTGGAGAAGGTCATATGGCAGTCTTATCCCTTTCCAAATATAAACACACACGACCCTCGGGACTAATTAGTTCCAATTTATCGCAATCATCGTCCCAGGGCAGCTTTGTATAGCTATCTTTTCATGATACTTATTCTGCAGTGTTTTTACCTCTGTCCATTACTGAGAATAGTATTTTCTCAAAATGATATTGCATGCTCCAAAATTTGTGATGCTTTTTCGGACATGCTAGAGTGGAGCCAAACCATGGGAGACTCTTATCCACTAATATACAGCTGTTGATTGGCGACTACGTCAACCCGCCTATTTCGTACCAGAACAGATACGAGGCAGACCGAATGAAACACCTGGAAATGATCAGACTTAACTCTTGATGCCAAGAATATTGATAAAATTGAGCCCCACATCCCACCATCGTCACCGATTTTGTTATTCTTCTCTGCGCAACAGCTCATCAATCTGCTTACCTGTCAAGGCAAATCAAATTCCACCTAAGCAGTCATGGCCAACTCCTTGGAATCCCTGTTATCATCATACGGCCGCCCGGCCTTGGTCAATTCCGTACTTCCGGCACTACTAGATGCTATCTCCGAAATTGGGACCTTGCTACGCGAATCACAAAACGTCACTCTTGCGGGCACCAGCAATGTCTTCGGCGATGGACAATTAAATGTCGACGTCTCAACAGAGAATGCTATGAGAAAGGCACTTGCCAGATGTCCCTCTGTTCTGACAGCAAGCAGCGAGGAAGATCCAGTGGAGCGTCCTGCAAGTGATTCCCAGGCCAAGGATGCGGCCACCACTTCCGAACAGTACACGGTCGCATTTGACCCCCTGGATGGAAGCTCAATTATCGCGCCGAATTGGACTGTCGGTACTATCATTGGTATCTGGGACGGTGCTTCAGCACTCCACCAGAACCCTGCTGAGAAACAAATTGCCTCTGTCTTGGGCGTTTATGGCCCACGTACCACCGCCGTCGTGGCCCTGAGGATCCCCGGAGCTAAGCCAACTCTCATTGAGCTTGGAATTAACAATGGTTCTCAGGATTACGAAATTGTTCGATCCGATGTGAAACTTGCACCACCGCCGTTTAAGGCTCGGTACTTTGCTCCGGCTAACCTTCGTGCCGCTGGAGAGTATGAGCCTTACATGCGACTCATCACTTACTTCATTGAAGAAAAGTACACTTTGCGGTACATTGGTGGCTTGGTACCGGATTTGGTACACGCTTTGGTGAAGGGGCATGGTGTATACGTTTCTCCCGTGACAGATAAACACAAGGCGAAGCTTAGACGCTTGTATGAGCTGATTCCTATTGCATTAATAATGGAGTGTGCGGGCGGAAAGGCTATTGATTCGGCCACTGGTGAGGATATCCTCAGCAGGCCGCTGGGTGATTGCAATGAGACCGGGGGTTTGATCTGTGGAACTGCGGAAGATGTCGAAATTGTAAAGAAGATGTTGCTCTCATGATGACAACAATGAGAATACTCTCTGTGGAATAAATTATCTTTTCGAAGTTTGAAAATCTTATCTTCTAATACTTCACTATGTGAGAATTCTATGACATTCAGCCAATGGGCTCTCGGATGGCCCAGCTGGCATCATATCGATGCCGCCGCGCTCGAATATCTCCAATGCATCGTTGTAGAATATCGAGATATCATCAGTAGTTTGAACGAAAACAGATGTCTTCCTTTTGCTTTTCAATCTGCCCTGGTCGGTACATCAAAATATTTGCTTTTTTGATTTTTTGGTTTGTGGTTCAATAGGTCTGTGGCATCAGGAAAGCAGCGGTGGGGAAAAACCATGCAGGCCAAGGCTGCAGATGAGAACAATGCCCTTGGAGGTGAAGCCATGCCATTTGAACTTCAAATTTTATTTAACTTCTTCCCAGGTGAAAATCATCACATCTTCCAGTCACAGGTCCTGACCATTAGAATACCATGGCAAGAAAGTAATCAACGACAAGAGATTAGTCAGTTTCTTCTTCTAAGAAAGACTTGTGCAAGCTCAACTTATCGGCAAGATTTTTGACTCTTTCTCTGTGTAACGATGGAGGCCAATCAAATAGAATTGAAAGCACGTCAAGGATTGAGAAGTGTCTTCTGTCTGGTATCAGAGATGAGAGTTCCACTTCGCCTGCCAATCAGAAAATTATAAGAACACCCAATTCAGTTCAATGCGTAGGGCTGGGTAGTACCAGATGTCAATGCGCATACATCACCTGCCACATTAACCTATCATATTCATATTTTCACACTCAAGAAGAACATGGGATCGTAGTGGTGCCCAGTAGGGCTCGGCAGCAACCGCAAATATGCGACTCAAAATCTCAAATTTATTGCTATAATAAATGCCGCGATGAACACCCTTTCTTGATCTCTCTTCTCCATCGAAACCTTCCAGAATGTCTATTGTTCTTCCAAAAACATTACAAATTCTCCTCGGCGGTTGTCACAATGAATTTGTCGTTCATAATCCTTCTTTTTATCTCATTTCTCGTCTTAACGCATGCTATCTCAATGTTTTATCTGAGTACAACATCTTTAGAAGATATAGCGAGGGTGACTCCTTGCGTAAGCTCATCTCCAACTTGAATATTTTCATGAATTTCGCTTGTAATTAACTATGAATGTCTTTCTTCTGTTATTAGAGAAATGGTATCAACTCGATGACATATCTGCACAAGGTATTGAGTCGCTTTAACCAGCCGCGTTTGTCTAGTCGAGACATTTCCCAATTACTTTTAGCGATTCAACGAACATGCGGAGAGGTGGAATATGAGAATTGGTCTTGGGTTTGCGAGCTTGAATGTTGTTTTTACAACGCCTATTAAGATTCAACATATTGTATTCTAGAACATGGCGGGGGAAGAACAATATGTATTACCAGGTATATGCATAGAGATTGTTGTCATTCCGAGGCCAAAAATACAGACTTTAATGAAGAAGCGCTTATTTTGAGCTGTACCATAATATGACGCTCATTATTTCTTAGACATACACCCTATATACTAACAGGCTGGTGATAGAGAAAAGTGGGGATATTGTGGCACACGTTGGAGCGCCTATAGAGAGAAACCAAGACCAGCCAGTGGAGTCAATTTGCGCCACCTGACATGCTTGGTCGTCTCGAATATTAGGAATGAGCCTTTCAAGACAAATGTTGCTTCTAATGATCCAGGCGCTAGGTACATAATTACTGCACAGTTAGACTCATTGCCAATCCATTATGAATCGTTCAATTATTATTATCAAGTATAAGCGGTGCAAGCTCGCAATCTAAATATAAGTATCCAGGACTTGCTATTGGTCAGCTTATTCACAAGTAAATTTCAAGTCGCAGGATTGCCCCATTGATCATAGCAATGAGGTCTGTAATATTGATCGCATAACTTATCGAGCCGTGAAGCGCGAATTTTAGCAGCCAGCCAGATAAAGCCAGGGGTCCTTGCTCTATAATTGAGCAATATATCCAAGCGAACAGATTTAAGAGGAGCGATAGAGAACTTTTATTTTTACAGGGGTGAAGCTTTGGGCCTAACAGCGCGGCAAATGCTTAAATAGTCGTCGCTGCCCTGCTCAAAATTTCAGGTTCTACATACCTTCCAGTAAGTGATTCCTAGAATGAACAAAGCAAGGATTCTCATTTCGGCTGCGTGTTTTCTTGTTTTATAGCAAGGCTCGTATGGATGCGACGCGTGGTCAGAGCTATGTTGCTTTCTGCGCTTTAATGGTTCCGATACCTCGCGGCGGAATTTACGAGCCTCCTCCAACCCACAGCTATATATTTCCAACAAGATCAGCAATTCACCACACAAAACGGATCAAAAACTACCGACTTCCAATAGTTCAAACTTGGCATCATACCCATGTTACGGTGGCGACCATCTCACCGGTGGGGGTAGGGGCGGGAAAATCGAAATGAAAAGGAAAAGGATGAGACAGGAAGTTCAGCTACGACTTGCCGACTGCAAGGCCAACTGTACATGCATCTCCACTAGGATCCATGACATGCAAACAGAAGCGGAAGGACGAGGCCAAGTTCCCCGGTCATCGTTACCCGTGCCGTGCTGGTCTTCCCCTCGTTGGTAGAAGGCTTTTCCGAGTTTTTCTCTCAGCTGAAAAGAAAAAGGGGAAAATCTGGTTCAGAGAGGAGGAAACAACACAGCAAGTAGAATCCCGTCGTATCTGGGAGAGTACGGTGAAGGGGAAAATTCATTTCGCTTGGGGGGACACGACTGAACAATTGGAAAAGAAAAATGCCTCAGGTATATAGGAAATGGCGCATACTGGAGCCGTGTGGAGATAGTGCAAATTACACATGGCACCTTTCGCGGTAAGTCTACTGGAGCCTTTTCTATGCTTTGATTGGTGTAATCTGGAGCTTAATTTTCTTTAATTCTGATTTTTATTGTTTCTCTTTTTTCGTTCTTCTGTGGATGTATTCGAGATCTACTATATGGTACTGGAAGTTTTGCAGGTCACCCAAGGCTTCACATGTTGCATTTCCAGCACAAGTTGAAATTAGAAACAAAAGATTGGGTAGACCGAATATTGGGGCTAGGGAGCGCATTCCAGTCTATGATAAATGCTGGAATATGACATACCATGGTCACTGGCAAGCGAACATCTCATGTGAAACCAGAACCCTGAATTCCAACAGTGATCCAGACAATACCTGGGTAAAAAAATAACATAATAAATTAAAAATTGACCAGCAGGAATAATAATAATAAAACAGACCCTCGAGGCAACTGCGCGTGTTGAGAAAATCACCCCCAGTGTAACGCCACCTGAACGAATCGGTGCCGCACAGCCACCTCCAGTGTAAGAGAGACCGATCTTGCTGACCGGGGTCCATGCAAAACACCCCTGTGTTGGCCATGCTAAAGCAAGCTATAGGTGGGGGTGATATCATTGCTCGTGCATGCACCAGCCCCATTGTGAACCGAGCGGCCGTTTCTTCTGCCGAGCTACGAAGAACCATTAGCGGAAAATTGGCGGTTACCTGGCTCGTAAATTTTTTTCTTGAGGCCCCCGCCCTCGGTACAACAAGTACAGGTATCCCGATTTATTGGAACAGCATAAGTATGAGGCATTTGTAGGTAAGATCTAGCACCGATCTGGCAGCCCGGCAGAGTATCAAAGGGGCCACAGATTCCAGTATCGACATGTTCTGTGGCTCGGGAAGGTGGGAAATTCCAATTCGACGGTTCCTGTTTGCATTTTTCCGTACTTAGTGGACATCGCTGGATTTTGGTGGAATTATGGGTAATTCGGGAATCTCTTCGAAATTACCACTTTCCCTAGCCACCTGTAAGATCCAAAAAATCCCTCATTGTTCTATCTGGCACAGTATGAAAAAAAAATCCTTCTCCCCGTCCAGGCCATTCTACAGTGCGTTAAAGCTGGTTCCTAGTCAATTAGCCACCAACTGCTCCGTGCTCTATGCTCCGCAGCCCCACGCACCTAGATATGCGCGTGCAAAAAGTGCCGCAAAAGCAACTTTTCAATACTTGTTTCCCCCGGCCCAAGCTCCCATAGAAAGTACCAAAACAGAATAAATCGAATAATCATAATTTAAATAATCAAAAGAAGTATACTCCGTACGGAACCCGCCGAAATGCACGCGCCAGTTCCCACCCATGGGCGATCCTGTGGCTGTGAAAACGAATCAGTGTCGCAGATTGGTTTCTACGACACACAAAAACGAACGAAACTATGCCAAAACTATGCCCTATGCTACTGTAAGAAATTATGGAGCTAAGGGCATGTTTTGTGTCATCGTATGTCATAGCTCCCAATGGGTCGTGGCCCCTCAGTCCTACGGCATGAAAGTAAAAAAGAAAAATAATAAAACAAAAAGAAAAACGGGTCAAAAAGTAGAAAAAGAAAAAAATAATCTGCAAAAAAGTACCTCAGGTCAGGGACGATCAATGGGGTCGGGGAGAAGCAAAATAAGTATATAACCTCCCCCAACCTGAACTTGTAGCTATATTCCTTTTCATCTTATTCGAGCCCTAGAGGGATGCTCATCGACGGTCAAAAGTGGGCGTGTGAAGCTTGCATACGGGGCCACCGTGTGACCAGTTGCAAACATCATGGTATAGTTTCCCAACCAATCACCCTATAATCATTGAACACGCAAAACGAAAAGAAAACCGAACACTTGCTAACACAATCAGATCGACCATTAATTCGCATCAAGCGCAAGGGCCGTCCCTTCGCAACTTGTTCCATCTGCCATTCAACACCATGCGAATCCCCAACAGAACATGCGCGTCAAAAGCGCGAGACAGAACTTAAACATCCTTCAAAAGTAACGCAAACACACACGCACAACATGCCGTTCCCACCACTGGAAGGCAGCTGCTTCAGCTAGAAGAAAAGACGACGGCATGGTGCTGATGCTTTTTGGTTTTAGAAAGCAACGCACGCCAGACTCTACCCACGCCACCATAATCCGAACGGTTTCCAACCCATCGCGCCCCGACCATCGCACAGTTCCAAAAAGAGTAAACCCGGCGAGTCCTCCTCAGCACAAGTCTCGAGGTCAGGTTCGACTTCTGCTGCTTCCTCCTCCCATACCCCCACCGGCGAGCAAACCCCTTCATACCGTCGCTCCTCAGCCGTCGGCGCGGGATATTGGTCCGGCTCAGAGGGCTCGGGCAATGATTCCACTACCCGAACATTATCTGCTGGTCTGCTTAGCACGACCTCTTGTAGTTCTACCGGTGTTTCAGGTGAACGGGATCATGACCGTCTCGCGCGGTCTGCGGCTAATCTATGTCCCTCTGATCTTGATCTGGATCCTGTTGTTACAGGGGATATGTTTGACCCGTTGTATTCACTTTTGCCTACTTCTTCTTCCTCTGTTTCTGCTGCTTATGCGCAGGCTCCGCTGATTAGCCCTCTTGAAAGTGCTAATCCATTTGATTTCCCGTTGGATCCGGCTTTGGGGGTTGATCGTGGTCCGTTGGGGTATTTGGAGGATATGGATGTCGATGTTACGGAGGGGTTGGTGGAGGAGTTGTTTCATGTCGAGGATTGGTCGAGATATATGTGGTCGCCTGAGACTGGATTTGAGCATTTAGATATGGGCTTTCCCCCCGTGACACGATGACATTTAAGTGTCCCTGTAGGGAGCTAAAATGTCATGAATGATGATGATTATGACCACGATGATGGATGACGATGATTACGAATCACTAGCGAGTGGATTATGTATACAGACGAATGTTTTTATTTTTGATGGACGAGCGAGTGGCTATTTTGGCAATTATGGAAGGATCTATGAATTTTACTATTGAAGCCGGAATATTCAGACGTGTGTCTACGCCTAGGTGCCCCGGTCCTAGCAACCATAAATCAGTGCGTGATTTGCTCGCGAGAAGCAAAGGAGAACAAAGAATCTAAATGCAATAACTAACAGCAGCTGAATAAATAACAGAGAAGACGACCCCTCAAACGCTCCTTGCTGATGCAAATCATGCTGAGAGGGCTAGGATAACGCCGTATACCAAAAAAAGAAACGCAGCACACAACGACGGCATCGCTTTACCCCACAAAAGCTAGCTCTCTCTCACTATACTGAGGCTAGTCTATACTACAGATGTCCACTCCATATTTCACCTTACACTTCTTGGATATAGTTCGCCGGAACACTCTTTGTGACCCCACCGCGCTCCACATCTGCCCACCCATCGCCACCGTCCCGGGTAATCAGGACAAATCGATCGCCCTCCGCCATGTTCCACTCCACGTCGCTTCGAGCCTCATAATCATACAACGCTTCGACATATTGAAGCTTTTTTGCACCTCTGCGCGGGGCAACTGCTGGTCCCACTCGCTTGGGTGTAGCCGATCCAGCCAATGATGCTGAGGAGTTTGAATAGGTGGAGCCCGGTCGTTCGGGCAAACTAGCTGATGGAGCTGGCGTCGGTGCGGCTTCGACGTATGAGGCTGGGACGAGTCCTTCTTGACCGCCTATGCTAACACGCATCCAGCCGGATCCATCTACAAACCATTAGTCTCTCCGATTTTATACTAAGGTTCTTCATTGGGATGATACTCACCATCGGGCTCAACAATCATCACGTCATCTCCATCTCGTACTGTGACTTCATCGGAGCCAGTAGCCTCAAACCCATAAACCATCTTTCCTCTGGGTTTGGCAAACGTACTTGACTCCATTGGTGGTGGAGCACTCATATATGCCGTAGGGGGTGGAGCCATGACTCGGTGCTTCCTTCCAGCATTTGGCTTGGTCTCAGCCACAGGGGCTGAAACTTCATCTGCAGGGTCCTCAGGGGTGGGTTGAACAGCCACGTTGGATGCAGAACGGGCTGTACTAGCTGCATAGCCCGAGCTAAGGGAGTTCATGGTATTTTGACGAGTAAGAGATGGCGCAGTCGCCGATGTAGCTGAGGATTCAAGATCCACAGCAGGTCCAGAACCTGCCTGTTCCTGTCGCATCACTTTAAGTTTCTTCTTCTCTTCTTTTGTCTGCTCACCCGGGCATTCAGCAGGAACCTTCATTTGACACTTGCTGTGACATGTATACCCGCAGTCCTGGCAGTCGAATCCCTTAGCAGAAAGACCCCAAATACGATCTCCACAATAATCACAGTTTGTAGGAATCTTGAATGTTTGCGACCGGAAGTTATGGTTTTGAGCTCCTAGGGATAGGTCTCCCGCTACCGCTATAATCGTAGCAGTCTCAACTTCTGCCGCCAGCCATTTGCGATCCACTTCGTGCAAGAGCTCCTGCCACTGGAATATATTCCGCACGATTTCAACTTCACTGCGACTATCTTTGGCTTGGCGAATAGTTTGCCTAGTCTTCTTGCCGCTCTCCACTTCGCGCTTCCTTCGATCTGCTTCCACTCGCATTTCGCGCACCTGCGTTTTGCTCTTTCCAAGCAAATTGCGAAGGAACACCTTAGCAGCTTCATCAGTGATGATAGAGGCGTCATCGTGCCAAATGGAGCTAGGCTCGAATCCCATGTTGGCAGGCTCCTGGGACTGAATGGCGTTATGCTGAAGGAACATCATGGAATCCATTCGAGGGTCGTTGCGGGGAATCTCATTAAGCAGGTTTGAGGCGTTGTTTACGCTGGTTGTGAAGGCCGCCTTTTCTAGCTGCGTTGCTAGAATCCATAAAGCGTTCAATTTTGAAACCCGGGTTTCATTAAGATCTTGCAAGCCCTATATATTTTAGATGAGTATTTCCACAAGAAATATCGAGGAAGGGAAGTAATGAAACCACTCACATCAACCACCTCTGGGACATATTCATGAAAGAATTTCTCCTTTAATTTGTTGGTGACATTGATTTGTAAAAGGTATAGGTTCTGCTCGATTTGTTAATTATTCGATGGAATACAGATTGGTTCACGCGAGTCAGTACCTTATAATTGTTCATCTCCAATAATTGTTGCTGGAACGCGCCCTGCGCCTTGGCCTTGCTATGGTCGAAAGAAGAGTCCATCTTTTTTCTTCGGGACTCTACCTCTTGACAAGAACCGTCATATTTACCCTTCGCCTTCTTTAATTCTCCATATGACGTGTCTCGTTCTTTTTCCAGCTTCGCATGGTAGTCAGAATGGCATTTCCGGATTTCTTCGTATTGCAGCGCCGCTTGTTTCATGGGTTCGGCGACATGGGTGACCAATTCCGTGCCAAATTTATCGCGCTCTGCTGCGTGTGCCTCCACCGTACTCAATTGAGTAGTCCATGTTGTGAGAGAGGCGCTTTCGAGGGAGCCGGGGGTCATGGTTGGAGTGTCGCCGACACTCAACGGACCAATCTTCTTTGACTTGCGGTCATGATACCTCTGGCAAAGAGCAGAGAGCTTTGTTGCATATTCCTTCTCTATAACGCTACGTTCTCGGTAAAATTGTTGAACTTCTTCCAGCCACGATATACCGTTCGATACCTGTGCAACGTCACTGCATTAGCTTCGGCCCCATCAACGTGGTCGTATGGCGCGGTGCGGTGCAGTTGCGGGGGTGGATCGGGCAAGGGGGAACTGATGTCGATAAACATACCCAAGCGTTGACGGGCTTGAAAGAGTCCTATATGATATTAATCTGTTAGCCTCCATGATAAGACAGTTTGCTGCATGGCGGGGATCTTTACCTTTAGTTCCGCTCCAAACTGGGGAGCCACGTCTGCTGCCGCCATGGCTACGTCGAGATCGAGGCCAGCTCACGCATGAGCTAGTTGTCGGAAGAACACAAAAATGGGGGTGTCAGAAATAGGGAGGATAATTCAATGAATGTATAATCGCAAAATCTATAAGAAGGACAAGATCAAAACGCAGAGACTCCCGACAAGAGCCAAATTGGGGCAGCAAGGATGATGATCTTAAGAAAGGCGGGGAGCTTTGCGGTACCTGTGACAATACCGTATGATCAGATTAAATTGTTCCGTTGTGAATCCCGGCGTCAAAGGATAAATTACCGCCGTAATACCACGTAACAGACTCCTCGGTTGGGACTAGTGCCGTCGAGTTCCGTCATTCGTTCCTTCTGTTTTTGACGGCGGCATTCATCCACCTGGTCGTTCCTTCCTTCAGTTTGTTCACTGCGATTCTACCTTCCTCCTCCTCCGAACCTACGTGACTCCACAAGTGACACGTCCTAGAGGTTGTCCTTAGACTTCCTCTCTCCCTTTAAATTCCTCCTCCTTGCTGTTTCCGCCCATCCAGAAACTGAAACTTCAAGCTCGACGCTGCAGCTACCCCGCGACTCATCACTGGTCGCTTCACCTCTCAATTCGCGTCAATTTCCCTCACAAAAACAGCGCTATCGCAAGTATTTTGCTACCACACAATGTCATCCGACACCCCTGATGCCGCTCCAGTTGGAGGCTCACTGGCCGATCGCGTCTCCAAGCCCGATGCTCCTGCTGGTACGAAAAAAACCCCCGCGCGCAAAAGTCAAATGGCCACACTTATCAATCACTCTTTACCAACCACCTTCCTTCCAAGAAAGTGTGGCTTGATAATTTTTTCATTGGCTAACGAGGTCTTTCCCTCTCTTAGAAGTTGCATCTGAAGATGGCGCTAGGGATGGCGCAGGTGATAAGCTTGGAGGCTCAGAGCTACAGGAGCCAGACTACACAGTCGAGGTCAAGCTGAGCGACCTCCAAGCAGACCCAAATAATCCTCTTTTCTCAATCCAGACTTTTGATAACCTTGGGTTGTAAGTGCTCCAAAACCCGCTTTCGTGATAACGCGCCTTCCGAATTGCTAACACACTGTGCGCACCCAGGGATGAGCGAATCCTGAAGGGTTTGTCTTCAATGAACTTCCGCAAGCCCTCCAAAGTCCAAGAACGAGCTCTTCCCCTCTTGATGAGCAACCCACCCAAAAACCTTGTCGGACAATCCCAGTCTGGTACTGGAAAGACAGCCGCTTTCGTCCTCAATGTGTTAAGCCGCCTCGACCTCACCACCGAGCAATCGCAAATTACCCCACAGGCACTTATTCTGGCGCCAACTCGCGAGTTAGCTCGTCAGATCGTTGGTGTCATCCAAGTCATGGGTCAATTCCTGGACGGCTTGGTCATTGGTACCGCCGTCCCCACCGAGACTTCTATTCGCCCCGCTCGTATGGATTGTTCCGTGGTGGTTGGCACTCCTGGTACCGTCCAGGATATGATCAAGAAACGCATTATGAACCCGACTCAGCTCAAGGTCCTGGTTCTGGACGAGGCAGATAACATGCTGGACCAGCAAGGTCTTGGTGACCAATGTATCCGTGTCAAGGCGTAAGTCCCAAAGTCATTTAAGAAAAAGGTATCCCAACTGACAATCATAAACAGTATGCTTCCGCGTACCATCCAGGTCGTCCTCTTTTCCGCCACTTTCCCCACTCACGTGCACACTTATGCGGGCAAATTTGCTCCCTCGGCCAACGAGATCACCTTGAAGCATGATGAGTTGACAGTGGAGGGTATCAAGCAGTTATACATGGATTGTAACAACGAAGAGGAGAAATACGCAAGCCTCATTCAGCTATATGGTTTGCTTACTGTTGGCTCATCGATCATTTTCGTCAAGGTGAGTGATAATCAACCAATGCCGATGAAATTTCCATTCTAACAATTTCTCTAGACCCGGGCCTCTGCTTCTCAGATTGAGAGTCGTATGACTGCTCAGGGGCACACTGTCGCTTCCCTAACTGGTGGTATCGAAGGATCTCAGCGTGATTCGATCATTGACCGTTTCCGCAGCGGAGAGGCCAAGGTTCTCATTACAACCAACGTCCTTGCTCGTGGAATCGATGTCTCCACTGTTTCTTTGGTTATCAACTACGATATTCCTGCCGCTTTTGAGAACAACCGCAATACGGGCGAGCCTGACTACCAAACATACCTGCACCGTATTGGCCGAACAGGTCGTTTCGGGCGCATTGGTGTTGCTATCTCGTTCGTGGGGAGCCGACAGGAGTGGGAGATGCTCCGCATGATCCAGACTCACTTCCAGTGTACTATTGATCGTATCGATACCGGTGACTGGGATGAAGTGGAGGAGCTCATAAAAAAAACCATCAAGAACAGTCGCGCCCAAGCCAAATTTAATCAGTAACTTGGCTGTGCGACGTTGCTTGGTGGTTAACTGATTAATGTATGAAGATTTATGAATTCCTATCTTGGCCCTTTCATTTCTAGTGATTTGGATGGATAGCTGCAAGGAAAATAGATACCAACTCACGAACTCTCTTGTCACTATGTGCATACTATAGTACCTCCGCATATTAATAAGTCTTAGCTCAGACCGAGCACATATCTAACATTGAAATCTTCAGTTCTCATAAAACTAATTTACAAATTCAACGATCGAATGCCAGTTGCTTTCGGGGTTCCATTTTCACATCAACTTGAACCTTGGAAAATATATTCAAAACAACCAGCCATTGAAGACCACGCCTCCATCCATGTTATTACAATGGAACATCTCTTCCATCGCTGTTAAGCAGATCAAAGTCAATTAAAGTATATCGATGGACTTTGGACTCCGGTATGGATGTCTGGTACCCAGGCAGGCAAATTGGTATTGTGGATTACACTCTTCGGATCTGATGTGTTGAGGGGTTCTAACGAATCACATCTTGTAGCATGCATACAAATAATAACAAAGCTAAAGAAAGAGAAGAGATGAACTTCCAAGGTTGAAGGAAGCGAGCAAGAAAGATAGCTCTGGAGAGGGGCCCTGTGAAATCATGGGACTTCCCTATTAAGATATCATGATGCTCCCTAGTACTTGGATCCATAATGGATGTTTAAATATCTGTTAAGTACCTATGATGCATACGTAAGAACCATAGGAATAATGAAAGAATGTAATTACTATACAATAATAGAGTAGATCAAAGCCTTCCCTAAAAGTTGACTTTCTCTATCACAGCTGCTGCGATTCTAAAGTAGGTGAGGCTATTCCCGCCCACCAATAGCCTGAAGGCGTTGAGTCTGATACGGTAATGACTACCTAGGTGCCTATTTTGTAACCAGATATACCAAGGTTTCAAGTACAACATTATTTCTCTATACTTGTCCGCTATTTCAAAGATATAGTCTCTTTCTCCGCCCGGGGCTCTTGCTTGGTCTGCTGCCTCCGCTGCCCCTGCCCCTACCATCGCTACTGGTGTTAGGGCTGCTATTCCTGCCTGTCTTGCCGCCAGAACTGTTGTTCTACCTGCTTTTTTCCCCATCAAATATATAGCCCAGGTTGTAAATATGATTCATACGGTATTAACCGTGGGTAATAGCGCCGGATAGAATTTAATCCAGGTGGACAGGCTCCTACAAGTAACAACTTAGGTTATGAGCTTCCAATATCGCTCTTCTAAATATGGAGGGCGGCTGGCCTAATGGCAAGGCGTCTGATTTCGGTGTTCCACCTCCTTCAGAAGATTGCAGGTTCGATCCCTGCGTCGCTCGCTTGAATTTCTTTTTTGTTTCTTCTTTTTTTCTTTTTTCCACTCCGCGCGTCTACTTGAAAGATTCTTTTTGGTTTGAGAGAAATGTAATTGAAATGACATTTATAAAATATTTATAACAGCTTATAGCGTCTAACATATGTACGACTCCCTAAACGCCAGATCACTACAGGGCATTATTTATATATATGATCCATTATAATCACCACGAGAAGGCTTCTTCAAAAAGATCAACAGTCTTCTCGCCTTGCACATTCCGAACAGCTTCCCGAACACTGTCGCCAAGGCCACCAGGGCCACAGACACTGACTGCCAAAGCACCGACCTGCTCCGCTTTCTCATTCTCCAGTAATGTCTTGAAGCACGGCTTGCCGTACTCAACCGCTACAGGAACATTGGATGGCGCGCATTCTGTCCAAGGGGTTTCCGGTAATGGAAGAAATTCTTCAACGTTCTCCTTGTGTCCTGTCACATGGATTCGAATAGACAGCATGAGGCCGGGAAATTGGAAATAGGTGTCGCCCTTGGAGTCGATCATGGTGTTGAGTGCGTCGTGTCCTAAGATATCGAGCATCCATGCTTGAATCCATGATAAATGATCTTCACATAATATTAGTAATTGTTCAATATTACATCGAAAAAAGGCACCTACCTAGGCTGCGGATCATCCAAACCAGATGGACCTTGCGTGTTGCTGATTTCCGAGATGTAAAATTTGTGACAACATCATGCAGGTAGGACATGGGATGCGTGATTCCGATACCGCCAGCTACTAATAACAGAGTTCCATAGGATGCCAAAGAATGTATGCCTCCTGTTACTCAAAGTTAGTTAAACGGAGATCAGTTGTTTTGTGGTTCAATCTGACACGTACCAAATGGACCCTCTGCTAATGCCATAGCCTTAATTCTCCCCTCAGGGGAGTCCTCAGCTTTCTGAATGAGCTTTTTGGTAAAGCCATCTTGACCTTTAATTAAGACAGACATAGTTGTTGTTTCAGATCCGCCGATAAGGGTAGCAAAAGAGTCTGTGGAGCTGCGCTTCTCGCTTAGATCCAGTGAAGAAGAGTCTTTGGTCGATGTCCAAGCAACAGTAAATGGGTGTGAGGTCCAGAGGCCAAGACATGGCATGTACAAGTACATGTATTGACCAGGACGAAAGTTCCAGGCTCGGGAGACTTCAACTTCGACTTTGGCCACAGAACCTGGAAGGGCCTCGACTGTAGCCGTTGTACGGCGCTTGCCACAATTCCTCCAAATAAGAACTAGAAGCCGAGTGGCTCTATCTAATCCCCACAGAACTAGAGTGCCCAGTAATACCTTCTGTTGCAGAAGGTTCTTTAGGTGGTACCATAGAGCCACGAATGACATGACAGCCAGTGCGACATGTAAATGAAGAAATAATTCGTAGAAAGAGTGTCGAAGTGGGGAAAGTGACTGGATAAAAATGAAAACGAATCCTAGGAGTGCCTGCAAATTTTGCAAAATTAGAAACATAAATCAGCCTGAGTGAAGTCCCGGAGCAAGAACATACCACTAGTCCATATATATAAAACGGCATCTGCCAAATGGTATAAAGAATGTAATCCATGCCATCTAACAATTAGTGAATGTTAGCGTTGTGCTCCTGAGATCGGAGACGATGTGAAAGACTGTCCAGGTGTGAAGTGTACATACTCATATAAGCTTGGTTTGCTAAAACAGCACTCATGTGGATAATAGCATTTGCCGCAATAGTGCGTCCAACCCAACGATGCATGAAGTTGAATGTATCAAATGACAGCCCCAACATAGAAATCAAAGGATTGTTTCGTCCAGCACTAATAACTAGACCCGGTGTGTTCATCACTGCTAAGTGGCCCGCAGCGTACTTCAGTTGAAACATCTTCTTGGTGAAAGGTTCCCACCAATCAACTGTCACAATTATAAAGATGATATTGAGAGCAAGATAAATAATCAAAAGGATTACTTCAAGTCTCAAGGGAACCGATCCCATATGCAGCCTAAGAAACCGGAACTCTCGGCTATGCCGTGAGCCCCAAAGTGGCGCATAGAGCAGATGCTTCTTGAGGCTTGCATTTATGCCATTTGTATGAGAAATCTGGGCCTGGTCATCCGTCTGAAGAGCCAATTTCGCTCTCTGTCTTTGTCGAATTCGAATAATTGTCCGGTATAAAAAGGCAATGGCCACAAGTCCCCCGACAACAAAAAGAGGAACCGCAACCTCTGGGTTCATAGGTGCCTCCCCGGGGCCATTTCCTTTGAGCTGGACACCCATGTTGTCATTTGAAAGGGGAACCGCAGTATATGGATTGGGAGGAAGAGCGAATTATGTGCCGTTGTCAGCCTCCCAACAACTGGGATCCTCAGCAACTCCTTGGACTCGTGGACCAGGGAGAAGGAAGGGGAGGCACGGTTCTTGAAGACTTCCAGGGAACCAAAAAAAAAATCGATTAGGATTCTAACTCCGCGTGGAGAAAAAAAGAAAGTCAATCTACGCCAGATCTGCGTGGTATTAGATCTTCCATGGATGGATGCCGTCATGGACCCCTGAAGGGTATTGGAGATAAATCCTGCCTAATTGAAAACATCGTCATTCTTGTCTCCACGAAAGCGTGAGTGTAACCAGCCGAATTGGGTTCCAGAGACTCGGCGGGGAACTACGGGGACAATCTTGAGCTTATTCGGCGGTATGCGCGCGGTAAGTGGTTAGAGCATGGGAAAGTTTAAAAGTCTAGATCTTCGATCCCGCTGAACCGAGGCCTGTCAAAGGGACAGCGGCTTGCGTTATTCCATTTCCTGTTCAAGATTGGACTATGACATTTGCGGGTGTCGACGAATGAGAGGAATTCTACACCCTACATGAATAACAAGGGATGGGGACTAGCATACCGGTCCAGGTGCCAATCATTGTGAGCAGCAAAAAAAGACTGAAAACGGAATGTTGATGAGTTGGTCCAAGCTTCGTCTCGATCTTCCCCTTCGGTTTGCGGTTGTGGCTATGGATGTCCGCCCCCTTGTTACTAACTATGCTCCGTTCAATGAAATTGCCTTCTACTGGAGATTTCAGTATAGTTCATTCGGAAGCTGCAGCTTTATTGGCTTCCTACAGCTGTCAATAACTTCACTATGACTCACTAGAGGCGAAGTGGCTTGGGGGCTTTCCACGTCTTGTCATTTCTCGGCGTCGATCATTCGGCCCACCCGGGGGAGAATAGAGCATAGGCAAAGCCCAGTTCTCTGGGACGCAACTGCAACGTTGAAATATAACAATGGGCCAGTTCGATTTATTGTGGAGACAACGTAGCAGATGGCCTACACACAAACCTCCATTGATACCCTAACTACGTAATACCTAAGAAAACCCCCATGTGCAAAGAAAAAGCAGACCCGGTGCCTGGTACATTTACGACGTCGGGGTACGTTTCGTAGTACCCATGACACAAATTTGAAGGTCGTGTGCCTTGTTCAACTGCCGAATTCCGCTGTGAAAAAGTAGGAGATGATCCAGCTGCTCGGGGACCGGGGGATCTAGACTGCATCGAACTTTTTGCTATGCTGTCTCTAGCTCCATTCCCCGATCGGAATAAGATCTAGCTATCTTATGAGAGGGTCATGAGGGGAGATGAGGAAACGGTGTCAATTCGTGATGGGTTCTCGTCAGAACCGTCATCTCGGCCTTGGGAGTGATTTGATTTAGATGAACGTCAGAACAACCATGGAAGACTGCGGTCGGCATCGTCACGGGATTCCCCCTGAGATGTATGAGATAGGCGTCGCCACTCGGTATTTGATTTTGAGTTCAAGGGCAGGTATATCCACTTGGAATGGGAGGCGGGCTTTGCTGCATGACCTCAGGTGCTCATGAACGTTCGAAGGTTAATTAATGCCCAGACCACGGGTGGGTTCACTAACTAATGATCCAAATTCGACATGGACTTCAAAAAGAAGAATGAAAAACATATAGGTGGATATAGATAAATGTTAACCCAAAAGTAAGAGTGGTTCATTCGAGTATTGCTATCTTCACATATGTAACGAAAGGCCTTAACGCCAACATGCGCGAAGTGCACATGCCAATTCCCGAGTTCCAAAGTATAATTTCCTGCCATGACCGGCCGCTGACCGCAGCTTGTATTTCGTGAGTAATCCAGCCCAAAACGCCATCATTAATATCGGAAACACCATATTAGTTTCTAGCCTGGCGTGTAACCTTAGGCTGATATCTCTTCAACCTGTTCAGGAACTCTGGGAATAGATGGTACATCTTCTTCCAGGCTAAGACTTCCATAGCCGGTATCATTACTTGCAGAGCGCTCTCGACGAAGAGGCTTCCCCATGCGCGTTTCAATAGTATCTTGATCTGCGTCACTGATCAGGGATTGATCGGAGCCCCCACGTCGACGTCGGGTTTTGCGCTTGCGAGATGGCATAGGTTCCGGAGGGGTGTGTACATAGTCGTCCACGTTAAGACCGGCATTTTCACAGAGAGCAGTGCAAGACTTCACAATAACATCGACCAAATTAGACGAGAAACCGTAGAAAGCAGGGTTATATGCGTTGCGGGACCAGTAGATAAGATCGGCAGCAACGCGACCGATGTTGGGGATATCGCGTGGGCAGACGGCGAGTTTGCGAGCTGTGCGTGGTTTTTCGTCAGCCTCGTCATCGGCGGATGAAGCAGCATCAGAGACCGGCGAAGAGGGAGAAGAGGAGTCCGAGGATGCGATGTAGTCAACGTCAGCCGCCAGAAGGTGTAGTAAGTGGTAGACCGAAGCAAAGCCAAGTAAGCTAAGCTCAACGGGGTCAATGGGCAGTTGATTGAACCAGTTTATCGCTTTCTGAATGGTGAATGAAGCGGGGAGAGAAGTGTCGCCAGTGGATCGCGCAGAGACGATGGCGGCAATCATGGCACAGCGGACGGCGATGGAGATCTCATCTCGGACCGAGACGGGGAGTGAAGAGTCCAGGAAGTTGGCAGTCTGATTCCACTGGCTCTTGTGCTTATCTTTAGGAAGCGTGGCGAGTACAGCACCAACATTCTTAATGCGATCTTGATCGAAAAATACTGATTTCATAACCAAGGCCCGAGTGTAGGCCGCTGAAAGCCGGGGAGCGACATCAAGAGCCATGCGAATCTTTTCCTTGAAGGTGTCGCGGCTGGCTTTGGAGACGGGGCCGCCTTCGCTGGCTTCCATGTATTTCAGAATGGCACTTTGCAGGAGGTGACTTGACCACCAAGCTGCAAGAGCATCCACTGGGCTTTGAATTGCAGGATCTTCCTCAACGACATCGAGAAGAACTGCGTCATCTCCAGTGCCCTCTTGGGTTGGTTGATTCCATGTTAAATTCACAGCTCTCTGGATGATGGAGTCGATCATGACATCTTCGCAATCGAGTTTGATCAATTCGGCTAAGTGGCTGGGAAGCTGATCTGGATGACCCTCGGGGAGTGCGTTGTTGATTTCTCTCGCAACACCCCACTGATAGTTGGCAAGAGTGCGAGCAACATCATTGGAAACGTGGAAAGACCAAGAGCCGGGTTCTCCAACTCTCCACATTAGAATGCGCACGTGCAAAGCCTTGAGAATCATTCTCATCGGGCTGCTTGGTAGCGTTCCTGCTGCAAATATTGTGAGCACCAGACGGCTTTTGCTGATTTCGGTATCGCCGCCGGTAAGCTGGGCATCAAGTGCAATATCCCACGTCTTAACACGGCCCCTTTCATCCTCCTCTGTGATTCCAGTGGCCCAAGAGTAGATTTTCCACCCCATCAAGCACCGGAGAACATATTCAAAACATCGCGATGTCACGACATACCATTCACGGAAGAACCGATGACGTGGTACCCCGACTCGTTGCATACTGGTAAGCCAAGCCTGCCGCCGAAAATCACTGGGAGTGAGTGAGGCATTTTTGCCTACGTTGACTGCTTTTGGGAAGGCACGCTGTGAGACTGTTTGGGCATTGAAGAGGTAAAGGAAGACTACGAATGCACACACAACCGCGAGGGCGAGAAGGAGTAAGAAATGTGAGATGGCGCGTGCGTGCCAGGAGTACCAAAAGTTGTGTAAATAGGACTCAAAACGGGCAAGGCTCGGGGACCGGAAGCGGGAGAGCAGGTTCAAAGGAAGAGCGAACAGGCCCTTTTCTTCAGACTCGGTCTGTTCTCCACCGAATCCTTCGAGGACCATAAGTCCAGCAAGAGCGCCCAGCATATACTTATTGGGCATCCTAGATCGTCGGCCGTTTCCTTCTGTGCGACCATAGGGACTGGACGAATTTTTTATGTAGGACTCGCCAAAGACGCCTTGCTTTCCTTCCTCACGCATTCGTTTGAACGAATCGGGAATTTTGATCATACCTTCAACGGGTTGCGAGGAGGTAGGTGAATCACCGCTGATCTCATCGGGCTGCGAGAACACACTTGGCGATGTGCCCGCACTGGAGTCACTAGAAGGAGTATAATTGCTGGGAGATGAAACCGACGCAGAAGATGTGACGGCTTGGTCAGCTGCCTTGTCAGCTTGGCGAAGTCGATTCTTAAGTCCAGTGTTTTCATCTTCCAATCTCTTGTTCCGGATTTCGAGATGTTTGATATATTCGGTGGCCTTGGAAAGAATAGAGGCCTTGTTCAGCTTGCTCGCGGATTGAGCTCCGTCTGCATCGTCCTCATCTTCGTTGGAGTCACCATTGGCGTTCTTTGTTGTTCGAAGACTCGGAACGCTGTCACGCAATTCCGCGATCTTCTCATTCAGGTTGGCCCGGTATCGTTTTTCAATGACATTGTGGGCTCTCTTTTTAGCCGGCATCTTCTTTCCAGGTTGAACAGGGCCAGTCACAGTGGTTGCGTCGTCATCGCTGTCCGTCTTTCGCTTTCGGTTTGTTCCGGCACTTGAGATGGGAGACACCAGACCAGGCGGCCCGGAGATGGTTGATAGTATCGAGCCTCTGGAATGGTTGTTGTCCGGTGGAATTTCCATGAGTCCCAGCGGAAGTTGGGGAGAGAAATCCGTCTGCTGGAACTGGTTGGGTGAGGATCTTATGGTCGTATGCGGAGAAATAAACGGGTGATCAATCGATGAATCGACATTCTTCTGGTCATTCTCGCCAAACATCGGCTCATCCCATCGCATCCATTGAGTCCAATCTTGATTATGATTGTCTGAAGACTGCTGTCGATAAATTCCATTGGTGTTTCCTCCGCCGGACTGTCGGCGGGGAGAGAAGAGCTGAAAATCGTTATCCATGCCTGGTGCGGACATGGTGCCTGAGCATCCGTGTGAAGGATCCCGGCTCGTGCTGTTCAGGTCAAGTTGTGTATTGATTGTCACCTATCCAGGTGGTTCACACTGCATGCTACGTTAGTTATATACAGTCAAAATATGGGCACAACTATGCGCAGAGAGGGTTGAGGATCATCATGATCTTCTCTAGCAAATGCTAGTCTTTCCTCGAAACCTCACCAGCATAGGTTGTATACAGTGAATGGAGATTAAATGAGAGTCACAATTGTACACTTACTGGACTTGCAGGTTCAACTCGAAGGGTTAGAAGCTGTTTAGAATTGCCAGTGACGTCGAACAGCATGTAGAGAGGGGGGAAAGGAGAAAAGCTGAGAAGGGGAAGATGGTTAGAGCGAGGAGAATACCAAGAGCAGCTAGGCAGAGATACCCACTCCTGTTAGTGCAGTAGCGTCGGCGGGACCTTAGAACGGAGGTGTGGATTCTCAAATGATTTGGCCGTCCCCTGCGAAGGCGATCATCTCCAAATAGTGTGGACGGTGGACCAGGATGCAGGCCGTGTTACTCCGTGTGAAAAATAAAAACAGACCAGGGCCCAGTATTTCATGGAGCGAATCTACTGGATAAATTTTGGTTGTTGTTAAGATGAGATTACAATCTGGTCCCTACAGCATAAAGGAGAGAATTAGGCTGGGCCATTTTTAGCTGCGGAGTCGTATGATCGCGGCTCGATGCACTTCCGGCTTCTCGGCAGCCACGGATCCTTGTATTGGGCCTGTAATATACACAAGTATCGAAAATTATAGGTTCACTCGGGCCACAGCACCCTGTTACGTATTGTAAGTAGACTGTAATATATTCCTTCCGCTATTCGTGGTCCTATCTACCATCTTCACCGCCCGATGACTCAGCTCACGACATGTGATTTTGCCAAACGAGATAAACGAAATCAACAACCTCTTTCTCTTTTCACGGTCAGCACTGGCTTCATTACCGCTGGATTTACAGGTCTTTCTGTGGTTCAGGAAAAATTCTGCTTCTCATTTCAAAATCTGCTCAAAACTAGGATCAGCAAGCCTTGGCACCCCACCGGGTGGCGTCCAGGCGAGAAAATGATTGTGCAGCTTGATCTTATCTGATCGTGTAGCGTCTCCACTTCCAACGTACCGGTAGCCCGGAACTTGAGCGACGGAGACAGGAACGAATAGGAGGATTCGAGCAGAGTTACTAGGGAGTGGAGCAACCGGTCTCCGGGGGGCTAATTCTTAAGAAGCAGAAAAGGGCAAAGAATCCCCTCTCGCAAGCAGGCTACTGTTATGGAAACCTCGTCATTCATCCACCCTGAACACTCTAGCGCCCGTCGCTAGCCCCCGAGACGCAATCCGCCTAGAATCGGCGCACTTTATCTTGCCAGGTCTCGAAAGTTGACCACTTTGAACCTTGGATTCGGTTGTCTGCTACGGAGTACTTCCCAGTTAAATCGCGCGCCCGATGCCTGTTATTGCTATGTTAAAATGCCGCGTTCATTCCCAAAGTCAGTAGTGAAAACTTTACATCGTCTGCCTGCGTAGAGTAATCTCCAGAAAATTTTCGATGTCCGTCGTTGGGGCGGGAGAAATTGCCACCACAAGCCCGCCGACGTAATACCGCCCTAAGTACAGAGTAGTGAAGTGCAACTGCTGATGATCAATGCACTTTCCTTTTCTCCACTGTAGCTAACAATCTCAGAGCGGTGTGTCTGGGTTGAAATTTATCAAAACTGTGCACTAGGAGCCTCAATCAAGGTTTCAAAATGATCATGATTCGATTGTTAACTCTTCTGTGATATGAATCTGGCAAAATAAAATATCCCGAAATGCTACCCCATTCCCGCCTTCTTTATCGCCGGCTATGCTTTGTGATGTCATATTCAATGCTGTGGGGAACGTCAGCGTATTTGTAGATGAGTTGTCCAACACTTCACTTACAGTGATGTCTTCCCATTTCTCCCAGCCGCGTCCACGAACTTGTGCGAGCTCATCCATGGTGAACTGCTTTCCAGTAGTGAAATAACCGGCATTGATCTTTGCATCAATCTCGACGCGGGAGTCGTCGGGGATCATGTCCTCGGGGATTGGGATTCGCTCGAGGATCTTAATCCCACTGTCCACAATGGCATCGTGTTTCATGTTAGACATGGACAACATGCGATCAATCTTCTTGATACCGAGCCAATGGAGAATGTCCGGCATGAGGGCTTGGAAGCGCATCTAAAAGAGAGGCCCAGGTCAATATTTTTCAATAAAAATGAACGGAGCTGACTTACATCTCGCACCCCCGCAATATTTTCCGTCCGAGTGAAGTACTTGTCTGCGGTATCTCCGCCTCGTTTGCGGGCGTTGTATACCAAGTACTTAATGACCTCCCCCAATGCGCGGCCTTCTTTACGGAAGTAGATGACCACCCCGCTTCCGCCATTTTGGGCTTCACGAATGGCCTCGCGAATGCCGAAAGCTAGATATGGCCGACACGTGCAGATATCCGACTGGAAAACATCGCTTCCATTACACTCGTCATGAACTCGAAGAGCTAGCTTCACATTCTCATCCGAAACCCGTTCAGGTGGTCCGAAGATATAGACGGTTAGTCCTCCAATTGGCGGCAGGAACACCTTGAGGTCAGGTCGGGTAATCAGTTCGGGGTAACTACCACCAGTGTGCTCAAATAGCGATCGACGCAAGGTGCCCTCGTCCACTCCAAATCTCTCTGCCACGCCAGGCAAATACCATACCGGCTCAACGGCGACTTTTGTCACGCGCACCTCACCCGATGAGTCTACTACAATAGTACCATCAACGTCCAATAAACCGTCACGCACGGCATCTCCAATCTCTGCCAGCTTCATATTGGCTCTTGTGATTGCCATAGTAGGACGAATATCCCAGCCTGCCTCAAGCTCCTGCTTGTATTTATTCACGATATCATGGCCATACGGATCCATAGAGACAATCTTGGTCTTATCGGCCCAAGAAGATTGCCAAGGGAAATTGAAAACAGGTTCACTATTTCGCAGATCAGGTTTGAAGTCTGCAGCAAGATCTCCAGCGGCAATCGCGAGCGCGTTGTATATGCTGTAACTGCCACCGTGTGCACCGATGGCATTGCGGCGTTTCACTAGATTCCCATTACGAGAGACCACGATTGGACCCCTAGATTTGGAGTCTTCAGCGCCCCATTCTAATGGCACGGGCTCGATCCCACTCTGGCCAGGATATGTCGTTAACTAAAAATTTAGTCAGCATTATTTCGCACGATCTCCCTTGTGTAACTTCAGACAGGTCCCTACGATGATATGTTTGCTGTAGATCGACTGAGGCGAAGTCGGTGGCTGGGCTGATGGATCTGTCATATTGAGGGTGGATTCTGGCTCTTTCATGATGAACAGAAGGGAAAAACTTAAAGAGAAGGAGGTGAAAGAAACAAGGACGCAGAGTCGGTTCGATTTCAGTCTCCCAGTGCAGGGGGCCATGTGACTTCCCCCGCACTGTTATCGCCTTATCTTCGTGCGTCATTGTTTGGATCTTTTAAACCATTATCATCATGGTGGGACTTGAGAAAATCTCATCTCTCCCAGGTTTCATGGATGAATTGTTTACATGTAGTATGAAGAGTTCTGTTGGCCCACTAGTATATACTAAGGACCCCAGAGGCACCGATGATGATCGACCCATTGGGCCCCCACATAGTTTCGGCGTTCTCGGAGTTCAGCATCGCTGGTCGAGTCTAGTCCGGGATTGTGCACCCACAGGCTAGAATGCATATCTAACGTTGAGGATAAGAGCATTACACTGGATCTAAAGTTACAGCCAAATTTATTCATATTCATAATATTTACCGCTGGCTGATACAAAAAGATAGCTTTACTTTACCTTCCTATACTACATGGTAGACCTCACACGCCGGAGAAGCGAGAGCCAAACACGACTAGCCGCATTTGCTGTCCCGCAGCGCAAGGCAATTCTCACCGCAATGCAACTTTTCTTTTTTCACGTCTTTATTACCTTAACTATAGCCGATTCTATTGAAACTGGGGTATCTCGTGTAGATACGGCCGTTAAACACGCTCGAAGTAGAAAAAAGCCAAATTTACGTGAGATCGTGCGGCAATTTTGTGTCGAGGTGTTAGAATGGCCAAACTACTGGGATGGCAGTGCGCTCAATATGTCAATATTGCTATGGGGAGAGGGAAAGGAAGCTAAGCAACTATTCAGATGTAATATGGGACTCAGTGGCCGTTCTGCCATCGCACTCCGCCCGCCCCCGCAGCCCGTAGAGCTCATAACACGAGGTGGGTAAACGTAGAATCTGCGCTATTTTCTAGACCCGTATACTAGTAGAATCAAGCTGTGTTTATATCTAAATTCCATAGCATTCCAAAGGGTCTACTTGGTATAAATTTACTGTAAGGAGTGGAATGTAGTAGTATTATACGGAACACTCTCCATACAAAATTTACAGCGGACCCTATGTGCAACAAAAAAAAGGAAATAAAAAAGAAATCAAACGAGCGACGCAGGGATCGAACCTGCAATCTTCTGAAGGAGGTGAAACACCGAAATCAGACGCCTTGCCATTAGGCCAGCCGCCCTCATTGATAACATAAGCAGTCAATTTAATATTCACATTATCGGTAGTGCAGTAGGATACTTTATCTCAAGCTATGATAGTATCCAAACTTCATTGTTGGATTTACTATACAACCTGCAAATAATCTTGGAAACAGTGAAGAAATCCCCTGTTGTACTCTGGAGACCCGCCCTCCATCCATATTGTACACATGCGGGCGGAAAGGTGAGATATCGAATCTACAAGGGAAATCTGGTTTACATTAAAGATGCTCGTGAGAATAGCTTCAATACCTTAGCCTGGGCATAACTCCGTAGAATAAGAAGCGCAGCTAGGCAAAAATTCAGTCTTATAGCGTTGAAGCAGATATTCCAAGAACTCCAGCAACAGAAGAAGCCTTATCATTAGACCAGCGACTTTCAAATAGTTCAGCGGGCATTATTGAGCTGCTCCAGGACTGGTTCTAAACTTCTCGGTTTCCATCAGCGTCCTGCGCACTCTCTTACCCCGCCCCCACCATACATACTGAGTATATTCTTGGGGTCCTTTCTCAGCCTCGGTTACATACCATACACTAGAGCCCCTCAAATTCCCCAGATATGGAGCCAATTGATCCACCCCCGTCGTATATGACTAATACATAGCGACCCTCGCGCCAGAGCACCCTCAACGGTATTTCAAGCCCGGGATTGGATCTATTAGTCCAAGGACATTGGGCAATTCCAAGTACAAGGGGGTATATTTCCTCGATTAATACTTTTCTAAAATAGTTTTCTCCGGTGTCCCGGCTAAAACAGCCCGAGCGCCAATGTTCAAGTGATGTAAAGCAGTTTGCCATTGAGTCTTGGTTATTTTGATGTGCGTACATCGCATATAACAGCCTCATCGAGGCCCAAAAGAATACTATAAGCCAGGCTACCAAAATCCAGAAACGGAATTGCCTGCCCTCAGGTAGAGCGAGCACACAGTGATCCACGTTTCACAGACCTTGGTTCGCCATGCACAAGACCACCTACCGTAATTGGGTGGATCTTGGTCGATCCCCGGATTTGTGGGGATTATAAGAGACACATTACTCGCTTGAGGGACAATTGCGCACTCTGTGCTTTTAAAAATTGATTCAAATCATTTGTGAATTCCCTATTATCTCCGCGAAGCAGCTATGACGACCACCTTCTCCTCCCTGCCCATTGTCGACGTTGGACCTCTCGGGTCTCCTTCAGGAGCATCAAAAGAGGAACTAGCAGCGCTCAGCAATCGTCTCTACGAGGCTTTTGCCACGACCGGATTCGCCTACCTCGTCAATGTGCCCTTAAGCTACAAACATGAAGAAGTCTTCAAAATGTCTCGAGAATTCTTTGCGCTCCCAGAGGAAGAAAAAATGAAGCTCTCCAAACGATCTTTCCGACGTGACCATCACAACACATATCGAGGGTCAATACCCTTTACCTTGCCCATTTGCAATAATGAAATAACTGACGAAACTCATTGGAAAGATATTTTCCAACACAGCCAGAACTAGCGAATGATAACCTCAAAGAAGGCTTCGAAATGGGTCCCGCGCAACCAATACCCACGCAATCCACCACTTCGCATTCATCTAAATTCAATTTAGCTGAGCCAAACGTATGGCCCGATGCAAATATTTTCCACTCCCGATCGCAGTTAGAGATTCTCTACGCCGAACTCCAAGCCCTCGCATCCAAACTATTGTCCCTCCTCGCTGTTTCATTGGGCAAACCGAAAAACTATTTTGCGCCATACCTCAACGACTCCCTAAGCACCCTTCGACTACTGCATTATCCAGCTGTAACATCGGCCGCGTCAGGATCCAAGCCCATGGGGTCAGATGAGGTCAAACTCAGCTGTACGCCACATACCGACAGCGGCATTCTAACTCTCTTGCATCAGGATTCGACTGGCGGACTAGAGGTGCGAAACTCCACTGGCGAGTGGGTCGCAGCACCATACATCCCTGAGTCCCTCGTGGTCAATATTGGGGATCTAATGGCTAAGGTATCCGGCGGACGATTCGTTGCTACCATGCATCGGGTTCGTGCTCCTGGGCTTCGCCCCTCAGCCTCTTCAATTGCGTCACAGAACAGCGAATCTCCAGCATTGGGACGTATTAGCGTCCCTTTCTTCTTTGAGCCTGGAGAAAATTGCCTAGTTCGGTCTGTCGATGGCGACGAGGGGTTCGTCTTGTACGGAGGGCATGTTCGTGAGAAAATGAAGACCTGGGTGGAGTTTCAGGACGATGTAGACAACTAGATCGTATGATCGGAAGCTTGGTGATCCATATGCACCTCTACCCTTGCGACTTTCTTTATGTGGCTAGCGCTTCGTTCGTTTGACCGGTCAATTTCCCTGCGCACAAACGGATGAGATGGCCCTGAGCAGTGATCACGACCCTTTGCGACAATTATCCCTCGGCGAAAGAACGGAGAAAACTACAATCGGCCTTTATTCGGATGATCTCTTGCAGCACCTTCCTTTGCGCTAAAATCGAGTCATACCCATGCAACTTTCGGGATATTTCAATGTTACGTTGGTGAGACTAGAAGCTTAACGAGTCGGATTATACGGAATGTGTTACCATGGATCAACGCCCTACGAGTGTGCATGTTAGCTTACTTCTTTATTTACTTCTTCCATTTTGCATGTCATCAATCGTTATTTAGAAGCAGTCTATCATATGATTTCTCGCAGAAAAGTCAAAATCTACTGATGCAACAACAGACAAAGACAGCTCAACCTTGAACCAGCCCAAAGTAAGCAGCTTATGCTCTTCACCCACCATCCCGGTCTTAAACATCGAACATAATCTATTGGAGATTGCGATCATTTTCAAACACCTGCCTCATCCAGTGCCCACTCAATCAGCTCCGCAATCGTATTGCTAACAGCCGACGTCCGAGGAATCTCATGTCCACCTCCATGATTGAACGTCCGGCGATTCTCAGGATTACAAACCCCGGAAAGCTGCACACCAGCAGAATAACGAGGATCCTTCGTTCCGTAGATATGCACGGTCGGTATAGGAATTTGGAGAGGTCCCTTAATCTCATCCCGTACTTGATCTTCAGACAAACCCTGAGAAGTAGTATCGCCTTGCCATCTGCTCCCACCGGACTGCAAGATAGCATTCGAACTAGCCATGTTACCCAGAGACCTCCGTGATGCCATATCGCGATGGTGCATCGAAGAAGTAATATTGAAGCCAAGTTCCTCCAGTACCCCCAATGAGACAGCGCCACAGCTGAAAATGGCAGCCTTGAACGGGGGCGGAAGATGAGGTGTTTCCTCTTGGTGCAGAAGGAGATATGTAGATGCCATAATTGTTCCTTGCGAAAATCCCATCACTGCGTCATATGGGCCGTTCTTGGAGATGTACACGCGCAGCCAGTCGCACGCCGCGAGCATATCATCGTATGTGCTCTCTTCCAGAAATCCGAAGTAAGGTGGTGGGTAGAATAGATCCACGCCAGCTGCCGCGTTAGATTTAAAGGGACCGTCTATGAAGTCGAATTCGATGTCTTTTCTGGATAGCTGTGCTCGGAATGATGCTGCGGGGGCGGAATTAGCTCTATCGTCATGTTTTCGCAAATTGCGGGTCTCTCGTACAAGTTTGGGATTTAAAAATCGCACCACTGGTGCCTTTCCCGTGGAGACAGAGAATCTTCATAGTGGCTTTGGATATGGGTAATGAACTGGATTGAAAAAAAAGAAAGTCGGTGCACGAGGGGTCCTTTCGCAACGCGGGCGGATGAATGCTGCTGACGGTGGATACGCGCCGCACCTTAAAGAATCAGCAATTGGGGGCGGGACCGAGCATATGGGCTTGATCACTCCATGTCACTCGAAAGCCTGGCTCAGAATTTTCCGGCGAAAATATTTGAGATATGGTACTTTCTGTACGCTAGATCCACTGTTGTTTAAGCAAGGGAGGACATCAAGTACACCGACATTCATGCATACCTTAGGGTAGAGTGTGTTGTCTGAAGGCATGGCCCCCGCAGCAATCAGCAATTGCCTCTCAGTATGGCAAGACACGACTATAAATAGTTGGTACGCATCCACTCCATTAGTACTATTTTTCAGGGCCAATGATTCTCCCTTTACCCCTCTTCGACATAGATTACAGTTTTTAAAGAAATGGCAGATTAAATATTACTGTCAACTGCTGCAAGGAAAAAAGTATTGGGCGCCTCAAAAAGTTCAAAAAGTTCAAAAAGTTCAAAATTTCCAATCGGCAACAATGCCCCTCTTGATTCATTGCTTCTAGCTCCCACCAATCTCCTAGCGCCCGCAGTATTAACGTTAGATAGTGGAAATGACTTATGGCGGATATACACACGATATATCGAGTATCATCTCTCAGACAATATACCGACTGCAACCTTGGAATCCCCTCCCAATACTCCGAGTCTCTTTCTGAAAGTTTAAACTGGGTTCAAGCAATTATGGATCCGAGTCCGTGCCGACCCGAGTCATCCGAAATCATCAACAGTGATTCCTAATCCATGGATGATTTATAATCGTCTTTCTTGTATAGCCAGCTTTATCATCACCCGCACTAAAATTGTGGTCGTCATCAAGAGCCGTCAACGCAAAGGTGTATAAATATTGATCATCATAGAGGGTAGATGCTTAATCTGTAATCGTATTACGGGCATTAAGCACGGACTTAAGAAGGATGGCTTAGTTTAAGCAACCCATAGCCGCGGAAAATCATTCAAGCTGGTAACTTTGAAGTTCATCTGTTGAATTGAGGGAGTCTACTAGGTACTTAAAGGATGACATACAGGTAAGATGACCCCGGGAAAACATATATAATATTTGCCTTACCACTCCTGGGTCTCACCTTGCTTGATCCCTCTTCTATAATTCATCGATATTTATTTCCCAAGTCTCCAGCTACCTATTTGACGATATATCCTGAGAGCAATGGCCGTGCAAAAAGCCATTGTCATCCAAGCTCCTGGAGTGGCTACTGTTGTCAACGATCGCCCTATTCCTACGCTCTCAGACGACTCTATCCTAGTCAAGAATGTGTCTGTGGGCCTGAACCCCACGGACTGGAAGCACATTGATGGCTACAATGCTGTTGGGACTACTGTGGGCTGTGACTTCGCAGGGGTCATAGAAGCCGTCGGCAAAGACGTGAAAAAGTCATGGAAAAAAGGCGATCGCGTCTGCGGAATGGGACACGGCTCTAATGCGCTTAATCCCGAGACCGGCGTTTTCGCTGAGTACATCGTTGTAAAAGGTGATCTTCAACTACGGATCCCGGATAGTCTAAGCTTCCAGGACGCTGCGTCGCTTGGGGTTGGTATCAATACAGTTGGTCAGATTGCATCCAACCTGAAGCTTTCCTCGCCTGCAGATCCTGTTAAAGGCACTCCTCATATCCTCGTCTACGGAGGATCAACAGCGACCGGCACCTTAGCAATCCAGTACGCGAAGCTATCTGGATACAATGTTATTGCTACATGCTCTCCACACAGCTTCGATCTTGTTCTTGGTCTTGGAGCAGACATTGTGTATGATTACAAAGACCCCAAATCTGCCGCAGAAGTTCACAAGTATAGCGATGACAAGTTAAAGCTTGCTGTCGACTGCATTGGATCGCAAGCCTCTGGCAAATTTTGTGAAGAGGTCATCTCTACTTCTGGAGGAGATTACTGCACCTTGGTCCGTGTCAAACTTGAGCGTCCAGATATTAATTATCATTGGGTTCTGGCTTATACCTGTTTCGGTGAGCCCGTGAAAATGGGTGAAATTGCTATCCCGGCTCTTCCAGAGCACAAGGCCAACGCAGAGAAGTTCGCTGTTCTTGCCGAGGGGCTGTTGGCGGAAGAAAAGCTCAAGACTCATCCTTCTAGAGTTGGAAAAGGTGGACTGAACGGTGTTCTGGATGGATTGGATCTCATGAGAAATGGGAAAGTGAGCGGTGAAAAGCTGGTATACAACGTTGAGGAAACTTCTTAAGTAGCTGTGACTCCCGATTTAAGTGTTGACTACAAGACTAAGTAGTATTGGCCAACTGTCTTAGGTGGCCTATGATCTCAAGCTCGGGGTTCAGCTCGGAAGTTAACCAGGTTAAGACCAAATACAAAGGCGCTGCTATCTGTTTTCTTCTCTTTTCGGAATAACTTGGACACAAAGATCAAGCCCCTTTGAATATATCTGGCATTGGCCAGCTAGGATACTTTAATATTTCTTGGAAGTTTCAGATTTGAGCACACAACTGAGACACCTGGGCATAAGTATTGTAAAAACTTTGTCAAAGTTGAAGATGGAGAAAGACTTAGGCGATACTAAACATACCTCCTGGGCAGTGATGGCCTCGAAGAACCAAGAATGTTTAGTCGAATTTGTTCTGTGGATTTCCATTAAAGCCTCGTGACTCCGAATGCGAGATGATTAGAAATGTCCTCGGGACAACAGAAAATAAACTTGAAGTCATATAGGGTCTAGCCGTTTCTACATTCCAAAGATGTTTATACTGAAGTCTCTTCTTACCTTACACGTCAAATAGATCGTTGCCCAATTCTATTTTGCGTAAAAAGGTGAACCTTACTTTGGACCTCAGAAGTTTTAGTGCAACATTGAAAGCAAGATTTGCGAGGGAAATGTATTCAATTAGGCCCTTGAAGTGAAGATGTAGAAGAAAAAAAATAGTGAAAGTAACCGCAAAGACCCGTTATATCCCAGCATCAACCACCCACATGCTCAAAATCGAACAACCCCAGAGTTGATGTTGAATCAACCCAATGAGAGACCTCATTTCATCTCCACACTCGCATTGGCACTCATAGACATCAGAGTTGGAGTATTCAAGCCAATTCTAGTCTCAGCATCATCCAGCGTCATAATGCGATGCTTGCCACTCCCAATCCCAAATCTTCTCTTAATTGCCTTCCAAGTTTCAACGCAAGCCAGGTAAGCAAGCGTGCAACCGAAAACTACGCCCCATTCCCATGTAATAGCATGATGCTTGAAGACAGTCTCATTAATAACAGGAAGGTAAATGACCGGGAAGGCAATGACAAAGCCCGCAATAACCGCCCAGAAAAGGAAACGGTTCTGCCAGACTGTAGCGAAAACCGAAAAGCGCTGGGGGAATCTGATCGGATCCATGTTGAAAAGTGATCGTGCGAAATGTTTGACTTCCCAGGCTGTTACAAGTAGAAGAAACGTTAGGGTTGCATATGTAGTGGCTCGAGCTCGGAAAACAGTATCACAGCTTGAGTTATATCCCTGATTGCACCCGTCTCCTAGGCTGGAGGCTCCTGTGCCTTTTGCGTAGACAACACATACGAATGCTACCAAGCATAGAGAGCCCATGCAAGTGCCATATACCATCTTATCGATGATTAGTTCTGGAGTGAAGACTCCGACACGCAAGTCATGTGGGGGCCGGTACATGATGTCCGGCTGGGCTTCTTCGAGACCTAGGCCAACGGCCAAAAACGAGGACGTAACGAGATTTGCCCATAGGATTTCAAGTGGAGATAGCGGAAATACCGAATCTCCTCCGGTATCTTTGAAGGCCAAGGCGATGAGAAGGAGAATGACTTGAGCAATGTTCGATATAAGCAAATGCATGAGAAACTAGTTGATTATCCCGTTAGTGAGCAACTCAGACAGAACGCAGTAAGATTGAAAATAACCTTTTGAATGTTATCGAATAGTCTTCTTCCCTCTTCGACTGCTTTTACAATGGAAGAGAAGTCATCATCAGTGAGAACCATGTCAGCAGCCTCCTTCGCGACATCGCTTCCATTCTTTCCCATTGCTATACCCACATCAGCTCGTTTAAGAGCAGGAGAGTCATTGACACCGTCTCCCGTCATTACACAGAAAGCCTTTCGACGATGTGTAGCCTCAACCATACGGACCTTGGTGGCCGGACTACAGCGAGCAATCACAAGAGGAAGTTCTTCCATCTCGTCAATTTCGGCATCGGTCAATCTATCAAATTGATCGGCGGCCATGACCAATTTGTCTGGCTTTATTATCATTAGCATTTCGTCCAGAATACCAACTTCTGCGGCGATCGCCGTAGCAGTCTTAATATGGTCGCCTGTGAGCATGTGTACTGAAATGCCTGCCATCTGACATTTTTGTACTGCTGCGGCCGTTTCGACGCGTGGTGGATCGTATAGTCCCACAAGTCCAGAAAATTCAAGATTCGACTCCGCGGCACCCCGCGGGGAAACCTGATCATCTTGGTCAATTGCTACTTTCTTGAAAGCGATGCAGAGAACTCGCAGACCTTCGCTGGCCATTCTATCTGCTCTTTCCAAGACCCTCTGTTTCTCTGTCACAGACATCGATATTAGGGGCAGTATAGCTTCAGGTGCACCTTTAGTGTACACCTCATTGACGCTTTTGCTTGCGTTGCTGTAAACAGCCGTCATTTTCTTGATAGTAGAGTCAAAGGGATATTCCGTGCGGAGTTCGATTTGACCACTGCGAATGAGTGCTCTTTTCCCGAGATCAAATCGCATGGCTAAAATATGAAGCGCAATCTCAGTTGGTTCGCCAACAGCCGTCCACATGTTTCTTTCATGGTGTATGGTAGAAAGATTGCAAAGTGAAAGAGCTGACAAAAATGTCTGCAGCGAGGTATTCTCGATAATTGAATCGTTTGAATTCCAATCATTGTCATTAAGCTGCACAACTCCACTTGTAGGGTCAAAAGGATCGGTAACTTGATACACTGTCAATGTGCCAGCACCTGGGACCCATGCCGAGCGAGCTATCATTTTTCCTTGAGTCAGAGTGCCAGTTTTGTCGGAACAAATGTTTGTGACACCACCAACAGCTTCAAGGCATTGGAGCTTTCGAACAACAACGTTGCCTTTCGCCATTGCTTTGGTTCCGACAGACATGGTAATGGTAAGCACTGCAATCAACGACTCTGGGATGACGGCAACGGCAACGCAGATACCATAGATGAGAACCTCACCCTGCACATCCCAAAGGTTGACTGAAAACACAATAATCGCCAATAAAATGGCTAGGGCGAAGAGTAACAAGGCGAACTTGCTCAACTTCACCTGCAAAGGCGTTCCCACCAAACCCAATATGTTCATTATGGGGGACTTAACACGGTGAAATACCCTGGCAAAGGCATTTGAGCCGCCCTCTTCGTTCTGATCCTGCAAAAGTTGCGCGATCTTTCCAACCTCAGTATTCATTCCCGTCGCTATGACAATTCCCAAGGCACGACCTTGCGTGGTACTGCAGCCCGAGTATGCCATATTGCTTCTATCGCCGATTGGAATATTGCTCTGCGATTTAAGCGTCACGTATGGTGTCTTGAGCACAGGAAGAGATTCGCCGGTAAGTAGAGCCTCGTCCATGGAGGCATTCATACCATCGAAGAGTCGTAGGTCTGCGGGAACGATGTCACCTACTGAAAGGCTAACAACATCTCCCACGACCAGAGTCTCGGCTTTAACGGGCGTGATTCGACTCTCTCGAATGACTTTGCATTCTGGGGCAGACAAGCAACTGAGGGAAAGGATCGTTCGTTCTGCACGATAGTCTTGGAAGAACCTTCGCAGGAGCTATTAGCTGTAGATAAACTAAGTTCTCAAGTCACAATAACTTACCCGACAATGATGTTTAATAGAATCACTGCGGTGATAACTCCGCCTTCAATGTAATCATCAATCCCGAAGGACAACCCCATTGTCAGTAGTAGAACCTTTTCACCACTTGTTAGTTCTGAAGAGCCTCCTCCTCAACCTCCTTGTCGTGCCAAATTTTTCTCGGCACCTAAAGCTAACTCACTATAGTAAGACTATTGGACACTTGTCTTAGTAATATCCCCCAGACGGAGATGCCCTTGATTTCGCGAACGGTATTCGGGCCATCTCTTTCGAGGCGCAGTTGCGCCTCACCGTTGGACAGTCCATTGCTAAATAGAAATCAGTATACAAGAAATAGTAGGGTGTCATAGGCTAGTGAAATGGAACTCACTGTAGATCGGTATTGAGAAGTGAAACGATTCGGGAAGGGTCTAAAATATGGGCTTGTTGGATATCGTATTCTCTGGGCTCAAAGAGGCTGACAGAGACAGACTGGGCAGTATCGGTAGATGACTGATCATCCGTGGTCGGCAGTTGAGGTTTCTCACATGGGTCACACAGCTCATGTCCTACACTAGGGTGGGCTGGATTCAAATTGGGTAAGGGCTCCGTATAAGGACATATAGGAGGTTCAGTCGATTCCTCGACGGCATCCAGGGAAGTATCTATGCCCATTCAAAAGGTATAGTGTGAAAGGAAGGTGAGGAAGATGAAAGAATATCCACTACCTAGTTGATCTAGCTAAGATACCCTGATCACAAGCAAAAGAAAGGAAGGACCTTCTGAAGCAGGAGAAAAAAGAAAAAGAAAAAAAGTTTAATGAAAGCTTCACAGAATGCCGTAGCACTAGAAATACTTATACGGCACCATGCGGATATTCGCGTCTCGCTTCATATGTTCCCAAAAGAGGGGCATGAGGGGAAAGTCTTGTCACTTCCTTGGAGCTGCATGGTTATTGGGGGAACTGTGCTTGGCTGATCTGATCTGGTCGATAGCTTGCGACAACACTTGATTCACCGGCTGTTAGGAGTCTTGGATTCTACGCTGATTGGACCCCGCGATTCCTGGGCAAAGCCATGGAAGTAGGTGCGTCTTAATCCCTGCGACGTCTCATCGTGGGCTTGATCGGTCAAAGGCGAATAGATCAAGTTGGTGATTTTATTGCTTCGATTCGATTCGTGCACTTGCGATGTTGAATCATCAACTAAAACCAGTTTTGGCTTCGTGTTTTGTGAATGGTAGAAGAAATCCATGGTTCCGGCAAGTCCATGACTGCGTGCGCGACGCATCGCCTCTTGCCCAATCTTGCAATGCCACATTCCAAGACTTCGGGCTGTGTCGGGTGTAGAAGAACAATACTGACAGAATATTAGCTGCTTTCTAGGATTTTGCATATGATGTATCTAATTAATCCTCATCATGATCATCCTCAGACAAACTTTGTTGGGCTTTTCATGAAAAGAGTCAATGTTATGCTGCCCAGGTGGTATGAGTATCTTGAAATATAGCAAAGATCAGGTAAACACAAGCCCGACTACATAATAATCCACATTCTTTCCAAATGTACTATATTCCTTTCTATCGTGAGACTTCTTTCATGCTTGATTGTTATTATATCTCTAAATGTGTCTTGTAGACATCGGCTCCTACAAGGCCATGGACCAATCAGCGACCGGCCCGCATTGCTCCTAAAAAAAACTCACTTTGAGCTTGCGTTGATCTGCAAGAACATCTCTCTACCTTCCTTCTTCACCAACGATCCCTTTTCGCCCATCCCTTGTGCTCAATATGGTCGGCCCTACAGCTTCCTTGTCGAATCTGCACCGAGCAGATGGATCTGCCTCCTACAAATGCCCAGTCACAGGATACGATGTGCTTGGTGCTGTAAATGCGCCCATCGAGTTACCAGCCCGAAAGGACGCCCTCAAGCCAGAAGATGCCACCATTGAAGTGTTTGTCAAGCCTGGGCAGGCTACAGCAGGAGTTGGGGAGCGATATGTGGAGAGAATCCTGCGCACAATGCTCGAGAAAGTAATTCTCGGACGGGAGAAGGGACTCCCACGTCGGGGAGTTGTCGTCACATTAGCAGCTGTTGGAGGCTCGGCTCCAGAACGCGGTGATTCCGTGAGTCTTGTTATGAATCTCATTTTAATAAATCAGCGAAGCTAACATATCTAGTATATCACCATCCTCCCAGCTCTCCTCCACGCCTCATTGCTCGCCTTAATCTCCGCCGCCGTTCCCTTGTCCATGACCTTCGCTACAACGTTGCTCGGTGTGACCCGTTCTGGTCAAATCATTCGCGACCCATCACCAGCTGCTGCAAAAACTGTCGCATCTATTCATGCCCTCACCTTCTCTTCGAAGGGGCATCTCTTGTTAAGTGAGAGTCAGGGTCGCTTTGATTTTGAGACATGGGAATTGGTGCGGCAAGAAGCTGCTTCTATCTGCCGCGCAGTCGCGACCACCGGTTCTGACGGTGACACCGCCATGGGTGAGGGAGCCGATGGTGCCCACGTGGATGCGTTTGTTCGTGAAACTGTGGAGGACAGCCTTCACCGAGATTACACCTGGAAACTCGAATCGGCCTAAGAGCAACCTATAACAACGCTATGGGGCTCGTACCCAAGTGGGGTTGGCTTGTCACCAACAAAGCATGACCCGCTATTACTAAAGGTCCTTTGGCCTTCATCCATCGCCGCAGGCGCCCTGTCCTTTGATCACGGGTTCTCTTATCTACTCCAATCATACGAACCAGCAGTGTAAAACAGCTTTGTGGTCTGCGTTGTACACCCGAGCCATCACATGACCAACGCAACATGTGTGCAACATCCTCCTTCTTCATTGCACCCCTGGACTCATCTGCTGTCGTGTCCCCTTTGGTTTCCATCGTGTTCCTGAGCTGGACTTGGTCCGAGTCGCACTGGACGTCAACTATATCTTAAGTGGAGGCTTGGTTGGCTCAATTCGACTGTGAACAGGACAGACCGATATGCGGACTTAATTGCACCGGATCCGATGCGAGGGAAGAGCCTAAGATCCTTAACCCCGTCACCTATCACTAGCTGGCCTGACTAGTTACGCAACTAGTGTACAAAGACTCAAATCACATACATTTTTGGCTCCTTAAACAGAATCCCTCTAGCGTGCTTTTTGTCAGCCTTGCCAATTGGTCAGCCATTCCTCCGAATTATGGCTTGGACCTCATCTTTGCATCTTTTCGATCAAATAATCAAGCCTCGTTTGAAAATGGCAGTCTTAGAATAGAAAAAAAAAAGCAAACAAAAAAGTAATAATAGAATGATGCTGCTTTCCCCTCATTTCTTCCACGTATTGTGACCATTCTTACTATTCTACTATAGGAATGTAAACGTCACAGTTGGCCAAGATGGGACGGCGAGTCCACATGAGGAACCGGAGGACTAGCGAAGACTAATGTAATACTTGTAGAATGTGATGATGTTAAAAAAAGATCCCCAGAGTAAGAATATTTTCATTGAACAAACATCACCCAATCTGCCGGAAGACAAGATTATTGCACCATCTTCGATCCATCTTTGATCCGCATCATAGCGGTCTGGCGTGTCTCCATTCCTCGGGGTTTCATCCTCCGTACAAACTTGGAGAACTGAATTATTTCAGTCTCTTTTTTGAATGGGGACACGTTCTTAATTCTCTCACTTTCCAGACCCTTCCCTACTGCCACTGGTATGACCCCAGTGTCAGTTTCAAGCCTAATCCCCACCGACCGGGGCCGCCCCAAACCCTGGAGTTGATCCGAGCGCCAAATCCCTGCCGGCAGATCGCAAAGAACGGGGATAGAAGACGGTAGAATCAAGGATCAAATCAAACCGACCCCGAACTCTCGATTAGGACATAGCAATCGCAGAAAGAAAAAAAAGGGCGCTATCCCATGCACTATTGGGAACAGGTTCTACCGCTGCCTTGATTGATAGCGCTGCACCCGCTGTTTAAAACTCCGTTACATCCGAACCCCGGCTTTCGCGTATCTGCGACATTGGCACTTTTTTTTTGACTCTCTTTTTTTTCTATCATCCTCATCGCTAGTGGAATCCTGCCGAGGGCCAATCCTACCTGCCCATGGCGTCGCCCGGTAATGATTCATCCCGATCTGACATGCCCCCATCCTCCACATCCGCGTCATTGCGTTCTTCGTCTCACGCATCTCCGTCTCCAACTGCCAACGCCCCACCTCCCCCATCCGCATCAACCGTCGGCGCGGCGCTCCTCCGCGACTATGCCCTCCATATAGAACCCTCCCAGACACACAACGAAATCCATCAGCACGAACCCACCCCACGAGTTCCTAGCAGCGACGCGCTGCCTCCCCACAAGATCGACTCGACACATGAGGAGGCCGGTAGGTCGCTGCCCTCAGCTTTGCGCCGATTTCGTCAGAAATCAATCTCCGGTCATCGTCCGCAGAAGGCGCTCTCCACCGATTGCATCCCCCGCCAAACCATAATGAAGGCCTTAGCCTCGAGGACAGCCCTGTCCAACACAACCTCCACTTCTCCCCCGAATAACCAAAATTCACCATTGACGAGCAACTGGTCAGGCCTGGTTGCTAACAATAGCAATAATGCCGTCCAAAATTCACCGGCCGCGGAGGAGCGAGAACGTCGGTGTAGCAATGCGTCATCACAGCGATTATCGGCGGCACTCTCTAGTTTGCAAATAAATAATTATCTGGACCGATCGCCCGCTACGGCGCGGTTGATGATGCAGTCACCATGTTATTTCCATCAGCGATTCGATGACGCTGTCAATATCAAGAAGGTTCTCGAGGAGATTGCTGATGACGAGTGGCTGTCACATTCACGATTAGTACAAACCGCAACGGGAGTTCGAGAAGTATCCAAACAATTACAGCGACGGCCGATCAAGCGCGCAGTACGCAACGTCATGATTGTCACCAAGGCTCGAGATAACAGCCTGGTACATTTGACACGCGAGCTCGCAGAGTGGCTCCTCTCAACCCCACGCTACGGAAGTGACCTAGGAGTCAATGTGTATGTTGATGCGAAGTTGCGGAATTCCAAACGGTTCGACACACCGGGCCTTCTCCAAAAGGAACCACGGTTCGCTCAGATGTTACAATTTTGGACCCCTGATATGTGTTGGACGTCACCGGATAAATTCGACCTTGTACTGACGCTGGGTGGTGACGGTACGGTCCTTTTCACTTCCTGGCTGTTCCAGCGTGTTGTACCGCCGGTGTTTTGTTTCTCATTGGGGAGTCTTGGATTCCTTACCAACTTCGAGTTTTCCGAATACAAATCACATCTCAATGCCGTCATGGGTGATGTGGGTATGCGTGTCAATTTGCGTATGCGATTCACTTGTACTGTGTTCCGGAAAGATCGGAGCAAAGGTGCGGAGGCTGGAGCAGTCGAGGAGGGCGAGCAGTTCGAAGTTTTGAACGAAGTTGTTATCGATCGAGGGCCGTCGCCCTATGTGTCCAATCTGGAATTATATGCCGATAACGAGTTGTTGACCGTGGTTCAAGCGGATGGCTGTATCTTCTCTACACCCACTGGTTCGTTCCATCCCTGATTGAAATCTGATCCATGTTTCGTACTTTTCATGCTGACTTTAATCTATCCAGGCTCAACGGCTTATTCTTTGTCCGCTGGCGGCTCCCTCATGCACCCTTCCATTCCCGGAATTCTCCTCACTCCGATCTGCCCTCACACACTCTCTTTCCGTCCGATGGTTCTATCAGACTCTCATCTCCTCCGTATCGCGGTTCCTAATGCTTCGCGGTCAACTGCCTACTGCTCCTTCGACGGCAAAGGTCGCGTCGAGCTTCGTCAAGGCGATTATGTCACCGTCGAAGCCAGTCAGTACCCTTTCCCTACCGTTGTCTCTGACAGCGGTGAATGGTTCACCAGTGTCCAGCGAGCTTTACGTTGGAACACTCGCGGTGCTGTACAAAAAAGCTGGGACAGTGGCGCCGATGGCGACCCCGACCTCAACGGGGACGCTGAAGACGAACAATGGGACATCGATACAGACACCGGGCTCGGTGGCACAGATAGTGGCATCGGGCCTAGTGAAGATGGCGATGCCTTCTCTCCAAATCCTATGCGGCGACAGATGAGCTTGCTCAATATGTGACCGCCGCCTCCTCCCATCTACCCTGCTTAATCCTTTTACCCTTTCTCACTTCTGTTTTCATGACCATATATATACCTTCCCATCGTTTCGTCATTGGCGTTTTGGCGATATCTCCCAGATCCCCGCTGCATTCTCCCAAGAATATTCAACGGATAGATTCATGATGTCTTTTTTTTTTCTCCCTTTTTCCCTACCTTCTCATTTCTTGGGTTACTATTTCCGGTTTAGACAGTTCAGCGGTCGCTACATTATAGTTTCCACCACACTTCTTGGTCGAACCCCTTCTTTCGCCAAGCACTACATGCATGGTCTATGAGAGGGGTTCTTTGGCTCGTATACATACAGTCTCTACATCAATTGATACTGGCATTTCGGTTCCAGGTTGGAAAGTACTGGATTTTGGACAGCCAATTTGTGTTTCTGATATGCACGTCTTCCCCATACTATATTCAACAATATAACCTGGGCATCATCAAGAATGACCCTACATGAAACTCCTGGACAAGCGACTGTTAATAGTAGACATCTGCATTTATTGTTCTCAATCAAGGTTCCAACTTCCAAACTCGGAATCTGATGAATTGAGGTTCCATCCGAGGCCTGATAAATTCTCCATGTAACCTCGCCTACAAATGATTAGGTTCGCAGATCGACATCTGCACTGAAACCACAACGTTTCGCTTTTATTAAGCGTCAAAGCCACAATCCCCACTATAATAGACAGGCCATATAACCCAGGATGTATCCAAACCTATATAACAACCTACAAAACCTCCCCTCTAGTAGAAAAGAAAAAAAGCAAACCAAAAGCCAATCTATCCAATCGAACAAGACCCGATATTCAAGATGAAAACCTCTACTTCCTCTCTCCTCCGAAGCACCTTACTCGCTTCAATCTTCCAAGCCTCCGAAGCCCTAGTCGGTCTATCATGGAGCGTATCCGACGTCCCAACAACCGGCCTAAAAGACATAACCTTCCCCATCTCAATGCCTAATGCCCCCCACGTCTCAGGCTTCTACTTCGCCCAACAATTCAACTTCGTCGGCGAATCCGACGTAGGCTACACAGGTCTCCAACCACGCGAAGACTCAGGCTCTTCATCCGTCGTCCACGCCGCCTTCTCAAGCTTCATAAACGGCACTACATCCGACGATAGCAACTGCAGTAATGGCGCAGATGGAGGCGCCGGCGTAAGCTGTGCCGTCGATGTAGATGCCACATATGCCGATGGATATAATCTTGTCATCAAGAATACTGCCGGTACTACTTGGACCGGAACACTGGTTGATGCTGTTTCGGGAACAGAGACGCATATTGGTTCTTATACTTTGCCTGATGGGGCGGGGGGAATTGAAGGCTCGCAGGTCGGCTTTGTGGAATATTATCCTTGGAACTCGGCTGCTAGTCATTCTTGTAGTGATTTGCCGAAGACGGAGGTTACGTTTGGAAATCCTACTACTTCGGCTGGGAACTCGGGGAGTGTGGATAAGCCTTATGAGTATGGGGATTGTGTTGGGACGGCTGGGTTTGAGACTGTTCAGACTGATGGTGGGTATCAGGTTACTGTTGGGTTTTAGATCTTTCTGTACTTTTGTGTGTTTTTCGATTGTTATTATTTTCTTGAGCTTTGTAAACTCAATACATGTTCGATATCATAAATTGGAGCTTCAGCTAAATTGGTTTACCCCTATGTACCCACTGCTAGTATATTAAAGGCGACATGCTTCAAGTTCTCCACTGTATAGTATCACGCACCCCGTATTAAGATCCACAGATTTGGATCTAGTTTCCAATTCTTATTACATACTGAACTTGTGTAACCGCTTATTTCTAGCTAGTATTGATCTCAATCCTATCGTTTATTTGCTTTTCTAATGAAGATATGTTCAGTGGCTAGATGATGGCTATCAGATAAACGAACCTGCATGATGACTGCGACATAATACCTAAACAGTGACATCGACTCTCGTAGTATCTTCCTAGTAAAGTTTCCAGGTTTCAATCTAAAGAACGCTCAGACGCGCATTGTCGCTTCGCCAGGATTCCTGGTCCCTGCGCCGATTCCCCGCAATGCCGATCTTAGGTTTCATAGGAGCTTTAAGCGACTGACTGACTTTCTTTGTAGTGGAGTCGTACCTGTCTAGAGCTTACGCAGTACATAGTTCATTAGCAATTACAGCGCCAGGGGTTTCAAATAATCCCCTGCCAAGCTTCTCGCTTCCAAGGCTGCACTACAAGTCCAAAACATGTCCGCATTCCGTATGGAAATAATCTTCATGAAATCAATTTACATCATGCTATCTTATACATCGAACCCGAACTTTTCATCGGAAAGAGACAAGGACATAAGAATGCCTTTATCTTGCTCCCTATCCTTCATTATAAATCTCAATCGTATCACGCGTAACACGTAAAATTAGGTAGGTAGGGGAGGGGTCATAAAGTATATCCCCACCAACACCTGGACCTATCCCAATTACCAGTCGCAGCTATCAGCCAAGAGCTTAGCCAATTTCTCGAGGTGTTTCTTGTCTTCGTCATCAAATCCAGAGGGCAGTGCGCAGTCAATATCAATAATAGCAACAGTCTAACCTCCAGTTAGCAGTTTGTTCAATCTATAAACTCATATATATTCGAGAGCAATAACTCACCTCTCCCCTGACTATGATAGGAACGACTATCTCACTACGACTATCCGCGTCGCATGCAATGTGGCCTGGGAACTCGAGGACATCCGGTACGACAATTGTTTTCTGGCTTGCAGCTGCTGTGCCGCAGACGCCCTTGCCGAAGCGGATCTGCTGGCAAGCGGGTTTACCGTGGAAGGGACCCAGGAGTAGAAGTTGGTTTTCGGGGGATGCGTATGTGGTGGAGATGATTACGCCGGAGACGCCCTCGGCGCTTGGGAGTGGCGGGGAGGAAATGGGTGAGGCGAGGGTAGGGAATTTGTCATCGCGAATGTAGAAGCCGGCCCAGTTGACGGCGGAGGAAGGGGAGGGAAGGGCGGAGTATGCGTGCCAAAGGAGAGAGGAGACGTTGGAGAAGTTGCTGAGGAATCAAAATCGGGTTAGTCACTGAAGCTCTGGAAGTGGCGACATTGTGATGTTGACGGCGGAAGAGTTGAAGCATGTGAAATGCATGGCCAAAGATGAGGAGGATGAAGTATTTACCTGACCTGTTTTGGTGAATGTTAGCTGTTTGATTCTTCAATTGTGGTTGCGACAGGAATTTTTGTCGCAATTTGCGATCTGCGATTGTGCACGATCGCGAGATGACTTACCCAATTGCGTTGTCCGCTAAGAAGACCCTCTGCTTGCATGAGCACCTGCTCATATACATCGGCCTTAGAGGCACCGGGCATAAAGTAGGAAGAATCGGCGTGAGGCTAGAAATGAATTGTTAGCTTCGATTCTAGGTTTAGTGTCAAGACCTGCAGCGATCAACGGGGATCTGGAGGGGGCCAAAACTGGAGATCGATCGGCGGGGGCGCGAACATACCATGATTGATGTGTATAGATGAGTAGAAAGAAAGAGAACAAGAGAGAAAAAAATATGTCCAGGTAAAAAGGAAGAGAGATCAGAGAAAATTGAAGAACAGAGCAGACCGAAGGTGCCAGAGAGATTGTGGTGGGGAAACCGTGGGTCGGACAAGCTCCGCCCAAGGGACAAGGAACAAAAGGGACCGTGCAGCGCTTGGTTGCGCCATTATCACTTCCCTTTGTTTGTGCTCGACCAGAGTGTTTTTTTTCCTTGTTTGAGGCAATTCGACTTTGTTTTTCTTTGTTTTTGTTCTCTTTCAACGCAATCAAGACTCGATTGTCAAGAATATCTCAATGTTGAAAGTCTCAAGAGCCAAGTCATCTATCTGGTGTGTGTCCATTGACCAAACCATGTACCATATAACCTGTGAGGTTGATGTCTGCCAGTTTCCAGATTTTTGCATTTTTTTTAATGCTTTCTTTTTAATATATTTGCTTTTTGACTGGCTCGGTAAACCCTTTGAGGTCGGTATTATGCTCAAATTGGTAGACTGCGACCGCTGCTTTGCAAGGTCGAGTAAAGCGCCTGCCCATTGACTGCTGGCAAATAGGAATTCTCTTGATCGCTGCTCTCAAACATGTCTGATTTAGACTGAGGTCCTGATATCGATGACCGACGAACAACCTGGTGATGGCCATCCTCTAGATCGCTCTCGTCGGAGAGATCAATGCGAACCTCATGCAGCTCAGGCAGGGGAATGAACGACTGGATCCGAGAACCGAAAAATCGGTATGACTGATGCTTTTGTACCAAACCATGGATGATTTGAAGAACCTCGAGTTGTAAAATTGATCGTGCTCGTGAGATTGATCGCTTCTTGCTCTGTAGAGCTCTCGAGGCTCGCCCTGGTTGGTGTCGCCCAAAGTCCAAGACTCGTGTACCTTTGATCAAACCATCTGCATAGTTGGTATTGTAAAATTGCTCTTGAACGTGAATTTCATCAGGAGTAATGCGAACCACGGGTCCTGTTCCAATATATCAGTCACGACTCCTTCCCAGCAGTAAAAACACTGATGCTCGATTCCTACCGTATATTTGATGCATGCGATCAATTTCTTCCTCAAATGACCCAGCCCCCCATGCCGTAAAGTATATCTCGTATAATCCAGTAATAGATGCGACTTTTGGTCCGGGAAATTTGCTGAGAGGGTGAAAGTGAAGTCGGTAGACAGTCATCACTAGGCCGTAGGCCAGCATGCTGCCTAAGAAGAAACAGGCGATCATTTTGTTGCTGAAATTGATTTGATTGAGTCAGTGATATTTCTCTCATGCGATCTCTCACAAAGAGACCGATATAATTGCATTCGTCCCGATAGGTGTGCTATCAGGAACACATAGAAATCATAGTCTCCCAGATGAGGTTCGACCTGCTATCACTCACTTTTTTATCTTGCCGATTAAGCTTGGTCCGCTTGGATTCACTGGATGAATTCGTTTTGAAAAGAAGAGTGTGGTGATACTGCATTAACATCCAAGCGCAAGGTGTCAAAGCCCGCACGGCCTCAGATCGAAGTAATGCACGAGTTGACCAAACGAGAGAAATCAAGACGAGAAAAGAAAATGTAAAAAGAAAAGGAGTCAAATCACAATTCCCCTACGGAGTTAATTCTACCAGTCGCTTCTTTTTCTCATCTTTCAAGACCCCTAGGGCTGTCCCACAGAGCTACGGGGCACCCGCAAAGAATCGTGCCACGATCAACACTCTAGAATGTGCTTATTGGTGGATCCACTCGTCATACCGCTTCTCTCACGAACCCTCGTGCATCAACCCAAAAGATTTAGTCCACCTAGTTTCTGTTCGGGCTCCAGCCCCCCCTGATTTCTACGATCTTGGGCAGTGGCACTGGACACCCACGGGGGCTAAGCGGGGTCCACACTTCGGGATCGAGGCCCCCCTTCAGTGGTTCCAATGGGCCCAGGTTGATCCCGCTAAAGCGCAAACTTAGACCGCTACTTGTCCCTATACAACTGGCAAGACAGAGGATCCTTACCGACTTTGTGATTTATCATTAGCGTTCACCGGGCCCATGCAGTGCCTTGAAAGTACCCGGACGTCATTCTGCATTTGGTTTGGTGTGGTGGATGATTTTTATTTCGGGCACGGAACTCGGGGTTTTATGGGGTGATGGGGGTTTTTTTTCGATCGGCCCCATTCTTGAAGCAATCTGACCTGGACTTGGATGATTTTACTCCGTAGATTGATTACTATCAGGTTTGATTGATTCCTGTTCAGTTTTAAGGGGCCATGCTTTTGCTCTGACTGATGGCGAATGTTAGGGGCCCCGTTCGCCATCAAGCCTTACCTAAATGGGCGTTTGTGAGATCAGCATTTTGGGGTTACACAATCTGCATCGTAGGGGACTGGCGAATCTTGGGGCTTCGATATGAGATCAGATTGATGCACAACGTCAGACTTTTGGTTTGTCTACACAGTGTAAGAACTCATGCATTGTCGTGGTTCATGCAACCTGTGTATGGGGTAGAACTTTCTCATTGCTCGAACATTAGATACTTGGGTGTTACTGGCTCGTGAATTCTTGATGATGTATTCGGGCTGCCTCTCACATGTGTATTTGGCTAGTTATGTGGTTCATGTCACGGTATACACGCCAATGCTGGGCAGTCTCTGGCCTCGTATCCCCAGAGACTCAGATGGACCACTCGAGGTTCACGTTGTATAAGATAATACTAGTAGTAGAGGAAATATGGCAATATTTGTTGAAATTGAACATTTTCTCGGCAAAATCTCGGTCGGTTCGTTATCGCTGCTATGCATAAATGTAGCGGAGACTCGTGTGTTCTAATGCCAATTAAAGACGGGTGCATGAGATCTTGGTAGATCAAGAATAGAGAGCCAATCATTTCATTTTCGAGCAGACTATGTAGTCTACCCACCTCTGTGTGCTCTTTTTTATCAAGATTGGCATCATGGATGGTATCACTGCATGCCTTGATACTCCAATTGGTCTGGATATTCCCAATTTGAAGTATAAGACCAGTGATACACGAATGCAGTCGCTGGGTATTTGACTCTTCTCATGCTAATAAATACAATTAATCTGTTTTAATACCGTCCAAAAATATCCGATTCAGCCGGGCGGGGGATCAACACAGTTCTTTGCTCATGAATCTGCTGTCAGCTCTTTTTGTGATTAAAAGCGTGGCACATTTCATCATAGCGCTTTGAAGTGATTTCTCTGGGATGTCGATCCTCTAGGGTTGTGTCTCTATTTGACAGAATAATGCAGTGCGCTTGAACAATGAACTCACCGAAGCACGATATTCGTCACTGTGACTCTTATCTATAAACAACACGTAACGGAAAATTAAATTTGCCTCTCAAAAGTCTTACGCAATAGGCAATGCAAAATTATAGATTCTATTCATCACTATGCCCTTGAACAATTATAATTTCTCAGATAAGAGACTCTTAGATTGACGGCATAAATATAGTACAGTGCCAAATTATCTTAATATAATGCTAGCAACGATTATACAAATGTCTTCTGCTCTCAGCTTCCCTTCTTATCCACCTCCGCACCAGCAGGGCGAGCTCCATCCTGGGCTGTATTATGCCCTTTCAGAAAGCTTACTGCGCCAGGTCCAGTGAAGTTTTTCTTTCCAGTCGTAACCCATGTAACAAGACTGATAAGGGCAATGACACCAATAGCGGCACTCGTATAATTCATCGACTCATGGGTAACGGGGTATGTGCTGGGGAAGTTGAAAGTGATAGAGGCAAAAAGTAGAAATAGAAGACCGATAATGTTCAACCCAACTGATACTGGAGTAGAGAAGGCATATGGGCCTTCCATTTTGGTAACATGGCCGGAGAAATACCCGAGCAATCTGCTACCGAGAGCCATAGCATATGATAGATCTAGAAAAACTTTGTTAGCGCCTTTTGGTTTCATATTTGTCTGAGTATATTGAGTATGAAGCTTACAAAATCCTTCTGTTGAGATAGAAATGACTGTTTCGAATCCAGTTGTTGTGCCGAACTCAATAGCATCGAGAGCTAGTTGCACAACAAGGGTAAGTAGAACGGCGTTCACTGGGACCTGGGTCTTGGCGTTGACTTTACTGAAGACCTTTGAGAAAGGCAATCCGTTGTCGCGCGCAAATGCATAGACGGAGCGAGATCCCTCAGCAAGAATGTTGTTTCCTGCAACCATGACAATAACTGTGATCAAACTGGTCAAGATACAGGTTGCAGCCTTATTACCCGTTGAGTCGTAGATGATCTGGATAACAGGAACGCCAGTGCTAGTGTTGGCAGCCGCCGAGATGTCACCAATGCAAAAACAAAGGGTGAGAAGGAAGATAAATCCAGTCACTCCTCCAAGGATAACCGCGAGGACGATAGCCTTGGGGGCTTCTTTTGATGCAGACTTCATTTCCTCTGTCATATGCGAGGGGGCATCATAACAGCACATTCCAAAGCAGGCCTGCAGGATACCAATGATTGCAGCCATCCCAGTACCCCAGCCCGTTGTGTTTTCGAATTCGGAGAATACAAATGAGGCTGACTGTTTGTGGTCGTTCATTGCGAGGAGCGTGACGGTGATGACGACGAAGGAGCCGACATTCCATATGAGGATAAATTTCGAGATGCGGTGGAGTAAATGGGATCCCCAGAGATTGACAGCAGCTGAGACGAAGGCAACTAGGTAAGCCACGAGAACTGTCTGCCATCTTTCAATGGTATACTCGGGGAACACCAGGTTTGCCATTCCCAACACGAAGTTTGACGCAATTGAATTGTTTGTCGCACCCATTGCAAGCACGCCTATAATTTTTTGTTCTTTAGTATCTCCATTTATAATATAAAGCGGGATCGTGAGCCATACCGATAATCATGAACCACCCAGCGATGTATGATAAGCCCCGAGCAATCTTCGGAGGTGCCAGAGCAGCAACCCAAGAGTACTGGCCACCTGCAACAGGGTACATGGAACACATTTCTGCCATGGGGATAGCGACCGCGAGGGTTAAAAGACTGACACCAATAAAACTGAATATCATCACTGGTGGGCCACCCGAGTTGACGCCAACAATGAAAACACCACTAAGAGCCGTCCATCTTTGATCCTTATAAGCTTTGTTTTGTCGTGAGCCAGGGGGTGACCAATACTCACGATGTCACAACACTAAAACTAAAACCAATCATACTAAGCAGACCAAAAGAACGTTTGAGCTCTGGATATAACCGTTAGTATGTGCTTTGAAATCCCTACACCAGTACTAGGTACTAGTCGCTGAGAATTTGACCTACCCTGTTCATAACCCAGATTCTCCAAACGAACATCTTCACTAGTGGTGCCGTTAAACACCTGTGTTTCGTCTTCTTTCAACATGGTGGCTAGGAGAAGCTTTCGAATCTTCTGAAAGCAGACAATATTTCACTCCACGAATGCGAATTTCTTCCTTTAAGAAGATACGAGGCATCGGAGTACTTCCTACCTCCCCCCATACTTTCCAGAGACCCCATGGAGAACCCAAAGACACGATAAGATAGATGGTCACGCCGGTTACCTGATTGAGAAGGTCTCAGCGATGCCAGTGGAGCCGGTCTCCCAATTCCGGGCGGAGAGTGAACTTTCTCGGCTTCTTTTGCGGGGGCATTTCAAGACCGGCGGCTGGGCGCCGATAAGCTGTGGTTGTAGGAACTGTCATTTGTCTGGCATTTTTGTGGTTCCAAAGCGAACATCGATATTCGTGGGGTAGATATGTCTTCGATATTGTGTAATAAGAAAGCCACAGGCCCTGACAGGTCTTGGTATCTCCTCTAATTGCCTTTGCTGATTTAGCTTCGGCTCAACGGCAAATATAGGAGGGCGCCACCGCAAGGGCCGTAAGCTTTTACGATGAAATTTCTTTCATTTGCCTATCATGATCTGATATGTCTTTGGAGGGAGGATTTCCATGCCCTTTTATCGTTTGCTGTAGACATGACTTTCGAAATTGGTTCTCAAATCTAGGTACTTATTGTACTCTCTGATAAGCCCAATCGGATGGTCTCTAGCGCTGACCCGAGTGGCTAGTAAAGTTATTACTTGATTAGGAGATAGGGTATAGGGCTTCGGAAGACCAAGCTTCCGGCCAAGATTAAAGTGGTGTTTCTTCGTTGCTAGCACCTAAGGGAGGATTTTGTATTGCACAGGGCCGTGGCGAATTATCATAGCTTGAATCTAATACCTTGCATATGATTGACAACCTTAAAGTATAGAAATCCATCACTTTCAACATGCTAGATTCCATGGCCATTGTGGTGCTTTTACTCAAATAAAACACAAAATTCAACTTTGTATACACATAGACCCCTGGATTCTCGGAACATACTGGGAATTAATCCCTACGTAGTGTAGTAAAATGTTGTGGCTTAGTAGCCAAAAGTCATCGCTCGGCAATTGTAGTTTCCACGGGTGGTCCGATAAAATGCCCCCGCTAGGCCCAGCGATCCAGTGCTGTAAGTAAATCTGATACTTCATTAGAGAATAAAAGATAAAACCTAACGGAATACGGATACGCAAGCTTCCGTCGGCTTGGACAGGACATTAGATAAAACTGGGGTCCCCAGGTGCCACTTAGAATTACTCACACACTATTCCACCTCAAAATCACATTCGAAAGTCAAATATTTCCTATATTCCATTAATGACAGAACAAATCCTTTCCGGCAAAACAGCCGTTGTCACGGGCGGTGCTAGTGGTCTTGGAAAAGCGATTGCAGCCAAATACCTTGAAGCCGGCGCCAACGTGGTCATCTGCGACATCCATGATGAACGTCTACAACAGACTTCAACCGAACTATCACCTAAGGGAACACTGAAGGCAATCAAAACCAATATCGCCGACCAAAATGAGGTGGAGAGTCTATTCGAACAGATAATCAAGGCATTCGGCAAGATCGACATCCTCGTGAACAATGCCGGTATCATGGATAAATTCGATCCAGTCGGCGATCTGGACCCTGAACTTTGGAATCGAGTAATGGCTATTAATCTTACGGCGCCGTTTCTTCTGAGTAAACTGGCGGTTGGCAATATGTTGGCACAGTCAGTGCCAGATGGTCGAATTATCAATATTGTCTCTGTGGCTGGACAAACAGGTTGGGCTGCTGGTATGTTAAACTCTGTTTTTTTAGTCTTTGGGTGGATTCTGATATTTTGTAGGTGCCGCTTATACTGCTAGCAAGCATGGTGTTGTTGGATTGACTAAGAATACTGCTGCCTTCTATGGTACGAAGGGCATTCGCTGCAATGCTCTGATGATGGGTGGAATGCACACGAATATTTTCGAGTCGATGCAATCAGGTGTGAATGTGGAGGGCTTCCAAAAGTCTGCAGCTATTAGGGAAGCAATCGGTGTTCCGTTGTGTGAAGTGGATACTGCTGCTGAGTTATGTTTGAACTTGAGTATTGGGAAGGGATTCGGTATTGTCAATGGAGCTTGCATTGCTGCTGACAATGGCTGGACCTCTATTGTTTAAGCATATGGTTTTCCTTTAGTTTCTTTTACCCTTCGAGGTTACATCAAGCGGCTTTGCTTTGCGTGTGATGAGGTCTATTGCAGTTGACAAAGTTTGTGATAATGAAAACCATTTTTTTAGGATTATGTGCACACTCTTATTTTGTAGCAGTTGTTCTTTTCACGGCCTGTAGAAAAATCAATCACTTCAACGACTTGGATCCAATGGATTCGCCTTTGGAGGTGCCTCGTCCCATTTTTCGAACCCCTCAGGAATATCAACAATCGCATGCTTCGTCCAAATATGCACAATACTTTTCATCATTTCTTTATCTAAACCCTCAAGACACCCGCCCTTAACATTGGTTGAAGAAGTTGGCTTAGGCTGTTCCCCAGGTATCGGTATCGCATCATGGAAACGATGGAGTATCCTCGCTCCACAACTTTTGCAAAAGATACATTCCATCTGTCTTCCTCTGATTGTCGTACGGGTATAGCTACCGACAAGACCGGCTGCTGATGTTGGAAGGTCAAAATAGGGGAAGACTGCGGTGATACCAAACGCGGCGGAGCTTTGGTGGCGGCATTCTGTACAGTGGCAGGCATAGAGCGCGAGAGGCTTGTCGGTTGGAGTAGTAAACTCGACCTTGGAGCACTGGCAGCGGCCCTTCATTCCCATTGTGGTGGTGGAAGGTAGATCTGTAGGTGTTGATTCAAGGCTGCGGGGTGAGGGGTCGGCGGGTGTTGTACAGACAAGGAATAAGCTCTGAGCGGAGTGATCTACCCGATGTAACAAAGGATTCGGTCTGCTTAGGTAGGATTGAAAAAGTTGCGGTATTTTGAAAGAGCATATACTAAATTTGCTTGTCCGTCACAAATCGCATCTGATAATTCCAGAAAACGCGCAGTTTTCATCGTGATAAATTCGTTCTTTACCACCATCAACCAAGTCGTTGCATTTGTAGATGCTGCCTCCCATATCCGCCACATAGGCATACCTCTCAACTGTGTCGACCACGAGGCCAATAGAGTCATAGAAGTTGCGAGCTAAATTCTATGCTTTCTTGGATCCCAAGAGGGCGGGTCAAGTGAATCAAACTTTAACTCATTCAGAGAGTTTCCAAAAGGTAGTTCGCCTCGATCCGTCCAGTAGAGGATATCTATTTCATCATCAAAGTAGAGATCTGGAGCCTCCGCCAATTTCTGCGAGAGAATATTGGCTCTTCCTGAAGCATGCCAATATGAGAGCAAAACAATTTACCCTGGTTCCCTCTCGCGCATTGCCATAGCACGGCACTGTTCTCCTTTAGATGCCTCTTCCTATCGGCACCCAGATCGGAAGGTGCCTTATGAGCCGCTTCGGAAAGCAACTATTCACGCCATGTCGGAACAGGGGATCGAATACAGCCTTCTTAGTGAGAACCCAATCTCCTGGGCTGATGAACAGGACCCGTTCGGACATGTTACTGCTCAGACCTACGTGCATTACGCTGGAATCTGCTTCTTACGCCTCCTTGAGTCGTTCCAATATCAACTGAGGTGAATTCTCCGAATTCATGTCAGGTCGTGGGATCGGTCTTATGACGAACCAATACACAACGAAGATCAAAAGGGTTGTCAAGTACCCTGACCTGGTAAGTCCATACTACTTTTTTCGTTCAAGATTTAAATAAAGCTAGCAACAAGGCTTTGGTACTACCAAAGCTCATTGCCGGTGTTCGTATTTTGGATGTACGCTCAGATAGAATTCAATTTGTTTATTCAATTTGGTCGGTGGCTCAGAACGCACTGACTGCTGAGTTGAGTAGCTGGATTTTATGTTTTGATCATAAAATGAAGCGACTCGTCAACCTTCCAGAGGAAGACGGCGTGTACCAGGCCCTGCATGCCTCCCTTATAGAGCGTGCAGCGGAGTCGCGCCACACCCTCGAGGAATGGGAGAAAAGGCAAGCACAAAATGCGGAGGATAAGATAGCAAAGGTTTGAATTTGTCTGCTTTATGATATTTTAGAGTCGTACAGTATAGTATTTCATTTAAATGCTGTTTATTGAGGTTGTATGTTTTTCTTCGGGCGTATCTTAGTACTATTAGGTTAAATATTACCGGAACCTTGGAAACCATACAGTGTTGTAGTACTTTGAATACGGACCATATAATTATATCAACTACTTAACCTTGGAAAGTTACCTATAGCTCCTGATAGAAGTAGGATTATCCTTGTTAATCTCCAATAACCGTTGACGGAGCTGGTACGAGCCTCAATGTAGCGTTCTGAAGGAAGCTAGGGACATCAGGTTCGGGATGTGCTCACGGGTGACCACCCTACCTATCAAAGACGCCCGGGCGTACACATGTAAGCGTAGCGGTGTGCACGGTTCGTTCCAGCATAGGAACTACCAGCATAATACCAATCACGCATCCAGTGCTAGCGAGGGGAGGGCACCTGGCGGTATTATCAGATAGGTATAAAAGTGTTTTTTCTTGACTACTATCTACGGTTAATTTAGCATACATGTATGTCCCGTACTACTGCTGGAAAGACGTCTCTCCCTATTACAATATTTACTATCCCGTGTACTATATAAACTTTGACTTACTAGAGACCTGAGTGCCACCCCAGTGGCTGCTATACGGCCACGTTACACAACATGCTGCTAAGGCCGTCAAAAGATGGTGACTGAAAGAAGTTGCCAAAATATGTGGAGAAAGCAGCTTTACGCTATCTTTTCTGGAAGCTAGACTGTATTGGAACCACACTGTTGGATATTTCTACGTCATGAAGCCGTAAGCACTGATATCCTAGGATGTTCGATTATAATCGCCTACATCAGACAGCATCGAATGAGGCTTTATCAATATTTACGACTCTTAATCGCCATGTACACTAGACTGACATAAAATAAATGATAGCAAATCAAGATGGTTACTTCCAATATTTTCAGCAAACCGAGAGTAAATAAGGTTGACCGAAAAAAGGTTCCATAATTGTACTATCAGTCGTCCAAATCTTCCCATTCATCACCCTCTCCTTCTTTATCTTTGTAGACATGCTCAAAGAATCTAGTCAAGGCGTCCAAGAAATCCACCGATCGGGGGACATGATGCGTACCAAAGAAATAATGCAAAGCGGAGTCTGTGCAATAATCCAGTAATCGTAAAGACTGACACTCATCAATCGTTGTATCTATAGTGCCAATGACGTGCAGAGTTGGTGTCTCAATCTTTGGATTATATAATGGCTTGTAGAGAGAATGCTCCAAAGGACACCCACAAAATGAGACGACGAAGTCCAAGGATGGATGACTTGCCTGTGAAAGGGACTGTTAGTTATGGTCTTTATTAGGGCCATCTTCAGGGGCTCACATTGAAACGCAAACTACCGATAGATCTTCGTTTCTCCAGCAGAGACGCTACCGTAGCGGCGATAATAGCTCCCGAAGAGAAGCCCATAATACCAATGAACGGACCGTGGGAATCAAGAAAGCGTAGAATGTAATCAATAGTGGTCTCAAGACCTCGGATGCGTTCTAATTCAACATCACCGTATCCCCATGTCCTCTTAAGGGCCTTTTCATCAGGAGAAGTATCAGGGTTATCGGGTAGCAAACCTGATGGATAATAGAACCGGACCTCATTGAATGGACTTTGGCTCGTATCTTTGCATGTAGAATTGAGCAACATGCTTCTGACACTAGGTTGTAGAAACTCGGTCTTGCACCGAAAGAATTGACCGGATTGGCCTTCTCCTGGAATTAATCCTTGTTAATCTCTTTCCACAATATATAATATAGGACACAGGAACAAGAGATATACCGTGTAGCATCAAAATCTTTGCGCATGATGGTGATGGGGATCGTGGTTCAAGTTCTTTCGAGGCCATTTTTACTGACCAGGAAGGGTGACACAATGATGACCTTTCATGGGTCTTTCAAGTTATCGTGGCCGTCATATCCATCAACTTGAAAGCACCTACCAGCGGTTGTGTGGGAAATCTACGATTATATATGTGATATTTATTATATCATTATTTACTCTTATGACGCAGCACTTGAGGTACTTATGTTATGGAGGGTAACACAAACACATGCATATGCTGGCATACTAGTATTGGCACGTATTGGCAGAACTAGGATTAAAATACCCATTTTCCTTAACGACCTAGGATACTGCAGACAACATAGCGTCATAGAACTGACAAAACAGTAAAGTCAGCCCATGTTGATAACTTTTTTCGGTCTTATGCATTATCCTAGCATCTGCAGCATCGTCAAAGCAGCAACCCTCCCTGCCTCCAAGATTAGCAACTATCGTCCTGATTAGTACCATTTAACTCTGAGGAAAAATTATGGGGCTAAGATAATATATCTTCTTGGAAGACGATCCTCATGAGCGAGCTCGGAGCAAGGATCTAAACTACCCACAGTTAGATACTATCACACTCTACGTCAGCTGGTACATGCAAGCATCCAAGTCCAACGAGAAACAAAAAGAAAAACATAAAAAAAAACCATCTTTGCAAATCAACATCTCCTTCCTCATTCGTATTAGCACCGAATCACCGAATAATCATACAAACCATTTTTCATTGCGCATCAACTGGCATGCAGTCTCCATGCAGATGCAACTTCTTCCGAAAACGCAAGAATTTCGACTTCGACAACGATTTTGTCAGTCCATCTGCCTGAAAGCGGCAGTTTTTTTCGAGCTCGGCCAAGTCGTCGGGGACGTGGTCTAGGAACATTGTGTTGTGCTTCGAGGTAAATGGGGGTTTGCGGTCTCCTGCTCCGTCCATGGCCGCGGCTCGATGAAGTAGATCATACATTTTCCACGCCAGAAATTAAGCGAAAATTGATTTGCGACTCATCTTTGAAGTCCATGATGTATCTGGCGCCTGCTTTGACTCATGATATACAGTTTCAAACAACACCTTCTCGATACTCAGTGCATCACAGAACAGTAGAGCTGGGCTATATGTAGACATCCCCATCTCACGTATCAGCAATCGAAGGAGTATGGCTTTTGATGGATGGCAACTATCTTTGCGTCAATACGTAACTAGACGACAGATAGGAAAGAGGTAGAGTGCTAGTCTTCGATATTTATAAGGGAAATTTAGTATTCGGGGGTTTCGTAAAGTAAAATCGTACAAGATTTGTCGAATAGTGTACACAATGGTTTCCGTAGGCGATGCCGGGTAAGCCTGAAGTATCAGACGGGGAAATAGGCCTGTATTGGAATAATAGTCAGAAAAACCCACAGAAAAACATCATTATCTTTCCCTGGTCAGCGCGGGAAGTCAGAATCGTAGAACGTAGCAGCCATATGATCAAAAGAGTGTTAGAAGTGTGTTATTCAGAACTAATCGTAACGCGATGCTATATAGCCGGAAGAAACAAAAGGGGATAATAACTCCGCGACCGTAAGGGTCATTCCTAACAGGACGGAGGCTTTCCCCACTACAATGTATAGAACAGTGTCCATTGCTTCGACGAATAAGAAGCTGACATGATAACCAAGATCTACCAACTGAAATCAATCATCCTTCGCCAAAAGGGCATCGACATCCTCTTTCTTCCTATTAATCCAGGTATCCCGGCCTCTCCTGCCCATTATGCACCTCCCCCCTCGCCTCAGCATTAGCCACAAAACTATTCTACCTTGAAATCCCCTCAAAATGAAACCCCATCCGCTGCGCCGCAGCCAAATATGCCTTATTAGGCGGATCAGCAAGCCACTGTATCCTTCTAAGTCCTAGCCCACCTCTTTCTAGGCCAGCAAGGGCATAGTACCGGAGCAATGGCCCGATTGCATGGTAGTTACGTGTGTTTGCTGGTATGGCGGTAAAATAATAATATAGCCTACTTCTGCTGACAGGCGGGTTGGGGATGCGTGCCTTCATGTATGAGACTATTCCTGCGAGAGAGCCTTCGGGATCTGCGGTTTAGGTTGGTTGTTTATTGTCTATTATGGCGAAGCAGGCGACGGAGTGCTGTGATGTGAATTTGTTTAGAAAGGTCGTGAAGTCTTTTTCTGTGGTAAGGGGGCCGATGGACATGTAGCTGTCTAGTTTTGGGTTGTTTACGGGGCCCTGGAAATACCTACGGCTCGGAGTGTTTGGTTGGCTAGATGGGATTTTGGATGTCAGTGGGTTCTAAAGGTTTAAGTTTTGGTTATTGGTTCGTCACGAGGCTGGGCTGGGCTCAGTTGGATGTAGTTTGATTTAGATATGTACGGGTGGTTTGGTTGGCGTACTTCGAACGGTGTTAGTTTGACCGCGTCATCCGAGAGGTTTGAGTGGGGTGGCATGGTTCCAAGGCTGAAGCTGTGATGGTGGGAGGGACAGGGATTCAAGTTTAAGTCGGAGCGGGGGTGAATAGGTGAATCCTGTAGGGGAGTGGTAGGTGACTTGCAGGATCGGCTTGGCCCGTATGCCGTATGCAGGGGCGTTGCTGGGTAACCTTGTGAAGGTTGCACTACTCAGGGCTGGATGAAACTATTGATCTACGTACGTCTATACTTGATGGAGATTATTTTCAAATGGTGTCATATCTTAAACTTTTACTTTCTATCAGCCTGGAATATACATATGAGTCAAAAAGTTATGTTGAGGTCTAGGTGGACGGCATACCTAAAACGGACTTGAAGTTCTCAGATGAGATCATCTGCAAGTATCCGTATATAGATGCATGGAAAATCGCGCAAAGAGAGATCCAAGCTGCATGACCTCATCTCCACACTTGTACTAAGCACTGGCATTAATGGAGGGGCTATGAAGGTTTCAGCTGGTATGTGAATCATCATTGCCCTGCCCTGCACTGCACTGCACTGTGGTGGAGTGGAGAGAAGCTTGGGTAATATGAATATATGCAGCGCTAGTCTAGATCCTATCTTGATTAACTTCTGCAGACTTTAAACATGGGGGAAAGTAGGGACAATCCCGATCAGATCCAACGGCTAGGATCAGCTTACTGCAACCCAAAAGCCAAATAGGGGGGAAGATGCATGACAGTTTCATTCCAGTAACTTGAACTTGGACGACCACCTTCTGACTCACGGTCTTTAGTCAGAGCATTTGAAAGCAGGCGCAGGTGAAGGTGTGAGTGGGGAAAGAAGAATAGAGGGAAAGCCATCAATCGCAATCCAGTATACTCCAGTGCATAGTTCCGAGACACCCACCACAGCGAGCAGCTGTGCGGATAATAGAGGCGCAATTAGTGACATTCGTCATGGATCCCAGCCAATCAGGGGGGATGTTTTCTCCCTCCTCGCTCGTAGATAGGTGTCGGCTGATCAAAAGGAACGGTTGAAGCGCTGGAAGCACGAATAATGATTAGGGGTGTTGCAGAGGACATGGACCAGGTTCATGTATGAGTGGAGACTGCTTTTAAATCACATATGGGATATGTATAGTGGTATAGGATAATTCTTTTGGTTTATTTTGTTTTCCATGTTGAAAAGAGATCATGGAGGGTGGGGAGAAACATCATTCCTGTGAGTGTTATCACAGGATGTCCTGGTTGACCTTTTGGTCGCATCGGGTCGCCGCCTACGCATGACCCCCCCGAGGGCGATCAACCGCGTCTGGAGGATTTTCCAACCCCATTACCAACTCTAGCTCAGCCACTCATTTTCAACCAGGGACTAGCGTGATGAAAATCCCCTTATCACCTTTTAGTTCAGAGTGATAGTGTCTCTGCCTTGGAACAAGCGTTGTGATGGTGCTGATGGTCACCGGGCGCTGCCGCGTGGAGAGAGACGTACCTGGGTTTCACAGGTGCCTGGCGGGTTACTAGTACTAGTTCTTTGTGGGAGGTGAAATAGGTAGATATTAGTAGAATTTAGATATATATAGTAATGATTGAATAAGATATATGATCCTTCTTTCCCTCTTCCCCTTCTTTCTGATTTCGAGAATGTTAGTACCCTACTAGTATTCACCACGACAATACTGTACAAGCCCCTCTTTTCTGCCTTCCCTCTCTACCCGTTGTGGGTCATTTGCAATTCGGCCCAAAAGATCCGGAGGATTACACGGCATATGCTGTACAGCGACAAATCGGTGGGGGAATCGGGTGCCTGGTGGATCACGACGGAGACTGTGAAGTTCTCGGTTTCGTGATAGGTTTTCTTTTTCTCAAGGGTAAGTAAAGATCTAGACTTTTTTTTCTTTCATTTTTTTTTCTGTGCGTCGTCAGGAACCGACGCCATCCGGGTGAAAACCCACGGAATCCAAGGCGGGAGTGGATCTGTATGGCCAAGATGGATCCATCTGTGTGTATAGAAAACGGGAAAATGACGACAGGGGCGGAACGATGGTGGAGATTCAAGGCTTGCCCCGGAGTTATTACTAGTAATACTGGGAAATTATGGGCATGAGAACCACGCACTAACAAAAACACTGCAGATGCGCAGGAAACATTTAAAATCCTCTTCGTCCCGTACCTCTTCTTCCGAATCCTCCTATTACCCCTCCTCGCTTAGCAGTTCATACTCCGGTAAGTCGCAATTGAAGAATGCATATCCCAGGTGGTCGACGCGTGTGTGTTGTACATTCCAGTCCCCATTTCTGATCTTCAACCTATTAGCTTTTTCCTCTCCTCATTCTCCCCTCTCACCGCGCGACCATCTTGAAACTCTGATTTCGAGACACGGTTACCCCACTCCGGTCTCCCTGTCCTCCCTACGGGAATTGACCTCCACAACATCAACTTATAATCCCCCCTCCCCACGCCGACGCTACTGCCCAGTTTCCCCTCCCACAACCGCCTTCGACTCCCTCTCTCTATCGTCTTCCACCACTCGCCCCATCCCAATCCCCAGAAGGGCCGTGCGAATCTACGACGAAGATCTACCCGTCACCCCACTAACGGGCAGATTCGACAACGACGACTACTTCGACGATTGGGAACGTGCTTCCTTATCCGCAAAGTCAAGGCACATTTTGCCCAATCCAAGACCCGGCCGCCGTGGCCCTTACTCAAGCATGCGCTCTGATAACTCCCCCTTCTACTCGCCTGTTGCTTCGCCTATCATGTCTCCCCGACGACCCAGCTCGCCTCAACCATCTCGCTCCTCACGCACCCAGACTCCATCAAAGTCAGTGCCGGGCTTTCATCTCGGATCTCTCCCCCGCTTCCATCCCGCAGTCTATCAATCCGGTTCTCCCAGCCATGCTGTGCCTACTCAACCGCCTTCTCCACGACAATCCCGTCAGCTCACCTACCGTACTACATCGGGCTCGCGTGATGCGAAATGGCAGTACCGCGATCTTCTGGATGGTCCCAACCCAAGTCCCTCTGCGCCGCGGCTAGACCCACTCCTTAGCCCAGGCCCTGTTACTCCATTGGCCCTTGAATCTGGTGATTACCTTGCTGCGGGCTCGGCTAGCACGGAACGTGCTCGAGACAGTGCTTCTCAGCATCTAGCCCCTCCTCCAGATCTGATGGAGAAGCTGATCGCTCGAGAGAATGAAAAGGCTTGTCAGAAGAGCCGCAAATCTGCCAAGGGCCGATGACGGGAGTGGCTTACGCAAATCACCTCGCATGGACATTACGCATGAAGACCGTTGAGTCCGTGCCGTGATACTTCAAATTTAACTTTATTTTTTGTATACATCTTTTTGTTTGTTTTCATTGTGAATTCTTGGTGGCTTTATTCTTCATTTGTTGACAGAATGACACTTGTTCATGAGTTTTGATTGTTTCATCTTTTTATCTGGTGTTTCGGGCATGAAAACAGAGAGCCTTGAGAACTACAGCATCAGGCCATGCATGGAGCTTTATTTTTCTTTTTGTGGCATTCTTTTTTGTATGGGGAAGCTTTCATACTCCAGACTGTCGCCTCTTTGCATTACGATATCATGTATCTATACCCCATTAGTCTATATTCAGTCTACTCGTCAATATCATTACGATTTATCCAAGCTTATCTTGAGATATTCTTTCAGAAACGTCTAAATCCTCGAGGCATATGCAAGAGACATCTGGCGTATGTAGCTGAGTGCCCGGATAGATAGGAGCTCTGGGGATCTACCCTATATCCCGTCCTTCTACAAATGCTGCGAGGGCTTTCTATAAGGAATAAGATCTTTAACTGTGCACATTACACACATGAATGGAAAGTTGCCTAATTAGGCAAGGACGTGCTTGCATTGTATGGGAAAGAGTGAGAGAAGGCAGGAACCTTTGGAAGGCAGCACTCGCTTCTCTTAGTGAAAGCTGCCATCTTCCACGGCTATTTAATCTCACTTCTCTCCTTCCATCTTTCTTTCTTCTTCAACATCCCTGCCCCTCATCTTCTTCCTTCCACGCCATCTCACATCCTCATCTTCACCCACCCTATCACATCCCCTCATCAGACATCATCTGTCACTTCCAACACGAAGCCACACACGCGAGACACGAGATGCGTCCCACTAACCACACTTCTCTTAGGATCGAGCTGACGTTTTTCTCGATGACTGCTTCCACAATCTGTTGCTTACGAACATTTGAGAGCTTCCATTAACTTTCAAATAGGTTTTGAGTCACTGATCTAGACAGTTTCTTCTTCTTCTTCTTCTTCTTCTTCTTCTTCTTCTTCTTCTTCTTCTTCTTCTTCTTTTTTCTTGTTGCTGTACGTCTACTGCTGTACGCTGGCTGCTGTTGGCAGAAGTAGTTCGAGATTGCTCGTTCAATCTCTGTTTGAACTATTCGGAGTTCAATCATTCTGTTTGTTTGGAGGAGAAGTGCCCAAGATCGGTTTGAGAATGGTGACTTTCCTTCGAGGGCTTGTGGGCCAATACCTGCTGGAAATACCCCTCAGGCTAGCTACCCTTTGACGGATGGGGATTGGGACTATTTCATTTGAGGGCTGATGGCATTAGTTCTAGGTATGGTATATATTTCCTTGAGGGCTGACCTCTCCTCTAAGGACAGGTGGGATCGCAATGAACGGTTGTTTCCATTTGAAAGCTGGTAAGTCTTTTGATTTCCTTCCATGTTTGCCACCAGTCATCGAGAAAAACGTCCTGCGTTCGGTCCAAGTATCATGATATCCAAAGTTCCAAAGGTAAGTCTCAATCAGATTGCCCCTCAAGTTAAATTGAGAGGCCTTTGCTGATATTAGTGTCAGTGGCGAGCAATCCTCAGCTGAAGGGTAAAGAGGGCCTGTAGAGTAAAGACATCTAGAGTAAGGTCATGCAATGAGGCAATTCGGTCAGGCAGTTAGTCATTTGGTTCCAAGGTTGGGAAGTCTGTACTTTAACCATGAAAATCAATAAAACTGGACATCCATCTACATCTACAAAAAAAGACAAACTTTCTTTCAGCAAGGATAGTAAAGCTCAAAACATTAGGACCCGAGGTCAACTCTTCCAAATATCCTCACGAGGAAAAATCAAGATAAGTCCGATATTGGAAAGATACGACCGTGGTTAGTGGGTCTCAACATAATTGGATAAGTTTCTGGTTTCTACATAGTAATGCTTCCGAGAAGTGTCTCTGTCGAATGAGATGCAACCAGTTATATTCCGAGATCTTTATGGAGACTCCTGTGTTACCAGAGGTCGACTCTGCTGGGAGGTAGGTGTACGCAACAGGGCTGCAAATCATTTAATTTGAACGGCGAGAATTCTCATTTCGCTCACTTTTCCATTAGTCCGTGTGTAAATTTTATTCTATTTGACCCTTATCTATGCCATCTGCGCTCGAGGTGTCAAATGTTCCTGATCGTAACATGTGGGTGGCCGCATTCGGCCAGTAGAACGACTGTTTATGGAATGCCGAGATCCCATCACATTTTGTGAGAGAAGCAGTCCCGGGGAGCCCTGCCGGTTCTTAGTGGGCCTAAGGGTCAAATCTAGGCTGCTATCTGGGGCCCACACAAGGTCCAGCGTGGTACCTACGGTGTATACTGACAAAAAAGAATCGCTGCTAGCCAATTATCTATTTCCGGTCACACCAAGATATTCTTGCGCAATCAATCTCTGCTTCCCTATCCTAGTCATTCTTCTTACAACACTTCAAACCTGGCGACCCAGGGAGAGAATATTATTACTATTATTCTAGCCCCTTAGCACCAGGCGCACTATCTCTCGTAAGAGAGAACCTTGGAACCAGAACACGGTTTAAAGTTTGGTGATCTCAAGCCCCGTGGTGCCTGAGGCAAACACAAGGACGATCGCCGTTTCAGATCCAACGCTCCGAGCCCTTCAAACACCTATACATCTTCAAATTAGACAAATTGGTCGGAACGGCCATGGCCGTCGCACGCTCAATGCGACGTACAAGCCCTACCAGCATTTTGCTGGCCGCTCTACTCGCATTCGGCCTCATCTGTTTCCTTCTAACGCCTTCCACACCCTCCGCATCGACAGCAGCGACATCGCAACAAAGACAACAAAACGCTGCCGAGCACCCTCTCTCCCCTCCAACGAAACCCTTCCTCAAATCTCAACCTATCCGGAGCGACGGCTACAAAGCAGCTCCCCCAGTCGTCCACTATAACCTCAACAACCTCACCAGCACAAGCACTTCAGCTGCAAACGCCGAGCGGGTCCTAATCCTCACCCCGCTAGCACGCTTTTACCAAGGATACTGGGATAATCTGGAAAAACTAAACTATCCCCACGAATTAATTTCGCTGGGCTTTATTATTCCCAAGACAAAAGATGGTAATACCGCTGTCGCGGCGTTGGAGAAAGCAATCGCGCGCACACAGTCTGGACCCATAGACGATCGGTTCGCGAGCATTTCCATTCTTCGACAGGACTTTGAACCATCTCTCAACTCACAAGATGAGAAGGTTCGACATAAAATGTCTTCGCAAAAAGAACGCCGCGAATCCATGAGTCGCGCGCGTAATAGTCTTGTCTTCACTACCCTTGGGCCTAGCACATCGTGGGTCCTCTGGCTAGATGCTGATATCATCGAGACACCTCCGACTTTGATCCAGGATCTAACACACCACGATGAACCGGTTATTGTGCCAAATTGCTTTCAGAGATATTATGATTCCAGTTCGAGGAAATGGGATATTCGACCCTATGACTATAACTCGTGGATTGATGGTGAGAAGGCACAAGAGCTAGCGGCTAATATGGATGCGGATGAGATATTACTGGAGGGATATGCTGAGATGCCGACCTATCGCACGCTGATGGCTTATTTGCCTGATTTCAATGATTTGGATCCTCAGCGTATGGTTGCATTGGATGGTGTGGGTGGTACCGCTTTAATGGTGAAGGCGGATGTGCATCGTGATGGTGCGATGTTTCCTGCTTTTCCATTCTTTCACCTTGTTGAAACGGAGGGATTTGCGAAGATGGCCCGACGACTTGGGTATTCCGTTTTTGGACTACCAGACTATTTTGTATGTGGATCCTATCGTTCTATTGTTTTACTGTCAAGCTTCTTTTTTACTAACCAGAATTGGTAGGTCTACCATTATAATGAGTAATCGAGCAACGTTGGCTTTTCTTATTTGAAAACGCAAGCTCGATTCAAATTCATGCATGGATTGCGCGCTGTGCGCCGGTCACGTCTCTTCCCTTCCCTTCTGTCCCATTACAATGGGTACTGGCACATTGTCAGGTTCAACATGCTTTCGGCGTCTTAATACTTATCGGGTCTTTATTCTGTTTACTTGGAGGCTTTTTTCTATGCCTTTTCTTCTCATTTGATGCGGCCTTTGACTGAATTGAAATTATATCATGTTGGTTGTGTGATGAAAATGACTGGTTTCTTCTTTCTCTGTAAGTCAAAAATCACTGGACAATCGGGAGGTATGGAGTAGTGGAATGGAGTTAGATCATGATTAAATTCATTGAAATTTTCTAGACATACAAATTCATAACTGTCTGACTGCTGGGTTTAATGGCTACTCATACACCCGTAAAGCCAATAACTCCATAACGTCTTTGAAACTCCAACAGTTATAGATAACACAATACGTTAGTAGAGTCTTTTATGGCAATTGAAGCTCTCTTTCTCAAGCTCAAGGTTAATCCCAAGAGATCCTATAAGAAGTTAGAAATGTCAATCCCAAGCTTTGCAGGGAAGAAGAAAATACTCACGCAAGCATAATTCCTGCTCCAACAGCAACGGCCAAAAACTGGGTAATCGTCTTGCGAATCTCAACTCCCTTGTTTGGCCCCGTTTCCAACAACTCGGGAATAACAGCAACAGTACCCACGTACAAGAATGTACCCGCGGTAAAAGGAAGCAACATATCACCCCAGGTAAGGCTAGTGCCCCAAATACCCGACACAGGCGCATCAACCATAGACCCATTCCCACCGAACTCCTGCACCGCAATACCAATGAACGTACCCAGGAACGCTCCAACAGCCGTAACAAACTGAGCACCCATAGCCTTGCGCTTAGAAAAGCCAGACTGGATAAGAAGCGCGAAGTCACCGACTTCATGGGGAATTTCATGAAAGAATACCGCAACGGTAGTAGTTGCACCGATAGTAGGCGAAGCATAGAAAGACGAAGAAAGAGCCAGGCCATCTGTGATGTTGTGTGTGAAGTCTGCGATCAGGTTGAGGTATCCTCCTAGCTTGACGCTGGGGTTAATTTCCTTTTCCTTGTTATCTGGGACAACGGATACCTCTGAAGAACTGGTAGTCGTTTTGCGCTGCTTTAGGGTATCGGCGTGACCTTCTGTCTTTGTCTCGGCACTTGTGGTTGAGCCGGTGGGTTCGTTGTCTGCGTGAGCGTGAGCGTGTCCGTGGGAATGGTCGTGGCCCTGGCCGCCTGTTGCGATACGGAGTGTTTTATCCATTGCGACGAATGTGAAGAAACCGACCATTATACCCAGACCAAGGAGGAGGTTCTTGTTCGGTTCAACCATTACGAAGCTGACGTGGTCGGGGGAATCTTCACCGAGGAAGATCTCAGGGAGAAGGTGGAAAAGCGTATCACCCAGTAATCCTCCGACGGCGAAAGCGACCATAACAGATAGAGAGGAGGGGTCGATGTTGGGAGGGCATAGTGCCAGAAGAAAGTCTATAATCGTCACGTTAGATAATCAAATATCCTATCCTTGACGTTTGAACGGAGTTCGTACTGGGTGGTCCGGAGATATACAGGGTTGCCAGGAGGGAGTTCACAGCCGGGCTTCCAGGGAAGAGAACAGCAAAGATCTGCGCAGTGAAACTGGCAGTCTCAGGTGCTGAAGCACGTTTATGTTCATTGAGAGATTCGACAAGGGGACAGCTCTAAAAGAAAGAGAAAAAGTTAGTTAGGAATGAGTTTGGACATCGGCGAATATTCCTGCGTACCTGGAGCTGTTCCTCGATTTCGCTGATGGATAAGTCCTCGGGGCGCACGTTAGCTGCGGCTAGTGCGGAGAATAAAAGACATCCTGCAGCTAGGGCGAAGCCCATGCTACGTGAGGGGAGGAATCTTGAAGCCATTGTTATGTGGGAAGGTGACGAGTTTCCCCTGGGAGACTTGGAAGGGTAGGAATCTAAACAAAGCGTGGGGCGGTATCTCTCCAGGTCGGTCATCCGAGCGCGGAGCAGGGTTTCCGCTGGTGGCCGCCGCGCTATAGAACGCCTACTATAGATGATGGTCTATATCAGGGTTTATTACCTCTTAGGATTAAATGCTTGTTCTCTTTTCACGATGGACATTGCAAATCTAGTCTTTGAGAATTGACAGTTGATTCCATAATTTACTTAATAAATCTATCTTGGAAAAATTGGTCGTTTGATTTGAGCCTTGGAAATCGGTCAAAAACATGGTATGTACTCATCCACAACTTGAACCTACTCCAAGTTGACTCCGAGTCCATCATGATGACACTACCTAAGTAGTAAAAAATCTCAAAACTTTGAACATTTTATTTCAAGACCTATTCATGCCCAGGGGGTATTTTTCTTGCTTCGAAAAACAAATATATTCATCTGACGCTATTTATATCCACATAAAATCATCAAACAATATTAAATTACCTCTGGGTGCTCATGGCGAGCCTTTCCTCCCTTGCGACCAGCCTCCTTTGCACGCGGGTCACCAGGCTTAAAGGAACCACTGGAACGTCGACCACCATGAGACGCTATTTCTCTCTGAACCCAAGACATTTAGCCCCTATCCAAAGCATGTAATACATATGCATTGCGCTTGACCTACCTGTTTTGCGGGCTCCATGGTGGCAAATCCACCGGAATGGCTGTGACTTGTTTGACCACCCTTGCGGGCAATCTCTTCAACCTCTTCGTGAGGGCGATTGGCAAAGTTGCCAGGATTAGGATTGGACGACATTATGCTCTTGCTTAAGCTATTGAGTTGTGACAGTTTAATGTGATTAAGTTGAAAGGAATAAGTTGATAAGCACGGGAAGACCATGGAGATGCACTCAAATTTATATGAGAATGTGGCGTGTTCGAGCAGAGCATTTTAAACTAAGTACAAATCTAGACTTCCTCAATCGCCTCTGATAGTTGGTCAATTTATTGCCGTGTATGTATTACTAGTAGGTTCTAGATTGAACGTGTGGCACCATCTTCATCGCCACCACCACCACTACCTTCATGCTTTTGGATATATTGACAATTAAAATGAGTCAGTCTCCATATAGGTCTGATGATTAACATTTAGACCAATAGAGGTTTTCGAAAAGCGATGTGATGATCAAGAAGGCTCCAAAGGCGTTAAGTAGGATATGTAATGAAGACACAATGCTGTCTACAGCATGCTCTAGATGTGAGCGAGACTCTATTCCTAATTTAGACTAGTTCACATGCACTTGGGTCTTCTCATTTCTGCCGTTATCTACCGCATTTACTCGAAACTGCGGACCTGAAGCAAACATGGCAAACATGCCAAAGCCGTGCAAACAAAAAAAGTTTCGATAACGATAATTCTGATCCACGCAATCGTCTTACAATTTCTATAAACAGACAATATGGGAAAGATTTTGCAAAAAAAGAAGAACCGTTCCGGCTTGTCCAAGGCTACGGCCAAGAACAACCGCCTCAAGAGCGGTAACAAGAAGATCAATGTGCTGGGTAACGCCATTATCGCTGAGAACTGGTATGTTATAATTGCGGCCGAGGAAAATAAACTCATATACAATAAGGACGCCATATTAACATGAAATCAAATATAGGAACAATGAACTCACCTTGACACAAAACTACAAGAACTTGGGTATTCTTCATAAACTCAACGCCCCCGCTGGTGGTCGCGAACGCCTGCCAGGAACCGAAAACGATGCCGAAGCATCGCACACCCTGCAGATCCGAGGCAGCGCAAAGGCCGATGCTCAGATTGATCTGGGCGAGATCCAGGTGGAGCGTGATCCCGAGACTGGAAAGATTCTGCGAGTGATTCGGGATGACGACGAAATCGAAGTTGCTGGCCACAAGCACCGACGCTCGAACCCGCTTAACGACCCGCTGAATGTTCTTGAAGCCCAGGAATTGCAGTCTCTGGGTCCTGCTTCCAAAGTTGTGAAGCAGTTAGAACGCCAGGCGGATCAGGAGGGTGCTGCTGATAAGGCCAAGAAGCCTCGGTACCAGAGCACGCGCGAGGGAGATTGGATCTCTCAGCTGATTGCGAAGCATGGGGACGATCTTACCGCTATGGTTAGAGATCGTAAGCTGAACCCCATGCAGCAGAGCGTGGGTGATCTGCGGAGGAGAATCAACAAGTGGAAGAAGTCTCAGGAGTAATGTAGATTCTTGCGTATTTCTCTGTCCAGCATTTGGGTATGGCGATCCGGGCGTTTTTATGGGAATAATCTTCTGTGCTTCAGAAAGAAAAAAGTGTTCGCGAGTGTCTAGTTCTTGAATCATGCATGTATATGAAAGATTTAGGATGAGTGTATAGTGGGCTCGTGTGGAGCGAAATATCATACTGAATTTGAATATCGTGACTACATTACAACATTGATTTGAATCGATTAATGACTAAGGGTTGAGTAGGTGACGGTGCTAGTTCCTGCTGGTGGAACATTCATGCGCTGGACAATTCGCACCCATCGACGACGTCGCCATTCTCCCACTCCGAATGAAGCAGGGGTTCCCTCTTCCCAATCCCGAGTGTTAGACTTGACCTGCTTATCTTTTGGCGGATTTTGGGCATGGCCTGTCTCAGGCTGAAGGTCCCCATATGCCATCGTGGGTATCTCCTCGTCTTCGACAGGCGACGATTCACCAGGCAGATCCCAAACCCAACCTCCTATCTCATCGATGATGGCATTGCCTTCTGGTGTAACACCTGGAACCTCAAACCCCACTCCTGTAATCATACGCTCAATCACCCACTCCCGACAATCCAGGTCAAGCTCCCACTTCTTGCTCTTCCATTTCCATCCAGATGGCGTACGGACATCGTCGAAGAAGCGGCACCCACGCGGCCGGTCACCCGCAATGCGAGATGGGGACAACGGATCATATGGTAGTGGACTGAAGAGAAAGTGCTCCCACTCTGAGTCCAATGTCCGTTCAGATACTCGATGTTGTACTTCAAAAACTTCGACCTCGCGTTCCTCCGGGTCGGTGTCCAAGGAGATATCTGCCAATTTCTCCATAGCAGATACAGCTGCCGTTGGTGTCGCGGGAATCGACTGTCCAAACAGCTCACGCTCATCGCCATCCCCAATAGGAGAATCGAGATCGGATAGGCCACCCACATCCTCCAACAAACCCTGGAAAAATTGTCGTACCTTTGGGTTATTCGATAAGATGGCTGCATTGCCACCAGCTAACAAAACTAGTCGGATTGGTAAAAGATGTGCTGATACAAAGAGAAGTGCAGCGGCAACTGTACCCGCTAGAAAGAGAGCCGAGGATAGTCTTTCATTCGAGAAATTGGTCAATGGCGCAATAGCAGAAACCGCCGCATCATGGACGTCAGAGAAATCTGCCATGCAGTTCTGTAGATCACGCATATTGCGGAAGAAGTCCTTGGAAGTTTCGGGGGCTGGCTTAATAGTTTTTGCTGGTGCGAGTGCTGGTCCATCATAGGAGTAATAAGGTGTCGTGCTAGAGGTAGATGTAGATGGTGGTGGAGGATGGCGAGTGATAAAGGCTGGCACCATAATGAAAAGTAAAAAGACAACTAATGGTAGTACCAGCAATAGGTGTGGATCCAAACATATGAATGAATATAAGAAGAGAAACGAAAGGGTATGGGTTGGTGTCTTCCAGCCCAATAGAGACTCTACCTGGGCCTGGAATAGGAATACCACACCGATTCTATACAAATTTTAGTTTGATGCGCGGCTTTTGATGACTGAATTTGATTTGAAATCTCATACCTTCCATTAAATCGGCGGAAATTGTTGGTCATTGCTGGAAGGCTAAAAGGTGGTTTCTTCGGGGAGTTCGCCATAGCAGTGTCCCCGTTGTTGGTTTCCATATCGTCATCGTCTGTGGGGATGACTTGTTGAAGGAGCCTGAGAATTTATGTCAGACATTTCGCTGTTTCGCTGGTGCCTTATAAAGCACTTACTTAGTAAATAACCGATCCTGAAGAGAGTTCTTTGACTGTGAAGAAGAGCGCGAATGCGCACTGTCGGGCGAACCTTGCCTTTGGCGCCTCGGTTTCAAAATGGAGAGGCCCGAAACAGGCTCATTGCGATTTGCCAGCGTTTCTGGCACTTGATCATCCATGCTGGGCATATATTGGCATAGCTTCCCCTCTATGAGTCATTAGGAGAGATAGGTAGCAAGGAAGGAAAAGAAAAGAAGGAAGCCTTGGAGTCTGCCGAGGGGAACCTCTATGGATGAAGCACATGCGAGAATTGCTAATACCACCCCTCAAATGGCTAAACCCACCCCTTCTAAGCCGCTTTGGGAAATTCTGCCGTATTTGTAATATGAGCCCTTAACAAGGCGGTGTAATTTAAAATGGGCGGTCAGGCGAGGTCCAGGCGGATCCCAAGCTTATGGGAGCAGCTAGGTGCCGTTGAAGATGCTGTAGATCGTGAGTTTTATGAGCAATGGTCCCAACAAGGCTCACAGCAGCCAGCAACTCAGCAATCGCGGAGGAGACCCGATACGTGTGGAAATTGGGGCGTGGAGGGGCATAAAAGGCCTGGATGTCCGCAGATCAACAGATTTGCCAGTTAATTCGACTGAAAATGCATTTTCCGGTGTTTTTAAAATCAGCCCCTGTTTCCTCTTTAGGTTAAGCTTGGAATGAGATAACTTGCTTGCATATTAAATGTCGTTAAATGTGTGGTAAAATGGAAGCTTTTTACGTGGAGATTTAATTTAATTCTGGACCGTATTCATGCTGCCGGCAGAAAATTGATGCCTTTGTGCCTCGTGGTATTACAAATACGGCGGTGAGCTTAGAAGGGGTGGGTTTAGCCATTTGAGGGGTGGTATTAGCAATTCTCGCACATGCAGCGTCAGCCTGCAAAGCCAGGCATCATTATGTCTTAGTTAACTTAACTATGGGTAATGTCAATACATAGGTACTGGCGTTGATCGGCATACCCACCCGCCAATTTCGCGTAGTTCTATGGCCCCCCCCCGGGCGTAAATACTGTCCGGTGTGGTATGTACCGTACAGACATCTCGCAATCAGGGGAAGTTCCCCAACACTAAAAAAGTTGATAGATTTGTTATTATTTCTCTCCTTATCATTTCATCTGTTTTCTTGGGATTTTTTTTTCTCGATCTTCAATCCCCCCCCAAAATAGATCAAGTATTCTTTGATGATTATCTCTTCTTGATCCCCTTCGTGGTGCTTTGTTGGTGGATCCTGATATCCTTTTTGTGACCGCCCTAGCACTTGCCCCAGCAACACGATCGAAAGCTACGCCAAAATTATTTCTCGGTGATTGGAAACCTCCCACTTCCAAGTGATTTCCCCTCCCTCTTACGCGGGACTTCGCAAACGGCCGACCATTATTTACACCCCGATATGGACCGGTAACCGCCATCAGACGAGTCGCGCGACGGTGCTCAAGGCTCTTTCTAGTGGGAATTCCCAAGCCCACTTCTCCTGAATGCCATTGCGACTAGTTCCTGGCATTTCTCCGTTTGGTCGGCCAAACGGATCGTCGAGTTAAGGGCTGGATCGCTTTGGAGCTCTGATTGGGAACAATGCCTGTCAAGCCATCCCAAACTTCGGGGAGGGGTCAAACCGGCTCCGTTAAATCTCGTTCATCCAATCTGTCTAGAAACGATGACTCGGGCTCTGGTGGTAAGCCTTGATTCATCTGAGAGATTCATCTGCCAATGGGATGAAAGCTAACAAGTTTTATTACAGCCGAAACTCCCGCTCGCCGACGTATTCAAAAGGCCGCCTCAACACACTTCCATATGAATTCCATGGCCAATCTCGATTCTCAATCCTCTAGGGGGGTTCCTGGTCCCCGCGCCGGAGAACCTAGTCGCAGGCGATTATCTATTCGAGGCAATGTCCCTCAGGGGCCGCGACCGCAGGATGCTTCGCGTTGGAGGTGGGTATTGTTGACTTGGCCCCCTGGTCGATGCTGGCTAGGTCCAGCTGGCGATCAATAGTTTCAGAGTTATAACTGATCACGATATTACAATAGCAAACCCTCTGGCGGCTACTTTAACTCCGAAACCTCATCGATCGACTCCACCAATGATTCTAAAGGTTACAATCTCCGATCCACAAGCGTTGGGAATCTGGCAAAGCAGGATACCAGCCAAACACCGCCAGACAACATGGAATTCCTGGCGCCGATCAATTTCGACGACTTCCACAACAGTATCATGGCTGAACCTAGCCTGAACCACTTCCCCATGCCCGGAAACGGAGGTCTTGGTTCCGAGAATAGAGACTCGGGCCTGTCAACCAACAGCTCCTGGACAAATCACAGTTACGATAGCAATATCTCAGATCGCACAAGGGGCGCATCTGCTCGCCGCAAGAGCGAGGTTTCACGATTCAACGGCCAGCACCCCACAAACTCTGGCTTGTCTGCAACCTCCGTCAACACTCGTTCACGTCGTCAAAGCCTCGCCCAACCATCCTCGAACAACAATGCCAATGTAAATGTCAATGCCAATATCATTGGTCCAAGTTCTGGCACGCGTGGTTCCCGCAAGTCAATCAGCTCTGGTGCCTTTGCCCCCACCAGTGCTTCAGCAAGGCGCGCTAGTTTAAGTGCTCGAAAAGTCAGTGCCGATCCAACGCGGACAGACTCGAACAACTTTCTTCGCCCAAGAGCTACGCAGCCTGACTCTAGTCGAGATGAGCCAAGAGTACCCTCCTCTGTGCGAAGTCTCAAGGCAAAGTCGTTCCAGCCTGGTGTCCGTGAACCGCGGGGAACTTATTTGACTACTTCGGGAACCACAGACGACAGTCGTTCTTCGTCAACAAATGCTATCCGTACGCCGATCAAAAACACGTCTGGAAATCCTTCCAATACAACACCTACCTCTTCATCTTCATCTTCCAAGCGTATGTCTGTCATGCCGCACGCAACGGGTCTAGGAGCCCGAACCATAAGCCCCACAGATGCACGGCGCATGAAGCGAATGTCAATTGCGCCTCCTGCGCCTCCCATGCCTCATACCCCTCCTACACAGACAGAGCCCCTTCCCATTCGGCCTCTATCCTCAACCCAATCCCCTTCTTTCCTACCAAGAAAAAGCGTCACCCCATCCTCTAACAGGACAACGCCAGATCCAAACCGCAAGTCGTACAGCTCCGGATTATCACTTTCATCAAACACTAGCTACAACTCCATACGGAATTCTAGCAGCTCCCTCCAACCGCGCCTTTCCCAGAATTTCTCCTCGTCACGACTGCCTACCCCCAAGCCGCGTAATGAGCAATCCGCGCCAAACACTGGAGAAGAAGTACCTCCAGTTCCCGCAATTCCTAAAGCCTATGAATCCCCGAAGGCTGAGCTGGATGCGCCGGTGTTCCCCGCGCCAAGAAAATCGAGCCTGCCGGTGGATATCAGCCAATTGAATATTGCGCGTGATTCCGATGCAGAAGCTCAAGGCCGACTCAGTACTACTGGTGATGATAGCAATAATGATTTAACGAATGGGCGGATAACAAAGACTCCTGAATCGAGAACCCGAACATCAACAGTATTGGGTCGCAAGGGCTTACAGCCTTTGAAGCTGCCACCTTTGAATCTTCTCCCTCTAGGAACTCCGATGACAACCAAAATCGAAGCCCTGCGAGACCGGGAAGCTGAGGAACGCAAGGCCTATACACCCTCCAACCAAGTGATGTCGAAGACACCCAGTACGCCAATGACCGCATCAAAGGCGTCATCTAACTTCTGGAACTACCACGACGACGATGATAGAGCTCCTGCTACACAGGCACGAAGCAGCACATCTCATTTTGCCATTAGCTCGAGCTCTACGGCGGCGGCACTGCGAGCAGCCAGCAGCACGAGTGCGTTTGAATCTTTTGATAGCACGTCCAATGGCAACAGGAATATCTCCCCCTATGCCTCATACACGCTACCCAAGAGTAGTAGTGAGTTCAATTCTCTGCGCCACCAGGCTAGTGGTGACTATTCCAACATCCGGACATCCCATTCGTACAAGTTGACAGGCCCACGACCTCAGACGCAAAGTGCAGTCTTCACACCTGCAGCCGAAAGACTAAGCCAAATTTCAACGCCTTCTGAGCCAGAAAGCACTACCGTACCGAATCCATCGTTGCGCGAGCGGTTGAACGTGGCACGGGTTCGCAGCAATTCCAAAATTGCTCATGCATCTGATGCAGATGTCGATCCAGCCAAATACAACCATATGCCCCCGCCCAAGCTCCCGGCATCTGCAACATGGAATAACTTGTCTTCTGTGACATCCACCACCCCTAACGTCAAGACATCATATCTCAAACCACGTCGTCAATCGTCAGTATCTAGCATTACAAAACAAGCTGCGGGTCGCAAACCCAGCGTCAGCAGTGAACAAAGTATCTCATTAGAGCCAACTCGCTCGAATGATTCTACTGCGACTGGGGATTCGTCGCAAACCCGTTCAAATAGTGCATATGTGTCTCCAGTTCACAAGATCATTAGTTCTGCTCGTTCCAGCGCCGCTGCTTCCTCTCGGTCAGCTGATTCCAGTGTGGATACGGATATAGTAGTTGCCGATGAGGAGATGCGAAGACTCGGTGCTAAACGGAAGGACTTCGAGACTGCTGCCAAGGCATTAGATGAATTGCGTCGTAAGGCAGGACCAAAGGACCGCGTGAGCCCCGCTTCGGCTCTCAAGATGGCCAATTTGAACATCTTTGAGCGCGGCGAGATTATCGACTACCGAGATATCTTTTTCTGCGGTACACAAAATGCCAAGAAGCATGTTGGTGACCTTCACTCAGGTGCTGCAAATTTTGGATATGATGACGACCGTGGTGATTATAACATTGTCATGGGCGACCACCTGGCATACCGGTACGAAGTTGTTGACATCCTTGGCAAAGGAAGTTTTGGACAAGTGGTGCGCTGTGTAGACCATAAGACTGGGGCTTTGGTCGCCGTGAAGATCATCCGAAATAAGAAACGATTCCACCAGCAGGCTCTGATTGAAGTCAATCTTCTGCGCAAATTGAAGGATTGGGATCCTGATCGCCGCCACAGTGTGGTAAACTTCGTCGAAAATTTCTATTTCCGCGGCCACCTCTGCATATCGACTGAACTCCTCGGAATTAATCTTTACGAGTTCATCAAGGCGCACGACTTCCGAGGCTTCTCTCTTAAGCTTATTCGACGATTTACCAAGCAAATGCTCAACAGTCTTACTCTCTTGCACGCTAAGAAGGTTATTCACTGTGACTTGAAACCTGAAAATATTCTTCTTGTCCACCCATTAAACTCCGAGATTCGTGTGATTGACTTTGGGTCCAGTTGCTTCGAAAACGAGAAAGTGTATACCTATATCCAAAGTCGTTTCTACCGTTCACCCGAGGTTATTCTCGGCATGTCTTATGGGATGCCTATTGATATGTGGAGTGTTGGGTGCATTCTGGCTGAATTGTTCACAGGATACCCTATTTTCCCGGGTGAGAACGAACAAGAGCAACTTGCTTGTATCATGGAAGTTTTTGGTCCTCCGGAGAAGCATTTGATTGAAAAAAGCACACGCAAGAAGCTATTTTTCGACTCACTGGGCAAACCACGTCTGACCGTTTCATCGAAGGGACGGCGCCGTCGCCCAAGCTCGAAGGAACTTCGCCAAGCTCTCAAGTGCGACGATGAAGCCTTCCTAGATTTCATCACGCGATGCCTGCGCTGGGACCCGGCCCGCCGAATAACTCCTCACGATGCGCTGAAGCATGAGTTCATTACTGGCATCAAGTCTACGGCCCGTCCTCGGATGTACGCCCAGGCAAATGCAAGCTCTCCGTCTAAACGCGGAACGTCCTCCAGCGGTCGGCCATTGCCAGAGCCTCCAAGCTCAACCTTAAAAACTGGCACATTCCTCCGAAGCCGTGACGCATCTGGCAATTCTCCAGTCAAAGGCTCCGGCAAGCGCCATTCCACCGTCACAGGTCTACCGCCGTCTAGCCCTGCCAAGCGAGGCTCCAATAATTCCACCACAAGTGGAACTGCGCTGCCTCGCGCCTCGGCACGAAGTATCAGTGGGAAGCCTGATCTCGCCACGGCGGCAGCAGCGACCAGCCTAGTGAGTTAAGACGGAGCCGTGGGCCGACATAACCCGCAGAAGGCGAAGCAATAAAACACGATAACAAAAGCTGACCAGCCAACAGAGGACCAAATAGCCTGATACCCCCTACCCCATCTTCCCCGCCCTGTAATCATAATTGTTTGTTTTGATTTTGATTTCTTTTATTTTCCTTCTTGTTCTTTTGCCGATTCTTCTTGTCTCATGTCTTATGCATCAGGTGGTTTGCCATGTCGAGCATTTGTTGATCCGGTCTGTTGACCCTACGGCCATGAAAAAAGAGGGAGGGCATCCATCCTTTACCCGTTATGTTCGTTGACAGCATTTGCATCTGGGCCTTGATATGATTCATGCGACGGGGTTTTATTGCGTGATGTATTTCGTTTGTGTCGATTGTCCTTCGTTTTTCTTTATACATTGATGACCCATCGTTACCCCCCACCATCAGGGCCCCCGTTTTCGGTCCTACGTTTGTACAGTTTGACGTTGTTTCTTTTCATCTCCTTGCATCTCTCCGAGAGAGCTTCACGACCAGTGAGCACTCATGTAGAGCATTCGGATTGGCAATCAATGCATCACTACTTACGATATACAACCATTATTTGATAGATGTTGGCACGAAATCAATACATTAATGTAAATGCCTATATATACTGCTCAGATTTATGTTTTAGATTAATAGATAGACTCCAATAGTTGCATGCATATTGCGGTATCTCCGTGCAGAAGTAGGTATTGTACCTGACAAAAGTGGGTCGCGGCAAATCGGCCTACTTGGCCTCATCGCCTTATCTGACCCGCACTCCACCTTTCTCGCTCTGCTCCGACTTTCAATGTCGTCGGCTTTTATCGCGCAATGAATGGCTTCGAAGAAAAGGGCCTCGACGAGGATTCCTTTGGAGAAAAGTCCAATCTTTCAGGATTGAAGACCTTTGACGCTTTCCGTAAGTTCGTTCATGACACGTTTCCATGACGCGCGATCCTTCAACCGTTACGCATCCCACGTTGTCGAGCATGACAATATGATGCCAATGATACAGCAAGCTAATCCATAATACCATGTAGCTAAAACAAAGGCATCCTACACAACCCCAACCCACCGTGGTGGTCAATGGACCGTTCTGATCCTCATCGTCTGCACACTATTCACCTTCACCGAATTCAAAACGTGGTGGCGCGGTACAGAACAGCACCACTTCAGCGTGGAAAAGGGCGTCTCCCATGAGCTGCAGCTCAATCTCGATATCGTGATTAATATGCCCTGTGATGATCTCCGCGTCAACATCCAAGATGCAGCCGGTGACCGCATTATGGCTGGTGATCTACTGAAACGCGAGCAAACGAACTGGAGCCTATGGATGCAGAAGCGGAATAAGGACAAGCACCAGTATCAAACTCTGAGCCATGAGGAGGACGATCGATTGTCACAACAGGAGGCGGATGCGCACGCCGGCCATGTACTGGGTGAAGTGAGAAGGAACCCTCGAAAGAAATTCGCGAAGGGCCCGTCCATGCGTTGGGGCGATACTGTGGACTCTTGTCGAATTTACGGCAGCTTGGAAGGCAATAAGGTGCAGGGCGATTTCCATATTACTGCGCGGGGGCATGGTTATAGGGAATTTGCGCCTCATTTGGAGCACAATGGTATGATATTTGCCATCTCTTTCTCCTCCTTTTCGAATAATTGGTTTCAATCAGCTAACATTATGTGAAAAGCATTCAATTTCTCCCACATGATCACCGAGCTCTCCTTTGGTCCCCATTTCCCAACCCTCATGAACCCACTCGACAAGACCATCGCCGAGACAGACGCCCACTACTATAAGTTCCAGTACTTCCTATCTGTCGTACCAACTCTGTATACAAAGGGCCGAAGTGCTCTGGATGCGTACACTCGATCCCTCAACTCGGTTGCACCTCGTTCGGGCCGGAATGCCATCTTCACCAACCAGTATGCGGCCACTAGCCAATCTGGCCCACTCGAGGAGAGACCTGTTCTTGTTCCGGGCATTTTTTTCAAGTATAACATTGAGCCAATTCTTCTGCTTATAAGTGAAGAGCGAGGTGGATTTCTGGCCCTTGTTATCCGGTTGATTAACACCATGAGTGGAGTTCTAGTCACTGGTGGTTGGATTTATCAAATCTCAGGCTGGGTCACTGAAGTTGTCGGAAGGAGGAAGAGACAACAGAGCGAAGGTTATCTAACAGGAAAGCATTATAAGGATTGAGTTTCCATTTTGCGGCGTCCATTTAGCTAACGGTTTATTCAAATTTGATATTTATTTCTACATTTTCACGTTCATTTCCCCCAGTCCATAACTAGAGTCTAGGAAAAATGATCCCTTACGACATACGAAGTCGCATTCATTATTAGGAATAGATGCAGCCTTGAGGTGTCCCAACAGCCCGAGCACTTCTATATCATGATGGATCTGCTATCTTTCTTTCGGCTGTTATAACTTAGAGTTGAACAAATACGCTATATTACACGCAGCTTCCAGTATTGACCTAGCAGTACAACTGGATGATATGGGTTTAATCTTTATATAGCAAGTAGGTAGTATAGAAGCTAACGGAATTTTATCTCGCAGCTTAAACTGGCAACATATGACCTGATACTACGACCCGGGGAATGTTTACGGGCGTATTGTATGAGCAGGTCGACCTTGGAAGCTAGTCCTGGACACATTCCTAGCATGAGCCTTCCTTCCTCCTCTTCTTCCTCTTCTTCCTCTTCTTCCTTTTCCTCTCTTGATGATGCAGTAGCATTCTATCAGCCTAGCACTTGTACTTTTAATAATTGCATGTATATGTGTATACACCGGATTTTATCTGCCAGGTGGGGCTTTCCTTTCTTGGGTGCCGCAGCTTTTATGAGGGCGCTCAGGCTCAGGCTCAGTGATCGAATCACCCTACCACGAACTTGGCCCTATTTTGACCCACAGCGCAATACAAGCGCATTTTGCGACGCTCGTTGTATTGCGACAGCGCGGGGTATGGCGCCGCGATAAACTCATTGACCCTCCGATTTAAATTATGTGCATCGCCACGGGATACATTGATCGTTGAAGGACTCGGGTCGAATCCTGATAGAATCCCAGTTAGTGGGTATTAAGTTGTACAGCATCGATAATGCGGTCGCTGGTCCTATTAGTGCTTCGGGTACTTTTTATCTGACCATCATGATTCTATTCGATACTAATAACGCCACATAGAAAGCGGCAAATTATCTCGATTTTGATTTCAAGCAGAATGCCGCACGAAGTGTTTCATAACATGTTCGAGTCACGGGTGAAATGCCAAGTGGCTACCAAATGCCTACTATTCCACTTGATAGGCCGTGATTTCATAGATGTGAAAAAGACCGCAAGGATCGGTCAATTTGAGGTGGGAAAAGCAAAAGCTTATGGAAGCCAAATCGCTCATTCAAGTCGGCAGAGTCGATTGATTGAATCTTTATTGAATGAGCTTTTGAGAGATGGAATTACAGGGGTTTTAAATGATTTTTTGAATGATTTTTAGGATCCTCGCAGGGTGTGTGCGGACATGATTCCAGATTTGCACAACTAGGTATCTTCGGCCGGGCGGGAGCTCATCCTGCTTAGGCATATTCGGCCGAACGTGTTCGTCAGCTCTGAAAATCAAATTACCCCATATGCATAGAATAATTTCCAGTGGCCTGCAGATCTTGAATGAAATAGTCCACTGTTTCCAGTAGACCAGTTTTTCGAGAAAAGTGGAAACAATTACTGAGGAAACTTTTCAGGATCATCCTGGGATGGCGCGGCCCTGGCCTGGGCATTGATCTTATCTTGATTTTATTAGACATGAAACATCAAAACACGTACTCGTTTACTACTACTAGTACTACGATCACCTAGCTTTTCGGAACTTGAAGACTCCAGTGCGCTGACGTACTATCAAACTTGAATGGATTACTACTAGTAATTTTCGTGGACTCGGACATATAACTCCTCCGAGTTTCCCTTGAATCTCAGTTTCTCCCACATCTTTCCCCACACCCTGCTCCCACTAAACCTGCGACTACCGTTGGAAACTTGAGCTCGAAGATGAAGCTTTTCGGGGATTTGATACACGGAGCCAGCGTGCTCTTGCTACTACCGGTCGTGGTCGACGCGGCACTCTATAACCGTACAATTCAAACTCCCCAGGGGAAGGTGAAAGGTCTTGCCGCCTTCAACGAAAGCAATGCCCCTTCTTACATGTCCAACTGGAAGGATATAAGCGTGTGGAGAGGTATTCCGTATGCTGCTAGCACGGGCGGGCAGAACCGCTGGAAGCCACCTCAGAAAGCTCCTTCCTGGAATGGGACACTCATGGCCTCTTCGTTCGGACTAAGCTGTCCCAGTGAACAAGCCGGCGAAGGCTACAGCGAAGACTGTCTGACAGTAAATATCTGGAGTCCAGCCAGCTCAGCCAATGCCAATCTTCCAGTGCTGATTTACTCTTATGCTGCTGGGGGGCAGTCCGACCAAACTACCTATGATGGTGCCGGCATGGCTAGTAAGGATGTGGTCTTTGTCTCCTACAATTACCGCTCTGGTCCTTTGGCCTGGCTTACACTACCCGAGCTTGCCAAAGAGTCTGGCATCAACGTGACCGGCAATTATGGCTTGTTGGACCAGATTGAAGTTACCAAGTGGGTTCATGAAAACATTGCCTCATTTGGAGGGGATCCAAATTCTATTGTCGTGGGTGGGCAGTCATTCGGCTCCGGAGCTGCCTACCATATCGTCAACAGTCCACTTGCTAAGGGCCTAATCAAGGGAGCTATTGCTGAGAGTGGTATCAAGGACCCCTATGACCCTGACCTTTGGGGATTCGGCAGTGACTACCGTAATATGAGTTGGGCTTTGAATTTTAGTGAGGTCTTCGCTGAATCATTGAATGCTACCAGCGTGGCCGACCTAAGGGAATTAGACCTTGATACTCTCTTGACCGGTACTGGAACCAGCACATTCGTTGGTTTCGATCCTGTGTTGAATTACCACTCGATCCCTAACAAATACATTGTGAGCTTGGAAGAAGGTGCTGCCAACGATGTTCCTATCTTGGTCGGCAACAATAAGGATGAAGACGGCATCGACCTTTCTACCACGTACAACGTTTCAGAGTACGAGTCGACAATCAAATCAACTTATGGCCCCTACGCTTCTGAGCTTCTCGCTCTACACCCAGCCAGCAATACCACAGAGGCCACTAATGCGTACAACTCGATTATCCTTGCCGGTATCTGCACTTCCACCTGGTCCTTTGCCAACCGATGGAGCAAGACATCTGCAAAGCCCATCTACTATTATCTCTGGTCATACGCACCCCCGGGAGATGACGGAGCCACTCACGGCTCCGAAGTGGTCTACGCTTTGGGTAATCTCTATGCTCAGACTGCAAATTACACCTCTGTTGACTACGAAATTGCCGATAAGATGTCTTCTTACTGGGCTAACTTCGTCAAGACTCGAGACCCCAACAAAGGAGGTTCGTACACTAGTAAGAATGGGACCTTGCCTCAATGGGGTGCCAATGTTCCTTCGCAGAACGTCACCTTCGACTTGGGAACTTCATGGAAAAAGATCCCAATCGCTTCAGTCGAGGAAAAGAATATCATGTTGGAGTACTTCAAGTACGCTACTCCGAATCCTTTTTAAATAAGCACATGGATACAGGAAATGGAAACCCAGTATCCTAAAGGGGTCGCTCGAATGGGCCCCGTTTAAGTTGTCGATATAGTACTTGGTACACTTCACTGAATGAAACCAATCACCCGCTTATTTCTACTTTCTAAATAACATCAGTACAAGTTTGGGGGGTTTTCAAAAAAAAAATTTAAACTTGAAATCTAGTTCTTGCCGAAAAACATTAGAGTTTTTACAAGATGACAGCATTGCCGATTACTGCTACTAGTAGATCTGATAGTGATTTCAGGGTAGAACAAACCTTTTGTAAATTGAACACTGCGTATTTAAAGTTTGAGCAGCATCTTTCATCTTGCGAATCCGTTCTGCGTTCATTCGAAGATCATCCTTCAAGATGCATAGTAGGGCGTCGACCCAGATATGATTTACCTCCACTCCGAGTCCGACTCAGAGTCCATTACTACCTAGTACGCGCACGATAATATATTTCAACTTGAATGCAGTGCGGGTTTGGGAGGTATTTATAGTCCACGGAACCTTTAATTTCGTTAATGATGTCTCTCATAAGAGTCACGGTGTTTCTGGACCCCCCAGCGATAGCGGAAAGCAATGTGCACAGCCTTTTTCGAGTTTTCATTTTCGGTAAGTCGCAATTTTGAATTTGCATTTTCATTTGAGCCACTGTGATCTAATTTCATCATCTCAAGGGTGATGACAAGCAAGTGTAATGCGCACTTGTAGATCCGTCTACTAATAATACTAGTTTGAGCCTCCAGGGGCTCGTAATGTGGTATTCATGTTGTATTACGTATAAAGGCGCGAGAGCAGCCAACCGGATGACCTAGTTATTGTAGGTAAAATAGGGACCCGGCTTTGGGGTCTAGTCTATACGATATTGTTCATAGATCCCAAGGTCCAACAGTCCTAGCACCTGTCAAAAGCTCGAGCTTGTTATTACTCTATACTAGAAAGATATCTTTATATCGAACTTCAAATTTATTATTGAGATAAATACTAAGCTAAGAGGTAAAAGCTGTACCTATCTTAAGTATAATTCAATTATTTCCCTTATTGAGATAGGGGCTTTTGTATACTATTAGTGACTAGTCAATAAACTCTACTTTTAAATTTAACTAATTATTAAAATTCTAAGCTTACCCTTTATACTGATATTATAATTAATACAATAAGTAAATATTTCTTTGTAGCCGGTCTTATTGATAATATTGTAAGTAATAATATCTATACTAGTAGTTATATAGTTCTCTTAGAACTAGTAAATTAATTGTGTTTAAGTCTTAAATATAATATCCTAAACTTTTAGTTTCTTAGTAATAGAAGGAGCTAACTAACTCTTCTATTATAGATAGCTTCTCAAAAAAGGGAGGGAAAAATATATAATAAATATTAGATAAGTAGCTATAAAGATAAGTGTTAATATTAATTAATATAAAATTCTCTATCTTAAGAATCTTTAATCTATTAGTCCTACTATACGGATTTACTATGTTTTTATTGAAAAGTACTATATTGAAGAAAGGCTATATGCTAGCTATACAAAAAGTATTATCTAGGGCTATAGTAGTTTAATTTTTAGTCAAGCCTAGATATAGACTTTGTTAGGGTGTAGCAGGCAGTTATATATCAGGAGCTAGCAGGCTGGCTCGTATAGTAAGCAGGGGATCAGAAGTAGTTGTATTACAGATGGGCTACAGGATAGAAGGTTAACTAAGACGTAGCTTAAAGAGCTACGTCAAATAGGAATAGGAAGTTCTGATAGTCTTAGGGGTTACGTAATAACAGGAATAGGGATCTTCTTGTACGAGGATCCACACTATGATATTACCCCCCTCTTTAGAGCCGAGCTCTATAAGACTAAGGTAGTACTTAGATTAGACTAGGCTTTAATAGATATCTTCAGTAGAAGTTATTTATAATCTCTCTAGTGTTCTCCAAGTATTCAGTAGACTTTTCTATAGGGTTGTTATAATCTAACTATTTTATAGTATACTTCAAATAAGGTTTTGTACAATCTTGTCGTTCCTATCTAGAGTCTAGGATATCTTTAATAACCTATTCTTTAAGATCTTTAACTTCGATTGGGGGTAGAGAGGACTATCTTTATATTAGGAGAGGGTTATCTAAGATAGGATAGAATAAGTTTATATTAAAAATAAAGTAAATCTTTATTCTAGATAGAAGTTCTAGACGATAGGTATATAAGCCTATAGTCTTAAGAATCTTAAATAGACTAAAGTTCTTCTAATTAAGTTTCTTCTACGGATAGAAAATCTTAATATTTTAGGTACTAAGCTAGACTAGTTATCTAACTTAGTAGTTCTAGGTAGGCTAGTAATATTAGTTTATAGATTCTTTATAATAAACTTAGATAGATATTATCTTATTCTATATAAACTCGGTAATATCTCTTATTTATATAGTAATCTTTTTAGTATCTAAGATAGTAGTAGATGGGTAGGGATCTAGTTATATAGACTTGAATCCTAGGGTTAAATAGAATCTAAAGTTAATAAAGAATAGGAAAACTTTAGTAGTCTTAGATTTATTAGAGTTTAAAGTAAATTTAGCTAATAGGAGTTATTTTAACTAGTTGTCTTATAAATATAAGATATATACTTATAGGTACTATTCTAGGATTGTATTTATTTATTTAGTTTAACTATTGGTCTTAGGGTAGTATATAGTTGATAGTAGGTTTATAATTTATAGATATCGGATTAAGTATCTCTAAAGTTCTAATATAAATTGGAGTCTATGATTAGATATAATTATATAAAATAAGCTATATAACTTCTAGATATACTAGATATATAATTAGAAGACTTTCCTAGTATTATAGGTTCTATAGTAAGATATAAAGTATCTTATCTTTATAAGTTAGTCTACTACTACTAAGATAGTATTAAATCTATTATTTTCTAGTAGATATATAATAAAGTCTATTAAGATATCTTACTAAGATTGTATAAATATAGATAGGGGGTAGAGAACTTCTTATTAAGCTTCTTAGGATAGGGTAATCCTTCGGCAAATATAATAGTTTTAGGTCTAGTAAATAATATACTAATAGATTCTAGACTAGTAGTACTCTTAGGAGATTAGTTTATATATTTTTAAATATCTAGAGTATCTAGTAGTAAGGGTTTTATAGTAAAGTTATATAAGCTTGTCTTTTAGGTTTTTATTATTAGGAATATAGAGTTAGTCTCTAAATAAGAGATAATTTCTACTTTATATATATTTAGTAAGTATAATCTTTAGATATTAGGGTTAGTTTAAGTCTAGGACTTCTAGGATTAATTAAAGCTCTCTATCTCTTTTATATATCTTATTGAAGACTTCCTTTAGAGTAATAGGTAGTTTATATAGGATATTATTAATAAATCTTAAAGACTTTTAGGATCTCTTAGGGATTAGTTTATACTCTAATAGAGTTAGTTTAGATTTAGGATTATACTCTAATAAAGTTAGTTTAGGTTTAGTATTATATTTTAGTAGAGTTAATTTAGATTATTATATAGTTATAGTATTAATATTTAGGTTATCTTAGATCTAGTTATCTAAGTTCTCCCTTTTTAGGATTATACAGCTTTAGTATTAGAGTTGTTTATCTCCTTTTTTAGAGAGATCTTCTAATCTTCTAATCAAGGTATTAGACTTAATACCTTATTGTCTAAGATAGTAAGTAATCTTAAAATTAAACTGGGATAGAAACTTAGATTATTAGACTTATTATTAGTTTAAAAGCTTTATTATTATAAAGTACTCTAAGTTTTAGTAGTTAGTAATTATAGAGATTAAGAAGTTTATTCTCTTTAACTCTAGGTATTATTCTTTAAAATATTATATAATTGTAAGTAGTTCTTTATTATAGATTTTATAATTATACTTTATTATAGAGTACTTCTTAGAGAAAAATATAATAGGATAAAGAATATTCTAGTTATTATACTATAAGATTACTTTAATAGAGATATAATTAAAAGTATTAGTTTTAAGTATCACATCTTTTATCTAATTAAAAAAAGCTAGGATAGGGGTAGATATAAAAGTAGACTTTAATATCTTAAATACTTTCTAGTAGATAGGATCCTAGATAAAGATAATATCTTTCTTAGTTAGGTAGACTAATCGTACAATTAGTTTTGAAAAATCTTAGATAAACTATTAGTAGAAGTTTATAAATCCTAAGAAGGCTTATATATTAGTAAAGTAGATTAGGGTCTTCTACTTAATAATTATATAAATCTTTTCTAGATCTATATAAAGACTATCTTATCTAATAATAATTCCTAAGAACTTTATCTTATATATATAGAATTCACATTTAGACAGTTTTATAAACAGGCTAGTTTCATAGAGTTGTTATAGGACTTTTTATATATATTCAATATACTTAGCTCTCATACGACTATAGATCAAGATATTATCTAGGTATATAGTATAAAACAGGTCTAAGTAGTTATAAAGAGAGTTATTAATAAACCTTTAGAAGGTTATAAGGACTCCAGTAAGTCTAAATAGTATTATAAGGGATTCAAAGAGTCTAAGTCTTATATAAAATACTATAAAGTATTCTTACCTAGCCTTTATATAAAGATTATTAAATACTAATATAATATTAACTCTTGTAAAGAATTTTATTCCTTTTAGGTTATTTAGAGTCTCTTTTATTAAGAGTAGTAGATAGTAGTCTTTAACTATAACTATATTTAGGATATAGTAGTCTATATAGAATCGTAGACTACTACTAAGTTTATAAATAAATAGTATAAGTAAGACAGTAGGAGATAAACTTAAATAAATAAACCCTTTCTTTAGGTTCTCTATAATCTAGTCCTTTAGGATAGTAAGCTTTATATAAGATATAGTATAGAGAGGCCTAAATAATAGTATCTTATCTTCTACTAGCCATATATTGTGGTTATATAAGCAGTACAGGAGCAATTTGTTAGCTTCTTTTAGAGAGAATATATCAATATAGTCTTAAA